TTCGTTTCGTTGTTACTAGCGTATTTCGACGATCACGTAGGATCACACCAAGAAGAACGCCTTACCGGCCTCTTCTTCGACAAAATTCAGATAATTGAATGGGAGCAACTCTCTCTCTCTTTCTCCAAGTTTTACTTATTCTGACAGAACAGGAAACTACTAATTTTGTGAGACATCGTCTGTTTCTCCGCTCGTCTCTTTCTCACTTTGTTCTCAAGATAATTGGAGAGTTGGACAAATATTCTGTGAATCTGGGAGAGTTGCGAGAACATCCGGAAAACGAGTCTATGATTTAGATGAAGTCTGAGGAGGATCCCTCTCCAAGAATAAATCATCGGATTCTGAGAAATGAGGGAAGGTGGAAGATCAAATTCAGCTAACGTCCAAAAGGATATTTTGCAAATAAACAGTAAACACGTTCCTTTTGCTTTCTCCTCACTTTTTCCTTGTTTATCAGCCAATCGCTCTTTTCCCAAATACATTCAAATTTGAATTTCGTACTGTATGAGAGATAGCTAATGGGACAAAAGGGGCAAAGTGAACGATCCCAACTACTATTCGCACTCTGATAATGAGATACTTTCACTTGATTGCTGTGAAAGGTGAGCTGATTTCTTTGTCCTTTCCTTACAACGTCATTAATTTGAATTGACAGTGCACATTTGAATCAGCATGAGAGCCCACTAGTTTTGATGTCGATTGGAAGTTGGGGACTTTCTAGCAAAAGTAGACGTCTCTCCATAATTTGACGTCTTCATGCCCACGTGAACTTTGACAGTGCAATTGATCGCTAAGCGGTTCCGGTTAGTTGCGAAACGTTGGAAAGCTGAGCTGACTCATCTCCAAACACATTAATCAATCGAAATAGTTGTTTACTTTGCACGTGACAAGCACTTACAAAACCGTCTGGCGCGCGAGATTTATGTGTCTGGAACTCCAGACGTTTAACTGCAATCTGTTTTGGAAGAAGTTGTTGAAATTTCTAGGATTTTCGCTGCAGAAAAGCTGAAACAGGTAGGATCGGGGGCTTTGCCGACCTGGCTCTAGTGTTCTTACGGCCTCCCGGTCACGGAAAGTCGCTCGTTTCAGATTTATGGTTGACGGTGTTAGTTGTTTTTTCAGCTCAAATTTTGGCAGATTTCAAATCACCGAAATGCAGGGAACCCAACGTTTCGAAACCGCGATGTTATTCAACAGGCATGAATCACTTAGCGATAAATACCCCTGTTAACATTCACGTGGACTTCACGACATCGCGGTTTCAAAACGTAGCGTTGCGAAAAGTCGCGATCCCCCCTACATAGCGAAAAATTGACAGAAAGGTAGCCCGGGCGGTCAATGGCCTCCGCCTCACTGCCGGCTCACTTGCAGAACCTAAATTTTTTACAAAAATTAATATTTGCCTAGTCTCCAGTCGCCAGTCCTAAAACCGTATTTTAAAGTCTTTATTTAACTGTAAATTTGATCAAAATGAGAAAAGTTCACTTTTTGAGAGAAAAAATTGGGTTAAAATGAAAATCTTTCTTTCCGGGTATTCCAGCTGACTGTCTGAGTTTTTTTCCGTTTTCTATTTTCACCTGTCCTCCAGTCCGCTCTGAAATTCCAGTTATCAGCTTCTTTTTTCTTTGTGAATCTCCGCCCATTTTGATGATACTGATTCAGCCGTTCTTTTAGGCTCCGCCCACAGTTCGACCGGCAGAGGGCAGCTTTCATTCACAGTCATCACTCGCGTCGACGCGCTCTTGCCCTCTCTCTTCCCCATTCCTCTCCGGTGCTGGGATGCAGATCCTGTCATTGAAAAACACCCAAACAGTCCAGTGACGTGTGTGCTTATACTCTAAGAAACATTTCCTTTAAGAACTCTCTAAGAAACAACACCTGCGCTCGGGCTTTTTAATTCCTGATTAGAAACTAGCTGAGCTAGGTAGTAAATCAAATATCTAGAACCAAACGATGATCAGTGTCGATCGGATCGGTTTTTTTTACAGAATCAATCAGAAGACAAAGTCTTGTCGGTTCCCAGCGCATCCGCCCACGCGCATTCCAGATTTGATTGTTTCCGGCGCTTCCTTGGTAATCCGATTATATCCGGCGTTAACCTGTATAAAAACCGTACCGCGAGCCATCGCAGATCACTTCACTCCTCTTTCTTCCCTCGTCTTCTTCTGTGCGGTGCTTGGTCGCTAAAATTGTTGATTTCAGGACTTGGAATTCAAGTAGCGGTCTTCACGTCAGGACAGAACCACAAACAACAAACAAGGAAGAAGAAGGATCACACGATCGAAACCACTTCGAGAGAATTGTCAGTTATTGGAGTTGAGGACATCCTTTTTCTCGCCAGATTCTTCTTACTATTAGTAACACAGGATGCTATTCAGTACACCTGATTCTTTGAAGTGCACATCTCTGAAATCGTAATTTAGTTAGGTCTGAGCAGGTGGTTTGCCCAGGGGATGCGCTATGCCCAATATTTTTGTGGTGAAAATAGAAAGATTATGCTTCACTTCACCCCTAAAAGCAGCAAGCCGAACGTTCGGTTTTGCTCGAGTTATAAACATTCCGCTGCCTCGCTCTTTTCTTTCTCCCTCTCTTTTCTTTCTCTCTCTCTCCCTCTCTCTCTCTCTCTTGCTCAGATTTTGCATGCTTGATGCTCGTCTTCCATTTGCTCTCAATTACAGTCCGACGATAAACAACGACGACTAGCAGCAGAGCATCCATCCGAAGAGGCTTTGTGGTGGAGAGTGTCAACCGAAAAGAAGAGGGTGGGCGCCACGAGCAATCGATGTTCTACTGCAGTAGGGGGGAAACGAGAGAGGAAGACAGAGAGAGCCAACGGAATAATGGCGCTGAATAAGAGAGAAAGAGAGAGAAAAGCTAGTGAGTTCGCCCTGCTTCTCGCGCGCGGACCAAATGTTTCATGTGGAAAGGAAAGAGGGTGGAGGGAGCAGTGACACATGCAGCTGGGGACGTTCGACGTCCGGACACTGGTCATTCCCCGAGTTTTGAATGCGCTTATAACTGCCCCAGTTGCCTCACCCGCCGCATTTCGAAACCGCGTACTCCCCCGCTTTTCACCCGCTCTCCTGCCAACGAACGCATAATTTCGGGGAATGCGTCGCTTCTATCCTGCTTTACAACTGGTTAGAGCTTTTTCACTTGTTAGTTCGCTCTGGCTGATTTTTAAATTTTCATGCTCCGTTTCTCATAGTTTCGTATATTCTTCCCACTTTTTTCGTTTTTTCGCAAAACGTCATTCCGATGAAATCGTCTTTTTCGGTCCGTTTACATGAGGAAGCATGTGCCTGTTTCTAGGTTCCGATGAGACAAATGAGGTCTAACCCGGAAACGGGATTTTCCCATTTTCGAGCCCTTCGTTTTCCGTGAGGGAAAGAATTTCGGAAACGTTTTGCGAGTGAATGCGAAGGCTTCAGGTTTTGCGTCAGCTTGCGCAGACAAAGAAACATTCCATAACACAGGGGGTCAGGCGAGATGAATCACAATTTGTGCAGGTGCCTCTCTTTTTTTGCAACATCTATCCTCAATGAATAAAACGATTGCGCGCCGGCCGCTCCACTTCTTGTTTGGCCCTTTCAAGTGACGTTGTCCCTCCAGTTTGTCTTCCATTCCAAAAATCTAATCAAGGCACGTATGTCACTCTCATGGCTCTGCTATTCATGCTTCTTTTCTTTCTTTCGCCCCGCCCGTCCATGCCCATTACCCGCACATAGGTCATGTCCATCAACCAGATTGCCGTACGCAAACTACTTTACTTTTTTTACTGTTAGGCCCCGGCTCCCCATAACATTTTCCCATCACCAAAACAAATATGCCCGTTCGAACTCATTTTTCTGTCAATATTCGTTACGTTGCAAGACCGACCACGTGGTTTATATAAAAAATAGCGGGGTGCTGGTGCAATTAGACGGGAGGAAAGAAAAAAGGAAAGAAGGAGAAGAAGAAGAAGCGCAAGGAAAGAGGGTTAGAGGTCGTCGGGCGCCGCTCAGATATTGTTGACTCAACAGATTTGAAGCGTCTTTATAAAATCAAATCACTATCGTCGCTCCGGAATTCGAATTGTTCCTATTCCATGAACATTTTGTACACTGTTTGTCATAAGTCTGGGAATTTAAATTCTAATTTTGATTTATGCTGTCTTGATATTTAGCGTGACATTTACCTTGATAGGGAACAAACTATTACTTTCCGAGAATCCCCATAGATATTACCAATCTAAGCCAAAGACCGAGCAAATCTGGTCTTGTTAGTAAACACGCTTTTTTGATTCGTGGTTCATGAGATTCTTCATCAGCTCCGATGACCCATAGAAAACGTCCGAAACATTTTACTGACCGTTTCGAACTTCCCCGTCCTCTTCGTGTCCACTTTCTTTCTTGTTAGGAAGCCGGTGTCGGGTTACCGCGAGTTTTCGCCCGTTTTCGATGGTAGATGGACTCTTTCGTACACATTTCACAGCGACCATGCAATGCATCACCATCCCCCCGCACTTTTTCGATAATTTTGCAACTCAACCATTCTCAATTCAAACTCACTGTTTCACGCGTCGTACTATCCTATTTGCTCAGGTGGATTGAGTGCATTGAATTTCAAATTTATCCCCCTCCCTGAGTTCGTGATTGGCGAGACAATCCACTCGAACTCTTTTTTGTATGAAGAGTGGCAAGATTGGCAAGCACAATGAGAGAAGAAACGACCTCTCGACTTCTTCTCACTTTTTAATATTTAACAAGTGTGGTGGGCTCTTATGAATTTCTGAACGGGTCCTTGAAGATCAAATCGAGAACTCTTGCGTGCAATCTGGCCATAAAATCGGTTAACACATTCGTCACCGACACCAAAACCACCAATTTCTCTTCTTCTTCTTCTTTTCCAGCTGCATCTTCCTCTTCTTCTTCCTTCTTCTTACTTCCCATTTCACAAAAGCTTTTTCTTCTTTGAATTGTCCTTTTCAAGCTCTGAATACATTATTTTTGCAGTCAACGATGCCGGACGGCATGGATCCTAACAAGAAGAGTGAGCCGACGTCACCGGCAAAGTCTGGAAAGAATGGTGGGTTGTGCATGTGGGTTCATTTGTAATTCCAACAGAAATAACATTGAAATGATCACGAGAATTCTAATTAAAAGCGATGAGGAGATAAGGGAGTGGAAAATTGGTTTTCAATGAGCTTAGAGAGAATGGAAATAAATAGAACACCGGAAGATTTAAATGAAATTAAGGAGTTCTTTCACAGTCTCTTACATCTACATCCCCATCAACGGTCTTAAAGGACCAGGGAACCCAAAAATTTTTTGATTTTTTTGTGAAATTTTTTTGTGACTGTTTGAATTGTCTCTTATTGCCTCATACACTCGTGAAATGCTGTCCCTCAAAAATGCCAATGAACGAAACGGCATGCAGTTGAAGTTGTGGCCGTGGCCTAGCGCCAATGGCCGAAAAATATATAAAAATATATGCGCTTCTCGGCCATTTTATTTTTTCCGCTTTTTTACCGGTTTTTTCCAAAAATTCACGGTTTCTCCCATTTTTCAGTTGATTGACATTTGTTCGGCACTTACTTATTTTTTCACTGCTAAAAGATTGTTTTCATTCAGTCGATATGAAGTGCCAAAATGGGAGAAACCGTGAATTTTTGGAAAAAAACCTGTAAAAAAGCGAAAAAAATAAAATGGCCGAGAAGCGCATATATTTTTATATATTTTTCGGCCATTGGCGCTAGGCCACGGCCACAACTTCAACTGCATGCCGTTTCGTTCATTGGCATTTTTGAGAGGCAGCATTTCACCAGTGTATGAGGCAATAAGAGACAATTCAAACAGTCACAAAAAATTTCACAAAAAAATCAAAAAAATTTTGGGTTCCCTGGTCCTTTAAGAATTCTTGAGCAAGAATCAGCAAATTGCCGACATATTGTCGCCACGAAGCGTTTGATTTCGTGATTAAACCAGCTTATTACACGTAATGTGAGTATTAGAAGGTGTTAAGACCAAGAATAGCAGAAATGTGTCACGCTGCAAGACGATTAGAAATACCGCAAAGGGTAGAGTGGAGACATTGATGCACGTGGTTCATACTTTGTCTCTGTGAACTTGCACTCTCCTCGTTTAGTTGGATTTTGATTCCTGTTTCTTTTCATTCAGTACATTTTACGACAATTGTTCGTTTGATATTCTCCTAGAGAATTAAAATGCAAAACTTTTTGTTGCGAATAGATAATAGGTGCTCATCAAAATGGCCGATAAGCGTACTTCTGCTGCTGTCCTCTCAATAATAGAAAATGGAGGAAAAAGTCGTTATTAGCCGAGAAGGCTGCCAAAAACGCTTATCTATAATTGCAACTCGAAACTCTGCTTTTTTACACATTTTTGGCCTAAAATGCCTTGTTTAACTACAGTTTCGCATCAAACTCTTCTAAATAATCAGTTGATTTTGACGATTTTTGGCGATTCAATAAGCAAACAAATATTCCGTTTAAACTTCGACGAAATTGAGTTTTTGGTTTGACTTCAATGACCACGATTGTTTTTTGGGGTATTTATACCCGTCACGTTCTTCTCAAGTCATGTTATTTTGACGAGAACGAACAAGTTTTTTTGCTGTTCTAAAAATGTTTTCCGAGAAATCAAAGATCTTGTTCATCGCTGCTTGTCAGGTAATTCTGTGCCGAGTGGCAGAATACTTCAGTGTGAAAATCAGTTGATTTCAACGCCAAAGCGGATTAGTGTTTTAAGAATGTGTACCGAAGGCGATACAAAACGGCGTGCTGAACACATTCTCTTCTCTCCATCTATACTTCTCTTACCATTTATCGGCTTCTCGGCACCTTCCCCCAATTTCCTCGTCCAGCAATTGCATACTTATCAACAAGTCATCAGCTGATGCATTCGCAAAAAAGATTCATTGATTGTTAGTTTACAACTTGGCAGAGGGACCCCTCTGCCCAGTTCGCTCCCCGAAAACAAAATGTTTGCGCCGTCTAGACTGGCGGATACCTCTTTTATTCGCACCTCTTTTCCACTGACCGTTCTTATCATTCTTTGCACTTTCCAGGCCTAGGACCACCGCGCCATAAACACACTTTTTTATCAGCGCATGAATTTGGAGTTGTAAAACTGTGTAGGCAAGGAAAGGCTGATTCTCACTTCAAATTACTGATAATCATTTTGGTTTCGATCACTCACACCTTTGACAGTAAGACAGTTGACAAGGTCATTTCATTCGGAAATTTCACGTTTCAAATAGTGTGCAGACGGCGCATCAGAATTACATCCATCTCACCCAATCATTATCTTGAGGAGCGAGAAATTAACCCGATAGTGGCCAAATCCATTCATGTTCAATGTCATTCATTTTTTAGGTTTCGTGTCGCCACCTCCTCCGTCCTCCATTCCCCGCGAGGAAGGCGGAGGCCGATAGGTGACGACGTGAAATAGTCTTTCCTTGCAACAGATATATCTTTTTGATAGCAGCATACCTGCATGATGAATAGCCTTCTTCAAACCGTCTCAATCTTTAAGTCAATTCTTTAGGAGAATCGAACTTCGAGGAGGACGACCACGACAACGGCTCGTTGAACGACGGTCAACTCACTAACTTCTCTTCGCAGTTCTCGATCAACAATATGGGAGCGCAACAAGGTGAGAATCTTTTGTCAGAAACTAGAACATTATCAGTGAGATGATAGACTAAGTATCACAATTAGAAAGGACATGAGATCAACCTAGTTCGATGACGTTAACAGTTCATGGATCAATTGTTTTTAATTTTCAGTTGAGCTGGTGCCTCACGCTCCGGATGGAGGATACGGATGGGTCATCGTGTTTGCCGCGTTCATGTCTAACTTCGTGGTGGACGGTATCTCCACAGCTTTCTCGGAATTCAAGCAGTCGTACAAGGATTACTACAGAGTTTGTCAAACAGATGAAGTGATCCATCCAACCTGAATTTTCAGTCAGCCGATGCGGTCACAGCTCTCATCGGCTCGCTCATCATCGGAAGTTACCTGCTAGTCGGACCAATAGTTGGAGGACTCTGCAACAAGTATGAACCCAGATATGTGGTCATTCTCGGATCCCTTATCTCCGGAGTCGCGTTCCTTGTCGCTCCCGCCGCTCCGAACATCTACATCTTCATGCTCATCTACGGAGTTCTTGGAGGCATAGGCTTCGGAATGATCTACCTCCCAGCCATTGTTGTTGTTGGATTCTATTTCGAATCAAAGAGAGCCATGGCCACCGGAATCTCCGTGGCGGGATCTGGAGTAGGAACCTTCGTCATGCCTATCATCTGCCAATACTGCATTGCCAGTAAGATTTTTCAGGGTAATAGTTTCTGATCTAACCATTTGTTCAGCGATCGGATGGCAAAAAACTCTGTGGATTCTGGCCGCTTTCAACTTCCTCTGCGTCACTTTCGGTTTTCTGTACCGCCCACTTCCAATGATCGACGTCAACGAGCTCCGTGACCAAGAAATGGAACCCCTCAGACAAGCCCTTTCCAAAATGTCCGACGGAGAAGACCACGAGGAAGTGGAGAGTCCACATGCGAACCGTTCGCAGTCTGGCGCCAGTGCCCATCAGGAAGGTATGTGCAAGTATTTCGAGCACTAGTTTGCAAAATGATAAGAGAAACGATAAATGTCTGCCATTAGAAATGTTACGAACGCAAATTGAATGGCACTAGAGTATTTTTAGTGCACATTACGAACAATTTTATAGTGGCGTGGGCTTGACGTGATTTTTGCCGGCAAAAAGCAAACTTCAGTTTTGTACGTTTTACAGAAGACCTTTCCCAAGACCCAGCCGTGCAGAGACTCCGTAGTGTCCTCAACGAAATTGATGATGGATCTGAGACCCCGAAGTCGAATGCTGTCAAGGAACGTAGTCACACCGCCACTCGCTCCCGCAAGCACACCATGACCAGCAACTCGGGATCTCAGCATGACCTCAAGTCGTCCCGTGGAAACTTGGCCGAGAATCGTCTCAGCCGCGTTTCTGCCAGATCCTATGCTCAGTCTCTCAGCAAACTGAGCAAGTCCGGAGGAGCTTCCAATCTCAGCATTGCCATGAGCGTAGGTGTTCATTCTATGAACATTGGCTTCTATCTCAATTTCAGGGAGTCGACCCACAAGAGTTTGCGCGTCCGCTTAACCGTCAAGACATCTTCTACGGAGGTTCAATCTCGAATTTGAAGGAATTCAAACAAGAGGGTGGAAATATGGCCAACTTCCGTGCTTCTACTCTCTCCATCCCGAAATCCGTCGTTGGACAGGCTGCCTCGCACATGAACCTTAGCCGCGCTGGAAGCCACTTCTTGGCCCCAGCGATTGCTGAAGACGAGGAAGAGATCGAGCCTTTTGTCGATGACGGGTATGTCATGATATCCAAGGAATTAGGTGGCGCGACTGTCGTGTCTGGCCTCCCGTCGCGTTTTTTTCGGATTGATAAGCGTGTTTCGGCGTGTGGAAATTCATCAATTTAGCGTCACATTCGTGATAAGATATCAAGCGAATAGAGGACAAAGCACAGATTACTGCCTCAAAACGGAAGTTTAAGTCGGTGTTCATTACAGATGCTGCAAAGTCGTGCCACTCTCCATTCGAAATGCTTTCTCGGAAATGATCGATCTGGAACTTTTGAAAGACCCGGTCATGCTCATTCTGTGCCTGTCCAATCTGCTCGGAATGATGGGATTCTACATTCCGTTCATGTTCCTCAAGGATCTCTCCAACTCGATGGAACTCGACCCGTCTCAGGCCAAGTACCTCGTCCCAATCATCGGAGTTACCAACACAGTTGGTCAGTCACTACACAATTGAGAACCAATCACACAGTCTGGTGTTTCAGGCAGGGTCTTCTTCGGATGGGTGGCTGACAAGAAGTACCTTTCTGCTCTCACCATCAACAATCTCTCGCTCGTCATCTGCGGAGTCTTGACCCTCGGATGCCCCCTTCTCCGCACCATGGGAGGACAATACTTCTACTCTTTCTTCTTTGGATTCATCATTTGTAAGGAAGAATCAAGAATAGGAGTCAGATCAACATACATTTTACAGCGGCTTACATCTGCTTGACCTCGATCGTGCTTGCTGACCTCATGGGACTCGAGAAATTGACCAACTCCTTCGGACTTCTTGTCGTGGCTAGAGGTATTGCGTCTCTTGCTGGATCCCCATTTGCTGGTTGGTTACCGAGCAGTATTTCCGTGCACATATTCATTTTCCTTCAGGACTCGTGTACGACATTACTGGAAGTTACGACGCCGCATTCTACTTTGGAGGATTCGTAATTCTGATTGCTGGACTCATCTCTGCTACCATTCCATTTGTGCTGAAGCGTCGCGGAAATATTGACGGTTAGTTCGAGGGAGTCAGTGATTCACGGGAAACCGTATCCATTATAACCCTGAGAACTCTTTGTTCAAGACACGTTACAGATGGAATGTTCAAGTCGCAAGACCAAGATAACATGTCCGGAAAGTTGTCTGTTCTGACCGAACGGTCGGAAGAGGCATTGACTGATTATCAGCGGACTATTCAGTCGTTGAGACAACAGCATCAGTTGCTGCAAGGTGACAGAGTCATCGTGAAGTGATCGTGCCTAGTCATCTGTTGTGATTGTTTTTTTCAAAAAAATGCATGAGTTCAGTTAAACTTTGAGAAAATCTGAGCACCTATTGTTATGATAACAACTGTGAAAACAATAAGCGTTTCAACTTCCTCAGTTACAGTGATTTTAAACTTGAACGACTGAAAAAGAGTGAAAACTTTCAGATCTCGAAGAGGAGAAAAAGAAGCAGAAGCAGAACGGAGTTGTTGAGGAAGAGGAGGAGACTGATGAGAACGTAAGAGTGCCGGAGTTTCAAACCAAGTAAACCTTATTGCTTGCAGATCCCGCTGAGAAACCTCAAGGACAGCCACTAGACGCTTCGATCGCCTGCCATCGAGCGATTCTCACTCTGCTTTCACGGAGCACCCCTTTACATCCCGCCCGACCGTTTTCCGATTCCATACCCATCTCATGAGGCTGATTTTGCCATGATTCGTTCAGTCGAACTTTGCATTTGTCTCAGGTCCTAGCATTATATTCCCATTCAACGCACCTCACTGAAATATCCAAAAAACGTATGCATTTATGTTTAATTAGAACACCATTTAGAATTTTGTTTCTTCTCTTTTCTCGTCCCATATCCCGCTTTTGTTTCTGTGGTTTCACTTCCTCTTCCCTTTCCTCTTGAGGTCCCGTCTTTGACACACTTTTGGGTACGTTCACCATTTTCTCATTTGAATGGTTGTTTCTTTTTTCTTTCAACAGTTAGGCAAAAAAATCATCGGTTCACAATTCCATTGTGTCCTTCCCTTTCCTTTTCGGTCATGCACTTGTTGTTTTCCAGGCTTCGCGATAATTGACAAAAATACGTAATCAACCTTTCTTTTTTGTATTTTAATAAACTTGCTTTCAAGAAAAAGGTGAATCTTGCTACAACGTATCTGGAAGGGGTAATTTGACCATGTCCAGTCCATTACACGTTTTCTTTGAACATCTATGAAACGTAAACCCCTCTGCCCGACTATTTGAGACATTCTGCAAATTTGATTTCCCTGTGCAAATAAAATAAATCGTCTTCTTTCCCATCCAAAAAAATTGATTTGAATATAAATACTCAATTCGCATGGTCATAGCCAAATTGAAATTCTTGCCATTTCGAACACAAAAAAGGCGGAAGAGTGGTGGAACAAATTGATAAACGATGACGATGAGTCATATGCGGGGAGTGAAAAGAGACACAAGTTGCACGTTCCCGCCTCCGCACAGGTACAAATGATCATGATGATCAGGGGCGCGATTCGCTTCCAGCGCTACACGTTCCATGAATAATTATGCAGAAAGAGTCACACGAATATATGCATTTGGTACACTGTAATCCGCACGTTGAGCGGCCTCAACGGCTTAGGCAGTTCTTACGAGAATACATAACCTGTTTTTATGTTCCGAACCGATACCTCCGAATAGTATATGAGAATCAGTTTGCGAGCAGAGAGAGTCAGCTAACCAGTCAACCACCTCGATTCTCCTGCCGACATGACGACAGTAAAAAAAGTAAGTGGGTTTGGGGCTGGAAAGCAAAATAATACCGTAATCCTTGGGGAGAGCGGGTCGCATTCTTTATTACTTTCTCAGTCGTTTTCACTGCGAAATCGGGACAAACGTTTTCTTGTTATTTTTTGTTTTCAGCGAGCGGCCAAAGATGGGCAAAGCTGTTGATCTACTAGCTTAACGCCTGCCGCCGCAAAACGTTCTACTCCATAGTTTTTGCATGAGTTTTTCAGGGTTGTTCACTAAGATTTTCACAGTGTAACTGCCTCTGATTCATGAAAACATTATTCAGTGTAATTTCATTTTCCTCCCCACGCTTTTATTTTTCGTTCTTGACTCATAAGCCCTCCACCTAAACTTATCAAGCCCAAAAATGTTGGGCAAACTGAAAAAGGACTGTTGAAATGAAATGCAAATGTTTGTTTTGATACCACTATCAATCCACACGCCTTTTTCTCTCCTTCTCCCGAGTTTTACTGTCCAAGATGTGTGTACATGTCACTCAAAAAAGTGAAACTCCGCCCTTCTCCTTTCCGCAATTTTGCATATATTTAGAGCTCCGACAACAGTTTGTTTGTCCGCCAAGTTTTCTCTTTTCTTCCCGTACCCCGGGGTACGGTAACTTTGTGACTAACACTAACAGTCTCCTTTTTCTGTATAATTATTCGAGGGAGGAACAGGAACGCCCTATTTTTTTCGCACTTTTTCTGCATTGTCCGGCAATAAAAGGCAACTGTGAACCGATTCTCTTTCATTTTTTTTATCTTAAACCTGTCGCCATTTCATCTGCTTCGAATTCGAATTCCATGAAGTTTGTGATGTCTCTTTGGCGCCGCTAGGTGTTTGCGCGTAATGTGATGCTTTAATATTCATGAATATGGAAAATGTGAAACAGTAGGAGTGTATAAACACGTCACAGCGGCTTGGATCTAGTAATCGGTCACCAATCGCCGCCGCCGTCGTCGCTTTTGAATAGCGGTCAGGCAGCGTTCGTCTATAGCTCGATGAACCGTTACTCCTTCTCTTTCTCTCTTTTTCTGTCCGTTTCCATCCCCACCGTCCGCCTTTTTCACCCAGTTTTCTATAATTTGACTATACAGGCAATTAGCAGTAAGCATTCCCTCTCTCGTCCGTCCGCATGCCAAGTCCCGTCAAAATAAATAGTGCGCACCGATTTGCTACAAGGTTTTTTGTGCTGTCAAGAGTTGGGGGCTCTCGAGAAACTAATATTTCTCGCGCTTGCATTCTCCTAGTGTTAACTGCTATCCATCTCATTCCTGTCACATCCATCCATACTCTTGTCACATATGTTTAACGTCATTTATTATGAGGTAACTTTTTTTCGGTTCAACATTTCATTATATCATAATTGTTGACTCACGCTAAAAGTGTTATTCAGGAAATGTCGGAAAGCGAATACCGAAGCTCCATTTCGGTGCGTCCCACGTTCAACAGAACACTGCATTCGCAGTCTACTGCCACCTATGGAAGCACCATTTGTAAGTAGTCAAAAAATTCTAGAAATCAGGTATGTACGCGTTCATTTTCAGCTTCCGGAACCAGCCGTACTCTGAAGATTACGGAATTCGGAGGATCTGCCCTGACTTCCGGACTTTCTCCGTTTGGCGGCCATGCGGCATCAGCTATCCGGGAGTCCCGTGCTCGTGAGAAAAAGGAAATGAGCGAGCTTAACGATCGTCTTGCGAGTTACATCGAGAAGGTCCGATTTTTGGAGGCTCAGAACCGTAAGATGGAGAAAGATTTGGATTTGCTCCGTGGAAAGTGGGGTCATGATTCCACGAGTGTCAAGGTAATGTTCGAAACGGAACTCAGAGTGAGTCATAGATAAATTGGCTGAAATTTCATAACACGGGTATAGAGCGCAAAGGAATTGATTGCTGATTCTGATAAGGAGAGAGCTCAACTCGAAGATCAGATCCGAAAAGTTACCGAGGAGCTGAACAACTACAGAAACAAACTGCACGAGGCGGAAAGAGCTCAGGATATCACCCGCAAAGAGCTGGACAACGTTCTTCAAAAGCTCGGAGCTCTCGAGTCGGAAGTCGAGTTGCTGAAGAGAAGAATAAGTCTTATTGAGGACACTATCGGCCACCTGAAACGGGAAAACCATCGTATGGTCGGAGAGCTTCAACATGCTAGAAACGTATGGAAGGCAATCGTTTAACTGTTGATGAACCACATTTTTCAGGCCGTTGAGCAAGAAACTCTCAACCGTATCGACTACCAAAATCAAGTGCAGACTCTTCTCGAAGAGTGCGATTTCATCAAGAGAATTCATGACTCTGAAATCCACGATCTTCTTGCTATGGCTTCCCGTGATACGACAGTTGAGAATCGTGAATACTTCAAGAACGAACTTTCCTCTGCCATCAGAGATATCAGAAGCGAATACGACCACGTTAACAGCACTCACCGCACTGACATCGAGTCGTGGTACAAGCTCAAAGTGCAGGAGATTCACACCCAAGCTTCTCGCAACACTCTCGAGCAGAACTATGCTCGTGAAGAAGTCAAGAGACTCCGTACCACTCTGGGAGATATGCGCGGAAAGATGGCCGACTTGGAAGGAAGAGTAAGCTATCCTATAGCTCTCAGAATACTCGGAAACATTACTTGTTCAGAATCTTCTACTCGAAAAGCAAATCGAAGACCTCAACTACCAAATGGAAGAGGACATGAGATCTTACGAGCAATCGCTGAACGACAAGGACGCCTCAATTAACAAGTTGCGCGACGAGAGCAAGATTCTGATGGTTGAGCTCCAAATGCTCATCGACACGAAGCAAACGCTCGATGCTGAGATTGTGATCTACCGCAAGATGTTAGACGGCGAAGAGAACCGTGCTGGACTCCGTCAGCTTGTCGAGCAAGTCGTCAAAACAACGTCAATCCACCAGACAAAAGAAATTGGTTAGTTCCATTTCTATACTATTGTGTTTCGCTCTCTCATCACACCCAACGATCAAAAATGAGTGGCAGTCACAGTCAAGTAGCCGCAACTTGTTCCAAGTCATATGACTGTAAAATAGAAATATTTTTGTTTACCGCCCTTGGGTAACTTTGGGTGTGTCCAACGGTTTTCATTTTTATCACTTTAACTGATTTCACTTGTCCCCGGTGTGTGTGTGTGTGTGTTGCGTCACGTCTAAAAATGCCTGAGATCCATTGTTCGCAGTACGAAACAATCACTTTTGATGATGTTCCCGATACTCACTATCTAGTCGGCGACAGAATTCGTAGGAAGCCTTACGGTAAGATTTATGAGATCACGAGGGGGTTGGCGGGCACTAATCACTTTTGGTGTTTGCAAGTTGATTACAGAAAGTCTGCGAGTCCTCAAAGGTGAAACGACTAGTCACTCCTCCTACTCCAGATCTGCCAAAGGAAACGTGGTCATTCAGGTTTGAGCGAGAAGACCAAAATAGCACAATGATCTCATCTTTTTCGCAGGAAGTCGAACCGGCCGGCAAGTACATTGTCTTGGAGAACATCTCGAGACGTGACGAGAACCTTGGCGACTGGAAACTTCGTCGTAAGATTTCCGGAAAGCGCGAGATAGTGTTCACGTTCCCGCGTGACTACGTACTCCGTGCTCAGAAGAGTGTGAAAATCTTCGCGCGCGGACAGGGTGTCCATTCCCCGCCAGACAGCCTTGTCTACGACTTCGAAGACTCGTTCGGCACCGGAAACGACGTCGTCACTACTCTCTTCAACAAAGATGGAGAGGTAGGGATATAATTCATGGAATATGCGGAGGAATAAGCATTTTATTGCAGGAGCGCGCTTCTCACAGCCAACGTGCATCGCACAACTGAGTCGTCGAACAATTCAGCGATACTGAACGTATTCCGCTTGCCTCTTCTTCTTTTTCAGAACTATTTACTTCAATCTTGACACAAGATACACTTGTTCTCACCGTTTAGCCATTCCTGTATTCAATAAAATAAAAACCGTTCAATATTATATCTGTGACATGCTAGCCGCCAAAGTGAAACTAAATTTTCGGTTTTTCCATGCGAGAAGTTTTCTTTTTGGCCGAATCTGTTCTGCTTTTTTTCTATTACTTTTCTCCTTTCTTGTAGCTTCACCCCCAACTCCCCAACTAACTTTTATATAAAATGCTGTTCTTTATTTATGTTCTAAGTTTGCTTGTTTGGGACATATGGTTTTATGTTGGGGATAATCGGGAAATATATTCTGTAGTTGCACAGGGAAAAGAAACTGAAAACATTCTCACATAGTAGTTGATGGAAACAAAGAGTTCCAGAGTCGAATTATAAAGGGAATGAGTTGAGAGAGACAGAGAGAGAGCGAGAGAGAGAGAGAGAGAGAGAGAGAGAGAGAGAGAGACGGGGACATTTGAGGAATTTAACTGAATTTGAAGCAATAAAGCCGATAGCTGGACACGTGGATCGACAAAAATACAAACAGATATTAGAAGAATAAGAATGAATCAAGCGATGAGAGTCTGTGGAGTGGAACTTCCGGTCGACGGACACCCCAAATCGATGGACGACTCGATCACCTCCGAGTTCTCGTCGCCGTTCTCGTCCTGCTTCTTGAACAGCGCCAACTTCAGCATCAGATCCTTCTCGGTCGCTTCAACGCGCTTGATGTCACTGCAAAACGTTTCATTTACTCGTTATAAGTCTATCAATCTTTCTCGTTTTGTAGCCTCATTTGCAGAAATGGATAATTAGAGAGGAGAGAGTGTCCTTGATAAGAAATGACGGAAAGAGAGACACAGACAATCGGCCGAACACGGGCCTTATGAGACAACGATAGATGGTCACGTGGATTTCCGGTCACGTCTTTTCCTCTTCGAATCACTGCCGGCTACTCCAAGGGTTCAAAGCGCAACAAAGTACTTACTCTTTCGTTTTGCTGATGGCTTCTCTCGTGGCAGCCAACGACGCCTTCAGCTTGTGAGATCTTTTCAACTCGAGCTGATATTGCTGCGGCCAGTTGGCGGCGATTATCGGCTTCAGAATCGTTCTCAAGTTTTTCTGAAAAAAGACAGGTTCAAACTGAGCTGGCACTTCTTGCTTCTTGTTACCTGCTGCTTCAGGAGCTGACGGAGCTCCTCTTCGTGAGCTTGGTATTCGGCGATCTCATGAGCCGTCATCGTCTCGGAAAGCTTTTTGACATCAGCTCTGAAATGAACAAGAATTAGATAAAGCCGGTCGGCGCATGGCTTTACTCACTTTTGGAACTCCTCGAGCTCGTCCTTCTCCCGCTGCATCACTGTGGCGGTCATCATGAGATTCTTCTTTTCCATAATAACCATATAGTCTGTAATATACATATATATACTATGTAGTCCTATCCGGTCACGTCTCGTGCGTGATTTCATCTTTTTCAATCTGGACGACCTCCCATTTACAAAAACCTGTGTTTCTGTATCAAGTCATGAAGGTTCACTTTCAAAATTGATGACGACACTGGATTTCTATTGTTTTTAAAAGTGTTTTTGGATGGAGGATTCATTTAAAAAAAGAACAATGACCGTAGTTTTTGGTAGACAGAGAGAGAGAGAGAGAGAGAGAGAGAGAGAGAGAGAGAGAGAAAGTGACGGAAGATGAAGTTACACGCCGCAAAGTCAGTACTCTGACCAAAGAAAATGAGTGGCGAGCGGGCGGTTTTTATAGGCTGAGAAAATGGTATTTCGACAATGTCACCCCAAAGGGGTGGGGTAAATGGGAAAACGTCTCGAAATCCAATCGATTTTTGGCCTTAGTCATAGTTAATTTTGAAACGCGAGTACGTGCGACCGCGGAGGTTATAGTGGCGAACAAATTACACACGTTTTTGACAAGAAGCGGTCAATAGAGTGGGAGGGTTGTAACGAAAAAAGACCCATTTGTTGACACTGATTTGCTTGCACTTTCTTGGGCCGCCGTTTCCGACCGTTCTCTTAGTCGTTCGACTTCTCTCAGTAAATGACGACAAAAAATTGGCCTAAAATAAAGGGAATATCAGGTTGTCAGTTTGGAAACAGGCAAAAATTGTGAAGTGCGATGATCATCACTTCCTTTACTTGGCCGACATTTTTCTTTCTACTTCCTTGATACATAAGGCGACCGTGAGGCGTTTACAAGACTGGTAATCCTATTTTGAACAAGAACGAAAATCAGAATAATAGTAGATCTAACCTGGTGGCGGAGGCCGACGGTTGCTGCGTCCGAGAGTGCCAGTGACACCTGCCGAGATGGGGTAAGTTGGCAGCGAACTAGTGCTTCTTTGTCCATTTTCAAGCTGTTGGCCCGACGCACTTCTTCCTTAATTGGCTTTTGTTGTGTAAAATATGTTGCAGTACGAGAAAGGGGGAGGGGGAAGCTGAAGAGAATTAGAGAAGACGTGAACGAGATGGCCACAACAAATAATAGTGTAAAGGTCGTGCGATACAAGCAAGTCGCATGAAAAATCGGTTATGGTCTCCGTGTTTCATTATGAATGGCTATTTGACCGAATTGCTTGTTACACACCACACTCACCAGTGCCTTCCGATCTGATCACGGCAGAGACAAAAGACGGTCACGTACCTGGCAGCGAAGTCATCATACTGCTTGCCGATGTCTGTTTCGGATGGATGTACGGCTTCAGTGGCTCCGCCGGCTCGTCCACTTGCTCTGAATCCATCTGGTTTGCATCATCAACTCATGTGGTTTTGGTTGGATTCAGGGCTGGGCAATTGGCCGGCCCTTGACCTGGACTTTTGAACCACTTGCAATATTCCGATCGAAGCCAAACTTTGCAGGCTTCTCGGACATGTGTTGAAGCATACTGGGACCAAGTTTCAGCTCGATCGGATCATCTGGTCCCGAGATATGTGGATCATTGGCCGAAATTGGCCGGAAGCCCGGGCTTTTGGAAACAATCGGCAAATGATCCACATATCTCGGGACACGACGATCTGGTCGGGCTGAAACTTGGTCCAAATGGCCCTCAATCCAAGTCCAACAATCCTGCAAAGTTTGGGTCCGATCGGAATATTGCAAGTGGTTCAAAGGTCCAGGTCAAGGGCCGGCCAATTGCCGAGCCCTGGTTAGATTCGATTTGAAAAAAGACTCACGGCAAATCTCGTCGTTCTGATCGACACGAAGCATTTGGAATGTGACGTTTGCGGCGTGTTCTCTCCATTTGCGCAGCGTTTCCAGAGGCCGATCATTCGGTGCCAATCGACGTTCCTGGAGTAACAGTTTGAAGTGACTTACAATTGATTCGATTAACGCAATTTAGTCCATTCGCACTTCATCATCGGCAATTATGGCAATTCAATACAAAAATTCGGCCGGAACACGACGTTCTAATGTCGCTAATGAAAATTTAGGCAGTCGTGAACTTTCTTGATAGGGATTTAGTAGTAAAATTTCAACAAATGTTATTTCAGCCAAATTATTCAAACTTTTGAAATCCGGGCCGAGCCGATTTTTGACAAGTCTGCTTACAAGAGGAGTCTAACCTATCAATTTGGAAAATTTTCAAAACATTTCTGGAAATCAGATGAATTCTGCCATATTCTTTAAAAAGCTGAGAGTACTATTTGGAATTTATCTGATGTTGTGATTTTTTCAGATTTTCCCAAATTAGTAGGTGTCAAGAACATTCCTCGTGAGTTTGAATAGATTATATTTTTGGCGACAATTTTTTCTAGCTTCCCAACCGTCATTACAGCATGTAAATGCATAATTCCAAGCATTTCGGCATTCATTGACCCGTAAAATCGACATCTTATGTTAAGTGCGCGTTTTCAAAAAGCTTTGACCTTCCACAGCAACAAAACAGAAAACCGTCTTGCGTTTTTCACTTTCGGAAGCCAAGTCTCGTCAAGCATTGATGTTTAAAACGAGGGAAATGCTTGAGAACCTACCACATTGCGATACTTCTCCACCATCACGAATCGTCCTCGCTGGCTGGTGGCGTGTGCCAGTGCGTAGATGATCTGAGAACAAGTCGTACTCTCCGTCACTCCAGAAACACTACGTTCCAATCCGTCAATATTGATTTTGAGTTCCATTCACCTGAAAAAGGATATTCAAATTTTGAGGAAAGAGGCGAAAAGGGAAACTAAAGTGAAAATAAGATGCGATTGGATTGTGGGAGAAGATTAAGAATGATGAAGCGTTTTAATCGTTTTGAAATGCAGGCAACCCGAGAAGACGAGGCGTGTGTCAGATCTCACGCTTTCCGTGTGAAATATGATGACGTCGCGTAGGTCGAGGATAAGATTCTGTCCCGAATGTTTACAGAAATCAATTTGCCTGCGATTCACAGTTGGATACTTTTCCTTCCCATATTCAAATTACGAAATTTCTGGGTATGAAATAGGCAGTGAGTGATAGAAGAAAAAAGTACAATTTCAGTCGAAAACTACTCTGATAACACGCAAAGCAACGCGTATTTCCGTCCATTTAAAGTCGTCAACATCAATTCAATAGCACGCTATTATCTATCCACACACGCGATAAACAGATGCATATATGCATGAATGATATTTTGGGATACGTTACGCAACCCGGATTCCGACTACCTGTTCTTCTCAAGCACGCAAAAGTAAACGAAACAGAGATGTTGTCCTCTCGAATCGCACAACAAACGTCTCGAAATGTAATGTAATCGGCACGATTTCGAGCCTTCTAATGTTTGTTCTCATGCCAGGATCGCCGCGCAAAAAATGACACAATCGGAACGAACACGGCGTTCTTTGCAGAGAAGAGCGAGCGAGCGAGCGAGTGGAAGGACGAAACGACCTGCGAACGTCTCGATTCGCTCAAAAAAGGTTAGGCGCAAAGGTCGGTGATGATAATTAGGGGAAGAGAGGCGACGCGCTCCCATAATATCCTCTCTTCGTCCTCCTACTGCTTGCGGATGAGCGTCAGCAAGGACAACGCGCGTTTTACACATGAAATTCGAACCTTGTCATCAAGGACAACAAAACGGTGGTGGAGAGGAGCTAGGGGGATTTGCAGTATCATGTGGAAAACAGGTTGATTGTGTGAAATACTGTTGTATTATTTGTGAAAAGGCTGAAAGATGATTCGAGTGGTAAATATTTGCGGAGGAAGTGATACAGGCGATTGAGCGGTGGGGTAAGAGTTCGATATAGTTCTCAAGTGCCTGTTATCGTCATGTTCGAGTAACATTGGCGAAGTTTTTGCGTTCGTGGAAAATAAAAAGGTTTCTTGTCTCGAGTACATGCTTTTCAACTGCCAGCTCTACGGATGTACAAAGAGCTCAACATCATCAAGGGGCTAAAGAAAATCGCATTTGCACACGTTGCAATAGTTGAGATTGAATGGGGGTGCACGAACACAATAAACAATCTGGGCAAGCAGAAAAGATGTTCGCCGAGTACGGCCTAGCCTATAGAAATGTTTCTAGTTGAACAAATAATCGAGTATGAAAGACCCGCCGCGAACTCTTCGCGCCGAATACTATTTGAATTGAGCATCTGCTATACAATTGCACTAGGAGCAGCCCACTTTATAAAAGTGCCACGAAGTCGATGCGAATAAAAGAAAAAATCCTTCTGCGCCCTCTGCAGAAAAGAAAAACGAGAGGGAGAAAGAGAGAACGGAGGAACAACAAAAAAACAACTAACAAATGAGAAGATATGTGTGATGGGGAGCACGAAAAGATGCACTCGTTGAGGTGCTCTTCGCAGCCCCGCGACCACTCAAATCAGTTTAAAACACATTTTTGTGGGGCGCCCAGCAACGGCGCCTAGCATGAATCAATAGGCGAAGAGAGAAAATGGGTGAGGGTGCGAATGGCGGCGGGAACGAGCGGGCCCCGCAAATGGTGACCCGTTGGGGTGGGTAGCAGAGAAATAGTGCACATGGAGATGCGCAGACACGCGACAGACGGTGATCGCATGCTAAATGGGGACACCTAGTCATGCGCAGTATCCTTTCCAGGTAATCTCTCGATGATGAGGTCGGATCGAGGAAATTAGGCGGAATCGTACAGCTGTACGCAGATTTATCGAGGGTTAATGGTAGGAAAATGAAAATGGAAAACAAGTGCATGAGCTGGAGAAATTGGAAAGGAAATGAACAACATGAAAAACTGTGAATGCAGCTGGTGTTGTGTAAAAATGAACTCTGAACACCATCCGAGCGGAATGAATGGAATAAATCAAGATTCTCAGAACATGAGAGTGTACGTCTTCAAACATCAATCTTATTATCTGTTTGGCTAAATCCCTCGGTACAAATTGGCTCGCTCACATCAACGTTTCTATCTTCACTCCGTTTTTTTCATCCCATCCTCTCAGCGCTGAAAGTTCTCTGTCTTCATTCGACTTAGTCCGATGCAGATTCGACGACGGCGGTAACTGAATTTGTGGGTCTCCTTCCGTTTTTTAGCTTCCTCCGGACCCTTCGTTTTTGCTCCGATCGCCTAGACTTCGCAGTCTTCCCCTCGTCGCTTCTAGCATTCGGTTCTAGTCATCAAAAATCTTTGAACGACTAGACTCTTCCGGAACTTATCCAAAAACAGAACAAAACATTTTCAAGCATTTTGTGCTTGTTTTTGGTTTGTCGGGCTATGTTTTTGCCGCTTAAAACGGGAATTCTACGAAGAGAAGTTTATATTCTGTTGATATTTATGGTGCTGAGCTGCCAATTGGTAACACATGTCGGTCCTAAAGCTCTCTGTTCACTCAAACTCCTCGTTTTCAAGTTTATGAGCTTACAAATGGGAGAAAAAAAAGAGGGGAAGAGCTGCACAGTTTGTGAAATTAGATATCTCAGTGTGCCCTCGCGATGCAGCACAGAGCTTGTCCAACTAGGTGATGTTCAAATAAGATTCTTTTTTTTACTCTTGCAATTCAATTGTTGACTTGACTTGCAAACCAAACTTTCACTCGGACCTCACCATTTTTTGTTCGAATCCGACATGCAAAGTGTCGTCATGGCGCGAGTCTGAACCTCTCTGTTATAACCTATAACGTGCCGTCCACCAGAAAAGAAAGTCCGTGGAATTGCTCAAGAAGGAGAAAAAACGTCTCGAATTCTTCCCTTCCATTCATTGTCCTCTCACTGAACCAAAAATCTGTGCATATCTGAAAAACGTTGAACGACACAGCAAAAAAGTTCCTTGTTGTTCATGCTGGAATGCGTGTTTTTCCCTTGTTTCTCAGATACACACGACTTATTTGCATAATAACATGGAGTGATAAACAACATGAGAAATCAGGAAAATCGTGAGAGCTGCTGCTTTTTTGTTTCCAGTCGCCGACCCATTCCTTCCGATCTAATCCCGTTTATATCTGATGCGATACAAAAACGGTTTTTTCCAGTATATCCGCTTCCGGGTCTCTCGACGTCATCTATGAGAGAACGGAGAAAAAGGAAATGAAAACACATTAATTTTATGATCTCATGCCCTTGGTTGAGCCCTCCAACACTCACCAATGCTTTCTCGATAACCGGTCAACATTTCACCGTAACAATTTGTTTGTTCTTCCAATGTTTTTGTGTTTTCAGAGTCGACCACTCAAATTTCAGTCACACGTTGCCTGTTTTTTTTACTTTTACCCTCACGACAAATTTGACGCTCACCCAATCAACGTCCTACATTCCATTCTCTTATTACATTCTATTTTTGAAGATGTCCGAGGCGGTTGCTCCAGTGCTCGTCATCAACTGCAACGAAGAGTCATTTGAGGAAGAAATGGGAAAAGTAAGTGCTTTCGGACGTTTTCAAGTGCGACCACGCTAGTCAGATTTTTGATGTTCTAGATAATATACGATGCACTTCTTTTTCAGGTTCATTTTTTGAGTCTCTATGCTACCACAGCTCATTAGAATGCCCTTTTTGTTTATGAAGTCTCATCCCATCCTTCCAAAGTTTTTGCAAATTCCAGCAAAACTCACTAGAAGGAAGTTACGTGATTGAGCTGTGTGTTTGTTGTGTATTATGTATGGCTACTTCCGTTAGACTGAAAGTGAAAATAGATCCGTTCCTGAAAGTCTCATTTTCCCGAATGCCAACATTTCGGTTTCATATTTTTGAAGGGGACCCAAACGTCATTTGAACACGGTGACCTCAATATTTCTTTCAAAATGTCAGTAAGCGATCATCGCGAGCAGACCTTTCTTGAAGTTGGCTTGCGCACGGGGGTGTCTGTTGACCGAAAAGATCTATCTTCCCAAAGGGAATTCAACAAATCCGGAATTTGTTCGGTTCACTGACTTTTGTTTTCTCTCACCGAAACCGAAGACTAACACAGTTTCAGATGTCTGCTTTCCAAGAAGACTAGCTCATTTGTTTCACTATCCGTATGTGGATGCATATAAAACTAGCAACACTCATATTCCCAGTTTGTTCCTTCTCGGTATACTTCCTCATTTGGCACTAAACTGCAACTCGCATCGAGGGTTCACGGTAACCGACTCAGAACCCTTTTTCTTCATTTTGTGCAACAAACACGCACTTTGGCACGTTTTCGTCGGAAGTCGGGAAAGAATGCAATGAGGAGTAGTCTTTAGCTTTGAAAAAACTCAAAACTAAAATGGAAAATCATTAAGAGCGGCATCCCCTCAGTTTTTTGAAGCGACGTCGGAAAAGCATGCAATAAATGTAAATGAATTGAATAGAAAACTGAAGATGCGAAGAAAAAGCTCAACGACCTCCCGCGTCAGCGAATAGACCCAGACTGCTCTCACTACGTCACAGCTCAAAGTGAGAAAAGAGGGGCGAATGATGAGGGCGAGGAGGCGACAGACATGCTTCCAACTAGCTTATATCCTCACACAAAACTTGATCATCTGTTCCAAGCTCTCGCCTGATACCCAGATGATTTCTCCCAGAATGACGACATGCCATGAGTCAACTTCGTCTAATTCGACCAGAAGGTTTCGCACGAGTCGGAGGAGGACCCAGTCTTTATATAAGACTCATTCCCCCCATCTTCTATTCATATTTTTTCATTCTCTTTTTTTTCTTTCTCCATCTGCAAACCAACCAGGAAACGTTCTTTACTCTTTGCCCGAGCCGATTTCATAAAAAGCTCTCTACGTGCACTAAGAATTTCCAGTGCGTCATCCAGAACTCTCAAAACCTGAAACCTTAGAGACCACATCTCATTCCGGTCCAGCGAATCCTTTGGAGCTTCTTTCTCATTGTTTTTTTCATTTTCTCCGCCTCATTAATCCGTGAATTTTTCCTCTCATGCTGGTCGGGTCCACTTCCTCGTCTTCTGACGGCGACAGAAAGAAAACACTCGGAAGATGACGGTTATTTGAAATCTTGAGCATTTTCATTTCTGCTGTTGTTTTTGGAAGCCTTTGTGGCACCTTTTTTTTGCATTTTGCTTTTGCAATGACGTAGTTTTTCCGTCACTCCCAGCTTCTCTGCAAACATTTCTTCTTTTTTTTCTTGACGGGGGTTTATTTATAAACTTTCAGCTGACCTTATGATAGTTTACTTTTCCACTAGCACTTTCTGATTTTGTTTTCTTCCAAAGCGAAAGTTTGTACGAGTGATAAGTTAAATCCCAAAACGTTTGCATTTTTCATGACGATGACTCCCAAGGGAAAGACTTACGCACGTTCTACACCTCGCTCTCGTAAACGTCATTCGGAAGTAGTCTGAAACTGACTCATTCTTCCGAGAAAACACGGAACTGATTGTCTCCCTCTCTCTCGCTTGGTTAATTGAGTTTAGTAACGTGTTTGCACATTTGAAAAGAGTGCAAACGGCACAAATTGTTCTCTCTCTCTCTCTCTTTCTCTGTTTCCAGCTTCCACTGTAGCTTTCTCTTCCAGATGGTGATCAATTGTAATTCTCATCGTTCCTCAACGGCCAGCGCTTTCATTATGCCTGAATTCTCCAACAAATCTTACGTCCTGGAGGACAAGTACGAGTACATGGATTCTTTGGACTCGATGATCGGGATGGGAGCATTTGGAGCTGTTTTCAAGGGCAACGTTAAGGACTCGGAAAATCCGGTATTGAATTACAATACCCCATTTACATGTGACTCACTGTGAATGGTTTCAGGTGGCCATTAAGCGGATGCTCCGTGTGCACGTTAAAGAGAGCGAACTGAAGATGATCAAGTGAGCAGCTGACTTTGAATTTCACTTTCAAAATTATATTTAGGGATCTGAAAAGTGAGTTCCTGGTTGGTGTTCTGGACATTTGCAATCACGACGAGTTCACGTGCTGTCTTATCATGGAACTGTGCGACTGCGATCTCGACCATCACATGCGCAACATTTCAGTGAAAGGCCGACTCAACCCGTCCAACTTCAGGCAAGTTATCTATGTATTCACAGATTGAGATAAGCATACTGGAAAAAAAACATGTTTTGATTCTAGACGGGAAGCTTCCCTTTCTTGGCATGCTAGAAACCAAGAATATCTCATCCGTTCGCTTTCAGACTGCTTCTCGATAACATCGCCCGGGGATACAAAGCTCTTTATGAGTTGAAAATTGTGCACCGAGACATCAAACCACAGAATATTCTCATAACATACACTGATGAGTCAAAACAAATCGCCTGTGCTCGGATAACAGACTTTGGTTCGTTGTTTTTGTCATCTCATTCAGCAAAAAAGCTTCCTTGTTTTCTTTCTGTGTCCCAAAGTAATCCAATTTCTGTGTTGCTGAACTCATTTCATTCGACCAAAGAGTAACTTTTCTTTAGGAATAGCCAGAACTCTGGACGACGACGGAGAGGAGCTGTGCAATGTCGCCGGAACTTTCTACTACATGGCTCCTGAAGTCGGTGCAAACTTATTGAAGACATGTCAGTACGACTCGAAAGTCGACATGTGGAGCATCGGATGTCTTCTATATCAATGTGTCACTGGAGAGGTAAGAACTCTCGAAAAATGGTCCCCTGGGGGACTTTTAAAGGATGACGTAGATAACTTCATATTCGTCCTTTTTGTAGGTCCCATTCGACGAGTGCAGCCTCTGTAAGCTGTTTCTTTATGTGGCGGGGGCTAACTTCGACGCCTACGATCCGCCAGAGTTGCCCGATGAACTGAGCCAAGAAGTGTCAGGGATTATCCAGTCGCTTTTGCAACTCGACACCTCACAAAGATGCACCCCAACGCAGTTCTACAACAAAGCGATCACCTGGAGCCAACAAATATGTTAGGCTTAGCGCACTTAGACTGTTACTATTGAGTACATCATATCTATACAATAGTTCCATACTAATTATTATATATACATTTGCATTTTTCGGGTTGTACTTGTATTGAGACAAAATAAAATATTCATTTATTTCCCAGAGATCATACAAAAAACTGAAGTGATAATGAATAACTGAAATTGAACCAGACCACCGTCATGAGACTGACAGGATAACCGTAATCTTAGCACTTTTTGTGACAAAGGATGAATCATTCACTGGGTGGTTCTCATGTTATCTCTCTCCGCTCGCTCCCTCTTCAAGGAGGCCAAGTCTTTGGTAACGAGTTGCAATGGATCAAAAGTGCGGTTGTAAGTATGCGAAAAAGAGGGAATCGGACTGCCCGCTAGTCTCCATAATCCTTCACGGGAGTTCAATTCCACACATGACAAATAGGGCGTATTTTGAAGCAAGTAGTAGAAGTCGTCAGTCGATCTGATGTCGCCGCCGACCAGTTGACGAGTGCACGTTTCGAGGGACGCTCCGTGAGCGACAATCAGAATGTTACCTGTAAAGACCATCATGAGACACTATTCAGATCGAAGAAAACCATTACCTTCTGGATATTCGGATAATATTTTGTTCATAGAATTGAACGATCGCTGATAATAGTCAACCATCGACTCGTTCATTCTCAGTTCCTTATCCGTCCAGCATGGAATGTAGTTCTCCGAGACTGGGTAGCCAATCCTTTTCAAATCTTTCGGTGGAATCCAACACGGTCTAGCATATCTTGCCCACACCATCCACTCATAAAGTCCTGGCTCCACATGGAATTGAAGACGCTTGTCAGCTCCTGGAACACATTTATTTTGAGATATGTCAGTCGTCATCGGAAGAAACACGACGTACCCATTCCTTTGAGAAGGCCAATTGTTGTTTGGATGCACCTGAGAGCTGGCGAGCAGAACACATGATGCACTTCGATGTTGTTGTCGCGGAAGGCTCTGCCTGGAATCCGTTTTTGATCATTGGCTACCACTTTGAGCTCAACTAACCTGTCAGTTTAGATTGAAGGTAGCCGATCTCAGTGAGTGGAGTGTCGGCGGCAAAACCTTGCCATCCATCCGGTCGCTTGGGCAATGTTCGCGGAAGATTAATGTCCAGAGGGCGATATCTAAAATGCATTCTCTTTATATTTATCAAAAAATTGTATTAGTTGCTCACCGCCCTTTGCTATCGAATGAATTCATCCAGAGCCCGGACTTTCCGAATGCGAAATCGCATCTTTCTCCGTGGCGAATGACAAAAACGCGTCGATCAGGCATGAAAACTTTCGTTTGCCAAACTTTCAAATCCTGAAATGTGAATACGCAGAATATATGTGTTTGGAAGTGAATGCGACACTCTTTATTGCGATACGACGCAGGCTGGTTCAGAGACCGTTTATGGAAAAGAGAAAGAGAAGTAGAGAAAGTGAACCTGAATTCGGATGCGTGCCAATCATTCAACAAGCAAATTCAACAGGTAAAACGTAAACGGACTGAACCCAAACAATGCGTTGAATCTCAAGGACGGACGATCGATAAAGTGGCGACACGCGTCAAGTGTGAACAATGAAAATGACTTGCGAACCAAACGACGGCGCAGTCAAAACGTTTGATAATGATAAGGCACGAAACTGTTTCCGTGCTGTGAAAAAACAATAGAGAAGCAAGTGACCACGCCAGAAGTGTGTCATTTTTTCGTTGAAAACTGTGAAATAGGTTTGACCTCGGTGTTTGAACGTGACGGAACAGGAACCAACTAAAGGAAAATCCCAAAAAAGCTAACAACAGCGACATAATTGAGTCAAATTCAAAAGCGTTTTTCTTCTTTGCGACACAACTCCGTCGCTGGGTTGTTTTTGAAAACTTTAGTTAATTATTTGCCACTCTCTCTCTCTCTCTCTCTCTTCCGGAAAAACGAAGCCAATAGAAACGAACTAATGAGAAAGGGAGAAGAAGCATGTTACATAAGACGGCTAGTTGGATACCTCACGAATAATAAATGGATATATAACGCGGTGAGCGGAAGAAAAGAGAGACAATGAGCACAGTGAGTAGGCTGGCTTTTGTTTGTCGAAAGAATTCAAAACCTCCCTAGTGCTGGTGCTCTACAGCCGCACTGCTTTTGACGAATAACAAACAGAGACATAGGTGGGCACTGGGGCGGTGTTCACTTTTTGAGCGTTTTTGAGAGCATAAAATAAATAATTTATAAAGAAAACTATCCCGGTCGATGAAGTATCATGGCAATATTGTCAATGACAACTGGAATGAGAGACAAAATGGCTACCCGTCGTAGATCGACATCCAATGGAACGGGGGAGGGATTTGGAAGGGAGAAATGTAGACGCAGATTATGAGAAGATATGAACCGTCGGTCACTAACTAGAAAAGGAAAAAGGAAATATATGAAAGATCTAGTAAAGGATTCAGAAATAATGATCTTCCTCCGGCCAGATCTCCCAGGGAGCCTTTCGCTGATGATGCACCCACGGAGCATGGTTCTTCTCGACGGGAATGTTCAGTCGGATGGTGCCGCCTTCCTCCAGATGATCGCGGAAGAAACGTCTGAAAATGAGTCGCTATATAGTTATTATTTTTTGAAAAGGACGATCTTACCCAGTAACTGGCGCTACGTAAACGCATGGGATATCGGCCCGATCCAGGGATTCGTCGGGAATCATATTCACGTAGTCAAGACGAGATCGATAGTCTGCAAACATTTTACATTTTTTTTGAATCGCTATCATTGACAAACCATAATTTTGAGAATCTGTGACCATCACCACACTAGCTCCAGCATTCTGGCCGTTCATCGCTTTTTCGGTGAAGGAGCAGTCTCTGAAGGGCTCGATATTATTTCTCATCTGTGCGAAATGACGATATTTACCCTCTTTCCATTAGTATGACTGTTGGCGCGTAGATTTCATTGCGTAGAGGTTCGCATCCGTTTGTGGGATCAGCAAGAACCATCTCGAGATTCTGAAAATCATTACCCTTTGATTTATTTTTTTCGAGTGTGGGGCGAGGCATGATTACCAGTGTTTGTTCAAAAGATAATCTATTCCAAAACACAGACCGTTTTTTTTGTTTTCACCTCATTTTGACGAATCAAATCACTCGGAAGATCAGGACTGTTCAAATACAGACTGTCTGGCCATGTCTCACCAGCTGGAAGCCTCACTCACTTTCAAAGTCTTGTTGGCTCCGTCAGGGAAGTGACTGCCAAGCATGAACGCGTGTTTCATCTGGTACGTGAAAGCCAGCATGTACGGCTCCGTGACTGTGAACAGAATGTTGTCCTGGTTTTCTGCAAAGCATCAATAGTCATATATATTGTTCAATGCAATCCGAATCAGTTCACTCACCAACTTCTTCGTACTCCCTCGGAACCTTGGCAGTGAGCTGTCCTATGAAAAACCAGCAAAATATCATTAAACCGGGATTTTTCATGATTCCCCCGGGTTTAAGGCAGCAAACAGCGGAGAAATGAATCGGAAACCGGCGTGAATATGAGTGAGATGACGAACGGTGCAAACACCGCGACGCAAAACCGCACACAAGTGTATTGAGGGGTACACGGACCGCTGTTTCCGAGGGTTGCGGCGAGAGAATTGATTTATTGTGTCGGACAGCGGATTGAGTGTCATGACAACCAATTGTTCTTGAAGATTCTAGCAGAAACGGAAAATGCATGTGGTATATTAGAGGGTTTGTCGAGAAACAACGGGCAAAGTCCGAATTTCAGAATTGGTCACCCATGATCTGATCTTTTGGCGAAAGGGAGTGACAAAATACAATGAAACTAGAGGATCTATGACAGAAGGAACCGCACCCACAAGAAAAGCACCGAACTTTTGCAGTGGGAGATCCATATCTGAAAAAAATGACATATGCAAACAAACGAAGTTAGATTAACTCACTATTGGCGGCGACAATATAATAAACAGTGAGAGAAACTGGATAAATTATGGTTGGAACTAGAGATTGTATAAACAAACCCTAAAATATTGAGCTTCACTTGAGCCTGAGCCAAACTGACTGGAGAACTAACCGTCACAAATGTTTGATGTTGAACTCTCACTCTTTCGGACATTCGGTTCAATCGCAAATTTATTTTTTGCAGAATTTTACTGCGCAGGTACCAACATACAGGTACTGGAGCGAATGCAACAATATTGATAACGGATAGACTGATTGTTATCAGAACTGATGTTAACGGAATGTATGCGACTGTAGAAAACTCGCTCAAATCGCTATTGAGCTTTTTGTAGAATGCGGCATCGTTCGGAGGCGCATAAATTACACCAGGAGTCCAGTATTGAGATATCTGAATGTACTTGACTTAATCTCAAATTTTACTTGTTGAGTACTTACTATGTACACTATAACCGGCAGATGAAAGATAATAAAACTTCGGATTAGTAGCGATCTCTCAATTGTTAATCTGCTGACCGAATGATATTTGAAGTAGAAAGTGACAAGTATTGAAGTTGCGGAAAGTATCGCAGTTGTCTTCAACACTACTTTTATGGCAACATTAGTAATACTTACCCTTACCTGCCCTATCTCGTAAATTACAAAACAAGTTCTCGCTTCTAAATATCGACATACTCCGTAACTTTCCATAACAATCGGATCATGGTTAGTTGTTAATGCTAATTGAGTAAAATATGAGATCCAAAAAGTGAAAAGCTGTGTAGTTGCGGTTTCAGCAAGAAGAAAACGAAACAATTGTAGATTCTTTGGCGAATGACGGACGATGAAGTAAAGGAGAAGCAGCTGGAATGTTGTGGCCAATAGAAGATGAATGTTGTAAAGAATTGCAAGTATCCACCTCTGAGTTTCCATTTCGCCTTCTGAAAATAATCAGAAAATGTTGTCAGTACGTCCAAATGAAAGTAAGAATCTAGAAACCTAATGAGAGAATCAGTACGCTTGACTAAACGATAAAATCTGAAAGTTGTAGTTTGTGCGCCGAACCGAGATATTCTTTCCAGTCTGTAGCACATTTTACTGTGTTTTGCGTCTTTTAAAGATCTCGATTACTTCAAAACGTTTCTATTTTTTATCATTTATGCACAAATGTGTCCCTACATTGCTTCACTATTTCATCAAAAAAGAAGGAATAAACAGAGTCTGATCATAGTGGCTTGTGGCTAGAACCAAGCAGTTTCTTTTAGGTTATGTTTCAAAAGATGTATGTTTATCAGCAAAACCGCAAAAAGCACAAAAAGTTTACTGCGATTAAAAGAAAACGCATTTGTTAGAATTTTTCTTCGTCGACAACACCCCGCATGGTGTTCATGATACGGTTCTCCGTTTTGATCGTTTGTGCAATGACGCAGAGTTTCTTGCTTTGCTTCGAAGACGTCGGAAGAGTGGCAAAGAAGGGGTACTTGTTCACGTGTTGCAGCTGAAAATAAGGATTATCGATTCTCGACGGAATTTGAGCTCGACCTGGGCTTTGTTGCAGAGGCTTCTCTCCTTTTCATCCAAGAGCGGAATCGGTTTGTCTTGACGGCAAAGGTTGAAAACAGGACGGTCCAGAGGGTCACTCCTGGCAAAATACTCATTCCGGTTAAAGTTATGTTCTGTTTTGACTAACGTCTCTCCAGAATTGACATGATCAATCAGTGGAATAGTCCCAATGACCACGGGCACACTCAATTCAATCACATCCACTCCATTAGCTCTCACTTTGATGGCGAATGTATAAGTTATGGCCAGAATGCGTTGCATGTTGGAGGATGACGAGATTGATTGTCTCGACTTTTGACTGGTCAGGGATAATCTTCCAAGTTGTGATTTACGACGTAATTGGAACTTGTTTCCGTCCAACTGGCCCGAGCGAAAAAGGATCGGAAGTGGAGTGGACGGCGCCGTGCACGGAATATGAACTTTTTTATCGATTTTGTTGACGCACCCTTCTTCAATGTACATTGCCATTAGGTCTTCCTGAATCAGTTGGTTATCTACAGTCGTGTTCTGAAATATTCTCAGTAAATTTATTGCGAATTCCTACAGAACGCCTACTTCGACGTCATCCTCTACGTCATTTCCGAAACGAGTATTTCTCATCAGACAGACAGAGACCTTTTCGATTCTCCGATCACTTTTATTCTCGATTTTCCCTGCAAAGACCTCACAAATGGGAAGACAGGAAGGAATGTATACCGAGGAACGCGATGGCCTCGCCACAAACAAACGCGCTTCTCTCAATGGTCAGGTGAAGTCTGATATGCCCGCCAGTACAAGCAAACCAACCAAACTTTTGTTGCTCAAACTCTGTCTTTGTCTCAAACCAAGTTTTGGAGATCTTGTTCAAATCGAGCGACTCGAGGACTGTAATTCCTCGGACAGTTTTTACGATACTAGGAGTTCCAGCTGAAAAATATATTTTCAGAACGGTACGAAATTCGCCCGCTGACCAGCTGTCTTGTACTCCATAGTACATTGAATAACGTACTGAATGTGTCCTTTTGAGCTATAAACAGACGTTGGGAGCTGGTCAGGAAGGGTTTCCTGTAACAGGCGTTAGTATTCTAGACAATAGGCTATTTCGGAATACCTCAATTGGAAACGAGTATTCTTGTTGTGAGACTAGCAACGGATGAGATATTACGTGAGAAAACTTCTTCATGTACGTCATGTTTTCTTGGAGCAATTCATCTTTCTGAATGAGTTGGGTTTGTCGAGATTTCGAGCCGATACACTGACCTTTCCCTTGCAATTGGCTTTTCCATATCCATGAAACAGAATACGAAGAGATGTGATCTCTATTGTTCCGTCGCCAAGTTTTAGATTCAACTTTCCTTGTATAGTATCTCCCCAATTGTAGCACGCATCTTTTTTTGAGAGCTCGAGCATACATTCAAGGAGATTATCCTCACAGGACAGTTGAGGCTGAAAATGGATGAATTAAATAAGAAGTGAAGTGACAGAAAGGAACTCACAGTACTCAGCATGGCTACCAAATCCAGAATGCTCTGCAAAAAAACAGGCAGTGGTGGCAAATCGGTATGCGAATGGAGCTCTCACAGGTTCCACTGCTCAAGCGTCTCGTGTGTCATGCACCTATGGTTTGTGACAAATAAGTTCCGGTGATTATGTGAGCTGAGCAAGCGGTCCAGCTCGTGTGGTCCGTTTCGGAAGTGGCCACTCTTGCGAAATAAATGACTGATTCACTATACAAAGTTGCCTAGCAGACAGACCACAATGATCATGTTTCCTGTACTATGTAACTTCGGATATGCCTGACTTTTGAGCCGAAAAGTGGCTTGTGAATCGTAATTCCCCGCTTGTCAATCAAGAAACGTTGAAAGGTTATTGCCATGCCATGTGTACTAGCGAGGAATGTATTTGGAAGGTTGAAAGAGTCCAGGAAGAGATGATAACACGGTAATCAACGCTGGACGAACACTCATGCCGTACTCTGTTTATGGTTCATAACGGTCGTGATAAGATTATTAACACCAACGACGGCTACAACACTGATAGACACATTCAATGTACGAGACGATCCCAACAAATTGGCGGAAACGAAAGTAAGTCATTAACATGTCAGTGTGATACACAACACTTGCCCCTGACCCATGAGAACCCAGTCATTGCATTCCTCGATGGCCTTGCTCTCTGCCTCTTGCCTCATTCGAACCGTACTCCAAAACGGGTGAGAGAAAGAGTTTGAAACGAAACGAAACGGCGCACGAATGTTTGATTCCATATCAAGCCGCTTTCCCTCGCTCTCCTCTTTCTGTCGATCTGCGCGGCCGACCCAGGGGGACAAAAAGCGCGCCGTCTTTTAGGGAGAGTTCTGAGGTGGGAGGTCATCACCTACAGCGCTTATCTACCTATTTGCACAACCGCGACCGTGCGTCAACTATCTTGCTCAGCTTGTCTCGGAGACCGCTCTCCAAATGCATCTGATCCCCCTTTTTTGGTCATTGTCGCTTGTCCTTTCATCCTTCTATCACTAGCCAGTTCTTCTTCTTCTCTTTTTCCGACGACTTCTCCATGCTTTTCGGTCTGCTGATCGCCTAATTCGCTAATCAAATCTGTTCCTAAGAGCTTTTCTGCGCCATTCCACTTTCACCTTACTGTATTATGCAACTTTCTTTACCCAACCTTTTTTCGTAAGTGCAAACAGGCCGAGATGTAGTCAGAACGCGTCTGACGACCTACTTTCCGCTTCAATTTGCAACTAGTACTTCCGCAGACTACTCTCCCTCCATACCTTCTCGTATTACATCATTAGCCTCACACCTGGCCGCTACACAGCACTCTTCGTTTTTTGTGCCAAACGGCAATCAGAGCCTACACATCTCTTCCAATTGCTGTTCCCGTTTTTTTCGTCCAGTACAGCTCACTCCTTTTTTGTTCTATTTGCTGTTGCCTCTCAATGAGTCATAGTCGGGTCCGGTCAAAAGGTAGAATGAAAATCATTGGGAGAATGAGACAATCGGAGGTTCGGCAGCAAGTTCCGCAAGCAGCTGGACGTCTTTGTCACGTTAACGTACTTGCTTCGCCGTCTAGAATGTTTCCTATCAAGTCGTTTCCATCTTTGGAAAAGAACGATCCTCTTTATCATTGTCACACTCCAGTTTTTGTGTCATTCCCCGCCTGGAAAGAAGAAGAAGCTAAAGTATATCTCATCCTTATCACATTATCGATCGACGATATCCGATCGCATCATTTTTTTTCCTCCATAAATCCTTGTATGTCCTGATCATATGGTTGAATGAGCGATCGAACGACGTCGGGTGCCCTATATTTTGCTTGGATTGTTGTTCTCTAAAAGAAAACATAGATTCAGACGAGTTTGGAAGTGAAGAAGTGAAAAGTTAATCACCGGTTTGGTTTCACGTTCTCGCTGGCAGTTTCCTTTCCACCGGATTTTGAATAGAACTGTCTCAAAAGCTTCAATCAAAATTCGGACGACCGGGAAACAACGAGTCTTCAGTGAGAATCTACCTGTTCGTCGTCGTCCTCGTCGCCGAGAACATGTCTCAATCCGCTTTCCAATTGTGAATGCAAAAACAGCGCGTCCGAATCCGTGCGCCAATCCGACCATAATGCACTGACTGTAAAACAACTCATCCGCGCAGGGCGGCTTGTCCGCCATCCCCTCTGACCTCAAGTACCCCTAATATACGGTCTCCTTTGCATATATATCCCTCTTCTCCCACCGTCCTTGGTCCGTCTCCTCGTTCTCCTATCAGCACTCTTTTACACTGACAACATCTTTTGGTACATGTCGTCCGCCGACCACATTATTTATCTCCCTAACGTTTTCCTCTGCTTTACACTGAGCTTTCGCAACTTTTTTGATCGCAGGACAAGTGTTCTATGTACTTTCAACGAGGGTGGCCTTTACACCTTCCCTCAGCCTGCCACGGTTCGGGCAAAGTGTTTTGCATAATTAGTGAACGCCATGTCCTTGATAAACACGTAATCATGGATGCGCCTATGCCACTAAACTACGCCCAACCTCGTTGTGTGATGGGTAGACGGTTGCACTCTGATCATCTGAAAGACATCCTTTTATCTTTACCCGCTTCCTTATTTGCGCTAGTTTGCATAACCCAATCGCTCTTTTCTTCGTTCTTCTCAACAATTTGCATATAGATCTGATTTTCGTTTTTATCCTTCCCGTCGACAAGTACGGTTCTTTGAATCGTCCAATGTCTTCCACCCGGTTGGCAGCTGTATGAAATGCATTGTCCGGACAACTCAAGACCATTCGCGTGTTTGACGCGACAAATCCTTCTTGCAGCTGCCCGACCGAACATACCAAAACCATTTGCTTCTTTGAATCCGTTCTTTCTGCCGCCCATCTCTCGTACGAGCCCGCCCAACTGGTTGTACGTTCAAATCCTCCAATCGGCCGTCACAATATCATCGACAACGTGTTGATTCTTCTCTTCAATGCTAATTGGCCGGCCTCTTCGGAGACATCAGTTAGAGTTATCTGGAGGGAGAAGAAACGGCCATGCATGTCGTGTTGCCTCCCGGTCACATCCTTCAGTGCACTAATCAACGTTTGTGTTCCGAGCTGTACCCCGTTCTCACAACCAAAACGCCATCCAAACACGGCGACCCGCACTTATGTTTGCTAATTATCAAACCGCTCATTTGGCAGGGCCATGTGGCACCTTTGCCAAATTATGACCTTCCATTCCTTGCGCGTTGAGCCTCAATAATTATTGAAAGCTAGCCGCCGATCAAATGTCAATAGTTCCTTCCGACCTCTATAAACATTGATAGTAAGGGGCTGGCAATCAGTAAACTAAAACAAAACAATAAGTCACCCACCAAAAACAACAACTCTACCGTCCCTCTCCTTTTTTACAAAACGTTCAATTTCCTCTTGTCGAGTTGTAAAGAAAACTAAAAATTCACTTTTTCATTGTTTCCTTTTTCCTTTTTCTCAAGTGCCATTGCCAACAATGGTCAAGAACAGTCAAGACAGATCACAGACAAACCACTCATTTCCGTCAACACCGACGCTTCGAGACAAGCAATATTTCACTCTCTTATCGCTTTCAACGACACTTGAATTCTGACACATGAGAAGCTCTTCAGGTAGTAGTCCAACCATTCAAGGGTCTCTCTCGCCTTGTTCTCGACTCATTTTTTGTTCGTTTTCTTCGTCGGTTGCGGCATGCCGTACGCATGTGCGCGAGCGTGTCTCGATGTCTGTGCGGTGTGTCAATGTTGTCACAGATCCTGGCTTGCGGGGCGAGAACACGTCCTGTCTTGGGTTCCTGTGTGTAATGGCAAGCTCATCGGTCCGCCGCAAGAAGAATGATGCGATGTGTCAAGTACCAGTCCTAGACACTCTTCATTTTGTCTTTTCTGTTGATATTCATCCTTTCCGAGACACACACACACACACACACACACACACACAAACAATCATTTCGTTCCTCCTCAATTCACCACTTTTTTGAGTATTTCATTGTCGCCCAGACTTTTCCGTAAACCGCGCGAAACGGCTAATTATGCGACACAAATCGGAAAATCATTGAGAAGACCACTGTATAATAGAAACTGCAAACACCATCTCCCTTCAGTCCTCGTTTTGTTTTGCCTTCCTCCCCCTCCTCCTCCTCCATCGTGTCATTAAAATAGTCATTCTGATATGTTATTCGAAAGAGACACGTGAAAATTGATTCTCGTGAATTAGTACAGGTCTTTCCGGTTTTTGAGTCTAGCACGAAAATTCAAAAATTCCTGGGGCCAATTTTCATTTCTATTTCTCCTCCACTTCAAATCAATCTCGTGCAGACGACGGCTATGAAAAACGAAAAACGTTTTTGGCGTGGTGTGCTTGTGAAATAGTAATATTCCGCTGAAGCGCGCGCAAGCGTTTCCCACTCTTCTCTGTTTTTCGACCGCGCGTCACATATCACTGGTTGTTTCCAATTAGTGCTGTCGTCAGCTCTTCTGGAGGTGTCATCGCGTCTTTCCTCAAAGTTGTCTTCATTCATTCAAAGTGCTGTCAAAGTTCCGGCGATTGGAAGTAGCTGAAGCGTGGAAGCCAGACCGAGAGACAGGGGGTGCAGGTATAATATTCACCATCGAAAAGTGAAATTGTTCTTTGTCGTCTTCCACGGTCGTCTTTCTCGACATTATTATGTACACCTCCTGCAAATTACTTTGTTTCTGTCGGTCTTTTTCTGTTTTTTCGCTGTTTCAATACTCCGTGTCGCGCACATCCGTAATTCCTCTTCCTTTCCCCGCCGTTCTTGTTCTTTTCCTGTTCTCGCAAGAATCCCAGTGAATTGGTTTTCCGCTTATAGGATCAGGCCTCTTTCTGGTTCTTTCTCCTCTGATTCCAATTTCAATAAATGAGCACGACACATTTTTTGGAGTATGCAGACGGACGGCACTTCTCATTTCTAATCGCTTCCGAGTTCTGCTTCCAATCCCCCGTTGTCCACTTTTATTTGCTTTTTGTGTGTGTGAGAGAAAGGGAGAGACTAGCACTTTTTACCAAGCTTTACTGGACAGGACGATGATATTAATTTCAGTTGGCATGAGAAAAAGAAGGACACGAAAAGAGATATTCCCCTAGGAATCGTACTTCCTCAAATACATATATTCCCAGCTTATAAAATAAGGTTTTATGCGCTAAAAACGGCGAACAAAAAGTCATTTGTTGCTGTCATCGTTGTCATTGTCGTCTTTCGATTCGTGCTTCGTCTCCCGCTTTCGTTTCTCGTGTCCCAGAATAAGAAAATGAGAACTCAACCCCAAAAAAGGGAATGTATGTATCCTCAAGTGGTCAGCTCTGCCCACCCATCGAGAATTCTCAGAAATAAAAGTCTAGCGGTTTACTCTTTTTGCGCTCAATTTATCCCAAGTGCATCATCATCTGATCTCGTGTTCGGTGTTCAAAGTCGCACTTTGTTTGAGTTCGCCGCCGTTTTTTGCGCGTTTTCTCCGTTACCTCCGCCACCACCCTCTCGTTTTGGGTCATCTCATTTCATTAGCAAACAGCACGCTTGTTGTTACGCCTAATGTCTATGTACTTTACTGTAATCCTATTCTCCTGCAAACTTTTTGGCGAGTAGGTAGAAGAAAAGAAAATATGACGAAGAAGGAGCGTGATTTCTTCCACTTATCTACCTTCCTTAATAAAAACGAGTGAGGTGGTGGCGGGAGTGTGAGAGGGATTCATTTCCGAACAACCGGCCATAATTTTGGCTTGAGGTCGTTTGACTGTCAAGAGACAAAAACGCTGAATCAGCAGGGGTCCTTCCTCTTAGATTTTCGCTGAATCCGCTTAGCCAGATGTCATTCCTATCATACCTCCGGTGTTGGCCGCATATTCTGCAGCTATGGATCACATCGACGAAGTTACATCTAGTTTTTCAACTCTAAGGTGGGTGAGGCTTTTTTATTTATGGAAATGGAACCCGAACGTAATGAATATGTCACGAGCCAGTAGGTTTCCTTTTGAATATTTCACTACATTAAAATGGCTCGATTCGTCTTCCGTCCACTCTCTTGGCCTCTTTATTCTCCCAATTTCCTCTCTCTCTCTCTCCCATATGACAAACGGGTCGGTCGCCAAGCAATGCCTTTTTTCGGTACCTGCTTGTTCCCACTCTCGACCAACCAATTATTCGACGCGTGTTGGAGGTTACTCCAACCTGTGCCAAGTGTTCCCTATTTTACTTCCCCTCGCTTTTATGAAAGAAGACACTGAATCGAAACTGTGATTCTCCAGCGGCGCTTCGTTTTTTTATCACTCTAATACGACCAGCTAATATGTTGCGTTTTCTGGACTGGTTCTTCAACCTGTTACATCACTTCTTGTCTCCATCCTCTTCGAGATTCTGCTTTCCGACACAGACGAATCGGTGTATGTGTTTTTGTCTTCCAAAAAACCCTCTCTCAAGTTCACTTGATGAATTTATAGGATTAGATTCTGCCGACCGAAAAGGAGAAAAAAAATGAAAGTTCTGTTGATCAAGTTTCGGTTTCCGCTTACGAATAGAAATAGCATCGTTTTTCTTCATTCCTGTATAAACCGAGAAAGAAAAATGGGCGAGAATTGGAAATTATATTCTAATTTTCCCGTTCCGTTCTCATTCCGTTTCAAACTGTTTACCTTTGGGTTGAAAATCAAGCGCCGCCGCTTGACGACGGACCCAAGAACTTGAGTCAACATGAAATAAACTCAAAGGATCGTCTAGTTTCTCACCGAAAACAGGCAGGTGAGAATACAATCGGACCTGAAACACGCTAGCCGCTTGTCTGCCTATCTCATCCATTCTTTCCGAACAGAGAATATAATAGCGAATAAATTTTATTGGGCCTGGCGGCGGTCGACTGCGGTTGGCTAGCCACAAGCCATCCACTGGCTGACCTCTATTTGAGAAGAGTTGATGTCCAGTCGGCGCTCCTAACTGACGTCGTCCGTCGGCGTCGTCGTCGTCATCGTCATTTCAAGTGTTCTTTCTGCCCCCGTCTATTTGCTACCACTACCGCTACACATTCATATTTTATAATCGAACTGCATCAACAACAACATTTCTGAGACAGTTTATTCTTTCATGAGATGCCCCATCGCCCGTCGCGAAGGTTTTTGAAAACGTAAGTCTTGTTTGGAAAGAGATTGCTACTGGCTGACCCACTTCCATCCGCTATCACATCCTCTTTTTTAATCTGGGACGGAAATCGCCTGTGACCATGACCATCTGTTTGTCATGAACGACCACCGATTTTCTTCAAATTCAGCTGTTCTGATTCTGATTCAAAAAGATGTTTATGTGGCCTTTTATGAGCAATTTTACAAAATTTTATCGGTAAACAATCCTCAAGTTTTCAAAATTCTCTCTATTTCCAATTCTTGATTCTCTTCGCGTATCTTCTGTTTCATCAAGAGACCGTACCCATAGGCTAAACAAAAACATTTGACTTCAATTTTTGTTACACACTTCCAAGAGTAGTCATCGTGTTGCCATCTCCTCCGCGGCGTCTCTTCATGAAGACCGATCTTCTCGATCGGCCGACTTCCTCGTTCTTAAAAGCGCAACGAGGCTAACCTAGTGACCATAAAAAAGTTTTGTTTCGAAAAACGGGAGAGAAAGGCGCTCTCCGCTTCTCAAGGCTACAATATATGTTTGAAAGCAGACAAGTACGCTCTTGGTGTGTCAAAAGTAAGCGGAAGGCTTTGTTTCACAGCGTCCTCCTTCGACACCCCAGTACCAGCAGCATATGCAGGGGTAGAAGAGGCCGAAGAAGACGTCCCTCCTATCGTCTTATTCAATCTTCGCGTGCTTCCCATTACTCTCTCCCTTGCCTTGTCCTCCCTCCCCAGACGACGATGCTGGTAGTGTATATCTGTCGTCGCTTTCGGAACTTTCTCAACTTTTTTCCGGTAACTTGTGTGTATCGCGCATCTATTTTTCTTCGTCATGTTATTGTGGTTGTAAAGCGTCTGGTCTGGGCCACGCTCTCACACCAACTTTCGGTAATTATATCGGCTTCCCTCATTGACTCATCTTTTCCCCTACTTTTTCTTCCTTTATGGTCATGGCTTTGTTACTTCCTCCGTCTAAAAACGTTCATTCGTCTATTCAAATAAGAGGAAAGACATTTTTCCGTGGTGTACGGGTTGATAAGTAGAACTAATTACGAGAATTGGCAATCGGAGAGAATTCCGAGTTAATTTCACACTTTAAGCGCACTTCACTTCAGATCTATACATCACTGTCTGTAATCCGCGGTTTCTGAGTCCTGGATCCACCACTTTTGTTGATTATACGGACAGACATGCCGAACTTGTGGAAGAATTACAATTTACATTTACGGAGGTCCTCCTCTTTTGTCCTTCAACTCTCACTTTCCATTATGTTCTTGTCTAATTGCGGGCTCGTCTCCCATTTCCCGCATCTGCTCATCCTAATAGACACAGATGTCGTTTGTTGGTCAGGTATCTTCTTCTTCTTGTCCTATTTCTTTCCTTTCCCACAAATCCATCTTTCCTATAGACTTGTTTTGCATTTCGCGGTTCGCTGATTTTGCAACAAATTTGACAAGCTATAGCCGCTTTCTCCCAACCCATCACCGAATCCTTATCACCATTCTTTTCAATCTTTGACACTTTCATTTTTGCAGCGCACCGGGCGCTTGTGACTGGGAACAGTGTCTGCTGATGGGCTCCGGCGAGCCGACGCGAGCTCGCGCGGCGGTCACATTGTCGTCACAGCACAAGCAACGCAAACCTCGACAGGAAATATCCGCGTGCCTGAAATGGCTTGTCTTCGGACTCAACTCAATTGTCTTCGTAAGTTGCATTTTTCCCCTTCAAATTAATCTTTTTACCGACGCTTTTGGTCGGTTGCGTAACGAGGGCCGAATAGAAGGAAAGTGTCATTTCCGGGATGAGCATTTTGCATATTTAATCTTGCCTCGTTCCATTGAGTAGATAAAACGAGGGTGGCCTTCCATCCTTCGCGGGATACGATTGGAGAAAGAAGAACAAAGGCAGTTGGGTGTTGAGGGACATCAAAACGCTTCTGTGAAGAGAAGGAATTCTTGCCTCCTGCACCTGTTTGCTGTGAACACCATCTGTCCCTTTGCGATGCGATTTTTCGAAACTCATTGCCAAATGTCCTTTCTTGTCTTTGCTTTCTTTTCTCACCAATCGGGTTCTGGTCAAATGTCGCCCATTAGCAATGGCTCATTTACTCGATTTGTTCAACTGACCCGCCCGCCACCATGACAAGAGCGCCGCGTCACAGCCGAATGAGTAGACGAAGGTTCGGAAAGAAGAAGACGTTTAATGACACATTGAATTGAATTTGGGAATAAAGACATTAGAGGGGACCGGCCAACTTAGGGTAATCGAATTGGGCCATTGCTCAATATGCATACTTTCTAAATGGATCATCCGGTTTCGTTTGGTTCCCACTACTAAAGTTCCGTAAATCTTGAGAAAGTGAGAACGAACTAGTGAATAAGTCACAAGTTGTAAGCCAATTACTTCCTCTCACAACGCTTCGTTCACTCTTAGAGAACCCACTTCAATTCATAAGTGCATTAGGCTTCACCCGCACCCAAATTGCCTTTCGGTGTTTGTGCATTTCCTGCTGAATGTTAATTGAGGATGACCTTTCTTTCACCAGCTCTTAATTTGCATTAAGCCGAACGGCGTGTTGTCTTCGCGTGTGCCGGGGACCCTCTTCTCTATAATCCCGCCAAAAACAATCAAAACGCTTTTGGCGGTGAATATTCAATGAATGATCGGGGCACGTGGAAAATAAGAGGAGGGTGATGATTAAATGAAATACCAAGAAAAGGGAAAGCGGGTCGGATTGGGAAAGCAAGTCGCTCGATCCGAATCATCTGATGTCAACCACTACGCGGAATCTGTATGAAATGTGCTTGTTTTCAGCTCGTCGGCGTTGGAATCCTTGCCCTAGGTGTTTACCTGTTTGTCAAAGATTTTCGAGAAGTCAAATTGGTTGATGTGATTCTAAATCCAGCAATTCTGATAACTATCCTCGGTGAGTACACGGAAGAACAAGTCATGAGAGATTACAATTCATTTGCAGGCTTTTCAATATGCATCGTATCATTCTTTGGTTTTATGGGTGCCTTGCGAGACAACATTTTCTTGCTCAAATGTGTAAGTATCAAAAATGAAGTAGATGTCTCTAAAACTCTTTCTTTTTTCAGTTTGCCGCCTGTGTCTTCCTCTCGTATATTCTAGTCGTCGCCGTCACCCTAGTCTTTTTCACACTGTTTTACACGGACACCACTGAGGTACAATGAATTTCAACAGTCATCAGAAAGCAACCGACTTTCTTCAGGGTCTTTCTGCAAACTGGTTGCTTCTGTATGCTGTCAAAAATTATCATACTAATCGAAACCTGGCTGAAATAATGGACGCACTTCAGGAGAATGTACGAAAGAAAAAATCTTAAGTCTATTTATTACTGTTTGATATTTTCAGTTGGAATGCTGCGGTGTTTCTTCGATTGCTCAAGGGTATCGGGATTGGAACATGAGTTATCAATTCAATTGCACCACTTCCAACCCTCAACCCGAAAAGTGTGGAGTGCCGTTCTCGTGCTGCCGAAAATCTGTTATTTCGGAAGCGGTAGGTTATGACGTACATTGAAAATGCTTCGATGCGTAAGCAAGTGAATTATCACAGATTTGTTGCGCGATTTTAAAAAGTCAAAGAGAATTTAGATTAGAGAACGGATTGGATAAAATGAAAAGATTGCAGGCTGGATCTTCAAACCCACTCCTTCCGGCTATGAGATCCTTGGAGTGCTGGCAAAATGCGCTCACCAAAAGACCAGGAGATCTGGAGCACGACATTTACACGCGAGGATGTCTACAGCCTTTACGAACACTTTTCGAGTCACACGCCGTTCATGTCGGAGCGTTCGTTGCACTTCTCATTGTTCCAGTGGTAAATCAATAGTTTGTGTTGGGGTTCCACCTGAACTTTTTGTTTTCAGTGCATCTCCGTTTGCCTAACGAACATCCTCGCAAAACAAGTAGATCATCAACGGTATCTTCTGGAGCGGGAAGCTCGACGGCACGAGCGACGGCGGAAGAGAGACCGGGATCACCGGATGCGTGATCAGATGAACTCGCTGGACTTGCTGGAAGAAGGCCAACTCAATAACTCTTCCGCTAATACGGTAATCTTTGGAGCAGAAGTTTTGGAAAAGCGCATTATTCGAAACGTTGTCCATTAGGATAAGTGTAGTGCAGCAGCTATACAGACTTTGGACTGATAAGCTGCCGTCAAAAAAGTTTGGAGCCATTTGGCATTTTGTAAATGTCACGTAGGCTCAATGCTTTTTTGAGCAGTCGGAAGAGATTTACAAAAAGGAACTGAAATGCCGGAATGATTCGTCACGAATCTGCAAAATCCTTCTTGTTTTGCACATATCGTATTCATAACCTCTTCATCAACAGGAAAATCCAAAAATATATTTATATACGTGTATAAACAAGATGAGATCACTCACGTCATCGATGATATCTTATCCGTTTATACAGCTCCCTAAAGATCGGGATGATCTTACGGATGATTGGAACTTGCGCTTATGTCCTTTCAGTTCAAACATTAATATGTGCTCGATTACAGACACGACCACGACCGCCTGACATTCCTCCCCCGCTCCCGCCAATCGAACATGTGCCGAGAAAGAAATCAAGGAACGCGAGCAGTTCTCCGACTCGGAAGCCCAAGTCATCTGGAGTGGAGAACGCGGCAGCCCGACGGAAGAGGACCCCGGCATCCACGAGACCGAGTCCTTCTACAGGACCGATTCCGACGCCACAAGCAACCACGAACAGTCGAACGCATCAATGGGTACTGCAACAATCGGATTTAGTTCCCCCGAAGAGCAAATCATGAATAGAAAGTTGTTACGATTGACTCAACTCTGTAGCAAACCAACACTCACTTCAGTTTCATACATACCAAAACTTTCTGATTCAAAACGCGGTGATATAACTTATTGTAGCCCAGCCACTCCCTCCCGTCTCTCTCTCTTTCTCCATCTCTCTCCCTACCTAACTGATTTTTGACATTTGCCATACACAAATCTGGTGCTGTAGAGATTTGAAAGTTCCCTTCCCCCATTCGCACTTTCTTCAGACTCCGCTCAATTGTTGGCCATGAGCAACAACAGTAACTTCATTCTCTTTCTTTGCTGGGTTGCCAAACAAGTTGCCTATTCGTTTCCGGAATTCTAGCCATCGCTTTACGTATTTTCTTAGTTTTTTTCTTCCAATGTTCCGATGTTGTAAATAAATATTCTTTTGTCAAATGTTTTCGTGATTAGCATGAAAAGATACGTACAAACAAGGATGCAAGATTTATTCGCACGATTATTGAAAGAGCACAAACACTCGAGACTTTATTCTTTGTGGGGGATTCTCTAGCACATCGCGCTGGACTGACATCCTCCTGAAAACAGACATTCACTATCGGATCGGATAGGTGGAAAAGTCTATGATTACCTTGGGTGCAGCAGTATCCTTTCTTCATACAGTAGCCGGGATGATGTCCAATCTGAAAACAACATTCCGAATTGTCCGATAACTTTTTAACTCACCTTGCAGAAGAGTTCCGGACAGACGGAGGCGTAGTTGCATTCGGAAGTGACAAAGCATTCGTCATTGGAGCAGCATTTCCCCTCGGAGACACAAACTCCCTCGAACACAGGTCCTAGAGCCAGTAATTGTGGAATAGAAAAGCGCAATCGAGACATACCACAGCTGGAGCAGCGAATGGTTCTTCCGTATCTTCTGTACGGACATGAGTTGAGGAAGCACGAGCTGACGAGTCCGAACAAGAAAGCAACAACGAGGAGGACAGGTAACGAGCGCATGCTGGAAGCGAATGAGAGTGAAGTTGGCCGCCGACGGCTTTGTCGTCTTGTGCTGGATTTCAAGATCCCGCCCCATGATTATCGTCGACTTAAACAGCTTTATTACGAATGGATGATGGTTTGTCGGAGGACGATAAGTCGGCTCACGCGGCCCCGTATTCATGATTCGTTTCGTTTTCGCGAAGACACTGAAACACGGATTTGATTTTGATAATGGTAAGGCGGAGAGTACTTGGAATTTGTGACAAAATGAGTCAACGCGTGGGATGCAAACGTCTACGGTCTGGAGGACCCATGAGAAATATAACAGTGAACTTTGTGGTTTGTGGTTAAACAGTAAACAAAATAATCTTGGTCAAGGATGAATACGATAATTCTTTTCAATGTGCCTGAAACGAATAATATCATTTGAGGAAAACAAAACGTAGATTCTGAAAAGTCAAAAGGAAGCAAAATCTGAGCAACAATTTTCAACTCTAAAATTAGGCAAGCTAATTCATCAAATCGTGGGGACACGTCTAAGTGTTTGAAGCGATGCGACACTTGCTCTTGGGGATTGCCGACTGCACAACGCCGATTTGTCATCTGAAGTCGACTGGCATAATCTGCTGGTAGCTTTTGTCTGCTGTCCATGGGCCATGCCACTTATATTTCACGTGTAACAAGCTCATCAATTTGATGCTGCACACTACCATCTGCAACTTCCCTTGTTCCAAAATAATTGTGATGATGACATAAGAGGCTCGGTCCCCCCTCCAACCACTACACACGGAGCTTCTTTTGCTCGGAAGAGAAAAGCGCACTTTCATGCGTCCAATTCAGTACAGCTACAAGATTGCTCTAATTCCATTAGAGCACATCCTAAAACTGCTCCCATCTGGGTCACCGTTGCAGGAAAATGGGTTTTTCGTCCTAGTATAGACACTATTTAACCGCTTTTTAACGACCCAAGTGGAGCTGCTTTGTACAAGAACCTCGTTTTCATCGAAAAACTTGATAGATTCTTGCGCATTCAACCCGTCAACTCGTCCCAAAAAAAGAGCGCATTTTTTGCCGCTAACCTTGCTTCGTTTTCGAAGAGCTTCTTCCCTCGATGCATGCGTATTTGTCTCGCTGCTTCTTCTTCCTCTCCCTTCTTTCTTCAGGATTTGGCCCTCGTTCCTTGAAATATTCAACAAGTAGACGATAGATAGAAAAAGTTTCGCCCTTCCCGCTCCCCGTGCTTATTGGCTTTAGCCAACAGGATCATATTTCTAAACGCAATTATCTACTTTAAAAACGATCTCAAACAGAAAATGTGGGCCGCTTTCTTTTGTTTCTCGTTTCCTCGATTTCCGATGCGTCGGGACGAACAGTGACTCGCGGAATGTATACTTTTGTCAAATGGATTGTTTATTAGTTCAATCATTAGACAATTAGCTCACTATTCCTGCCCGTTTCCGGTGTATAATACTACTGTTGCGAGGAATTAGGACGTCTGTCCTTGTCTTATTCGGAAGCAACTACCATACAATCTCAGTTAAAATTCAAAGTGCCTTTGTATCTGCCATCCCCACATCCTTATCCCTCATTCCCATTTCCCACCCATTCTCAATTTGCCTTTTCGCGTTTTCTCTTCCGTGTTATTCTTGGCGATCCTAATTATTCACACACATTGGACCGCTTTGAACAAAATGCAAATTTGAGTGCAAGTAAGACGAACCGGGCGGCTGGTGCACGGTCTGACAAATGTTCTGTCACTGTTCTGGCCATCCAAGGTCTCTACCCCTCCCCTTTCCTCACTTATTTCGTTGTTTGTGACACTCAAAAAGGCAACGCCATTGTCGCATAAACTCAGTGCCAACCCGTCGCCGATAACTGATAACGGTTCGTGTCATGCTCCCTTTCTGCAGCGCCTTCTTCGTTCGCAAGTGCGCCCGCGATTGTTCTTGATCGCTTTTCTCTTGCGTCTTTACTTTTCCATCACTATTCTTCGCGTAACGTGCACATCAAATTTTTTATGATTCTTGTTCTCAGCAGAGCATCCAAATGCAAACTATCGTACAGTACCGTCCCGATTTTATCGATTCGTATCAGTTTTCTCAGATTCCTCTCCTTTTCCGTATTTTCATTCAACCGTAGCGTGTTATCTGCGTTGCTTAGTCCAAATGTATACAAAACAAGCACTCGGATTGATGAAGAAGTTTCTTCAGTACGCGAGAACCCAATCCTGCTCAATCGGAAAAGTTCTGCTCACTTCGCTCTACCGATTTCCCCTTGAATTCCTCATTCTTTTCCCCCAACTCATTCTCGATAAAAACCTAAAGTGGCGAGCGGGGTGGGGGCCAAATTAGAAATGATGAAAGGGGCAGTAGTGGGAAAGAAGGAGGCATAGGGGGAAACATGTTTTCTCTCCTACTCCCTTGTTCTTTTATCTGATCTTCTTAATCGGAAAGGTTAAAACAAATAGTTTGTTTTACTGTCCGTCTTATGTGTCGAATCACAGGTTTCATCTGTTTGTATTTCCGAATCTGATGGTTTCGCGTAATGACTGATGCCCAACGACTTCTCAGCAAGCTCTCATTACTCCAAAGCCTTTCAGGACAAGCCAAACAAATTGTTTTCGTTTCTCAGCAAGAACAAGTACAAGTAGACTCGTCCCATTCGTCTCAATTCAATTTGTCTGAGGAAGAAGAACTTCAGATACCTCTAGGATCTCAACGCAATTTGTGTTTGTCGCTTATCGGCCCCATCTGTTTTTAGGCGCCTGTGACTCGCGCAAAACCACCTAAATCGTATTGTTTTGAGGTCAATTTCACCGGAAAATAGCGCTCACACAGGCAGGGTGCGGTCTAATTAGATTTATTATTTTCGGTATGAAGTGCGCTTCCCGTAGAGCACGCTTCTACCCTGTTATATAATATACAAAAGGGATACCCAACTGCACTTTTCAATATACAAATTACGATGATGGAATCGGATGGTCAACCTTGTCCCTTCTTCCTCGCCTTTGTTGAAATTTTCTGAATCGAAACTTACGCAAACATTTCTCCGGTCGGCCTCACCCTCATATCACAGCGCATTGCCCTTTCTGGTTCCGGACTCACCCTTTTTTATTTATTTGCATACGTTTTTTCACTGCCAAAATTGTTCTCCTGAGACAGTTTTCTGCCTAAATGCAGTTGTTGTTTGATAGAAATGAACGCTCAAATACTGGTTTCCCATAAAATGCCTTCTGATTCACTTTGCTTCACATTTTACCTAAAAATTTGTAAATCTTCCAATTTTTGTTTCAGATGAACGGACAACGCATGAAGGAACGGGAACGTCCTTATCTCCGTGATCCGGACGATCCGGAATACATCAAAGATCTTCAAAGACCAGCAGTAATCAAAGTAAGTGGGTATTTTCGTTCAGAAAAAAACATCTGCTCCGCTAGCCTTTCTTCTTCTACTTTCCTTTACCCTGAAAATTAATGGAGTCTTCACAGTTGGAATGACACTGGCGCGTGCCAGTGTCATTTTCTGAAAAGAGCCAGAGAGAAAGTGAGAGTGAGCTCTTCCTCTTTCTCTTTCTCTTTCTCTAATCAGCTTAAAAGACGGATGAGAGATGCTTTATTTCAGGAGGATTTGTCAGAGATGGAGAGAAGGAAAAGAGTGCAGCAGATACTCGAATCGAAATCATTCTGCCACGAGCTAGAGGAAGTCATCCGACAGGTCCCTCATCCATTCTCTCCCATCAAATTCACTCGGACATCCGTGTCATTTTCAGGAGTGCGATTCCGCTCGCACCGACCCGGATCACTTGCAAACGCTCCAGAAGCTCTCCGATTTGACGGTCTCCCAAGGGAACATGTCGTTTGCGAACCTCCACTCATACGGTTTGTACTTTTCAAATCTCGAAAACATCTGATTTATGGTCAAACTGGGTGTTCCGGGAGAAAGGGAGCGATGATGGATAGGGTGTCTCGGGACTCTTTCTATCCGCCTAACTTCGGAACATTCCAATGACATCACGTTAACAATTAAACTATTTTTGAAGGGGTTTCTTTAAACCACACCCTATCATTAACCACAGCCGCGCATACGTTGCCGCATATCTCACTCCCATACACTTTCCCACCTTTTCCGTCCTACCGAAAGTTAATTATCTTATAACAAAACAACCCATCGGCTTCAAAACACACCGTTATTCTCATTTCGCACTGCGAATTCGCATTCCTTCCAACTCTTTTGCACTGCTGACGTCTATTGAACGGAGTTTGAAACCATTGGACCCTTGGAACCACTCCACTGCTCATTCGAATTTCCGGCCTCATTGCGCAGTAATAGAGTTAATAGAGCAGATGTACTTTTTCAAACCTATGCAACCTTATTCAGCTGTTAAATTGGGTACGTGGTCAAAATATCCTTTTTTGAAGTAAAAACGGATGTAAAAAAGTATATGTTTTTAAGCTGGTAACACAATGGCTATTGCCGATCTTCGAGGAAATGAGACGTATTCAAAGGTTGAGAAGATTCAAAGAAACAAGTTGGCGTGCTTGTTCCGCCTTGCCGACTTGTTCCAGTGGTCCCAGGGAATTCACAATGAAATTACGGTGAGAAACAGTTGAAAATTGCTCGCTTATGAATAACATTCAGTACCGCACGAACGACGAAGACGGCACGTTCTTAATGAATCCGTTCGGACTGCTGTACCACGAGATTACAGCTGCGGCATTGGTTAAAATTGACGAGAACGGACAGATTCTGGACTGTGGAGCGCTGAAAGCTGGAGTCAATCAGGTTGCCCTCAATTACACTTTCTTATGTTTCATTTTTTTTTCAGCCCGCATTCCTTCTTCATTCTGCAATTTACAAAGCGCGTCCGATGGTTCGATGTATTCTTCACATGCACACAGCCATTGTGGCCGCTGTGGCGAGCATGAAGTTTGGTCTTCTTCCATTGTGTCAAGAGGCGATGGTGATTGGACCTGTGGGATATCATGACTATCAGGTGTGCATATAATTTTATGCTAGTTTCAATCTTTTTGTTTTCAGGACATTGGAGGTGATGACATCCCATTCGACGAATTAATTGAGAGCCTAGGAGACAAGAATGTGCGTTTCCAAAGCCTTTTTCCTCTGCCATCAGCTTCAAATTCTTTCACGCTTTCTGTGCTTTTCAGGTTCTTTTTCTTCGCAACCAAGGATTCCTTGTTGTCGGAGACACTATCGAGCATGCCACTTTTCTAGCCAACAACAGTGTGATCGCATGCGAAACTCAGGTTTTTCAACTTCTCTGATCTTTTCCGCTGTTTTTTCTCCTGTCGCGACGTGTCATTTTTCAAAATTTCTATAAGAATCCGATACTTTGAAGGTTCTTCAAGTCAGAGGCGAAGGATGTTTTGTTGTTGGAGAGTCTGTCGAAGAGGCGGCTATAATTATGCGCAACTTGGTCACCGCGTGTGATCATCAGGTTTTCAATTAAGACTAGGCGCTTACTTTCGAGAATCATGAGAAAAACAATGGAATTGGCTAATTGTGTAGGTGGACGCAGTTCATAATAGAATGATTTTGAGGTACGTGCCGCTAGAGCTGGACTTGACAACCTCATTATCCCCGATGAGAAGGCGATTCAGAGAGCGTTTAGAAACTCAAAAAACAGTAAGTGGAGAGGAATTTTCCAGAACCCCGATATTTTTTTCAGCAAACTCCCTGAAGAGAAATGGAACTGTCGAGTGGAGAATGGGCGAACTCGAATGGGAATCTTGGATGAGAGTTCTGGACCATGCGGTGCTAATTTTTATTTATTCTTTTTAACCTAGTCCTTTCAATTTCCAGAACTTCCGCACCGGGCATGTTTATCGGCAGCCGCAACTCCGTCCAAAGTCGGCAATGTCCACTTCGATGGTGAATAACAACGACGTTGCTCTTCCGCCAACTACGTCAGCATACGGGCAAATTGACGAAACAGACTTGGAGAGTGTCTCTGCTCATCGTCTCGCACTGCTGCGCAAAGAGCAAGAGCGAGTGCGTTGGCTGAATAGCCCCAATGCGTATCAGAAAGTAGAGATTTTAGAGTACGGGGCTGATAATCCAAAAAAGATTACAAAGGTGACAGTTCCTTACTGTACTCGCTGAGAATTCTCTGATTCCAGTGGGTACATGATGTGCACGTGCCGTCGGCCAGTGGAACACCCGTCAAAATCAATAGTGTGCACCAATTCAGTCCGGCTTCGGCGAATCCGAAAGAACTCAAAGAAAAGCAAAAGTCCATCAAAGAAAACAGTCGGCTCGGGACCATGACTGCTGGTCCGCAGAGTCAAATTCTTGGAAGTGTCACTTATGAAGACATTTCTTTGCTGATTAAGGTGAAATTCAGTTTGTAACTAATAAAAACGTGCGAACGTGTTTCAGCCCGACACTGATGGAACTATTGGACAGAGTTCCACTTCGGACAGAGCGATTCTTATTGGAACAGCTAGCAAGGGAATCATCGACAGACAGTACCAGCACCACGCTCAAGTTTATCACCAAATCTATGCTCCAAATCCATTCTCCGTGGAAACTGATGAAAACATCAGGAAATACGTCGAAATGGTATTTTTGATTCCGAAATAGAAACATGTTTTGAGGTTTACAGGTAAACGCAAAAAACTCGGCGACTCCTTTGTCGTCGGCTCGCACTGACTACTCCAAATATGACGACGTGGAAGCTGGTTTGAAATCGATTGCTTTCAGATTTCAAATTGTTCCCCTTTCAGACACTGTTTCCTTGATGCAAGGCGTGAGAGAGCACAAGTTGTCGCAAGCAGCCCTGAGTGCTTCAGATGACGGTCTAAACGCCGGTATCTCTTCAGTGCAGAACAATGGTAAGTTGAGGGAATGTATGTGACCACAAAACTGGCAAACCTTTGGAATGTTTCATTTCTTTTCGCTCGTCAGTCACTATCACTTTCATTTCTGTGAAACTTTTCCGCCTATCGGTCCGCCTCTTTCCATTTCAGTTTTCTTTCCAGTGCAATCGTCAGAAGAAAGCGTCAGCACGTCGTATATGAGCCATTCAGTTGTGTTCGACTGTAGGTTTCTATCTTTTCTTTTCTAGCATGGCTTCTATATAACACTTTCACTCTAACTAGCTTTTCATAATGTTTTGTCATTTGTGTAGATGACTCACCACCAGTGTCCACATCGCCAAGATTTCCGGAGAAAGTGACCCTCAAAAAGAGGAGCTCGACAGGACAAGGAACTAGCGAAGGTGATTGTGTAAATCCGTAGTTTCTATCTGTGTTTCTGCTTCTCCACTTCTCAATTCTCACTCCGCTAACTCTATTAACCAATTTAGGTGCAACCACATCGAGATCGTGCACAACTGCTTCGGAGGAAGAAGTAAGACTATCCTGTCCATCATTTATAATCTAATGCACCTGATTCAGAGCCGCCCGAAGGATGAGAAAAAGAAGAAAAAGAAGGGATTATTGTCTTTCATGCGTAGAAAAGACAAAAACTAATCGCCCGCCACCTTCACCGACTGCATTTTCACACTAATCCCATAACATATAATATATTTTATTCTGTTTTTCCAACCTAACTAGTCTTTTCAGACGCCGATTTGCATCACCCCACGTACCGCCAAGAAACATATGTCTAGTCCCTCTGACCCTTTTTTCTTTCCAGTGAATTATGTACTCCGGTTTTGGATATTGAACATTATGTGCATTTCCAAACTACCCATGTCATTGTATGCATATTCCACCCTCGTTTCAGCTTTTTTTTAATGATTATATTTATTTTGGAGCACATCTTTCAGGCATCCGTATTTTTCTGAGTTTGGCTATGTATGTATTACTGTCTTCTTTATTTGTGAGCAAACATCAATTTTAATAAAAACGAGGAAAATGCAGAACTTATTGTTTTCCAATTATTATTCAGGTAAAAGAGTACTTTGTGTCACTTTCCGGGGTAATCAGACACTTTGAAGCCTTTTGCCTGCCATGTCCGTGTTCTTCCAGCTTACTCGGAATTTCTTGAAATGTACTAGTTTTCATCGTTTGCCGAAGCCATCATTTTATACAGTGTAGTACTCTGGTTTCTCGCAGATCTTTCTGAATCCTCCGACAATTGTCCTTTGCAATAATGCACACGAACAGTACCATAACCGTATTCTGCAATGTTATTATCGTCGAATAAATACTCGCGACAGGATTATCTCTCACCTCGCCGAGTCTTTCATTTGCTTGAAGCGAACCAGTTAACACACGCGATTATATTCAACAACACATGGTATCTTCTTATCCCAAACTCAATTCAATCGGTTCTAGCCAAAATTCAAACAGCATAGGCAACTTCATGACTTTTTTCAGCGGTCCTCTCTTCTCCATTTCGAAAATATAATACAAAACGGATAACTTACCTCTGAAAAGCAGGATTACTGGCACCCGGTGTTTCTTGAAGAGTCACAAGAAAAGTAGAATCATTATTATATTATTATTATTATTATACTGAGCATTAAAAAGCCCTAAACTTTAAAATTCTATCACGCTTTTACGGTGAAATAAGGGCGACAACACGCGTAATAAATCGTTTTCTGACCTACCAAAAAGGCACACTTACCTCTGTGTGAAGGACTTGAAAAAGTAGATCTTATTAATTTTCTTGGCGATTGTAATCTTCATCACTTTTCTATAACGTCGAATCAGAGGAAGAAAAGAGAAAAATGAACGGCCACCGAGCCTAATCGGTGGGCGTGGCAGCTTCTTCTTTCTGTGGCTTTGGCAAAAGGTCAAGTGTTGAAGCATCCGAAGCTATTGGAATCAGATAAACGTTCATTTAAAGGGTGCAATACGAGTAATTATTTTAGTACTCTATACAAGCAACGTATTCACACCTACATGTACAATTCGATAAATACACAATACAATGAAAAGGCATTTGTTTTCCCTACTCCCCGCCACATCCGTCTTGTTCGCTCTGAACTGGATGAGTCGTCTTCCGTTCGTGTTCAGTCCGCTCAGAGCGAGTATGTCTTCCTTGAAAATTTCGAAAATTATGTTCAGTTTGTCATACGCCGTCGTCCTTCCGTTCTCCGATCTGATGAGGATCTGCTTGGGAGTGAACAAGACGTCCTTGTCCGGCATTTGCTCTTGAAGATGTCTGCAAATATCGTACGTTTTGTGGCATTTCTGATTTTTTCATTGGAATTGGCTATTACAAGCCGGAAAACATGATTTTTGGCTAAACTCACGCTTGGAGACAGTGGAGATACGAGGCCATCAGAGAATCGCGCTTATCGAGCACGTGCATCGCGACGAACATATATTTGGCTCTTTCGTCGCCAAACTTACTTGGTTCTGACGACTGCAGACTCCGGATAGTCGGCCTTCTCCAAAATGTTGCGGATCTATGCCTTTACCCTTGGTGCCGCGGTGAACAATGCGAAGCATTTGCCGGTTTGTCCCACGCCATCGGTCTTTCCGACCGGAGTAACTTCGGCCGGATTCACGTCAAATCTGGAAGAATTTAACTGAAACTGTAAACCATCTTCAACTTTTCCTACCCGATCGCTTTCACATGTTCTGCCAGTTCGGCAGAGTCGATTTCCCGAACGTGTATCTTCGTCGTCACAAACAACAGCGAAAAGGTGACCGGCTCATTTCTTCCGAGCTTCGGAAGTGGCTCCGAAGATCGCCATCCGTCGCATCGAGCTGTCTCTTCTTTTCGCCAGTTTCTGTTTTCAGACGAGGCTTCAGAATCCGTGGGCGAACCACCTCGCTCTTCTTGAGCAACAATCCCCCCAGTGGAATCCGGAGACTTCGCGGAAGTGATTTTACGCGGAAGAATAGCTCTGTTATGGAAATCAGTTCTAAAAATAGAGATTTCATCGAACCTCACTCCATTGTCAATTGCCGTCCGATTGTCACGCCATTTGTGACGGTTTATTCGTCGATATCAAGTTTTCGAAACTCTCCCGGATTTTTTCGTGTCTGCAAAAAAATCGATGAAAATGAATCTACATTTCAAATGATCGTCACTGTCGTTTAAATGAATCGTCCGGGTTCTATTTTCCGTCGGTTGTTGTGTCTGTCTGCATGACCCCCGGTCTGCGGCCTGCCTATGTGTCCGTTCGGCGCGCGCATTCCGGACCATCATCTCTTCCCCCGCTGTCACTCCTCTGCCATTAGTTTTAGCCGGTCGGCCGGTGCTGTCAGCTTTGAGCTCAGCTCCTCGATGTTTAAAATGAATGCAAAACAGCGACGACGAGAAAAAAACGAAAGATCAGGAATGCGGAAAAATCGATTGATCGGCTCAACAACGGCTAACATGCAGCATGTCTTGAAAACGGTGAGAGTGGCGGCGAACTATTCGGTAAAGAAGAATTGAAAACAAATGGTTTCAGACAAAAAACAGTGTTTGATTGAAGGTTTCACCCGGACTGCGCGCGCCGAGGGAACACGTTGGTGGGCCGCAGAGCGCGGGTCATGCGCAATTGCAGACAGACAAAAGAACCGACGGAAAATGGAACCCGGATGGTGCATTCAAATGACAGTGACGTAGAAACAACAAATAGCGCAATTTCTCTGCGTCGTGGGAAGAAAAATAGTAGTTTCCAGACAACGACATCCGCACACAGTTTCGATACTCGTCTTCGTTAAGCCGACTGATGGCAGTAGACCGGCAAAATTGCCATGTGTACCGAAGTGACCGCTAAAGTGGCGGCCGCAGCGACACTGATTCCGGATGACGAATTCGAAGAACAAGACGACGACATAATGCAATATATGTTCGTTTTCGTGGTTTCCGTTCCTTTTATCATTTCTGAGTTGTTTCGACGAAAAAATAACGAAAAAACGTTTTTTTTTTCACAAACGTATTTCCCATTTTTGTTGTTGTTGTTGCCATGAAAGTATAGAAATAAATCTTTAGCGTTTATAATCTCTAAGATCGAAATCACACACTGATCCTGAATTAGTGTACTTTACCAAGAACTGAAAGAGCAGTAACATAACAAAATAATGTATTCGTTTCGTCTGTATCTCCGATAAAAGTCTGTGCTGCTCGTTCGACGTATTGATAAGACAGTCTATCAAAGACTGTCAACGACAAACTCCATTGACTTGCCATTCTTTTTCTTACCCTTTTTACTGCCAAAACAGGGTTCTCATCTCTCCTCTTCGATCGTTATCCGTATGCACGCTTCTCTCGTTCTCTCACACTCTCACTCACTCTCGCTCGTGACCGCGGCCGATGCATCTCGCGTGGACGAGTTTTCTCATCGTGGTTTTTTCTCTGCTTTCATCTGCTAGACTATTATTTTCACTTAGATTTCCGTTTCTCTTCCAGAAACTTGACAATGGAAAAGGACTATCTCGGGTTCGATGACATTTTCAAAGAATTATGCATAGATGAGTAAGTTTTTAGTGAAAAAAATATCAAACATTGTAAGAATATATGGATTATTGCAGGAAAAATGCATTCGGGTTGCTGCGTGAGATGCGCTTCATTAGTGAGCGTGTTATTGCCGAATACCAACCTTTGGAAGAGACCTTATCGGTACGCAAACGGAAGACAGAACGGTCTCATTGATTTTTTCTTTGCAGGTCCGTGAGATCCTCCATCCGCTGGAACCGCACCGCACAAATGAACCGTATTTCGTCCACAAACTAGTGAATAAGGATAACAATGAATTCGTGACCGCAATCGACTTCCACGAGCACATTACATATTTTCCGTTTTCCAAAAACAACGGAGATGTCTGTCTCGCTCGATATATTAGTAACTTTAATGACATTAATTTGTGAGTGCAAACCGATATGTACAGTTTTTTTCAAACGGAACTGTCATTTTCAGCACAAAGATTAGTGAGCAGAATCTCTGTTTCTTCCCGGGTGAAACGGTTGACGGAGTTCGCGTTGGTCGTACCGACAAGGGAATGCTCGCCGTCAATCATCGTACAAACGGTTCTGTGTTAGTGCACATCGATTCTCTCAAAAGATTGACCAAACTAAGAAAAATGTTGTTTCAGAAATAGCACTGTGAGCATTATTGATTTGGTGAAACCAGCTCGGAATCTCGTCTACTTTGACTCAGCGAGACCTGTAAATACTATTGACTGGATGTGGTACGTAATGGAAGGAAAGAAAGGTTGTAATCCAATAACTGTTCAGGCATAGTACTTGCCATCTTGCTATTGGAGACGGTGAATCTCTCCGTTTTGTGGACATTCGTTGTCCGAAGATTATCGATGCAGTATTCTTTGCGGGTGGTGTTCAGAAAGCCGCAGTCACTTCCACGAGACCATCGGAAATCGCAGTTTGGGACGGTAGAAATGTACTTCTGTACGACATGCGCAAAACTGACGTTCCGAGCTGTATTTATGATGTTGGAATGGACAAATGCGAATCACTGATCGATATGAGATTCAATCCATATATAACTAACCAATTATTTGTACATACCAGCTCTCGTCGTGTTTTAGCGATGAAAGTGAATCCTGCAAATCTAATTAGTGGAAGAGTTAGTACTTTCATAACCAACTAACACTCATAATTGGTTTTAGGCACTATCTGAGGATTTTACCGACAAATGGCATGCTATCACGTTCAAGCACATCGATCGTGGAGCCACGGCTACTCGTCACTCTCTCCAGCGACGAGAAACGTACGTTTTGACATTTTCTGTAATCTCAACAACTTTTTTTGCAGAATGCCGCTTGAGGATGTTGAAGTAACATTATTAAATTATCACGACCACTTTGAAGCGGCTAAAACAGATTCAGAAATCCCGGTTCCGTCTCATTGGTGTTATCCGGAAGATATTGTTAGTCAATTGTCTTCAAATCCTCTCTTTGAAATGTGATTTTCAGGACGAATCTGTATTTGATAGACTCGATAAGATCAGTGAGATTGATTTCGAGAGTTATATATCAAAAACAGCTGAGCGTGTTGCGGCGGAGTACGACAACTATTTCAAACGGGACAAACCGATCTATGAAGCGCTAGACGTCGAAACATTCGATTTCATCCTTCCTGGTGTGAATGGAATCCTGTGCTATGATAGAATCGAGCAGGACTATAAATGTGTCAGAGTATGTGCTAGTCTGTGTGATAAGTTGCCAACCTGATTGCTTTCAGAGTCCGCGACACTACGAGGGATCCAACGACCCTTACGGCGGAACAGACTCGATTCACTTCCTTAGGGGAATACAGATTCAGGAAATGATTCCGGCTCAAACCGTCAGAATGTTTTGTTCGAGATTCAAGAAAGGTTGGAATGCTTATCAAACTTCGGAAGGAACTTTGAAGGATTTGGTACACCGAATAACTTGTGAAAATGACGCGTTCTGGGCAAGATGGATGGCCAGATCATCGCACATTCAGTATTCTGCAAAAGGTTTGTCCGAATTTTTGAGTAATTTTTCTCTAAACTTCTCGCATTCAGAGTTCCGGACAATTGGAGAGGAGGGAAAGGCGTGGAAAGACTATGTGGCACCATTCGAAGGACCGCTCCCGGAAGTGTTTCTGCCTCCATATGAGGAACCGAAGGACGAGATTGCCGCTGCGGAAATCTCCCAAATGGTCGCGCCATTCTTCCGTTTGTTCCTTCCGGATCCCCGACCTGATTTGCTTCCGGAAAACGAATCAGATGAAGACGATAAACTGCCCAATCCATACGAAGATCTTCCTCCTCACCCCGAACCAGAAAACGGTGGTCTTCCATTGAACCTGTCGCAAAAAATGAGAACGCTTTGCAAGTGTCACGCCAAACTTCGTTACTATTACAAGAAGAAGAACGAGAAGAAGTACATGTACGCGCCCGTCGAAAGAAATGTCGTGATTGGTAGAAGCAAGCGCATCCGAGAAAAGTTCTGGCGTATCGATTGGCATTTTCTGTCAAAACCTCAAATCCTGAAGCATTGTCAACAGGTTGACATAAAGTGTGCTCGTAGGAACATACTCGAGGACTTGAAGAGGTTCCAACGTTTCCACCCGAGGGAGTTCCAAAAGCGAGTGCTGCCGCCAAAGTTGATCACCGATTCCTCATCAGTTTTTATGAAACCCGAATACATCAAAGAGCGTGAAGCGAAGGAGAGAGAAATGAGGGAAAAGGCGGCGGCCCCAATCACTGCTCCTATTGGACTTTCCTTGGCCGAATCCAAAGAGGACGGAGCGACAGACAAATCCGGAAAGAAATCGGCACCTCCGGTGATCCCCGATGTGTCAGGAGTGGAAGATCCGGAGCATGCTCGCTTCTTGATCCGTGCTGCAATTCAATTGGCTGATGATGACAGTAGCTCCGACGAGGAGACTCCAGCTGCAGAGAAAGAAGAAAAAGACGAATTTGAGTATGAGACTCCTGAAGATGCTTACTTCGGTATCAAGAAACGGCGAATGTACGTTGTGTTCAAACCAGCGACTGATGCACTCGGATTCAAGAGATACAAGCCCGATCGTCTGAACGAAAACCATTTTGTGAGACAGTTGGAACGTCTGATGTACTGGGGAACACGAAACTACGAGCGCGGTGTTATGGAAGGCCGCTATGTGGAGAACGACAAGCGGCAATCGAGTGTGAAAGAACGGTCCTCTTTGGATTTCCAGGCCGCGTTGACAAGTCACAAGAAGGTCGCCTGGCAAACGTTCTACGACAAGTACTTCTTCTTCTCGGAGAACTGCTCCTACAATCAGATCCTTCGCAAAGCGATACAAATGTACAATGCAATGTGCCACTATGACGATACGAAAGGCGTCCACAACACTGCTGTACATGAGCGCATGGTGAGTAGTTCTTCTGATTGCTCTAAAATTATACAATTTTCAGGTGTACGGAATCAAGCCGCAACTGCTCTTGAATAAACCATCCATAAAAGAAATAATGGAACTGCGAAGGGACTGTGCTATGGTTGTTGGAACCATTCCGAATTATAACCAGTTTATGAATTTTATCAAAGCGGAAGTTCCCTACTACTTTGACCACCAACTGAGCTTTGATGAGTTTCATGGTGACGATTTGCCTGAAATAGAGAAGAAATCTATAATGGTACTGATTCGATTATCATTTGTTTTTAAAATGACAAAGTATTTTTTGCAGAAGCCAACTGCCGTGTACAATAAAGAAATCGAGTATATGATTCCAGACGGAAAAGTGAGATACTGTGAAGTGGACTGTGTAAGTTTTGCTCTTTATATATGTCTGATCAGATCATGTTGAATTTTCAGCCTCCAGATTTTCTCGAGGAATTCTACGATAATCGTTACAAGCTTCGTCACCTATTTCGTGGATCTAAGTGCCTGGAAGATATGCAGAGTGCCCCATCAAATAATTCACTCCTGCGCAGAACCAAATCTTGTCCCGAGCTCTGCTTGGACAAGATCACGCTTGAGAAGCAAGAGGAATACGATGACGTCATTTACTCGGAGGCAGTCCGTCGTTCTATGTGTCGGAAACTTATTTACGACTACAAAGGGTCGGACAGAGACTATTCGAACGCACAAGACGACGCCAGATTCAAAGAAAATTTGAAACTTCATTGGGATGACGATATGTCAGCACATGCACAAAACGAGCTTGATCTGCTGAAGCAATTGGCACACATGGCTGATCCGCTGTTTATTGACTGGGACTCGCCGATGATCGATGATGTTGACCGCAAAACTGGCAAAAAATTCATGCGGCGTGTATGTGATACTATGAAACCCCTATAAACAAGAAAACCATTTTCCAGGTCGTTCCCTTCCCGGCACCACAACCACCACGCCAGATAGTTGATGTTGAAGAGTTGTTTGAAGATATTCCTGTGGAAATCAGACAACAAATGGAAAAAATACATATGACTTGGCGTTTCTACGATCCGCTTCTTACAACCTACGGAGGACTGCAAGTCATTGATGAATGGGAAGACCGGCGTTACACGAATAGTTTTGCGGTTCCACATATAAGAGAACGGCCCAAGAATTGGCTCAAACCCTATCCTGCTGATGTTGATTTGGCGAAGTTGATGGAGCGAAATAATTACTGGCACATTCCTTTGTGTGACGGATCCTTCGAGTACCGAGTTTCTGACTTTGAGCAGCGAAGAAAAAACACGTACTCGTACATGAACATGCCATCGCGAACTCCGATTCTTGAGCAATACAGTACGCCTTTTCTAAAAAGTAGTGCTCTCTGAACTTGTTATTTTACAGGTATCGATATGCCGTATTGCCTAATTGATTTGATGAAGCCAACTTACTACGGAACTATTGAGTACGACAAGGAAGATCGGTGGACTTTTAAACAAATGAAGGAGAGGGACTATCAACGAGCACTCGAGGAGGAGATGCGGAGAAAGAAACTGTACCGGTACAGAATTCCGCAGCGGCAACTGAGAATACTGCAACGACGGAGATTGGTGAAGAGGGTCGTGGAGGAAGATGATTTGAAGTCTTCATCGGACGAAGAAGAAAAGAATAAAAAGGCCGAAGAAGAACGGCAGAAGAAGGCCGAAGCTGATGCTCTCGAGAAATTCAATAAATTCCTAAGGTTCATGCGCTTGTTCCGCTTCGAGGACGATGAAGACGACGATTTTCCCGATGATGCGTCTTATATTGGGGACTATTTCGACGAGATCGTGCCGGAAGAGCCAGTTAGAAGAAAAGTTGGCACAATGTGGGGTGGTCTGAGCCTCTACGATCCCTACTACTTTCCTTTCAACCCGCATACCAGAAGAAACATCCGAATGCTCGCTGAATTGGATGCGATGGATTATGAGAATAATCTGGGAGGAGGAAAATTGCTCGAGTGCGCTGATGATTACATGTTTGACGAAAACAAATTTGGCAAGGTCCCAGTTGGATCTCCAAACATTCGGCGTAAAAAAGTCAAGAAACGGAAGAGACTGAGGAGAATAGTCATACCCGCGGTGATGCCTCCTTCTATTCTCGCAGTGGCCAAGAACAAGACGAAATCTGCAAAAACTGTTTCGTGGGGACAAAACACTGAGCACATTCTTCCGAAGGAACGTGTCCCCACAGGACGTCTTCTTAGGAAGACTTTCAAACAGTGTAAAGGAGTTCTGTTTTCCATGAGTTCAAGAAAGAGAATACTTGCCAAGCATTTGAAACCAAAACCAAAAAAGAAAAAGAAGCGCAGCTCCTCTCCACCTATATTTATTAATCGAGAAGTGAGTTGAACAGTTTTGAGCAATATGGTTTATTGATTTTTATTTTCAGAATGGCAAGATCATTAAAATGAGTGACAAAAGAAAAAAGGGCAAGAAGGGCAGGAAGTGCAGAAAAAGCAAGAAGAGCAGGAAAGGCAGGAAAAACAGAAAAAATCCATCGATCTTCACGAGTCGAGTAACAATCCCCGCTTGTACTGCGTGTGTTGATGAACCATGGCCGTCGAGAGAGAAGTGCATCGTCTGCAATCCACACACGGCTATTTACCGTTGCACAAACATCGTCAATACAAAAGAGGTTTTTTGGAAATTTCAGACTTTACAAATTCTTTAATTTTCAGCCATGCCGTTATTGCGGAAGTAACCTGTACAAGTTATCGTGCTCGATTTATGAACTACGCGCTGAGTACACTAAGAAGTTCAGACAACTCTTCACCGGCTTCAAAATTCGAAAAATGGACAACGCGTTCAAGCGAAGAGTGTCTTACCGGGTCAAAAAGCCAGGACCCGATACTGCTCTCCCTCCTTGGGCTGCCGTGCCGTACAAGTCTGGAGATTTTGCTATGGACACTGTCATTGGCGTAAGTTGAAATTATAAAAATGTCAACTTAATTTACGTCTTTCTTTCAGAGATGTACGGACGAAGAATTCAGAGAGACGCAGCAAAGAAATATCAGCAAAATGCTACATCGTGAATTCCACTACATCACATGGTTTATGGATGACGAAAAAGCCGAGAAAGTCTATGTTTCCGAAGAATTCGACTTGGCATTTGACAGAGATGCTGATGTAAGTTGCACAAACTGTTGAGACCAAATCTCATTTGTTTTGTTTCAGATCAACACTATGCGTGACACAATGAACACTATCAGTCAGGACGGTAAAATGGACATGATGACCACTTACTGCCAGAGAACCGGACAGAGGCTCCATCGGTGGATCAGTTACTCAGCACTGGGAACTCGTATCAAGAAGCAGAACGACAAAATTGCTTTCCGCAAGCGAGCTGCCGAACGAGAAGCCCGAATCCTGGCCGGCGAGATCACTGTAAAGCCAAGTGTGCTGATTGAAGTGAAGAAGAGAGCAAAAGAGAAGGAGGAGGCGGCCAAGAAGACGAAGGAACTAGAAGATAGGAAGAAGGCGGCACAGGAACGGAAGGAGGAGATGATGTGGAAGAGACTGCCGATCCCTGAAATAATCGACGATCTGAAGAAAGACGTGACGGTAGCAAAGCCAAAAAAAGAGGATTGGCTTGAATCGTCCGGATCCGAAGATGAACTTCCTCCGATTCGCTCTCGAATTCTCAGCGCTGGAATCAAAGAGTTTGTTGCCACCATCCGAGCACACATGGAACGGAAACCGGCGAATTTCAAAGGATTGCGAGTCACTTACGGCAAAATATTCGAGAAAAGACCAATCTTGAAGAACGACATTGTGCTTGTCAAGGACAGGACTGTCTCCAGAAGGCAGCCACCGCCATTCCGAGTTCAAAAGCTTCCCCTCGACGATAGATGGCTCAACGACTCTTTCACGGTTTCCTTCCTTCCGAACACCTCCAACAACACTTATCCGAGAGATCCAAAGAAGTGGACAGTGCCCTTCTACAGTTCTCGACGGCTGAAACTGAGTGCTCGTGAAACCAGAAGAAGATCATTGCGTCCTCCGTCTCCACCTCCAACTCTCAAGAAAGTCTACAACAAGATGAAACTTCTGGAACGTATTTACTACCATCAGCAGTACAAAAAGAAGTTGACTGCGACGAGGAAAGCGTTTGTGGCTCGACAGGCTCGGTTTAACCGGAAGCTGATTGGATCCCGACAGTTGAAATCTCGGAACGTCAAACAGTTACTCCGCGAAAGGAAGGGAATGTCTCAAAGACTTTGGACTACGACTTTGCGTCAATTGAACAAACCGAAACCAAAGAAGACTGTTACCTTTGGATATCCGATGTATCAAAGCGAACTCGAGGAGAGGCCATACAAAGTTCAAAAAGAAGCAGCGCCGCTGTTGCAGTCGACGTCGAATCCTGTGAAACTGAGTCTCCGGGAACAGTCTCGTCCTTCCTCTAGCTCCGAAGATGAACTTTGCCCCGTCCGAATTCCCCAAGTGAGAAAGCTGAAGAAGACAGTGAAAAAGGATCCGAAAGCAGCAACTGTCAAGGAGACGGCTCCGAAGAGGGAAGAGAAGGTCAAGAAAACAGTCAGATTCGAAGAGCCGCTCGGATTGGTTGAGAGGAAAAGGATGGCACTCAAGAAAGCAACCCCTGTCGTTTTTGAATCTCCGAAAACTCTGAAACTACCGGAAACAGGCCAACTTGTGCGACGTGACAGTACTCCATTCCAGCCCAGGGATTCTCGAAAAAGAAAGGAAAAGGAGACAAAGCAGATGGATGCGGAACCAACCAAATCTGAGAAACGCAGACGCTCCAAAGCTTACCTGCCTGTCGTCCCCGCTGTCCCCAAGAGAAAGCCGATCATAACGCTCATTGAAAGGACTGCGGATGCATACCCGCGAAGTGGTCGAAGCGAAGAAAAGAAGGCGACTGTCAACACCGTCAACGAGAAACGCAGGCGCCGGAAGGAGATTGTCGAGCTACCGTTACCGCAGAAAACCGAGGAGCCGAAACTTCGCACGAAATCGGAACCTCGTAGCTTTGGAAAAGCTACTCGAGTGAAAGTGATCTCTCGTCGATCTCTGTCCGTGGAATCGTTCTCGCAGCAGAAGAAACTTGTCAGAAAGCTTGTGAAGCTGAAACTGAAAACCACCAAAATCAGTTATCCGCTCATTCCGCCCTTCAAGTCAAGAGATATCATAAAGACGCCGTTGGAAGTCAGCGAGCCGCCATCTGAAGTGGATCCAATGGAAATTCCGACAAAAGCCTTGGTCTCAGTGATTGACGATGGAAGACTTCACAGATGGACAAGGAAGATGGATCCAGTCCGAGAGCCTCTGTCCAGAAGGAGAACGTCGATGAAGTTCTATCAGAAACGTTCGGAAGAGTTTAAGACGTCACAAATCCGAGGGAACAATTTGTATTATCCGTTGATCCCACGATGGCTGCCGTCGACACACGAAACTGACCAAGAGGAAAAGTCGCCATCTCAATTCAAGTTCCAACACATGAGAACGAAGCGATTCACAAAGAAACGGAAAGTTCTTTATCGCGAACCTGTTTATCAGCGAGTGTTGAACTACGTGCGCAACCAAGCAAGACTGGACGAAATAGATGAGGAATGTGAGTATCTGCCTGCGATGTGTCCGAAAATTGCTGATGTTCACCTAAATCCGTGGATCTCGTTGCCAAGGAGAAGACACATGAGAATGCCTTCCAAGACAGCTCGTCAAATCGTGAAGGCAAAGACGTCGGCTATAAAGAAAACGAAGGAGGAGGAGCTCCAACCGAAGCGCCTGTGGAGTGTTCAACCGCTACTCCAACGGAAATCTCAGCCGAACGAGCCGGAGTTGCAATCAAATCTCAACTTGGTGCAGCAAGAATTTCAATCAGAACTTCAGCCGGAACTCCAGTCCAAGCCGTCGTCACGTTGTGCCGAAGTTTTCAAGCCGAAGTCCTACCCGCAACCTCATTCAATGCGGCAGCCAACAACTCAGGCTAAACTGCCAGCAAAACTTCAAATGAAGCGGACCGAGCTCCAGTCCAAACGACAGCTGAAAACTCCGTCAAAACTGCCGCCGAAGTCTCAATCGAAGGTTCCGTCAAAGTCGTCATCGAAAGTTAAGCCGAAGCCGAAGATAAAACTGCAGCCAAGAATTCAGTCGAAACATCAGCCAACACTGCAACCCATGTCATGGCTTCGAATGCTTCGGAAACTGTCCAACTACAAACTGAAGATCAGAAGAGTTCCTCTCAGTTCTACGAAAACGCGTCTTCGTCAACCTCGATTGGTTACCAAACCAATCGAAGAGCCATATCTGAATCTGATTGTCGAGCCAACGCCCGATCTGAAGCCATGTTTGGTGAAAGGAAAACGCCGGACTTTGATGCTCGCTTCGAAACCGGTGGAGAATAACGAGCCGTTCTTTGGTTTCGGTTTCCTCAGAACGACCAGCGATTCAACGTCGAAATCAGCACGTCCCTCCTTGCTGAAATACAATGTGGAAACCGATATGCGAGAGAGAGTGGAAGCTGCTCGTTTGGAGAAGCTAGCACTTGAAGAGAAGAAAAATGAAGATGCGGCAAAGACTGAAGAGAAGTCGATCGACAACGTTGTGCAACCGGTCACCGCTACCGAGTCGGAGAAGAAAGATGAGCAAGCAGTCCCCGTTACTGAGTCGGAGAAGAAAGATGAGCAAGCAGTCCCCGTTATTGAGTCGGAGAAGAAAGATGAGCCTGCAGCACTGTTGGAATTTCCCCCACTTCGATTCTTGAAGCCAGTCGAGCCGTCTACAAATACTTCGAGTGTTTCTGAAGAACGATCCAGTCAGGAGAAAGAGGAGAATCCGGAATCGCCGATACCACCAGTGGTTCCAATGATTGTTCCGCCACCAAAACTGCCAGCCGACCAGCAGTGGAGAGCTGCAATGATGGCGAGACGAAGAATGGGAATGAGTAGACCAATTCCTCCACCACCTAGGAAGACGATTCCGAAAGAGAATGAAGAGAATGAAGCGGAGAAGTCGGAAACTACAAACGAGTCTGTGGCAACTTCGGAAGCTTCTGCATCAAAACCAGACGACGCAAAACCTACATCGGCTGATATAAGTGGTACCAACACCGATCAAGGAAACGAAGCTTCAGTCGCTGAGCCGAAGGAAACGCCATCTCTGCCGGTTGTGGATTCATCTTCGGAACCGGCTACATCAGAGACAAGCAGCGCAAAATCGACATTGGTTGGGACAATTGGTACGAAAGCAGACGCCAGTAAAGGAAACAAGGCGCCAATTGCTGAAGCGAAGGCAACATCACTTCTACCTGCTCAGGATGCAACTTCGGACACTTCTACAGCGCAAACGGGCACAGAAGAACCTTCATTAGCTGATATCAGTGGAACCAAGGTAGACACCGTTGAAGGAAACGAGACCCCAGATGTTGAGGCGAAAACAACGTCACCTCCACCGATTGAGGATGCCACATCGGAAGCTTCTACATCAAAACCGAGCAGCGCCAAATCGACATTAGCCGTGATACCCCGTATCCAGATAGACGCTGATGAAGGAAACGAGGATCCAGTTGTTGAATCGAAGGAAACATCGCCTCCACCGGTTGAGGATGCACCCGACAAAACGGACGATCAGGAGCCGTCGTCTTCGACAGAACCATCTGCTGTGGAAGAATCAATACCTGAGGTGGAGCCTACTGTTTTCAACACTCCTGTACCGTTGGCGACGTTGAAAGCCGAGGAAGAGAAAATGCTTCGTTTGAAGGAAGCTGAAAAGGCATTATCAGAACTTCCAGTTGTGACTCGGCCCGAACCGACAACAACTACATCAACTTCAGCTACACCATCACCACAACCGGGAACTCCGGAACCTTCTGGAAAGAAAAAATCGTTCTTCCAAAGATTGCGTGACAAGCCTTTTGTTGCATTGTTTGGCAGGAGCAATCAACCGAGCACTGTGCCACCGCCTGCAGCGTCTACAGCGTCGACTTCTGCTCCTAACACTTCTGAAGCAACTACGTCTGCGGCCAACGCTCCTGATGCAACAACTCAGCAACCAAGAACCTCAGGTCCTGCTCCGGAATCAGAATCGGCGACCGATCTTCAGACTACAGAGAAGGAAGAGCCGTTGCTTCCTAAAATCAAGAAACCTGAATCTGGACAATTGAGAAGAAGAGATCCTCGTCCGTATTTTCGGCCAATCTTGAAATATGATCAAATTGTGAAATTTGTGGACGGCAAGGCAATTCACAATGGTCCAACGCCGCACAGACCGAGACCTAGGAGACCTCAGATTGATATCCCAAAGAAACCAAAGGTCAAGCCACCGCCGCAACCTTTGAGCAGCTCTTCGGAGGAGGACGAGGTACCCACGCTGTCGAGGAAGAAGGAAGATGACAAGGATGAGGGCGACTGTCAACCGTACCCATACGAGCCTCCAATGTATGTCGCCGAGAAGAATAGTATGGCGTTCGACAAAAATCCAGCAATAAGATCGAGGAATCTGGATAGTGAGATCATTAAATCAGCGAGGATCTATCCAGCCGCTGCAAGCTCATCGGACGAGGAAACACCGGAAGGCGAACCAGCTAAAGTATTTGGACCGGCCCATTGCATTGAAGACAAACACGACCCCTTCAATTATCCCCACCAGACGGTCCTGAACAGATATCCGGCGCATCCAAAAACTGGAGATCCAACGATTCAAATGCTCGAAGAAGCGAAGAGGAAGGTCGAAGCGGAGAAGGCCGCTGCTGAAGCAAAGAGGATTGCGGAACTGCCTGTCGTTGACCTTAAATATCCAATGTGGCCGCGTGTCTTCAAAGGCACAATTTCTTATACTCAACACCCTCTCACCAAACCGAAGCCTGTGGAACCTACTCCTGAACCTCCTCCAGCTCCCGTTGAACCCGACACGTCGAACTCGTTTTTCGTGAACAGCAACCTCAAATTTGGAGTTGGACCGCTACCGGCTGGAGTTGGAGAGCTCACTCCGTATTACACCGCCGAGATTGTTGCTAAGCAGCGAGAGGAAGAGCTGATGGCGGAAAGAGATGCGTTCAGAATTGCTGCCCGAGAAGAAGCAAGAGAAGTTGGAAGAGCACTGAACAGAGAATGGAGACGACGACAGGGACTTCCGGTCGATACTGACCAGCCAACGAATGTGGTGGCGACTCCTCAATCCCAACCACCGACTGCTCCAACCCAATCCAAACCGTTCACCATCTTCGGCATTTATCCATTCGGGAGGAAGGGATCCAGAAGTCAACAGACGCCAGTTACGCCGGCAACCTCTCCTACCAGTTCACCGTCTTCACCTGAACCAGGATCTCCTGCCGGTACCTCGTCCGGCCAGCAACCTGCATATCCTTCCACCGATCAAAATGTCGCAGGCCCTCAGATGATCAGAGTAGCTGAAGAAGTTGGGAAGGAAAGTAAAAACTCCCGGAAATTGTCTCGTCGACGTCAACTCAAACTGGAAGATCCATCTGCTTTGCAACTGTCTGGGAACACTGCTTTGCCAAGACCTGCGTGTCCCGAACCGGATGCACCGCCACATTTGGATCCACCGAAGGATGTGCAGAACTACAAATCTCCGTCGCAGAGAAAGTACTACACAAGACTTGGCCAGGAATGGAAACCTCCAAAATCGAAGCGACCTGTGCAAGAACAAGTTCCTGAAGAAGGAGCCTCTACATCAGCCGCCGTCGAGCCAACTACAACGGAACCACCAGCAGTAGATGTGGAGAAGCAGCCAGAGATAAAAATGAAGAAGAGGGTGAAGAAACAGCCGCCTCCGACTGAGGTCACTCTGGTGCTGGACGGAACTGAACACTTCTCCAAGCTGACGAAGGAGAATCTTCAACTGCTGGATCGAGAATTTGACGTCGTGGGGAAGCCGATGGAGCAGTCCATTATTGCATCTGCCGATGAATGTCTTCCATTGCTCCCAATGGATTTGGTATCTGTCTATGGCATCTTGAAGAAAATTTCAAACGAAATGAAAGTCGGCGGCAAGACGATCAAAGCGGAAGTTCTTTTCAATCCGATCTTCGACGACTCCATAGTCAGAAAGAAGAATTCTGCTGCGGAAAAGCAGAAATATGAGACGGCGAGAGCGAAACTGCAGAGGATGATGAAAACCAAGCTGCAGAGAATGAAGGATGCTGGATTCGGACGGCAGACGAAACGAGAAGCTGCAGCCACCGCCGCCCGTCACGCTCGCAAAGTCCGATTCTTTCAAGCCAACAAAAAACAGATGATGCCTGCTCTTTCAACCGACTTCCAACCGAAATCCATTTTGAAAAATCCAAAGCCACCGGTTCAGTGGTATTATCGAATTGATGGAATGGGCAACAAGATTTACTTGAAGAAGTTGGAACCCAGTGAATGGCAGAGAAAGATGGAGGAGAAAGCAGCGGGACCAGCACCAGTATACCGGAAGAAATCGAGAGCAACTCGCAGTTACTTGAAGTGCTGGGCCAAAGTGATGAACAGAATCGGACATCAGAAGTGGGATGCAATGACGGAGAAGGAGATCGTGGAAGCGAACGGCGGGACAGCACTCATTCTGCCGAAGGAGAAGCGACCGAAAGACGTATTGGTACCTGAGCCAGATTTTGGTGTCTTACTTCCATCAAGATCGTTGTCCTCAATATCTGTTTCTTCAACTGAATCACTCACTTCGCTGCTGGATGCAAGAGCGACAACGCAAGTGAAAGAAGAAGAGGAAGCAGCACCTACGTCATCTCAATGTGACCAAACTGCGTCAATTGCCACTGATGTGTCAGTCCAATCGGCTGTTTCGGCCGCATCAGAACCAACTTTAACCGCTTCAAAAGAGAAGCAATCTCTACAACAGCCGTCCAAGCAGTATCCATTGGTGTATATTGGAATGACCGTTTCCCGTTCGCCAGCTACCTCTACCAGTCAAGTTGATGCGCCGGAAGCGATTGCGTCTGTAGCTGAAGATGGATCGCAGATTCTGGAGTATGTCGGACAAGAGGAGACTTCGGCAACAACAATCCGACGAAGATTCGATCCATTTGTCCGTCCATTGAACGCACTGATGAAAGCCCTCAGCTTGAGCACAACCGAGGTCGGCCTGGAAGCCTCGGACAGATCGAGACCAATAGAAAGGAACCGGTTCTCTGGATTCTTCCGGCGCTCCTCGGAAACGATGCCCGAGTTTTCTTCTTCAAGACCCGTGTCGTCATCACCCACGCGTCGACGCTCTGTTCGTTTCCCGGTCACGTCGATTTCTCAGGGATCGTCTGCGGAAGACATTTTGGCTTTGATGCAGCAACAGCCAAACGCCCTCGAGAAAATGGAGGAGCTTCCAAAGCCAAAAATAGAATTCCCACCACTCGAATTGCCCGACGAGATTCCGCCTGGACAACCAATGTTCTCACCGAGGGAGAAACCTGAGTTCAACCTTGCCGAACAACTGGAACTTCTGAACAAAGGGGACAGAGTAATTCATAATGACGATTTCTACGGCTGCAGAATGTCACACGAAGACGGAGTCAATAGTGAGATCATTCGTGAACTTGTCACCTTCGATTTGGACGAGTACATGCGGATGAACACGTTTCCACGACCATGCGTGAATATGAAAGCTTTTGGAAGATACTCGACGGACAGTATGAGAGTTCTCGCGAAATCGAATGCAGCAAGCCGGAAAGCAGTGGAAATGGTTGCGCGGAAGTTGAACAAGTGCCAGGGACGAGTCGAGAAAGTGAAGAGGATTGCGGACAAAAAGCCCAGGAAGATCCGTGTGCAGTACAAGTTCAAGAAGACCTGCGTGAAATATCGGGTGAAAGTGATGATTCCGGCATTGAAAGCCAATTGTGATCAAAAGAGACTGCCGGCGAAAGACATCGGAGCCGATGAAGAACCCGAAGAAATAAACCGGACGGTTGACTACGATGGTGACGACGATAGTGAAGTAGAGTGCACAGGAAAACGAGGCCGTGTGGGACTGTTTCCCGGAATCAAGCGAGCAGCGATTCGAAAGAATCAGAGAAACCAACTCCTGCGTCATTACTTCCGATTCGCCGTTCGAATGGCCAGAAAAGTTACTCGACGCTCTTTCGGAATCAAAAAACCATTCATTTTCTACGCATTCATCAGCCAAGTCAGAAGTCGAATGCGTCAGTTTATGCAACTCCGCAAGCAAGAGCAGAAAGAAGTGACGGATTCTCGCATTAAGAAGAATACGTTCCTGGGGCGGCACATGAAGAAACAAGAAAAATTGGACAAAATTCCAAACCTGAAATGGATGAGACAATGTTTGAGCATCAAAAAGCCTCCGATCGTTCGGAAAGTGTTAAAATACGTGAGTTAGCTTAAGGCAAAACGAGAAATATTACATATTTACAGGGATCTACAATCCGAAAACGAGTAATTCCGGAGAGTTCGAAGTTTTCCGCATTTAGGATGAATGCTCGCCTCGAGGATTTCTTTGAATGCCTTGATCAATACATTGATGTCGGAACACCAATCAAACTGATGTTCAAGTCCATAAATATTCTGTTACCGAAAAAAGTGAGTACAGCAGATAGGGACCGATAGTAGTTTCACAGTTGCAGATGTTCGATCCAAAAACAAAAATGGTTGATTCCGACTATTACCTGACACCTTCACCGTGCGATACGGACAGCGATTTCTCCGTCGACACGCCTGTGCACAGAAGAGTCAGGATCAGGAAAGAGTTTTTCAAGCGCGAGAACTTGGAATCCACGTACCGCGTCAAAGGACTACCCGGACTCATCTACCTGGCTCGGCTGGTCCAGGAAAGAGTCGGAGAAGATATAAACAGAAACATTCCGTTCTCTGGAGCAGCCATGGAAGACTCTAGAATGATGGTCTACGTGTCTCCCATTCGCCGTCTCATGTTGCTCTCGTTGGGCTTGAAACCGCCAGACCGCGTAAATCGTCTGAACAAGAAAACAATAGACGATGCGCCATTCAAATCACTGTTTCGGTACTTGTTCATGATGATGTGCTACGGCAAAGGAGACTTTGTCCGTTACGTAAGTTTTAATTCAGTTTTTTGCTTGTATGCAATCCTTATTTTTCAGGTAATCTTCAGAATAACAATGGGCCAAGGTCCTCCTGCAAAAACACACGAGCAACTTGATCTTAGTTTTCAGGCGCACATGATGCACAAGATGTACAAAAAGTGAGCAACTTGAATTCAGACCTTTTTTTAATATTCTTGTGTTTGCAGAATGGTTTACCTCAAGAATGGCCGAGAAGCAAGACTCGCTGTTCGAGAACTACTCCGCCACGGAGCTGAAATGGAGATTGAGAATCCATACGCCAAAAAGTACCGGATGGGAGAGTACGATCCACTGCTTTACGGAGATCAACAGCCGTGGACTGAAGACGATTGGTTCGCTATCTGCGACACTTTCATCGATGCAACTTGCGGTCCGCAAAACTTATCACTCAAAGTTTTCAATGTTTCTAATTTAGATCATCCTGATGTGGTTGTTCACTGCCGAGCTGCAATGTTAGGGTTGCGTATGATGTATTTGGATGCTTACTCGCAGGACATTGTTGACGACCTCATTGAAATGGTTTGTCAAGTTGAAACTAACTTCAAAGTTTGAAGCAATCGTTTTCAGAAAATTGACATGTCCGACAAGTTTCTCTTCATCATGAACCTTTCTCCACCAGAGTTTCTACTCGAGAACATTGTCAAACTGTTCAACATGTGCCGTGGATTGGACCGTCTTCCGTTTGTTGGACTAGGATATCATCCGGATCCGCTTCGCATTCTGTTTGAAGAGTCCGTGGAGAGTGGTGACCATCAGCTCGTTGCTCACATTGCTCGAGCAGGAAGATGTTTGGATCGCCGCTCCGGTGAACCAATGGTAATTAATTATTGGAAAGACACTAGAACAAAACTTCAAATTTTCAGATGACCGATTGTGACTCTGACCGGATCAAGAATCGTGACATTTCTCAAATCATGACCGACGTTCTCACCAACTACGACGAAAAAATGCCGCGAGGAGCGCCAACATTGGAGGAAGTGTTCCCATACCGATACATTCATCATGAAGATGGAACCGAAATAAACCAGACTACGTGCGTTTCTTTTTATCATTTGCTTAATGCATCTTGTCGTTTTTAGGGAAGAACTGGCTGAAGTGGTTGAAGTTGAAGTGACTAGATACATGGCTCTTCTAGAACTCACCAAAGGAGCGACTATTGCAAAGGGAGATTTGGATCACAATCCGAGATTCTATCTTCATCCAAAGAGATTTTTCGTTAGTGTCCTTACTTTTCCCTATAGATCCATTATGAAAATTTTACAGTGGGAGATTCTATGTACTGGCTGCAAAATGACCGTTGCAAAGGCACGATATTTGGGAATATTGGGTCGAATCCTTTCGGTGACGACAATGCCACTGATTGAGCAGGGAAAAGACAAGAGGAGGTGGCCGAATGCAAAAACGATGTCGCCAAGGTTGAAGTATGAAACCTACATTGAATCGTTGGACCCAACTGAGAACAAGATGCTCATGGCGAGAGACGTCGAAGAAGAGAAGACGGATATTACTATTGTTTGTTCAAAGCTTTCTTCTCAAAGTTATTCACATTTTTCAGTCACCATTGCCTATTCGTTTCGCATGTTACCAATGTCAATTCGTACTACCTCGATGTGTGGTCTGTATGTGCTCACTCTTCAACGATCACATGAATTACGCTCTGCAAGATCGAAATGAGAGCTTCTCTCAATTTGCCGTCTGCACGGTAAGAAAAACAGAAGATCTGACGGTTCGGAATAATTCATTTGTTGCAGATATGCAATCATGGTGGTCATGTCAATCATATGGCCGAGTGGTTCCATGACGAGGTAGTCTGCGCAGTTTCTGGATGTGATTGCCAGTAAGTTCCAAGGAATTATGAGGTTGAGTCGTATATCTGAAATTTTAGATGTGTAATACGCAGAAAGACACCGGACTTGAAGGCCCGAGCGACGAAGCAGTTGAAATTGTCTTCGAATATGAGAGCAAAGTCGCATCTGTGCAATCCGGAGTGTGCCACCGAAGCGGACATCGACGAAGGATACCTTCCGGATCCCGACATCGAGTACTTCCGAGAGGATCGAGAAAGAGAAGAGAGAGAGGAGCGAGAACACATAAAAAGAGAGAAAATTGCAAGAGGACTCCCACTCAGCGATGATGAATTAGACGACTGATTGTTTTGTTTGTATTTTTCGAACCTTGATTATCATTTCATATTGAGATAGAACCAGTTCCTTTTGAACAGGTGCACAATTTTGTTTATCAATAAATACCGTGAATGAGTTTTCAATTTTCAGTCTTCAGTTTTCAGATTTATTCATACAAATGATATTAGTCCAGAAATTCGTCGTAGAAGTCATTTTGCCTACTCTCAAAGTGCATTCGGCTCAATTCAGGTGGAATCGCGGTTGGGTCCAAACCGGCGGTCCTACAAATTCACGAAAAACATGAGACTCATGATTACCGGACTCACTCGCAAAGTTTCTCTTGCAAAGAAGAAATAATTTTGTTCACGTCGTTTTCAGCCGCATTCGGCAACATGTAGTAGTCAGCGTCGTTTGCACCTTGATTCCTCAAAATTTCATAGAACAAATCTGTTGTCTGAAACAAAAACAGTTTGATAATGAAGTACCCCATTTCCGGTTTACTTTGTCAGATTCATAGAACGGAACAACAAAGTGATAGGCGTTGGTCGTGGTGAATTTGAAGTATTCTTGGAAAGTTTCGTTGAGTGGAGCTCTGAGAATAGAAATGTTTGCGAATATTGTCATTCTTGACTAACGGGGATCTTGGCAACCAAATAAAGTATTTGGTCGTGGCTGTATCGTTGAATCTGGTGCAACTGCAGTCCATTTTGTTGACATTTCTTCCCAAGTATTTCATTGTTCTGCAACCCAACCGTTCGTTGTTGTTTTGTTTTTCCGTTCATTTACCTATCAGAATAATCCGGACTGAATCCAGATCCATTGATCGTCGCAGTCAGATAAGTGTTGTACTGCGAAGGGCAGAATGCTGAAGTCTTGACAACACTGTTGTAGTAAATGAACGAAGTGATTGCAGCTCTTTCTATAAGCGAACAGACGTTCTACACATTTGAGAAAGAAAGTACCGTTGTAGAAACGTGGCAAGTCTTGATCGCATCTCGCCTCGTCGTTGTCAATGTAATTGAAGTTTTGGCGGAAATTCAAAAGGAAGGTCTCCAACTTGAATTTAAAAAAACTGAAATTTGCAACAAAATAATGTTTAGCTCACATTTTCGGCAATAGTTGGTGATTGCGGCAAAGATCGATCGATCGCAATGTTGATGTTAGTTTGCAATGCGAACGCGCATGTACGTGAAGCTGAAAATGGGTTGGTTTCATTGTTCCATCAAATATTGGATCCTACGCTTGTCAGGGAGAACTGCAGAATCGTTATTTACAGTACTAGCAAGCATTGTTTTCACGCCGTTGTAATAATCTCGCACGTTGGTCACATTGTCACTGAACTTTTTTAGCGAGTCTATAATAGACGAATCGGCATTCTGAGAGAATGGAGAGAACACCACAGAACTGAAAACTCAACGGGTTGACCAAATCTGGATTAAATCTCTCTTTCACCTCTTTTGGAATGAATCCAGTCCATCTAAAGAATCAGTCGGATCGTCATCGGCAGCAAGTCTGTAAATTAAGAAAAAGTAGAAATTGAACTAAAAACTATCTTGTACGCAATCTGTGTACTGTAGAAAATATTCGAGCTTTCAGAGTCAACCAATTCTGGCTTATGGAGGTTGTATGAGGTCAGAACAGCTGACAATGATCTGAAGAAAATTGATACTCAAAAAGTACTTTATAACAGCCGTACTTTGACAAACTCGCCACTTTCGACGGTTGATCTCGCAGACTAAAGAAAAGGTTGAGTCGAGCGGTCAAATTGGCTTCATTCTCGTACTTCTGGAAACCAAACGACACAGAGTTATTCCAATTTGCGACCAAATTAACGTAGTGCACATAGTTAAATGCCTTGACATACTCCACAATTGCTTGCTTAAAAATAGAAAGCTTTTAACGCTACTTTTCTTCACTGCGAAAACTGACTGTACTCTGATTGAACGCATATTCATCACTTCCAATCACATCAATCACAAAAGCAACTGCGCGAACTTCCTGGGGAGCGACAGTCGTTACAGTGGAAAAAACTGGAGTTTCTGTAGTTCCAGTTGAGTCAGAGAATGGAGACGTTGTAGAACCGCCTGTTATCAAAGTTCAGTTCATTATAATTCCGAAAAAGCTAACCTGCAGATGGAGTAGTAGGTGTAGTCGATGGCGGAAGCGGGGTGAAACCTGTGAGACACACTTGCAACAATTAAATTAAATGCATGGCTTACTCTCTGCGCATCGACGTCCATAAGTTTGGACTGGACAGCGACAGACTGACACGTCGCGAATTCCTCCGTTCTGACAGATTGGCTGAGAACAGTCGATTCCAGTGAATCCCAGATCACATTCGCAGGACAAATAAGGTGACCCATTTCCTCCGCAAGATGTGCTATTGTTGTTGTATTCTGCAAAAAATATTCTGAAAATGTTGGTTTCTTCATGTTTTTCACTTGTTCTGTGACAGGTTAAAACAAATTGCTGCTGGCGGTTTTCCAAAGTGTTAGTTCGAGTTGTAAGCTGAAAAAAACCAATTTTGATTTCAATAATTGTACAAGAAACTAAAATACCTGAACTTGGTATCCAATGATTGAAGACGCGGAGCAAACATTCAGAACAGCGAAGTGTTTGAAGAAACAAGACGCATCCGTTTTCCTAGTGAAGAAAATCGTGGACGCGTTTGTAAGTGTCCCGTTAGATGTGATTTCTCTTATGGAGAGGAATGGATGATTTTCAGGACTTGAAGCAGGAAGATTGGTGTAGGGCGCCGAAGAAATCGCCAGCACGTTATTCTGGCTGCTAGAGATTCCACCGTTCAGCTCTTCATTTTCTCCATTCGTATCGTTGTTGAATCCATAAGCTGTCTGGAAAGCATGCGCTTTATCAAAATTCTAATTGCATGAATTTTGATTACTTTCAGGTAGCTAACTGTCTCCACTAGATAGAGTCCACTGGTACCGGGGTTAACTTCTGTTAACTCGAATGATTTTCCGTCTGGAAAAGTGTAAAATTCAATTGCAATTCTCAGTTTCTCTTGCCTTTAGCATTGTAACTGAATGTAGAAATCCGAGTGTCTCCAACCACGAACTGTCCATCTGAAATAATTTTAAAGAATCGGGACTAGTAATAAACATTTACCGTTATCAATGAAACATTTGTAAGCGTGCACAAATGCGATGACATTAGCATCGTCGAAAGTAGAATCTGGTGGAATGACAACTTTGACTGCATCACTTCCTATAGTTCCCGTTGCGAACACATTGAACACTCTTTGCGGAATGCCCTTCGCATATTGCAGCGATTGGAACAACGGAGCAATGTACTTGTGCATGTACTAAATAGTAAATTAATATGGATGATGTGTGTTCTCAACAACTTACATTTTCAAAGTCTTTTGCCGACGTGACTGGAATAGGAATTCCGTTTCCAATCAGCGAGAGTGTGAGATAGTTATCACTGAGAGTTGTAGAATCAGCAGTAGACAATACTCTGATTTCAGCCCTTTTCGCTGCAAGACGGATCAGAAAATCTCCGTCAATATTCGCGTCGGGATTGGAAGTGAGCACTACTATGAATGCTCGGTTAGTGATCTGAAGGATATTTACGAATAGTTACGAAGTATTTTAAAAACAATTACTTGGCGATCCAGTGCAAGATTGAGTGCTGCGTACAAAGAGTCCGGAGTGCCTGGAGGAGGTGTAGCAACGTTCGAGGGAGTTCCAAGAACTTCAACAAGATGCTGACCGTTTGTTGTAGACTGAACTAGTCTCGGACTGTTTCCATCACCATCTGCAAACTGCGAAATGTTTGAAACTAAAAAAGGTACAACTCACAAATGATGACATTGATTGGTATTCCTGTAATGTCCAATCCAGTTGTCAAATTGCTGAATGCTAAAGCTTGAACATCAGCAACAATTGTCAGGGACGACAAGTCAGAACGGTAGTCCGGAGTTGTTGGCGAAGAAGAACAAATTGCATTATCTGTTAATGTGACATTTCACAAAAAAAATACAATTCAACAAAATTACGAATTTCACAAAAGTCGCCAGAGAAAAGTGGTGCACAGTCGCATGTGTTTGCAGTTGTTACGGATCCTGAAATCGAAACGATTGACTCTAAGTTGTTTTCCTAGACGATACCTCCATTCTGACAGACAGGAATTTCACAAAGTTGTCCGGACCATCCTAATGGACAGCTGCAACCATTAGCCTAAACTTAGAGTTCGAACAAAAATGAAAACGAGCTGTTACAGATTCGATTCCCCCGTTCAAACAGTCTCCTGAAGATGCGCCAAGACAAGTGATCGGGAAAGTTCGAGTGATATTTCCGCTGTCGCTCAATCTATCGATCTGAATTCTCACTGTCTCTATTAGTGCGATTCTCCACAGAACACCTTAAAATGATAAAGTCCCCCGGAAACACTGCAAATCCATTTGTAATCAGTTGTCCAGTTATAGTAATTGCGATCACATCCGTCTGCAGCAGTGGTGATGTTGCCAGTGTAGATGGGCTGCAAATACAAATTTAGCACTGAGTATTTGTAAACTTGCAGCTACCTTAGCAGGGTTTTGTGCGTCACTATAGGTGATTGAAACAGTTGAGCCATCTCCAAATGGTTCTGTTGAATAGAAGAATGGAACAAATTCTCCTACTGAAAATTTATTTTGTTTTTTTTTATTCAAATGACTTCCGATCAGTTTTAATTCTACCTCCGTACTCAACATCATTGCGGTTTTTTCCATTTTTGTCCACGAATGACAAACTGATCGATTGTGTAGTGTTCGTGTTCGACAATAAGATGGCGTTAGACTTAAAACAGCTTTTGTCATGTTCTCAGTCAATTTTTGTAAATTTACCCATTGAGCAAGACCGGACGTCGAGAAAACTACCGGTATATTGTAGATTTCAGATTTATTTGGAGTCAATGTGAACAATTGGAGCTCACCAATCTGTTCTAATGCTTTAACGCTGAGTCCTTCAACTGAGACGCTTGCTGGAACACTACTAGTTTTGTCGAGAAGAGATTGCATTACGACAAACCGTTAACACTTCCATTGCCAGTAAGATCTTCGTTAGTAACAAGGAGGACATGTTGCTCAGTTGTAAGGTAAACGTTATTCAGGGCAATTCCAGCCCTTTGGTTTTCTGCGTAGCTTTTGGCAACAATGTCGTTATTAACCAGAAGTGAATAATATTGCACAAAGAACTGTGGTCTGTTTTATTAATAATCAAACGTAAGCCAAACTTACTCTTCTCATGTCATCGTATCCGTTCAAACGTACTGCCACTCCTCCACTTGCCACCGCCAAATCATTTACGTATTTGTACACGTTATTTGGAACTGTTCCATAAGTTTGAACAAAAATGACGTACAGCTGAATGATATGAATTGATCAACTAAATTTGTTCACAAAATAATACTCTGGATCGTTTCTCTGCTAGTGCAGTTTTAATATAAGTTTGCTCGTTTTCATCTTCTGGTACAATAATATCAAAGTTCACAACAAAGAAAATGTCTGAAAAGCGAACATTTGTGTTGATTGTGTTTTGAATATACCAGAGTAAGGATTCGATGTCTTAATAGTTTGAATCAGCAAATCAGTAATTGAGAAATTTCTAGATGCATGGATTCCAGCGTTGGAAACACTTGTCCTTGTTGCGTTGATCACTAGCGTCATAAACGTTCCGTAATCAACATTTTGCTGAAACAGTTTTTGCATTGTTAGATAATAGTAGTTGTATAGTGTTACTTCAAATTTGTACGCAGCTTCATTAGTAAGTGTCGCTTTGAAATCGCTGTAACGGACAGATTCAGGTAGTCGGTGAGCGGTCAGGTAGTCGGTGAGCGGATAAAAAATGCTATTTTCGTTTATGAAGACGTTGTCAACAGACGAGCTGAAAATTATAGAATAGAACGAGAATTTTTGGTTGAATAACATTGTTTCGTTGCTATCTCTTGTGTTTTCACAGATAATCACAAAACTTCGTTCGCCATATCTTTCGTATCCGATTTCGTTGCTGCATGAAATATCTAGAAAAAATTGCATGAAAACACACAAAACTATCGAAAAAAACACCAGCTGAGAAAGATTGTCCCCCGACCAGAGGCGTGAAGGCAACTACCTCCTTATCCAAATTGTTATAAACTTTTTCTGCAACAAATTTTCAAGTAAACTTTTTGTCAGATTGCTTACCAGCGTAGCTTTGACTTGCACAATAGATTGGGAAAGAGACGGAAAGTTTGTTGCCCGGAGTAATGATCTGAAACACTGTTTTATTCAGAAGAAGGAGAACGGCGTTCAACTCACAGTTACAACTGACGCTCCAACAGCAGTACATTTGGCATCCGTGTACATATTGAATTGACAGCCAATCCTCGCATTAATGCTATTTCCGAGGTTGAACGTTTCTGGATTTCCGAAAGTGCGGAAGCCGTCAGCCCCTTCAAGAACTCCGTCAGTAGATTCGAGCCGGATAACAAGTGGATAGGAAGCTCCTGCAACCATTGTCGGCTCTTTTCTGGATGATTATGAAATAATACCATTAACCGAGGTACCGTATGCCACATCAACAGTTAACATATCTTCTAAATAAGTGCTAGTGAATGCGGAATAAGCTTTCAGCCGATTTCCAGAAAAAACGAGGATTGGAGTTCCATCCACCTGTCCAGTTACTGTTAATAGAGGATTAAATGTTCCAGCAGACAGTCTAAAAAATTACACTCTTTAAAAATATCACGAAAACTCTCAAATGTACTTGTAAAGTTGCCAAAAATCAGTCTTCCTCACAAGTGTTGGAGAATCCGCATTGATGTTTAAATCTGAAGAATTGAAACAAAATATATGTTTTGTTAATGAGTATCACTTTCTCCATGATACGTTTGTGCGCCAAAAAACAAATCGTTTGTGGTATCAACAGGCAAGCTTGGAACTGCATTGCTCAATATTGTGGACACGCCGATATCCTGGTTCCAGAAGTCAAGAAGCGTGCTCACAATCTTAACGGTAAATATTAATTTTCTGCAAGTCAGAATGAAAAGCTCACTCCGTATTGCTCGTCGGTGGACGCGATACTTGGGAGCACAAAGGTTCCGAAAGTCGCTGATGCAATTTTGCTCAAGTACGTAAGACTGGGGTCACTGGCAAGCAAAAGTGGTAAAGTGTTGTTGTACACAACCACGTTGATCTGAAAAAGTAACGCTAACTGATCTTCTTTCAAGTCTGATAATTACTTGAATTCTTCTCGCAATTGCAGTGGCAATGATGTTTTCAGCTACTGCGTCATCAGTAGATGCTACTTTCATATTGGTCACGACAAATACCTTCAAATTTATGGATGGTTCTAAACTTCAGTTCTAAACACCTACAATCGAATTTGGAGGTGCATTTTGAACCAATGTGTCGAGGTTATCGATGTTCAGTTGCTGACAGTCAATCGGGTTATTATCTTCATCCTTGCACGTATCCGGATCGAGATATCGTGAAATACTTGTTTTGCAAATCTCATACGAGTCAGTTGCTCCCTGTAAAAACAGTTGGTTTGCAGTTTCAAAGTTTCCAATACGATCGAATATCCGAGATTATTGAAATTGTAGTTGAAGTTTCTCCAATAGCCGGTGTAGTTGCAAACAATATCTCCGATGCTTCCACTTTTCCAATTTATTGTCATCTGAGTGTTGTATGTGGCAAGAAGAGAAATCGACTTTTCGTCCTTAGAACTCGAGTATTTTTGCTGGCTGCCATCCACGCATGCCACTGAACTTAGTATTGACAAGATAACACGGCACTAAAAGTTCATACCGGGTTCACAGTTTCGACCGAGGAAGCCTGGAGGACAGATGCAGCGGTCGACAACACCCTTGCTTCCTTGGCCATCAGTACCGAGCCTTCCGTTGAATCCAAAGTTTCGACACTTCCGGTTCAAGCAGAAATTTCCATTGTAATCCACGTCGCAGGTGCAGGCACCGTTCAAATAGCTGTCATGAGAGCAGAAGTTTACAGTTGCTGAAATTCAGAAAATAGCCTCGAAAGTCAGTGTATTTCCCCATTTTTACCAATGTCTTTTGTCGCTAAATAATGGTTATTGTAATCTTCCGCTAATGTGCACTTCCAAACGACAAAAAGGAGACTGAGAAGAAGTTTAAGTGTCATTACTGGAAGAAAAAAACTATAAATGCAATGAAAATAATTAGAAGCTGTGTGGAAAACTAGCATAAACGTGGGAGAACATGATACGGAGTGACCAAATGAAAGGGAAGAACGGAGGTTTAATTTTATCAATCTAGTGACTCCAAAAGTATAAAAAGGCACGCCCTGAAAGGCATTTCAAATGATATTGCCAGTGCTCAAAACCGGTCCAATGATAAACCAATAGTGTTATCATGAAATGCAATGAAATGCTCTCTTCAGTCATTTCTTTTGAGGAGAAGGGGGACGGGTTTTATTACTTTTTACTTGCCTATAAATTACTATTGCATAACAACAATATTTTAGCAAATTGGCTTTAAAAAATCATATGAGAAAATCATAGAAGATATTCTTGGTTTACTGGATTCTCAAAGCTAGTTGGTCAGAGTTCTGACTGAACTTTTTCTAGAACAGAACAAACGTTTTCCTTTTTCATTTTTTCACAACTTCCTCAAACTAATTAAAATGCCGAAAGCAGTTCGAGAATTCAAATGACGTCATGGGGTTACTCCCTTCATTTTGATAAGAGGTTTAATTTTCCTCTCTTCCGACCATCAGTCGGTTGTGTTATTCATTGCACGAGAAAACTCTGTATTCTAGGAGAAGACTCGATGGATTAAGTGAGGGACAATAACAAACAAAGTTGTGGCAAAATGACAGCAAGCATGAGCATCGATGGGAACAAAATTTTACTTTTCGCTTTGTGGTAAACACAAGCGCAGCAAAAAGTTATTTCCATCCGGAGGTTGGTAGCCAAACAAACAAAAAACATCTAGAAACGGGTATGAAAGAGTAAAATAGAAAACAATTTAGGGTTTTTGAAAAATGTGAATTTTGAGTTGCGCAGAGTGTTCGAAGCATCAGAGCTGTGGCGGTTGGAACGACGGATTTTGCAGTCTGATTCGAACAATCAGTTCTTCGTTCAAACTGGAAATCTCCTGGAAATCCTTGTTCATCAGATCGAACTGCTTGTCGTACCGTTTCTGCTGTTCGGTGAAAATCTGAATATTTCCTATCGAAAACTGTGCGAAACAGTATTTGTTTACCTCAGATTCGAGGATTGATACGGCTTGCTTCAATGCTCCATTCTCTCTCAGCATCTCCATTATTTCCAGACAATACAAATGGATTCTCGTGAAAGATTCCATTGCCGAACGTCCGCGATAAGTTTCGCAATGCTGAAAATGTTTGTTTAGTCAAACTCAAGACTGCGTTTTGCGATCAAACCTGGAGCAAAATGTTGTAAATGATGGCGAACGAGCGATTGAGCGCTTCGTTCTCTCGTTCCTGCTGCTTGCGGAGGGCCGTCCGTTCTTCCTGCATCCTCAACATTTCAATTTCTTGCTTCCGGACCATTTCGTCCAGATCTCTGCTTCTCTGCTCATAGTCGTAGAAGTTGTTTTCAGGTGCCTCAGCAATTTTCTTCTTCTGAAATAACTCTTTCAGAATTGGCTAAATTAGTTGTAAATCGTACAAGTTTCTCTGCCAAAGCGATGTTGTGCTCTGTTTTGGCATCGATATCCTCCAAAGCAGCTTTCATCTCTTCTATCCTTTCAATTTCTTCCTTTTGAACGCCCTGAACATAATGGAACACTGATAAGCTGTTCAGTTTCGAAACAATTTCAAAGCCCACCCGCTTTCTCATTGCAGAAATCACTTCCAACTTTCTCAACGCCGCTTCTTTCTTCCGCTCTTCCATTTGCAACGTGTCTTCTTCCATCTGCTTGTTCAGTTCAGATATTTTTCGCTAAAAAAGTTTAATTTACTGCACTATGCACATTTTGAAAACAAACCAAGAACTTCTCCGCATATGCCTCAGGGTCCTTCATGGCTTCAACGAGAATCGGGTCAAACTGGGCAAGTTTGTTGCGTAGCTCGGCGCTTTGTTCCTCGACTTTGCAACGTTTAGCTTGTAGCTGAACAAGTAATATTACCATAGATGAGTAAAATGCCGACCCAAGGGTTTTCGGAGCCCACTTCGCAGGTTTTCTTAACTTGGATTGCAGTATGTTGGGTCCGAGTTTCAGACTCGTCGGGTTATCTGGTCCGGAGATATACTCGTTTGAGACCGAAAACGCTAGGTTTTTGCGTAAACTTGTGCTGTTTTGGCATCTTATTCAGACATATCGGGAACAGATAATCGGATTGGTCTAAAACTTTGACCCCAATTACTTCAATCTAAGATTTGAAAACCTGTAGGGGTCCAATCGGAATATTGTAAGTGTGTCAGAAGTCCTCGAAAAGAGTGGATTGGCCTTTTGCACAGCCTTGCGTATTACTCACCTCTCGGTACTCCTTCAGTTTAGCATCGTACTCCAACTGCAAGCCTGCCGATTCATCGACTTCGATAACGGCGGTCTCTTTGCTCTGTTGCCCCGCCGTTTCCTGCACAGTATCCTCTTTTCTTGTGACAAATGTAGGCTTTGGTGGAAGAGCCGGCTTTGATTTCATGGGGATGTTCATAGGTGCCGATCCCGTGTCATGCGAGTTGATGTACTGCGCAATCCACTGACGAGAGTCGCGTTCAGACGGAAAACAATCGAGCATCGACAGGGGATAACGTTCTGCAGAATTCTGAAAAAGAAGATTATCCACGGAAACTTGTAGATGATGACTGACGTCGGAGGGAATCCATTGTTGCTTCTTGCCAAGTCCACGGCAGTAGGCAGGCACCCACGCTGGCTGCGCTTTCAATATTCCGACTGTTTTCACGAAGAAATTGTGGCTTCGATCTGAATTCCATCGTGGTTTTCGACTATCGACAACTAAGTTCAATTACCTTTATCAACATTCTCTTGCGTTTCGGTCGGTAATTTCCTTATCAACTCGATGAATGCACTGCGTAGGTTGTTAATGTTGCCATAAAGGACTGTGTGGAGGGCGGTGTCCCCGCGAATGTGAAACTTCTGGAAACAATAGTTGTAACGGAAGAAGATGGTTTGTGTTATGTACCTGTAGATGAGTGGAAATTGCATTTGCAAGATGCAGCCGTGCTGTGATCTCTTTTGGGTAAACATATGATGGCATCGTCTGTTTGCTACTGCTATCAATTTTCCAAATACATCTGAACGCCAGTTTTTTTTTTTCATTGATTTTGGTTACATTCTGCGGTTACCTGACTAAAAACTCAAAAATCTGAGGCGTGCTAAACTCGATTTCATCGTCATCGGCAAACGAACTGCAAATTGGCATTATTTTTTGAAGAAAATCTCCGGAAATCACCATTCAACATGTTTGCATGCTTCTTTGATGAACTCGTCTGCTTCCTCCATTTTTCAAAGGTTTAATTTCCTGAAAATATCGAATGTAATGCTACATTTGTGCGATAAACAGAGTTAAAAAAATGTTTTGGTGTTTTTTAGAGAGACGCAGATCGGCGGTGCATTACGGACATTGCGCACATGACGACAATTGTTTACCGTACTACGTGCAGAAAATAGAGACAGAGGGAGGGAGAGGGAGAGCAAGAGAGTTTGCAAAAAGACAAAAGGTGGGGGGAGAGAGAGATTAAAGAAAGATCTCAGTTCGGAGGAAAATATGTATTCTGGTATGAAAATGTGTTTTCAGGCCGCAACAACTAGAGCTTCTGAGATTCTTGAAAATAAATAATGTCTGACAAGACAGGTTCTAATTTATAACTTTGAAATCTGTCTTTGTGGAAAAACGACAATATCTGACTTACTCACTAGAAAGAATCTTGCCAGTATGTTTGTTTAACACAATGTGAGTCTGATGGACTCCCACTCTGTTTACGTTTTGAGAAATATGAAAGATACGAAAACTGTACTACTATTGAAAAACTCTAATTTTGCGATGTTCAGATTTAATTTTCAGTTGTATACCTACGATCACTACGCATTCCCCCACGTTTAAATTGGCTGGCGCTGTCAGACAATGCAAACGCGCTCCACCGAACACATTTCAAATCGGAACACGCAAACCTTTCGCGTTCATTTTCTAGCCCTCGATGGAGGTCCCAGCTGGAAACGGTGAGTATTTTTCAGTTAACACTTGTTCATTATTATTTGAATGTATTCAGAATCTTTAAAGAATCTTTTTGACGTGTTTTTGACAGCTTCCGTGGCAAAAGTTCCATATTAGGAGCGCTGCCCTAAATTTATCGACTTATCGACTTTCAGACAACATTTTCAGAAATTTTGAAATCATTTGATAATTCAAAAAGTATTGTCCTATTACAGTTACGAGAAAACAAAATCCCGTTTTGTTGGATATGCCGGATGAAGTGCTGAAGAGTATAGCCGAGTACACCTGCGTGTCGGGAAAGTGAGCTCGTTTCCAGTGTCACGTCTAGTGACTGTGCATCAAAAACATAACAAACTTGATTTCAGGATAGCGCTCGGCCGATGCTGCAGAAAACTTGGTGAAGCTGTCGACGGTCGCCGTGAACGTTTTTGGCCTGGAACATAACCGCAGGAGCTCAACTACCTCTCGTTCATCAACCGTATCGAGTCTGGAACGCTGCATCATATTAAACTCAGCAAGATACTTCCTTCGCAATTGCACCCTTCAAATTTCGATGCTTTGATCGAGTCAGCCCAGTGGAAGTGTGCTAAGGCTTTTGAAATGAAAGGCCTTCATCAGTACATCGACGTCCGGAAGTTCTGGCACTTTAACACCATCGATATTGATATCATTCGCCTCAGTCCGGAAGATTCGTTTTTCCTCAAGAGCGTAAGTGGTCTTCAGTTCGATTGAGTTAAGTTATGTGTTTTTTTCAGCACTTTGAGTATTCGACCACCTTCAAAAAGTGCGTCTTGAACTTGGACAGAAACGCAGAGGTTCACATCGAATACTACGAGAACAAACCAAGACCGGCAAAAAAAAAACAAAAGCTCGAGCGCAATGATGGTCAAACATTGATAATTACATTTAAACGTCGTTCGATTATTTTAAATTTTAAAAATATTAGTGAAGTGTAGCAACTTGCTTAATTCTGCATTTTTGAAGGAAGGTTCCAAATTTCTATTAGTAGTGAATCATTAATGAAGTTGAATGAAACATTTTATACCTAACCCGCATGGTTATCGTCCTCAAAAAGAGACTTATTTTTTTTCTCTTTTTGAACGGCCAGAAGGTGATGTCGTTTTCAGGTCATTACAGCTACAGAAAGACATACGTTACAGTGTACGCAGCTGACATTTCACAGCAGACAGAAGATAGTTCTGAAAACGAATAAGAAGATTAGAGATTTCTGTATTTTCAGGTCCATTTGAACACTTGATTCACTGTTATTTAAGGCTGCTTTCGTTTGCGCACATTTTGTGAGATGTTGCTCAAAATAGTGTAGTTTTAGGAGTAGAAAATTAATCTGGTCTGTACACAATAAAACCCCAAATCGGAATTACAGATGAGGTCAAATTTTAGAGATTTTTTAGTGATAGGCATGATTGGAACAAAAATTGACTTTTCAGTTTGTCATTCACTTTCACTTTCTTATCTCATCCGGATTTGAATCAATACAGTCTCGGTAAGAATCTCACAATGAGATTAGTCTGGGCCAACAAGTGGATTTAGGAACAGACTGTGGGTTGATCTCGCGACACGTCATAATCCGGACAAATGATGGTGCTCTCGGTGAGGTCGTATTAGGCACTGTATAGCCATCAAGATGGTTGTCGTGTGCCCTCTTCCAGGAAAAAGTGACTGTTTCAAGGAAATCAATTTCTGGACAAATATAATTTTTGATTGAAACTGTTAAAATGTCCAGTTTTGATTTATTTGTCATTAGATTCTGGATCTAAACGTGGACCGCCTACGCTAATGAACCGTGTACAAACTTTTCTCCTCTAATTAAACAGTCATTTTCTTTTTCAGTATTCGAACACTTTGCGAACGTCGTTGAAACAATATTTCCGTGCGGCGTTTCACGAAAATCCGCCGGATTCGGATTCATTTATAACTGGTATGCCGAACAGTTTCCAGTCGGATTTCGGATTCGGACGGATAGTTAAGTGTTTCCCAAAGCGAGTAGGGACGCACTACAGGACGGATAATCCTCAAAATCCGTCGCTCACATCGCAAACTGCACAAGTATACTTGTACGCTCTGTCCTGCCTGTGGCACGGATTGTTCGGCCAGCCATAACCGCCTACGGATTACGGTACACGATCGTGTTCTGCGAATCCCAGTTTTATTTCTGCCCGTCCCAGTGACGGTTGTTCTTCTCGTCGCCAGTGCTTCCAATTACAGCTGTAGTGTAGTGAGAAGTTAAATATAGGCGAGTGAGTATCATCCTCAAAAACATGGCTTGTTTTTTCGTGGCTAGCACCGGCGTGTTATCTCTGTCTGGACAGAAAAACCAAAAAAAAAAGCTGAGTCTGGGGCTGGATGGTCCTCACCAAGGCCGTCTGGTGCCCGTCTGGCCCTACAAGACGTAGTCTGCTCTTCCTCTCTCTCTCTCTCTCTTTCTGATTTATGGTGAGTGTCAGCATTACTCGGCGCACATCGCGGATTGTTGAGGATTCAGTCGACAGTAGCATTTTGTTTCTCTCGATCAGTTTCTAACATTTCTTATCAGTATTTGTTTCAACGGAAAAAAAACCCGGAAAAGGTGGGCATTGTTTTCATATGGTCATAACACACCGACTCGCGCCGACATATTTTTTCTTGAGAAATAATAGGACTACTTTAACTAAAGCGAAAATTGGCATGAATGTCTACAGTCTGTTTACCCGGGTCGGTGATGACCTTCGACGATGAATTTGCTTAACACTCTCTCGTTATTGACGCTCTTTCCGAGGGCGCCTTTGAAGTTGGCGCCATAACTTGAAGAAGCCGATGGCGCACTCCAGAGTTCTCTGTGATTCACCTGCGGTCTCTTCAAAGAATCGTCCTCAAGAGCTACTGTCATTTCAATGCCAAAAAACCATGTGTTCCTCTCCTTCTTCTTCTTCTTTTCCATGTACCTTCCCCCTTCTCCGCCCACTTGCCCAGTCACCATACTGACTCCGTATAGAGGTTTCGTCGAATCGGATACCTTCTTCTACCGCTAATGAGCTCGTTTCCAACTTGCTCATTCGACCGTTATAAACATCTTCTATATCCTCCCACATTTTCCGAGCCGTAAGATACGTCTTCAGAATCCACACATGAGTCGTTTTTTCCACAATGATGGTTTCGTAATGGGCGCTAATGTAACGCTTCTCAAATTCGAATAGTTGCAGAGTTTGTGGTTTCGGCTTCCTAATCAAATTGGCCGGCCATTTCTTTTTAATTTCCGTCGGCTCAATGCACGATCATAAAATATGTCGGCCGTCTACTGAATCTCTTTTCTGGATTCAACCTGAAATCTCATTAAGTTTCCCTTTTTGACCTGTCGTTTCTTTCCGCTCGGAAACTACTTTCTCTTTTCACTTTCCGATAATTTTCGATATAGGTAATTTTAATTCGGAGACTTTGCCGAATCGACTTATACTTATCTCTGAGACAATCCAAGGCAATGTGAAAGAGGAGAGAATTGGAAAACCTTGATGAGGACAGTTCCCGTGGCAGAATTCCAATTCCTGTTTTCTGGTTATCATCCAAAAAGAAAGTGTTCTCAAGTCCAAGGTCAAAGTTATCGCTCCGTCATCTTCCTGTGAATTTTAACATTTCTCATTGTCTATTTCGATGTCCCTCCCTATTTGGTTTGTCAGTCATTACCCAAAACCCGGTAAGCCTTTGTTCTCGAATCGATTCAGGGATATCAACCTATACCGGTTTTACTTCTCTCAAAACCATTTTGAGGCAGTTAATCAGGAACCATGTGACTTTTCCGGAGAGATATATCCTCCCTTTCTCTGTGATTTCAGTCACTGGTAGAGGTATGATGGATCTGAAGAAGGGCAGGGTTGAAAGAGTGTTAGAGGATTTATTTTTGTAATGTCTCAACAAAAAATGGTAGATGAAAGTGATGTATACAGAGGAAACCACGAGATCGCAGAAATCACTTGTTCTTCTTCTTGGTTTTTTTTGTCTATATGCGACGTCTCCAATGTTCATCCAATTGTAATTCCACATGCCTTATCTATCGGAAGGTCATTACTATGTTCCAGACGCTCTTCTCACTGCCGCAAAAAACCGGGTTTTTTTTGTCGTAAAAGGAGGCATAGTGCGGAGAGGGAGGAAGTCTCTTCTGCAGCTAGTATGGTCTGAAAAGATCCCGTCGTCTTCACTTTAACCTTGCCGACCTTCTAGGCCACCCGCGCCGCTACAGCCTCCTATTTTTTCATTCTCTTTCTTCCGAACTAAACGGTGTGTGGGGTGTGTGTGTGAGGTGGGCTGCGTCTTCAGATGATGTGCGCAGCTCGCTTTTTTCCTTTACATCGTGCGCCCCCGGCGGCAGATAGGGATGATGCCCGTTGCTGCCTGCCTGCCGCCGCCACTGCCACTGCCGCTGCCATCGACAGTTTCTTCTTCTACATCGTTTTTCTTCTTCTTTTTCTTAGTCGTATTCCCAAAAAAGCTTGTTTGGCACCCGCGCGCACTATCTTTCTCTCCCTCTCTCCTCGTAAATGCCATTCAGAAACCGTCACCTCCCTCCGTCCCTCCATCTCATTTTTTCATTGCCATCCGCGTAAAGTCGTCTTGCCGCCACCCCCAGCTTCAGGTGTCTTCCGCTGCGCATCACTTTGGCAGCGTTTGCACTTTTAGTTCTACAGTATCCTGCCGTCTACTTCCATGCAATCGCATCCTCCGCCCTCCTACCCTTCATTTGTCTGCTCAATCATCCCCCAGGGCCAGCCCTCTTTTTTTCAATCCACTTTTCCTGACCCGACAGCCAAATATATCTTCACACCACATGTGACATCATGCACCCGTTGAAGAATGTTTGCCACGCAACTCGTCCCACGTCTCAATTACCGGCTAGTACCATCTGGTCATTCAGATCATCTGCGAAACTCTCGAACTTGTACTGGTTAGGCGCAATTGACAGTAATCTAGTATGCGTTCGCATGGTCATGCAATCCCCTCCATCTTAGCCATAATTGTGCTGTAATCCAGTTGGCCAGGCGACGTGCTAGACATGTTTTGTTCGTTTTCCTAATAAGGAGCTCGAGATGAACGCCTTGTATGCCAGTGATAATGAGGATCTGAATCTTATCATAACTACCGTAGTCGTGAAATGTAGTCTCCGCCGTTTATGATACTTTTCTTGTGTAACAATTCATGTTCTGGTGTCAGCAAGTCTGCTGCTAATAACCACACACCTTTCCTGGTGGACAAATCCGTGAACTGTTAATGAGTAGGTTGTGGTCCAAGAGACACCGGAACCCGAGTATCCGTGGTCTCTTCATATTCCCGTACTCACCTCTTCTTCTGCCAACACTGAGAGCACACAGTAGCTCGCCACTCAGTAGGCTCGCCGAGTGTAAGTCAAATCCGGAGAAGCAGCTTAAGAAGTACGGGTAGGGTTGAGATGTTTGGCCAAACCCGGAAACCGTATCTCGGCCCCTCCGCCGCCGCGATGACAAACAACTAGCCGAGGTCACTCGGTGCTCTCAAAACGTGGACCAGGCTCAGTAAGTCAAACACACTCATAACAACTGCTCCCACCTGCTGCTGAAGGAGAGCCCCATCCTTAAATTGCTAGCTAGTTCCCGCCGTATCCGTTGCGGGTAACCGACAATTAACATAATCTTATGGCTCACTCATATCACGACAGATTATTACTTTGGCTCGGATTTGCCGCTTCTATCTCTCTTCGCCACTTTCCTCTGTTAATAATTATTTTGGCCGTTTTTCCCAGTTATCCACTCGCGCCGGTTACCATTTCCGATACATTTCCTCTCTTATCGCCCACCATCCGTAAACATTCTCTGATTATTTTGTTGGAGGGGCCCCGCCAGTATTCCTCGTTTTTGACATTAATCTTTTTCCATTGCCTTAGTTTACCGGTTTCACATTCGCCCTTCATGCTTATCATTTAAGAGATCTCAACAATGGATGAATTGAACGCTTGCACAGAATGCGGATTCACGACTACTGTATTTTCCGAGTTTCAAGGACACATAGGTAACCAACCTGTTCGGAGATACATTCATGCCAATTCGTTCGAAACATTCGCCTCCTCGCTTTGTCCATCTTTTTTGCATCTCAGAAGACAAACCCGTAAAATTTCGGATCGGTAGCGGTGTGGGCTTCATCCCATTAACCGGTCGTTTCTATTTCAATGCCATTTCCTCCCTATTTTGCAACATTGGCCACTCTGATATTGTTCCATTTTGTAGAGAAACACGAAACGGAGCACAGCCGATCTTCGAGTGGCGAAATGTCCAATTCTCAGGTACGTGTTAATCATCCAGGAAGAAGGAGAAAGGACGTGTTGCGTCATAATGTCATGTTTGGCCAATTAGTGCCGGAGGTAGCGAGGGGAACAGAGGGAGGGATAAAGTGACGTCCTAACAGGTCTTCCAGACATACCCCGTGAGACTCGTTAGAAACATTGAGATCACCGTTTCAGACTATCGAATGGGTGGATGGTATTCAGTCGTCGACCCCATCACCAAGGTCGACGCCACCGACGGATCCAACTCCCAGTCCGGACTCTGACGAGCACCTCGACCACATATCCATAACCGAAATCACGAATACCCTCATCAAAAGTATGTTCACTTTCCATTTTTCTACTTATCCCCATCTTCCAGCAGAACCCGGTGGAAAAGGACAAAAGACGGTTCACGTCTGCCCGCATTGCAATTTCACCACTTGTATGTCGCAGCATATGAAAAGCCACTTGGTAGGTTCAAGGATTCAACAATTCAAGTTTTTCCTTGCCAATGAAAGAGAGGGCGTGACGTGAGCTCGATAAGCGTTCTCAAAGTACACTGTATTGTGGGCTCTCCCTTGTGTGGGAATTGGGTGCTCCTTCCTGAGAAAAATAAAAAAACCGCCTGGGGTTAAGAGCTCATGTATCCGCACAGATCTCCCGATATTCCCAGAAAGGCAAGTTGTCGGTCCAGTAAGTCAACACGCCGTAACCTCTCCTTCCATCCGCTCCTTGCCGCTTTTCTCACTAACTACTGTTTACTTTCTATTGACTGTCCAGTTATCGGCGTCTCGCAAGCCCCCACACTCTATTTTGTCGTCCCAACCCATCACTTCCCGAACGGTCATCGGGAAGGGGGTGCGAGTAGTTTGGGTGAGGAGCGCTGCTCATATTGGCTTTTCCTCTTAAGGATGTTGCCTTTCATGTGAGCCGGTGTCATCCCAATACGTGAAGAATGGATGACGGTGGCAGAGGGTTGGGCAGTAGATACAGGCAAGGGATGGAAAAGGAGGCGTTTTGGAAAAGAAACGGGAAGACCAGATACGGGGGCAGTACAAAAAACGTGATGACCTTAGAAATCACATGACACACAACAAGATTCTTGAATGTTTCAGGAAGCGCATGAACGCCACCAAGGCCAAATGTACCAGTGCGATATTTGTAAAATGCAGTTCAGCCAGAAGGTGAGGGCAACTTTTCCGTTATTACTGTCCAAAAACTATGAAGCAAGGAAGTTAGTTTTGACTTTAGCGGACGAAGATCGTATCTGGTCTCACTGACTGGTTCTGTTCGTCATGGTTCCAGAAAGCTTGGGATTATATCGTTCACGGCTAGACAATCTGATAGATGTCTATAGCTAATCTGTCTTTTCTCATCCTTTAATTTGACTTTCGCTTTTTGGTTCAACGGCGTTTCGTTTCCAGGCTAACATGCATCGTCATCGGATGAGACATAGCGGTGTGAAGCCGTACGAATGTCGGTTTTGCAAGAAGCGATTTTTCAGGAAAGATCAGGTATTTTGTCTAGCCTCATTTTGATTTTTATTGCCTTCGCCACCTCCGACTTCCTCCGCGGCAGCCATTGCGTAAGCTGCCTGTCCCAACTCAAAAATCGTGTTTTATCTGCGCTTTGCGTAATCAAATTGAAAGTGAAACTGATCCCCGCAAGAAAAGCGAATCTGGCCGCCCGAAGGTCGTTTTCCATTCGGATTTCCCTTTCCGGGAAAAAGAGGAAGAAAAGGCAGTTGTTCGAGGGATGCGCCTCGCAAACACTTTCTTCTCTACCGATGCCGTTGTCTCTGTTTGCCCGAAACCGTTCTTGAAGGTCGACGAGCCTGATCAAAACAGGGAAGACAACCAATTTGACGGTGGTGTCAGGTTATGTCGCGGAATATGGAATCGTCGCCGCGCCTCTCTCCTTCCCCCATTCCTCGTCTTTCAACCATCATCGGTGAAGATGAAGGAGAAGAAGAAGACCTTGACGATGGCACGCGCATTTTTCGGAAGATCCTCTCCATCCCATCTCTTAGCATCTTCTTCGACGTCCACGTCTCCATATGATTTTTTCATTGCTTCCTTCCTACCGTCTTCTCCCTCCCAGCGACAATCAGTAATGAAAAAGAAGAGAAACCAACCGTCGGGTGTTTGGACTGTGTCTCTCTTTCTTATGATTGGTTCCCGAAAAGTTGAAAGCCATCACCCCCTCACTGCCGAAATGGTTTTTATATGAAGAACAGAGAAAAAGAGACTGTGGGAGGAAGAGAAGGAAGGCCGGAGAAAATTGTAATGTGATTGAAAGGGAAAACCGATTTTTTAGTTGATCGGAATGTTGTGTAGAGGAAGAGGGACTTGGCGGTGTACAGTAAAACACAGAATGTGATTTCCAGATGCAAGAGCATTCGATGACTCATATCAAAACGGGTTTTGGCTTCGACTGTCCGGTGTCTCTGTGCACGATGCAGTTCAGTCAGCACAATGCTCTCCGAGCTCATTTGGAGGAGACGCACACCATCTCATCAGCGAATCCTGCGTCATGCAAGCGATGTAATTTGATGTTTGCCAACTCGCGTCGGCTTCTGCTTCACTACCAGACGAGGCATGACGAATCAGGAGAGGTAAGACTTTAGTTACGGCATATGGGCACAAACCACCCGTTAGTCAACGGATAACACGCATTATGTGTGACGCTTCTCGGAAACGCGTCGGTTGCCCCGGGAGACGCACTCGTGTCTAACCTATTATCATCACACGACATCCTTGAAACGACCTTTGATTTCAGTCGTCACCAAAGAAGGACTCGACTCCAAAGAGAAAGAAATTAACGAACGGGAGCGCGCTGCCAGTGGATCCTGCCAATTTGAGTATTTCCGAGCAATTGCAAAGGATGGTAAAATCCGAGTTCAGCCCGCCCAACACTGACACTTCGGATAACTCGACAACTTCCGAATTCGAGAAAATTGTAAGAAAATTTTATTTTATTTAACTGCTTTCAAGTGCAAACACTATAAGCTAGTACAAGTCATGATTGTTTACGCTTTCAGCCGCCAAGTTTCCCAATGACAAGTCAAGATATTTTAATGATGTGTCTATCGAATGTGAACCAGTTCGGTGGATTCGGAGAAAACAACATCCCTAGAACTTTGCTCAACATGGCCAACATTCCGCTTCCGGTATAAACTTTTTTCAGAGTATAATTTCCAGAACCACTTGTTTTCAGGCGCTTCATTCTCTGCCATCCGCCGCCTCTGCTGCGGTGAAACAAGAACAGGTGCAACTGTGGTCTGAGCAGACGTCGAGCTCTGTCAGCGTCAGTGCTCCGAGCCCCAGCGAGCAATCGCACTCGCCACCTGCCAATGACTCATTATTGTCAATGGCCGAAAAGGAGAAGTCGCCAACTCCAGAGAAGGACGAAGAGGACGGCGTTGTAAGTACAAAACGACAGATGAGAAGTGCTTGGTCACCGCGGGGGCAGTAGAATTGCGTCATTCTGTTATTGTGATCCGTAACAGAACTATCGCCAACTCCAGGGATCTATCAGGAGTTCGGAAATGAGAAAATTCGTATATCTTTCCTGTTATTGTCCAATTCAGCCGAGACGTTCTCCTTCCCCCCGGTTTCTCTGGTTGATCACAAAACAAGTAGGAAAGAGGCGGAAAAGGAAAAAGATACTGATAGGTGACTATCCGTTTTGTTGCAATTTTGGGAACGTTTCCTAGAAAAAAGTAAAAGAAGATAAAGAACATTACACTGCATATAGTTTGGTAGTATCAGGCACATGTCACAAGGTTTTTGGTGGTGAAGGACTGATCGAGAACATGATTGGTCACTAATTGAATTGATTTCCAGGAATGTTGCCACTGCGGACTGATGTTCTTCGACAACACCATGTACCTGCTGCACAAGAGCTTACACTCCGAGGGAGATCCATTCAAATGTGCATTGTGCGGAACTCAATGCGGGGAAAAGTACATGTTCACCACGCATGTCATCTTCGCCGATCATAACACCCAAGCAACGACTTCCGCTTGATTTCTCCCTTCCGTCCATCGTTCCCACCCGTCGTTCTTTCAGTTTTTAGTAGTCAGTCTAGAAATCCGCTTCCATTCTTTCATTCATTTTTACCTCTTTTTGTCAATTCTCATTCAATTTTCAAATTCATACACAACAGGGAAATGTAAAATGATTCTGCTTCCTTTGCTCGATTCTCACGTGATTTTGTCTAAATATTCCCAGTGTTTTTAATGTTATGTATGGTTGAAATTCTCTACTCACATCGAACAATGTCCCCCTTCTCAACCCCGTACTTCCCCCTCCTCCCACATCGGCTCTCTATCTTGTTTCAAAACATCTGCACACGTGTCAGAAGTCTTTTATCAATCCAGTTTATCAATTAACCCATTTTATATCGGTCCCTACTAGGTATTTGTTGTTTAGTTTATTAAATGAGAGACTACTGTCTTTTTCCGCCCTCAGAAAACAAGCGACATTCAGATTTGTACAATTTGCACCAGAAAATCAAGAATTCACTGCACATTGGCTCGCTATTTTCACCAGTACAAAGTGCAGAAGCTCTGATATTCAGACCATTCCGTGCTTTCCACCCCCATTTCTCATTTCAACTCGCCCTAGTGTTGATTTGCTTCAACTTTTCTTCACTATTGTCATATCCTTTCTCCCCCGCCCTCACCCAAACTTCCAAATATTTAGAAAAGTAACTTCTTTCCGCACCCCTCCGTCTTTTCTTCCTTTGTTTTTTCTTTTTTTCCGGATAAAAGTTTGTTCATGACACTCACTGCAAAAATGAAAGTCATGGTGGGCGAGAAAAGGAAAAAAGCGGCCAAATGGATTGGCAGTCTGTGATTGACACTGGCCCAATGTATATGGTTACGAGTCGTGGCGAGGGTGCTCACTACTGACAATGCGGTTCACTCGGAAGTGTCCCAAAGGGCTTGCGAAGAGCACCCAATGCATCAACAATGTGCTCCTGCCGAAACCACCAATGGAGGAGACCCCTCATATTTTTTGCGCAGAATCAACGAGTACCATATTAGGTTTTATTTATTGCCTTTGTCTTTTTCATCACTTTTGGAGCATTACTTTTTCCTTTCAATAACACTCAAGACGCTTTACAAAACGTAAAAAGTGATTCTACAATAAAATATTACACAAACAATTCAAAGCGGAACAATCTTTTTGGAACAATTCACTCCATTCACTTTGCGACCGAGTTGCAATGTTCCACTTGAATGGAGCCAGTCAATGTGCAGGCTTTTTGGTTCTTTGGCGCCGTTCCCGCAATGAATCAGTCCTTCCAGTTGGGCATGTTCCCGCAGCCAACTGTCCTTTATCCGCGGACTCCCGCTGAGAAACCATCAGCACTGACAGTCAGGGGCAGTATTTCATTTTCATTTAGTGGTCTCCGAAACCACATTTGTCGGTTTCCCACCAATTCTTTCAAATTTATGTCTTTCAATTATGTTCTCTTGGCACTTCCCCCCGCAGTTTGTTTTGAAAAAGTGATTGCAGAGGGAAGCGGGTTGCTTCAGAGCCGCAACTTTCTGATAAATGAGTTTCTGTCAGAGACTGAACAGACAAGAGCACGAAAAACACTCTTCCTCCGTTCTGACGTATAATTTTCGTTCTCATGAGTAGACGGTACTATCCAATTATCATAAATCACGATAAGAATCGAGGTAACACGATGCGCGTGATAGCTCTGTACGTTACGCAACCGACCAAACAATGATTACCGTTACGCAAATTTGTCAACTTCATTCTTATCCTTGACCTCTAATCCGTCATATCTTTGTGGCATTTACTCCACAATAAAATCCCCTCGGGTATTGTGTTTTGTTAGGCATGACACCCTCACCACTGCTTGCTACCTATTGCACTAATCATTGGACATATTACAATGTCTGATATGAAAACAGACTCAGCTAGTGCTCTGTGAAGAACGAAACAATATTGATGAGGGAGGGAAACGGAAGAGACAGCAAGATTGAACGATGGTTTTTAACACAACCAGATGATAGACACAGTGCACTGATTGAGAGCTTTCGAGGCTCGCGAGCACAAAACAACAAGCTCTCCGGCGAATCGCAGCTGACCCGTCTGGCTCGTTTCTCGCCCGGTCCTCACTCATCGGCACCCACAATTTATGAGGCACATTAAGCTGATCTACGACGCGTTAACATTTGTTCATTAGACTTAATTAAGTGTAAATTTTGTTCCATTTTCCTTGTCTTTTCCAGTCCGCCCGTTTCTACGTCCAATCAGTTCGTTACTGGCGGTCATCGTAACTTTTACTACTTCTTGTGCAACTGACCACCAGATTTCTAGAGGAACCGCGTGCCAGTTGTAAAACCATCATTAGCAGGCGTAGGCAATACCCCGTCACCCACTTGCTCCTAACTGCTGTTCCACTCGATGTTTTTTTTACAAATTGCACACTCTGAAAGCTGGCATCTGTCATCAGTAGACTGTTCCCGCTGCCATGTGTTCCAAATGTGCTTCATCTGTTTTTTGACTTGTATTGGAAGGCCGCCCTTCTCGTGTCCATTTGCATTTGTGTCCACAATTAGCATTCTCATTGACAAAAAAAAGTACCAAAGGCAATTGTAAGGCAGAATATTCTATTGTTTCCTCGTTTCTTTTGCTCCAATCGGCCGGTGTGACGAGGGCTTACACACGTCGCGCTCTGCTCCTCCTCGGATGATACACTGTCGGAGAGAAGGGAAAGCGCGCTTCTCATCTTGGGTCCGACTCATCGTTCCCTCTCATCAATCACCGGGAATGCACTCGACACAAACACGTTACAAGACCCGCCACTCGTTTCCAGCCCATTTTGTTGAAATATGTGCTTTTGCAACGCAACATTCGAATGATTTGTCACGACAGTTGGTTAATTAATTGACCGCAGCCCACTGCCGCCCGGACTCTCAAAATGACCAGACGATTGAGTGTCAATGAGTGGATCCGAGAGGAACAGTGTAGGACGTAATAAGAGAGTGCTTTACAACTCGATCTATCCGGTGCTGGTCCTGATTATGAATCAGTTTCTACGTTTAGTCCTCATTTTCTTCCTTTTTAGTGAATAAATTCACAGCTATGCGGAACTGTTGAAAAGACAAAAGGACCCGCAAACGATAAAATATTCAAGTGGTATAGAGTAGAATAGAAAATGCGCGATGCGGGTGGCTGTCCCGGATCATATAAGGCTCATCTGTTCAATCACCCGATGATTGATCTATTTTTGTGACCTTCCGCGTCACGAGCAAGCAGTTCGCTTCACTGAATTGTCTTGCCTTGTAAGAAAGAAATACAGAGAGAGAAAGAGAGTGAGAGAGAGAGAGAGAGAGCAACTCACTAGCATATTGTTGTTATCTGGCGCCCGCACGGTTCTCCACACTTTTTGGGGTGCTCTTATCAGAGTGTAGCAGAAACAGCAGGTATTGATGATTTATTGCCAACTATTGGTTTTTAATTTCATAATTTCTCACTTCTTTAACTTCCTACTCCGCTGCCTAATTGAGGTTTGGAAACGGAAACGGGCGTGGCTAACGAGATCATTCTTCATATTCCTTCCCTTCCCTCTCTCTCTTCTTCTTCCTCTTCTCATCGCTCACTACTGTACTCGGGACCTCCCCTCTCACTTCCTCCCGCCCTTTCTCGCTCTTTGCCAAGGGAGTCATAAATCGCGCAACATGTTTAGTAGGTGCCGTTTTGAAATATGTCTTCTTCTCCTCAAACCACCTTTTTTGGCTCATCGTTTTGAAACACAGAACTTTGATCCTTCCGGTCCTCCATCAAAATGTGTTGACCAAACTGCCAGATAGATCCGCGTGTTTACCTAGCCAAGGAGAGGTCACTGTGGCACACCGCACTTCATCGTATGCAAATTTGCATTTATGATCTCTCAGGTCACTTTGTCCATCTCTGTCGATAAGCATTCACACTCTTTTTTGCTTCTTTTCATTTTTAGGTCACTTTTCTCATTTTGTCCATTCACGATACATTTTTCCTTGTGTCCAACACTTTCCGTCCAGATTTTCCAACGAACGATAAGAACCTGTCAACTTTAGGGATTATTCAGGTTTTTATCATATTAGTGCTGAATATTTGTCATAATACTCCTTATAACTTTGGCTCATCTCACGTGCATTAATGTTTTCTCATTTCAGGTAATGTTAAAACTGCTCTCGCTGTTCATCATAACTATAGCATGTTCGCAGCTAGTAGCGGAGCCTATTGCAAGTAAGTTTGTCTATGTCTATCTATCCGAGTAGTCAATCACAATTTAACCGTAAAAGTTGCAATTCCCACATGAATCAGTAAGATGGATGAGAGCTCCTTCACAAAACGCGTCAGCTTCTGCCAAAATCAGATAAACATATACACATTAGTTTCTTCCCGATAGACACGACACGACAATACAACAACACAACTTGAAATATGAGTTGGAATTTGGATTTTGCAGGTTTCTTTGATGGATTGGATAGTCGGAATGAGTGCAAAGCGAGACTGGACAGACGGCTGACCGGTTTCTCGGGGCTCCTCTACTCACACTCCAAGTACGGCCAGGAACCCTACAATACCAGCAGGAACTGCGTGCTCATGCTTGTTGCCCCTCTTGGTTATAACATCCGGGTGAGGGCAATTCAGTTCGATGTGGCCAGTACGGAGAACGCGCGCACCTGCGAGAAGGACACCCTTCATATCTTTGACGTGAGCCCAAAAGTACTTCCGACGGAGATGACGGTCAACCGATACTTTTCAGCATGAAACGACACTCGATCCGGAAAGTTACGCACCTGCCCGCATTGATGACATCACGTCTCCAGGTCCGATTATCGGTTGGTTGGCCTTTGACTTCTCCCGCCCTTTGTTGCGTAATCCCGAGCCGGCATGACCCTCTCTTTTTCTGGCAAGCAGCCGTCCGACACTTGCTACTGTTCTTTCCCCAGCTCGAGTATCTTGGGTTCGGTTCTCAAATTAATTTCAAACAGGATGGGTAGTAAACGGGCAGGCATGAGACACCAATCCAGATGGTCAGATGCATCTTTTTTCGCAGTCCGGTTCGGGTTCTTGAGTGGCATTAGATGATGATTAAGTGGTGTACTCGGATAATTGCAGGACAATTCTGTGGACACTTCGAGAATCGCATTCTAAACACGAGCTCTCACAATGCTCTAACTCTCTGGTGGCACTCGAATCCAAATGGTTCCGGAGCGGCCGCGAAGGGGTTCAAGTTGCACTGGGGATCGTTCAGAGTTTCTAAAACTGGTAAATATTCTCTTTTTCATATTCTTATTCAAAATTCCATATTTAGGTAACTGTGTGACTGGAGAATTCTCCTGTGGGAACGGAGAATGCATTCCCATCGAATCGGCTTGCGACAGATTTCCGGACTGCTCAAATGGAGATGACTTGATCCGTGCCCGTCAGATGGAAGCTGGTTGTCAAAGTGAGCTCTTTTCCAACATACTTGATCCTTATCTCCGTACGTCCAATCCGGCGCAGTCCTTGAATTTTGCATATATGAGGACAAGGATGAGGGCACATATGCAAATTAAAATGAGAAGGAGTCAATTAACTGTGACATGTATGTTGCAGATATCGAGATCGACCCGTTGACAAGTGTAAGTGGAGCGTTTGTGCTTCTATTATCCGCAGTCGTCATACTGTCACTTTGTGGCATCATCTCGTTCATCATGTGTTTGTGCAAATGTGGAAAGAGTCCCACTCCTATCAAAGGTACGGAACTCATCAATTATTTTCTGCACATCCCACTTTCGCAGGAGCTGCTTCCCACACAACCACGACAACGACTGCCGACTACAAGCCAGAACCCCCACAGTTCTACCCGCCGTCACCGCCAAAAATGCCGCCACCATCCGCCGCCAGCAGCTACACTCCGAGAAAGCTTCATCATTTGTGAGCATGACAACATCCTCTCCGTCATATTGCCAATTTCATTTCAGTGAGGGGCAGTTGGTGCCTAGCGAGGCCAGTGCTTTCCACTTTGCCAGATCTCAGAACCACTACAGCGTTGACAGTGACATCAACGGGGATTACACTTATGTTCGCAACGACGTTCACAGAAACCTTCTGTAATCCCCTTGCTCCCGATGTCATTTTCATTTCCAGCAAACTGTCCGATGAATTCCTTTAGTATTTAGCGTCTCGGGTTGTTTTACAGCATACTGTTGTGGTCTTTTATTTGAGCTTTGTCACTTCTGTCACCGTTTGTCCCGTCCTAAATAATTTCTTCCGGTTATAACTTGTTTTCATCTTCAATTTGGGTCCTTTTCCTGACATGTAATGTATGCAAGAATTATACATCCGTCTAATTCGATTGTCACGAACCATAGATCTACATATTTGGTAATCACTGCAACTTTTATTAAACGACTTTACTTTATTACTATCAAATAAATGAATATGATATGATGAAAAACAAACATAACAAAGTGAGTATGATGAGTGTCTGGGAATCTGTAAACCCGCCTACTTTAACTAAAATGATAAATGTATGATGGAAAACAAAAAGAAGTGATTAATTGATACTGGACTCTTGGTAAAACCTAGAAGTCGCGGAAGTAACGAGCGTAACAAACAGACTGTCCGGTGGTGCGCGCTGGAACATCGAGTACTGGCCAGATGCAGCAAGTGCGAGCATCCTGAAAACTTAGAACATAGTTGACATTCATTCGAGTCCAATTTGTGAACCTGTGAAAAGCTGACTTTGACGTGCGCGTTCGCGTGTGTTCTCGACTGAAACTCCATGTAATTATGTGTCAGATGACGACGTGTGCACTCGGCCAGAAAGCGCGTTTTCCACGTATCATCGCAGTTGTGGAACGAGAGATTGAAAAATGATGCGATCGGCAATCGGAGCCATTCCTGAAAGTTTGCCTGTTTGATCGCTTCTTATCGGCGAAAAACTGCCCACTTTCGCTTTCGTCCTTAATCACCTATCAGCAAATAAATAACATGTTGCCTTGTAAGTGAAAGTTGCCAAAATGTGAAGAAGGCATCAGAAATGAGAGACACGTCAAGTGACAAGGCCACTTACCTCAATGAAATCGCACGCAGATTCGACTCCGACGGAATCCATTTCAGCCAGGAACGTTCGTTTGTTTACGGCAGTCTTCATGTCGTTTTGGAATTTACGGAGAATGAAATCAGTTGGGATGGATGAGGTCCCAGAGGATGAGATCCAACGGAAATGGTCGAAGCTAGAGGAATCCAGTTGTCCGAGGTTCAGTGAGATTGGGAGTACACAGTTTTCCACGGTGATATTCTGAAAACTATCTTTGATTGAATTCGAGCGGGAGCATTCAGTACCTCGCAATGCTTCATTGCAATTTCGAAAAGTGTATCCAGTGGATCTGCGCAATTGTTATCAAGTTTCACATTGTTGAACACTATTTTTCTGAAGAATGGTTTTCGAACTATCTCTATATTGCTATGGTACCTAAGTTGAGACTGTCTGGTCGTGATGAACTGTTTCAAAAGCATATTGAGTGCGTTGACCACTTTTCCAGAGTCGCAATCTCGAAAGTTTGCGAATTCCATCTCGACGATGCCGATCTCCCTCCAGTGCTCAAAATCAAACTCAAACACATTCTGAAATCGTTGAATTCTGTTATCGTGTTCGGTGTCGCAGCGTAAAATTTGGTTTTCCACGCGTGTCGCACGTTGTGCTGCTCTCAGCATTTTTGCTTTCAACAATGATCCCCCGCCTGTCTTCATAAAAATCGTCACACACGTTTCCCCTTCGTTTCGGAAGAAAACTTTCGATTGTCTAATCAGGTTCACACTTGTACTTTCACTTTCAGCCTGCCGCCAAATGGCTTCGTGCTACTATGTGAAAGGCACGTGCGAGCTCATTTCCCCCACAGAGCGCACAAAAATGAGAGAGTTGGCGACAGAGAATGGTCAGTTTGCATGTTTCGTTGACAAAAAGTGAGAGTGATAATCGGGGCAACTCTCTGATTAATTTCTTGCAAGATAACATTTTGTTGTCGACCAAAAACTTCGAAGCGCTTTCCCTCGGATGAAAGCGAATTGAGTGGGAGAAACGATAAGACGCTGATTCGCTGATAACATTCGAATTTTACGCAATTTTTGCAAAAACAGTACTGGATGTGAGAGTTTCGAATGATGTGGGAACTGACATAGGCTTGCTTGAAAGTGCGCACCTGTGTGCATTCGTTGACATCGCCGGATTTCATGTTGGCGATCATAATTTCTCCATTTGCAACGTAAACTTTAACAAGGTATGCAACTCGTGGAAGAAAACAATAATTTCGCTTTATGACCGTGTTGAACTGGAAACGGAACGTTTTGGACAGTCACATTTGCTGTAAGGCCTACCGTACTACACACAGTTCTCAGTTTGGGAATGTCTTGGGAGTCCACACTTTGAAACACGGAGCGGAGCATCTCAGATGGCATTTCATGGATGGACATTGTTTGTCTGGAATGAGAAGAGTTGGCACTGGCGATATCACGAAACACTCCGGTCATGCACTTTCCCACCGCCCCGTGACAAAAAACTGTTTGTTGCCGATCACAGCGCGTTTCGGAATCAGTTGACGTAATCCATTAACTTCTGGAAACTCACCGATAGGCAGATTGGCGTCGAAATTCGGAGTAGTGAAAGTTCGTCCTTCGTACGAGAACTCGAAATAACTATCTGACCGATGCGTTATCAGTAGCTTTTTATATTTTGCACCCTCGCTAAATAGTGCTGAGCGTGCTCTTTCGAGACGGTTTTCAACGAAACTCCCCGCGAGAACACGCCTCATTTTGCGAATACAGACTCCAAAGCCACTAATCGGAAAACTATAAATGATAAGTCAAAAGTAAATATGTGAGAAGTTTGATTCCCGAAAGTGCATTTTACCACAAAAGAAAACCCCTTTGATACACATGTTTTTTTTCGGCTAACTGCTGATTCTGTTTACATCCACAAACATGCATTTCAGTCTTCCGTCGTCGTACTTCCGTCTTGTACTTGCCACCACATGGAAGCCTAAATCCAACCAGAACGTGTTCAAATCCCAAAGGATCGCTTTTTTCGAAAGTTTGATTGCTGCAACAGTAGTATGACACATGAGCACACCTTGAAATGTATGCATATTCCCAAAAGATCATTCTTCTTTTTTCTGAATATCACCTCTCAGATTTTGACCAACTAGACTCTGGGGAATTGTACTCTTTGCAGCAAGAGCCACGCCATGGCACCGTATCTGCCGCCAAGAACTTCATGAATAATATCTAGATGGTGTTTGAAACTTTCCGAGCTATTTTGCCTTTCGTTTTGGGAGATTCGCACAAAATAGAGTGTTTTGAGTGAAAACGTGCTCGCCAGCTGGTGCTTTGGATATTTTGTTGCGCAACTTTGAAAGTACTACTACTACTTTATTCAGCGGAGAGGAAACAAAAAAGAGTAAAGACAGGAATGAAGAAACAACACGGAAAAATGAGCTAAACACGACAGAAACAGACAGTTAGCATTAGAAGTGGCGAATATTGAAAATAGTTCTTAAAAATTTAACTCCAGAAGTTTCCATGATCTCTGGCCAGTTTACTCTTGCATCATCTTGACAAACTCGAAGAACGTGATCTTTCCGTCGCCGTTCAGATCGGTCGCCTTGAACATGTCGCTGATCGCGGCACGATCTTCCAAGTCGGCAGTTTGTCTCAAGATTTCCGCCATCTCTTCTGCAAAAAATGATTTTCAGGAAGGTGGAATTCTGTTTTTTATAGGTGGAACAAAATAGATTGTGGTCCCCTCCATTTCTCAGCCTCTCAAATGAGATGAACTTTGGGAGACGGACGGACCACAAACTTTGCGAAATGGCTTGGCGAGTCGTCAAAAAAGTTTCGAGAAATGATTGCGCGCGTCCTCTCGGGGGAGACCAACTAGCTGCCCCCGCTAACAAACCTTCAGTGATAGCTCCGTCGCCGTCCGAATCGAACTTGCGGAACTGGACCTCGAGCTCGCGAAGAGTGGTTCTATGAATCGGTGGCGACTTCATGTAGTTCACAAACTCCTCCTTGCTTATTTTTCCGGTCTCTGAAAAACGAAAAACGATACACTTGCGTTCTTTGTTCATCCCACACATTTCCGATGGAAATTCAATCGGTGCACCCGTTTATGATTTTTCATCTTATGACCTATGACGACAAAAATCAAAGGAAAATGAGTGTTTGGTCCCATACGTACGCCCCATTTACTCGCGGTTCACAGCTGAAGGACCAATGATGAAGTGACTCAACAAGAAAAAAACGCAAAAAAGTCAAGCCACCTAGGGGACTCGAACCCCTGACCTTAAGATTAAAAGTCTCACGCTCTACCAACTGAGCTAAGGAGGCCCATACGCATCCAATGTCGGTTTGTGTACACCCTCCCGCTGTCGACAGGGGGAAAGGGAAAGAGGGAGAGGAGGGCGACCTTCGCGGGTTGCACGTGTGTTGTGTTGGGGAACTCACTGTCAGTGTCCATTTCTCCGAAGATGAAGTCCAATTCGACACGAGTCGGCTCAACGTTGATTGTTCTGAGAAGAGCAGCGATCTCGTTGCGTGAGAGACGGCCATCTTTGTCCACGTCGAGAAGGTCGAATGTCTCGGAGAGTTCTGAAACAAAAGCATTCAACATGCACAATGTTTTCCATCTGTTTTGTTTTCCATTATCCTCAGTTGGTCCCCTCAGTTATTCTTTGCCCTAAGAGCAGAGCGCGGACATACATGCATGAATAAATTCATCTCTTTTTGCTTTTCTGCTAAAAAAAGAAGACAAGCGTTGTCCGTTCATCTTCCGGGAAGAGATGTGGAATCATATCATCTGGTGGAAGGGACACGGACAACATTATTCCGCCTTTTGCAAGCCGACTGATGCGTCACTCGGGCACAGAATTCGATTAAAGAGGTCGATTCGAGACCTTTCCGGGGACACGGAAGCCAATCCAATTAAACGCTTTAAGGGAAGCACGCGAAGAATATATGGCCGGTCTGTTTGACAGCATCAACGATTAAACGAGAAATGAAAAATAGGATACGGGCAAATCTTGCACCAGATTTTCATTTCCGGACCCTATTCCTCCTATTCTTTTTTGCAGGGCTCCCATAAAACAAAAGGATGGCCTTTCGGTCTCACCAGAGAACCTCTGTGTTTCTCCCTCCGTTTCACCTATTGTATGGCACAGCACTGGCGCTCTGAAGAATGTGCCCCAGTGGAATTGGCTGCACTACGCCTCCTTTTCCCATTTTGCTTGAAACAGAAACAGTAGGGCGTAATTAAACAAGCGACCAAAGTCCGAAAGAGGTACTTTCCGCAAAGGAGATTGGTCGTCGCTTCTCGAGAAGAATTCGATTAACTTTGTCAAGTGCCAAGTTGCTCCGAAGAGATCAAACGCGTGTTTTAGTCCTCGGTTTTCCGGAAGGAAATCACTTCACGTCACATCACAGAACGCCGTGAATGGAGTTCATGAATCCTGATCGCCCACTCTCTGATTTATGGCATTACTTCGCCCCCGCAAAGTATGCACTCTTTTCGGCTACTCACAAGGACAAATTACTGCAATTTTGTGTGTTGCACACCCATTCACAGCACAACAGCCGCAGAGTTTCCCAATTTAGAAGTGCCAAGTCTGACGCCGAGAATGCGATGATTGGCAACGCATTTGCACCCTTCTTTTTGCTGAAGAAAGATAAAGCGAAACGGGTCAAAGAAACCGCGAAAAAAAAGTTTCGAGTGAAACTTGACACTGTGACCGATTTATGACTTCCTCATGTTCCTCGGGACTCGTCACGTTATTAAAAGCACATGTGCCCGGGGATCAGCAAATTTTGTTTATTTTAGATGTTCGTCTAGCACTACGATAGAGCACTATACAAAAAATATATACTAAAAGAGCGAAGGGAAGCATTTGATTCTTGGACTCGACTATTTTTAGATTAGTGATGGTAACAGAGGTATTCAGGAAAATGGCAAAACTTTAGATTTATGGCAAAGACGGAATCAGACTTACGAAGGTCATCGAGCACGTATCTCTGGCAGATGATTTCGTGATTCACGGGGTTCGCGATTGCAGTCATTATGATAGAGTAATCAGAGCAAATTTTCGAGGCAAGCGCAGAAAGTGACGGCGGCGAGGGCAGATGCTCTTTTGAGTATGTGTCGTGCCTATGTTTTGCTCAGCGAGCTGTGAAAATGGGCGGGGACATCATAGGCGGGGAGACGCGCTCCTCCGCCCCAGCCGCCAGCAGGCAAATGCATGGATTCATTGGGTCATTGACACATTCTTTGAGCTCGATTGTCAATTCCACATGAAGAGGTGTTGACGTGAAGCGTGAAGAATGTGAGAAGGCGGATGAATGTGATCCGAGGTACTTTAAGACTAAAAGTCAGTTTGCCAGGTGTGAAAAGTTCGAAAGTTTTCCGTTTCGCAATTCTGACCTTCAACTTCTTTGACATTATCAAAAGTTCCTAGTCGTTTCTCCATTAATACTAACTTCTTGGTAACATTCAACGAAGCATAGCGAAAACCAACATGTCGCCGAAAAGACAGCTGTTGTCGAAACAAAAATTTCTGTCGTCACGTTTTCCGTCTTTCCATCAAGAAATGATGAATTAGTGCATTCTTGCGTTCTCAGCGGATCGACAAAAGATTGCTCGAGAAGAAAAGGGAAATGGCTGGGTTTCCGGGGAGAAATCTTTGAAAGTTCCTGTGGTTTGAGTGAAATAAGGAACCCTATTATCTTGCGTAAGCCGTACTTTGCAGAGGACGCCGGCTTATGGTAGCTTTTGTGTTGTTTGCGAACGAGGACGAAATTGCAGTGTGCATGTTTTTGCATGATACAAGTAGCACAAACACTACATTCAAAACATTCGTAAAGTTGAAACTTACGTTCGGTCGTCAGAGTGGACATCTTTCCGAGTTAGCGGCGCCTGTACTGCGGGAAATGTTAGAGTTTGAGGTGGCACTTTGAGATTCGATTAAAACGGAGACCCTATTGAGAACAGGTTTGAAAAAGAGGGAATTCGAAGATGACGTCAAGCCAGCAAACCTCCCCACAAATCAAATCGAGGTGTGTCAATGAGAAAAACGGGCAGTCAGATGACAATGACTCAAATGGGAATGTTGATACTGTGTCAATATTACTCATGTATCGTCCGTAATAGTTTTTGAAGACATGTGACAAGACATGCATACTAGGTGAACAACAGGCAAGAATAAAGACTCTGTTTGTTGCGAAACCGCCAGCAATACCCAAAAGGATTGAAGAAAATAAACAACCAGTGGTTGGAACCTTCCATGATTGGTCTAGCGATAATGTATTGCGTTTTTCGGAAAAGTAGCTTTGAGTTTGAAGACGTTGACAAAATTTGGACGAAACAATGTTTGTTGTCTTCCTTTCTAAATTCAAATTGCAGCTAATTATCTTCGAATGCACGAACACAACAAATCAATCGAATTATCAAACTCCGTGCTTTTGGACGTTTTCACGCTTTTACTCTGTTCAAACATGTTTCAATGCAGCTTTCATATTTTATTTTTGTGGCAGACCCCTGGCGGTCGAATGTCCATCGGAAAATATCTGGCGGCACTGAGAGAGCTGTCATTGGAACTGTCAAACCGCCCGTCCCGATCTTTTCTGTTTGCTCACTGATTTTCACTCTGTCTTTCTATTGCAAAACAGGAATATCAAATTTTAAACAAACTATAATCTATCTTTTCTCAGTTATTATGTGGTCCAGTACCACTTTGCCTCGGCCTCGGCCCATGGACCCACCTCCGCCTCCGCCTCATAACAAATCGTCAACCTTGAATAGGAATCCAGCAAAAGCAGTCGATGTGAACAGACTGAGATCTGATATTGAAATTGTAATTCCATTTTCCTATTATTTTTCCGAATGGATTTCTTATTCTTGCAGTTATCACAACAATTAGAGATCGTGAAGGCGAGACTTGAATCTGCTCTCGCTGAGCAAGAAGATGAGCCGGCTCCCCATTCTTCGAAGAAAGTGTTATCAAGGTTATTTATAAAATATGTTTTCTATGATCATAACTGCAATTTTAGGGATAATTCGCTAGATTCTCGCTTGTCTACTTCACTTTTCTCTACGGGATCTCGAGATTCGTGTGGTATCACTCCAACGCCACAGCCTGAGCATCCAATAAGTGAGATAGCACTTTGATCCACTAAAATGTGTTTTTTTAAGTTCCGTATCGAGATAACGCGAATCTGACGCAAATGAAGAAGCCAATGTCAATGTCTGCTTCGCATTTAGTCCACGTTGGAACAGAAGAAGATAAAAAGAAAAGGTGTGACACTAAAAAAGTTTAATTAAATTACCAATTTCTCTCAGATTGTCAATGTCAATTCCTTCCACTTCAGTCAATTTTATAACATCGTTGAAAAGACGAGAAACATTCAGTAAAGTGGATGAAATCACCAAAGAACTGCAGGCGAGGATGGGAAAGGTTAAACGAACAGGTATTCATGGTGCCCACCAGAACTGTTCAAGTTCGATCTTCAGAAAGTTTGTCGATTGGACTGGCTCGGCAGCAAGGTCCACCCGCTCCCCCACCCAAACCGTTACGGACCTTCCAAGAACGTCTGAACAGCAGTAAACCTGTAGATCAACTACAAACAACAACTTTAGGAAGATACAATTCAAACTACAAGTTGAAATGTTCGTTTTATTTGTTTCTTGGCAAAGGAATTTCACCTTACAGCTTCTTCATCGTCTTTTATGTCTTCGTCAGTCGCCTTTCTGTCCATGTGCAATCACCGAGAGTTTGTGGATGCCATTAACAAACGGTTCACGCAGGGTCAATGTTGGGTCAGTTAACATCGATTTTTTCGGAACCGCATAATTTTTTGTAATTCAGTTCTCCCGTGGTGGCCAACTATTCTTTGTGAATCCATTCAATACGGTTTCTTCTCCAAGATGCAACTTCTATTCAGTAATTCCAACCATCACTTCGTCTCTTTTTGAAGCGAAGAACTCAACGCTTTTCTTGCGGTCTTACATTTGCAGAGAAATCATTTTGAAAATCTTTATTGCAGGGGAGTTTCGGGATCAGGAAAGTCTCACATAGCAGAGCTAGTCTGTATGGATATTGTGAACAGACTCGATAGTCAGGGGCAAATGAGTGAACTGTTCAAGACGGCTCTCACCATCCTTCGACCGTTCCTCACTGCCAATAACCCATACAACAACCAATGCTCGAAAGCAGCTCTTCATTATGTATTCCAAACACGAGAGAACCGTCTCCATCGAATATCGCTCAAACATTTTCCGATCGAATCAATGAGTCGAGGGTGCCGAGCCAATATTTTCGCCGTGGTTGCCAATGATTTGTGCGAGGCCGACAAAGATAAATATAAAATTGCCGGTTTCCGTTTACGGGAGAACTGTTACAACTACGGAAGTTTCGAGGAAATCAAGGCCGCGTTAGGCATTATTGGAATTGATGTAGCTGATGTTCTTAAAGTGGGAGGTTATTCAGACGCTGTAAAAAAAGAGTTTCAGATTATTTCTGTTTGCATTCTTCTGAACAACATTAACTTTAAGCTGGAAAGCTCTGCTGCGGAGGTTGATAACATTGCTGGTAAATTCTTTTTTTTTCTCACAAATATACTTCCGTTTTTTGAACTATTTGCAGACTTGGAAGATGCAAGTTGTTTGCTTGGTGTTTCTGCACTTGCAATGTATCGATTCATGGTTTCGGAAGCTCAAATCGACGTTCTATACTGCTCACAAACACAACATATTTTTGTTTTTCCAGAGTCGATTGATCAGAGATAACTTAGTGACAGCTTTATACTCCCGGACGGTCAAATTCATAATTGAGAAGCTCAACCTTTTACTTGACGTTTTTCCTGATCCGTATGATCGTGGAAGTGTGGTCACTGATTCTGGAGTCAGTGTCGGGACGATAACCGAGAATAACCACATCATCCACATCATTGACATCCCTGGATACGTTCGGTCAACACAGAATTCTTTGAATGAACTAATCGTGAACGCAACTAATGATATTGTGCAATGCACAGATTCTGATATGGTTCATGAACTGCTAAAAGGTGTTGAGGCCGCTACAGGAAATAATGAGAGTTGGGTGGATAAGTATGTTTGAAAAAGGTGTTTTCTTCATGAATTACAAATTCGACAGAGCTCCAAAAATGATGAAGCACTGCTCTGAATCATTCGAACTGCATTATGACTTGAGATTGATGATTGAAAGAAACAGCAATTTCGTGTCGAGGGAGTTGGCAAGTGTCTTATGAAACTGACGTCCATTTGAAACCTTAATTTCATTCCAGGTTAATCTGTTCGACTACCGCTCATGCTCATTTCCATTTGCTGTCAACCTTTTCGCACAGGATGTCGAGAGCATGATCATCGACGATAACTACTTCCCCAGCTCTATAAATTGGCCAAATGATGGAAAGACTGTTATTCAGAACGTTATGGAATCAGTCAAGAAGTTGAAGAAAGAGATTTCAGAGACAAGCTCACAACAGATTATATGCTTGAAAGTGCGTTTTTTGTTATTGCTATTGAAGCGGTTTTTTATTTTATTTTTCTGATCCACTCAGCTTTCAGTCAAATGACTCTTTGGAGTATGCAAGAGTTCACGAAAACGGATTGGGGTACCAGTTGAACCTGTATAGGAGTGTCGTAGCCAGTTCTTCTATTTCTTCAACCAGGTACCATTCACAATAATGGTTACTAAAACGGTAATCACAGCTTAAGAGTGAGCTCTTCGTGCGATCGTGCACCGAACAATTCTACTGGCGGCGCACCCAAAGCTCCACTTCCTCGACAATACGCAATTCGAGAAGGTCGAAAGCACTATTTCCCCCAGAGAAGAATTATAGTCATCGACTTCCAAGGTACTTGTGTTAAGATGCACGGCTCAAGCGGAAGTGCTTCGTTTTTGCGACATGTTTCATTAAAAACAAATGAGACTGAAGAGCAATTGCTATTCCGTCGACATAAAATGAGTAGCCAAGTCAATTGGAAATTGACGGACGTCATAATTTAAGCTTTCCGGTCGTATTATTTTGTGTGTGTTTTTTCAGATCCGTCGAGTGGTGTAATGCTTCGGGCGGGCGAGATAGTGAAGGCGATCGGATTCTCTGGAGAGTGCTATCTGGTGGAAAACGGACGACGCGCAAGAGCAGCCATTCCGATGTCGTTTACTGAGAAAAGTGTAGTTGTCGCACATAATATGAATAATTAAATGCCCGCGAAAAAATTCTTGTTGAAATGCAAAGAAAGTTGTCGTGTATCCTTCTAATGAAATGTATTCTGGCGAAGAAGGGAAGGAAAACTGGATCATATTCTGAGTTCAGCACAAGCAACTCATTACTCGTTTGATGGTTTTTTCTCTTTCTTGGTCTAATTGCGCTGCAGAAAAAAGTCTTATTTTTCGGCTGAAAGAGTCATATTTTCCCCCGTAGGACTCACACAGATCGTCTCATTTTCTCTCGTCGTTTTGCGTTGCCTCTTTCATTTTGAGTTTGGAGAGGAGGTATAATCTTTAAATATTTATGTTTTTGCGTTTGGTTTTTATTTGGATATTTTAAACTTTGTTTCACTTTCTGAAATCTAAAATCTCACATTTCCGTTTTGAGTAATTTTGACTTTTGAGCATTCCATTCTTTCAGTATCGTTTAGCACTTCTTCGCGTTTCCGTTTCTCAAAAATCACTCGACCAGTCAAACGCGAGACGACATCCGAAACTGAGCAATGTACGCGGAAAAAGACTGCGAATGCATGACTTTCCCCCGCTTATTCTGTATTCTGATCGTTTTCTCATGATCGATGATTGCGCTTCTCTCCACCATACATATACTCTGACCTTTCATTGGCCTCTTCCGGAATGCGCGATGAGACGCTTCGTGTTTTGCGTTTCTTTCACACGTTATTGCTCCTCCGTGTCTTTTTCTCCTCCACATCCGTCGTTCCAAATTCAATTTCGTGTAGGTGGGTGGGACAAGTAAAGAAAACAGATTTTCAAGAAGTTCTTGGGGGTTTCTCAACACGGAGAGGTTTTCCACTTCTACGCTCTCAATTAGAAAGCAGAATTCGGTTCAAACAACTTCCTTCCCTACCAACACCCCGCTTAAACATACACCAGTTCAAAATCGTGTGCCTATGATGTCGTAAAATCCTTAATCTTGTGCTTCTTGACTTCAAGTTTTATGGTGATATGATGTTTGTTTTACCCTTTTTTCCAAAACGTCATTTCGCTCTGAAGGACATCCCTGTTTCTTCTTTTAAACTCAAACAAGTTATGTGAAATGGAGAAGAAACGTCTCAAGTATGAAAAATCAAGTGCTACTGCGAATTTGATGTGGTTCCGAATAAAGAACTGAAAAACTTGTCGTTTGCAAACTTTGAAACGCAAAAATGTTCTGTGTGAACCAGTGTGTTATGCCTAATTGTGAGCAGACCAAAAGACAATAACAAGTGCTCACTCACCCGGAACTCTTTCGAATTGAGAAAAAGAAGACAATCAAGAGTTCCGAATGATTCCGAAATTCCAAAATATTCCTACTCTACCGCGAGCCGAGAAAACTTGTCGACGATCTGTCTCCTTTCGGCTCTCTATTGGATTGTGATATGTCAATTCGTTATTGCGGTGTAATTTAACATTCAATGGTTGACATATCCTTTCATAACCATCCGAGCCAATCCATCATTGCGTTTCGAATTTGGTAAGCACCATTTCTCTCCGATATTGCTGACGCTAGTGATCACTTTCATGGAGAAGTGCAATATTTTTGAACATTATAGCTTTCTCTCTCTCTCTTTCTCTCTCTTCCGCCCTCTCTTCATACAGCTTCCACCTCAATCCAAATCGCCGGATATTTACAACACCACTTCATTCCCGGAATCTTGTGTTTTTCAAAAAAAAAAGTGAAGTGTATTTAAAATATGGTTCAATAGAAATCCCTTCGGTTCGTCTCATTTTGACTTTCTTTGTCTTTTTCTTTCTCGAAGATCCCATTCTCTTTCATCCCATGTTTCATGGAAACGGCAGTCGAGAAATAGCCAAGTTATTGTCTCATTTTCGAAATTTTGCCATGACAAACAATGAAAAGACAAAAAGGAAGAAAAAGAGAGAAAGAGAGAGGGAAATGAGAGGATTAGTAATAAGCCAGTAGTGTTAAGATTTTCGATTGAAAATTTTGTTCTGTTATGGCTCAAAAATGAATTATTTATATTTCGACTTGGATCAAGTCACCACACCAGATATTTAGCATCTGCCAAGGAGAGGACTTTACGGTCGACTCTCCAATTTGTTCATGAAATGTTTTAAAATTCCTGGCTATCCTCCAATTCTTGGTTGTTTTGCACAATGTACATAGACTGGCTTCTGTGCGGTATTTTCGCCAATTCAAATCTACAATTAAACCTCAATCACCATTTATCATAGTGAATAATATAACTTTTCCGGCTCAACATTTCTAATTGGGGCTGTAATGTCCTCAAGTTAGAGCGATTCATAATGCGACACGAGACGCTTGAAATATTCAGAACTACGAAACATATTGGTGTCTGAACATTTAGTCGCGATTTCCGATGAATGAGACTCCGGTACTAATGAGATTAGAGTTGATTCTCAGTCGTGCACTTCAATTTTAGTTGCTCTTTTTAACGAAGTGCTTTTCAAATGAGAATTGCTAATTCTTTTATTCCGCCAATCACCCCATTCACTCTCTCTCTTTTTCCCTTTTCCTCATCGAGTTCTCTTCTCAGTGACGCATGTCTTGAAATCAAAGAAGAAGCCCTACAGTTTCCATTTAATCCCACATCTGTTCTTGGAAACTTTAGTCTGGTCAAACGCCAGAATTTCATAGCATCTTTCATGACATTATCAATGTTTCGGCTCAACCTGCTTCCAGAAATCTGCATTACACATTCGCAGCAACATGTGCGAACTCGAACTCGAACTCGGATGGCGTTTTTTGATGTTAGACCTATGAGTCAAACGGAAATATAGAATTCCATTGAGGAGTCATGCGGAGCCAGACGTTTAACCGGAAGACCGGGAGGTATCCGTGCTCTCCGTCGGCTCACAATTCACCCCGTCTCGCCATTTTGATACATGATCAATGTTTCTCTGGAAGCTACGTTCTCCGAAATTTTCCACGTGCGTCATTTTGTGGTATTCAACAGACGTGAAAACCATTAAATCATGGCCTGGCTCTGGAAAAAAAGTGGGCGTATTTGATATTTGATCTCACACTTTTGTTTTGTTTTGGAAACCTTTCATCCAATCCCATGAATTTCATCCGGAAACACTTCAACCGACCACGACCTTTTTGAAACTCAATTTCCTGCCTGAAATTGGATTTCCCATACGTATGAAGTAGATGAACTGTTGCGAGACTAATAAATTCCTCTTCCTGCTTCGCCAAACTCATTCATCTCATTCGGACCTCGAGTTTTTTCATTAAAGTGAACATGTCAACCATTTTCGGCACAAATTCATTCGCATCACTCGTGTTTTTGCTCCCTTTCAACTTATTCCCATCACTTTCTTCCGTTTCACCCACAACCTCGCTCACTTTAGTTTCTGTGCCCTGCTCATCCATGCTCGTCACGTTGTTTCACTAAAAGTTACGTTGCTGGCTGGCAATGACGAACATACCCAAAATTTTGCTAATTCAGCCACTTATTCTTCCCTATTCGCTGGATATCTGTTGCCGACTAAAGATTTGTTTCTGTGGGAGGCAACGGGCAAAAAAAAACGAAGAAAAATGCGTGGTCCGAAAGGCAAATTTTGAGTTACAGGTGTCGTTTTTTGAAGCTCGAGAGAAAAACAACTTTTGACTCGTATTCTATGTGTCGGATTCTTTGACAAGCTTTTTTTCCAGTCACACAATATCCAAATGAACCTCCTGAACTTTTCTTCTTCCTGCATAACTTTGATCAATGCCTTAAGGCAGGCACATTCTCCGTCCTGTTCAACTTCCTTCCACTTTCCATGCCCTTGTTTTCATTCAGCCCACTCAGATTAACTCTTCAACTTTTGGTTTTTGAAGGGTGCTTCCTTTTCTTTTCATTTCTTCTCTCTTTTTTTCTGACACTCTGAAGTTGTTCTTTGTTCCAGCTAAGCTGAAATTGACTTAATTTCTAATCGCCACGATATATCCGCTTTCGAGACTTCATCCAAAATCCTTATTCCTATATCCCTCTCTCATAGTCTTTTCAACTACTCATTACATGTCAAATTTTTTTCAGATATTTGTAGGCCAGATGGAAGATGAAAACTTCACCGAGTGTCACGTTTACTGGAAGGTCTATCCGGACCCGTCGCAGAGCATCTATGCAATCATCCCGTTCCTCTGCGTGTACCTCTTTCTCTTCTTTCTTGGACTCTTCGGCAATGTCACACTGATCTATGTAACATGCAGCAATAAAGCATTGCTGGTAAGATGATTGAGTCAAAATTTGAACCCAACAAAGACGGAGTTCTGCCCATCAATTGAATTAGGCCGTCTCTCAGTGAGAACGGACGTGTCCAGCTAACGAGAGAAGAAAAACGTGGAAGGAGTGTCTTATGACGTACGTGAAACGCAACCAACTTTCGTTAAATGGTCGTTTCCGGAACTGGTGGACGTCAGGGGCTTGTCGGGTTCAAGTTCATGGAAAAAAGTTGAAAAGTTTCAAACTTTAAATGCGTGACATTTTAGAGTGTACAAAACATTTTCATCCTCAATTTGGCGGCGAGTGATTGCATGATGTGCATATTATCCCTCCCGATCACTCCAATCACCAATGTGTACAAGAACTGGTATTTTGGCAATCTTCTATGCCATCTCATTCCGTGCATTCAAGGTATTGAGTGATCAAATCCACATTTACACTTGACAATAACTTTCAGGAATCAGTATATTTGTCTGTACGTTCAGTCTGGGAGCAATCGCTCTGGACAGATACATATTGGTTGTCAGACCGCACAGCACTCCGTTGTCCCAACGGGGCGCATTTCTGACAACAGTTCTCCTCTGGATCCTCTCTTTTGTTGTTACACTCCCGTACGCATTCAACATGCAAATGATGGAGTACACCGTAAGTCACTCAAAAAAGATAGCCCCCTGCAAAGAGTATATTTTTAGGAGGAAAACATTTGCGGATATTTTTGCACTGAAAAGTGGGAGTCCGCAAAGTCAAGAAGAGCTTATACAATGATTGTGATGCTCGCTCAGTTCGTTCTCCCATTCGCGGTTATGGCTTTCTGCTATGCGAACATTTTCTCGGTTCTGAGCAAAAGAGCACAAACCAAGATCCGTAAGATGGTTGAGAGAACGAGCGCATTGGAAAGTTCATGTGCATTCCCAGCGCATGGCCTTGAGCAGTACGAGAATGAGGTCAGAATAAAGAAGGTTTTGTATTAATTACTCGTTTCTATTACAGCTGAACGAGTTTCTTGACAAGCAGGAGAAGGAAAAACAAAAAGTGGTTTTTCAAAACAGAAGGTCAGTTTGGTTTCAGTTCCATTTTGTTCTTATTCATTCCCGTCCCAGAACCACATCTATTCTTGTCACCATGGTTGTCTGGTTCGGAATCACATGGTTGCCCCACAACGTCATTTCTCTCATCATTGAGTACGACGACTCCCAGCAATTCTTCCGGTTGTATGGCAGAGATGACTACGATATCAGTTACCTCCTCAATCTTTTCACCCACAGGTTTCAGTTCCCTCTTGATTATTCCTCCAATCATTGTGCTTTGCAGTATTGCAATGTCTAACAACGTCGTTAACCCGGTGCTCTACGCGTGGCTCAACCCCACTTTCCGCCAGCTGGTTATAAAAACATACTTTGGCGATCGCCGCAAGAGCGACAGGTTTGTGGGCGATGCAGACGAGTAAAATATTGTTCTCTTTCCGCATTTTCCAGAATCATTAATCAGGCCTCGGTGTACAAATCGAAAATTGTGCACGCGAATGAGACAAACAGTCGACGGGTCAGAAATGGTGCTAGTTGTCGGGAAACAATCTTGGATAAGGACCGATGCTGTTCAGAGAATACGAGCTATCGTGCTCAAGTGCAGTCTTCGAGATGCCAAACACCTGATGTTCAACTAAACGAAGTTTCAAGCCCGGAATCTAGGTTGGCTCCGTTTCTGAAAGATATTTTCCAAAAATTGATATTTTCAGTAAGACTGCTGGAGACATGGACGAGCTCATCGAATTCAGTGTGAACGACACGTTGGTGTGAACCTTACATATCATCTTTCCTCTCCGATTTCACTAACGCACTAATATTGACGTTTTTTTAAAGTTTTTTTCTGATCTTTTGAAAATAAATAATATATAGGATGCATAGTTGAACAAGTGTTTTGATGACGTAAACGTCAAAATTGATGATGAAATGCGGTCTGAAAAGTGAAGGGTCATCTCCTATTTCTGAAGAGATAGAAGTGAACCAGAGTACATGGGCATTTATGCTCAAATGACGTGTTCAGAAATCGGAAAAACCGGAGAACAAGGTAATTCTTCATCATTCTGAATCGCCAATGCAGGGAAGAACTGTTAAACCATTAATGGATTAGAAATGGATTTCTGGGAACATAGTATCTAGTCAATCATTGTCACAACTCGCTTCAGATTCTGTTAGTATTTGACGCAACAATATCTCGTAATTGCTATTTGGCAGGTTAATCCGCAGTCTGCTGTTGGAGCGTTCCGGTTGCTCCGATATTAACGACCAGGTGACGAGGGAACGAATGGAGTCACTGTTTCAGCTGTCAACTAAGAGGATACCCCGTGCCCATCAACGGAAATGAGATGTTTGAAGAGAAAAGGAATATACACGTCTTTCTTACTCCATTATTGTTAACCATATTGCTAATTTGACGTTTATCCAGTATGCGCATGCCACATCATTGGCACATCTCATTCCAATAACAAGACCCTTTTTAAGTAATTGAGCAGCCAAGATGACGCTTTTCACAGTCGACTTCTTGGAGCCGAAAGCTATGTAATGACTACCTAACAACATACATTTTGCAACGAATCAAAACAAAACGGGAAACTCGCATTTCTTTGCTTGGAATATGGAATTAGAGCCATTGCACTTATAACCAAAACAATATTTTTTCCGAGGTGTTCTGTTCACAATAAAGGCCTCTTTGTGTCCATTAACTAGGTGCCGCCGGTGTTTTCCGCAACAGCTGTACATATTTTCAACATTACCACCTCGAGCTCAGAGATACCATCTGAGAGCCTTTTCGGTTCATGTTGACACCCCATACCACGACGTGAGAATTCAAATTAGCGAGGCTCTTTGACGGCAAGAACTCAAACACATATTTCGTTACGCATTTTTGTCAAGCCTCATGTTTCAAACACATTTGATTTACGGTAATCGGGAAGCGAATGACCCAGAGGCAAAGTTTGAATTTTTCTCTCACTTACCGAGGCGTGCCGGAAATGATATTCTCACTGCGATACTCGGTACCATTAACCTCAATATTTGCCCAATCTGGCTAACACAATCTAACAGGTCTTTCTCTTTCTTTCTAAAATACCGAAAGGGACGAGAACAACGACTCGATTGTGCTAATGGGTAAATTTGTTATGCAAACACTTCCGGTGTCTATATCCTCAGAACTGATGCGATTGACACCCCCACCCCCTCACACCCCCTACAGTGTTGTAACAACATTGGCATTGTCATGAATCTGCTCTATTACGACTGTGTGCCGAGCTTGGCTTCTCTCTTTCTTTCTTACGTGGAGATCATTGACGTTCTATGCGTTTCCTTATTAGATCCTTGTTGATCACACAGAAAGAGAAAATAATGCGAATTTTTCATTTCTCCAGTTCTATTCACTTCTTTGCATTTCTGTGAACGGCTCACACCATTACCATCAACCATTACGTGCTCATGTTTTTCCATCATATTTTTCTATACAAATACGTCTTCATCCCCCTCCCAGTTTTAATGAGATTGTGTTGAATTATTTTTCTACTTGTCACCAAATAAGGCGGCCTGGGCGGTAAGCGTTGACTTCCAATTACCGTATATCATGGAAGTGGGTGGAGCTGCGGTCGTTCATTCATCAAGACGTGCGGCTCTCTCCACAACACACCGGCACCCCTTTCCGCTATTGTAGCTTCTCGCGGTTTTTCTCTCGAGTTCTTCTAGAAGATTCCAAAAATCTGTTTCAAGTTCTGAGCACTGATTATTTTTGGTCATGCTCTTTTCTACTTGATAAGGCATGTGACTGATTGTTTCCGTTTGACTTCCACCAAAGTCTATGAATTTGTGCCACGAGCGCGCCTGACGTCTTCGGGGAAAATGATTTGCTTCATGAATCTTTCGATATTTTTATCCTCATTAGAAAAATTCAAGAAAATTGTTCACATTAGTATAGTTATGCATTACAGTAATCGCTATATTTTGTTATTTTCAAAGCTGACGCTTGAAAACGCTTCTATTTGGTAGTCAAATGAAAACGGACCCTCAAACGAAACCAAGTGTTGCTCATTAAGCCTTGCATTGCCCACGCGTCGCCTCATTATTCCGATTACCTAGGCGAGCGATATGAATTTGACACTGGCAAAACGATAAGCCGCTGCTTGACCCGGGCGTGCGCGGACCAACAACGATCCACTAATATCTCAGATTTCATTCAAATTGATCATTATCGATTCCGTAAAAGCTTTTTAGGATAAGCCGAACTGATGGCAACGCACGGATTATGCAGTTTATTTGACACCATGACGCGTATTTAAAACACTTCAGTAGTTTGAAAACCTCCTCAAATTCGCAACAATCGGAGATAACCTCTAGAAAAAAAAACGGTCAATTGTTGTGATTAATGGTGTTAGTCGAACATGGTAATCCACTTAAACGAATTAGACATCAAGTTGGTCGGCGTATCGCCCAAAAAGTCTCCTCTGATTTGTTTGATCACTTAACACATTAGCAAACCTATGATTGCAAAAACGGGGTTCGTCAAGATCCAAACGCTTTCTTCTTGTCCATTCCCGTTAACCTCTCTATCTTTAACACTACTGGTGGTCAACATATTGCCTTTCCTGTTCATTACTCGAAACATCATCATCTCTCCTCCCATTCATCCGCGAACGCTCGCCACTCTACCGTAGTCTTGATAGGTGGGCGGAGTATCTCATTAGCATTCTCGCTCAAACCTCATTTCACTCTATTTGTTCTAACGCTTTCGTTATTATGACTTCAGCCATGAGCCTTCCTCTCGATATGACAACGATGAGCTCTCAGGAGCGGCTTGAGAAAATGTCTCAACTTCCGAAGATTGAACTGTGTGAGGAGGAGGAAGAGGAGATGAAGCCAACCGTGGAAACCAAGATCAAGTTCAACATCACTGAACTTCTGGAAAGCGATCCAAAACAGTAAGTAAAACGTTTATCTTAGAATTGTGAACAATATTATGTTTGCAGAAGCTCGCCATCGGCCTCATCGGAAGACAGCACGACGGACCTAGATCAGTCGGCGTTCAACTTCAACTTCGATCCCAAAATGATTCCCATCGCTGCTTTTCTTCATCAATCACTGATGAACGCTGGAAATCAGCACAACCAACTCTTGTCCACCTTCCCAATGCTTCCACTTCTCGGATTTCCACAGGCCGTCCAATTGATGCACTTCAAAAATGCAAACCACGCAGGTCAGTTCAGTTCACAATAGATACATTCATTACTAGAGCAAGGACGATCTTGCATAACTTCACGGAGACGGGTCTCTCATTAGGTGTCAAAGGTTTACCATATTTCATGTCTAAACAATACCACTCTTCCGCAGATTCCCCCTGTCATTTTGCGTGTGTTAGTCGGCGTTCTTCCCAAGAAACCGCCTCGCACAGTTACTCTCTGACCCATTGTTATTGTCCGAATTAGCAAAGTCCGGGACCCATTAACAAGTTGAACAAGGGAGGCCTGTCGGCGGATGTTGTTCATCTTAGGGATAAGAATCAGGCACCCAGCGAGATGGGTTGAACTCCGATAATTACCTTTTGTTGGGTAACACCAGTGTTCTTGAAAGGATGCGCTCTCTGGTGCTCAACAAGCGAATGATTCACAGCTAATGACGTGAGAAAAGAATGGCACGCGTCGAGAAACGTAATTCTTTGATCAGTTTCTGAACACGGCGTGGAATGAGATACCATCTGACACAATTCTCGCGTTGGGTGTCAACAGTCAACAATAGGTGCTCCATTATGGTGGAATTAGCCTACGTCGTAACACGACATCTCATTTTGTTCATTCTTCACTGAGCTTCAAAATTGTTTAGTATTACCGCTACGAAATCTGCGATACCAGCACCAAAAGCTACTACGTTTTAATGAGCATCTTTTACATCACATTGCCTGAAAAATGATGCTCGAATGCGTAAATAGGATTTACGTAACGTGAACGATTTCTTGTTACTTTGATTTCTCAGCGATAATATACCTTTTCCAAATGAGTGAAGCCAATGAGAATGGCTCGACTAGGTACCAGGCTCTCCGTGCCATCTGAGGCCGGCACGCGTATCCTAAGTAATCCCTTCCATTTAGATAATTATGGCGAGGAGGGGATGTGTTATAATTGTGGCCTGTCGAAAAGAACATATCAATGCAATACGTCTCACGTTCTGGCAAACGCTAATTACCTAAACGGTTCGGTTCATTGCAGAATATGGCACTCAACAAGAAATGGGGGATGAGAAGGAGGAAAAGTCAGAGGGAAAAGAGGGCGAAACACGAGACTCGACAGGTGGCAGCCCTCTTGACTCCGACGCAGAGGATGACGATGAAAGTAAGAATTGATAAATTCTAGAGATTTTTTGGAAAAACTGTTTGTTACCCAGATGGACGTGGAAGCGAGGATGAAGCCAATTCCAGCGATCCATCTCAGGGCAGAAAGAAAAAAACAAGAACTGTTTTTAGCAGAAGCCAGGTAACAATTAATAGAGAATCAAGAATCAGCAACTTCATTTAATGTTTTCAGGTATCGCAACTGGAGACCATGTTCGAATGCAAGAGATACTTGAGCAGCCAGGAGCGATCGAATCTTGCTCAGAGACTGAGTCTTAGCGAGACTCAGGTCAAGATCTGGTTCCAGAACAGACGCAACAAGTTCAAGAGACAGGCACAGACTGATGATCCGACCATGGCTCTTCAAATCAACAGAGCCACCAATCTATTCAACTCTTCACTCCCCAACGCTCTTCCGAATCCGTGAGTTTGCAGAGAATTATCCGGAAATCTTGACAGTGCAGTTACAGAGTTCTGCAAATCCCAACTACATCCGCAGGAATGGCAATGCGCAACGTGATTCCGACTGCTCTTGACACCAATGCGGCTGCTCGTTTTCTTTTCGGATACAGTACACTCCAGGCACAGAACATTTGCAACCAGAATCCAACTCTTTGAACGTCCCTGACTTAATTCCCCAGACTACCCTGTGCAATCAAAAAATTTGTCAATCGTTCTTCTCCACGCACTTCCTCTCTTTCCTTCTCGACCTTGCCCTATGCAACTCCCTAATTTGAGCATTATTGTTCAGCACCATTTATTTTTTATTATGTGTCATTTCATATATTCTTACTCCACATGATAAACTAATTTTGAAATCCAACTTCGATCTATTCTACTCTACTCCTCAAACTTATTAATTTATTTATTTTGTCAATAAAGATTAATTCTGAAAGAACTGTGCGGTTTTACAGACTCGTAAACTCCCCCTCTATCGGCAATATATTTGAGCGTTGTTTACCAAAAAACTATAGTTTATAGGTTCCCTGTGTACAGCGCCATGTTGCTCTGCGAGCAATGAATCATGGGAAGACAGCCTTTGATGAGCCGACTCCGATTCAAATCACAACGTCTGTTATGCAGAGACGCAGAACCTTTTTTGTTTTGATTGCGTACACGCAATGCATAAAATATATTCAAATGACAAAGCCGTACTGAAAAAGAAAAGAAAGTTTCAAAGCCCATACAGCTATTGGAAAGTGTGTGAAATGAAAATTCTCGGGAAAATTATCTATTTTTCCCCTTTCATTGAAAAATTGGATCCATGATCAATCTCCAAGAAAAGGAAAGTTAAACGCCTGAATTGTAGTAGTCGAATAAGTAAGAAGATTGATTGGTAAGAGGTCCGAACAGAACAAAACTCTCTAGTCACCTCGCTCTCCCTGGCCTTTGACTCGAGGCCGTGTTCTACTCGAAGCCTCGCCTTTCAAGTGAACCTTGGAAACGCGATCCTTTGACAAGCCGACAACCTATTCGAATTTAAATTCTGGCAGTCAGAGACCCAAAAAAGAGAGCGAGACAAAAACGCACCGAAGATGCTTTCGAAAACCTTTTCTGTTTTATAAAATTTGCTGAAAATAAGTTTTTTCTCCCTCCCGATATACTAATCCTTTGAATCTCGCAATTCCAACCCCAAATGCAACCCATTGAACGATTTTCAGGAATTGCCGCGTTTAACTTCTTCATTATAGTTTAACGACGTACATTTCCTGTGAATCGTATTTGTGATTAAAATACAATAGCTCGAATAAGGCAAAAGATTGGCAAACGGTCCGAACAGAACAAAACTCTCTAGTCACCTCGCTCTTTTTGGCGGGTGACTCGAGGTCGTGCTCTACTCGGAGCCTCGCCTTCCACAAGGTAGCGAATATAAGACGAATGATGATAACTTGTTTGACCGCTCTATTTATAGGCTTGAGCGTGGGCGGAGCCAGGAAATGCGTAGCGACAAGGCGCAAACATTGGTGTTTGTTAGAAAAGAGAAAGAAAGGTCGAATGTTCGGACGGCCAGCAGACAAATCCAAAAAATTATACCTGGTCGACGAAGGTAAGAAAAGGGAAATCTGAACTTATCGAAGAATTTCGGCCTCACGGAGAAAAGGGGAGCGCAATAACAGTTTGGGGACCTGGTTAAAATAGTTTGGGAAACACAGTTTCGACGGTTCACGGGACATGTTTTGTTCGTATTAAATGACAAAGAAAACACATTCATACAGACTTCTTGGGGGCCGGGTCGATGGAGAGTGTTAGAACACTCAAATTTCAATCCTGAGCTGAGTAAAAAATCTATAAAATCGATCGTTGTTTCGAAAAAAACTAAAACCCGGGTCTTTTTTTACATCAACGCGGGTTGATTTTCGACAAGCTTGCCGTAATTTACATGGAAAGGAATCCGCTATTTCAACAGCTAACAAACCGATCAAACAAATCACAGTTTTTGTATACATCCGCAGTCACCCGTTTTTTCCGTATTCCGAGGTTTCGAAAGCACATTGTAGATGTTCCTAGCGGTTGTGCCGCGTATGCAAAAACAAATCGACCATCTTCCCCCCTTTTCCTACGATGATCGTTGGGAAATACAAATTATTTTTTCGACAGTGTGCCTTTCTTGTTTTGAAGTAGTGAAAACTCATTCGACGTGTTGATTTTCTTTTTCCGTAGGTAGAAAAGTAGAAAAACAGTTAACGTCAGAAATACGTCAACACGTTTTCGTTTAGTTTCCAGCTAATGGTATTGTTTTCAGAAAAAATCCCCAATGGATCGTCAAATGATGAGAGTTCTCCGTGCGGGACAGAATGAAATGTTACGCGAAGAGATGAGGAATGCACTTGGCCGAGAAGACTTTGATGATCTCTCGCACGACGGGGGTGTCTCTTCCAATTTGGAGGAGCCATTGACGAGTGAAGAGGAACAGGAGGACACTGACGGGCCCAGAATCCAGGACACCGGCTACGACAGTTGTGGCGAACAATTCGAATCGGACGAGGAAGTTGTGAGAGAGGTTATCGCACACATCGAAGACATTTCGGACACTGAATCTGCTTCCGGTTCCATCGAAGATTTCGTTTCGTCACTCGGGGATCTTGACGAACGGGACGATGACTTCTCTGACTGGACTCTCGATGACTTCATTGGAAAGTACATCGATCACAAGCAAGCTGATTCAGGAGATGACGGTGACGATGAAGAAAAGACTAACGAGGAGAAGGATGAAAATGAGTGAACGAGATGAGCAATTACCACGCGGTCAGCCTTTGGGTTATAAGGTTATGTATGAACGTGATGCGTTTTCAGCTTTTCGCCAACTTTCACGGACTTCCTGCCGATGTTCCTTCCGTCTCATCTTTCCCATTCTTTAGTTCTTCCTCTCAAACGCTTTTGCTCTCCATGAATTCGTGTTTTTCGCATTTCATTCTCGTCATGACGATGATGATGATAATAGAAATAATTGAATAGCCAACAATTTTCTCAATTATTTTAAAACATTTTCAGGGGAATCTTTAGTTTTCAGAGTTTCCTTTGAGCGCCCATGCACTCGTCATATTTTCCTTTTGTTTTGTTTCTGCTCACATTGTAATCAAGGGTTGGAACTATTCATTTTCTCGCGTCCCCGCGGCACGCTCATTTTTTTCCTCTAAAAGTGTTAAAAACAATTCCATTGCTTCAGAAAAAACGAAGCCCGGAATTTTTGTTGTTCTCTGCTTTTTCAACTTTGTGAATGATCTTCGATTTAGCCTACTGGACAATGGCGGATAACAGTGACGCGGATAATTTGCAAAACGTATTTGGTCACTGTCAATTGAGAATAATGTAATAGTAAATTTTTATAAGGATATTCCGAAATTGACGCTCCACGACTACGAGGGAGACGATGATAGCGAAGAGGGAGAAACCACCAGTGCAAATGCAAATCCAAAAAGAAAAGTGATAAAATGTTAGGTTTTTCGAAATAATGCTTTTAATTTCAGCTTTCCCGCGAAAAAGTTTTCGAAAACGGAAATAGTGAGATGCAGGATTCCGATAAAAACGGCGAAGCCGAAAACTACACGAACACCGTCAAAGAAGCGGGCTACCGTGACTGGCGGAATGCCAACAATGATGCACTGTTTGAGGACAACGACAGCTGCCTCAGGAGGCTGTTGCCGACGCCGCGCAAAGAGCCGACGGTCGACAATGAAGAAGAGTATGACGCCGATTCGGAGAATTCTGATGAAGAGAACAAGTGAAAGAAGAACGCTCTTGTGCTTTTGTGACTTCATTTTTTGCAAATATGAAGCTTTTCCCTTTTTCCCTCAGCTTTTCAAAATCGTCTCAAATTACCACTGTGCAAAACATTTCAGGGCACGAGAAAACCCAACAAAGTGCCGTTCGCACCTGTCGCAAAGGGGAGACATTCAAATTTAGGACAAAAAATGGTGGTCGCACATAGGCGAGGCAGGTGCAGAACAAGTGTTGGGAGTTCGCACTCATAACATGCCACTTTCCCGTATATATCCTCTGGCCACTGGAGATTTTACTTTGTGTACTGACATTTACTATTTTATTTTGGCTAATGGAAGCGTTCTCAAGGAGTGAAGACATTACCTCCGTTTGGGAGATTATGGCCTTACGGTTGGTCAACATCTGTGCTCTTGCGTGGGTCAATCTGCGGTGGCGGCTTCTAATAGACTGTTTTATCGGGTCCTTCAATCTCCACCGTGAGACCTTTCTCAGCTCAATTCTTATTTACCGGTAATTACTCTTTTTTCGAATATTTGCACGTGTTCGCACACTTCGTACAGGTCTAAATATCTGAAGGCGTCAAGTGTGGTCGTAAGTCAAGACTTCTTTCGGGTGCACAAATTGCACCGCGAGGATATATCAATGACCATCAGTTTAGATAATAATCTTTATGGCGTGCAATGCTCGTTCGCACATCGTTTCTCACAAATGTTGTGCAACAGTCTCATTATGTCAGAGGACGAATCGATCCATCCTTTCTATTACCCATCACTATGACGAACAACCCTACTTTATCCTTCAGAATCAACCGTTTATCACACGTGTGAAGGCTTTCCATAACCTTCGAAAGCTTTGAGAATTTATTTCTTCGTGTTCTCTGCGTCCACGTGATTTCCGCTCATGCTCGTCAACAGCAAATGATAGGTTTCGTTGAAGTGGATTACCAGATACTCGTTGGGGACTGAGTTTGAATGGGTGGTAACCCATCCGCAAACAATACCTGCCTATGGTCCCGTCCTCTTTCATCGTGCCGCTCGCTCTCCCGGTCTCCCTTACGAACGCAGTCTCACCATTGGCCCTGTCCGTCATCGTGTGTCGTAAATAAGCGCGCACAGTCTGTTATTTTGCATCAATATCTTGTATTTTACGATTCCGTACTTGTAAAGTTAGCGGGTTCCAATGTTAGGTAACATTTGAGAGGCCCCACCCATCCACTGACCTTTGCGTCCGTCCATCCCAAGTCATATTTTGGGTTGTATGTTTTGTCTTCTTCCCTAAAAGTAAACAGTTTTTTGGGCTGTCCTGCCTCTTCCTCATCATTTTGGCTCCTTTTATACTACTACTATGCGTTAGTCATTTTTTGTACAAAAACGTTGCATTCCTCAAGTCTTCGCTCAGTTGACGCGCATACACCCGCCTGAATGTGTAGTTTTTAGACAAATTGCCCTCGCCTTTTTGTGACTGCCGCCCGAAACTTTCATAATCTCTTGGGTACCAAGTATTTCAAAGATTGTCTGGGAAAACGGAAACGAAACTCCGTGTTCTCTGACAAGATTTTTTCTGTCTTTTTCGGACTACCGAGCGATCAATCTTAATGTTCACCAGCTGTGCACTAAGCAGCCAATCTTCTTCATGTTTTTTTGACCCACTCCCGTTCGGACTTTAAAATTCGATTAAAAAATGGCTACAGCACTCAAGATTCAAAACGAATCAAACTTTTTCAATCAATGGAGAAGTTCTTCGTTGTGAAAGAAAGGTCATTTGTGTTTGCCGCGCTGAAGCTTTGTAAAAAAAATGAGAAAAAGAGGAAATTCCCATGGTCTACCTTTCACTTGTTTCGCACCTTGCCAGGACGGAGAACCTATCTTCACCCCGTCTACGAACACTTCTTGATCTTGGTTCCCGCCTCTTTTCATCCTACCCGCCGTCTTCTTCGCCTAGTTCTCCCCGACCGCCCACCTCCTTCCGGCGAGCTCTCGTTTTTTCGATTCCTACGTAATCAGTTGTTCAGAGGGCGAGAAATGATGGAAAAGAGATAGATACAGACTGTGATGTGAGTGGCTCCATACTGATAATTCTATTTGCCTACCTACATTCCTTGTCCTCCTCCCTTACAAACTCTCTAACTCGATTATTATTTTTTTTTTTTCTTCAAAACAATTTCTATAATTCAGAATGAACTTCCGGTGGATCATCCTCTTCGCATTCTTCCGGACAGTACGTTCAAGCGATGACGTCGTTATCGATCTGCTCACAAACTCGACATTTGTGGAAGAAACGGTGAGCAAAACTTGCAAAACTTTCCTCTTTTCTTACCTCAACACATCCTGGAATATAAATCTATGTCGGCTAATGAGCTACATAAATCAGCAGAGTTTATCTAAGCGGGCGGACCTTTCTATCCGTTGAGTCATCGCTCATTCACTTTGTCACAAATGAAAACAGATTCATTCTCTGCTGATGGTGATAGGGAGAGAATATTGCGGAAGGCGACAAAAACGGAAATGGAAGACGTGTGTAGGCGATGAAACGCTTGGAATGAACATAAATCTCGTATCATGCCGGTTCCAAGTGTTAATAAATTATGACTAAACGCGGCTTTTTTGGCAATCGTTTCCGTAATTTGATTGATGGCACCACTAGTGAAATATCGCAAAATAATTGACGATAACCGCGGACCGAACAAAAAGTAAAAGTTACAGTGATTTAGTATCGGTTCGTCGAAAATGGGTGCGAGAAGCGAATCAGCGATCATCGCTGACAGTTTTGAATGAATCATTTCGCCGACAATATACTTGTTTTCAGGAAGAAGTAACATGCGACTGCAGTGATGATGACATGATTGAAAAGGCGAATTATACTCTGACTGTGGAAGTGAAGAACATGCAGATCCGACTCGTCGAGCCATTTCGGGATGCGATCGCTTTCACTACCAGTAACATATCTCTGGAAAATCGGATAATTGTGTGCTATATTCAGGTGAAAAGCAACACATTCTGGATTTTATCAAGTACGTGACACTGAGGGATATCAAGGCAACCTACCCTCTTCTTCTTAATTACACCGAATTCCATGTGTCGTTTGATGAACTCATGGGAACTGTTACGAACATTTTCCTCACTGAAAACGTAAATCAGTTCTCAGTAAACTAACCTCACAAACTAGACTTTGCAGGAAATCTCGCTTTCTGGAATCAGATATGAAGTGACCACCGCCATCCACAAATTCCTCACCAGACTTCTTCCCGACATGTTCCTTTGTTTGTCAGTTGGAAAGTGCCGTCAAGTTCCCCTGGAGTACCATAACTGCATGATTTCAAGCACGAAGCACTGGTCCGTCTATCTTGGAAGCACTCCAAACAAAATGGCGACAACGTGAGACTTTTTAAATTGTTTTGGTGTTTTCCTAATCAGTCCGTTTTAGTGTTGCGGAAACCATCTATCGGTACCGCAAAGTAGAATTCTTACTGGTTGACATGCACAAACAGTTGATGAACGCTCATAACTTGACAATCTCTGAGGAGTGTCTCGATGAATACGTGCATACTTTGCCCTGTAATTGTACCACAATTGGCATTGGTTGGTGCAAGTGAGTGATTTTCCAACTATTTTTGTCCGTCTACTTATTATTTTCCAGGACGTCTTGCCCGGAATCTATGGAAAAATGTTTTGGAAAGTTCTCCCGAGAGTGGTCCGCCAAGTTGCATCTGATGAGGAACATGACGAACACTAAGAAAACGTTCCTCGAGAACTTCCTAACTGTACATCACATCAAATACAAAATCCCTTTCGAAATCATCCCTTTTCCCGTTTTCAGCTCAAAAAGACAATCTTTTCGGTGATCCGCGTGTTTCTCGAGCGCAAAGCGTTTGTGTACGCGGAGCACGTGTTCAACTCGTGTGGAGCTCTCGGAGAGATGATAATCCATCCGTCGAAGCACATTGTACACCTCCGTTCGCCTGGACCGTTCGCCGGCCGAGCAGATGGAGCCGTGAGAGAGGTTCGTTTCTGGCGGCGGCGTTTTCTTTGTGCTCGCTCTGATTGCACAACTAATAATCAACATTCTCATCCTTTACAGCTTCAATTGTCGGCCAAGTTGTGGGAGAAAATGGGGCGGAAAATATGTGAGCACACTGGAGTCGTCTATCATCCCACGCTTTGTTTCGATGGGACCAAAGTCATTTCGTAAGTTTCAGCTATTACAAAAAGGGATTGAAAGGGAGAGGAGCGAGTGCAAAAGATAGTAAAAATTATGTAATACAAAACTGAAGATATTACTGAAAATTGAAATTTCTTAGAAGTCCCGTATTTCAACTTCAGTTCATATAACAGTAAAGAAGTAAATACCGCTAATTCTATCTAATAATCCCTTATTTGATTGAATAAGCAGCTGTATTGATGAAACATGTCATGTAGGCAGTGGTCCATATTTATTTGCACTGCAACCCTTTCACCGCTGAATTACTAAAATCCTTTGTACTTTTAAGTAGAAAAAGTAGCAGAAACCACTTTTTTTGGCGAAAAATCAGCCACAAATTTTCCACCTGTCTGCATGTTCCTCTTCTCAAATATAGATCCAAGTTCCCATAGTACAAATATATGCATAAATCTCAAGATATGAATCAGGTGGTTTATGGCGGATTGTACCAAGGTTGATGGCAGGTCATCTGAGTACTTGAACGAGTTTCTTATTGCCTGGTCGAAAGTGGACATTGCATGTCGTTCTAGAGCCCCTCTTCCTCTTCCTCTTTCGTAATTAACTATTTCATTACGCAGCTCACGTTGTTCATTGTCATAAAATGAAAAAGGAAGAGAAAAGATAATTGGGATGTGCTCTCGGAGCAACGAAATAGCTCACTAGAACGAGGAAAAAGGAGTTCTATAGTGAATGCCTAGTCGGTTTCGAAACTCGAGTGCACTCTTTTGCTGTCAATGAACTGACATTCAAAATTACATTCATGCGGAGTCAGTGATATGGTCAGTTTTGTTTGAAACGCACTGAATTTGCATCTGTGGCGCCATCATCGTTGGGAAATAATGTGTGAAGCACGTGAGACGCAGACGCTGGCTCTTGCCGGTCGGCAGAATTGAGGGAGGGGGGCGGGGCGGACGGGAAAAGACCGACGACGGCGGTCGGGTATGTTCAGCCAGTCGGTCGGAAACGAAAAGGGCCTTAACCATGCACTCGCTACTGATCCTAGTCACTTCCTGTATATTTCTCCAAGGAGTGAGCACCATCAATGATTTTAGAGTCCAACATGAGCTGCCGCCAATTACTAAGGACGTACGGCCGAGGCCAATGGTGAGTTATTTTTTTTACAAATTTTTTAACATTAAACCTAGAAAATGTGCCTGCGACAATTAGTTAAAAATCAACTCTAGAAAAGCAAAAAAATGCAGATTATTCTGATACTTTAAGGAATTTCTGTCGTTTTTTACAGCCCGCTGAGTGCTTTTCTCAATTATCAGATTGTTTCTCGTGTCAAAAATAGAAGCAAATTGTTTTTGAAATGCTTTTCTCTTCCCAAGATGCGTTAACAATTTATCCGTTTTCGAGAAAAACCAAGACACATGAAATTTCTGTTCATCTTTCCTCCAAACAGCCCACCTGTCACTCAGTTCTTTCGCTCTTCTTTCCTTCTAGGAACAGCCAATCACAAACGACTTTAATTAGCCATTATTGATTGTTTGTTTTACACCTTCTGCTCTATGTAAATCCAATAGCACTGCAATGCGGTCTGTACTATACTCGTGAACCTTTTACCCGTATTTGCTCATATCGACTCTTCGCGGAAGGGCAAGAAAGAGGTGAAGCGAGCCAGCAAGCATAAGGCAGATCCTATTTGTAAAACAACGCAAAAATGATAAATGTACGTGTGTTTTTCGCGCGGTCCTGTGGGGATCATATCGCTTTCCCAAAGACAAATCACCTCCTCCACCACTTTTCGAAGATCGTTTTGTTCGTTCACCTTGAGGAAGCGACAACACAGCCCATCTTTCGAACATGCTAATGGGGTGCGTAAGAAAAAAAACACGAAATTAGAATATGGCATTCGTCGCCTGGGATAGGTTGTGATTGTGACTCGCCAACCGAGACATTTTTCTTTTTTCCATTCAACATTTGACGCATGCGAGCGACACAAAAGAGTGTCTGATTGACTCAACGAACAGAGCTGAGAGCTCACAACTTTTTTTGGCATGTCCGTGACAACTAGTACTCGAGAAGCTCTATAAAAATGTCCAAGTTGTCAACGCATTTTTACGATTTCGGTCGGTGTCGTCCTTTCGTTTCGCGCAGACCACAGAGAAAACAAACTGGTCACCGAAATCCCCAAGAGTATCGTTTGCTACTGCACTTCCACCACACAAACTCTTTTATGTACTCGAGAAGTTCGATAAATTATGTGGAGGAGGCCACAAAGGCGACGTGTCACAAGTTGGAGAATAATCTGGGAATATTTGGTGGGAGAAGGACCGGAAATGGGGCCTCGATTCACAGGAAAATGCAAAAAGTGCGTTTTGCCCTTGAATGACTAACGAGCCCTATTCCGGCGCTCACAATCCGGGCATGATTAAATTATTTGGTTTGGAAAACTGGTTCGGTCCATCTCTTTCTTTACTCTGAATTCTGAATTGCAAAAAATCTGAAATCATGAATTCCCATGCTGATTTCGAATGGGCACTTTCCCAGCAACTAGTCCGCCAAAACCGACGTGTTCTTTGTTTCGGATCGCCTATTTCGATTATAAATTGGTCGCTCGTCCTCGTGCGTACGCCTTAGCATTCGGTTTTTTGACCGACTTCAGGGAACCATTTGATGCCTTTGAACGTTTGCCGCTTCCCGTCAAAAAGACAAAAAAGTTCGAGCATGAGCAATCCGAGGGCACAAATAATTGCTGTGCTGGCTGTGCGCGGCGGCCATTTAGAGCGGGAAAGGCGCGCGAAACAAGCGAAGGAAGAAAAATGACTGGCCGTGCGCGAATGTATAGTTGTTTATAATTTATGAACGTCGTGGTCCGGAAATGTGCTTCTTCATTTCCATAAACTGGTCATTGAACAGATCAAACGCATTTTAGATGTCCTCCTATTTCCAACAATCATTGCCTTTTCTTTTCTTCTCTGCAAAACCCATACGGAGCTCTTTGAATGATTTGAGGCAATTATTGCTCGCTTCCAGCTAAGAACCAATTGAGGAAATGTATGTTGGCAATGCAAACATTGAGTCAGTGGAGAGAGTCACAAACGGGCCTTTCCTTGGGTTTTTGAGTCCCTTCAAAGAGCGCCCTCCCATCCATCATTAGACGAAGGGATCACTTGGCACACTTAAGCTCCCTTTCGAGTGAAGGTGGCAACTAAAAGCTAGTGATATTATGTTGAAGCAAGTAAACAAACACATTTTTCTAGATTGGGAAGGGCTAGTCACAAACTCTGTACAGGTACTAATTAGTCTCCAGCTGTCGAATTTCGCGCCCAGATAACATCAAATACCCTGCATTTTTTCGTTGAGTTTGTGGGTGCGCGACGGAAAGAAGAAGACAACTTTTTAATGAGGTCACAAAGTGATATATTTCCTGAATTCATTGAGTGGCGAATTGAATTAATGGCTTCGTTTATTGCAGATGGATTGGATCGAGAAGAAGGCAGAAAGGAAACAAATAATGGAGGGATCCGGCAATCCCTTGTGGGACGACGAGGATTCGGAGGATTTCGACGGATCCGGATCAGGCCTGCCATCAATCAGCGACAGTAAACCTACAAAGGCAATCATTCAAGAGCACCCGAAAAATATAGGTGAGTTGAAATATGCATTCAAGTCGGTCTTTTCTTTTGTGTGTCATGGACCCAAAACCAGTGCACTCCTTGGCCCCTCCATTTTTTCCTCGTCTCCCGACGCTCTCGCTTACACTTAATCCCGGCAAATTACCTCGCGCCGTACGCACTTTTTGCGCTCAACTTTTACGAGCCAGCGAGTGGAAGAAAAAGGAGAACAATTGAGGGCTAGAATGAGGGAAACGATAGGAGAACTATGCAGAATTTACGATGAGAAAATTGTCTTTGTTCAGATCTGTCAACGAATCCAAAGGGGCCGTCGGTCATTGCCAACGAACAAGGAAACACGCCGGATGGGTCGACGGCAAACAGTGTAATCACCTGTATCGTCCTTCTTGTGGCTTTCTGGCTCCGCTGAGCATTTTTCAATCTATTTCTCTTGTTAGCCAAAAGTCAGTCACTCGATCCCGGTCTTCGTTGTGCCTCCGTCCAATCACCCGTCATTATTTCTGCTCATTGCCGTTTACAGTTGTTCTCCCCGACCAAACTTTCTTTGATGCCACTGTTTATGGGTATTATTCTCTTAACTTTCCCTTTTTTTCCCTCAGAGTATGCATCAGGTTTTATTCCGTGAATCCACCTCGGGTCCGATCCACATTGTTGTGGGTTTCTATCTCCTGAACTTTCCCTGTTTGGCTCTTCGTCTCTAGAGCATGATTTATTTTCTCGAATCCTCCTGTTTTTACATGCCATACAATGTTCTTGATAATAAAGTTTATTATACATACGCAGATAAATGATTGATAGATAATGCAGTTATCGCAAGCAACAAAGGTTTACTTGTGCTGAACTTCAACCTCGAAAGTCAATATCTCCGACGGACGAATCGTGAACTCTCCGGTCTTCGCTACGTGCGATTCTGAGAAAATGGAAAATTGAATTAACTAACAAAAAATAGAGTGGAGACGTACTTGTACTCCCTTTCACTTTGTTAGCTCCAAGGAGAAGTTGCTTGAAAGATAGGATATCCAGGCTCGTGAACAGATTCTGAAAAAAAAACACTTCACGTCTAAAATCAATATTTCTGAATGTACCTACCTTTGCATTAAATGTCTGAGGTTTCGCATATTCCGACGATTCTTCACCATCATTGTGATAGACATGCTCAAAACGAATCAGACTGTTCTTTTTCTTCCATTTCTCGAGAGTTAGCAAATGGAGAAATTCAGGAAGCTCTCTCGTCAATCCGGAATACTCTAATTGCCGGTTGAACTCAAACTTTTCTTGTTTTTTGGAAATTGAGAAGGCTAGGATGGGCTGATGGAAGTTGCTGATAGCAAGAGGACGCAATTCAGCCGCACTGGTCTATAATTTACAGATGATCGTCATGAATTTAAATAAATGAAAATGTACCTTAACATCAGTGAACAGCAGAATGTGTTTTCCCATCGCAACTAGTCCAGTTCCCTGTTTTCCCGGCTCATCGAGAGCTTCTTCGACGCCAAAGTGATCGTCATAAAAACAACGCCGATGCAACTGGAAGATTGTTTTTTATTAAGGCTTCCCAGAGTACTCCGCTACCATGATTTCCACAGTTCCTTGCGAAGCCGACCATCCTTGTGCTCGGTCGGTTATGACACTGAATTGATCAGTGTTGTCCCTGATATATCCAAAACTGGTGAGTGGATAATAGTTTCCAGCAACCGGCTCAGTGTCTGAGTATTCAAACGATGTTGCCCCGTCGAAACTTAAAATGAAACCATGGAAGACTCAAAATAAACGAGATGTCTTACAATCGTTCGATAACCTGACGGCCATTAGCATCGGTGAAAGATTGATTGAAAGATTTTACTTCTGTTGTGTATCTGGTCACGATTTCTTTTGTGATCGGGTTCCTACAAACCATTTCTGTTCTCGGCAACTGCTTCTGACAAACTTAGCCTCTTTCGGAATGGGACCAACAATCCATTCCAGTTCAAGATGAGATTTTCCTTTTGGCAAACGAATATGCTGAGAAACCCACGGATTTACACGCTGACGAACTTCATTGGTCACACTGCCCTTAAAATGTCATCAAAAGTTCACAAGTTTAGTTCCAGTTCCACTTTACCGATATCACTTCCAAATTAAGCTTAGTGCCCAGAGACAATGGTTGTTGAGATTTCGGACGGAAGATGTAAGCACCAGAAGGTTGATCTTCCTTTGAATCAACACCTTCGTAATAGAAGAACTCTTGACGAATGCTTCTGGTTTTGAACGTGTTTTTGTCAGTTATGTAAGAAAGATATCCTTGTGAATCAAAGCCAACAATCAAGTGCTGAATCAATAGCTTATACTAGCAAGTCACAAATAAATACAATACCTCATTCTGAATTTCGATTTTCGTATTCAAGTTTTTCTTTTTCTGAGCAGTTTTCTCATAAACTACTTCTTCCTTTTCAACAGAAATCGTTGTGTAACCGAGTGGTGGAACACTGACGACGACATGCAGTTCATATGGAGAACGATCCGAATCTTTGAGTTGATCAACATTGAAGGTGGGAACAACCTGAAAATTTTGTCAAATATCTCTTTCATATGTACGTTTTGTTGTTCACCTGATGCTCAATTCTGCTTTTCTGTGCATCTCGGACTGTTGCCTGTTTCTCAGAATAAGGTATGCGAATAGTACCATTATAGTATTTTCCGTTAGAATTAAAAATGGCAACTGTGAAACCAGTGAGCCCGCTGAAAATATGAAAATATTAGATATTCCGAATTGCTCTTTAATAAACTTGATCGGTTTACAAATAGTCTCATTGAGAAGTGGGCAGACGATTAATTTTGGGTCCAAACCATCTGGATTCAATTTTTTCATGAAATCGTTGAGAACAACCTGAACTTTTTACATGCTTTGTTCCCTCAAATTATGCGATAAATACGTTCACCTCAACTTCATTCATTCCTCGCGCAAGTTGTTTCTCATAATCTCTGGTCACATTCTCCTTCGCCGTACCGCTGCAACACCGATTTTTCACTCAAAAAGACCACGCACTCACGTCACGGCATCATGATGTTGCACTAGAGCGGAAGCCTCACGGAGAATTTCAATGTCCGAGTCGTCTTCCGGACCCAGATCGGCGATGACGTCCAGTTGTTTCGCAAGCTGGAGGGCCGAACTCGCCTGGCGGATCATTCCCTTGAAAGCCGGCCGACTCGTGAAGTATCCTGTCCAGTAGGAGTTCTTCCCTGATGCATACGGAAAGAAATCATCGTGTTTGCTAGACAGTTTGGGAGAACGAGCTTGAACGGCTTTTGTGTAGCAGGCTGGACTTGAGTAGATCACTTTTACTTTTTTAGAAGGCTGAAACGGAAAGTATGGTTTTCAAAAGTTGTGGAGGTGGCCTCACGTCTTCGTTAACGTATTTGATCAGTTTGTCGAGGTTGGAATACCATGAATTTGCACTGGTGTATTGGAAATCGCTACCCATCAGAAGCATAACTTGGTTAGTCACTTGATGCTTAGCCTATCAAAAATAGTGTGAGATTCTCTCGCATTTCAACGATTTTCACCTGTTTCCTGACATGATCCACGAATGAATTCACTTTCTCGTCCACATTGTACTCTTCCAAGTTTTGGTTATCCATGATCGGATCATCACCGCAGAGAATGTCCCAACAGAAGCCTTCCGGTGGTCCATAGTTATCTTGGAAGAATGCACCAGTAAAAATTTTGCTAGCTGCAACACTTATTTTCGCAACTCTGTTCAATTTTCTACCTTGTTTTACCCAAATCGTCGGACGCATTCCAGTTGAACTCAATTGTTCTGTTCTCCAGTCTTAGCTTCTTTTCCAAATAGTGTACACGAGCAAAGTAAAGAGACGTGTAACCCATCTGAAAAGGATAAAAAAAAGTGATGAGAAAGAGACGAAATTGAATACCTGTGCATAAATATTAGCCATTTCACGAGAGTGTCCGAATGGGTCGATTTGCCATCCCGACACTGGTTTTCCACATTCTCCGAATATTTGCTCCAGTTTCTGAATAGCTTATTTCAGTTTTTACAACGATACAAAACTGACTTGTAGTCCCAGAGTCATCTGATCGATGATATCGACATAATGCGAAGTGGCCTCATCATTTTGCACCCAACCTCCTCCAATTATTTCGATTTGTCCGTTTTTCACAAGTTTCTGCAATTGATGTCTATCGTAGTCACTGTTACTCGTGAACCATCTCCATAAAAATCCGGTCTCCGCAAACGAAAATCTGAAAATGTTTTGTTTTGCTTCTCCTCGTCCCTCTGAGAATGTTACCTTCTGTCAGGGTTTTTGAGTAATTCATCGATAACCGTGTTATAGATATACTGAACGCCGACGGGAACTAATGCAGGTTTAGCTGCAATTACGAAGTTATAGAGAACACCTCCAGCTAGATAGAGTAAAATCAGAAAGTGTTGACTGAAAACACCTCCATCACCTCCATAATAATACTGATCCACAGTTTTGATCCAACCGAGGTCGTCGTGAGTATGCGGAATTAGATGAGCGGTTATGACATCAGAGTCTGGGTCCGCTTCATGACACGTCTAACATTCAGAAAATATCAACTTTTATACCTGTATCTAATAACTTACATTCCATGCGCAATCTTGATGGGACCCATCGAAAAGAAGGCAAAAAAGAAAAAGAAATATACATTTTCGCAAGTCCTTCATGGTTAGAATGGTCGTTTGGTTAAAAGGAGAGAGTGACCGGACCGAGGTGAACGATAAGGGTTTATGTTTACCCTGTTATGATCACCTTTTATGTGGATACGTCTGTAACCCAATATACTGCAAACTATCAAGTATCGTTTATCAGAAGAGAACCTTATTTACGTGGAGAGTCCTGGGACTTTGATAAACAGCAAATGTTTATCTGGTCACTATACGTTTCTATTCTGGCTGCAAAGTGGGATTGTTTGAGGATGAAAATCAGGAAATCAAACATCGAATGCAAAAGCTCAATTTTTCTCGCCCCACGACATCGAACATCGGTTGCAATTCTAGAAGAAGTCACTCAAACTAATCGCCCTCGGAGTAAAAAGTCCATCAGAAACAACAACTTCTCGTAGGGTGCACGCGTTCCAGGAATCGCGCCGTGCCGCGCAAAGGCTTTCTTTGGGATTAGTTTGACGAAACGATGGTTTGCGTTCTTGTGATATGCTCCACAACTTCCTTCCTCCACGGACGCATCCCACTGCACGTCGGCAATGAAATGGAAATTGGAGTGCTCCATCGGCAGATGTTCGGCAAATGTCCTTCTTGCTTAGTCGTTTTTCTCCGAGATTAGGGTAATCGAGAGAGCAGCAACGGCTCGCTCTTCCTTGTTGTCCCATTCATCCCTCCCACCCAGTACAACATCCGGACCTGATCCTTCAAGGACCGAAACATCACGAGACTGGTGGTCTAGATCTTTGTGCTGTGTTGGCACCTAAAACTTTAACATTATCTGTTACTCTTGCCTACGCACATTGCTCATTCTTTGAAATAAGCGATTCGTTGTAAAATAAAAATATTCTTACTCTGGTTTTGTAGTGAAGCGAATCAAATTCTTCGTCAAACTAAGCAAGCATGTTAGCGAAATTTTGAGCAGACTAGCATCTAACCACCCAGAAATAAGTTCGAACTTTCATTGCCTTCCAATGTTTAGTAGCATTCGTCATTTCTATTCCCCACTCATTCAGTTCAAATATCATTGTCCTAGTGGTGAGTGAAACAGCAAAAAACTGCGGTGAAGCTTTTCTCTCACCTCATGACAGCTAATTTCATTACGCTGCTCCCCCGTGCCCCCACACAATCATCTTCTCAATATTTCATTCGGAACCCGTCCGCCCATGGCCCTGGGTTGTTATGTGCACCAATTGTTTGAATTATGACCGTTCAAAAGGACGGTGAAATATTGAGGCGGCACCGCATGCCTGATATATTACTCTATCTCAGTCAGCTTCTTCTCGAACCTTCAGGTGGCGTTAGTTTCCTCGTTTTCTAATCGGAACATTTTATTTCTCCTTTTCAAACTTTTACTCTTATTCCAGCAAAAATTTGATGAATCATTATTTCGCGTCTTCTCAAACAGATATTCATGTTATTTTGAAATCTTAAAGTTACAAACTTAAAAGTCATATTCCAATAAATGCATCAGCATTTTTTTCAAGCACATCTCTATATCTCCTTCTTTTATAGTACAATCCAATCTTTTTCGTATTTCCACATAAATTCAGAAGGTAAAATGGATATGTGATGTTATTGAAAATGCGGCGACAAGAGGTTGCGCGCCTTCGGGTATCTCTGTTCTTCTTGTTTTTGAACTTCCACATGATGAGCCTCGAAGAGACAGATCCTATTCAGTTCCGACATCCATCTCAAAAGAAATACGCCTTCTCCCTTTCCTTCTTATTGTTCATATTTCCACATGTTCCTAATCACCAGTTTCCTGTCGTTCACCAGCTTGTCAAACATGTTCTCGTCTTCCGTTCTCCACTCCCACTGGCCGAAAACTTCAAAAGACTACTAGTTGAACTAAATATGTCTCTTATTCGGTAGGTTATTTTTGCACCCCACAACCACATCACCAACCACTGGACCCTCCATTATTCTCACGTTGTCCACCTCACATCCGTATCCAGGAATCGGATCATTTTCGAGCACATTTTCCATGTGCCCCGAGCACCAAAAGTGTGCGTGAGCAGCAGCTTCCCGTAATCAAGGTAGCACACATAGCTCATGAAAACATGATTATGTTCTGGGTCTTTCTCCTTTCTTTGTTCGGAATGGAAACGAGAGAGAGAAAAAGGGGAAATCTGAAAGGGGGCATTTCAAAAAAAAAAAAGAATATTCAAATTGCACAACGATCTAGTCGTTGTCGTTGTCGTCATTCTATTGGTGGCCTTAGAATGCCCAGAGATTTTTTGTTCTATTTGCTCTTTCACCTCCATGCCACCTCTCTCAAGTACAATTCAATTTGCACTGAATACTTGAGATCTTCATCTGCTTCATGCAAGATTTGTTCCGATCTTCTTTTTCCCTATTAGTTTTTTTTTCTTTGTGTCGGAAAACAAAAAATTTTTTTTCACTTTTCAAATGCAATAACAAGTTTCGAAAGGGATTTCCCTGTTTCATATTGATGAATTTTGCAGCAGTCCGTAGAAGACGAAGGAAAAAGATGATAACCACGTACTCATTCCACCTTCCTTCCATTTGATATGCGGGTGCAGATTTCATCCGTAAATAGTCATGCCATTCGGCAGCTTGTTGACCTTTTCTAAAATGTATACTATCGTCTGTTTCAAGAAGGTCTCAACGCCTCCTTCAGGGCCATTTAAATAAATGAGGTCTAATTGAGCCGCCCGCGTTGTCATGATCCTTTTTCCTGCAGAATCTCGGTGGCCCGACCGACCGACTGCCTCGGCTCATCATCATTTTTGTTCGCCGTCCGAAGTGTTAAACTGCCACAAATCACTCAGATGTCTATGGGCCAATTTGCTGCTTATCGCATCGCCGTATCATAATAGCTCGTTAGAGATTTTCGCGTTTTCATTAGTATACTTCCGATGGCTAATGCCCTTCCTGTCGGTCCAAAACCACTTCCCTTCACAGATTTCTCAATGTGCCTCCCACTAATCTGATTTCTATCGATGTATAAGATCAGAAGACTCGTTTCATCCTCGCCTTCTTCCCGGAATTTTGTTATTTTATCAGAACTACTTCCTTATGCAACCAACAATTGTTATTTCTTCTCGCGCGCTCGTCACATTCGATTCACAAATGCATATTTATCACGTGCGATGAATTATGAATCGAGCAATTGTCTGATCCCCAACATTCTGCTGCTCGGGTGCTCCAGCACTGCTCCACTTACCTCACCGCGTGCCCTTCGCTTCCTTTTTCCACGAAAAAAATGTTTATTGAATACAGAATGTGAAGTCGTTTGTGAGGCTTAGGGTCTCGGTTGAGTCCTGCAAACCGAAAATTGCTCTCTCTGAAACGTATGGATCAAATGTTCATCGAAGCTGTCCAAACAGCAGCCGCAAACCAATTAAATGTACTTCTCAACTTTTTATTGCTTCTTTACCAAATTTCATGAAATTTCGTTTTCAAAAAACTTACAGAACCTTCTGGACCAAGAAGCAACGTGGAAACGTGTCGAACACGATCAGAACACAATACGGTAAGATTTTCATTCTACTTTTCGGAGGGCCTGAAGGCGGCTTTCAGTGAGCGCGCACCATCCTTTTCTATTCGCCATTTTGATGGGGCATTAATGAAAATAATTACTCAAACGCCAGGCCTTGTCTGACACACACAATATTACTATGCTCTTGTTTCCATATTGAGGTAATTCCAATATTGTTGTCTCAATCGTTCCCCTGGCGTTCCTGTTCAGCTCCAAATACGCAATTCCAGAGAGCTCTAGCGAAAATTAGATGCAAAAACGCGATTAAAGGCAGCATTTGACATTACTTCCCTGTGTTTGCACGCCGTTGCAACAAAAATTCATTTGTTCATGTTTTGCAGTCGTCATCGGATGTATTCGAATGTTTCGAACACGGCACGTCTTCCTACTCGCCGTCCTTCTGGCTTCTGCTAGCGCGCAAAATCTGACCCCTGAGACGTCATCCGCCGAACAGTCATTAGAGGTCAGTTCCAATCTGAGAAATCAGATTTTCCCCTCTCGCAATGCAAATTTCAGAGTTACTATTGGAAACTTTACGTTCAGAATAATCTGATTCTCAGTGAACTCAGAGAACGATATAAAGAGGTGGTGATTGAGCGGAGGTGTTTATATATGTCAAATTTCTAACATGTAGCATGGTTGCGCGGAATCACTTCTACCTCTTTTTCTAAAAACGCATGCATAGAGTGAACATGGAAACTTCTGAACTTCTAACCATTCTGTATTGCCATACAGTTTTTTTTCTCTTTATGATACCCTTTGATTTTTAGGAAAACAAACTTTTTCCTCTGCCGCCCACAACTCCATTTCCCAGCAGTGCTGTGGTAGCAATGTACATTCCCAAACGTTTCTTATTAAGTGTATTGTAGGCGGCCACTTTGGAAGATGACGAAGAACAGTGTACTTCGGATAAAACAATCATTGAGAAGCTGCTGAACAACTACAAATCCTTTAGAACACCTTCTGAAACGGGTGTCATTGTGTGGATTGAAGTGAGGAGAAATGGACCTTGCACGTAAAAGAAAGAACTGTTTTAGGTATGGGTACAAGAAGTGAATTCCGTGAATGAAATCACAAGTGACTTTGACATGGACATCTACGTCACTGAGCTCTGGATGGACACCGCACTTCGCTACGAGCACTTGAATCCGTGCAAGTACAACCTCTCATTGAACTCTGAAGTGAGCATTTGGTTTCCCCATTGTAAAAGAACCGCTTAAATTTGCAGATTCTAGACCAAATCTGGAAACCGAACACGGTTTTCATCAACAGTAAATCAGCAAGCATTCACAAGTCTCCTTTCAAAAACGTGTTTTTAATGATATATCCGAACGGAACAGTATGGGTAAACTACCGAGTGCAAGTGAAAGGTCCGTGCACGATGGACTTCAGTGCGTTTCCGATGGACCAGCAGTCTTGCCATCTGACTCTAGAGTCGTTTAGTTACAACAATCAAGAGGTGAGACATCCGGCTGATTAGTCATAATTTGAACGTTTCTCAGGTGGACATGCAATGGATGAACTGGACCATTCCATTGTCTCTTCTCAAAAAGGAAATAGTGCTTCCCGACTTCGTCATGTCCAATTACAGCACTTCCTTGAAACACGAGGTTTTGTCACTACTCAACACATTCTCAGAACACTTTGAATTTCAGATTTATCCGGCTGGTGTCTGGAACGAGCTCACAATGACATTTGTGTTCAGCAGGCGTTACGGGTGGTACATATTCCAAGCATACATTCCAACGTATCTAACAATATTCATCAGGTTAACAAAGGAAAACATGTTTTCGTGTTGCAATGTCTCTTTCAGCTGGATTAGCTTTTGTTTGGGACCAAAGATGATACCCGCGCGGACAATGTTAGGTGTCAATTCCCTTCTCGCGTTGACGTTCCAGTTTGGAAACATTATGAGGAATCTGCCGCGAGTCAGTTACGTCAAAGCTCTAGGTAATCTTCAAACAATAGTCAGAATGTTTCTAAAATTAGATGCTCAGACGTGTGGATGCTCGTGTGTCTCACATTTGTGTTTTGTTCCCTGTTGGAACTTGCAATCATCGGATCAATGGGTGCGAGGTCTGAGAATCAACAAGCACAGCAGAAACAACAAGATGAAGAAGGTGCAAAACAACAGAAAGGCCGTGAAAACAGTACTTGCTCACATCTATTGTCACCCTCTTCATGTCCGAACAGCCCAAGGATCTGTCGGAATCATGTGCCCAACGAAACACCTCAGCAGTCTTTTAAAAATTACGGATCCACAGGTTACCCATTCAAACACTTTCTGCGGCACATTATGATTTACAGACCCCAGAATGAGGAAACGACTAATAATTGCTTCGAGCAGTACGATTTCACATGCTCCGAATGCCAATCGAGCCGAAAAAGTTCTACTTCTTGATGGATTGGAAGAGACGCAATTCTCTCAAGTGGAAACTAAGTATAGCTCGATGGCGTCGATAAAAATGAAAAAGGTAATGCTACTTTTTTTCCAAGCGTGACAATCTATTATATTTAGAAGTGGACAACGGAGGAGATTGACCGACTGTCGATGATCATTTTCCCGGGACTGTTCACCGTGTTCAATATCATCTATTGGACGTATTACCTCACCATTAACCCCTGAATTCTGTGTATAAAAAAACATATTTTCTTGAACTCAAATGTGAAATCAACCATGTCATAATGCCGTCGCCTGCACATACTGCTGTCTGTTCTTCAAACTTCGACCCAATAACACTTCCGTGTCTGTGCCTGTATTCTCAAACCACCTCTCTCAATGCTATGAATCTTTTGTTTTTGATCATTTCTTGGATTGTTCCGTCTGGACTCATCTGGGATTTCTCCATTCATATTCTGAAACAGACGCACACACATAAAGCGAAGTATTTTGGGGGCGCGCGTTTTCCTAGTCTTTTTTCGGTCAACAACAACAACAACCATTCGGAGCGGTTCACTAGGTCACAAGGGGTACTTGAAAGTTTCGTTTTTCTTCTGACACAGCTTGTGGAGTATGTATACCGTGTTCTCCTATGAGACCACTTTTCCTTTTTCGAACGCGTCGCTGTTAATGAATAATATAACTATTTACGTCATTTCTATCCATTTCCATTAAAAATGCTGTTTCAGACATCATCATGAGCAGTACTCAAATATGGTTCTCTTGCTAAAGGTGTTGCTATGATGACATTCTTGCTCATTCCCATTTTTTTTGTTAACATTTTTCCATGTACTCTCTTTTCCCGCTAACGCCACTTCCATCTCCATCGTACTCTTCCACGGCCTCCCGTCATAAAATATACATGTCCATCGCAGCCTTTCCACTCATATTTTGCAGGTCTAAATATTTTCCAGAATTGCTAATGCTCTATTTTCCTCCTCCTCCTTCTCTTATTCTTCCGTGCTTCTCACTCACTGTGCCGCTCGTCGATTATAAATGAGTGAGCAAGACATTCTCGCCGCCTGCGTACCTATTCGAACGCCATTTTCTCACTGGAAACAGAGTAGCAAGACGTGCGACTGATGAGGAAGAAGAAGAAGCAGAAGAAAAAGAGGAAGAAGACGAGAGCTGGCGGAACGCGAGGAGAGTAAGAAAAAACACGAAGAAATGGGCGGAACTCGATAGATGAATAATCGATGTCGAAACGAAGAGGCGGGCAGAAGAGTCGACAGCGCGTTTCCAGTTGGCCCTGAAAAGAAAAGGAAAAGAGCGGGCGAGCGAGTCTTGTGCAGCGTTTTCTCCTGCTTCAAAAAAGGTTGAAAAGTTGGTGGAGCATGAAGGCGTGCGCTTGGTGCTCCACGCATTTGCTCTCAATCAGGGCACTTCTCCCAATTATCCTCCGTCAAAGTGTTTCGTCTTCCTCCTTCTCCTCCTCTTCGACGGCCCTCTTCAATACTGCTTATCCTGCCTGTTTTTTCTTCTTTTAACGCTTTCTTTCTTTTTTTTCCCTTTTCCCGACCTATCTCTCAGCCCCTTGAAGCAAAACGTTGTGCCAATCTCACTTATTCTTCTTTTTGCGGGCTACCTCCATCTTGCCGCCCTAACTCCCAGTCGGCTTTGACGTTTTATTCTCTCGGCTCTGTTTTCAGAAGCCATTTGATAATCAAATCCCTTGCCGTCGTCGTTTTTCACAGAATTTTGACTCTCCTTTTTTGTTCTCTTGTTTTTCTTCAGAGAAAATGAATTCACTCCTCTTTCAGTTAACTGTTTTACAATTTCTGCACATAGACTTTTTGCTGTCCTTTTTTTTAAGAACAGAAGTTTTTTCATTTTATTCAAATTTGATTGACAATTTTCATAAATGAAGTGTAACGAATTGGATGAATGAGTTTGACGAACTCTATCTCTTTTCGTCTCTTTCGTCATGAATGCATTCGACATTTTGAATGTTTCATTTTCATCTTCTCCCACATTACTTTTTCCTTTTCAGCCGCTTCCCCCATGATGTGGTTGTGGACCTCTTCCCTCAACTTTGTCTTGGCAATCCTCCAACTTGGATTCAACCTCCTCGTCCTGATTGCCGTCGCTTCCGACCGACGTCTTCACACCAACATTCATTTGCTCTCCACTAGTTTATGGGTGTGCAATAGCATCACAGCCATAGTCACAATATTCTTTTCCCTCAATCCGTCGCAATGTTTGGAAGTGCCGTGTTATCAACATCAGCAACTACCAAAACAGGTGAGAAGACCAAGAAATGTTTTGAGGTGACTTACGCCCCCCCTAAGCCGTCTGATGTCTGGTGCCTGTGTTCACGATCAGAACGCACGCCAGCGACTGGCGCAATTGTCTTATGAGAAAAAAGGAAAAAGAAAAAACCGGAAGTTGACCAAAGATTTCTGATTCCAAAATGCTCCTTTCGAACTTTACGCGTGCCTTTGGACTTGGGAGGGGTTCTTAAGAATGTTCTGCATCTACTCAGGCATGCACATAACATAGCTGTCTTTCTATGAATTGCTATTCGTTCACAAAGACGTCTTTGTATTAGAAGTTCGCACTTTTGATCCTACTTATGTGGGTTCTTCTTTGATTGAAGACGTTTCCGCAGAACTTTAAACTCTTAGTTTGTGGAATTGTGGAGAAAAACGAGGGCAACAAGGAAGAAAGAATCTCAAAGACGCGTCATTAGAAACTTGTTGTTTCTTGAAGTTTGGACCCGACTGAAAACAACATCGTATGGAACTCATTGAGATTTATGCTAACATTTATGGGTTCTCTACCAAGATTGAAAACATTTTCTCGTGAAGGTCTTCCTCAAGAAAGAGAAATATATTTTTCATTATAGCCGGGTTAATTAGCTGTGCCCCTGTCCGTTATTGTTATTTTCTGACGAGCCGCCGATTCATCGAAACCAGTCTATGATCTCTGTTTTGATTCCGAGGAAGAAACACGCCGCTTTCGTGGTTGGTCATTACTCGTGCACCATTGAGCACGAGGAAAGAGTCCATGAATGCACAAAACAATCTGTTCCGTTTCTTATAATTGCATACACATGCGCAGACAATTTTGTCTCGCGTACACATACGTAAAATATAAATTTGGCTCTGGGTTTTTGTTATATTGCGAGATGGAGTGAGGGAAATGGGCTTCCAGTTCCCACGAGCACCACTAAAAATGCAAAGCATTTGTGATAGATCGAAGGCGCTTTCGGAAAAAATTTGAGGCCACGGGAAACGGATAATATCATTAAAACGGTGCTATTTTCAGTTTGTGGATGTCAAGTCTCGTTCGTTTGCCGAATTGGAAAAGTTTCCTGCTCTGACGACCGCAATTCTCCTAAACTCGACGATTAGCTTGCTGACCTTGTTGACAATTGGATTTGTGCACGCACTTGCCCGCCACAACTATCATCTGTCGAGGTTGGTTTGAAGGCACTTTCGCGAAATACTGGGAAATTGACTTCTCAAGTTGCTCCTCAGTCAGGTGCCACTATTTGCCTGACAAGGAAGTCAACATGTAAAGCATAAAAAGGGCATGTGCTGGGCCCGCATGTCACATCACATTCATGTTTCCCATGTGTACGTCACATAAAAGAGTCTCTCGAGATTTTCATTAGTGTCGGTTGCCGTTGCTCTCATCGGAAGGAGCAACATGAAACTTTGTGCCTTCGAAAGAGCCCATCCCTTTTTGCTACAAACAAAGCGCCCTTGTTTTTGAAAAAGAGTCTATGCTAATGAACACGAGCGGATGGGAAGACGCACTTGCCTCCACTCCTTTTGGTCATTAGTCTTTTTTTCTCCACAAAAATTTATGAATGGGAGCATACACAATGAAGGGGACTGAATGATGAATTGAAAAGAACGACACGTTTTTGAAAGTGTCCGAGGGGTTGGTCACAATTCAATTTCACTCGTAAAGATGCTCAATGTGAATCATCCAAGTATGAAAAGTGCATTCTAATTGTTCATTGCTTCAATGACAACGACAATTCAAAAGAATCCGGATTAGTAACGTTGTAGTTGTAACAAAACGTCCCGGACTACTAACCGGATTACCAATATCTACAAAAAGGGACTTTCAGATCTCAACTGTCGCGGCTCATCGGATCAACATGGCTTCTGGTGACGTTGCTTCTGTTATCCGACTTCTTCCTTATCCGTCTCTCACGTTCTTTTGTGTTAGCAGTGCCTTTCCATCTCGCACTTCTCTCTGTTTTCCTCGTACTCAATCTGATTATCCATCCACTCAACCTCATTCAATTGATTATATCTCAGCGCCTGAGTCCAGAGGTCAGACCAATCCAGTCAATGCGCGATATCCAAATGTTTCAGGTCAACAGCCAAACGGCTCGTCTCATGAAGGACTGTGCAACTGCTTCCCTCTGGCTTCTCCTCAATAGTCTTTCATTCATTATCATTTTCATGATGGTCGCCTGGGAGAGTAAAGAAAAGGTTCGGATAAATTAAGGGAGACATGACTCAACTTCAACTCACAGGACCAATACAACTCCATAATGGGTATCGAAGTAGCTGCTTTCTCCGTTCACTGCGTGGCAAATCCGCTGATTGCCGTGATCCGAGACAGACAGCTTGAACGGAGTCTTTCCCGTATTGTTATGAGAAATAAAAGGTGAAAAGGAAAAACACTACATAATTTCGATGTTCATTTTCAGACCACGCACCAACCACGAAGAAGATCTCATCATCGCTCTGATGCGTGACCCCCCACCGCCATACACCGAGTAAACTGTCATTATCGAATCAACTCTTTGCTAACACTCACATTTCCTTTTCCCCCGGTTAGATTCATCATTAGCTTTGTAGTCCACGGTTCCCCCCACCCATGAATCTCTCGGATTTCCAATCCTGTCAGTTAATGTTCTGTCCTTTGTCCAAAATCGATCTCCTACTGATATTCTTAGTTGTGATTCTGCTTGTAGACATCTCTTTCTCAATGCCTGAATAAAGTAATACTCATTTGATACTTGAGGTCCGCTGTAAAAGCTGTAAACAAATTCTCACTCCTAACAATACAGACACGGTGTTCGGTAGATGACGTCTCAACATTAGAACCATGTCGTTTACTAAACAAGCGCTCATGTTCTCTTTCTCACCTTGTCTACAATGTTGCACCAGCTATTCATCAGATAATCGGTCTCAAGACCTTCCTCTTCTTCTTTCTACAACCCACTCCGTAGTGAGCTTTGCCCATCTGATTGGAATGCTTCTGACCAAAGTGACTGGCTCATCTGGCTTTCCTGCGCTCAGAAAATCAGGTATTCCAAATCTATAGTTGTTGATTCCAGAAGGGCGGATTTGGTAGGTCTCAGGTTTGTTGCCGTTGGGTTACCGGTTTGCGGGAGTAAAGGTGGACTATCCTCATTTGGACAAAATAAAAAAATATATTAAGAACTGGATCATATTCAATAACAGATTGTTTATCGGTCAAACAATGAACAAGCAACACAATTTAGATGACTCCGATCTTGTTGGCGACGTCAAGAGCGTCGTAGTCAGCGGTGAGACGGACGTAGGCCTTCTTCTGCTGGAGTGGAGTGATGAGGGTGTTAACCTAAAACGAGATTTATTAACTTCTGAATACTGTTTCGAATTCACAACAAACCTTCTGGGCCTTGACGTTGTAGAGCTTGTGGACGGCCTCCTTGATCTGGTACTTGTTGGCGTCATTGTTGACGATGAAGACGAGGGTGTTGTGCTCCTCAATCTTCTTCATCGCCGACTCAGTGGTGAGTGGGTGCTGGATGACACGGAAGTGGTCCATCTTGGCGGTAGCCGGGGCAGCCTTGCGTGGGTAACTGAAAAAATTCAATTATGCTGATAGTGCGGATGAGCAGAGGGCTTACCGCGAGTTACGGGCGGTCTTGAGGGTGACCGGGCGACGGAAATGGACCGAGGTGCGGACTGTGCGCTTATGGGTGGTGCGCTGTCCCTTAGCTACCTTCTTCTTGGCGTCGAGAGCCTTAGCGGTCTTAGCTGGAGCGCTTGGAGCCATTGTACCCTGAAGAAATGATTAACATGCCACGAGACAGAATGAGACAATATCAGATATTCAACGGTTGAGTAAACCGATGTAAATAAGGCAATGATAAGAAATGAAGAGATAAGTTAATGCGATATTTTTTGGCGCAAGGCAGATAAACTGAACAGATATGACAGACAGTGAAATGATAGTCACAACCCTACGGCATCAAAAAAGACCAGAGATCACAGTGAAATACTAGAGACTCGTATTAAGTTTAAAGTAAAGTGACATGAGATTTCAATCACAAAGTTAGTATCTATTATGAACGTTAGGATTAGTATTACTAAGGTAATAAGTTACAATATGTACATATTTTGCTAGTTACAAGTTGGTAATTCTAGACCGTGGCGATCTAGTTCGGGACGAGAGCGTTTCAGAAATGGAGTTTCCTCCTTCACGGAAATCCACCAGTTGATGGGTCTCCACTTTGATCGCGTCCTCTTCTTCATGATTGCCCCAGACCATGTAGCCGAATGCTCCGGCAATCACAATGAGCAGAGCGATGATAATGACGTTAACGCCTGTGATCCACTTGAACACGGTGATCTCTCTGCGGTACGCGACGTTCTCCGGTGAGAAGGTAGTTGTCATGTAGTTGACGAGGGCAGGAATGTACTCGTTCCAGAAAGCCACATCCTGATACCGATAGTCCCGCGATATAGTTCCAGGAATCTTCCAGTCCTCGTTGGTAGAGTAGTTGAAGTTCATGTACCAATGCCGCCTCGGTTCGTATGCTGCCCAGCTTCCATCGTGCATGAAGTTTGGATTTCTAAAATCAAGAATTGAATTGGACATCCATCACGAGAAAAATCTGTACTTACTGAACGTGAGTGAACCGACGGATGATGTTGGAGAAGGTTCTGCTGGCGTTCCTATCCATCTCGGTGAAATTGACACCACGTAGTCCCAGTGGTCTCAGCTCGTCAGGCAGGAAAGCGTATCCAAACATCAGATACAGGTCACAGTCGCGGCATACTCCCATCCAGTCTGGGATGAACTCCAGATCTGGATGCTGCTTGCTGAAGTTGTAGTTGTTCACGTACTGGAACACTCTGGACCCGGAGGCGCTGTGCAGATGAGCGGAGAGCTGCATCGGCGATGTGTAGTACACGTCAGTTGCAAATTGGATAAAGTTCTCCTTGATAGCCCAGACAGCTGCTCGATCCGGCCAGAACGTGTACTTTGACAAGATGGCTTCAGCTGTGGCCTCGCGATTCATCGAGTAGTTGTGTCGGAAGCAGTACTCCAGGGCGTAGCTCTTCAAGTACTCGTTGTCCACATCGTGGAACTGACTGTACTCTCCAAGCCTCCGATCTTCGAGCACGACCTCACTTCCGTCCTGAGCATTCATTCCGATCAGAAGCGGCACAGGACTCATAATGGAAGTTTCTCCGCTTGGTGCGTTGAGCAGTGTCCAGAGGGGGTTGCCAGGGAGGTACTTTCCATCGACAGTTGGCATGAACAGGTACCGATTGTACTCCACAGGAACGGTGATTGTTGCGTAGACGATGTCATTGGTCGATCGAGTCTGAATGCAATCCCACACGTGCTCTGGGGTCGTCTGAGTACACCCCAAGTACCGGCCCAGCTTGATGGTGTTGTTGTAGGCCAGCGCCGGCTTTCCTATGTACGAGTGATACGACACTTCAGCTCCTGACATCGTCGCAGCGGAGCGGAAGAGATGTCTGGAGTATGGGGACTGCATGTGGTAACCAATCGAAGCAGCTCCCGCGTCGTGTCCGATGACTGTGATTGCCTGCGGGTCTCCACCGAACGTTGCGATGTGATCCCTGACAAATTCTAGCGCGAGTCGCTGATCTTGAAGTCCGTAGTTTCCACTATCCGAATCTCCGAGACTCATGAATCCAAAGGCTCCTAAGCGGTAGTTGACAGTGACCACAACCATCCCCCGGGACGCCAATCCGTGCGCCGGCCATTCGTTAGCGGATCCCGTCTGGAAATTTCCTCCGTGGAAGAACACGATGACGGGATACGTTGTGGGAGAGTTCTTCGATATCTGGAAAGGAATAAACTGTGATTTTGTGAGTGGATAAGAGCTCGTACGTCGGGAGAGAAAATGTTGAGGTACAGGCAATCTTCGTCGACCATGAATGGGTACGGCCGATCAATAAACGGACTGGGGGCCTTCTCAACGTCTTGAGCACACGATGCTGCATAGTTGAAGGCCAAGAACGGCTGCTTTCCCGGGAAGACTGTGATTTGTTGAGGCGGCTGAAAATTGTCATCATTTTATGCCGATCATTTTTTCCGACGCTCCCACCTTGAATCTTCTCTGTGAAGTCGGTGGTTCTGCGTACGGCACTCCTAGAAATGTAAAGACAGTGACGCTGTTGTTGGGTTTGAGTCGGTTATTCTGTCCGAAGACCGTACTATCCTTCGTAAGCTCATCCGTCGGATCTTTTTGGGCTGTCCAGGGCAGGTTGTGGAGCTTCACTTCTTTGCCAACAATGTCTCCGAGAGGAAGACGTACAACGACTTCATCTGGGTTTAACCCCTGCAAAACAAACAGGTCAGGAGAACATTCAATACGGGCCTATACAAATACTTGAGGCAAGAACAGCACGTATCCAAGCTGTTTTATGCATGACTATTTCTATGCTAACCAGAACTGAAGGTAATTAATTGAAAAATATATAGCAAATTTTAGGATCTAAAAAAAGAAACAATCTGATGTCAGGAAAATTACCTAAAATCGTAGAAATTTCTGTCAAAATAAGGCAAAATTACGCACCTGATTGGTTCCTGGAGGTAGAGGAGTTGTCGTTGTTTCGAATGGGTCCCACAAGTTTACCGGACGCGTTGGTGGTGGAATGAATTGTGAAATAGCCAAAGGGAACGTGAGTAAGGCATGAAGAGTTGTGATGATGACCATTCCTAGTAACGCGATCGCTGAAAAAAATTTTAATAATTTTTTATTTGAAAAAATCTGAAATTTTTCGAACGAAAAACTCAAAAATGCCGGTGGAAAACAAGAAATTTTAGGCATGTTTTGATCGGCAGGTCGAGATGTACGGTAACACTCACCGCACGCTGTGTCGATAATGGGGACGCGCGCGTTGCGAGACCAGCAAGTGCGGTGGGGCGCACTTGCACCAGCGCGCTCGCATTGTGTCACCGATGTAGGAGGATGGCGGCCTCTGTTTACACTCTCGTTTTTCGGCTGTATCTCTCGCAACTTCTCGCTGCTGCCTCCGGACTCAGAAATGTTTTACATATTGATTTTGACTTGTGATCCGAACTGTTCGACGCATTTTTGCGGCAAACAGTCGACACTTTCACTCTCTTATTATCCTCTTTGTTCATTGACTTTCAAATGGCTGTGCTGATCGCGAATATGGAATTGCAGGACAATGAAATCAGATGGATTGCGCGACGCGGAAGAAGGTAGAGCAGCCGGAGAGCCGTCACGTGAAGATTCGCCGCCAGCTTCAAGTTCGCCCGACGCCAAGAAGGGACTCCACTTGTACAACGTGCTCGGCATTCAAAAAAACGCCACCGAAGATGAAATCAAAAAGTGAGTCACTTTGTTTTCACAACAAGAACCCTGCTGCATCTTGCGAAATCTTGAAGATCTTGTTTAGTCTGGTTGCCTTATGATTTCTGCTATCATGTGCCCAATTTTAATCGAGACAACGACCATTTGGTTATCAGTTTGTGTACTATTCCTTTCGTTTTTATTATTGATGTTAGTTGCCGGCACATTTTAGCAGTCAAATTCCTTTCAAGTACAGACAAAGCAGAAAAAATTGCAAGGATGTTTTGTTCTGACTCATGCATCGAACAGAACAACAACAAACTTTTGAGTGTAGCCGTACGAATTTTTCCATAGTTGGGCAGTTTTTGAAAAAACCCATTAAAAACGTAAAAATGAGAAAAATGGGTATAATACCGATGCAATATGATCGATAACAATCCCCCTAGACGAAAAGTGTCGTGTTCCATTATCAATCCGCTACTGGGGAAGGGATATTCAAACTGTATGTGCATTTGTATTTTCAGAGCCTACCGCAAGCTTGCTCTTCGTTATCACCCGGACAAAAATCTCGATGGAGATCCTGAAAAAACAGAAATGTTCAAAGAAATCAACTATGCAAACGGAGTGCTTTCGAATCCGAGCAAAAGACGCGTCTACGATGAGATGGGAGAGACTGGACTCAAGCTGATGGAGCAGTTCGGAGAGGACGAGAAGATTCTGCAGTGGATGCTGAAACCGTGGTTTAAGTGGACGTTCTTCGCTTTCGGACTCCTCACCTGCGGCTTCTTCTTCTGCTGTTGCGGTTGCATGTGCTGTTGTCAATGCTGCTGCAATTTCTGCTGCGGGAAGTACAAACCACAACACGACGAAGACTTCAACGGAGAGGAGCAGCCGGACGACGTAATTGTGGACCAGCCGACCGCTTCCGATTCCGGGTCATCTTCCGACCGTCAGGTGCCCATTGTGATTGCAATGCCTCCGCCGCCTTCTCAGAGTTACGGGTCTGTCGAGAGCAATATCTAAACGTGACAGCTCATTTGAACCTTTTTCAGAAATTAGTCGGTTCATACAATCTTTTTTGTTTTGATTTTTCCTTCGACGGGAGAAAACTCGTTTATTTCTAACTTCGCCTGACCGTTTTTCGATATCACATACACCATTTGTCCCGTTTACTGTCTTCCCGTTTGTTCCGATTGTTACTACTGATGAGTATCCGCAAAATCACTTGAAATAATTCGAAACATTTGCTCACATCCCTTCACAAATATTTGTTGTATCCTGTATTATTGGTTAATTGAATTGTATCCCACCCCTGCACATAATCATCGTCTACAACATTTCGGCTCCAAACATGTTCCCTTTTTGTGAGTTTATCAAAAATTGTTTTCATCGGAGACGCAGATACCTTTTTCTGTGAGTGACGGCTATATTGTTGTGATAAAATTGAGAAAAAAAGAATTTATATGTATGAATGAAATGCGAAATAAATATGAGATTCGTGAGTTTTGACACGGTGAAACATGGGTTACATACACTCCCGTAAGCGAATGAAAACTAGTTTGGCGAGGTTTTGGAAATGCAGAAAGAGAGAAAATAATGCAAAGTTATTAGAGAACTTTGCTCCGAACTCGGAACAGACTGTCGGATATGGCTGGAGTCAGAATGGGCAAGTTCCAGGGAAGGGGGACGAGGAAGTTGAGCGCCCAGTTCTTGCCGAATACCAATCGGAACCGCTCGCCCAAGTTTTCTCTGAAAGAACTCGAGTTATTGAGCACTTGGAGTGAGGAACTGCTCACCCATCTCCTAGGAAAGTGGCTCTCACAGTCAGGTTGTTGTATTCATACATTGTGTATCCTTGAGTTGTGTAGTAAACCTGAAATGAGCAGTCAACCAAATCAATCAATAGTCCCGAGTCCTGAGGCAACTTTCTACTAGTATTAGTGTCTCATTGGTGCTGAACACTCCAATTCGATCTTTATTTGCCTTTTTCACAGCGCGACGACAAACTTTTGGATAGTTTTTGAGTCACGCTTGATGTTTGCGCAGAAGTACGGATTTTGTTAGCATTTGGAAGGGGGAAACATTATTGGATTTGTTATGGCTTATCCCCTCTGTATCGCTGATCCAAATGTTTTTTTGCTGCTGATATTTGTGCCCACGCGCAAATTCATTGTAATTGAAACAGAAACAGAAAGGAGGAAGTAATGTTTTGTTTGCGGAAGTGAAAAATGCTAAATTACCTGCATGCCGAAAAATCCGCCGGCCGTGATCAGAGACGCAGCGGCAAAAGAGAAAAGTGTCGAAAAGCACGCCTGACTGAATGGTGTGTAGCCGAAGATCCAACGGAACACGGCGACCGGTCCAATGTAGTACATGAAGCCGAACGGGTACCTGAAAATGAAACGTTATTCCGAAAGAGAAACCGATGAGAACTGACCAGTAGGCGATCTCGGTGTTCATATAGAAGAACAAGTGGGGCATAGCGATTATCAGTCCGATTGTGCACCAGAAGAGGAAGACCATGAAATACCGCTGGAAATTTGCACGTTTTAGGACCTTGATAGTTTAAACATTTCTCACCTGATTTCCCAAGCCCACACAGGCGCCAGTAATAAAGCAGTGATGATCTTTCCTGAGGACGCACATTTTGCACAGCGGACAATGGTGACTCCTACAAAAGAAATGCTCCATTTGTGCGTTTTCTAGCGGCTCAAACCTTTGTGGAGCTTCTTTGTTGCAAGTGAAACAGAATTTGCTTCCACTTTCATTGGCTGGCTCCCAACTCAAGTGTCTTTCGACCGTCGGCTGTCCAGATGAGTATTCCATTTCTGGTTGAGCTGAAATCCGGCAATTCACTACTTTCAACGTCCTTTTCTCAGAATCACTACCTTCGTTGTCTTCAGCGTAGACTCTCAGATCAGCAACACATGATTTGCGATGCCAGTACGTCACGCTGTTATATCTGCAAACCCAATTATATTGAAGAGTTATAAATCAAAATAGATAATAGGTTTACCGGGAATAATAAACAAAACAGGCCAAATTGACGGCAATTTCCAAAATGATGAATTTGGCCAGCAATGTCAACCAATAAATTTTTATCGGGTTATCGTACATCTGGAAGATTATTTTTTGATTTGCATCATGAATCAAGATGGGAATTTACGTTTTCTGCGACAATGTGGACACAGCAGTAGTACGTACTGATCAGGACAAATGTCTAAAACGAAGAGAGTGTGGAAATTGGATAATTTATGCGATAAACTGACCACAATAATCGTTCCTCCCCAATTTATCAAAAACTCTCCGAGTATCGCCAGTTTTCGGTTAACCATTGCCAAGCCCATGGAGTATTCTGCAAAAATCCAACAACAAATGGGTAAAAGTGGAAAAATGATGTAAATTCTTTCTTTCCTTCATATAGGAAGAACCTAGAAGTGTAAAGTAAATATGCATAGAAAACCGATAGAGTTCTGCGCTGGTGGTGCAAACACCATCACGGCAGAATGCACAATTCTCACACAATGCTCGTCCAGATGGCCAGCTCGGGCAGCGTAATGACGATGGCCTGGTGCTGCTATCGCTTCGGGAATTGAGACGGATGAATAATCGATGAAGAGTGTCCTTGTCATGACACGAGTATGCAGCTGAAATTTGTGTTTCAGGAGACGGCTACTAGTAAATGTGTTCAGAATATGTGAATCCCAATGAAGATGATTTTTGCCGGAAATCAAACAATGTGTTCCTCTAAGTGACCTTCTCCTTTTTGACAAGAATATATACACAAGAAACGACGACAACTCATGATCAATTCCGAAAATAAATCAAGAGATGCTATCTCTCATCTCCTCGCAACTTTTGAAAGTCGCCTTCGTCGTGCAAATTGATAACCGATTTCAATGTCATTTCCTTTCAGTTTCGATGTTGCGATTGTCCAAAAATGGGAGTCTGTCTCAGAAAACAAGTGACCTTTGCCAATAACTTGCGCCTGAGAGGAAGTTTTTCGAAACTTCCGGGTTCTTGTAGTTCACCACCACCCAGCGAGAAAGAGAAACTTGAACAATAAAGTACTGTATCTTTTTCCGATCGAATGCCAGTAAAATGGCAGAAAACAGTAAAAAGCCAACTGAATGGGATTTTCACTGTGGAAAGGAATTCCACAAAACAAATTATTTTCAGAATGATTCTCGTCTTCACGTTCTCAAGGAAAGTCATTCCTCTTTACAGTACGGTTGAGTGACTCAAAAACACTGTTTTTCGGGTTGTTTTCAACTCATAATCCAAAGGATTTGTTAATTGCGGGCCCGATGTTTGGTCGGGAAACGTTACGAAACGATTGGAATAATTGTTCTATGTTCTGAAGTGCGTCAGTCGGAAAACACTCACGAGATGGTTTTGCAGCAAAACTCACGAATCTTGCGCATAATCTAATTCAGAGCAACTTGTGACTTTTACGAATTACGAAAATGTTCTTTGAAAATCTCTTTCCCGGTTGTAGTCACACACAAAAATCGCAAATGAAGTTATAGGACACGTTATTACAATATATATATGTTTCAGATGGCTTTTCAGCAACTTCATGGTCGTTTCCTCCGTTATTCAGCGAATCCTGAAACCGGTACATTACGTAACAGCTCACCGTGGGAATTAACATAGTTTTGTATCAATCGGGCACACTGATTACCATAAGTCTTTTACCGAAAACCCGCCTCCGACGTATCTTCTCTCGGTTTTCCACAACTACCGTAACTTCCCGCCCATTCTGAAGTTCTGCTGTGTCCACCTATTTAAAATAAGCCCACGCCTTCTAGTTAAGGTCATTCCCCGTTCATTACTCTCTCTCTCTCTCTCTCTGCTATCCGAATCATTCAAAATTTTGTTTCTGTATTTCAGATATGGGTGTACTTCAAGATAAAGTGGCTGGCATTCTACGGATTGAGGATCAGCAGTTCGCAAGAGAACTTCTGGCCGAAATCATCGGAACTTTCTTCCTTTTAGTGAGTTTGTTGGGTTCCCTATAACTGGATAACTGTGAGATTTCAGCTTATCGGAAATGCTGCTAACATCCAATCCGCAGCCGCAATCGGTGGAAACTCGACTTCCTGCCACATTGCCTGGGGAATCGGATTTATGTTCGCCGTGTACCTGGCAGCCAGTGTCTCCGGAGGGCACCTCAACCCAGCCATCTCTGTCGCTCAAAGCATTCTCGGAAATCTGCCACCATGGAAGATTATTCCATACGCCATTGCTCAAGTTATTGGAGCATTCCTCGGCGCTGCTGTCGCATACTTCGGACATCATGGTAGATACCGTACTTAAAACAGTTCCCGGAATTGTGATTGTGATTCAGATGACTTGTGGAAGCTTGACGGCGGAATCCGCCAGGTGACTGGAGGTCAAGCTACCGCTGGACTGTTCACCACGTTCCCGCCGGATCACATGTCAGTGTGGGGAAGTCTTCTCGATCAGGTCAGTTATCCGTTCCGAATTTAGCTGACACTTCAAAAAGTTGTTTCTTCTCATTATTTTTCGTAACGTGCAGAAGATTGATGAGTTTGTTAATTGATGAATCGGCGATGGTTCTTTGGTTGTTCAGAGAAACTACAGACTACAAATAGACATTTACTTCCTCAAGTTACTGTAGTATCTCACGTGGTCAATCATCAAAAGGCAACTAGATTTTCTCCTATAATCAAATTATTTAGTTGCACGCAAGGAACACTTGGTGGCCCTGAGAATAATGATCAGAAATCGAAAGGCCCACTTCGGCTAACTTTATGACTAATTCAGGTTGAGGCTGAAGAAATTAGTTCTGACGCAGTGGATGGATAAACGAGCGAGGATATGTACATCAAGTACATTTCGGGTTTTTGCAGATTATCGGAACAGCGATGCTGTCGGGATTGGTCTGTCTTATCACTGATAAACGTCACCAGATCCCAACGGGCGTCGTTCCCGTTCTTGCTGGAAGCATCATGAGCATGGTGAGACCGTCTGCAGCACGAACTGGTAAATTAAAGAGACCCTAGGTTGCTATGACTTTCGGAGCCAACGGTGGATTCGCTATCAACCCAGCTCGTGACTTCGGACCTCGTCTTTTCTGTCTTTGCGCTGGATATGGATGGGAAGTCTTCAGGTTAGGATGACCACCGCCAAATGATAGATAACGTAGGAATTGCTGTATTTTAGCGCTCACAACTACTACTTCTGGATCCCAATTGTTGGTGCTCTTATCGGAGCCGTCATTGGAGCCTGGATCTACAAAATCTTTGTTGGGCTCCATGGAATGAACGAGAGCCTCGATATCCAGCCAACCAAGGGTTACAATGTTAGTGTGAGAGTTGACGGAGCGTATAGCAATGGCAGCAATGGCAGCTACTAGTTTCCAGCATGCTTCATCTCAATTTTTAGCCCCCAGCTCTTTGGGAGCCTCCCATTATCCGTTTCTAACACCAACTCTCTGTTATCGGACTACGTACTAACGAGTTATTCAACCAGTCATTCCATTCTTTCCGTTATTGCATTTTAATCGGTTTCTGCATCCCAAAAATCGGTTCTACCCGTGGAATAATAAACAATGTACATAGCGTATTTGATTTGCATGTTGAACAGAATGGAACAAAAGAAGGAGAGAAAGATAAAAAGAGGGAAAATGTTGCAGGATATGCAGAGAAATTCGGAGGGCATTCTCATCGGATACGATAACACTTTGTCCAGGTAAGACCTGTCCAAGGATCATTCTTGATGCGAGGCAGGCCGAAAGAACAGACAGCGTCAGGCGAAAAATTGATCAGCTTATACCCGTTATCGTGTTTCTATCCCTACCTCTTGAATATGTTTTTTCATACGTTCCCCCCACTAGACCATCATTATCCCTCACATAATTATACATTAGTGTAATACCACTTGTGATCAACAAGTTTTTCAGCCGGCTAGACGCCATACGCCTCCACTACAAGCCAATCCTCACACCACTTTTCTTGTTTCCAGGGCCCGCGGAGAAATTGCTGCACAAAAACCATACGTTCCAAGCTATCAGGTTTTTGAATCTAGCCGTGAGCAAATTGCAACAGCCGATCGTCGATATTAGTAGTGTTCTCTGTCCAGTCCGATTTCAATTAGCTCTGTACCCTCGAAATGTCTTCAGATGTATGTGCCTATTCTTTCAACGAACTTTCTCTTTCCGTCAAAAATTGCTTTGTCATGTGTTTCCGTATTTATCTAAACGTTCAATTCACGTTCAATGCTTCCAATTCTTCGTCTGATCTTTTGCTGATCTTTCTCGTTTCTTGTTTTAACAAGATGTTTGATTGGTCTTTTGCTTTTTACTGCACTAATATTCAAATCGAGCATTCCACTCCTTTCAGACACCCACTCAGATAAGCACTGCTCACTCTCGCTCGTTTTGAAACAACTTTATAAATTCGTGGCCAAATCCGATTACAACCGAGCCTAGGCACTCCGTCCGGACGCGACCTGCGCGACACTCTGTTTTCTGCCGAAAATGCGCAAATGTGCAACAGATGCCCGGACAGGCGGCTCGTTGACGCCCTCCTTTTCCGTCCCGTCTGCCAACGTCTTCGTCTTTCCTTACAATTTTCTGTTCGTCCGCCATTCGATCGACAATTATCTCTAGATTCTCTCTCTCTTTCCTTCTCTCTTTCCCTCCTGTCCCGGACTACATCAAGAACACATGATTTCTTTGTCTCTTTTTAGGAAAATGTACACGTTGGAGCAGTGTTATCTCGACAACTGATAAGCCAGTTGGGAAAAGGAAAAAAGGGTCACATACACGGTTTCTCTCTCTCTCTTTCTCTTTCCCCGTCAGTTTTCCCAGCCACGGCCTCTGGTTTTTTTGTCTTTTTCTCATCATTTGCATGAGAACGAGGAGTGACTCGTATCGGACATGTGGTAAGGTTTTCTCCATTCCGTCCTACTCCTTTCTCTTCTTCTTCTTCTTTGTCTTTTCATCTGCAACCGAACTGCACCGATACGATAGCAGCTATCTTTGAAGATCTCTCGCAGACGGCCCATGTGCGTCGTCATCTGGTCACGCGCGAGGGAAAGAGAGAGGGAGAGAGAGGGATTGGGGCCGCATTGGGTGTCGGTTGGTCGCCTGCTGCCGTCGCACAATGCAACACTGCTCTACTGATAATCCTTCCAACATATCTCATATCCACTGCGCTGCGCGTCGTTTTTCCCGCGTTTTTTGCAGTCTTGGTTGCTGCAAGTGTCAGTGTCAACGCAAACAGTCCGCGTTTTGTTTGTTTTGCATTGTTTTGTGGGCCCGCCGCGGCGTTCCGTTGCAATACAAGTGAATCATCGCCTTTTCATGCGTTCATTGCCCTTTTCTTCTCATTTCCGTTTATCAAATTCATCTCCGTTACAATTCTCACTTTCTTTCTCGAAAAAACTAATTTTTCAGCAATGCTCTGGTGGTGGGAGTCGCAGTACTGGCTGCCCCGTGGCGTCAACTGGGCAGACATGAACAACAAAACGACAGACTCCGGATTCATGTACCCGCACTACTCACACCTCTGGATGACTGTGCTCACGGGATTATCACTTATTGTGAGTTTGGTCCAGGAATTAGGCAGAAATGATTACGAAGAGACTTGCAGGTTTATCGCATTGTATTCGAGAATTACATATTTGTTCCGTTAGCTTACTTTCTTAGCCGCAAAAACGCCCCAGAGACAAGACGTGAGCTATTTTAAAGTTTAAGTCAAATGAGTTGACTTTATTTCCAGAAGGACAGCTGGATCGAGAGAAGAAGTACAGTCGAATGGCCGAATGTGCAATGAGATGTCTTTACTACACCATTTCCTTCATTACTGGGTAAGTATTTCGATGTGAATACATTGCAAAGCGTGGTTCCGTCGATCTTACGTCACTTGAGTAGTGTATGGTTTCCCTGATTATCTAACTAGTCTTGACCGAGAATCATGTTGAAAAAAGATCGACATTTTGTCGGCAATAATCAAGTTTTTTATCAGTAGTCAGCATAAATTGTCGACCAAAAGCGATAGTGTGTTGAGCAAGTTAAATTAGTTGCGGAGAGCAAAAGTTTGGCATCACGGGAAATGTGAGTATTGCATTTTTTCAGAGTCTACCTTGTGTCCGGTGAATCACACTTGTACGACATCTCGGAATGCTGGAGGAACTGGCCCTTCCACCCGGTACCAACCGCCGTCTCCTGGTACTACTGGATTCAGGGTGGATTCTACATTTCGCTTGTCTTTGGGTAAAATCAATTGACTTTGAAAAATTATTTGTTGATCAACAAATAATTTCCCCTGAATTTCAGAATTCTGTTCCTTGACGCAAAGCGAAGCGACTTCTATCAAATGCTCTTCCACCACCTGATCACACTGACACTCATAGGAATCTCTTGGATTATGAACATGGTCCGCGTCGGCACTCTCATTCTAGTCAGCCACGACGCCGTTGATATTCTCATGTGATTTTTTGGAGTTGTGGAACGGTAGATTGTAAACGATTTTTAGCGACCTCGCAAAGATTCTCCGTTATGAAGGACTCGACAACGCATTGGCGGTGTGCTTTGCCGGTGTTCTGCTTGTGTGGGTGGCGACTCGACTCGTCTACTATCCATTCTGGATCATCCGATCCGTTTGGTTCGACGCCCCGGCTTTTATCCAGGACGATTATGAATGGTTGAATATGGGACAGCAACCAATGGCTCCTCGGTTCATTATGATGCTCCTCTCTGCTCTTCTCATCCTCCACATCTTCTGGGCGTATATTTTGTTCAAGGTATGTTTTTGGAATGAAAGTCAGTCTATAGTAACCAGTAACCGTTTTCTGTTGCAGATTGCCTACGATTCGGTCAATGAAGGAGTTCTGGACGATGTTCGCGAGGATTATGACGAGATCTCCAAGTGCAACCGTGAAAAGGCAAAGACCAAGAATAAGGACGATTAGATATCCAACTTCGACCTGACTCGATGCTTCCGATGCTTCCACTTTTGCCCCTGGACCCACATTCCCGAACTCTGAACCTTTTTTTTAAATGTCATCTCATCCACCCCTCCCCTTGTTCCCAAAATCCTTATATAATTGCCTTCTCCTCATTTTTGCTCAGACATTTTTACGTATGCGGACTAACTTTGAACCGACTCACCGAGTAAGAACCAAAGTAGACACGGAATCGCTTTGACCGGCGTGCCACAAAGTGTTTCGTACTTCTTGCCTTATGTGTTTGTTGACTGTTTTTTTTTAAAGTTTTTTATTTATGGATAAATTAAATTGCTGAGACTTTAAACTAACTTACTGCATTCGCCGGACTTTGTCTCTTAAAAGCGTCCGTGAGAGACCAAACTAACACAAGCTGCTAGTGTTCGTTCTCTTATCTTCGGCCGTCGCGCCATTCCCACATATTCTAGATTATTCCCCTGACATTGACCAAACGAAGGCAGTTTATGGTGGTGGCTGGTTAAAGAAACAAAAGCGGCTAGTCGGGACGGGCTTCCTGAACGATATGTGTGTTGTTTTGGCGCGCAGAAGTCGTCGCTCGGTCGGTGCGTCCGGGAAAAGGATGCGAGAAGTGGACGCGACGCAACTAAATCGCCTTCATCTAGGTCACTGTTCTCGCAATGCCAGCCAGTGCTTCCTATTTGAATATATATCAAACGGACGCGAAATCTGAGGGCGCATCCTCTCCCGTTCCTTCGCTTATCCGCTGTTTCAATGATTCACCCGAAACAAAACGTTTTCGCAAAAACTTTTTGTTTCCGTTGTAAACGTATGCGAAGAAACTGGCTAAAGCCGAAGCGAACGTTGTCGAAAAAGAATCGCCGGTCAACTTTGACTGCTTCGAGCGTGTTTCCTATCTGATTGACCTTGAGGCAAGAGGGCTGCCGAGTTGAATCGCTTTCTATTCTTTTCTACGAAAAAAAAAACGACACATTATTTACTTCCACTTCATTTCAATTGCTTCGAAGAAACAAAAATTTCGTCGAATAGTTTCCCGGAACTTCGCTTTTTCCAATGGTCATTTCAATTCCCATAAGATGCAAAGCATCGTTAATCAACTTGGACGCTTTTTTTCTCAAAATTGTTTTGCAAAGTATATACACACTTTTGTGCTCCAGTCCTCTGTGCTCCACTTTTAAAGACTATTGTAGCAATTAGAATCATCGAAAAACAGTATGCAGTCAAAAAATGCTAGCCACTTTTATCGCCAATAACGTTTTACTATGTCTATTATCCCAATTCAGCGGTCACTTGTCCGGTTCGACATAACATTTCATTTCGATCCGAATTCCCAGCAATTCGAGGAATCATTGAGTGGCATTCAAACAGTGAAACGAGAAGATTCATGATTTCTTAATAATTTTATTGCTGTTTAGAACTTTTTGCATTCTCTTTTTGTTCACGGACCAGTAATTTTATAGCCCTTTCAACAGTTTCCGTCAAATATCCTGAACTTTCAAGTTCGCTCGTAGAAAAACTGCGAGATATTCTCGTACGTGCTCCAGTTGACTCGTCAGTCTTTTTGAATGCACAACCCCGGAAATTGGGCGCCGAGTGATGTAATTTATGGCATCTAATCCCACTTTTCACATTTCTTTTTTCGGTCACTCTTCTTCCACCCGGAGCTTGTGCTCTTCTTGGACGCTTACTCCAAACATTTCTCCATTTCACAAATTATTTATGCTACCACCCTCAACTCTTTATGAATTTCGACCTACATGCAAAGTTTTTCGTTTCGACTTGAACGATTCATAAATAATTCATGACAAATGTTTTCTACATTCTCCGTCGCCTAATCCTGAAATTGTCGTTTCCGTCACTATTCGAAGAGAATATGTCGTTGAAGTGGTTGTTTTGGAAACGCTGAAAAGGTGTCCGGCACATGTAAACATGTTCCCTTCCCGAATTCTGAAAAGAAATTTTCTCTCTTCCCGACACAGACGGAGAGATAGAGAGATGTTTGGGGACCGAGTCAAATAGGGAACACGCAGAAAATGGATTTGTTCGCGAGCTAACTAGCAATTGAGGAAAGACGGATGCGAGAAAGAGAAGAAGACTGCAATCCGTTGAGAGCTCTTTCTTCTTTTTCGGTTTTCTTTAGCCTTAGTTCTTAACATTTCTTGCGGTGTTCTTCTGGTCTCGGGGGTCATCGGTTATCTTATTGTTGGTTTCATCTTGCGGGAGTTTGCTGGTGCTATCTCTTCCGTTTTTCTCACTTCTCTTCGTGCCATTTGTCAACTTTTCATTTTTCGATCATCAAAGAACGTCCAGAAGATTTCACTTTTCGGTTTATTGTTGTAAAATCAAAGGTTCAGCGTTAATCCTGATCTCCCTTCCCCGTAACCCAGTTCCTCGCTTTCTTTCAAATCCCTAATGACTTCCTTCCGTCCTTCCTCTCTTTTTCCTTTCTGTTGAGTGACCACTTTCACGGTCATTGTAACAAATTCACCAAGTACTGAAAGAACAAACACTGTCATGTTCGGCATATTTACATAATCTGAAAGCGAGAACTGGTGAATTTTTACCGGTTGTTAGTGGGGCAGAGCAAACACTTATGACCGGTGGTTCCACTGAAAAGTTATTAGATTTCCCGCCGGCTTCAGACGCGTTCGTTAAATCATCTCTCAGTTCCGCCTTGATAATCGGATGTTTTCAGCATGGGTGAAACGGACGAAACGCAATTCGGGTTTTCATGGTTCCGGCCGAAACGTCTCCAATGGCTCTCCAACTTTGTCCCGTTCATGAGTATTCTCTCTACAAACGCACTTCTCCAAGGAGCCATCGTCAATGGATTGGTGTCAGTGTCGATCAGTTCTATCGAGAAAAGGTTGATAAACTATTTCATCAATTTATTGCACAGTTTAACTTGTTTTCAGATTCAAACTGACTTCCACACAAAGTGGAATCTTCGCTGCAACATACGATGTTTTCGTAACCATAATGCTCATCCCACTCGCCCTTTACGCCACAAAAGGTTTTCTCACTCTTTTTCAGAAAGAATCTGGAAATTATCTGTTTTCAGTAAATAAAGTCAAGTGCATTGGACTCGGCATGATGATCGTCGGAGTCGGCAGTATTCTGGTACTGATTCCTGAGTTTACTGCGGGGCCATACTCGGTCGGTGAAGCCAAGAAAGATGTTTGTGTCTCGTCAGGACCGGATGAAATCTGTCCTGAACAGAGTTCTGACACTTTCCTTTTTCACAGGTTTGTTGGAATTATTCAAGGTTTTATTTTCAAGTTTTTTGGTTTTTTTTAGAGAACTTTGGCTGCTGCTCTTGTCTCAAGCATTCGTGGGAATTGGAGCAAGTCCACTTTTCACGTACGGAATTACTTGCCTCGATGAATTTGACTCTCACAAACGTACTGGAAGAAACCTAGGTTTGGAAGCACTCGAATCTCAAAATAAGTGTTTTTTGTCAGCGCTTTACATGATTGCATCGACTGTAGGCCCGGCTCTGGCATTTGTCGGTTGTGGTTTCATGCTCCGTGTTTGGGGTGATTGGAGAACGGTCCCACAAGAGTGAGAAAACAAACAATTAAAGCAGTTCTAACCAATCAGTTTTTCAGTTTGGGAATCGATAACAGCGCGGATCCTCGATTCATCGGAATGTGGTGGATCGGCTTTGTCGTTTGTGGATTCGTCGCTCTCTTCACAGCTCTGCCGCTCATCATGTTTCCGAAAAAGCTGAAAGGTGACTATTTCCTCTTCCTTTTCTTGACTGACATGAAAATTGAAGACACTAACGTACGCAAAGCAAATGACGTGCACAGAACGGATGTGTCGCTGAATAAAGACTTCTCCGACCACAAATATGAGTTCTTTAAAATTATTTTTGTAAGTCAATTGCACTGTCCCCTATTATAACTTGTTTTATCATCAAGTTTTCTCACAGATGCTTTTCAAAAACAAAACGTGTATGTTTGTCATTTTAATGCAAACTATTGAAGCGATGCTTATGAACGGTTACATCACGTTTATTCCGAAACTTTTGGAAACTCTTCTCGGATTCTCATCAGGAAACTCGAGTCTCATCACAGGTTCCTCACGTCAGCTTGAGAACATCAAAAACTAACATAACTCTTTCAGGAGGTGTTGTCGTGCCAGTTGGAATCACTGCAAGTTACATTGGAGGGAAGATCGCAAAGCGCTTCGAGAATCGCTTCAAGCCTTCCATGTACTTTGTGATGGTGTTCGGTGTTCTTGCTGCTATCTGCAGTAGTTGCCTTTTGATCCGTTGCGATTCACTGAATGTGTTTAGAGTCAACGTTCCATCTACCGAGTATTTTGAAGATTTTTCTTCTAATTTCATCATTACCATTTCAGTCTCCCAAAGTTCGGAGCAGTGTCTTCCTGTAGCGAAAACTGTCATTGCGATTCCTTTTTCAATCCAGTCTGTTCCGAAGAGAGCAAGTTGACATTCTTGTCCCCATGTCACGCTGGATGCGCGGACCTGCCGGTAAATATATAATCGCGTTTCCATATTGTTTGATTTCTTGCAGGGCACCACGTTTGGAGCTCACAACTGGACAAGCTGTGGATGTTCTAAGAATGGATTTGTCAAGAAAGGATACTGTGATGCCTCTTGTCAAAAGGAAACGTATCAGTTTATTGGAATGTTCATCGCATTGTCCTTCTGCATTTTTATCACTGCGCCGGTGCTGCAAAGCTCATCACTACGGTAAGAATGAAAGGCGATCATAATTGCATTACTTCTCTGCAGAGTTGTCAACTACAAGCACCGTGATCACTTCACTTGCTTTGGCTGGCTGTGGATGCGTATTCTTGGTAGTATTCCGGGAGCCATCGTTTTCGGATACATTATCGATGTGAACTGTATGTACTGGCAGAAAGATTGCTCATCGCAAAAGTGTCAGTATTACAATGCCTCGAATCTTGGCTGGGCGTTCTTCTGTTTCAGTAAGAACTGTTTGATTTGTAATGATTTGTAAACGTCACATTTTCAGCGGTTGTTGTCAAATTGACAGGTGGAATGCTTCTCTTTCTGGCCGCCTACTTCTACCAGGAACCTGATCATTCGACAGGCAAAGAGTCGAATAGAACCCTAAATACAGATGCGTCTGAATCTGTGAAAATGTCGTACGAGAAGGTGCACTTGTAAAGAAGAACTCCATCGACCGATTATATTTGCAGAATTTACCGTCCGGAATGTCTCCGCAAACATTAGTATACTAGTTGAAGCCTGCATTTATCACTTGTATTAATTCAGTGTTCACGGGACTTTCCACTTTCATCGCCGTCTTTAATTGTTCGGGTGTGCATATTTCAATGGTGTTTTATTCGTGTCTTTGACAAAAAACAATTTAGATTCCCCATTGATATCTTGTTTTTTTCTGTGATTTCATGCATTTCTCATTTCTTAAAATGTTTTAAACATTCTATGACTTTCAAATTTTCAATCCACTAAAAAAAAGTCTATTTATCCGCAAAGTGCGGAAGAACAAGACCGGACCATATGGTAATCCCGGCAATACAGACACCATGTTCGGTGGCTGGACACCCCGACGCCCCAACGCTTCGAAACTAACAGGCATTTTGGAGCCAGACTTTTCGTAGCCAAAATTTAGACAATATTGTTGGCCTACATATTCTCGTCAATATTCATGTCATTCACATTCAGTACCTAGTTTCGAAATTTCGCGGTTTCGATACGCCCGGGAGTCAGTGGCTGACGTCTCAGAATAAGTGATGGTGACGAGAAGCGTTTCTCTTTCATCCGGCCATTCAGACCAATATTTCAGACCACGAAAGCTCATTGACCATCTCTTGACAGCTCTCGTGATTCCCTTTTTAGCGTACAAAAGGTGAACGCGTCCTCCTCATCCAAAAGAATAAAAATATTTATTCACAAAACGCGGAAGAACAATGGGCAGATTCCCACCGAATCATCTGATTTTGACGGAGAATCGCCATTTCATAATTGATTTTGACTTATGCAACCCCAATAATTTCGAAAATCAGGTTCTGAATAGCTTTGTGTCGGGAATAATTCCTAAATTCGAAACAGATTAGATATGATGACATAATTATCCCTGTGTTGCCCATCTCAAACAGATCTATTTGCAAAACACTTTTGATAAATAACATGCAAATCTGTAGAGTCTGTGGCGCGTGACAACAGGTTCAGAACTGGTCCCATTTATTTACTTCTTGATAATCTCTTAATATCTGCTTCTTCCCTTTTCGGCCGGCGAATGAGTCACTAATCCATGATGCTGGAATTGAAAATGACAATTTCTCCCTTTTTTCAAGTGATCCAATCGATCACATGTTCGGTACGTGTTCCGTTCATCCATCATGCCACTACAAAGTTTACATCACACCTCTTTAAAGCTACAATGGTTCCAACACGGCCACACGCATTGCGATCGTGATATCACTTTTGTAGTTTCCTTCAGCAAATGATATGGATAATCACTCAAGGCACAAAAGCATCAATCGTTTCGTATTTTGTGTCTTCTGATATAAACCTCTTTTTCTCACTTATTGGTGTCGTTCCTATCTAAACTTTCGCTATAAAACATGGATTCCATTTCCCCTTGTTTCCTATTTCCTACTACCGTAAACTGTTGTCTAATTAGATTTCCGCTGGATGGAACGATACCAGATTAGTCACCGTGCCGATTTTTCTTTTTCCGCTTCCGGTCGTTCGTTTCCTGTCGCCCGTCAGTCAGACGGATCCCCCCGGGCTGTCCCGTGAATGGAACCGCGTAAACTTTCTCTTGAATTGACTTTACTGCCGTCTCGAACTATTACGCTTCCCAATTAGGCTTTACGCCAACCTCTGCACCTGACGAACACTCGAATTTTACACTTTTGGATTAGAATACTACGTCGTCGGTACTTCTGCAAATCCAATTGTTCTGTCAAGAGCTTTCTTTGTAGTTTACTTTGTTGCGGTCCAAGGCTAAACGGAAATTGGAAGGAAACAGTGCAGAGGTCATTTCTTGAAGACTGCAGACGAATCGTTTTGTGTCAGGCGGTCTCAGATCAACCGACTCAAAAGATGCCAAAGAGAAGTACCGTGTTCGAGAACATAATCGGGGTTGACTGATCTCTCTTATCAGACATCGCGGTTCCGTCAGTTTATATAGAAAACGTGATACGATTCGAATGGTCTGTGAGATTTCGGATCATCCATGATGACATTTTTTGGCTGACGTTGCAGAAATTTAGCAAACTCTTTCCGTTTTTGTGATTTATTCCATAAACATCATCCTAAGAATACACCATTCTTCTCTGCTTGACCCCTCACCACCCCCAATTTGTCAAAAATAACAACTGTACACTATTCCACCACTTTACTTCCGAGACTAGAACAATTAATGGATAACTTAACACACAATGCATTTTTACCCACTTCTCCCCGCAACCTTCTCTCACTTTTTCGTTCACCACACCCATTAGAAATCCTGCCCTTCTTTGTTGGGGGCCATACGTGAGAAAGTGTTACGCAACACTATCCACCATCTGAAATCCGGTTAATAAACGGAATAAGGGCTTTGGACAGGAAGGTGTGTTTACGCTTGAATTCAGAATATTAGCATCAATATGCGTCCGATCGTTTCGTTTCGGAAAGAGAAAAAAGGAAGCAGAAAAAAGAGAAAGGACTTGCAAATCACATATCATTTCACACCACATCAATCATACCCGACGATGTCTTACAAATTTCTCTGACTGCGACCGGCGCGCGACAGTTCGCAGTGTTTTCCGGCTTGTAGTCTATTTGGCTACTCGATGTGGTTTGTGCACTGCAGAAAACAAACAAACAGCTGTGAACTTGAAATGTCCCGGATGACGAATCATTGAAAGTTTGAAACGCACTTTCTCAAGATAATTTCTCCACACATCATCATCACTCAATTGAAAGTTGATGGAATTCGATTGCAGCGCAAGCCAGTAGAACTCAACTCGCACCCCATTCAAACTGAAGAGATGTATAATTATCTACGCATGAAATGTGTTCAAAACTTTCTCTAAATGAGTTTGCGCTTAGCTCATCTCCGATCCGTCGCGTCGGCAACCCGAAAATGAGGACATTAACTATCCGGTGTTTGAAATAGAAATTAGAATGTCGATTGGTTGGACAGCTGCGTCTGCTACTGTGAGGGCTAACTCAAATTCCAATCTATGATTCACTAAGGACTGATGTCACTCACTCATTCACTGTGATTCATCTTATCCCACAGTCGTTTGTTACCCGCCGCCCAAACCTCTTTTACCCCCTTCTCAGCTTGCAACGTTCGAGAAAACTAGGCGGTGAACGTGAAGTAGAACACTGTGAAGAAGCAACTTTTTCTCACCTCCCACCGCGCGGCGCGGCCCCACCCCGATCGACTCAGCGGTATGTTGAAGATCGGCGACGTCTCAAAGTGAGTCATTTAACAAACCGCGGAATGCACTCATTTCATAACCTTTCTCACAACTCACTCACCTGCCCGCATCTGTCTTCTCATCATTCACATAGAGGGCCGCCGCGTCCCAGTCATCTCGGCCACACCCATAAAAGCGCAGCATACTGTAGAGACATCGTCATATGTAAATGCAGTGCCCTCCTGTATCTACGACCAGTTATTCACACAGTGACTGCTTGGAATCAATGTCGTTCGTTTGACATCTCAACGTTTGATCACATTTTAACCAAAATGCTCCAGTCTTCAATAGATCATCTATTTGATTCGAATAATTCAATTTCATGTTGACAGTCTCGCCACTAACTGAAAATTTGTATTTTCCCCATTCCCACCAGAAACGGGCATTTTGGCGTGACCCGTACTGTCCTGCAGACCCTGCAAGTTCGAAACAATTAAAAAGACGAACCGCTTCTCCTCTTCTTTTTGTCTCCATTGATAGTGTCCGAGTGTTCACTCTGCTTCATTTCATTCATTTTCCCCACCCATTTTTGTCAACTTCTTTGAAAACAATAGCCCCACGTTTTGTTATGACCCCCCCCCCCCCGATATTGTCACTTGCAATCATTCTTCGCTCATCATCAACTAAACTACAGTACCCTGCCTCATTTATTACTTTCAGCCCCGATATGGAACTCAGGATACGCCATTTGGCCCTCTTCCTTCTTCTCATCCTTCTCATGGACATGGCATTCGCCCGAGAGAAGTAAGTTTTCCTTCAAAGATCTAGAAACATTCGGTTCGGGTACCAGACATCAATCGAGTGTGTCTTGAGTGAATAAAACCATCTGTCGGACGTTTATAAGTCGGCGCTTCCGTTGCCAAAAAAAGCTAAATTTTTACGAGCGGCGCTCATGAAATTGCCTCTCGCGTGTCCGTCTTGATCATCAAAAAACTGTTGTAAAATGTCATTTGTAGATTCTTGGTGAGGAAAGGCGGCCGACTGGACCGACTCCACAAACGAACATTGCATGACTGGAAGAACGCCGCCCATAACCATCGTCACAGACGTCACAGGTACAGTACAATTGAACCGAAGCCAGCAAAGATCAAAAGGAGAGGGTCCAAGCAGTTTTGAGTAGTGAAACAATTTGTCAATGTCATTCATGTGTGTGCTCTTCAAGCAGAAATTGTCAAGAGACTTCATGATGTGTATGATATTTCTAGACACAAGCGAAGACGTCACTATCGGGATGGTGGCTTCCGAGTCGACAACGTCCTCGCCCAAATGGACTCTTTTGTCCGCCCTCGGTTCGGAAGGTCCATCGGATACGCAGAGTGGAGGGATCATGGTCACACAGGAATTGAAGTGACATGACGGAAGCGGGGCAAGACTTGACACAAGAGTGTCAAAGTTCACCAAATGTTTGTGAATATGAGCATAGAGAGCAGCTTTCATATCCCCCAATGACTTATTCCTCTTCTTTCGTTTCACAGCTTTATCAATCACTTTACAACCAGCTCCTCCATTCCCTTCTCCCACCCACGCTTTCCGCTCTTTGACTTTACTATTTATAGTGAGGGCTGCATACCCTCCATTTCAAAAAATGTTTCTCTGAACTGTGCATTGTGATTCAGTGTGTCCTTTGAAACCCCGACTTTTTCGAAAGATATCTTTTGTCCTATTTATTCACTTCCATTTCTTCATTCCAATATTCTGTGTTCTGTATCTCTCTCTCTCTCTCTCTCTCGATAATCCCACTTTATCCGTCCGTTTATACAATTCTCCCGCAAATAAAGTCGTTTCTGCTGCCGTTTACTCATCGGAGCTAAGAAAAAGAAAAAGAAAAACGGACAAATTTCGCGCCCCTAAAACACGTCATTTTCCAAAACCTAGGGGGCCGATAAAACAAAGCGAGCTGATGATGCGAGCGTTGGTTTTTTACGATTTGGGTGTTGGGGCCTCGAAGAGGAAATGGGTAGAAGGGCAAGAGCTGATGAGCTAGACGGATTTAGATAGAGTAATATACTTTTCAATTGATCCCAGCAATGAACCCCTGAACATCCGTCTCATATGCAGTTTTAGTGTTTCAAGGAAACACAAAAACATAATTCCATTGAGCCATGCCCAGAAATAACAGGCAGTTCAACTTGCGCATTCTTTCATTACGTTCCATTCATCCAAACCAAGACGATGATGTGCGGTTTGTGAAAGGTTATCGGTAAGTATCGAAGTTCCCTTAGACCGACTTTTTGACCGACTTTTTGAAGTCACGTCAGATTTCGTTTTGACTCGCTCTGAAAAACAAGTATCCCAACAGACTCAGAAGTATTCTAGAGCCGATTAAGTTGACGAATGGGGTGGCGGAGCCGGGATAAGTTTTACTTTTACGAGCCGTCGGTTCCAGTGGAGTTCCCTCCTTTCTTTTCGTACTTCGAGTTTTCAGTTTCCAATCCGTGTTGAGTACTTGACATCTCTTTCCTTCGGGTTTTATTCCACCCACAGACACCTACACCCGCCTTCGACTTCTGCATTTGGTCCCGTTTATAAACAATTTCCTCAAAAGATGCAAAATCGTGACGACGGCCACCTGGTGACGTGTCTGCCGTATCAAAAGTCCTCCGCATTTCCATCCTCGTAGGCATCCTCATGCATTAGTAATGATCGAACCGCGGTGCCAAAATGAAGAGTTGTTTCCCATTAGAAAAGTACTCCTAATCAGATCGAGCTCGACGAATACACTTTGCATACAATCTCTCGTTCCGCTTGCTAAGCGATGCTCGACTATGCATAAAATCAAGAAATGGTGTCTTTTTGCATGCCGTCATTCTTGCGACAGGAAAAGGAAAGGTTTTGAGGAAGTGCAAGTGATGGACGGCAAAGATTATGCACAGATAAGAAGGGTCGTGCAAACATAACATGCTTTTCTCAACTTTCATTGTTATTCATACATAACGTTATTCCTGGGAAATTGAGACTACTCAGCAAATCTCCGTTCCGTTTAAATTGCCTGGTTTCCTTAGACCCACGTACTAGTCTCTCTCAGGGGTTCCAAGTGAGTATCAATTAACTTCTCTTGATCCTACTGCTGCTCCCTTTGTGCGTGGTCTCACTGCCTCGGCGCCCAGAGCAAAGGGGCGTGGCTTTGAGAACGTTTCAGAGCACAGAACACCTTCGTCTGACATCTTCATTCTTTTAAAAGGGCTCGTCGACTTCTGCCATCAACCATCAACCCAACCCAACCCCTCAAACCAATCCATTTGTTCGAAATTTCACCACTGACATCATCTTATTTTCTCATTTTCATATCCTCGTCCTTTTCAGAAAACTTTTCGAAACAATTTGTAAATAGTAATATAAATATGCTCGCGGCTATTTGCCCACCCTCGAAATTTCAACCCCTCCAGGCTAATAAGAGTGGCCCGTTGCAGGTATATAAAAGGCTTCGCCGCGGCGATCGTCTCACTTTTTCGAGTTCCTTCTCAATCATGGCTCAACTCTCTGCCTTGGTCCTTCTCTGCATCGTATTCGTTGCGGCCACTTTTGCTCAATCCTACGACGATGTCAGGTAAGAATATTACTTAAAAGTATTGTTAGGAGGCAATACAACGACGGTTTATAGTGCGGAGAAACGTGCCATGCGTAATGCGTTGGTTCGGTTCGGACGGGCCAGTGGTGGGATGAGAAATGCTCTAGTGAGATTCGGAAAGAGATCTTCTCTGGACGAGGACGAGTTCGCTCCGGAGAGCTCGTTCCAAGGCAAGCGGAATGGAGCCCCGCAGCCTTTCGGTAAGAAGAGAACCTTTGCCAAAAATTGCTTGACTGCCTGCTTAATGTGTCGTTTTCTCCTCTGCAGTCCGCTTCGGCCGCTCCGGTCAGCTCGACCACATGCACGACATTCTGTCGACCCTTCAGAAGCTCCAATACGCCGGCAACAAGTAACTTGGGATGACGATCGCGTTCTGCTCGGGCGGATGCTGAGGCGAATGCGCCTGCTGTAATCTAATTGACTCTCTTTTCACTCTCCTCTCTCTCTCTCTCTCTCTCTCTCTCTCTCTCTCTCTGTTCTAGATTTTGATGGTGTTACCTTTTTTCCAGTCGCTTATGAAGAAGAGTACTCCCCTCCCGATCTCACGTATTCTCAGATAACAACACAAACTTTTCTGCTCTTGTATGCTCTGTCCATGAAAAATAAAGGCGTTGTTAATTAAATTCCCAAAAAATGTTCGTAACTTTCCAGAAACTTGTGGAGCCGGATGTTTTTCAGATTAGACGAACCTTCAGTAATTCAAGACGATGGATCAAGTTTCAAAATATTTACCGTTTTTGGTACCTACCCTCCAATCATAAGATAGATACACCCTGAAAATGACACGTAACTTCTTGATGAGGAATTTTGAATTCATTCCACCTGTTTTCAAAGAGTTGAAAACAAATTATACAAACATTGGTACATGTGAGCCAGAAAAGGAAAGTTATTTGACGAGCGGTTGGTAAAGCATCGGATTTATCATGGCGTACTTCGTGTCAATGTCAGGGACGGCAGTATAAATGTCACGGGAGATATACCCAAAGTGGTCGTAGAGTCGGCGATTGAAGAGAGTTATTCTGAAAAAATAAGGCAACGAACGCTTTCTAAGCACCGAAAAAGGCGCTTACTTTCCACCAACGAGCCCCGAGAGGAAATTGAGATAACCTCTTCGCATGGCTCTCGGCTCAATAATAGTGTTCCACAATACATATCCGGTCGTGATCGCATACAAAATCACTTCTCCGTGCTTGATCTTCGGCAGAATGCCCCGTTCCACCAGGTCAAAGTACACTGTCTGAAAAAATGACAATGTATTTTTGGAAAGTGTCGTTTAGTCATCTGCTCGCCTCGCTCTCATTCCCAATTCCACCTCGGTGGAACAAACTTCAAAATTCATACTCCTTTTGTCCTCCCTGATGTATTTTTGTTTCACACTATCTACGTAACAGCACATGGGAGACAAAAACAACAAAAAAAGAGTAGTCTTGTAGCTCCAAATGACAAACATTTGTGTTGGAACAGTCAGTCTATCAGACATACCTCAATAGCCTTCCAAAGACAGTACATGGCAATACTGACATTTGGATAGAAGGCCATTGCAACGGAGGCCAATCCGGCTGAGAATACATTGCTCACAACTGGAGGGACGTTTTTAATTCTGTTCAGAGAGCACCGGGATGCCTGTAGAGTATTGTACGTTCAACGTTTTTTGCCTGAACTCACGTTGAATAGAAGTGGTAAAAATCCAGCAAACAATGGCAGTTTGAAATTATCTTTCGAGAGCAAAAGTGTAACGATATTCAACGGATTGTTGATTATCTTCCGGATGTTACGAAGTATTGTCAATGCGGAACTTGCCATCAATCCAACAGACACATTTTTCGCAAAACTCTGAAAACTATCCAATAACTGTATCCTGAACAGGTAGATTTACCTCGACAGAGTGACTGACACACGAATTCGGATGTTGGCACAATTCCGTCTTTTCATAATCATTCCTCAGATTTTCCAAGAAGGAACGGAAACTATTTGGCAGCTTCTTCTCATTTATCACATTTTCCGTCACATTTGTTTTCAAAGCGGCACTGAAATCAAAAAGTTAACCGTTGGTCGTAGTTCCGTCCTTTTTAAATTTATTTGCACCGCCTTTTTTCTTTCTCGTAAGATGGATTATTCCTTTAGGAACTGGAGTTCAAACGTTTCCTCCACTTCAATTTTGATATTCAAGAGCAAACTGAACAGAGAATACGGGATGAATGCTGTACATACTTCATGAATCCGTTGAAAGATTTGGGTAGCCTTCCTTTGCTCTGCAACCAAGTGAAGAGCATCAATCCTATACCGAACGGAACACATTCTCCATATTTGTACATTTTCACGTGACCATGGTTCGCCAGGTGTCGGTAGTATGTTTCAGAAGCCTGAAAAAAACAATGACTACAACAATCTTTGTGCTCTGAAACCAAGTTGGTCAGGTAAAGAGCTAGAGCCGGTCGCCGTGACTTTTTCTCCACAAGAATCGCAAGTCCGGAAGCAGTTATGCTTGACAACAATCCCATTGAGACAGGTGTAAAAAATCCCAACCAATGCCTGAAAGGGAAATGATGTGAAACAGTAAACTACTGAAATTCTACCTGAATTTGCAAAGGAGTATAAGGAAAAGGCACATATTTGTGACCAGGAACAGGGAACTCTGACCAACATCTATGCAAAACTTTTTCCAGTTTACCTTGTCAAGGCGGCCTCGTTTTGAAACAAGGTTTGTGATCTGTGAAAATAAAGTATTGGAATTAAGACGGATTGAATCTACTTACAAGATAGAAAGAAGCGTAAGTTTTGAGTGAAAATAACACTCCCACGGGAATAGCATCCTGAAACGTTCCTAATAAAACATAAGCTAGAGAAAAGTCGTACCCAGACGGCAGCATAGCAATTGGGATTCCACGTGTGTATAGTTTCATAGCAGCTGGCATGGAGAACCGGTTGGCCCAAAGTGTAGGCGAGTTTCGAAAGAGCGCCCATCTGAAAGCAAATCATATGATTAATTTGAGTGATTTGAACAACGAGCACAAGTCTTATCACAAATGAATGGTTTATGTATTATCAGACGGAGACTGTTTTTGCTTCTACACAAGTTTCGATAGTTAGTTTTCAGCTGAGATTGTTTGCAAAACGTAAGAGAAAAAAGAAGATCATGCCATTGACACTACTGATCAGACCACATGTGCGAATCGGTATCGCAACATTTTTATGGGTTCTCTGTTCGCCACAACCTTAGTAATAAAACAACACTTCACTTATCACAGATAACAAAAAATCGGCGAATTTTGCTATTATTTTAAGCTAGAAACAAGGAACAGTGAGAACAATGTTGCCACCGCGAGATAAGAAGAAAATTAGACGTAATGGTGCGTAGAGTGTGTTCGAGTCGTCCTATCCCTGCTGCTGTCCTTATCATACTCCATGTCTCCGTCTCGCCACTATGTAGTCGTTCTGTCCTTTTTCTCGCTTTCTCTACGGTTTCCTCTCTAGACGAGGCCACAGTTTGGTGATGGAATAGCTCAAAATCATGCCATTATTTTAGTTTATTATCACAGGTTTCACAAATAACTGAAGTGACAAGTTCGATGAGTACCAATAAAATCAAACTAGACTAGGTATGACGGTAAAGGGAGACAGAGATATTGCCACAGTTGTATAATGCACAGGATGAGATGAGTTTCAGTTCAACAAAATAAGTTAAGTCAACATAAAACCTATATTTCTGCAGCATCTTCTGGATCCAAATCGTCATCGTTGTCTTCCAGAATGGCTCTTTCATCGTCTGAAACTATACGATCCCAACCGTACATTCATAAATCGTTACTCACCGAGAACCGGACGTCTTCTCCGTCTCTCGCCGATTTGGAACGGAACCAGTGATAAGAGAACGATGAGAGCGAGGACCAGGCAAGTTCCGGGAACGTACACCATCACTTTGCGATAAAAAATCGTACACGCCTGATGTGGTTTGAGAGCACTGAAGGTTCAAATTATATATAATCTCTTATTTTCCGAGCAACTCTTACTCGCAAGTCGGATTCCATAATTCGATCAACTGATAAGCTATTCCATTCGACAATTTGTCGAAAAAGCTCATTGCTCCATAGACAAACGCTCCGCTCTCCTGCAATTGTTTTGCTCGTGTTTTGCGTTTGATAAGAACAAAATATTTGACAGGCGACAAACCGTGTTCTTATTGATCAAGTCAGCAGTGATCGAAAGGGATGTGATCAGAAGAATGGCTTGAGCGATTCCGATTCCTATTGCAAGCACGTAAATCCTCCAGCCGGGAAGCTCCAAGAGCATCGCAGCACATGACGCCAAACCAGAAAACAATCCGAGGATGTAAAGTACCTGAAAAATGGTACTTTACTCCCGGAAGCGGATTAAAAATGTACTTTTTTCGAGAGTTTATTGACCACCGGCAAGCTGTTTATCATTGAAACGGAAAAAGAAGAGAGGTAAGAGACCATTGGTAATATTGCCACATATCTCTGAAAAATTGCATTATTTAGTCCAAATCGATTTTCTGTTCCCTCACCTTGTCAAAATTTTGAGTTAACGTGATATAAAATGGAAAATAAACTTGAGATACATTTATATACAATCGAGAGAGCATGTAGAGAAGCGCGATCTGAAAGTGAAAGTGTCAAATTTCAAAATTTAAATAAACGTTCGACCTGATAAAATTGGAGATGTCCAAACCAACTTGTCCAATGCATTCGGACCAATTCACTTGCATCCGACGAGAATGAGTTGAGACGACTGAACTGCACTCATTGGCAGATGAGGATTTGCTTCTTTTTTACCTGAGACGTCGTTGATTTGCCGGCTCTTTGGTGAATGTATAAAAAACCACAGATATTGTGACTCCTAGTATAACCGCTAGCCATCCAGCCAGCTAAAAAAGAAATATGGATAGATAAATGACTGATGAAGGATTGTTCACTCTGAAATGATTGAAATCCCAGGGACCAATGGATGAATGACCGGTTGATTCTGAGAGCAGCCAAGCCAATGCGAAGAACACGGAAAGGTTGGCGATCACACTGAACGCATACCTGAAACAGGGATCTTTTAAGAAACTGTTCCGATACCGGCAAATCCCTCTCGTCCCGGTCCAGCCCACTGAAAGTCAATCGATATGCACTATTCAACGAACCTCAATGAATTCATAGTAGATCTGCTTGATGGAAGTGAGGATAACTCCGGAATAAGAGCCAGATGTGAAATCTTTAGTACAGTTTTTTTTTCGTTTTTTTCTACTTTTGATTCGGTTTGATAACTAACCTGTACAGAAGCCCATCCAAATTGGAAGACCATGATAAATGGCACAAACCAGAGCACTTCTAACCATTCTGATGTGTCACTTTTGCAGAGAAAACATTTGTTGAAAATCATGGGGAACGAGATTGAAACCAAAACAGTTCCTGAAGATAATTATTTTCATATTTTCACAGTCCGCAAAAAAACACTCACCGATCAGATGCCATGACAATCTGCGGCCGATTTTGTCAAAACACGCTGGTAGTATGTTCGAATCACTGAATATTCCAACGAGTGGAGTGGAAACCGCATCCGTTCCCTAAAATTTTGAATTGTATTGTTTCTTTATAGATTTTAGCCACAAACCTGGCCAATCAACATTAATAAACCTGCTCTGCTACTCCGGAACTTGAGAACTTTCTCCATATAAATCATTAAATAGGTGAACCACATACTTGCGCACAAATCATTGTAGAAATGTCCGACTCCGAATGCAATTTTCTTCGGAAAACTAATATCGTGATCCGGACGGATATTCTGGGTAGGAACATTGACCTGAAATATATTTTTAAGGAGGTAAAAAACAGTCGAATTACGTGTTCGGTTGGCCTAACTTGGACTACATCTCCTTCCGGATCATCCTCACTCATTCTGAAACTGTCAATTTCGAAAAATGAGAAGGGAAAGCGAGCGGACGGCGAGATAAACAATTACACATTGAAACTGAACTCTAGTTCACTATGCGGGGAAAGGTCGAAATCAATTGTGTAAACACCGTGAATCATTGAGTGTCCCTCGAAATGTGAGCGAGGGTCGCATAAATTCTCGGCCACTCTCTCTCTCTCTCTCTTTCCCTTTTTCCCTTTTGTTATAGCTTTGGTGTTGCATGTTTGTTGTGTGCCCCTTCATTTCGACCCAAAAACGAGAGAAAAAGAGAATAAAAAAGAAGAAGCTGAAGATCAAGAAGCGATTTTAGAACCTATTATCCTGCCGACCGACGCAACGCGAAATCCGGTCGTTAATCCAATTTCAACCCTCCGATTGTTCTCATTTTCCTTTTCTATTCCCCTCTTCTGATAACGTTTGGAGCTAACTGACTTTATTAGCATTAAGAAATAAAGGAAAATAGGTGGTATTCAATACACTTATAAAAATAATGCCAATGTTATTTTCGGCTACAGGGAATGTAAAATTATCACTTTTAAGCAGCATTTGTTCACAGGGGTTATACAAATACGGGTTTGGTTTTGGAAATTGGTGTACATTATTAACAAAGGGATTGACAAAAGGGAACAATTGGCGTCTATTGTTGTGTGGAAATCTTCTGAAAAATGTTTCCTCTCTTGGGTCCAAAGTAACATAAGTACTTATTCGCAAGCGGGAGTCGAGGCGAGAACATTCTTTGAAGTCTCTTTTGTTCCGAAAGCTGCACTTGTCAGCACCGGTTTCTTGCTTGCCAACCGAGCACTGCGACGGAGTTGAGTGACCGATTCTTGTGGACAAGAAGTGCTCTTTTTCTGAGCTATGTTCCTCTTTGTTCTCGACTTGCTTGCCGTGAGAAGTGCGGAAGATGATTTGTTTCGCAGACGAGAAGACGATCTCACGGCAGGTCTTGCAATTTTTCCCTTCTTCTCATTCTCCTTCTTCTTCTTTTTAGCAGATCCATCCACAGCCGTCGTGTTCTGTGAACCCATTCGTTTTTTGCGTTACCGTTTTCATCTCACCTGTTTCTCATCTCTCTGATTTCTCTCTCCAGCCTTCTTTGATGCCTCGAGGGCTGCAAACGGTCTCTCTCCAAACTTATAATCTATTGGCGCACGAGTACGAAACTCTTCCTGATTCGAAGGTTGAAGGAAAAGGCGACTAATGTCCGGAAGAGCATTCGGTTGGATGAGCACATTTGGCTGATCTGGAGGGTTACGTATGTATGGTATATGCATTCTCTCCATCCGACGTGGCACCTCCTCATTCTCCTCATTCGGTTCTCTCCCTCCCGTAAAGTTCAGTACTAGAGACAATATCGGCATGATACCCACGTCGCTGAGAACAAGTCTGAAAGTGGGAAGGGCTGAACATGTGAGGAGGATATTAGCGGAATTGGCAACAACAGATTCAATCTTCTCTGTCCCACCGATGTTTTGACGGAAACGAGAAAATAATTCGAGAAATGAGAGTGCTAAAGGAAGAGCAGTCTCGCGTGGATGAGAACAACAGCGGGCCAAATCGAAAAATGGGTTGCCCTCGCTTGAGGGCTCTGCCGTATTGATGAGGGCCGGCACGACAAATGGAAATGACTAAAGCAGAGAACGGCTGATGTGAGTGGCAGAACCGAATGGAAGAGGAAGGCGTTGTGTAGCGATAACAGCAAAAATGATCAATTCTCCTAGGTGATGGGGTGGGAAAAGAGAGAGAAAGTGAGAGAAAGGCATCCGTTCACACGGAATTTCAATGAAATGGAGAAGAAGAATGGGCCGGACAGCCAAAAACAGAAAAAAGAGAATCGATAGTACGCAACAGTCTGATACTTAATCTAAGTTCTCAACAGAAGAGCATGCATATGTAGGCCTTGACTCAAATACGCTTTTCATTAAATTAACTGCGAAATGACAAATACACTTCAATTCGGAGATTGCGAGTGCTCACTGGAAATTATCGCGAAATCGAATTTGTGAGCCAATCAGAAAAGTGGATGATAACGTGGTGGCAGCTCGGTGGAATTCTGAAAACGACTTTCTGTCACAGTTTTTCAATTGCTTTCTTGGCATCATTAAGACAAGTCACCAAATTTAGTCTCACGAAACATGAGCCAAACAGTACTTTTCATAAGTAACAAATATTGTATTTTCTCTTGCCCAACATCAGTAATGTAATTAATTTATTAGATTTTGCATTTGCTCGCACAGGAAATACGATTGTTTTGTTCGAATCGCACCGGACACTTGTTTTTGAATAACAGTATCAGAAGTGTTTGGAGTTTTCAAGTATAATTCTATGGATTCTTCTCCCATCTTCTCTTTTCAGTTTCGAATGTTCCCTCCGTCCCCTCTCCGGCCTCTGCACTTTGCATATGCAAGAATTAGTCCCAAGTATAATTCGTGGTGAGCCGCGCAGGCGCGTTGTGAATGAATTGGTCGTTAGTTTGCGCCGTCTCACCCCTGCGCGTGCACTCCGGAGTGCAAATTCTCCCCTTCGTCCCCCCTTCATCTCAATGTTTCGACTTTTCGATCAGAGTTCACGGAAACACAACGGAGAATCGGGCGAGCGCTGTTTTCTAAACCAATTTTCCAATGAGAAAATAAAAACTGAACTGTTGTTGTACACTAATCGTCGCCTCCGCCAAACAGTCCAGTTAGTTCATCGTCAAATCTGTCATCATCAATCTCTTTCTTTTTTTCTCGTTACAGAATATTTGATAGTATGTGTCTCTCAGTCACCGCTGCTTTCCAACCTGTCTCTTCCCCCGACAATGCGTTTTTGGCGCCCAATGACTGATCGAAGAAAGAAATAGACCGAGGCCCTTCTGGGATCATTTTCCTACGCAATACACTCGAAAGGTACATTGTCTCAGGTTACACAATGGCAAATATGTTTCAATAGTGCAGCCACCACGTGTTTTGAGAAAAAAAAAACTATTATTGCATTACAACAACACGCCAATATTGTCAACATTTTCATCTTAAAAAAGAGAGAGAGAGAGAGAGAGAGAGAGAGAGAGAGAAATACAATCCAGTAGTCATCAAAAATCGCTCAACGTCTCGAATTACACTTCCCATGCTCCTGTGTGACTTTTTATGTGGTTTTGATTTAAATTGAACCAATGAAACTTCCCTCACTTGAGTTCGTAGTTTTTGTACCACCCAATCAGAATAGTTCAATCGGATCACTTATCATTCAGGTAATAAGAAGTGACATCCACAACTCGCATTACAGTGTTCTTGCCATTTTTCGATTTCGTTTTACCACTATCTTTCATCCCAATGATATCATTTGGAACCGGTTCATGTTCGACCGCTACAATCGTCACAAAAAGTTCACTTCTAAATCTTGTGGGTGTACTTGACGTGTAAGATGAGGCTGTCTAGAGGAAGAACATTCGAATGAATATCAGAGATCATCATGCGCTTTTTCTTCCTATCGATGGCAACCAACACAGCACAGTGTATTATTTAATTGAAACGAGGCTGCAAACATTAGAACAAAGGAGAATTAGTTTGATGTGGTGGAATGAACTTGCGTCTCGAAGTGATTGCAGACCAGAAATCAGGCAAAAAGTGCAATGAATAGGGTGGTGTGTAATGTATTATCTCATCCTGCCTCTCTCCTCTTCTCTGCCTCTTTTTCTTCTTCTTTTTGTTCTAGTTAGATTCCATCGAATTGTCTGCAAATATCAAAGTCGTATCACTGATTTTTTTCGTTTTCAAAAATCGTTCGCCCCAAAGATTCGTTATCTTCTTCGCCGAACTTGATCGGGCAGAGACGAACGACTGCACTCTTTCTTTCTCTATGTCATCATCAACAAATAGAGAGAAAAGAAAGGATCGCAAGCGAAAGAGACGTGTAGCGCTTGAATATTTGCCAAATCGATGTACGCACACTGTCTGCGATCCCGCGGCACAACAAGGACAAAAGAGAAGGGGAAACTTGGAGAGGTTGCCGGTCCGAAACATTCCCGCCGTCGTTACGCTCTCTCTACTCTGCATTTCGGCTGGTTGGGAGGTTGAAGAGATGATTTCGCAATGTCTTTCCTCCTCCCGCAGCATTGCCCCCCCCCACGTCATATTTGTCGTCTGTTTCTATTGATTTTTGTTCCATTCATCATGAGTTTCACGATAAGGAGTACCAAACGGTACTGAGCGTTACTCTTATCGCCCACAACACGAGCACTCTTCGACGATCTACCTTTGATAGGCGACGAGAAACCTAGACTGCAGTCTTATATATTTGTTATTTCTTTTCATCATATCTTCTTTTCTAACAGAACTTTGTGCCAAGTGATTATCGTCCAAACATATCATGCACTGAACAAGAACATGAGTGTGTTTCCCGGCGAGAGACCGCCGGGCAACAAAAAACTCTTTTTGAGATTTTTTTTATCCCTAGATCATGTCAGAACATTAATCTTGTCAGATATAGACTGACCCGTGTTGCTTTTGATTTTCCTAATCCTCCGAGTAGTGTTGTAGTATGATGACACCTTCAAAAATTAGGATTATTAGTCATCGACGCCCTCGGAAAACCTTCGATATCCATCCCTGAGAGAGCGAATGCACAATGCGGCGTCTCGTTCACCATGGAGAGAGCTCCAAGCCACGCAGAAAGAGCAGTCCACAGCTTTGCCATATTCGTACATTCGCGTCGTCATGACACTGCCTTTGAGACAGGTGTTTCGGAGTTTTTAACCATCTGAACTGGAGACTACTGGTAGAAGTAATGCTCTGCCTCATGAAAACCCTAATTTGTTATGTTGCAACCCTTTACAATCCCACCGAATAAACTTTCATTCCGAGAGATCATTGCTTTAGTTTCCGGGAAAATATTTTAAAACTATATATACAATGTTAATCTCAAAGTTGTTTTGCTTTACGAATTTGTATCAGTTATATCCGGAGAGTTATAGCGGTGAAAACCTTGCAATTTCCTAGCAAGTGATTTGTTTTGGTCATTCAAAAATTCGTCAACAGTCACTCCGCCGTAATCGAATTTGTTCACGTTTCTTTTTACCGGTTGGCATGTGATCTCAAGTCATTTGTTCGTTTTGTCGTCTGAAAAAAACTACCTCACGTCTGTTGACTCTTGAAAGTATATGATGTCAAATAGTTGGAGAATAGTGTTGCCCGATCGATTTTATCGTTTGATTAGTAATTTTTAATGATAAGAATTTCACGCATAGTGACGCTTATGGCATTGTCGGAACATTGTGAGTTGACGTTAGTTTGTTTCTCTCGGTGACTCACACCACAACCTTATACTTCTATTGTGGCTGTTCTTTTTTTTCAAACAACACAAAATCATATGCTTTTACAGCTTCTCCAAATGAATTTTTCGTTTTCTTCTGTTCGAAATACGCAATCTCCGCACCCTTGCCAACATTAGTCGACTTCTTCCACTCACTCTCTATATCTCTCTTTCTTTTTTTCTTCAAAACAGCCAAAATGTTAATAAACACTTTGGCGTTTGCCCTTCAACTTTATTAGCTTCAACTTCCAATATCCATGACAACCCGTTAAAATCAACTTTTTCTTGCAGAGATCTTGCTGAGCAATGTCTTGTCTGGTGTGCGAGACCGATGCACACGGTCAGCACTTTGGGATCAAGTGCTGCCGAGCCTGCGCGGCGTTCTTCCGGAGGACTCTCACCATGAACTTGCGGTACAAGTGCAGATTCGATCGGAAGTGCGAAGTATCGTTCAGTACGTTTTTTATTGACATGGGTCTATTTCGCAATCTTCTGGGGGTTTCTCGCAAAGTTTCGGAGACCGTAGTTCACAAAGATGAAACGGAAATAATGATAAGGGGCCATTCCTTGACTTTTCAGATAAACGCTACTCATGCCGGTGCTGCAGATATGAAAAGTGTGTTCGAGTCGGGATGCGAAAAGACAGTAAGTACTTGTCTTTCTGACCTTAACACTCTCCACAATGTTTGAGCACTTACAATTTTTTTAGACCAAAAATAGAATGTGTTAGTGCTCAAACATTGCACCCGCTGACCTACCGCATGCTTCTCTATTCGTTCAATCCCCTCCCAATTGCAGATCTCACATCTCCTGTTTCAGTGGTGCAGAATAAGTCTGAAGCAGAGAAGGATTCATCTGGAGCGGAGTCGGATAGCATCGATCATTCCCCACATTCCTCACTCGAATCCTACAACTATCAACCAGTCAGTTTCGAAAAACAACAATCTAACGGAATTCTTCACAATAATGGAACATTTGTCCCGGAAGTTCCGTCGGAAGCCTATCAGCCGAACAGCGACTTGCATCAACACAACTTTTCCTTTCATAGAACCGTCATCGAAGAGGTTTGTAACTTTTTCCATATTTGCCAAAAACTCAAAGGACAGTAAATACGGAAATGCGTCGAGCAAACTTCGAGTGACTCACTCGTCTGTCTTGTTTTTTGAGATCATCAATATAACGTGTTTGCAAGTTCTGACAGCTCAAAAACTAAGAACTCGATTTTTTATTTTCTAGTCGACAAGTAATTAGTGGGCTGTAAATAAAATTTGGAACTAAATATGCAGTCAGATGGAAAACTTCAGGAACGTCATTACTGAACCGAGCATTGTACTATCAGGAATTTAGTCGAACCAATTATCATACTCTTCCACAAGCAGAACTCACATTTTTTGTCCGTTTGTTGGAGTGTGACTTCTGCCGCAAGCAAAAACTATGCCTGTGGAGGTTTACGAGTTGACCACGCTCTTCACTTTAGTAACACGCCATACTTTTTAAAATCGACTAGAAAACTCGTATTTTTGAATGATGAACCGCACTTTTTGACTTCTTACGACCCGCTTAATGTTTTTCAGGTCGGGCGAGCTGTCATGCCGAATGGTAACCAACACCCTCCCCCGCAACAACACGTTCAACCGCTTTTCGACTACAACTACACAGATTTGTTGAGTTCTGACGAGCACAACACCGCTGCAATCCCCTCGTCATCGACCCACTATAATCCCATGCCACAGGAATATAATGGAAATGGGAATCAGAATCAGATGTTTGCCATGGCAGCTCAGCAAGCCACCCAAGATCTTCATGTCAACGTTCAAAACGTGTTGACTCCTTCTATCGACGCGATGTTCAGTCAAGTGAGTTTCAGTTCGATACAAAATCAATTTATTATGACCTTTTCAGCCAGCGGACACATTCTGCCAACTTCCGGATATTCCGCTGACGTTATGCCAGCAAGCACTTCTCGCTTATCGGGAGCATAACAAGCAGTGGCCGGATCAGGACAAAGTAAGCCACCTTTTTGAAGCTGTGAATACATCTAAGTGATTCCAGATGATTGAGAACGTACCACTTGATATGGAAAACTTCATGCGCAACCATTACATTGAAATTGAGCACATCGCTAGATTCTGTATGTCTATTCGGGTGTTTGCTCAGTTGCCAAAGGATCAGAAGTGGATCATCTTTAAGCACTTCTGGACAAGATTTTACGAATTGGACCGGTGCTTTGCCACGTGTAAGAGACTTGGATACAATTTGAACGACGAACGGGGGCTCACACTAAACGGACAGATTATCAACTTTGGAATCTCGGTCGTAAAATTAGAGAATATCAGTGATATGGACGCCACCCAAGTGAAAAAGTGGGTTAAACGCGGCGTGATTTGCAATAATCAATTGGATGGTTTGCAGTTTCCTCAAGGGCAGCATGGACAAGTTCCGTTTGATCTTCATCAACCCGTTCAAGAAGCTTCAGCCTACTGAATATGAGCTCATGTACATGATGATGAGTATAATGTGGAGTGTGTCAAGTTAGAAAATGAATGAAAGAACTGGAAACAAACGTTTGTTTCAGACTTGCCCGGAATAACCGATGCTACTAGGGATATCTCCGAGAAAGTAGAACTGAGACTAGCTGAAGATCTTCACACATACTACGCGGAACAGTATAACGACAACAATCCTAATTACGCTGGAAGAATAACAAGACTGAGCAGTATTGCCTCGGCTGTTGATGTAACAAACTCAAAGTTTTGGAATAATTCGAATTTGGAATGTTTTCAGGAGATCACAGAAAGGAAGCGAGAGGACAGTCAAGTGTCAAAGACATTCAACATCTTCAAGAACGATTTCTTCTTCAGCGACCTTACCGATTTCCCCGTCTGATTCGTTTTTCTCTCATTATTAGGTAGACTTGTACTTTCATTCTGATGCCTTCAATTCATTTATCACCATTCAGTCATTCATCATATGTGTATCCTAGTGCCTTCGCTCTCTTCTGTAAAAAATACAACCGACAATTTATCACAAAATTAGCACACACTACGTACTCGAACACTATGTATTCCATTCATCAGTTCCACCACTTCCTATGTTCAATTTTCCTTTGTCCAAACCTTTAAATCCCCTTTTCCACCCAATCCACAACACAAAATGTATTATACTTATTTGACTTATTTGCAATCCGATGAGAATAAAAATCGTTATATCAAAATTAGTAGTCTCGCTCTCACACACCTCGCAATTAGCGGGCCCAGACGGATCGCATGACTTTTCCCCGTGAGGTAGAAATCATTTTCACAACGCGTCGGCTTTCAAAGTGTTTCCCTTAGAAAGATTTGCTGTGGGAAACAGTCCGCTATAAAAGCCGCGACTCTGGTGACTCCGACGACACTTTCTCTGTTCTCGATAAAGGAGAACGTACATCGTTTCTGTTTTGTTAGCACTTTTACGAACATCAATTTCCTCCTCCTCCGATGGAGGCAATGTAGCAGCCAATGATTTCCGAACAATTTGACCATATTTCCGCGGAACTGTTCTTTTCCGCCTCCCCCGCGTCGTAAAATGCGGGGGCGTCTGCGATTATTCGTTTTTAATTTTGGTTTGTTTCTGTTTCTGTCGCATTTCGTCCGGCCAGCTCCGGTGGGCGGTATATTTTTGTCTGTCAAAAGACAATAGGAGCAAGTGATGACTACACCAACAACAATGAGAAAACGTAAGTATAAAGGGCCGATCGGCCATCTCATTAGCTGCGCCGCCTATGAATACAACCAGACCGCGGAGCAGCGCTAGGAGCCGTTAGAGGAGTGACACATATTTCATATAGTAAGCAATTATTACGCAAGTGTTGTTCGGTGGATTGTAAATGAGATGAGCAACGAGGCGAAGAATGGGGTCCCTGGCCGGCCGCCCAGCCGCACGTTTCGTCGCCCAATCAAAGCTACCCACCGACTCCACCCATCTGCCACTTTGATTTCTAGAGCGATCCGATACGTTCCGCGAGTTGTTCTTATCAATCACTTTCAATTTTTCCGTAATCGTCGGTAGTTTGTTTGCCAATTCAATTTTAATCAGCGCGAGCCCTTCCATTTTTAGACACCAGATGCCTAGTACATTGCCCATTTTTTGGATCACCCTGACCCTGGACTCAAATAGCATTCATTTGGTCTTTGGGGGTGAATTATGGCTAGCATTCCATTTGCCCTAATCTTTCCATTTTCCCCATTTCTTCCGTCCCTTTTGTTGCCCTCTAGGCTTTTCCCGAAATTGGAGTTCGTGGTCATTCGTTTTTTTGCCCTTCCGTTTTTTTCGTAATGCAACACGACACATTCATTCATCTTCCTTTTCTCTGTCAGCCATGAGCGGCTTTCGTGTCGAGGACCTGCTTTCCGAACGGGAAAAAGAGTCCAACTCGAGCTCGAGCGAGACCCTCCAGACGTCGCCACGTCAGGAAAAGACGAATCGGAAAATGAGAAGGGCCAGAACTGCATTCTCATACGAGCAATTGGTGGCACTGGAGAGCAAATTTAAGGTGCGGGTCTTGTATAAAAAACATGGTTCCTGAAGACAGAATGGTTTCAGTCGTCGCGTTATCTCAGTGTTTGCGAGCGGTTGAACCTGGCCATACAGTTGCAACTTTCCGAGACACAGGTATTTAATAAATTTGCGAAAAGCCAAGCTTCAAATTCACTGAAGTTAAGGTCAAGATCTGGTTCCAAAACAGACGCACCAAGTGGAAGAAGCACAATCCGGGACAGGATGCGAACACCCCGCAGACTCCCCCATCGTCCGATGAGATCCCGGTCCAACCGATTCTGCCTGCCGTTTCGAATGTTCCGGCGTTCAACCCACTGGTAAATTCAAAACCTTCATTTCCAAACTGTTCTCTCCAACTTAACCTTTCCCAGATGTTGCCTCCAATCCTCCCTCCCGCCACGTCCACTGCGATGTCCGCCACAACTTCTCTTCCGTTATCCCTGTTTAGCTTGAACCACCTTCTCATGCAGCAAAACGTGGGATTCAATTGAAAATACTAAATGGACATGTTTGTACGGGTTGACAACTGTCTCTGCTGCTTTGCCCTCGAAATATTCCCAATCTTATGAGCTTAGTTTCCCGATTATTTCTCCTCCTTCCTTTCCTTTCCTATCATTAGCATTTAGCCTCCGGTTGTCTATTCCTGTTTCCGCATATCTTTCTCATTCATTTCGTACCACGCAAACTTTTATTGTCGCATGATCAAATCCAATCAAATAAAACTTTCCGGCAGACTATAAGCTTGGTCCATGAGCGTCATGGAATGATGATTGAAAGCAGGTTGTGACCCGATGGCAAGAGCCCGGAACCGCCTGCTGGGTAATCAATTCGACCGCATTTCGTCACTCGATCCTTCACCGCCGTTTTGTTTCAAAGAAGAATGCAATTAATGGGCAATTACACGAACGGCTCGAGGACCCACACATACACGCACGCAACCGAACATTGTAGTGCTCGCGGCTGGGTGATTGGTTTCGCATACTCATTTGGATTAAGTGTATAATGAGTTATTCTGAAGCATATGCCCAGATTCTAGTTGGGGAAAAAGCGAAACACATATGCATGAAATGCACTTATATGAACAATAGCAACTATATCAGAAGCTTAGTGAAACTGCTTGAAACCTTTTGAAGAATTTCTGGAAAACACATCCTGAGGGCATACGGTGGATGGTCTCCCAATGACGCCATCATCCGGTCGTTCTGATTCTCGGCTCACATCAAAGTGAAGAATTGGCACATCACCGATATATGAATATGATATCGCATAAAAACTTTGAATATCAACCGCCGGATGCTCACTCCTCCACTGCTCTCAACATTTGAATAAACGACTTTGGGAAGCTGGGTAATATGGTGGTGAAGGCCTAACAAATATCACAGCTGCATCGCACCTCTCTTCAATCGTCGTTGCGCCGAATTAAAAAAAAAGCTGGCCCCATTATGAAAAAAACGATGTGGTATTGTGTGACAAAGACTGATGAACATCAGTTTCCCGGAGAAATTTGTCTCCGGGGCTCTGATTCCTCCAATCAATTCGGCGTGATCCATCAAACACCAAAGACCCTGTCATGTCATCCTGTCATGTTTTCTTGTGGTAATGGCAAATTACATCCCACGGCACCACGGCGGCTGTTGTGGTACAATCAAACACTTGCCAATGGGCCACTTAAAATATGCCCGTGAGAGCAATCTGCGTGATTTGTGGCACTGGCAACTCCAAACACTCGGTTATCTCATAACCGAAACGCAAAAAATGTGTTCCGGCCGGGGCAAGGTGGTGACGTGTGGTGTTTTGAGTGTTTTTGTGGATGACAGGAGGGTGCGGAGGCTCGGCACCCGACCACAAAGTAAATGATGGGCGACAAATGAGCCTTCAACCAATTACATTGGAGAGACCTCGCATTTGTCATTGGATCTCTTTCTTATCAGCTCTCTCCGTTTGTACAAGTGGATGTGTTAGATGAATTACGGGAGCGAAACAAATGTACTGAGGGACTTTGATAAAGGATTCTTTGAAACAACAGCATCGGAATGAGATTAATAAAGAGAATAAGTATTAACTTTGCAATCCCTACAAAAAGTATAAGTATTTGTGATCCCTTGCAATCTTCCGATTTTCAGAAATCTCCGCTAATCCGTGCGCGTCAACACAGACTCGTCTCGAACGAGTGCTCATGATAATGCAAGTGCGCTCTTCCGGAAGAGACCGTTTCGACCACTGACCCGCGCGGGTGCCGCACCGCCACAAGTCCGGCTGGCAGGCAGACCTCTTCCATTCTCGGCTCGGAGACACCGTTTGTTTTCGTTCTTCCAGTGTTCGCCGTTATTGTCTGGAATTCAATTGTCTTGATTTCGATCGGTCTGCTCTTTTTGTCTACTTAAAGTGTCCGCCGTTCATTCTGTACACGCATTTGATGGTTCTCTGTTTCAGCACAATGGCAGACTCGAATGCTTTTGACAACTATTGTGTGCAACAGGAAGAAGAAAAAGTAGAAAATGTGCCGAAAGACAAGGTATTCGCCGACTTTGCAGAGGATAACAGATCATACTGATTTTCAGTTCAACCTAGTCTATTATCTCGTTATTCTTGTTGGTTTTGGAGTTCTTCTTCCGTGGAACATGTTCATCACAATTGCGCCGGAGGTTTGTTTTGATCGATAGAGAGTATAACGGATAGAGTTTTCCAGTTCTACGTGAATTACTGGTTCAAACCGTCTGGCAATGAAACGTGGTATGCGAAACAGTTCTTGGGATCGCTGACCATAGCCTCGCAGTTTCCGAACGTCTCCATCAATGTCTTCAACCTCTTCCTTATCATCGCGTGAGTTAATCCCGCTTGTTCCAATACAAATTCCCATTTCCTCAGCGGACCACTGATCTACCGTGTCTTCGCACCGGTCTGCTTCAACATCCTCAATCTGGCTATCATTCTCATCCTTGTCGTTGTCCTCGAACCGTCCGATTCGTTAATGTCCTCTTTCTTTTGGACAACTCTCGGATTGGCCGTTTCCATCAACTTCAGCAACGGTCTCTATGAGAACTCCGTGTACGGGGTGTTTGCCGATTTCCCGCACACCTACATCGGAGCGTTGCTCATCGGAAACAACATTTGTGGACTTCTCATTACCCTCGTCAAAATTGGTGTCTCACTCTGTGGGTTTTGCTTTCTATCTACTGTACTGAACTTCACTTTTCAGTGATCAACAGAAATCCGAAACTTGTGGCCATCGTGTACTTCAGCATTTCGTTGCTTATACTCGTTGTGTGCGCTATTGCGCTGATTTTCATCACTAAGCAGGTAATTTTCGTTTCTTTATTCCATTATCATAATATTACGTTTAGGATTTCTACCACTATCACCATGAGAAAGGAATTCAAATCCGCGAGAAAGCTAATACTGAAAAGCCGTCTGTGCCCATTCTCTGGAATACGTTCAAAAATGTGTCGTTTGCTGGTCAAGGAAAAGAAACAAATGTTCATTTTCAGTGTTACTGTCAACTGTTCAATGTTTGGTTCTGCTTCGCCGTGACTCTTACTATTTTCCCGGTCATGATGACTGTGATCACTCGTGGAAAGTACGGATTCTTGGATCGTATTTTGCCGGACAACAATGAACTCTACACCTTGATCACTAGTTTCCTGATCTTCAATTTGATGGCCACTGTTGGATCCGTAGTTGCTTCCCGGATTCACTGGGTAAGACAAGAGATAGCTTTCTCAGAAATGGATGTTCTTTACAGCCAACACCGCAGTATCTGAAATATGCGATCATCGCCCGTGTTTTCCTCATCCCAATATTCTTCTACTGCAACTATCGCGTTGAGGGTCGTTCTTTCCCCGTTTATTTCGACAGTCAGTTCTAGTATCAAAAGTAACCGGTTCTAAAAGTGTTTTTCCAGACACTGACGTCTTTGTGTTTGCCGGAATCGTCATGTCTTTCTCGCACGGTTACCTGAGCGCCCTGGCGATGGGCTACACTCCGAACGTGGTCCCGTCGCACTACTCGCGATTCGCCGCGCAGCTATCCGTCTGCACCCTCATGGTCGGCCTTCTCACCGGAGGACTTTGGGCCGTCCTTATTGAAAACGTGGTCGACATGTCAGTCAACTACTAACCAGAGTTATAGTATAATCATATTAATGCAAAAACTATCCCATTATATATTCACCTCATTTTAAATTTATTTCCGTCAAATGCAAAGAATAAAAAAGACATGTAAAAAAAAGTGCACTTTAGTATGGGAAAGAATGCTTGTGTCATACTATGCTATATGAAAATGTGATATGGTCACCATACTACACACCTGGACATAATTATTAGGTTGTTCGGAAAGTTCCAGTCATTTTTGGGTTCAGAAAAAATTATTGTGAAACAAGTCAAAGAGTTATCCGATTAATTAGACATATTGCCCATGTTTTTCGATGACTGTCTGCCAACGTGTCACCAACTTATGGATACCTTCCTTCCAGAACTCCTGCGGCTGGGAGTCGAAAAATGAAGCCAACTCGATTTTGATCTCTTGTCTTGAGTTGAACTTTTTTCCACTGAGATGGCGTTGGAGGTGACTGAAGAGATGGTAGTGAGAGGGGGCCAGGTCTGGGCTGTACGGTGGGTGAGGCAAGATTGTCCAGCCATATCCAGCGAGTTCAGCTTTGGTCTTTCTGGCGACATGGGGACGAGCGTTATCATGCTGAAAGTAAACTTTCGCATTTTTCTCCCAATGGAGATCCACATGGAGTCTGAGTTTTCTCAGCTGACCAGTGTAGACATCGGCCGTAATAGTGACGCCGTCATCAAGCAGCTCCCAATATTCAACTCCTCGGACAGACCACCATATTGATAACATCACCTTTTTTTCGTGTATTTCATGTTTTGGCCCGTCAGTTGGCTGAGCGTCTTCGTCAACCCACTCGGCACGTCGCTCACTGTTATCATACATAATCCATTTCTCGTCTCCCGTAATGACTTGATCCAACCATCCATGTGTGCGATGCAGGGTGAGAAGATTCAAGCAGGTATCCACACGTGTATCCAAGTTGTGTTGAGTCAAAACATGCGGAACATATCTTCCGAGTTTTTTGACTTTGCCAATTGCTTCGAGTCCATGACTAATTGATGATAGGCTCGCCCCAAGTGTCCTTGATAGTTCACGGACGGATTGAAAAGGATCCTTATCAATCTCGCTTTTCAATGCTTCCAAGTCTAAAGATATCGGTCTTCCTGAACGTGGATGATCATCCATCGAAAATTCTCCTTTTTCGAATCGATGAAACCAAGTGGTAATGGTAGTTCGAGTGGGTGCATCTTTGTTGTAAACCTCCGTCAAACGGCGATCAATGTCGGCAATTTTCAGGTCAGATAGAAATAGAAATAAGATTACATTTCGGAAATGTAAGTTGTTAGGGACGAAAACGTTCGGCATATCTCACTGTTAGGGAACAGGAGAATGATATCAGTTGCTGTGTTGACACTTCAATACCTTACCAACATACTGATAAAACGACAACTGACTCGCTTGCTTCCCGTTAGAAAAAACAATCCTCAAAAACATGCTATGAAAAATGATTGGAACTTTCCGAACAACTATGAAGCCACACTAATTTTGCGTTTTTCTCCAGAACCAAAACTGATTCCGACATGGGTCTTTCAGACAGTAATCCATGCCAGGAACCCCACAAAATGATAGAAAAAACAGTGCAGTTGAAAAATTCCGGGAAAAGCATTTCCGGTGTCGATGGTCCACAAGACGCTCTTCCACTTGGTCAAGATTCTTCAAGACATGAAAGCACGTGGATGGATACATGGGGACATTAAAGCTGAGAACCTCGTTCTGCACCGAGAGGTAATGAAAAACAAATCAAGCAATTACATAACAATTTGTAACTGTTTCAGACGCTCCAGCTGACCCTGATCGATTTCGGATTTGGTTTCCGTTTCCGGGACAAAAATGGGAATCGCGTTGCTTGGAGAAGTCCGATTGCCGATGCGATTCACTCGTCGTCCTTTGCCGATGTCTACAAGAAGATAACCCCTCTGGACGATCTCATGCAGGCGTTCTTTCTCGGACTGCAGCTCCGTTGTCTCGCCAAGTTGATCTACGATGAGGACTTTTTGAAGGCGCGCGCCAAGAAGCACAAGTTAGTTGCTCAGCCGAGAATGTACCTACCGGCATCCGAACAGCCGATCGTCTACATCTACGAGAAAATCTTGGTCCACAAGTTCGGACAGGAGCCTGACTTTGATGGAATCCGCACTGCGATCGAAGACGAGAGACGTCGTGCCGTCGGAAAGCGTCGCCCCGGATTCGCCTACGATGCTGTCGCCGACCAATTGAACTTTGACTGAATTATGTATTTGAATAAAGTCCAATATTGATTAATCAAAAAAACTTTAAAAGTAGTTGTCAAAATGAATATATTCATGCATCACTGATCCAGAAAATTATCATGATTATAAAATTTGCAGTCGTCAACAGCTCCAGAAAGACAGCGCAAATCGTCTCAAGTGGATCTCCAAGAATATACTCCAGTTTTTGGCTGAAAAATCTTCTTGCGCAGTACTTGGCATACGTACACACCTCAACTTGTGTTTCTTCAATTTCAGTCTTGACAACGCCCACTTTCTCAGCTCTCCAATAGCAACAGTAATTCCAACAGCAACGATCATGATAAAAAGATTGATTATTATGTAGATACCGAGCAGGAGATACTTCCAGTTTTTGGTATTTTATGTTTTAGCCGAGATACTGTCAAAAAGGTGCAAAAACGCAACCTTTTGTCAAAAAAATTGTATCTCCGTCAAATTTTGAGTAAAACACTTGGCAAAAAAACAAAAATGTAACTAATGGAATGTTTAATGGTCTAATGAACATTAGTAATTATTTTTAATATTACAACAAAGTGATTTTCCTTCTCTCCGACCCTTCCTGCCTCTTATGTTACTGTAGACCTGGACATCCATGTTGCATGCTGCTTTGTCATAACGTAAGAAATTCATAGAAGCTTCCATCAAATCTAAAAAGTAGTAGTTGACAACATTTTGATACATCTGCTGGATAAGAAGATACAGACTAAAAAACATACAGAACCAAATGAAATTATGGGCAAAGTAAACTCCTTCTAACTTTTTTCCATTGAAAGATTTTTTTTTTCACAGTGGGATTTTTTGCATGCATTTTTTATTTCGAAATTTGACAGAGATACGATTTTTTGAAAAAAGGCACCGGTTTTGCACTTTTCCATCATACTTCGGAAAAAAATGATAAAGGAATCCCATATTTCAGATACAAAAAAGGTAGTTTCATCGACGACTGGTTCCCTCTAACAGAAGAGCTCTCCTACGGTGTACTCGAACGTCTGTATAAAATGAGATTCGTCTAGGAGAAGCAGATACATGTTATTATGGACCATCTTTTATGTACCAACTTTTTGATCGCTTTTTCTCCCTATTTTCCTTCTCCCAATAGTTATATTTTCTCGCAAAAACTTTTCATTTCGTATAATCAGTTGAAAAGTGTGATAAAAGTTGTGGAAAAGAAATATTGCTTTGCTTACAACCCATTAAGGACTATGGCGATAGGAATAACGGAGAATAATCAATGGTTAGTGCAGGAAGAGGGATTTACACGTATCACTTCATGTCCAATGCAATCTACTTTCACAGAAACTAAAAACCGAATGCTAATTTTTCACCCATGTTGCAATAATTGCATGTACTGGAAAACTTCGCACAAAATACAAAAAATAAAACATTTGAGGTCGGATGTGGTTAAGCCCGGTTCAATGAGCCTTTTCGGCAGTGATTCCGAGAGCTTCTTTGAGACGGCCGATGCAGACTTTGCCGCTTTTCTTGCACTCCGGAGATATGAGAGTGAAGTTGAGAAAACCATGCGGGACGGACGAGAGAACATCCACCGACATCACTTTTCCACCGGCGTCACGGAGTTTTCCGGCGAAAGCAATAGTGTCATCGAGAAGCGGGTCCATGTGGCAAGCCTGAAATGTTTTGGTGAATCTTGTTCACTTCACACTGTTTCAGTACCATGAAGTAGCAAGGTGGCAACTCGCGGATGGTGTCGCTGTCAGCGTACATCGGAGAAATTAGCGGATCCCTGGGAACGGTGCCCGACGTGACCAGCTCGAGAAGGTGCGACGGCCGCTCGTCCTCCTCCATCACTTCCTCCAGTGCCTCTCCATCCTCTTTCCTCGACACTGTCCTGTCCAATTTCACTTTTTCCCTCTGCGGGCGATCGAACCAATCTTGCAGGTTATCGAGTGCGTAGGCGGCCGTCGAAGCGGCAGTGTCCGCCAAGCTTTGCGACAAAGATCTCTTGTGCTAAAGAAGACGATTTGAGGATGTTCTTTCATTTTTTTCTTACCACAGGTGGATTGAATCCATTCATAGAGCTACTGTGAGAGATCGGCTTCGGTTGTTGAGACGGCGTCGAAGGAGCAGTTTGTGAGTTGTCCCGATTCTCGCGAGATGTGACACTGCTGAGCATCTGCAGGAGGCGGGGACGTTTTGTGGTGTGAGCCTCTTGAATGCTCTCGGTGGACGGTGTTGAGACTTCGTCACCACTCTTCGAGTCCTCTGCGATCACTTCTTCAATGGCGAGGTGTTCACTGGAAGAAAAACCGGTTTTATTTTTTATCTAAAATTTCGGTACGTTGCTTCGAGTCCCAGCTCGATTCGTGCATCAGTCAATTCGATATCATCCTCGCTCACATCGGGAGTCAGACTCATCGCACTGAAATTCTTTCAGTTAGTTTACTGCTCAAAGAGCAGGGGCCATACTTTCGAGTAATTGGGTGATGACTGAGGAAGCTAATGAGATCGTCGTCATGCATTGTGTGATTCAATTGAATGTGGAATGGATCTGCGTCGACCTGAAAGAATCTGAATATAGGAAAGCCACCCACGGACAGCAAGAGCTCACCTGAACACTGGCGATGCTCGTGGTCTCCAGGGCGTCGTCTTCACTGTCACTGTCACTTTTTCCGGCTTCCTTATCGTCTGTGGATTCAGCGGCCGATTTGAGATCGGTAGCTGATTTCTTTTTGAAGTAAGAATTGCCTTCCGTCTTGGCAAATCCGTCATTGTCGTGACTCTTTTGCACCAAGGAGACGATTGATTGGGATCCTCCCTGCAAAATTTAAGACTGAAATTGTTTGTGAGAATTGCTCTCACCGAAAAGTCAACTTTTGTCTTTTGAACTTCATTCACGTATTCCTGGAGGGACCGATGAGATGCATACATGTCCCCGCCGCCGAGATGATTTCGGCTCTTCCGCAACTTGTTGTTGTTAATCTGAGCTCCATAAGCACCAGTATAAGCAGCCACGCATCGGAGAACAACTCCCATGTGGAGGAGAGGATCCATGACACTGAGCATGCGTGACGGTGAGGGCAGGTACTGAAATTATTGAATGAATGTTTAGGTACGTGCCGTATGCATCACCTGAAACAGAAACGGAGTGTAGCAGAGGATGAGTCCGTCCGGTTGTCTCTTGATGTTCAGCTGGATGAGACGCAAGTTCACCGACATAATCAAGTTGCCTCCCGCCGAGTCGCCAACCATCACAATTTTCTCACCAGTCCAGCCTAAACATAATTTGTTTATGAAAAACATGTGCACACAAAAGTAGAGAACGAACCAAATGCCGCCGGATTGTTGATGATCCATGAGTAGGCAAAAAGCACTTCTTCCGTCGGTCTCGGAAACGGATTTTCAGGAGCCAACGAGTACTCGACAGAAACAACTGGACAATTCAACGCCTTTGCCCATTGACGGAGATATGTCTAAACCGAACACTCTTCGTATTTTGATTAGAAATTGACTGAACAGACTTCATGAGATTTGCTGGAAGTAGCCACGTAACCACCTCCATGGCAGTGAAGAATGAGATGCTTGGATGGCGGATGAGTAGTGGAGAGGGCGGACGAAGACAGCCCCTGTCTGTGAACTGTAGAGAGGATTCTGTATTGCACGGGTCTCGGTCCGGTGTGTGCTGTCGGCTCCGGCACCATCACAAACTCGCCGCATTTGCCTTCCATCGGAATTGGTCCTTCCAGCGGTACCTCTCTTAGCTCGTTCAGTGCCATATTAGGGCAGAAGAACTTGGGCATGTTCTGCAAGAAATCAGATGTGTTTCCAGGGCATTCATACAAAATTCAACTCACATTGCTCAGTTCCGAAAGATTCCAGAATCCTTTGCAGAAATCGATATCCGCTTCTTTTGTCACTTTAATTATGCGTTCGGCGCGTTGCTCTGGGCTCAGAAAGAATCTGCCCGTGTTGATGAGAGATCCGATTGCTCCGTGTCCCTTTTCCCATGAAAGACTGTACGTGGCCAGCACAACTCCGATAATACGGAAGATTTTGTTGATGGATGGCGAGAACTGGAACCCGATGGGACGGCCGAAGAAGACGGAAGAGTCGAGTTTTTCCATGATGCGAAGTATCTCCTGATACGTATCGTATTCGCCCTCCAATGGTGGGAACAAAGAGCCTCGCATACTTTTCTCGCTTTCGAGGCACTGAAATACAAGATCTACGTTCTAATTCCCACATTTGCTGTTACCAATGGAATCGACTTGTTCAAATAGTCAATTACTGTCGCATAGGCTTCCAATTCTTTGCAGAAATGAGAGATTCTGAAGACAAAGTATCCGCGTTGCTCCAAAACCGCTTTTTGCAACGCGACGACGTGCATGAGAGTGGTGTCACAGATACAAATGAGACTTCTGCAAAGCAAACATTATGCGATTTTGAATCGGTAGCTATGATGGTTTCAAACATCAATGATTATTCTTATTATACTAAAGATTATGCATTTATTTTTTTCCTTTGCTTTTTCCCCTTGCGTTTTCATTAGTCTAATGGCAAAAAGAAGAGAACAATGCATTATTCATTCTCAATATCCTTGACTACGGGTAATCCGCGCTGCTTTTTATGCGCTTTTTGAAATTCAAACATACGTCACAAAAACGAGAAGTGTATTCTAGTCAGTCAGAAAAAAAACACGACAGACATCAGAAACCTCATCATGCTTCATCGCATCAAAAAAAGGTAACACGGGGCGGAAGTATAAAATGACAAATAGGCAGTGAATCTTGAGGAGTGAACACGGAAATGCATAAAGTAGCACGTCTAGTAACCATTTAGCAATGCATTGCGCTATTCTGCAAAACTTCTCGACATCTAAGTAAGTCTTCCAACCCGTTACGTTAGAACTATGTATACAAATCTTTGCAAGAAACTGATGTTTCGCCTTCTCTGCCAACTATTTGGTTTCTGATTAGTCCACATGTCCGCGCCAATTTGATCAATTAAGCGGAAGGAAGACATGCTTGCGTCAGCAAAAACGACTTTGATGTGAACTAGAATATGCCCGCACCTGTATCCGTTTCCTGGTGTTTTCTCATCGTAGTCATATTTTGGAGCGACTTCTTGAAGCCTCTCGATGTTGCCTGGAAACCGGCGTCTTGGAATATGAGAAAAAGGATGGTGACAAAACCTTTCAGTGTTTCGATGGCCGACTGAAGAACGGTCTGAACAGCCGGCATGCGTTCGTTGTAGCCGTTGCCGCCTGATTGAGCGAGTTTTTTGAAATGCGTCGCATTGTCGGAACATAGCTGTAAAAGAAACGAGTTATTGCATTTGCATAGACTATACTCTCGCCCATGCATTCGATCTGATAGTATTTCGTTTTATGTTTGACCACGACTTTAAACTACACGCCAGGCTACAGACCCCCTCATCTCAAGGCTGAGCAGGAGTCTCCTGTCGTTGAGCAAACAAAAGTAAACATGATTTACTACAAAATACATGCAAAAAAGTGTTTTTTCTCACCTGCACAATGAGCTCGAGTATAGCACACCGATCGACAGAGAGTCTTCCGTTGAGCCGCTGACGCCGATGTTTGGAACCTCCAGAATCTGTCATTTTACGAGCGACCCAAGTGGCTCTAAAGTTACCTTTTAATTTATTGATAATAACGATTCTATCGATGACGTTTTTGCACACAGTACGGAATTTACGCTTAGGCATTAAATAATATAGTTGGATGGTCGATTAGTAAGGAGTTGGAGGGGGCAGGACACGAGTAGTCTTTGAGGTGAGAATGAGAAGCGAGCGCTTGATTTGGGGGGCGGGCTCTTCGAGCTGCTGGCCTGCCGAGTCGCGCCGTGCCGCGAGAGGAAGAGACGTGTTCTGGTAGGGCACACTCGGATGGAATAGCGCCTCACTGACAGCAGTTTGTGTTGGTCATACTGTTTGTGTTCAGTGATACCGACCACTGTTTCGTGAATGCTATTAGATATGTACATATGTATTTGAGAGAGTACAGACAACCAGACACCTCTCTCTTGCTCACTTTCATGGATATTGGTATGAATTTGGAAGGGCGATCTTTCTCTGGAAGCAAATTGCAAAGGTCGCCAGGCGTATGTGTTATAGTTTTGGACGTGATCAGGTTTCGTCACGCACTGACCAACAAAAATGACAACAGAACTAGTCTTTCATTCACTCCCTCGCAGAAAAGTGCCTCTCCTCTGTTTATTCATGATTTTGAACAATCGAACCAAGACCGAAACCATTAGTCATGCAAACCCACGCTTGAAACTGATTTAGTGGGGGTAGTGGGGGCGAGAAGAGGAGAAAAACGCGCAAGAATTCATGTGAGAGATTACCACTCGGACGCACTCCTTGTGTGAAATATTGCTTTAAAAAGGCTCTCACTCTCTCTGGCGCAAGGGCTAAATGTGAAATACATATGAAAAACGAACAGCTGGCAGCGCGCAAATACAAAATGTGCTCGGCGTGCACGCAGAGTGAAACAAACTGGCCGATCGAATCATTCAATACTTGCTCGCTGAGGCTGAAAACAATATAGAACTAGAAAACTCGCGGTTATCAACTGATTGCATGATGATGCATGGACAAAACCACTGATACCAGCGACGATCTATTTTGGACCCAAAGTCAAATTCCGAATGACTGTCGACGTATTGCGGGTACATTAGATGATCATCGCGCGACTGCATTGAACAGCGATTTTGAATGAGTATCACGTCGTCTCTCTCCTTCCTACGACATCCCTATTCACTATCTTGATTCTGTTTTAGTTTACAGCCGAAAGAACGTCGTGAGGTTCGAATTCTGAGGTCTGTTAAAGAACAGAAGACGTAAAGACCGATTGTAAGAAAATCGATAATCCAAGCCGAAGAATCGAGAACAAGTGTAGAGAAGAAGCGACTAAAACACCGAACACACGTATTCAAATGCGTTGAACTGTCGGAAAAACGATGAAACAGGCCACGGAGAGAGCGCCTGCGCGTCTACCGGATTTCGGCGACTCCGCAAACACTGTGACGACATTTTGCACACTCTCTAGGAGGAGACGCCTGTTTCCCGCTGTGCCGAATGCGTTTTCGGGTCAATCGTCGTGTCTATTTCTCGTGCCTCGCAAGGTTTATTAGTTGTTCAGGTTAAGAGCCAACGTTCTCCTTCTTCGCCATGACGTGAACGACGAGATATATTCCCACGGCAACGAAGCTAATGGCAGCCATGAGAAGCCAAACGAAACCCTGCAAAACGAGTGACTGATGAGCAATGAGCGTCTGAGAATCCATTCACCTGATACCAATCTACGGTCGCTATGTATATGTTTTGAAGGACCAAACTCTGCGCAATTCCGGCGAACTTTTGAGCAACAGAGCTAATCGCATACGCCTTTCCGATCTGGAAATAGATCGGTGGTCTTAACTGATTCGGGACCCATTTCCCCGCACCTCATCCGGTTCCACGATGCAAGCCATGAATGTGTATGACATTGGATTGAGGAGCCCGTGCAAACTTCCTGGGGCTAAACTGGCAAATATCATCCACGACGCCTAGAAACAGATTCATTTCTATGCGTTTCCGTCAGCAAATTCGGCTGTGATGTTTCTACTACGCGATAATCCAATCACGGATTAGGCGTGTGATATCAAATGGACCAAAGACTGGTCACGTTACCTGAGCCAATCCAATCATGAGTACGCAGCCGGCCATGCTTAGAATGGCGAGACAAATGATGAAAGTGTCCCGGAAATGACAGATTCGCTTAAAAAATAGCATTCCCACGGCCATCCCGACAATTTCTGGAAACATTTAGAGGGTATATTCTAGAAGTTCGCATGGCAACTAACGAACGATCGGCCTCCATGATTTGTAATCGGCGTATGTCGGGGTGTCCCACTTGAACGGCGGAAGTCTGACGTATGTGCCCAGCAGTCCTGAAATAGTTCTTCTATGTTTCCAAGACATTTTTTCTAATTTCGTCAACCGAATGACGTCTGTAGTCCGCGTGGGCCTGTGCTAATTTTCGAAGCGGTTGGAGCATGCGTTTGAAGCAAACAACGTCGAAATTAACTTCGTTTGGAGACGTACTGGCGAATGTCACCGACCAATAAGAGTTTCGAATCGAGATCAAAATAGAATGCCTACGCGAGTTTGCGAACAACGTCTTCTTTCTAGGGGTTCAGGTTGTGAGGGTTCAACTTTGAGATCACACAAAACGTGATTGGCGTGACGCATCAGTTCGGAATTTTATCCTCGCTACATTCGCATCCCACAAATTCCATTGCTAATCCCTTTCATTTGTACCTTTCTCTTCTCCCCATACAAATTGGTCGAGGAAATTGGCAGTGAAGCAAAGATATAGGAACAATCGACGATGTCCTTCGCGGGGGAGCAGGAAGATTTTAGCCGCGTCGTACAGAGAAACGAATGAGATTTTAATGATTTCCATGACAGATCTGAAAAATGAAAGTAATTCTTGATATTTGAGAGATAAAAAACACTTACTCTTTCTTTACTTCTACAGGAACCGCTGCAAGGCTCTGATTCTCAACGTTTTCCACATTTTCCAGCGTTTCGTCTTCTTTCAGCAGCCCGTGCTTTGGCTTTGGCACTTTTTGCTCCAAAACAAACATCGACACTAGGAAAGTGAGCAAATAGCACCCTGAAATAATAAAATGTTATCGTGGAATCAAACAATTGAACGAAACCTTCTGCAATCATCATGACCGTCGGTTTGGAGGTCCATTCAACCAAATCCTTTACAAAACGAGACGCCACAAACGACCCCAAACTGAAAACAATCGACACAACAACCATTCGATAGGAGAGCTGAAATCCTTGAATTGATCGCAAAGATAAAACTCATGAAAATACTGTGATTTTGTCGGGAAATTCGTCTGCAATGTATGCGTTAATACAACTCATCGTGAGCAGGAAGTCTCCGAGAAGTCCAGTCACTGCAGCCGTCGGATATGTCCATGCCAATGACCAATCGGTTGACGCATCCCATATCAGAAGGTTCACTGAAAATAGTTCCGTGTGGCAAGTGGTTTTTTGGTCTCCTCACTAGCATTTGACACTAAAACACTCAGAATTCCAATGAGCATTGGATATTTCCTTCCTCGATGATCACTATATCCACCTGCAAAACAAGATGGAAAAAAGTCAGCGCAAGGGTGATTCCCACCATAAATAATTCCAAAAACGCAGGCGATTGGTAGATTGATGTATTCGTAATAATTGTCCCACATCACCATCTTTTTGTTATAATATTTATCCAAGTCCTTTCCGTGGATGTCTGGAGGTGCCGGATATACTCTTTTCATTTTACCTTCTTTCAATGCCGGGGACACAATTCCACTGAAATAGACTACTGTCCTACTTTTTTGTCACCAATCCTTGAACAGTTGTTTTTGCTTCTTTGATCAAAACAAATACTTACACGGCCGTGTTGCATGCCGCCAGAACGAACATCAACGGCTCCACGGTGATCTGCCAACTCTTGATTCGATCGCGCACATCCGCCCAAAAACCCATGTTTGCGTCCTGAAAAATGATCAGTTGGTCGAAAAAGAAGCGTGCATAGATGGAAAATTGATAATGATATGCGTATCAGCGCAGAAAATCAATCAAAGTTTGGGTGTATGAACTCTTCCGAAAAACGTTATTTTGGACAGTGCTATAAAATTTCAGATTCGGTGTATTTAATGTAAAAAAAGATTTGGCAGATGTAGAAAATCAAAAATAGGCCAATTTCATCGATTTTTGCCACTCACTCTCTCTTGTCGCACAGTTGCATAACTACCGCGAACGAACAAATGCAACGGTCCACTACTACCCTTTTTTGACGGGAGAGGTCTTGTAAACTGGTTCTTTTTTCTCCGTTGTTTTTCAGAATGCAGCCTTGAACAGCGTTTATTAGCAGATTGAAAACAGAAAAAAGGAAGTAAAGTGTCGGGAAAGTGAGAAAACAGAGTTTATTTTTTGAAAAAAAAGCTCATGGAAAAATAATGGAGAGTTGAATGGTTTAATGCCAAAGACAAAGAAAAAGTGTTTGTGGTTGGTCGAATCGGTTGAGAAACCGTTGAAGAACAGCCACGTTTCCAAAGAAAAATTATGGGAATAATACAGATTACCGAAAAAAAACGCTTATCTTTAAGGGTGTTATCGAAGATTACTAGAGCAGACCACTTCAAAATGTGCTGTTTCTTGGTTTGTTAGGAATAAAAAATGAGAAAATGAGTTCAAAGTTCAGAAGCACAAAGGATGAGAGGAATGTAAGGAGATATTTGACTATCAACGTCCTCCCATTCATCGTCCCATATGGTATTCACGGTCCTCGATCTCCAGTTCGGCAGTCGCCGCATTCTCTCCTTTTTGCTTGTGCGATCCAAGGGCGAAGGCGAGGAAAGCGATGAAGCTGGTCGCAATCGCTCCTTGGGCAAGACGCGTCGAGAATCCCATTTTCTTTCCAGCTTCGTAATCGAACTCTCCGTTCTGCAATCCAATCGTTTTTCTTGTTTATTATCGAGCTTTCAGCTACCTTTGCAACAGCTGTGTTCCATTCATCAATGCTTCTCGAAAGAACCTCGATCGTGGCAAAGATGCACATCACTGAAATGTGGAACCATGAAATATTGTTGTTTTCCTTCACTAATCAACATTTGACAAGTATGTATTCCCATGAGAATTCTCCGTCGGAGTTTTTTCTCCGTCTTTCTTCTTTTGAGTAATGTGTTTGAGATTACGGAAGTGTAACATAGTTAAAGTCCGAATGAACGTTACTCGTATTCCCGAAAGATTGTGCTTTGTGCGTAAGGTATACGTGCGAGCAAAAGTCACGGACAACTGCTCATTAAACTCAACTTAAGTTCATTTCAGTTTACACCTCTTACACCCTGTCTATCGAGTTTCACGACACATTTTTATATGCGTGCGCCGTGAGAAAAAGACAAAAGTGTCTTTTAAACTTTAAAAAAAGAATCGAGCACATGACGGACAGCTCTGACAAGATGATGATGAACACTACAATTCATCAACTTTCGTAGGGGATCTACTCACCGACTAAAAGATAAAGGGCGGCAACGGCTCTCTTGTACATGTACCGGTGATGGTAGAACGTGTAAACAGCCAGGAAATTAGTGCAGAGGAGGATCACCGCTCCAAAACAACCCATGAACGCCTGCGAGCGGTAGTAATCTGAAAGACACGGATTGGTCCCCCCGGAAAGAAAAGTGCATGCATTTTCGCTTTACTACTTCGTCATTCAGCATTAATAAATAATAATTGACAGGGAGGACAAGGAATATAGACAGAGACACGTACGTTTGAGATGAGTGTCCGCGAGACGCAGAATGTTTTCGGGCGGTGCCGGGAAATGAGGAATCCATTCGACTGAAATTATAATAATAAGAATTCTATGCTGATGAGACGCCGTTTTATGACTGACCCGTGGTTTGCTTGAAATTGTTCACAGTGCGATACTCTCCCCAGACTCCAAGGTCGACATGAATCGGATGATAGTCAGTGTTAACGAAGTCAATTGTGGCCCAGCTCGTCGTCGACAAAGCGGCAATCAGCAGTAGGACTCCAATCTAAAAGACACTTTTAATCACATTAAGAATGCAAGTTTCTTCCTTGTCCCATCACATTCTTTAATTCAAACTGTATGTTGAATGCACGCATGACAAATGAGCATGCTAAACTAAACTACGAAGTAGAAGACGTAACAATTGTCGTTTTTGTTTGGAATAAGCGCAACTCACCCATGCAAGAAGTGTGGCAAACGCCATGATACGTCGCCGCCAAATGATCGAATGGTACGAGTGCATATTGAGCACTTGACTGCCACGCAGCTCGACCGTTTTGTCAATAAGCTCCATCCGCACCGCTTCACCTCAAAACAATCACATCTTTGTTTCTCTATTCCAGTTGTCTCTTCGGCATTACATCAGGAAAGAGTTAAAGTCTCGTCCCTCTCGTTTTTCAATCGTCTCTGATGACGGATGCTTAGTGTGTGGACCCGTCAAATGAGATGAGCGTAAAAAATCGAGAGGAAGGAAAAATCAAGAGGAGCGCCGTGAGCCCAGATATCGCTGAGTTTATGATGCAAATGTGAAAATAAACAAAGGGAATGGAGTCGGGATTGAAGGAAATATAATAGCCAACAATTTTCGCGACTCGATATTGTCAAATAGTCCTTCCTACTTTTACTTGGAACCACTATCGTTAACATGAAAGTTATGGCGGCTCGGTCTCTTGACACCAAAGCCGTTTCCAACTTCTCAGAAACTAATAACCCTCTCTAATTATTCTCAGAAAACGAGTTCCGGAAACCGATTGGATCAGGGGAAACAGGTGCTATTTGAGAGAAAATGAGTATAACACTAGCTCACAGAAAGATCAACACCTTTCATATTGAATGTGCCAACTCACAGAAACAATGATTTGATTAGATTTGCTCATGAAGACAGAGAAAAAAAGAAAAGCTTATCTTTGTTATGAAAACGAAAAAGATATTCCGTTTCTCTGGTCCCATGAGTGACAACGAAAAGCCGGACACAAAAGATTGGATTTTTGATGTTCGTCTTGTTTGAACAATCTCTTGTTCGCAAAATTCACACCACAAGTGGTCTATTTTTGTGGATAAGAAATGAGGAAACGGCAACATGTGGAGGGAAGACACATGTGCGGGCACTTTTTGTTCAAAAGCATATTTCTTGACCTTCGTATGCACAACTTTTATGAGGGCCGCTCTGTCAAAACTATGTGCTATTTCTTCATCCTTCTTTTTCTTCTGTTTCATGAAAAAGAAGATTACGAGCAAAAAAAAAAGGGGAAAACGACACTCTCACTAAGATTGGGACATTATTTCTGACGAAAAAGAGGAGGGCACTCGAAGTGTGCTTCTCCGTATAATCGGATGTTCATGAGAACGACACGACGAGCAAAATTAATAGTAAATGAGAAGAGCTTTGTGAGAATCGCTGCTCTTCCGTTAGAAACCGAATCTTGAGGGATCTCTGGGATACCACTCATCAGAAATCACCTAGATTTTGAAAACCGAAAAATATGTCGTCTACAAGACTGCTCAAATATTTTGGTTTTGCTAACACAACCCAACACACGTGACTCGACTTCAAAGTCAAACAAAAACCGGCATACAACAATTGTAAAGAAACATAACTGCGGGTGATAGATAAGTCAACGGATGTCAGCCGGTGGTAAGATATCGAGCAGCAGGGCAGTGTAAAATCTGGGCCGAGCGGTCGGGTACAAGCCGCGAATGAGGTCAAGCTTTTGTTTATTTTATCGGCCCAATGAGCTGAGACTAAATTGAGTATATGAGAACATCGTTCGAGTGGTATTTTCCCAATTGGATTTGAATGCAAAATATAGGGAACAGATGGATCTGACGAGTAGTAGGAGAAGGAGGAGGCCTGTCGCCTTCGGTGTTAAATACGAACCGCCAAAACAACCAACAACAATAAGAAACGAGAAAAGCAGGGTCATAAATTAGGATTAAAATTGGTTTGCTTCTAATCTTTCAGAATAAGAATCGAAATAGCTGCTAAAATCTGATGAGACTGCTGATGGAACTGCATTAAAAAGTGGCAATTTGAGATGGAAGGCAGCGACGCGAACACTGAGATTAGCTCGCGAGAGCAGACAGATAAACGTGTGACTCCTTGGGTGCTCTCCGCGCGGAGCCGACCAAGTGTTGTGCGAAAAGCACCCTGCCGCCCCAAGCCGGTTTGCGCACTAAGGACCTCTTCCTGCGTTATATTCACTCTCCCCACGTCTTAGTCCCCTCCTCCCACAGCTATTCCCTATCCTTATTCTTTTTGTTTTCAGCTTTCAGATTGAGGTCCCGCATTTATCTCGCCCGAAAAGAACAAAAGAAAAAGGCTGGGCAAACAGTAAACAAAAGGGCGGCAGTCGGTAAAAACGAACTGACTGGGAAAAAACTCCTATATTTAATTTTTGGATTGGTATCCAATTCCCATGTGGGAATAAGCTTCTTTGTTCTCCTTTTCAGCACCAAGGGGCGGAACTGAGGAAAAAAGAACAAAAAGCAATTCATTTTGTGGACCATCCGTCACTCGGAAGTTAAAATGGGTACGAAACAAAGACGAAAAGTACATGGACTACGTGGACTCAAACTTGCACTTGGCAGAAGCCTGTCGGAAAACAGATACTTGAGATGAGAAAGAGCGGGCGCGGGGGTAAAAAATTCAAGTGAAATATAAATATAAATACTGATTCATAATCGCAGCGAGGATCAAACTGAAACTCAAATAACAGAACGGAACAACTGAATGTGATCTTTTCGGATGGCTGCGTATCTTTATTTTGACATTTGGGAATATTATATTATGTTCTCTCATCCCTTTCAAACTTGTTCAGTGAAGCATACGATTCCGTCGGTCCCTCTAAGTTTTGCAAAAGATTCTGGTGAAGCGACTGGAAATATTCCGTGCCGCGCGTTTTCTCTTCTTTTTTGCACTCTCCCTAATGAGATATTCAACAAGAGTCCTTGAATCGGAGAGCCAGCGCCAGTCTTATACCTTTTTCATCGCGAGCGTAGCATAAATTTTGCCGTCATTCGGAGAATCTAATTCTTGCGAAGACGACGTACTACTCTTCTCCAGACGTCAAACTCTTTTCTTCGTGCCGTAACGATATGCAAGGTGACAGCTTAAGATGATTCTATTAGAGAAGGTCAACGCGCGAAAGTTGTTCGCCACCCACTTTTTCCTATTCTATTTCCTTTCTGTCTACGTCTTCTGTTATTGATGCCTTCGGGTGTGGGGAGGTGTTTTCATGGCAGGCAGGCTCACTCATTTCTCTGAAATTGCCTGCCGTCACGCACTTTTTCAATTTAGCTCCGCCGCATAATACGTTTGCCACCGCCGACGTCTCCGCTCCCCCAAATGTTCGTCCCATTCGTTCAGTTAAGTTAGTGGAAATTCGAGAACGACGTCATTTGTAGGCAAGAACGCGAAAAACTAACAAAGCTTAAAAAAAAGAGAGAAAAGCTGAGTGTAGGACAGAGTAGGGCGCTTGAGAAAAGGCCAAGAAGCAAGTTTTCAGGAATCGTTAATGACCCAATTACGCGCAGGAAGTAGAGAAAACGCTAGTAAATGATACTTTGCTCCGGCTGTGAGTAATATATTCTTGGAAACTAATTATATGCATCCGTACGTAGGCCTGAAAAACCGAAAGACGAATAGGGGAGATAGGCCGAAGAATAAAAGACATTTCATAGTAGAAACCCTAAACCCCTTGAAGGAAATATGATATGATGTGAAAACGTTAACATCACTTTCTTGTGTTTTTTCTTCTTCACAGGAAGGTCCCTTTTCTTCTGTTCCTCACCTTCTTCGACGTCTTCGAACGGAGAAGGCTCCATTGTTTGTTGTCGTACGCGTCGGAAGTCAGCCAAGCAGACGAGTGAAGGACACGTCCATTTTCCCCAATATCACGTCGTTTCCTTGACGACAATCCGCTTTATTTATCGGAAGACGACGCCAAATCCGCTATTCCGATGTAGAACATAAAAATAATATATAATGTGAACAAATCCCTTGAGCTCGCACACACACACACACACACACACACACATACACTCTCTCTTTCTTCCCTTTTTCCTCCCTCGTTTATTTTTCAGCTCCCACATTCACTCACTCTTCATGCATTCATAAATGTATCTCTCTAATTGGCTCTTTTCAGCACCCTGTAATTTCAGCCTATTGCAGCCAGCAAGACGGGGAGCAAGGGATGATTATACGCCAGGTTGCATGCTCATTGCATATGAATGAGGGGGTACTGCTTTCTTTGGCTAAGAATTGGCAATAAAATGTGAAAACGAATAGACGAGAGCCAGATGTCAGGCAAGGCTAATGGTAGAGGATCAACCGAGCCGAGGGGCTGAGCTTTAATCGGGTTTTCGCGAGACGGACCTCTTCCGCCGCCGGCTTGCTGACGAATCCTTTATTTGTCCAATTTACATTCAGCATATCCCCTCATTCCTCTCTAATTTTTCAAGCATCCACCAAGCCCTGAGGCGATGGAGGCGTACACCGCTATTCGTATTCCAATTTCTCGCCTTCAGCCAACCAACCAACCGAGCACTCCTCTTCTTCGTCGTCTCGCAGCTCTTTTCACAGCTCTCACATTCACATATAAACACACAAGCATACTAAAAATATGTATATATATTTCGTTTCGTTTCTGATACAAACATATCATTCGTTCTGCCGTCTGCTTTGTTTCTTTTGATATTCTTTGTATAGTATACAGAAGCGTATTCGAATTTCCGTCCCCAGAGAAGATTATAGGTTTTCGTGCGTTTTTCTCTTAAAAGAAGAGGATTACATGTGTGTTGTTGGAAAGTCTTGAGCCAAACGAGAACATAAGATTACACAGAGATTCGTGTATCCGCTTGTCATTCTCGTTCGAGTCAAATCATCATTACTCAATCCCTTGCTTTTCATCGCCCTTTTCCGGGCATAACATCATCTTCGTCGACTCTCACCTGATAGAGAATTTGTATAGCTTATGGATACAAATGTCGTAAATCCGTCACCAGCTGTCATATTCTTTTTATCGGTTTCGCCATGGCAACTGGCTCCGATTTGAGACACGCCGTCGAACCCCTTGAATCGGAGGCAAAGCATTATTTTGCGTCCCCGTGACTTTTTGCCTTTTTCTCTTTTCTTGCTCCGCCGCCCTTTTATTTTCATCTTTCCCTATACGAATGTGCTCACGCTGAGCTCGCTTTTCCTTTTCCTCGCCTCCTCCTTCTTCCCTTTTTCTCTTGCTCCGATGAAAAACATTTTCAATTCTACAGAAACAAGATACATCGTTCTAATTGGTTTTCACAGCGCTCGCATATAAAGTGGTGGCTCATCTCTTTTCAAAGAGATGAGAAAAGTGCTGACGAGCATTCCGTCGAGCTATCAGTTTCGAATCTTTCTTCCATCTTTCTCTCAAGCAGTTTTTCCAATTACACTCCCTTTGTTATCGGGTCCCTCTCGACACTTGGCGCTCAATCAATATTTTTCAATTTCGCAGTCTTCCGAACGTCCTCATTCTATTCATTTCCCCCTCTTCCCGCATCTTTCTCGTGCTTCTGAATGATGGAAAAAGTGGTGTGGAATCACGGCGCAAGCAAACCCGTCGCGTCATTTCTGTTCTTTCCGCTCACCCTCGTTTGCCACGACTGCTCTCCTCCTTTTCCTACACTATTTCTTCCTTCTGCGCGCGCACGCAAGCATGGTGAAAGTGTGCTCCATTGAGAATGAATACTCATTCGATCCTCTTCTGTTTACCAGTTACCCCTATTGATTTTTCGTTTTCCGCTCCTCGTGCCTCGTTTATTCTATAATCGAATCTTAATTTCTGTAATTTCCAGTGGTCATGAGCCGATTGTTTGAATGAGTAACAGGGCGAACCATCCAGACAAACCAGTTTCTTTCGCTAACATGGCAGAAGGTACTCATCCACGTCGTCATGTGTTACCCATGTTTTAGTAACAGTGTCCTTTGTTTTATACTTTTCAATGTTTATCAGTGCCGCGTAACAGCAGAGAAAGAGAGAAAGTGAGAGTGATCTGGCAGATGAAAGCCAACAGTATGGTAATCGTGGGAAGATGCGTTGGCGATACGTGGCTCAGCCATGCTTCTTTTTCGAATACACTCTCATTCTGTTCTCTGAGCTAGATTTCAGATGTTATGTGTGCCCGCCCGTTCTAAACTTTCAGTCGATTCATCTTGTCCCATGTTTACAATTAATTCGCCCCAACGAAATGAGAAAGAGACATCTGGCATTCGTCTGGCGCTATGCACTCACGCGCTTAGACAGAGCAAAACTGAACATTACTAAACTTAAAAGCACGTTTTTTTTGTTGCAACTTTTTAAAATTGATGTTTGTGTGAAATTGTTAGTCACGGGTAGAGTAGCTCGTCCTGAAAAGGGTCCAACTTGAGAATTGTCAGGGAATACTGGTTCTGGTTTGCCGTCGGATCGACGTCAATCCGTGACTCAGCCGAGCCTTCAAACTAGCGTTTCGGAGATTAAAAGTAAGTGTTGCGGAGAACATAATTGTGGAGTAACAGAATGCTTTCAGGTGAAAAGTCGAGCAGATCACCCAGCTCGATGGAGGATTCAATCGGAGATATACCTCAGTTGTCTCAGCTGCGAATACGTGCCACGTCATACAGTGAGGATGATTCTAGGTTATGTTATCAAATTTTTTTTCAGGCTGTGACAGCAGGTACACGGGAGCTGTTTCAACGCACTTCACATCTGACGACACTGTCTGCGTACTCAACGACCGTACAGGGCAGTCAGTTTTGGTGGCGAGCAGCCAGTCAACCAGAGACGCTCTCGCGAGCCTTGTCCAGAGGGAAACGGAAGTTGAGCGAATGGAGTTGGCTGCGAAACAAGCCTGGCAGCAGGCGCAAGGAAGAGGAGAGAAGGCGAGCAGCAATGAGAGCCGCCCACGCAGTTTCAGTGCGATGCGATCTCGACCACAGCAAGTTGCGCAACCCAAAAAGTACAGAGCTCGACATCATCGGTCTCTAGCTCATCTGGACCCAATGACGTTAACCGCAGAAGAGGCGCAGACAATGCTATTCACCTATTTCAGTTTCACGCAACAGGAAATCACTGGATTCGGGGACGTTCTCGAGATTGATGAGCAGTACATCGCGCCCTTTCTGGACAAGGCGCAATCAGTCATGTCACCGTCTGGACGCAGCAGCACATCGTCAGCTCCCCGACCAACCAGTGCCATGGCAACAGCTATCGTCACCGAGACCGATCAGCCAGTGGTTCCATTAGAATCGGAAATGGCGAATGATGGATTGCTGGCCCCGAAGAATGAGGAACTAGACCCAGAAGCCGTTCCTCGCAGGAGTCGTTCGCACTTTGGAATGTCTCGGTTCCTTGATCGGCAATCGAGTGAACCTCCGCCCAGACCTGCAGGGAGATCGTCTTCGTCTGGGACTAGCAGAAATGCGCGAAAATCAGTCTGCGAAGCCGCAGGAGGATCTCCTCTCAGTAGTGAATTGTGTACGTCAAACACCACAAATGGTCCAGAAAGCTATCCATTAGTCGAGTCAAAACGTGGGGGTAATGTGTCGGAAGGTGTGAATGGTTCTCCTGCAGATGTCGTTGCACCTGTCCCTAATAAGATAATCCCTTCTGTCGCTCAAGATCCTTTATGTCACGCAAATGTCATTGATGCTCCGGCGCAAAACGAGATTAGGGAAGCAGTGAAAGCGCGGCAGATTGATGAGCGGAACGAGACGTCTTTTTTGGTCGACATGAACCGGAGACAAATTGGCGAGGGTATTCATCAGAGCGACGAGGACCTTATTGCGTTTCTAAAGGAGCCCTTGGCTTTGCTCAAAGCGAAAGAGCAAGAAGAATCGCAGCGGAAAATGACGGAGCCGGCCCCAAAGAGAAAAACCCGTGCCAGGTCGTCAGCGACAGCTGCGAATGCCGCGCAATCTGTTCCATCCGACGCGGACAGTGTGCGACGGAGAACAGCTGTCCCTCGCGGTACCGGGCAGACGAACGACTCGCGCTCCAAGTCGATGCCTAGCTGTTCGCACGCTCCTCATTTTTGCAATTACTCGCCTCCGGATACCAAATGTTAGTTTGAGACGGTAGCTTTAGGCGTTAGGGTGTTTCTCATCATGTGACGTGTTACTGGGTTTTAACCTCTCACTCCCTTTTTTCAGAATTGAAAACCATTTACTTAATGACTTCACAATAGTCATATTATGTTTAATAATTCAAATATATCAACTCGTCTGTGTTTTAATTGGTAACATTTGATTAACTCAGTCCGTGTCAGAAACACGTCAACTTGTTTCTAATCTTATATGTTTTATCTTGATTCCTGTCATCCGCGCAATCTGTTCAAACGCACATTATTGCTCTGTAGGCGTGTGCCGGCCATATTGATTTTCAGTGCGTCGTGGGCCGCGCGCAAGATTTGGAGGGTCCATTCGGGCGGTAGCCGAGGCCGCACCGCATCATAGTGGTGCGTCGCGTGTCGCGGGCGCGTTTCTTCGATTGCTCGTAGTCCCACTTCCCTATTTGCTCCCACTCTCAATCATTTTTTGGGATCTTTTTGTTTTGTCTATCACCGCGTGCATTTGTCGTGTGTTGTAAGCGCAGCGCTGACTTTTAACGAAAGAGATTGAAATGAAAACCTTTGAAATATCTCGGACTCGTGAAATTGATAATTTTTTCTATTGTTTTGTAATCTGCGATGGGAGGATAGTCTTATCTTGTGATTACATCATTCAAAAACCTAGTTTTACCGGAGAAAATAGAAGTAAACGCTGTTTTATCGATTTTCCCTCCGATTAAATCGCCCGCGAACATTTGAATTTAGGCCCTCCTAAAACCGTTGCGTGCCCAACCGAAGAACAGACTCTTCTGGGTATGTATACATCGACGTCGTCACTGTTGTTTGCATGTGTTGCGCTTTATCATATCATATCAATCTATCACTTTTTGTGCCGCTTTCTCTCGTTCCTTTAGGTTGTAACTCTGTGCATGTGTCATTGTTTTCTCTCGCTTTTCGCACGCTTTCTTTCGATTTCTTCTCAATTTCCTGCCACTTCATCGGAAATGTTTTCTTTTCAGTTAAGCACACTACTGTCAAACTGGCGGGTAACGGCCAGCCTTATCGGAATTTTGTCCGGCTGGATATGCCGCTCGGACAGGCACTGGCAGATCTACCCATTGGAGCAGTCGCTGGACAGCTTCGTGCTCAGAAAGGTATCCAGCCACTTGTAGAGTTGATTTTTACCAGGATATTATAGCGCTAACCGGGAAACCGGATCGTGGCAAGAATAATGAGGCGACTTCATCAGAGCTGGCACGCATTGCTGATCTGTTCGACTCATCTGCGCAGCCACAAGCGCAGCAGATCCTGATCCAAGCACCGGTGCAAATGTCGTTTATGCTTCCACCATCAGCACCACCACCGGCAAAGAAGAGAGCTCCATCGCGTCGGAAGCCAGCAAAGGAAGCAGCAACTGCGGATGGCGTCCCTCAAGACGAACAACGTAAGTGGGAGAATGACTTGCCGAGAACCGAGTCGATTTATGGGTAGTATAAATCAGCCGCAGAAAAGCTTTTTATTTTACGACTCGCCTCGGTTGCTCGTTGCTCGCTGCCCGCTGCGCGCAATTTTCCCATAATCCGACGTCGACGAGGCGGTGACGTTTCGGTCAGTCAACTTTTCAGCGGCGAGCATTCAGTGCGCATTGATGGGAAAAAGGAAGAGGGAGGGGTTAGTATGAGGCATAGCAATCTTTTTTTGCAGCAAAGAGAAAGCGGGCGCCGCCAAAGAAGGCACAGGCAACGGAGAACTGGAATACGGGACAGATGGTACAGTATCAGCAGAATCCAGTGAATGGGAACCAGCCAGTTGTGCAGCAGTCAGATGGAACAGCCTTCCATCAGCAGGCTTATTCGAACTACAACAACACAATGAATCAGATGGTCGGATACCCACAGCACGCTGCGACATCTACGGATGGTAGTCTTGGATACGGGTTCGGAGAAGGTTAGTTTGTCAACTCAAGTTATCAGACCAGAAGGTCGCCAGATGCTCAGCGTTTATATACACTTTCGCGCATAATCATCACCAGATGCACTTTCTGTAGGCAACAGTGAGCGTTTGACGTCTTCCCTTTAATATTTCACCGAGATCAACATTTTGACGCCTTCCTTTGGGAAATATCTAGTTCAAGGACATGCGCGCGAACGTTTGAATCCAGAACGCCCAATTGACCACGCCACGATGTTTTCTTGCAATCGCGCTATGTGGCTGTAATTGCGACAATCATTCTCTCAACTCAAATTTACAGGTGGGAACGGAGAGTCGTCTTCGCAGAGCTCTTCGCAGTACTCTTCTCAGAGTGCTTCGCAGGACGCTTCCTATTACTCGTCGTTCAACCACTCGATGAAGCCAAATGGACAACCACCTAAAAAAGTGGTAACGCCGAAGAAAAGCCGTAAGTGAAGCAAATCCAAACTATCAAAACAAGTCTTTCTTTTTCAGTTGCCTCCATGCTTCCGCCACTTTCTGGTGCCACAGGCAAAGCAGCACAGCAGACGATTGACATTGAGCCAACTCTTTTCATTCAGCCAATGCCTGTCGTTCAGCCAAGTACTGGCATGCAGCCAACAAATGTCATTCAGTCCACAAGTGATATCCAGCCAACAAGTACAATTCCAAAGAAAAAAGTAGTAGCTATCACAGACCTTAATCATGTTCCGGATCACATCTTGATAAAAGATGATGAACCAACACAGAGTGCTAATACTGAAAATCCAGTGCCTACACAAAATAACGACGGATATACAGGTAAAACAAAAAAAGGGAAAGATTCAGATGCACCATGAACATGATTACAGGTGGTCAAGTCGAAGGCCTCAACCATGACCCCACTCAATACGCGGAAAACACTGCGAACTCTGCCAATTCAGTTGCCAGCATTGACGGGTCAATGCAATACGCTCCGTTATCAATCGAAAGTCATATCTCTAAAAACTCCCTAGAATCTTATGCTCCCAGTTCTCATCATTCTAGTATGCCTCAAACCCCGATCTGTAAGTTCATAAGCGTCGTGGAAAACGTCTAATTTGCTTATTTTCAGCGAATCCAAATGATGGGTCATTTTACAAGACACAGCCGGTTGCCAACAATAGCCAAATGAGCTTTTCAATGAATCATGGTCATACTCATTCCGAGCAAGCTAATCAGCAATACCCAGTTGAAGCCTATTCGCAGCAGTACCATTTCCCTTTGGAATACTCCCAGTACAATATGGATCTCCAAGTTGATCAGCAAAGTGTCATGCCAACTTCACAAACCACGAGTTACGTCCCGGAGGCCAATGGTAAGAACACTTTAGGAACTGTGAGCAGCAATGCAACTGACTAATTTTCAGCGCCATCGAATAAGGACAACACGCAGCCAATGCCCGAATCTGCGCCACTGCAAGTGCAATCTGACAGCGCCACCTTTGCCAATGGCGCTGTTCCGTCTACCGGTCAAACCGCAGTCCCCAGTAACAACGGGAACAGTATGCCGATCAACGGCCAGCCGACGGACCCAGCTTCGACCAATCCTGCTCTGAGCTGGTCGAACAACTCTCCGGCACCGGCTAGCCAGCAAATGGTTGCTCCGCAGACAAAACCTTCGAAGAAGACTCAGAGACGCACGGCTTCAACTTCTAATTCCCGTAGAGGATCAGTTGTATTGAGCCAATATCTGCCGCCTCCCGAGGAGGACCAGCAAATGAGCATATCCACGTGCCCGGAGGATTGTACCAAATGCACCATGGACAAAACGGCCAATAGCGGACAGACATTCGTGCAACCCCAACAACAGTTTCTGGCTCCACAAGTCAATGGAAGCAACTCCTTGCAAGTTTCAAGAGACCAGTCGACGAGTAACCAGCAGGAAAATGTGCAGACGGTGCAGAAGATTCAAAACATTGGAAGTAACCTACTCCCGCCGGATGCTGAGCAGATCTCCTTTGTGCAATATCTGCCAAATCAAATTTCTACGATGAACCAGATCTCGACAATCACGCAAGTGCACAACGGACAGTCAAGTAGCAGTCAGATGAACATGCAATCTGGAATCGGGCCTGGAAGCGCTTCTCAGAATGTTATGCTGAAGCCGGCTTCTAGGAAGAGAGCGAGACCATCGAAGAAAAAGCCGGCGGAAGCTCCGATGGTGATCAGTCAAGAAGTAATCCTGCAACAAGGAATCGCGCAGAACAATGGTAATAAAATCTGAAAAAGTGACAACAGCTCATTCCCATTTTTTTCAGACGCACCGGGAAGCGGAAATCCGACGTCTCCAGATATTGTCGAAATGCCGCAGCGCGACGAGCCTTTGAAACCGGAAGGTGATGATCCTTCGAGCAGAGAGAACCATGTCATCGAAATCATCAACACTGTTGTTGACCACGTGATGGAACTTCCTATCAAGATTGTTCGGGAAAAAGTGACGCTGCCGCCGAGAGAAGCGTCGCAACAAGCAGTTGAGCAACCGTCTCAAATGGATCCTCAGCTTCACCATCAACAGGACCCGCATCAACAGTCTCAGCAGCATTCGCAATCGCAACCTCACCCACTGATCCAACAGCATCAACAACAGCTTCAAGGGCAACAGTCCCACCAAAATCAGCAGGAGTTTCGTTCTTTGCAAAAACTGCAATCCGCACAACAGTTTCTGTCACCACCAGCTAAGCGAAGGAAAACGGAGAAACGGAGTCAAAAGCAAGAGAAAGGATCGTGTCAGCAGGAAGCGCCTGTACCTCAAGCGGACCAGTTAGCTCAAATGCAGAGAGTGCAGGAGATTCTGAACCAACACCATCAGGCGCTGAATTCATTGGACGCGCGAAAACAGACGGGTACGAGCACCTATGTTGTGGTGCAACAGGGTTTGCCCAAGCCGAGATCACCAAGGAAAGCTTCACGTCCACAAGCTCTTCAACCGATGCAGGCGCTTGTGCAGACTCAACCGCTCCCGAGCCACCAACAACGTCTTCAGTCAGATGCCACAACGCAGTCGCCTTCGTCGCAAAGACCCGACTACATTCGTATTGTGAACAATGTTCCAACTCATTCGAACGAGCCCAACCGTCAGTTTGAGCAGATGCAGCAGACTTGGCATGGAGGACAGCCATTCCATCTGGGACAACCGCAAATTGCTCAAATGCAGCTCCAACAGCAGTTTGCAGTGCCGAGCAAACCTGCGAAGCAATCACGACCACGCAATCGAAAACGACCTGGACCGATTGATCAGAGACAGCTATCGTCTTCTCAGCATGCGCCGATGGACCTTCAACAACATGCTGTTGTGCAAGTACACTCACCGAACATGCAGCAGAATGGATCTGTTCAAATGGATCAGGAGACGATGATAATGCAAGGACAGACTGCTGTGATTCAACATCACATGATTCAGCAGCAACCTCACGCCGGAAACCAGCAGCAGCAGCAGCCGCAGATGCAGTTTCAACCGTCGCTGGGGAGTACGTTGCAGCACCCGCGAGTTGCTTCATTGAATCCAACGGTAACATCTCATCAGCAACTGCGGATTGAGTCACCGATCAACCAGCAGTCGCCAATCGACGCTCAAAATCAACAGCAGCAACAAGGACTGGCTCAGCATCAGATGCAGTCATCCATGGCCCATCAGCAGCAGCAACAAGGAGTGGTTCAGCACCAAACGCAGTCGTCCATGGTCCAACAGCAGCAGAATCAGCAGCAACAAGGAATGGCTCAGCAACAGATGCAGTCGTCCATGGTCCAACAGCAGCAGCAACCGGCGACGTATATGCAGCAGCAGCAGTCTCAGCCAACTTTCGTCGCGCCCCAAGATCCAAAACTGGCGAGACTTCAACAGAATATGGAAATCCGCCGTCATCTGCAGATGAAAGTGCAACGACAGGCGGAGTTGGGAGGGCAACACACTCCTCTGCACGATGTCATCAAACGGACGTCATCGAAGCCACGACGCCACAGATCTAAAACCCAGCAACAACAGGCTGCCGATTTGGAACTATTGAAGTTCCAGCAACAGCTGGCAGCGGGACAACCAGGAGTGGCGATTGAAGTTCATGAGAAGTCTCCGATTGAACTGATGCAGGAACAGCGGGATCTGGAGGAACTGCAGCAACAGCAGCAACTCGTGCAGCAGCAACATCAGGAGCAGCAACTGCAGCAACAACAATTGCAAACCAATGACCAACCGCAAAGATTAATGGTAGAAGAAAATGATCAGGACAATTTGGTAGCGATGAAGAATCAGCAACAGAACCCGGCTCTCTCCTCTCAACAGACGCCGTATCCAGTTCATCAGCAGCAGCAGCAACTCCAACAACAGCAAGCTCAGCATCAAATGCAAGGCCAAAATCAACCAATGGAAGGACAGCAATACGTGATGGTAGATGGTCAGATGCTATTGCCCAATGGACACATGCCAGCGGCTATCATTCGATATCAAGAACTCAAAGAGAGACCAATGTCAGAGATTCAGCGCCAGCTCGAAATGCCCCTGCAACAGTCGCTTTCTCAGAAATCTCAAGCTCCGGAGCAGAGAGCCCATGGTTACCAGCAGCGCAGAACATTTGCTCAGAGAGTGAAGTTAAGCTTGCCTCCTCCAAACTCGCAAGCGCAACCGCATGCCGAAGTAATGAACGAGCCGACTGTTGGACAACATCTGAAGAAACAACAACAAACTGCCGCGGAAGCACAACGAGCCGCAATTCTAGCTGAGAAGCAATTGGAGAAACAACTCGCAATGCAAGGGACTGCGATAAAAGCGGCTGAGATGCGACAAGAAGCAGCGGGAGTCCCAGAAGCGGGTCAAATCAAGGAGACGGTTCGAGTTAAAGGAACGGGTAACAACAAGAAAGCGAAGGCTGTATCAACCGCTCAAGTGGCTCCACAGGAACTCGAGAATACGGCTCTAACTACCCAAGCCGAAGAAGCTAGAATATTACGCATCGTCAAGGAGAAGTTGGCCAGTGAAGAAGCCGAGCGACTTGCCCAACTGACGTCCGAAACTGAAGCTGAAAATGAAGCAAATGTCGCTGCAGAATCTGTCCCGGAGGGTGATTCGGATCCATCTGCTGAACAAGTTGCAGAGGACCTGCCTCTGAAAATCAGTGCTGTTGCAAGAGCGAAACGGATTCGAGAAACAATTGCTGAAATCGCCAGTCTCGGACCACTTTCGATGCGCGAGGCTTTTCCCAGCGGAGAAAATACTCCCAATGAGGAGGAACGTTTTCACGAATATTTGGAATTCGTCGAGGCGATCACTAAAGAAATGAAAGAACATCCATGCGTTGTTGAAATCGGAGTCGAGGACGTTCTTGCCAACGAAGAGTGTAAGTTAAAGCTTGTCCCATCAAAAGATCTTTTTTTTTCATTTCATAAGTTCATTTTTTCAGTGGAACCAGCACTGCACGGACGATTTCGTAAGAGGCTGGCTGCGATTCGTGAGGGCAGGGTCACTTATACAGAAGGAAAAAAGATTAAGATCATTCCTGCTGCGCTTTTCGCAAAGAAACAGGCAAAGAAAGCTCTGGAATCGAAAACTATGCAGGCAGTCGTTGTTTCATCGGACTCGTTGTCCCCACCGGACAGTCTGCAAGCGACTCAACCTTCTTCGGAATCTCTGTCCGTGATCACTGGATCAAGTACTGCCGACACGTCTCCAATGACATCGGCACTCCAGACGCCAGCTCAACAGGATGTTTCGACGCAGCAATCGACTACCGCGACGCCAGCGATGACGCCGATTTCCGACCTATGCTTTGAAATGTATCAGAAAGAGCCGATTCTCGATGAGCGTACCCTTCTTGACGCTGCGATGCCACTTAGTATCGATGACTCGATGGACTTTGACCAATCGACACTTGCTTTGGCTCCAGTGTCTCGTAAGACGTCAGTGACCGGAGCGACCATGGGCTGGGATTCTCCGTTGACCGAGCAATTCGGTTTGACCGGAAAATCGAACGACTGGGTTGGCGCATCGGATCCCACTAGTCCAACGGGACCTTCTTCGTCATCAAACTACACGTCTGCTAGAAACAACCGCCAAATTTCGTACAGTAAGTTCAAGAAAAACCAGCAAGTACATAGAAAGATCATCTATAACATTGCATATTTTCCAGACAGCGTCTTGGATGAGTTTGAAAAGTTCACCCACAACAAGTCGCCACCTGCTGACAATGATCCGATGATGCCGGTTGTGAGTCGCGACGATGATGACTTCAGTCTCTTGAATCTGAATCCTTTGAGATCAGACTTCGACTTTGGTAAAAAACAATAATTATAATTCTTTCATTAAGTTGGTTTTTCTTCCAGACAAGGAGATGAACGCTTTCTCTGGACTGAACGATCCGTTCATGGGAATCACCGACGACTCGCACCGCCACAGTGTATTTGACGCACCCGAATCTTTCTGCAACAACTTCATCGACCTTGATGCCAGAAACAATGAGAGACCGTCGACCCCAAGCGTCGGCATTCTCGACGATAGTTCGTACCCATGTACGTCCATGTCCTTTTTTTAAATTGCTGTGTGTTGTCACGTTCTTATAATTATAATATAACCAAACATGATTGAATTGAATGCATAAAGTATGTTTTACAGCAATTGATCCGTCGTTTTTCGGGTTCGGTTCGCCACCAAATTCTCCAATGGTTCACCATCTGGATTATCCAGTGCAGAATGACACGGGTAACCGTAGCTAGACTGTTTCTTTCTGTTTGTGAACTTCTGGTTTACAGTAACTTCATCCTCTGACGTGGAGAGTGATGGGCACAATATCACGTTGAATGTCATTGCGGCCGAATCAGAGCCTATTCATCTTGAGTTGCAACAAGCTTCGGCTGACCTGTTTGCTACCAACAACACAGATTGGACCATGATTGACCTATTGCATCACGTGGCTGAAAAGAAAACTCCAGAGTCCTCGAAAAAATCGGAAAAAGCGCCAAAACTGACTAGAACAAACTATAAGAGCATTGTTAAAGAGCACGGGGTGGAGATGCGCGCTACAGATCAGCTTCAATATAAAACAACAAGAAAGCGGGGAAATGATTTCCTGTAAGCGTAGAATCTAGTTGCGACCCGATAAACTCTGACCTTTTCAGCAGTCCAAAAGAGGGTAGCATCAGTGGGTTCCATTTGATGGATCAGCTCCACGAGAACGGGCAGTCATCCTCGTCAGCTCAGCATCTGACTGTTCGCGACATCGTCACCCAACACGTCACCGCGGAGCACTTGGCTTCGAGTGATGAGCCGGCAGCGATGGCTGAAGTGCTCGAGAAACTGGAGGAAGAGCGCAGCTACCTGATGACAAAGGGAGAGCACGAAAGACAACTGCTCCCGTCGGCGCAGAAAGTGGAACACGAGCAGCTGGAGCCTCTCCCGAGACGTGGTTACATTCAATGGAAATCTAGTGCAGGGTATGGTGAACTAATAACGTCCGAAAAGAAGTCTAACCGGAGCAATTCGCTGTAAGGGAGTTTACGAAATCTCATTGACGCTTCCCGTTTTCAGTAGCATCTCGTCCGAAGGGTCTTCTTCGTTGTCAAACCCAACCGAGTCCGACTTGCTGGAAGTGTTTGATAAACTATAAAATATAATGCATCCTAATTTAAAATCTCAAATTTCTTTAAACAGCCTTTATAATTCATTTTCTGATCAGTGGAGTCAAGGAGAGCAATTTTCGATTAGCTTTATGTTTGTGATAGATAGTTTGTTGGTTGTTTCCGGTCTCTTTTATTTGATTCTCATAACCTGAAAAACGACGGTTATCGTCACTCATACCGTTTTCTTTTCATTGTAACCTGGGTAAAATCAATTTCCTCTTGCTTTGTGTACAGTTTTGTCCCGTTTTCTCACGTTTCTTCGCTTTACTTGTATTCAAATTTTATTTTCAATAGCTTTACCGTTAAATTGTTCATGTCAAATATAGCGTACCACTTGGCTCATTGGAATACTTTGTCTTTTAATGTACATAAATGATTTCGAAGTTTAATAAATGGAACTAATTAAACTTCAGATTCCTGCGGCCAGTTGCCTCTCGTTTGACTTATCATGAGCGTTAGATCTCACAGCCCTTGAAAAGGGAAGAACAATTTTTTGATGGAATTTTGTCAGTGGCTTCAGAGTTTTTAATTTTTTGCGGACTGTTTTTCAGAGTCTCATAATGGTCCCATCGCAGCAGAAACTGTGCAAATCATTTTATATTGATAAGACAACTGAAGGAACATGCCCGAAACGGATCCTTCCGTCCTCATAAAAGACGTGAGATCCGGGAGATTTTGTGTCGTGCACCAGAAAGTCTTCTAACTTGCTCTATCAGCCGTTAACAAGGAAACCTTTAAAAATCGGGTCCGAAAGCCAAAGACTATTTCAAAATCCGTTCCACTATCGCATTTCCCCCGTCGCTGTCGGTCACTCTACTGATTTATGAACTATCTCCGTGTCGCTATCGCCGCTAAAATAGCATGTGTTTGGTTCTCCCCTTATCTTTTTGTACTGGCTGTATCTTTGTGTGAACACTAAACCGCTTTTCTGAACTGAATAACTGAAAATGTATATTTTTGGCCGGAATTCGTTGTTAGTGTGCACAAAATGCTTCCCAGTTTACTGAATTGTTGTGCTTTTTATCAATTAATCAAGTCCGATGATCGTCTCTGCTCAAAATCGGTACAGTGCTGAGCACAGGCCGCCACGTCACGTTTTCTCCTATGATCAATACAACCGAACCGAGTGTGCCACACCTGTTCACATCCTCCTCTTTGTCCTCATTATTATCGGTTTCTCCATTCGCTCGTCCACCGTGCCTCTATCTCTCTTCTGCCTCATCTTCCCTGACTTTCTCTCGCTAATTTGCGCGCGTTACGAAATGCCATCAAAAATGTCTCCTGGCTAGCGCGCAGTTCAAAGAACCGAACGGAACAGAATGGCCGCAGAAATGTGGCCGACTCAGCCGGGGCACACTCTGTCCGCTCGCTCGGCCGCCCCTCACGGCCCCGCTCACACACGCACACGCACGCTCACAATGCCTCCAAGACCACTCACTCTCTCGCTCACCAACCGCTCACTGTCGCTCACCAGTAATGTCCACTTCCTCCCTCGCTCGCTTGGTCATTAATGGACGCCCTCGTCGTTTTTTGTGGATTTCTGGCTTTTCTGACTGTTAGATCTTCTCGTAGACAAAATAAAATTCTTTAATATTGAGAAAGTGAGAATTTGCTCTCGACTGTGAGGCGATATTTATTGAAGAATTTCTAAAAGAGCCTTTTCCGAAGAAATTGTGTCTTTTCCGCCTTGTTTACATTTCCTTATTAGCTTTAGTTTCCAGCGACGTGAACCCTGCATAATTAAGTGCAAAACAAAGAGTTTTAGCTAATTTTTCTTTTGTCCTTCCAGCGAATAGTTTTAGAGAAGCTAAGAAAACCTAAAGAACATTTCGCCCTCTCCCTTGGTAGGATTATGCAAACACTGCCGTTTTTCACTCGTTCTTCTCTCTTCCCTTTCTATCTCTCTTCCTCTTGCGCTTTTTATCGTTCAATCTTGTGTTTCTGTCGTGAAAAAAACGCAATATTTGCAGGTATAGGTCAATTTATCTATCTGAGGGCGGATCGCCGTTCGCTTCAACAATGGATGATCCCTCTGGGAGTAGTTCCAGCAAGGCTGGGGTGAGAATGCGTTTTTAAGCCAGAAGACGTGGAAAATGTTATTTCAGAGTTCCGGAAACCCAGGTCCCTCGTCTTCCAGTGCAAAAGGTCGAGGTTCCCGCAAGTCGGAGGGACGGGGTCGGAAGGCGACTTCATCTTCCGAAGAAAAGGATCCTGTCCGGGCAGCGCCTGCAGCTCCTACGACGCCGGAAGGATATCGTGTAAATCTGCTCGATACTGATGCAAACAAGAAGAGCCTGTACCAACTAGCACAAGAGGAGATGGCGGATGGAAAGTCGGATATCAAGCTGCCGACGACCAGCGAGGAGTACTACGAACTTGAAGAGATTCTGATGAATCCCGCCAGAATGGAAGGTCGTGAAGTGTCTCTCAACGTCTATGATATGGTAAGCGGAAGCTCAGTTGCGATTTAAATTCAGATTGGGTTCCAGGTTCGTGCCAAGTACAATGTCATTCGCGAAAAAAACGCTTCCGAAGCCGATATGCAGAAAGTGATTGGCGCTCTTTCCTGTGATGTCTGCCAGGAGCTCATTACGGACTCTATCATGACAAAGGTAGCTAGGATAAAAAACAGCTTTTTGTAGAACCCTATTTTCAGAAATGTGGACACCGATTCTGCGATCAGTGCATCATGATTCCTCTCACACGCCAAGGAAACTCTACGTGTCCTACCTGCCGTCAGAACTTGGGTTCAAAAAGAGAACTCCAGCAAGATCCCAGATTTGATCAGCTCATTTATCAAGTATGTTCTGAGATATTAAAAGAAACTTGCTAAATGCATTGATTTGAGGTCGTGGAAAGTCGCTCGATAGTACCGCGCATGCTGACCAAGAACAGAGAACACGAACGAGATATCTACTTCGGACGCCGAGGATACATCGAAAGTGACGAGAAATACATGAAGAAGTTCACTTTAGACAGTGACCGCCAGAAGCGTCGAGCGTATAGGAAGCGCCAAAGTTCGAAGAAGAAGATACGTTGGTTCCGCAACAAAGGGCAAAGAGTAGCAATTCCAAAGCTCGTGAAATTCGATTTCAAACCGAAGGTCGCTCGGAAACCTCACAGAGGAGTGCGGAAAGTTGGAAGAAAACTGGGCGAGACGATTACACTTGACAATGAAGAGAAGGAAACGACGGATGGTGTTGCCGCAGATCAGTCATCTACCGCAGGGAACGAGAAGGAGAAAGGAATCAATGTTCCAAACACAGTCGCTCCAAAGAAGTCAAAGCACCAATTCGTTCCTTGTACTGTCAAAATGCACCGCACGGGTAAAGAATCTGCCGAACAAATCAAACAGTACAACGAATGGGCGAAGAGCCGTCGTGCGGTGAAAGTGCGGAACATTCCTGCTATCGTGCTTTCCGATGTGGAAGAGAAAGACGAAAATGGAAGCGATTCTGATCATGAAGAAGTGGTACTCAGTTCCGATGAATCGGAAGGTCCAATATTGCTGAAGGAAGTTTCGTTGAATGAGAAGGATGTTGAACGAGGAAGCGATGCCAGCATTGATGTAAAAGGTACCAAGCGGAGTAAGAAGAAGAAGAAGAAGCGCATGGTTGCTGATGTAGTCAAACCATCTGCTGAGTCGAGTGACAGTGAAGAAGAGATCAAACAGAAAAAGGAAAAGAGAAAGAAAAAGGCAAAAAGGAAGACAAAGGAGAAGGAGAAAGAAAAGACGAAGGAGAAGGAAAAGACGACGGAGAAGGAGAAACCGAAAGAGAAGGATAAGAAAACGGAGAAGGAAACTGTTGCGAAATCAATTCTGGTCAAGAAGAAGATGCTCGGCCGTCCGAAAAGGAAAGTATCTGTGGCGGAGCGCAATCCTGACGATATCCCAACTCCTAGCGAAGATTCTTTGACTTCATCGGATGAAAATGACGGAGAAGACCCTTACAGTTTTGTGTTCAAAGATGGTGAGTTTTAAAGATCTCCCCTTTCTTTTCAAGCTGTTCACATCTCAGAATTCAATCGTGATCCTAGAAAATATGGACATCCTGATGCTAAGAAGCTGTACAACTTTGATTTCATGTTGGACATGGTAACAAGAATAGATTCTGAATGGTTGTAAGGCATTGTTGATTACAGGATACCGAAGTGACACGTAGATACGAAAAGGATGCTAAGGCAAAAGTGATCTTCGACGACTCTAACTCGGAATCTGAACTGAATGAGTCCGACGACTCCGAAGCCAGCAATCTCTCAATCGATCCTAATCAACAAAAGAAAGTTCTCGAATTCTTCGACAACCTTCCGAAATCACCAAGCGAAAGGAGAAACGGATCTGACGATGAGTGCCAGGTCATTTCTGCCGTGAACCAACACGCAACAAATGCTCCGGCAGAAGCTGCGAAATCTGTTACGAATCTTTCTGAGGGAACTCCTTCTGTGGGTGCACCGGTCACAAAAGAAAGCATGAATGCGACTGATATGGCTGGCACAATCGCGGTTGAAGTGCCTTTCGGAGAGCCCAAACTGAAAATGGGCAAGAAGACGACGTCGATTCTGGATAAAGCTGAGCGGAGTGAAGTGTACATGATGGATGGATTCATCTTCCGGCCAGACGACCCTGATCCGCCCAGAATCTTCCAAATTCCTGAATTCAATAATGCAGAATGGAACGTTACTCCTGAAGCGATTTATGAAATCTATCCTGAGACAGGTAACTCATTTAAAAAATGTTTTATATAAACTATCAATTTTTTGCAGCTCTCCGGAAGATTAAAGATGTGAGAGTGCCTCCTGCCGACTACAAAGCCCCATCGAGGTACATCGAGCTCAGCTCGGATGAAAGCGATGATGACGACATTCAAATCCTCGAAGAGCCTTCGACTTCCACTCAAACCAAACCCAATAGGAAAGCCCGTAGCCCATCAGTTATCATTGATTCTGTGAAAAAGAACATACCGGTTCCTTCAACGAAGGGTGCTCCCAGAAAGAGAAACGGTGTCACGAAGAAAAAGTTTCTCGAGATGGAATATGATTCCGACGAGGAAGACATCGACTTCAGCGACGTCGAGATGGCTACTCGCAACATTGATCGCAGTGAGATACAATCGGTCGGAGAGCCACTGTTGAGAAACAAAGTTTTCTATGGTAATATCAACTAAACATTACCAATCTATTAATTCGATTTCAGACGTGGACAGATCTTCGATCCCGGCCGAGCTGAACGCAGCCGACTTGAGAGAAGCCGGAAAGCTCACAATGGCAGACATCGATCGATCGACTCAGCAGATGAAGGAGTACGTCGAAGTAAACATTCACCGTCGGCGACTGGTTGTCCTGGATGCAATCGAGGCTGTGGCTAAAGATATGAACTTTGAGTTGGCAACGCTTGCTGACGTGGCTCCTGTAGAGCCAGTCAAGAAGACGAAGGAGAGAAAGCCGAGAAACTCGAAGAAAGAGCCGAAACCGCCGAAACCGCCGAAAGAGCCAAAAACTCCGAAGGAGAAAGGAAAGCCTGGTAGAAAAAAGAAAGATGCGCCTACCCCATTGGCTCCTGTATTCAAAGTGCCGAAAGGGCCAGCACCAAAAGCAGTTGCCCCGAAACTTGCTCCTGCTCCAGAATCAGAAGTTCCAATTCTTGAAGGCCCTGAAACTCCGATCGATCAAATTTTCTTTGATCCTGATGCTCCGTGCTCTTCGGAGCAAGCTCAACAAAGAGATGTTCTGATGGAACGCGTGGAACGAGAACAGAAACTTATCGCCGAATCCATTGAAGCCAATCGTAAGCTCTCTCCAAATTCAACCGAGCCATCTAGCTCTGGAGACACTGCCGCCGGTCTCTCAGATGCTCCGGCTCTAACGGATTCCACGTCTGCCAGCAAAATAGATGAAAACGACGAGTTTGACATCACCAAGGATAGAGAGTTTCTCCTTCCGGACACCGAAGAAATTATCGACAAAGAGAACAGAATCATCAAAATTAAGGAGAAACCCATGAAGCTCAAGCCTAAGACTGGTATTGGTAAGATTGGTACGATTTATTGCAAAAAGTAATGATTCAGTGATGGGTTTCGTTTCAGATTACCAAGACATAGAGACCAAGTTGGGAGCATATCTGACAAAAGCGGACGCTACTCTTCTGAAGTGCACAAAGGCGGAATATGTCTCGCACGAGTTCCTCAAACTTGTCGCCCAACAACCGGCAGTTGCTGATGAGGCTCTTGCTCTCGATTTCTGTACAAGAAACACAGACAAAGAGTTTGAAATCAAGCAGACAACTGGCAAACGTGCGACGAGAAATCCTGATGAGATGAAACTTGTAAGTCATTTTTCTTCATGCCAACAGCTCAGTTAATTATTTTGAATTTCAGGAAGAACTGGTGAAGAACTTCAGCGCGGATTACGCAAAACAACACCCGAAACCTGTGAGACGTCCGCCTGTGAATGTTGAACGGATGATAATCGAACGGGCCCATCTGATCAAGCACAAACATATTGTTGACGCTGATCCCCTTCAAATGGTCAGTACTACATTTCGCTTAACCTACCTGCACATCCCCCGTAGCCGTATTCTGAAAATTCGTATTGAACATGTGCAATGATAGAATCCAATTAATTTCCAGGTGTTTTGAAAACACCTGTCTCTGAAGTTTTCATATCCTTTCTGAAACTCCACTCCTTGATTAATTTTCCGTTACAACTGCCGTGCTCATTTCCGAGACACTGCATCTCATTTCCGTTAGCTCCGCATTCAATTATATTTGAAAATTCATTATCATCACCACCCGTGTAATATGCATGTGAGTGGCGGAGCAAGACGCGTTGGGATGCTCTCTCTCTCTCTTTCTCTCTCTCTCGAGGTTACTGCGGCGTAGGAGAGTCCATTGCATTAAAAATGATTGTCCGTGTGGGTGCCGTTCTATTCCCAATTCACATCGATTATCATCGCTCGCTCGCTCCGCAATCTCTTCATACACTTTTCCACCACGTCGACACTTTTGTATTCATACAACTGCCGCTCCCTCCATCACCATATACTCAGACGAGCGCTCACAATAGCTTATTGTTTTCCGACGCCTCTCCGCTGCCTTTCGAGTCAATTTTTCCCCCTCTTTTCTGTTACAATAACAATAATAATATTATTTTTTCAGAAGATACTAATTGCTCTACAAAAACAGCAAATTGCCACTGCCAGAGCGAATACTGCCAACCCAGTTACTGTTACTACCGCCGAGCACGACGAGCAAGTCCGCACCCTACAACAACTCCACAACCCGCAACTTCTTCGTCAACTGCTCATGAATCCACAGTTCGCGCTGACTCTGCACAAGACGCAGCAGCAAGCTATTCAACAGCAACGTGCTCAGCAAAAAGCTCAGACTCAAAGAGAGGCCGCTGCTCGGAAAGCGGAACAAGCTCGAGTCGAGAAGATTGCCCGTGATCGGATTGCGCAAGAGAACGCAGAGAAAGCATCCAAGGAAGAAAACGTCGCTCGTCCTGTCGCCAACACGGTTTCGAAGATCGTTGACGTGGCACAGCCAAAAGACCAGGCTGTAGCTGATTCAACTACAAAAACAATCGAGTCTTATGTTACGGTGAGTGGGGAATGTTGTTAAAATATGTATAAACAAAAAATAATTGCAGCCGGCATCGGAGGGAAAGTCTCAAAACATCTCAACTGTCAACATTGGAGATGAAACTATAGAGCAAACTCCAAAGTCAAATTCTGTTGGTGTCTCAGCGGATACGCCACCGTTGAAGAAGACCGAAAACCCTGCCGCCAAGCCTACTGAAGAGCCAATGGACACGTCTGACAACACTCCGAGCGCTGCTCTTCCTTGTTCTGCGCGTGTTTCTCAATCTTCTGAACGAACGGAAACATCTCGGAATAATTCACGTTCCCGTTCACCCCTTGATCGGGATGAAATCGAATCTGCCAGAGCTGGTGGTGGCGACGACGATGTCATTGTGCTCTCCGGAGGGAACAAACCGATGGCGGATGATACTATTTTGGAAGAGATTGACATGCAAGATGACGAGTATTCCCCGTCTTTAACACCGGACACATCTGATCAGGAAAAAGGAGATGATGACGACGACGACGACGACGACGAGTTGGATGATGAGAATGAAGACGACGAGGAAGAGGCTTGCTTCTCAGACGGTGGCACGAAAGTTGAACAGATGATGAACAAGACGATTGAGCCTGATGACGAGTACCTTGCCGAATACGCTGAGTACGAGAAGAAATTGGATAAATTCGACAAGGAAGATTTGGATATCGAGAAGCTTAGTTATGTTAAGCGATACTTCCCGGATGCCATGAAAGCCGCTAATATTAAAGTGATCGATAAACACCGCAGAGATGAGGAGATAGCTCCGTACGTTGAGGCAGAGAAGCAACGGAAAGCCAAGGAGAAGCCAACTGTACTCGAGGCCGAAGAGGATGATGGCGAAGAGATAAAAGAAGAAGCTGCTGCTGCTGCTGCTCCACAAATAGAAGAGCAATACGACGAAGACGGCTACTCGAAGATCAATGTTGATCAATTGGGTCTCGCCAAGAAGATTCTGCAGCAGAAACAGGATGTGGAGTCTTCGGGAGAATCGGATTCAGATCATGGTAACCTGTCTGTAGGTCGCAGCTGTCCTCAATTAACTGTTTACAGAAGACTACGACATTACGCAGAACCTGCCTCCGAAAATCAAGCGTTTTGTTCTGAAGAACAGAGTACGTCGTGCCAAGAGAGCTCCGTTCTTCGCCAACATTCCAGCTGCAATCAAGCAGAAGTACATCGAGAAGAAGATCGAACTGCAACGTGCCAAATGTAAGTGGAAGACCTACTATCATCTGTAAACTGGTGGATTTCAGTCCGTGCCCGCATCAAGGCTCAAAAGATGGCCTCGATTCGTATCGCTATTCCTCCTCCGAGACCACCTCCGCAGTTCGTCGCTCCTCAAACACCCGCGAGAGGCTCGGCGGCAAAGCAACAAACTCCACGGGGACCGAAGCCAAAGAAGGCAAAAATGACCAATGTGGTAAGATATCAAATTTCTATTTTCAGTTTTTCTTTGTCACTTTTGCTATTCACTAATCTCTTGCAGCAAATGTCCATTGTCCAGCCACCTTTACCTCTTCATCAACTTCAGAGTCATATGGTCCGTTCGCATGTATGCTATATATGTTGTGTGTCCGTGATTCTCATCGATTCTAATTCATCAGATTCAATCACTTTAAATCATTTTAGAATTAAAATTTTTTGCAGAACGTACCCACAAAGATTACCGCTGTGCCGAATGTTGCTGCTGGCTATCCACATCCACATCCACAACCGACTCCGGTGAAGACCGTGCAGGGCACTCCACGTCCCCAGCAAGGACCGCCAGGCCACCCGCAGACACCATCTCATCTTGCTCAACTCGGAAACTTTGTGCATGGTGCTCATCCTGGTCAACAAATGAATGCTGCTCAGTTCCAAGCAGCTCAAGCTGCTCAAGCTGCTCAATTCAAGGCCTATCAGATGGCCCAGGCAGCAAAGCAGGGGCAAGCAGCTCAAGGGGATCGTCCGATTCCCGTCGCTACTCCGATGCCTGGACAACCTCAACCAATGCCTCAAACATTCCAAAGTTATCTGACTCCGTAAGACAACGAAATTTGAAGTTGAAAGTGCTAATTTATTGATTACAGACCTGAACTGCAAGAGTTGGAGATCAGAAAGCAGAACGACGAGATGAATAAAGTGATGGAACTCTTGAGAAATCGTGGACAGTATCCTCCAATGAACCAGGATCATTTTGCTATCCACGTTCAACAAGCCAAGGCCGATGTGTACTCGATGGGATTTGCTGAGTTGCATGGACAACTGAGATTGCAGGCTGAGCACAACGCTCGGCTGAGAGCAATGCAACATGCTCAAGATCAAGCTTGTCAGGAGGCTGCCCGAGAAGCAGCTCGATTAGCAGCTCGTGAAGCAGCCAAAGAAGCAGCCAGAAAAAAGACCGAGGCCGAAGCTCGTGCCAAAGCAAAGGCGGAGGCAGAAGCGAAGGCCAAAGCAGAAGAAGAGAAGAAAGAACGAGCTCTCCAGGCTCAAACTTTGGCTCAAGCTCAAGCACGATTTGCTCAGATGCAGGCTCATGCGAAAATGCTCGAGCAAACTGGAAATCGTCCTGGAGTCGACATGCAACAAGTCCAGGCTCAACAAATGCAACAGATGCAGCATATGCAGCAAATTCAACACATGCAGCAGATGCAAATGCAGCAAGCAGCATTCGCCGCTCGCATGCAACAAGGAACTCCAATGCCGGGAGCACAAGGAGGAGCGCCAGGACCTTCGGGTGCTCCACCACAAATGCAAGGAGCCCCAGGAATGCCCGGAATGCCCGGAATGCCCGGAGTGCCCGGAGTACCAGGATACCCTGGATATCCGGGAGTACCAGGGATGCCTGGCATGACAATGATGCCAGGAATGTCGATAATGGCTGGAATGCCAGGAATACCGGGAGTGGGAATGGTGCCAGGTATGCAACAAGCGATGCACATGCAGAACCAACCTGGCCAGGCTCCATCCAATGGAAGCCAGCAGACGCCGCAACAACTACTCCTGCAGCTCCAGATGCAACAGCAACAGGTCATGCAGCAACAGTTCCAGCAGCAGTTCAACCAGCAACTCCAATGGGCACACCAGCAGCAGCAGCAGCAACCGGCATTGGCTCCAGTCGCCACGCCTACAATCGCCAGCACTCCTGTTCCGACCATAGCTCGGGCTCCAACGGCCGCGCCACAGGCTATCCTGCCGGGAACAGTTCACAACGGCCATCCACCAACCGCTGCTCCCAGAAGAGTAAAAGTACGGATTGCAAATTTGCAATAGGCTTAACCGTACATTTTATTTTCAGAGCCCTGTCGAGTTGGAGTTGTGGCCAACTAATGGTTATGATGAAAAGAAAGGCACCCAAACCGGCGCTATTTATTGTGCATCCACTGAAGATGTCACTTGTAAGTTTCATCTTTTTCTCCACTCGATTTAATAATACAAGTAAGTAAGTAAGTAATGCTTTTTTTTCCAGTTTACCACGTCGCTTGTCTCATTAAATCTCGTTCTCCAATCAATGCCAGTGATGTTGGATCTCTCTGGGTTATGGTAAGTCAAAAACGTTCGAAAATCGTATCCATCCGCTATTTGTTTTCAGCGTCTCGACGACCTGGCTATTGCGCAGTTCCAATTGCACCAACTTCTTGAAGAAGCGCAAGTTTTTGTTGGAAAACAACACTTGATCATTTTCTACGACGACGTGATGGCTGGAGAAACTCCAAAGACCCGGGAGTATATTATCAACAAGAACTTTAAGCCAGATCGTCAGAACGCTAACAAGGCATAATTTGTTTCGTGTGTTCATTCTGGTTGCAGCCCGATATCAAGCTTTTACTCATCATTTTCTGTCCGATGGTTATCTCGACATTTATTATTGTTGTTAGTATTCTTATTATCATTTATTTGTGAAAAAGTGCAATATGATTGACGAATGAAGAAGAATAGAAACATATAAATTTTTCAGAAATGTCCGAGAAATTCGTTGACATGTGTTGACAGGATGATTAAGATTGCAATATATGGCATTCTGAAGTAAATGCGTTCTGTTAAGAGAGGTAAAATAGTCTTAAGCCAAAAACAGCCAAAAATCCTTTTGCATACATCACAAATAGGTTGGTTTTTCAACAGAGCGCATTCACTTTGAAATGCCTCGTACAGATGATATGTACTATTCAATTTCATCAGTTGTGAGAGTAATTTCAGAGCTTTCAGAGTTTTGAACTGCACATTCGATTTTTGTGGGAAACGATTTGCACGAAGACAATAACTTATCGTATTCCGCTTGCAAGAGACGATTAACCGCATTGTTCTGCTCAATAAGTCGCTTCAGTTGAGCAGCTTTCGCTTCGTCGTCTGAAGGAACAACAGTTCAAATGAGCGGTTAGGCACCGAAAACATCTAACCTGTCCCATCAGCAAAAAGTGCGTTCTCAAGTTTTGCTTCCATGCCCTCTGTAGTGTGCGTGACGGCGATTTCAATGTCTTGAACTTGCTCTGTTTGTCCGAACTTTGCTCGGATCTGTATTTCACACTCGTCGCCTATGGTTCTTATGGTTTTCATTTTCGGGCTACTTCTTTTCATAGCTTCTCTCTTATACTGACTTCCATTTCTACAAATTGGCGCCGCTGATAATTTGTTTCTGGTTTGAAAAATGCCGTTGAGAGTCGACCTGAACAACGGTGAAACGACGGCGTCGTCTGGGACGGACGAAGGCACGAGCTCTGCCTGGTGCATATTTTCTGCCGCAAGTTTCTCCGTCAGCGCTTTTTTCTTGTTCTCAATGTGAAGTTTCACTTTCTTCTCGGTTGTATGGAACACGAAGAGACCTTCCCTCTGTTTTTGAATCATCTCGTGCAGACTGTTATGCGCTTCCATGAAAAGTCCCAGACAGTCGAGATGGCTATGACTTGTGTTTGTTCTCATGACAAAACGATCCATGAGCAACTTATACTGCTCGCCAATGCGGGAGAGTAGACCAAACAGCCTCAGCATGTCCTTCGTCGCTTCAATTTCATGGATTTCCAGTTCGACAGTACACAACATCCCATTTTTCAGACGATTGTTCAGTTGCTCAACTTTTTTGTTGATAGTACCAAAGAGACTCCAACATTCTTCCAGTGTAATTGTCTGTAATACACTAATGTTTAAAACAACTGATTTCTTCTCACTTTTTTCATGATCTTATTCTGTGCCTCCATTCCTGACTCTTCGAGTCCCACCGGCCATTCCACATCTCGGAATACTGTAAACGTCCTTTGGTTTCCTTCAAAAATATGTTCTTACATTTGATGAAATGTGAATTTTGTTTGATTTCCTTTCGCACTCGCCTGTTGCCATCTGAATTGTAGTCCCTGGAATTATAAAAACCGTTTGAATGAAGACTGAAATGATTCTCTTACACTTGACGTGCTCTTTCCCGTCTTGACAGTTTTTCGGATAAATCTTGCGGGCTTAAACTTTTCATTTTTCAAAGAATTCAGTCTTTACTTAACTCACAGACAACTCGAGCATTCGCAAACGTCAAAATAGAGCTTTCCATAGTGAATGAGAATTTGTTCCCCTGAACTGATCGCTTTTGTTACCTGCAAAATATTATGCCTATTTATTAACTATGAATATTTTCACCTGGATGATATTTTTGCTTGTCGAGAGAGTCAAGTAAGTGGCGTTGCTCTTTTCACAATCGTGGTTTGCAATGGCGCACGGACCAACCCACATCTTCTCTTTTTGGCCAACGCTGTAAGTATGTACAGTGCTGGCCATTAATATATGAAAAAATGGTTTTTTGAGGATAACTTTTTTTTCTAGTTATCCGGGGACCCTGAAACTTATACGGTATACAAAAAGTACCGTTAGGCAAAGTTGCGGACTTTCAAACTGCATCATCATTTATTTTTTTCTTCAGAAAAATGTATTTTTTTCATTTTTTTCGATTTTTTTCGATTTTTTTGATGTTTTTTTTATTTTTCGATTTATTTTTCTGTGATATCATATGACTCTAAAATGATTTGTAGACATGGGAAAACCTCGTGGAAGACAAAATGTGCCCGTAGATGTTAAAAAAACGATCATCCGAGGTCGCCAGCAAGGCATGAAGTTGAAAGATCTTGCTCAGCAGTTTCAGCTCGGTATTTCCACGGCTTTCAGCATTTTGAAAAGGTTCAAGACGCAGGTAAGGTTCAAAGTGTTTGTCAAACCCAATAAAACATTTAGGAAACCTGCATCGGTCCAAAGGCGCCAGGAAAACCTCGTGGAACCACCAAGGCTATGGATCGCAACATCCTGAGAGCGTCGAGAGAGGATCCCAGAAGGACTTCAGCGGAAATCCAGATGGTTGTGAATTCTCCCACGGATCCAGCACCTTCTAGAAGAACAATCAGAAGACGTTTATTCCGTTGATACGTCTCAGAGGTCCCATAGCGTTGGCCGAGAAACATCCCCATACCATACACGATCCTCCTCCGTGCTTGACTGTTGGAAGATGGTACTTGGAAGAATATCTGGTTCCAACGGGACGCCGAATCCAGCAATTTCCATCACTACCAAACAAATTAAACTTGCTTTCATCGGACCAGATGTGTTTTTCCTATTCGCGAGGTCCCCAGGTGAGATGAGCTTTTGCCCATGCAACTCGAGCCTTCCGGTTCTTCTGGTTTGCGAACTGGACGTCGTCCATGGAGCCCAGCATCTTGTAAAAGTCTTTTGATTGTTCTTCTAGAAGGTGCTGGATCCGTGGGAGAATTCACAACCATCTGGATTTCCGTTGAAGTCCTTCTGGGATCCTCTCTCGACGCTCTCAGGATGTTCCGATCCATGGCCTTGGTGGTTCCACGAGGTTTTTCCTGGCGTCTTTGGACCGATGCAGGTATTCTAAATATTTTTATTGGGTTTGACAAACACTTTGAACCTTACCTGCGTCTTGAACCTTTTCAAAATGCTGAAAGCCGTGGAAATACCGAGCTGAAACTGCTGAGCAAGATCTTTCAACTTCATGCCTTGCTGGCGACCTCGGATGATCGCTTTTTTAACATCTACGGGCACATTTTGTCTTCCACGAGGTTTTCTCATGTCTACAAATCATTTTAGAGTCATATGATATCACAGAAAAAAAAATAAATCGAAAAAAATAAAAAACATCAAAAATCGAAAAATCGAAAAAATGAAAAAAATACATTTTCTGAAAAAAAAATAAATGATGATGCAGTTTGAAAGTCCGCAACTTTGCCTAACGGTACTTTTTGTATACCGTATAAGTTTCAGGGTCCCCGGATAACTAGAAAAAAAGTTATCCTCAAAAAACCATTTTTTCATATATTAATGGCCAGCACTGTACATCTTTCAGTTAGATCAGTGGATTGCGTCGACATTACCTAGAGTGTGTAACCGAATACTGATTGATTTCCTTCGGGAAATTGCCATTTTCCCATCCGGTAGAAAAGTTGTGTAAGTTTAATCTCTCGCCGGCCATCCTTTATGAAGTTACTGAACGTACATTATGCTCCTTCCTAGAATTCTCACCAGTCTTTTGTTGAAATCAGCTTCATTCCGACGTTCCCCTCAGCGTGGTAATCGAAACATGGTGCGACAGTGATTCCGGTCTCTATATCAAAGAGTCGAAGATAGTTATTAGTCTGTAAAAGTTCTTCCGGGTACAAAAAATAATACTCCTCCGTGGAAATTCAGACTTACAATCATTTCAGTCCGATTATCAGTTGTGAATAACCGCAAAACTTGATGGATTGTCTGAAAATAGAAATCTTTCGGGAAAAGAGGAGGTGAATTCTCACGTTCCGGACTTCCTCTTTACGACCGGACAACGTGTACGCTTTCATCAAACGCCTCATCTGTTCGCTTACCGCAGGCGGAATTTTAGACCAACTGAAAATTGAATGGGGATTCATGGATCCTGCGAACTATACACTAACTCCGAAAAAACTTTGCTGGAGCTGAAGCCCAACGTAGGGTCCAGAATGCAAGTGCGCACAAAATCGTCCAAAAGAAGAAGAGAATAGTCTTCATTTGGCTCTGCGAAAGCGGCGGCTTGCTTATTCGCCATTATCATCTGAAATCTCGAGCATTGAATGAAACAATTTCACATTTCTCGTTTTCACATTCTTTTTCAAATCTGTCTGGGGCCTATAGGAGATTTTGCAGAGCATGTGCATGACGCGTATTGCTATGCAATTAGTCAACCTCGTAACCATCTCTCTCTTCCTCTCTCTGACACTATTGTTATGCTAGAGTCAACATAAAATAATGCTTACATTATTTTATTCTGTATAATATGAGGCAAATCAAAGCATTCTAAAAAAAAGTGTGCCATGCCCTAGTAGTGTACATGTTGATTTTCTCGAACATCGCCTCTTAACGTACCACCTGATTGTTCGATCCTTGGTCGATATTCATTTTGCAGCAATGAATGTTCGGAAAGCTGAAGGAACGAGTATTTATTTATATAACTGTTTAAAACGCTAATGAGCGCCAAACGGAAGAGTGGGCGAAATAAGAAAGGGATAAGCCTGGATGTGTTTCTAATGGTAACCGAAAGATTTGAAAGAAAAAGGCTCACAAGGTTTGCTTGCTTTTCGATTTGAACCTTCATTTTTCTAAACTTTGCCCGAAAAAAGAGTTTGTTACACAGAATTGGAGTAATATTGCAAATGTTTCGGACTTTGTGCGAGGCGGGGCCGCGGAAATGAAAAAAACTTCAATAAAATGGACGAATGCACTTCTTTAGTGCAAAGTTTATTGATTTTGTTTTGACAAGAAGTGAAAGTAAGCTACGCACGGCAAACGACTCAAGGAATGTAAGCTGTATGTATTCACAAATATAACGGTGGTGATTGAAGGAAATCAGAAGAAGAACAATAATAAGGAAAAAGTACAGACGACATACAGCAACGACAAGTTCTTTGTCGTTTCTTCGGCGATAATTGGCTGAACTATATTCTTTTTTAGAACGAATGTCGTCGCGATTTCATCAATCTCTCGTTTTTGAATGATAGTTGTGATGAAAAAGGTCAAATGAGAACAGAAGGGTAATGGCGAGGAGTGAGAAGCGAAAAACGACCAGAAAAGGGAAAGAGGGGGGAATAATCTTCATCATAATGAGAATAGAGAATAGCATTTTCTCCAGTCTTTGCTCTTTCTCTGTCGTTTTCCACAATGAGATAGAAACAGAATTTGATGAGCGGAAAATGAGAACGTTTTTTGTATATCATGCATATGTTGTGCAATGGGAAAACCATAAACTTTTTCAGATCTCGCTTTCATTTATTTATAAACAATGTGTTTGGAATCCACATTCGTGTTCTTGCATGTCTTTCGCTAAATTGGAATTATGAATAACTAACAGGGCTCGTGGATGCTTTGACCTTCAATATAAAACCAACCGAAAAATTGAATTGGATGGCGTTGTATGCCTATGACTCATCAATTGTCTTTATTCCTTTTCTTTTATAAAGTGGTTCAAGTTCCCCCTAAACACGAGTTTATTCCAGTCGATGCACCATATCACATCAGCCCATCATGATGTCAGCCGCTATAAAACCACCCATTTCTTTTTGTTTTTCCACTGAAACTTCCCACAAAATCTCTGATGTTTTCCATTCGAATTCACATTTGAATTGCGCATCCAAACGTGTAAAAAGCCATAACGAGTCGGAACTACATTTCGAATGATACTCTTTCCGACGCATCACTCCCCGATGGCTCGTTTCAATGACGTTTTTCGATGGAATCTAAAACCACATCTACTCTTCTTGACCGGGAAACAGTACTCTTCCACGTCAGAAATGGACCGGAGGATGGAAGAAAACGCATTTTGGAATGTCATGCGTTTTCTTGAATATAAATAAACCCTTCTTTGTGTGGTCCCAGGAAAAGTAACGTGAATTTCTAGAAAAAGAACGGAAAAAACTTAAAATGACGATGCATGTCAAGCCATTATGTACATCAAACGTTGAATCAGAATCTTATTGACTCAACTCTGAGGTTGTACAAAGGATGATGTCATTTTGACATATATGATTCCAGGTTTACAATAAACATTATCTGAACAGACTAGATATTGAAAATAGAACAAAGTAAGCTGACTTTTAGGGTAAAACTCTGTAGCCACTCTGTTCGCTATTTCACTTTTCATTTCTAGACAAACGTCATAAACAGTGCAATTGATAGAAATTTCATGTCGACAACTTATTATTCTATGCACAGACGTTTTCACTTCCAAAAAGAGCAGAAAAAATTAAATTGGGAGCATGAGTCTAGTTTGCAAACAATTAAAGATACTCTCCTGACTTTATCATCTGGTCCTTAATTTATCGGCTGTTTCCCTGAACTTTGACCATTTAGCGGGACAGGAATAGGCCAGAAGTAGTTTTGAATTGGACTAATTGAATGATTATCTGCCACGACATCCCGCCAAGTTAGTTCCGTTTTCAAAGAAGAGGAATTCGTCACTTTGCTTCCATTTTTGTGCATTTCGACATGTTTTGTACAAATTTGAATTCGAAAAACGCCTCTCATCTCTTGTATTGTGCTTCGACTCCGGCGCGGATCCGTTGTCGCTCCAATTTGCGCCTTTTGTGCGTGCCACGCCAACATTACTTTTCTGTTGCCTCCATCCGGATAGCACCAAAATCAGACGGCAAGCACTGCAAAAAGTGGCGGCGGAAAGCGATGACGAGTCGTCCGGACGACGATGCCCAATTTTCTGCCGATTGTCTACCATCAATCTCTTCCGAAAAGACACATGATTTCACTTTTTCTCCCTGAATGTCTCGCTGACTAACTCGGACCATCATTTTTTGGCCAAGGGGGTGGGCCGTCTTGTGGCCACGCCCACTTGCTCGTCTTTCGAGTCCGCCAGATTCAGATAGGCATCATATTTGCGCACCGACTGAACTTTCGCCAACCATGAACGTTCAACTCGCCATCACCGTCTTGCTTTGCCTCGTCGCTACGTCGGCCGCACAAAAGGGTAAGTAACTGATAATTGGTATCAGACAGACTCGCAGTAACTGAAGAATAATGCGATTTTAAAAACAATACAGACGCATTTGATTGGGAGGAAATAACCTGTCATAACCAGAAGGGCTTGGATGAAGATATTAGTTTTATCTGAAATGTACAACCTCTTCCGCATGGAATTCATTTACAAGAATAATTGCAGAAAAGCGTCTCTGTCTCATCGTTATGCGTTCTTTTGGCGCATCCTTCTAGCTCATTTATCACATTGCCAAAACTGTTCGCTCTTGGAGAATGCATAATTACACAGGAATTCCTGTTTTGCACATTGCCTTCGAGTAGTCACCTATTCCACCCAATAAACCCGTCTAGCTGAGGTTTTGGGACTCTGTTTTTGTGCAACAATCCGCGAAATAAGACAAAAGGGGTTGGGGTGGGTTCCATCAATCGTAACGAGTTCTGTTTCAGCCAAGGGATCGCCGGAAGTTCTCCCAGCTGCTATGTACGATGGCGATGCGAGCCACGAGAGCCTGAACAAGGTCAGCTAGAGAGAATAACTGTTCCGATTAAACTTGAACTTTTTTAGATTGGCACTCAGTTGCTCAACGCCCTTGCCGAATTGGAGGCTCTTCAGGAAGGCAGCCAGCAGTTAAAGATGGCGGAGAAACGGCGCAACAAGTTCGAATTCATTCGTTTCGGAAGAAAGTAGAGCGACTATTGGGGCGAAAGATCTTTGGCGACGGCCCGACTCTTTTCAATTTAATTGTCACAATTGCTCTCTTTTTTCTATGTCAATTTCGTAATGAATTGTGATAGCAGCCGATGAAAATAAAACATTTGAATTGTTACGACACTTTTTTTTCTCCAGAACATCAACATGAACGAGTCCCGCTAAAACGTTTCTGTAATTCACAAAATAAATATGGCAAGGTCTATCACAATACAATAAAATTCAGATTTCACAACAAAAAACCAGAGAAACGCAATAGAAGAAATGTATAAAGAATAAATACAAAACATATATGACCCGGTATGATGATTAAATTACTGCTTGTATGTACTTTCGGAGATCTCGACTACTCGGAGCCTTCTGACGAACTACTGTTGCTCAAATCTCTGCACTCCGCGATTTCCTGCGCTTTCCGTGCTTGTTCCTTGTCGCGCAACACTCTTTCCTCGGTAGTCAGAATTCCGAGTGGTCTATCAGGTATCGGAAGCGTCGGCGCTCTTCCATTGTGCTGAATTCCTTTCGGACCCGCTGGCGGACGAGTCAACGGGGTTGGAGTTTGCGGTCTAAAACACTCTTTGCTCAGCAATATAAATCTTGGCTCAATTACAGCTTACCCCATTTTCTTAGCCGGATTCAGATGTCCGCATTCGAAGCAACGGAATGAGATGTATGGGTATTCCGCCGGCAACGACATTCCGTTATGCGTTTGACAGATGGAGCAGATCAGAGCGTTTCTGAAAAATGAGGGTAATTATGGCAAGGTCTTGTTTGGTTCAGGAACACAATGATGGATACCTGCAATTGGGGCCATCCGACATGAAGTAGTCGAGCACGCGGTCCAGAACAGTGGTTTGGCGGAGAAAGGGACGGACCGAGACGGCATTCGGATGGCGCTGCGGGTACGGAGCCGTGTTCAACTGAAAAAATTGCTGATCCACTAGAGTTGAAGTTGTATCACTTACCGCATTGACGGTCGAATTCTGGACTGATCTGTTTCCTGGGTCGGCAGGCGGCACTTCTCCTCCTTTCGGATCTTGTTTGGGTGTTCCGAGAATAGTCACATCGCCAGATCTCTTTTTCAGTGGTGTGCCCGGAGCATCCTTCTCGGCGAGCTTCTCCTGCTCATTACTCTCGTAGCGATCCAGAATCTCTTTGGCTTCCTACAAATTATAAAGTTACACTTTGACGTGGCCCAGAGCACGATTACCTTGAACTTCAGCGTTTCCTTGACGAGATCGAGCAGGGTGGTCTTTTGAGAAAAAGAGTTCTCCAGCTTCTGAGTGGTTCGATGAGTTCTCCAGGCGAAGAAAGCGTTGATGACGTAGCGACCGGTGAGCACAACGACCGCAGCGCCGACAACCAGAGCACATGCGACGTAGCTCTGAAAATTGGAAATCACTGAAGAATAAGAAGGCTGAGAGGTAGTGCTCGCCTTAGCCGGATCCTCGTATCTCAACCAAGTGTGAGCCATCGCAACGCTGAGAACAAGAACGACGCTCATGTAATAGTAGTACAAAGCGGTCGAATTGCTCTGAAATGTTCGGATTACCGTTACTGTGAACGTTGGAACTTACCGAAGAAATGTTCTGAAGACTCTTTTTCAATTCTTCGATAGTGAGAGCGACACGCTCGAGTTCGGTCGCCGGCGATTTGGTGCGCGAAAAAAGGTTTCCCATCTGAAAAAAAGACTTTGAAAAAGAAAGGAGAGCACGGAAGAGAACCATGAAAGGATGATTTTTATAAAACACGTTACGATCCGTCACTCACTCACCATCTTTATTTCTATAAAGCGCGGTGGAGGTCGGTGAGAGAAGAGCAAAAGTGTCTCTCAATTGATTTCCAAGTGACATGCAGTCTCAAAAAACGCGCGTGGGTTCTCGTTTTGTGTAAAGAAAAGAAGTAAGAGAAAAGGTTGTGTTGGTTCAGAGAAAATGAAAACAAAGTGAGTGTATGCGACGTCGAACGTGTGTTTATTCGAACGCAAACTGCAAAGTCACCGATAAAATGACGTCTCTCTACACGTTTTGATCTAAATGCGCTGTTTTTTGAGTTCACCGGCCATAGAAAGAAGAAGAAGGATAAAAACTCTACAAGAGAAACACACTAAAAGCAGTTTATTGCTAAGATGGACAGCAAAACAGCAAATTGAATGAGAATAAATTAGTCCGCGTGAGTCGCGCACGCGGTGGTTGCTAGCGTGTTTGCGGTGCTGGCCCAGAATACTGTCCTCTTCCACGCGTTCAGAAAAAGCAGTGAGGTCGCCCGCGCGGGTCGTATGTAGATTTTTTGACGCAAAGACCCCCGAGGAGCGGAAAAAAGATGGTCGATTTCGCAACGGGCGGGAAAAGTTGGAGTGGGGGAAATATGATAGTGTTACAACCAATCCGATGACTAAGATAAGCTATTATTTGCAGAAGAAGACTACAAACGAGACGTAAATAAAGACAATTACACGGTTTCTAAACCTTCAAAAAAAAAAGGTTTTTACAGGATGATTATTCTACAATATTGTACAGCTATTTGTGTGCGGTGAGGAGAGAAGACTTGTCAGTCTCGCAGATTGCGCTTTCCGTAGACTTGAACCAAGACGTGCTCCCAGGAGTGAAGAGCAACAAAACTGAAAAGATTCAAACATGGTAAGCAAAAATTGAACCCCACATGAGGGTATAGAAGGCAAGGATGTTTCTTCGAGCCGGAGTGTCGCACATGTAGGCGAGCGTGCGGCAGTACTGGAATTTAGGAATGAAAAATTGGAACTATTATAGCAGCTCACGATGAATGCGAGGATGAACTCGATGGCAAAAGCGCAGGAGCGAAGAGTCTGACCGGTGGCGTCGGCCAGTGCTTGGCCAGTCGAAAGGACGTATCGGACTTTCGGACCACCTAAAAAGAACTTGTCGTATGATTAAAACTTTATAATATTGCTCACGTCTGCGGGCTGTGATGGTCTGACGGATAACACGGCTGAAAACGAGAATCGATCTTTTCTTTTCTTTTTTTTGTTCGAAATGACGTGACTCACTGGATCTTGAGAGCAAGGTACACTCCCACAATCATGGAGATTCTCGACGGATCTCCGGGCTGGACGGCAATCTGAAACATTTATTAAGGGTTAAGGATATAGTACTGTCAAAAGTGCTCACCAGTAGGAAAAAGAGGAGAAGGAGCGTCTTGTCTCGCATCTGAAAATGTTTTTGTTGTAGAACAAACGAGACATGCGAGGAATCGGAGAAGAAAAAGCGGACAAGAACGTCTTTCTTTTTTAATAAACACCTCCGAACCATTTTTCTTCGTCACCACATCCGGTACCATTGTTGGAAAGGACGCGTTTCTCATTCGGAAGCAGCGGCACCGCTATGCAATTTCTGCCACGTCACCCATCTTTTTGTGTTACGAAACGAAACGTCGGAAGGCAGCGAGAAAGCAAGAATGCATTGAAATGTTACGAGTCAGAATGAATCATTTTTCCAGTAATAGAAATACAGAGTTGAGGGAATCTGCATGGGAGCTGAAAAGTTGCAGACGGCCCAAAGTGGTAATTTTCTGAAAAAGTGCTGCTTGTTGCGTGTCGAGAAGTTTTCCAATTACGGTGAAGTGGATATCTGAAAATGTGTCACGCGGTAAATCGCTCCCAAAATAGAAATTTGAAGCGCCAACCGCCTGATCACTTTTATCATCAGATCCCCAACCTAAAAAGACAAACATCCCGAGTTGCTTGCCCTTTTCCACTCTGGCTCGCATCTTTTTTTATCCGCCTTGCCCCTCCCAACCGTATCGAAATCGCGATCAGATCCTGAGTGGGCAGAGAGTGACCACTGTGGAAAGTGATGGAGGAAAGTTTGCGTTGTATCGTTACCAAAATGCGCACGAAAAAGAGCGGGGCGGAGAGCACAACAACCTTTGAGAGAAGAAGGAAGGAGGCGGAGGGCGTGCGCTTATTTGGAAAGTGTCAGGCCGACGGTCGAGCACGTTCTGCAGACCGGCCACCTCATTTGTTTTATCCCTGTCAAGACTTCCTTTCATTTCGACATTTTCTCACTCCGCTTTCATAGTAATCCGACACGATCATGAAGATTTTATTTATTTTACTTTTTCTGTGCGGTCAGTTTTTTGGAGGTTTATCTGGAATGCAAGTTTGTTCTTTTCAGAATTATCCATAGTCTTTGGCCGTTGTCCCGATCATTCCTTTATTGGATGTATGCTAAGGCTCAAGGCTCAGAGAGTTCCAATTGAGAAAAACATTTTGAGTTTGGTTTTCGGAATTGGAACAGAAGCACGCTTGTTGCACACTTGCAAGTGAGCACTGTCTTTTTATTATACCCCTGTGAAAAAACTATTTTTATAGAGTTTACTCATCTACTCTGCCTTGTTTTCAAGAGAAAATCAGAGAGTGTGGCGATGAGAAGCAGAAAAGAGTGCTCAATGAAGTTTCGAAAACTATCATGTATCTGTGCTCCCCATTCAGCATGAAACGACAAAGGTGAGTTATTTCATTGGTTCGTTGTGAGAAAGACCAAAAACTGTCACATTCCACAAGAAAAAGCAAAAATCAGAGCTTAACAAAGAAAACCGTGAATGAAACCAAAACAATGCAGTTCTTCTCGCGAACTGATCTAATCCTCACTCTTTGAACTGACCAGACCAGTGTCAATTGTAACCACACTATTTGTTTCAATCTATTTTGGTTGTCCAAGCATTTACGTGACCCCCGAATTACTATCCTTCGGCAACGTTTGCATAAGGTCTTTCTTGCCCTGAAAACCTGTTTTTCTCGGATTAGACAAGCCAAGCCGTCGGCCAATCAGGCTGATTTCTGCGAAAAGCAAAAACAAGGGGAATCAGAAGAGCATGGGGGAAAGAGATGCGAACGCAAGCACTTGAGAGGTGTCAACTCAAATAAGCACAGTATTCGAACTGTTTGTTTAATAATGTGAAAATGTCTTCCGCTATTTTCAATGGATGTCTGGGTGAAGGTAAAGAACGAGAGCGTTCCGGATACCAAATAAAGCGCAGCTCTCCCTCTCTTTCTCCAAGATCAAGTTCAATCTCAGATCTGTCATAGAGCATCAAAAATGCATCTCCGCAGTTCTTTCGCTTCCGGCAAGTACTGGATGTCAGTTGGAGGATCACGAGTATGGAAAACAAGTTCTGGCTTGCAAGTGAGACACTTACCGCCGTAATCTTGAAAGTTATAAAAAATGTTTCAGGAAAGAATGCAATGCGCGTGGATCCGATTTTATTTGCATGATGCGAACGTGGATTGCTGAACAGAACACCTGCACTTTGAAGGATATCGACCGTACTTGTAATTCCAAGAATAGCTATAAACGTGCTTTTGCAGAGAAATGTGGGGCTGAAGCTGCTGCACTATTCCAAGAACTTCAGACAACTATTTTTGAGCCCACGTATCCAGTTGTTTGCAACTATCAAAACGGTAAAAAGCTCTTCAGGCGTTGAAAACGAACCAAAGTTGTTCAGATACCATGATTCCGGATCAAGGCAAAACTTCGCATTTGAAAGAAAAGAAAATCAAAACCCAATACCGAAAACCTGTAAGTTTTACTTTCTCCGAGACAATCACATATATTTCCCAACTTTTGCAGATTCAAAAGTCAAAGACTGAGATTCAGGAGCACGCATTCGTGCTCACTTCGCCATCGACTCTATCCACTGCCGATAACATTTACATTGCTCCGCCCGACCAAGTTCAACCCAGTGTTTACATGCGTCCGCAGAAACCGAACTTGTCGGCAAATTTGACCAACAACACCGTCTCTTTGTATCCAACTCAGGAAGAAATGCAAGAGAAGGCGAGCATTTGGAAGAAAGGAGGTTACGGACAGAAAGTGCAATACAACAAAGAGCACTGGAGACAAAAAACTACATCGGGTAAGATGAAAAAAACGGACAATGGAGCCGGAAAGTGCGTTTTTTGCAGGTGAATTCGTTTTCACAACGCAACATCCTCTGTTCACAACAACCGAATTGGGAGCGACACCTCGACGCCATAAAGTGATCGACATTCTGAAGAGTCTGATCCCTCCGAACCTTCCTTCCCAGCTGACTGCTCTGCTAGAGAACAGTTACGACAAAGAAACGTTCCCTGAAATTCATAGCTACAACACGCCTGCAGTGTCTCCAGAAACTGAAGCACCCACCACTCAGCAAGGTACTAAAAGCATGAGAGAATTACTTGCATCTGAATTTGGCATTTCTTTTCCAGTTGTTTTCCAACCCGAAATAGTCACGATTGCTCCGAAAACATCCATGATACCTCCGCAACCCATAAAAATATCTTATCGACCTGTGAACCAAAACCAAAACCCGACTACAACCCAGCCTGTCGTTTATTATCAACTGCCCACGCAACCTGCAATGTCTACGAAATGGAAACCGTGGTATTTGGGCGGTGCGTGATGCTGATTTGTTTCTTCTCCGAATGTTCATAACCCCAAGTACATGTGTTTTACTTAAATTTATTGTACCAATTGATCTCGGCAATTTTAGTAATCAATGTTTCAAAAAAAGAAATAATTGATCAGGTGATTATTGAATTGTGATTCTGAACAATTACTCTAAACAAGCATGGTTATTTCTTTTTGTTTTCAAATTCAATAAAGTCTATGTACACTGTCACAACCTCAAGAAAGAGTAGTTATAATTCCAATAACAGGTAGTGTTGTTTTGTATAAAAGTGAAAGAACAGGTTCAATGAGAAACTGAGCAAAGTGTAATAACATAAAAAGGTGAATGCTCAGTGAAACGTGAAGAAATAGATGCACTTGTTACATTTAGAGAAAAATGACACACTTTTTGTGGGGGAGGGGTAGCATGAAGGCGAGATGAGTTACTATCCTCAGAGTAGCGAAATTGACTGAATTAAACCGTGGATGGATTAATTATAGCACTAGCAGAGAGTCTGAAAAGGCAAGAATAGTAACAAAATCAAATCATTGAGACCGAAAGAGTTATACAAAATTAGCATCTACTGAAACCGGCTCTATCTGGCAGAGAGCGTCTTCATCGGAGTGCTGAATGCCAGGCAGTACTTCATGTAGTCACTCCGCTCGTCCAGGTAACGATTGCAATTGTAGATCACAACGACGAACCAGAACTCCAAGGCCAGGGAGACTGCGTAGACAATGAGCAGCGAGTAGATTCGAACCATTGTTCCTGAAAAGTTTGGGGTTTCCGTTGATTTCTTTTATGGTCTGCTCTAACCAGTGTCCAAGGCGACTGTATTATTATTGGGATGTTCCATGAACGGTGCTGCATTTATCAACCGATAAAAAACTGCCGAGTCCGTGCACAACGCAATCGTTCCGCTGACGAGCACCAAAATGAAGCAGAGGATTGCAATAACCTGTAATTGGTGCGTTGTTTTTTCCGAACCAGTCTCAAAATGAGATTTCAATTTTGTAGGTTCTCAAAAGCAGAGAGAAAACAGATTCCATTATGTTCTTTTTTGGTCCAAAACAAGAACCTACCTGCATAACAAGATGTGGTACGACGAGTAAAGCTGAGTTTCGAGACAGAGCAACAAAGAGGAGGAAGACTGCGAATATTCCGAGGCCGAGACCAATCATTTCAGCGAGGAACGAGCCAAACACGTAGTTTTCCTTTACTCCACGGGCCTGCAAGAATAAATTTAGTGAGAATGTTAAGAGATGGATTTGAGGAACCTGTTGCAGTCTTCCGTCGTGTTGGAAGTACACAAAAAGACTGTGAATGAGGAAGAAGAGAATCATTAAAACATGAACGCATCCGATGATGAATGCACCCGTTTTGACGTGAAAGCAGTTGCACAGACATCTGTATTCCTCCGAACTTTCGTCGAATTGAATTGATCGAGGTACCTGGAAGATAGATAAACTTTAAAATGGAATATCCTCGAATATTGGAACGTTATAACTTACATGATCAACCGACCCGTTTTCTTGTCGATTATTGCGTATAAGAACGGACCTTACGGCCCGTCCATTCATCATATTTTCGAATCTTCCTTCCAACCAAAGCTGAAAAAATGAGCAATTTATATAGATGCAAATCCATATAAGAAAAGTGGCGAAAAGCAAGCGATAGTTGTCTATGACTAGAATAGAATAGCCACATCACAGAAAGAACAACTTAAAAAAAGAGAAGCCGATAACAAATGAAGTAGATTTCGTTTCTTTTCGTTTTTTTCGTTCGAGTTGATGCAGAATGTCAAATGTGGGCCACAACAACAACAACACCAAAATGGAGTCAGAAACGAACATTTCGGAAAAAAAGCTAGCTGACGGAAAAGAGCGAACGACTATTGAGACAGTTGGAGGAAAGAGAAAAAAGGAAGCTGAAAGAAAAACAAGGGGCGAAGAGCATTGCAGGCCACAAAACTGATTACAGCAACTTTTTTTTGACCCAATTTGGACAGTATTTGTACAAGAGCCTATGAGTCAGTGTGGTGTACTATTGATACGGAGAGAGAGAGAGAGATAGAGAGAGAAGCGGAGAGAAAGAAAGTCACAACAACATTCAATGTCAAACTCACAACAATTTGCGGTTTTCTCGATCGGCGATTTTCCTCTTCCATACCTGGAAGCATTCCAAAGTGGAAGCAGAGGAGGTGGGCGATGAGAGGACGCGAAAAAGCAGAGGGGGTTTTCAAAAATTTATGAGCAGGTGAGTTTGGAAATTTGAAATTCGAGGCGGAAGCCTCACAGGCAGAGTACGCGCAAAAAGGATTTCGATGTTGCCTAGGATTAGGAGTACGGAAGATGAAAGTTGAGAGAATTTGTGCATGCCAAAATATCTGGAAAGTGGCTGTTCTTTTGTACTATTTTGAGTGTTTTTGGTGCTTAACCGTCTTAAACATTTTCAATTCTCAACGAGCCACTTTCCACCACCTCGAAGAAAACGCGTTTTCTGTCATTACTCTCAAAAAACTAATTTTTTGGTTTTTCGAGAGCTTCTTCCCGAGAAGCCGTAGATTACCATAACAACTGGTTGGCCATGCATCTTTCTCTTTTGCTCATTGTCATTAGTGTGCCAACTAACACATTCTCAAAGTGCAACAAGCAAATAAAAAGCCGGGCTTTACATGCGCGAAGATCAGCGCGGCCTTATCGTGTTGGTCGTGTGAAAAACGGAGGTGGATGTGTATATAAATAATAATATTAAAATGGAGATATATGAGATAACAGAGGAGGAGAAGCACACACACACACACACATAATTTCCGCCTTTTCTTTCCACGAATCCCAAAGATGAAACAGGAGAGGAGACATGGAGGCAGAAGGATGTACAATGTAGAAAAAGGAAAATATGCAGAAATAGGGTTATGCACAAAAGAGGAGGATGCGAAAGGGGCGAATGGCGAGGGTGGGGGGCCTGCGAGCCACACACCGCACAAGGCTGTCGCGCATCCAACAGACGCGTCAGCACATGCATATTATTGATTGGCACCAGCACCCTGACCGAAAATAAGCGACATGTGCGCGCGGAAAGCAAATCAACGCCCGCGGACGCTTTTCCGCGCGGTCGTCCACCAGCCCAAATTGGTCCTTCCCGCTTACACCTGACGAAGGAAGCTGGAGAGGAGGAGGAAGAAGAGAGAGAAAGTAGAGAAAAAGCGTTTTAAGCTGTGCTCTGAATGTTTTTGTTTTTCCGATCACATGAGTTCGTCGAGTGTTTTGCAAGAACATATTCGATATGTAACGTTGGTGACCACTCAAATAACATGCTTTGAAATAAACATTTGGGATGCTTACTGAAACAAAAATCAAACTCGGCTGCTTTTGATACGAAGTGAACATGCAAACTGTACAACACGCGGTCGAATAGAGACAAGAAGACGGAAAAGATGGAGAGAAAGAGGGACTGTGAGCAAACAAATATGAATTGCGCAAGGCGTCATGGTAGAATGCATATGCAAATTGCAATGGGATAGGATGATATGTCCGAAGGAAGGAAATTTGAGAAGTGAAGACGACTTGTGGCAGGTTGACGCGCCGCCGCATTAGCCATGTTCGTCGACGTCTTCTTTTTCTTCTTCTTTTTCCTTCCGAAGAATAGAACTACTTGGCGCAACAAAGAGAGAATTCGATTCCCTGCACCCGCTCCGCAATCTGATTTCGAGCCAAGTGCACTTTTCGCCGCCTCTTCAGAAACAATGGCTGCAATGTTTCAAATGCAGTCCTTTATTGGCACCCGTTGGTTGTAGCTTCTCCTCAAATCCAGAGATGGAGATTCTGAAGGGGTATGCGGGGCGAACGAGCTTTCGAAAAATGAGCGAGACAAAAAAGGAGAGAAAGAATAAAAAACGTCGATAAAGTGTGTTGAATAACAACAATTGGCTGGGGGTAAGTAAGTTTCCTTCGAGACCTTTTTTCCTTTTTTTTCGTCTTCGTCGGTGAAATGCTGGAGCGCTGAGTGAAAGGAAAAAGAGGAAAAGAACAACCTGAAGTGAGCACCATTTTAGGCCAGACCGGCATTCAATTTCTTCCTTCAATTCGAAATTCGATATGATTGAGTTTTTGTTGGCATTGGGCTGCTTTTTCTCACAAATTCACGCCGGAAATTGAGAAACAATTCGCAGGAAATTGGAAGATTTCACTAAAAGATCGGGGACCAGCGTGACAAAGGCTGACGAGTTGAGAACAATATTATGGTAGCGGAAAAATGGGAACTGAACATGTGGAAACTGCTGAAAAACAGAAAAATTGGATTCGTCAGTCAGTTGTTTGAACTGGCAAACAAAACAAAATATGGAAGAATTTGTTCAACAAAAACATTCCCCTGGTGGCTTTTCCAGTTATTCCCGCGCATGACCTTGAAGTGCTGAAAAAGATACTCATAAATTCAAAGCTTGTATAGTAAACTACGACGGCAAAACTCAAAAATCACATTTCGTATTCGTCGCATGTGCTTCACATTTCCCCGGGGGAATAAACAAAAGCCATGGCTTCTCGCGCACCCAACAAAAGCTCGCGGGCCTCCTCCTCCTCCCGTTTCCATCACCCAAAGACGCCAATTTTAGGGTGGAAATAATGCCGGTGACAGACAGAAACGGCGGGCGGTTTGCAACGCTGTAATTAGCTGGCGGAAAGGGTACGCGCGGAGCAGAAGCGGTGCACGAAATAAGAGTGCGTCTCTCGCGGTTGCGAGGTGCTGGTTATTGGGTGGCCGGAATTGGCACGGGTGATTGGAATTGTGTCACCGACGTCGTCGGCACCACGACTAATTTGACGGACAGATACGCACAAGAGTGCGGTGAGTAGAAAAGGAATACATGAGAAACTTCATTGAAGTGAAACGAAGGGCAAAGAGAGAGAGAGAGAGATGTACATTTCTATTAAGCTAATCATAAGCGGGAAATATATATGTTTTACAACTTGTTCTCGTCGTACATCATTATCTGAGACTTCTTTCTTTCGGCCTCATTTGTGAATAATGTCCTCGACTTTTTCGGCATTGGGATGACATTTCCACTTCTGTCGTAGACGGACGCCAATTGTTCAATGGACACTGAAAATTAATATGGCTGCAATAGATCTTCCCATCTCAACTAGTCCCTACTTTCTGGATGGATCTTCATGATTCTCGTGTTCTTTCCCTCTCCGACAGTGATTTTTGCGCTGAATGCATTGAATTTGTTGGCTCTTTCAAAGTCGTGCCATCCGTGACCGTATGCTCTCAATGGATAGGCCATTTCTCCGTGCTTGAACACATCCAATCCGTTGATTTCGATTTCTTCAGAGACGCGAAGTTTCCCAGTCTGTAACAATACATCATTCACAACCATCTTCAACAGTGCAAACCTTCTTGAGAATCCAGAAAATCGGGTACATGAAGATAAGGGACCACGAGATGATAGAGAAGGCGCAAATCAGCTGCCATCCCAATTGCTAAAAATTCTATGTCAATATTCTGAATTGTTTGAGTGGAGCTTACAGCAAAGGCTTGTGTCAGTTGGTTTCCAGAATTTTCTCCTCCGGAAACAGCATTAGCAATTGCATAGGCAACTCCTCCACGAGCAATGATTGACGCTGACATCAAACCCCAGAAACCTCCACCAGCATGCACCGCAAAGGCATCAAGGGGGTCATCAATCTTGAGCCTGAAAATTGAAATTTTTCTCATTTAGTTCCTACTCTACGCTACTTGAACATAAGCTTGCTCAGTGCCAAGTAGATCAGTGCAGCTCCCACTCCGACCCAGATGCATGCCCACGGCTCCATCTTGTTACACCCGGCACAAGCGGCAACCATTCCACTCAAACACGCGTTGATCGTCAGCAGAAGTGTCCATTTTCCGTGTTGATAATAGTGGACGCCGAGATAGGTTAGGGCAGCAAACGATCCACTCAGAATTGTGTTGACCATGGCAAGCGCTACAGTATGCCCATCCCCGGCGTGAGAGATACTGGCAACAGACCCTCCGTTGAATGCCAAGAAACCGAACATCAAAATGAATCCTCCCAATGCAGTGAACTGAACAAGTCAAGGTCAGTCTCGTCAAGTTTTACCCGCTTACTGGAACAGAATGTCCAAGAATTTCATCCGATTCGTCGTCCTCGTCAGTTGGGAATTTACCGATTCTTGGTCCCATAAACCAGGCAGCGAGGAAAGAAATCGAACCCCCGCAGAGATGAACTACTCCGGAACCAGCAAAGTCCTGAAAATATCAATATCCATCAGATTTGTGATTTTCAAATTCTGTTACGTCATATTTAGTATCGATGATTCCACTTGTGATTCCTCTGAACATCCAGCCACTTTCGGCCCATGCCCAATGGGTAAGAATTGGATACACAAAAGCTGTAAAGTTACACCTTTGCGAGAGGGCATTTTGATTGATAACTAACTTGATATGACGGTACAATAAGTAACGTAGGTCACAAATTCGCATCTTTCAGCGACGGCGCCTGACACAATTGTGGCCGCAGTTGCCGAGAAGACGTATTGGAAAAAGAAACGTGGGTAATCCGAGAATCCGGACAAAAAGAATTGGGAATGTCCGAGGAAAAGATTGACTCCCTCTCCAGATTCTCCGTAGGCCAAAGCCCATCCGATGGCCCAGTAGCCAATGATACAAATACAAGAGTCAAGAAGGTTTTTTATAAGAATATTTGTCGTATTCTTACTGCGCACGGCTCCAGCTTCCAAGTATGCAAATCCACATTGCATGACTGAAATTAACAATATTCGATACGATGGCGGTAGCGGTGAAGAGACTTACAGAAGATGATCAAAGCCATCGAGCAGAGGAAAAACGAATTAACATTCTCATAGAAATCCGTCTCGAGTCTTGATATTTCAGCATGAAGCTTGTCGATCTCGAGAGACAGATTCGTCGGCGCTGCCATTGTCGAGATGGAAACGTCGAATGAATCGAATTCAAGTTCAACAGAATCAAAAAGTTGGGGGCGGACTGTCTGGGGTTTTACAGTACCTTTCTGTCGAATGATAGCTACTTACCGGTTTTTGGTTTTTATTACACCTTTTCTCGATGTGAGATGATTGCCACAACTTTTTGATCACTGATGTTCTTGGTCACTGTCCGACCGACGGGTCACAAAGTACGACGGATATGCGAGAGAAACTGATAAATCAACGTCACATACACATTTTCATGATCCTGCGCAAGAAATACCACTCCCGTCATTGTTTTTCGTGACTTTTATAGACATCCTGACCGCTTTTTTTATGACAACAAAAGAGTCGAGTTACGACTTTGTTTTCTTCACTCGCTAATCGCATCCGCACAGTCAACACCTTTTGTGACAGAAATACAAAGATTGTCTAGTACTCGTTAAAACTGCAACATTCCACCAATGCGTGTGTTTTCAGTGGACAAAGATCGTTTGAAATATGTACGTGAGAGAAACTGTTAGAACCAATCACGAAACCAATTCATCTTGTCAAACTTCCCATTCGAAATTGAAGAAAGAAAAATGAGATCACAAGGCCTTATCGCTTTTTTTTCCTTGAAAAGTTCTCGAAAAGAAGAAAGACACAAACAAGTCGATATCCAATTTATCACTCTCTGATCGGATGGCTACAAAATGTTACCATCCCTTTTTTCTCTCACTTCTCTCCAAGAAACCTTTTCACGTGAATGTGATAGACACCTTGACTTCCGGCCAGATAACATTTCCAAAAGTGATGTTCGTTGTTCAGAAAAATGTACACTGAAATAAGGAGAAAGTGAGAGAATACAGTTCATCAAAACCATAGATATCACTGTTGTAGAATCGTGGACCGAAAAAAATCGTGGACCCAAAAAATCGTGGACCAAAGCGAGGGTTTCATGAAACTGAATAAAATCGTAGACCCAAAATAAATTATCGTGGACCGAGAAAATCTTATGGAATCTTTAATCATATCTAAAAGCGTTAAATGAACATTAGTATATTTTTTTATGTTACAACTGGTCCACGATTTTGCTGTTCGGTCCACGATTCTACAACAGTGCTGAAAAACGTTATGTTACTCAATTATGCGGTTTTTATTTGTGCATTCAAGTCCAACTGTTTCCAGCTGTTGTATCTTCCTCAGGAGATTCCACGATCGTCGGGACTTGGAGACTGACAATTTTTGAAGTTGTGCTCTCGCGCGCCGGCACTTCATCATCATTCAAATAGAGATTATTAAGGGCATTAGCCTCTATCATCCGCGATTTTCTTCTCTCCATTTGATTCAGGAACAGTCTCTTTGGCTGATCGGACTCTGTCACACTTCCACTTCTCTCGTAAACCGATGCCAACTGTTCCAATGACACTGAAATATCAACATAATTCCGTGAATCTTCATTAAAACAACTCACTCTCAGGATGAACACTCATGATTCGGTTCTTTCTGCCGACTGGAAGATGTTTGCTGTGATGACCGCTTGTGCTTGGCGCCTTCTCAAAATCATGCCATCCGTGGCCATACGCGTGAAGTGGGTATGCTGATTCCCCGTGCTTGTATATATCCAAACCATTGATTTCAACTTCAGCGCTGACTCTCAGTTTTCCGATCTTCTTCAAAACGCCGAAGATTGGCCACATCCACAGAAAAGACCAAGCAACAATGGCAATAGCGCACACCCATTGCCAACCGAGTTGCTGAAATTTCAACTGTTTTCATTGTAGTTTGAAGATTCCATTAATTTACCGCAAATGCTTGTGAAATTTGATCGCCTCCATTGTTCGCTCCTCCGATAGTGTTGGCAATTGCGTAAACTACACCATCGTGACCAATGATCGCAACGGAGGTCAATCCCCAGAGACCGCCACCGGCATGAACTGCGAATGCGTCGAGAGGATCATCGATTTTCAATCTGAAGTGAAAAATGATATTATTTCAGAAAAAAAAAGAATGTTTAGTTTCTCACTTAATCATAGACCTGCTCAACGTCAAATAAATGAGTCCGGCTCCAACTCCAACAAAAATGCATGCCCATGGTTCCATCTTGTTACAGCCAGCACACGAGGAAACCATTCCAGCGAGACACGCGTTGATGGTCAGGAGCAGAGTCCATTTTCCATGATACAAAAAATGAGCAATGAGGTAACTGAGAGCAGCAAAAGCACCACTGAGGATAGTGTTAACCATGGCCAATGCGACAATGTGTCCCTCTCCTGGCTTCACGATGTCTGCCATTGATCCTCCGTTGAAGGCGAGGAATCCGAACATGAGGATGAAACCTCCCAATGCTGCGAACTGAAAGAATTGATCCACTTATTCATAATTCGTTATCAATGTATTTCCTCTTCTAAATCAAACTATCTGAAGACCAAACGATTATATAAACGGTGCATTTTAAGAGTTTGTTATCATCATCACTTTCCCGCGTTGATAAATTAATAACTGTCCGATTTATCAATTCTCCGTAACTCACTGGAACAGAGTGACCAAGAATTTCATCAGACTCTTCATCTTTGTCGTCCGGGAATCTTCCAATTCGGGGGCCCATTATGTAGGCGGCCAGGAAAGAAATGGATCCACCGCAAAGATGAACGACGCCGGAGCCAGCAAAGTCCTAAAAAACATCACGCTCCATACATATACCATAGTTTTGTTTCTTGCCATACATCATAGCGTGTATTGATAACCCCAGCTGTGATGCCCTGCGCCATCCATCCCTTGGGATGCCACCCCCAGTGAGTCAGAATAGGGTAGACGAATGCTGAACGATAGAAAAAGAATAGACGTCTAGCGCTTCTAGACCTCACTTGAGATTACTGTACAGTAAGTGATGTAATTGGCGAATTCACAACGCTCGGCGACAGCTCCAGACACGATTGTTGCTGACGTGGCGGCAAAGACGTATTGGAAGAAGAATCTGATGTTTTAATATTTTGGTTTTTGAGAAATCATTCCAATCGGCTTATAGGCTTAAATTATCAGGTCGCCGAGAAGAGAAGCTAGCAGAATTATGATAACGTGTTTTGTTTGTTTTTTACAGTACGAGTCGCCACCATAATGATTTTGTTCTGTGAACTTTTGATTTCGTTCGCAGAAGCAATATTCATAAGTTTGTGTTCGATTTTGAGAGTAATAATCATTGAACTTTGGATTGCATACCAACTGACTTCAAACAGAGATCATGTTTTTCAGGTGATCGAAGTGAAAGGTTTGCAGGATTGCAGGCTTGCTCACTTTGGGTAATTGGTGAAGTTGGCCAAAAAGAATTGTGAGTATCCGATGAACAGACCGATGATATCATTCGGACAGTCCCCGAACGCAAACGCCCAGCCCAAAGCCCAATATCCAACGATCGCAATGCCTGAACAGCGTTTCAGTCAACGAGCTTTTCACCTTTCAGACTTACATGAATCTAATAAATTTTTAATCAAGATATTTGTAGTGTTTTTACTACGTACTGCACCTGCTTCCAGAAAAGCGAAACCACATTGCATCACTGAAATAAGAACGATGAAGGTCACGGAACCAGTCATCGCTCAGACTTACGGAAAATGATCAGCGACATGGAACAGAGAAAGAACGCGTTGTCGTTTTCGGAGAAATCTGCTTTCATCTCATCCATTTCCTGCTGTAGCAATATGATTTGGGCGGTATAGTTTGGTTCCGTCATTGTGGTTCTGGAATGAGTGGGAGAATGAATAAGACAAAGTTGAATACTGGTGGTAAGGAGGGAATAATTGCACCTAAACGTGTGTTATCGACGCTACGGTACGTCTGAAAATCATAAAAGCGTCGAGCAACTATAAAAATCCGATTCTTAAGTTGGCCGACACTCTTTTTATGGCCCTCTGTAATAGCCGCAAATGTTGCCACGCGAGATGATGTTTGGAACGATTGCACTGAGCGAGTGCGAAGAGTTGCGCCAAACTGCGATTCGTTTATGAATTCCTTATCTCTTAAGGGTATGTTATCACCGGAATTTACACCTTCATGTCCAGTCCAAGACCAAACAATCGAAGTTAGAGGTGGGCGGTTTGGTGCTTTGGGCTTTGAACTCGTGAATTGACTCGATAAGCAGACAAATGTGCACTTGGTACCAGTTATCTGACGCAATCGGTGCTCCTGTTCTCAGTTTTCCGTTTCTATTTCCAAGTTGAAACTCTCAAAAGGTCAGACATTGTTACTCATCCTTCCTGATTTTCAAGACAGAAGACAGCTGAAATCCCAGAAAAAAAAGGTGCGTCACCAAATTCTGAACTCCCCGATGTATCTTGAGTTTTTAAAACATAGTTCGTAAACTGACCAGCCTGTTATTATCTCTTAATATCAACTTCCACCCCCACAAGACATTTTATCTATAAATTAGTTTCTGTCTTTCGATTTCACCTGATTGTTTCTCAATGTTCCCCTCATTCTGAGAACAAGAAACAGTGAACCGAAGTGGAAATATGGAAACACCTGTTATGTTGTTTTGACCGCCCACTTCTGAACTTCCCGGTTGTCACGGCTGCATTAAAATTAGCTCTCATGCATAGGCCATGTCTGCAGAACGGAAGCTGTTAAAAACTTTGTGCGCTTGTCTATTTTTAGCCGGCTTCGGACAAGGCAAACACGCAAAACACCTGGTGCAAATGTCAGTTGCAGGAAGATAACGAACATGTCGCGATAAGAGTGTTGTCCTCCCGAAAAATCCACAAAAATAATTAATTCACATCCAAGTTTTATGACAAATACTGTTGTTCATACGTTACAAATAAGAGCAATGAGTGAGTTCCAAATACAATTAGCAAGAAGGGTAGCAAAAATAAGTGCAATATGCTGATATTATTAGTATTTCGTATTAGTTGAAAAGTTCAAAACATTCAAAACGCCTATAGTACTTTCGTTGGTGAAAAATTATTTTATGTGTGTTTGTAACATGACAGTTAATGAATGTCGACAAGACGTTAGATCCTTCGTCTCCGCTCTTTGATGTCGTCGAGGGTCTGCACCTCCTCCGTGTACAGGGGTATCGGCGCCGTCGGCTCCGCGTGGTGTCGCACGTGTTGCGGAGACACCCCCGAGAAGATCTTCATGCACGACTGGAACGTCGTGTTGCGGAAGCAGTCCTTCCGGCACTCCACGCGAGTGTTCGGTGCGAAATGGGACCGTAACTCGTGGCACAGCATGCAGATTCTGTCCATGATCGTGTGCACCATCTCCAAGTCTTGTGGACCGCAGTTCTGCAAGCAAATTATAAGACTTTGAGACTTGATCACGTTAGCAGCTGGTCGTGCTGAAATTTCTACACACGGCTCACCTCATTTTCATCTATGTAGGCGCGCCTGACTCGAATAATGGATTCCAGAGATTGATGATTGTTGGCCTGGAACGATGAGAATAGCGAAAGGTTATGAGAATTGGATAGAATGTACCGTCTGCAGTCCTGATTCTTGTTTTCTATTACTCTGAACTGACAAGCTTTCTGTGACATTAATGAAGATGAGGATCAGCACAAGTACCGGAACACACGCGTACTTCGAGATTGACAACATTTTCAGTCACACGGGGCCCACGTTTGTTCCTGAAAAGCCAGAGTTATGAATGCAAAATATTGAGATGAATGCGGAGCAAAATGAGGTGCGATATAGAAGACTAGGCGGTTCATTTGGTCTCAAGGGACCGTTCTGGAAGGTAATGAGCCACTTGTTTTCAAAAGAATCCGAATTTTGTGTAGTAGTGGGCGGGGCAAACTGTGATGGTTGGCTTTGCTGGGAGAAGGATAAGCATAGCCCGCCGTTTTTTCTACCCCAAAAGCACCCGATGGACCACACATTCGCCGGCAGACATGTTCTTTCTTCAAATTGATGACCTTTTAGCATTTCAAAAAAACGAGTCTCCAGGCGCCCCTCCCACACTGCGCATGAGCTATTTTGAGTAGCACTATTTTCTACAAGTCATGGACTTGGACAATAAAATTATTCCAATTGCACGCGAATGATATATTTATAGAAACAGATGAAGAAAAGAACTGTTCTATGCTTCAGAAGCTGAATGTAACAAATTTTCTTGTGTAGTAGGGCACACACAGACAGGGATGACGAGCGGCTCTCGGGGAATTGTCATTGAGCCCTCCGACCGACAAACTGAGATCAGACCAGAACATGGGCGGTTTTTAAGCGCCGCCTACCCTTTCTACGTGGCCACTACGTAACCAGAGTCCGAGCGATTTCACCTGCCTACTGCAAAATACCATCAGGTGCTAACTGGCCATCTTACTTGAAGGGGAGGACATTATTTTGGGGACATTTCTCATTCGAAATTCTGAGTTGAGGTTGGGGAAAAATGTAGAAATGTCTTGATGTTTGAAAATAACTTTTCAGAAGTTCACATTAAAAAGTCGTCTGGAGCATACTAATGAAAATGCCGTCCGAGGCGCAAAGGGTGGCTAAATTATGGCCTGAAGAATTGAACCGTATGATTTACATTCTAATGTCAATGTTTCTCATTTCAAATACTTTTCTTGGAAGAGAAGGGAAGATCAAACTTTTGAAAAAAACGGAGTGGCATTCATAAGCTATTTTTGTTTTCATACTCTCAAAAACAGAACCCAAATCAAATTTTCAGAGGCCGTCGGTGGTCTCTTTGTTTTATTAGATGGATTTCGAAATCCGGGTCCAAATTGGTTGCTGTTATCCCATGAAAAGCCATAAATAGAACAGAAAGATGTGCTGCACAAGCTGCTGATCGGTATTGGATTCTCGGAACTAAAAAACAGCCAGGTCCAGATATATTTCCGCTCATGACGTTGGAAAAACAGTGCAACGCAGAAGCAAAACTTGGAAATATTGTGTATCTTGTGCGGTTCGCTGATTCTCGCCCACCAAAACTGAATAACAGTCGGTGCCAGACATCGAAAATTTGAAGGTTCACTATGGAATTAGGAAAGCACATGTGCTGACTGACAGAAAACTTGTCTGAGTGGGTTTTGGAAGGAAAACGAAAAAACAAAGAATTTCTTTCTGACTGTTAATTTAATAAGAAGGAAATAACGTTTTTCAACGTTTGTGACGTCCTAGGGTTAAGTTTGATAAACAATTTCACTTCGTTTCACCTGAGAAAGCACATTATGTGACGAAACATTTTTGGTTCTCCGAAGATGATGTCAGGTTGTCTGTTGTTTGAAAGTTGTTGGAAAGGTATCGTCAAGATCCCCCTCTCAATTTCAGTCACTCGTAGAAAACTCCATTGTCAAATGTTAACTCTACTACTAATGTCGTTACACTATTTTTTCTACCAAGGGCGCCCTCCTCTTGCGGGGATGGTTCCCTTCCTTTCCTATTCATCTTGCTGCCATACCCCCCCCCTTTTGGTGTTCCCTTCTTTTACCGGTGTTTTTTTGCGATGAATTAAGAAATTTGACTGATACATTCGATACATTCGTAATATTTATCACAAGGAAGTGTAAGTAAAAGGCAACATCAGGAAATGAGTGACGTCAAGATAAGAGGGAAGAAGAAAAAAGGAAAAACTAAAAGAACAATGGGTGCAGAAAAGTTGCATAATAGACGTTCTAGTTGAATTGCTGAGTGCATTTAAGGCTACGCTGTGTTGAAGCTATTGCATCAAAAAGTAAAGTAACTTGGGTTTTTTTGGAAAAAGTCCACCAGTTTCTAAAATTGCAGTAAAAACAATGTCAGCATTTGGAAACAAAAGTACAGAAATTTGAGGACTTTGGAGATTATGTACACGAAGAATCACAACTGATAGAGCCGGCAAATGGGTTTAGTTTCAGAGCGGATTTTGAGGAGGATTGATGCTCAAGAATAGATTAGGACAGAGGACACAAGTAGTAAATAGACGATGTTCGATGATTTAGGACACTTTGGTGGAAGATTACTACTGGGTGCACTAGATGGGAGGACGAGAAGAAATGAGAGGAGATGGGTGAATTATGGGATCATTGGAGGGCGATTCATGTGAGCGATATTGTTCAGCAGAAGCCTCATCGCTGGATTCTGAAGGAAGTTGGCAGCTCCGCCTGGTGCGAGAGGCATCATCGGTGGAGGGAGCATGACGGGAGGCATCGGACCGGCTGGCATCTTCCGCAAGAACTCCATTTGAACTTGCATTTCTCGGATTTGTTTCTCATAGGCCCGGCATTTCTCCTCATACGCCACGAGCTTCCCTCTGGCTACCTGCACATCAAAAACAATTATTAAACATAATTGGGCGCGAATGCCAACCTGGCAATCGAAGCATTTGGAGCTTTCGCCGGAATGACTCGAAGATCCACTGATATGAGAGTCGGAAACAGTTGGCGAAGGCTGATCATGGGAAATATGGATATCTTTCTCATCAATCGTCATTTTGAGTGGTGGTTCAGCCTGAACGTTCAAGTTAACAGTACATTAGATTCTTTCTGCCGCTTACATCATCTCCTTCCACATCAATATCAGCTTCGTACTCAAGTTTCCTCTTGCACGTCTGTTCGGACTTGACAATCACAGACCGTGGACTCACATCACTGCTTTCCACTTCGAACTTGATGTCCTCTTCAGTGGTATGCACTTCCAAATCGTCGTAATCGCTGACGTTGGAGTCAAGAGAATCCTGAAAAACATTAACTTTAAAAACTGAATTTCATGAAACGATTTTTAACCTTAGAAGGAGTGTGTTGTGCGGCTAGACTCAGAGCGGCGGTATTAATTGGATTGTTAGCCAACCAGGCCGACAAAAACTGCGACGGTCCCATGTTGGAAAGGTCTAATGGAAACACGGACTTTGAATCCGGACTTTTCAACAGATTAGGGAAGATTGAGCCAATGTTGTTATTGTTGGCGGCTGCTTGGATCATCCGCTTGTGGATCAACGCATCAGAAAAGTTGGGGGATTGACGGGGTGAGCTCGGCTCAGGACTACTATCTACAACTGAAATCTGATTACTTCCTACGTGTACTTGGCTCAATCTGTACCGTCGGAGCTCTTAGCGAGCACGGCCGCTTCTCCTGGAGTCCCATTTTTCAGCATACTTTGCATGTGGATGTGAAGACTCGTTTTGTCGGGAAACGCCCAGTTGCAACAACGGCACATGAACATTCGGGTAATGTTGTGCATACGATACATGTGGCTGCGCAGCGTGTCGTTGCCTGAAATAGTGTCTTAATGACTATCGAGCACATTATTGAACGACTTCAATGCGCGACCGGCTAATTTGAAACCATTTTATTATGGTAATTATATGAAATGGTACCAGCCCGGTGTCAGCTTTCAAATTTGCCCTTCATCTCAACGTTCCACGCCCGAAAGTATCATTAGTCAAGTGACAGTTTGCCAACAACGTATCGCTATTTCCATATTCTGCTTAATTGCTATTCTTTGCGCCACCGAGCCAATGAGTCTATCAATCAAATGAATTTCGCAACACGACACTGTCGTATAAAGGCATGTTAGGTGCCAATGTGACAAACGATTTTCCACCATTTCACGCCCCCTCATTTGCATTTTTCTCGTTGAAATTCGAAAGTAAGGCTGGCTCAGGAAAACAATGCCATTACAAAAGCGCGCTCGCCGACAAAAGAGGAAGAGGTCAGGCTGTAAAACAGTTTTCATGTTATGTTACGGTTTTTCGAGGCCTGATCCGCTTATTGTTCTATTGCGCAAGCGAGTAACAAATCCTGTTGATCCTAGTGTTAGCATGCCGACGCATCATTCGAAGTGCAATGAGACCCCGTTGGATGGCACGAAAAAGATTACAAGTAGGAGGAAGATGTTGGGCTGCCGATGAGAAAGTTTCTTGACGACCCTCTTGCTCGATGAACCGTGGCAAATGATGGACGACGGAGCGAACAACCGATCAATTGAGAGGTGACGAAGGAGAAGGAGGTTGCAATTTTGGTTGTGTTGCGAATAGAAAAAAGAAAGAGAGAGAGAGAGAGAGAAACAATCGGTTTTTGTGCGCGCAAGTGGCGTCTTATTCTTCGTCCTCAAGCTCACTTAGCGTCTTTGGCGTGCCAACAATTAGCTGATGGACGGTCATCAAATGACTGACCTTGGGGGTTCATCCCAGTAAGAAACCATTAAGTAATACATACATACCGTCGGATATTTTTGCCTCTTCCTCTCCCATTTCCTCACAGGAAGCCGCTCCTGTCGGGAGGAACATTGAGGCCCAATTAGATCGTACAAACATCCCAGCATGTTGTTGTAAAAGGATGGCGTAATATGGTCCGAGGTGTGGTCTCCGAAAGGAAATCCGCTCTCGACCCGACTACCGATGCATTTCTACCGTCAGAGAGGCTTACTGTGCCTCGTCAACCAGTTACCCATAATTTTGGCATCACACCGAATTTAATGTCCCATTGTCTACTGTTTTGGATTGAAAAACAGTAACGAGAGAAATGGAAAAAGAAACAATTTCCCGGTGCATGTTTGCACTTTTCTCAAGCGGGCTTATCCTGAAAAAAAGAGGCCTAATTGACAGCACGGCATACCGTACTGTTTGCGATGCCATATACATTTCTCTACAATTAAGAATACAGTAGTAATAGTCGTCGAGGTGTCAATATTTGGATAGCCAATGTAATTTTTTCGCGGCCTACGGGAGTATTGCCATGTTTGACACGTGCCAAATATAGTTGGGTGCTAATCGAGGTCTTAGCTTCGCAGCAAACATTTGCAGAGCCGAGACTTTCGCGCATTTCAGGGCAGGAAGACTTCCGAGTAAACATGACTATTTGGATGGAGAAACATGGGGGAACCAAGCATGAGAAACAGTCCCTCACCCGTTTAACCAATTCCCGTCTCCACCTAGTTTTCCCTCTTCTTCGACAATACCACAACGACATCAATAGCGGTGAAATTCGTTTTGCTTTCATAACTATTGTTAGTCAAGCTCCTGCTGCACTGACTCATCGTTCCTCTTTTCAACTAACTCGACAGTAAAATGAATTCTCGCGCCCACTTACTTGGAATCTCATTGTTGCATGTGGTACAGGTGTAGCTCTTGAAGTGGGCTTGCATTCGATGACGACTCAAGGAAGAACTGTGGCAGAAGACTTTCTGGCAGATGGAACAGGGAAAAGAACCTGAAAAACGGATGGGAATGCAAAGGATAGAAGCTAATGGTACCTTTTAGGTCGGGTCGTTTGAGTTCAGCACGGTAGGGCATGGTAGGCGTCAGTCTGCAAGTTTCAATGTTACGATGACGGATGGGGGGTCATTACGGAACGGGAAAAAAGAAAAAAATGAGAGAAAAAAGGTGGAGTGAATGAGTGAGGGCTACAACTGAACAAGTATGAGGCTACCACTACTTGAAAAGTTTTCGCGTACAACACTCGAAACGTTATTCAGAGAAACACGGCTCTTCTCCGGAGAAGGTCGTCGGCGGCTGACACCAACTAGGTATTTACTCCACTTTTGATACTGTTAGAAGTAGCGGCGAGCATACATAGCTCCGATTGGACAATATGGTACGGTAGCTCAAGTGTGGAGTAGTGCTCGAGAGACGGAAGTGTGAAAACTGCAAACTTCACGGAGTCTGTGACTCAAACAGCTTCAGTGGATACAGTAACCCGGCTGACCCTTGGCCTGGCATAACAAAATGGCAAATAGCAATAGAGAAGGGTGGCGCGCAAGCGAGCTGAAGGCTATGATTCCTCCCGCCTACCGGAGGCGGGGCTTACCATGCAGTAGACAGATAGCGAGACGGACATCGCGGGGGCACGAGGTGAAAGAAATGGCAACAAGCAAGCACTGTCGAATAGTAAGTAGCCCCCATTAGGGCTAGCAAGTGCAGATTGGCTTTCCATGAAATGATGATACAAGTCGGAGTCAGAGTCTAGATGACTGTGCAGCAGGTGTCCGGCAGTCTCGATGCGACGGCAGATGGATGTACGAAATTGAGAAAAGCAAAGCGCTTGAAAAACAAGCCGGGAGCGGAGCGCCAACTTTCTGAACAGCTTTGAGCTTCATAATACGGACGGCTGGCGATCACGTGTTCTTTGCCACGAAATGACGCGATCTGGCGAATGAAGATACTGAAAACCTACCAAAAATGAATGACCGACAAGCGGCATGATTGCTAGAGTTGAGGATTCAGCGTATCTTTGATTCTCGTGTTCTTTTCTTATTAGACGACAAGGGGGCACACCGCGACAAAACCAGTTTTGTAAAATTGATTCGGGTTGCGCAATGCTAGAATAAACTATCCAACATCGCTATTATATTCGAATTTTTCTCTCTCTCTCCCCCCACTCTTGCCATCCGACCCCATAATCACACAATGCTTTGGGGCCGGTTTTCTCGATCCGCATCAACAAGTTCAACTATCTATTCAATGTGCTATTTTAATTGGACACACCGAATTTTGAAATTGTTGAGTGAATGTTGTTACAGTCTGTGTTTTTTTTTTGGCGTGCCCAGTCAGAAACTACAGTAACTCTCTAATTGTATAGCGGTCAGGATGTGAGTAAGAACCCACTCGGAGGGGATCTCGGCACGAACACAGATTGGCCTTGGCCGTCCTCAGGGCGCTCGTATAATAAGGATTCACCTTCCATACAGGCCGCGCGTTCCGTTCTTGACGGCTACATAATCAGTAGCTATCATAGCACATCTTTTCCGTATATCTTCGGTATATCTCCGCGAAAAGAAAAAGAGATACAGCGGGTGGATAAGAGAGGTGTTCCGTATACATCAAGGGGACAGACAGGTGAACGCAAAGTGACAGTGGTTGAAGAAAATGGAGAAAACTGAGAAAAGAGGGAGGTTCTGGCACATTTTTGTGTTGACTGTACAAAACGAGAGGGAACAATGGGTAACAGCCGAGTTTACGGTGTTTCTTTTCTGGAAGAGAAAGAGAGAAAGAGGAAGGACCTCGCTGTTTACAATCCGCCACAATGGACATTAGAAATTCAAATGTTTCCAACTGAGAGAGTGGCGAGGATAAATTAAGCAGCTACAAGAGTGACAACACATTGGAATTTTACGACTACTATTCGGTAAGAACAGTTTGCACAGCTCAAATAAGGATTTGAGAAGGGAAAAGGAGGGGAGGAAAAGGTAACGAAGAAGAGACGATTACGTAATGACGGACGACGAGCCGCCAGCTACCATGATGCTTTTTAGGTCAAAACGGCAAGCTAATCGTTTTAATCGTTTTTGCGGACAGACGCGACGAGGCGGTTGCGTAAGTACGGTATAGGGGACACCAAATCGAGATTGAAACCGTCGCAATGGGACGCTCCTGAACATTTTGTTACAATGTCGAAATAATTGCGTTCTTCAGGTACACTTCAAACACGAGTAGAGGTTTTTGAAATTAAATATCAAAATGCAACACAACCAGATGGAATTCGAGCAATCCGATACTTCTGGAACTGTTCTTCCTGTACCAAATCATATGAGTACATTCTGATTTGAATTTCTAGATTTTTATCATGATTCGATAGTTTTCTGTTTCTTGTTGCATCCCTTAACTAATAAGATAACTTATCTTTTCACCGGATTGAAGTTTTGCAACATCTCTCCCAGTAGATTGGCGCATTTTACGGTCATTTGGGATTGGAAAGTGTGATCGACCTTGCGATCGTTGCGCAATTAGCCGATGTGCCCGCCGGCTGCCGCACCTCCCGATTGTCTTCTGTGTTGCGGCGACAGCGTCGGCGTTTTCTCTGATCAGCTGGTAAGAACGGAAGGATGACTGGTCAGCGTGATCGAGACGCTTGAGACTTTCGGAAACTGAGTCAAGCACGTCGCAATAGACCTTTTTTTTTTGGGAAAAAAGTTCAAAAAGACACTAAAAGAAGTAGGTTAGCACTTTGATCAGTTTGAATTGTTACCAACACCATTAAAGGAGACACAGTTTTCAGTACTTCTCGCAGTTTTCGGAACGTTTTTGGAAGAACTATCGAAGAAATACGAAACGGCTCATATTGAAAAAAGTAAAGAAAAAATGGTCACGACACTCTTGATAGCATCACTGTTATGACTTATTGAAAATGAACGAAATGTGTTGAAAAAAACAAGACGGAAATGGTAAACCTTAGCTAAACTCTTAGGTAAACTTAAGAAGTGAAATCAGCTGACCATGTTCAGCATGTGTCATGTGCGCGATCGAAAATCTTGTCAATTTCAGGTTTTTACTCTGTATTCCTTACAAAGATAACATTGTCCAAAGAATCGCAGACGTGTTGACGGACAATGTGATAGCCATTGACATCGTTGTTCGCGAAAAATTGAAAACCGGAATATTACGTAACCCGGCTGGCGGTACCTCTTAAGAGAGTTGCTTCAATACAATTGCTAAATGTCCTTCACGAGTACGCCACCTTGACTAAGGAAGTTGGCAGCAGCAGACAGTGATCTTGCCTAGCAAAACAACCAAGACAGGAACTCCCTTCTCCGTGTTTTTTATTCACAGTTGTCGGGCGCTGGCCGGTCGAACAAGGGGTCAGATCGCATCACGAGGGCAGCTAATGGACGATTACCATCTGACATCACGCATCCGATAAAACTTTTCTGTGTTTTGTTAACTATTCCACCGCCTGCCGAAATCTCTTTTGTTCTTTCTCGCACTCATCCCTTCCTTCGGTCCGGTGGTGATGTCTACGTGAGAGAAAGCTGAGGGGGACTCGGGGCGCCGACGGCTGCGAAATCTATTATTATCTTCATTTTTCAAAGACGAAGGCACACTGAAAGACCATTTTGACTCATGAGCATCATCATAACTTTAACGAGCTCCAGTTGAGCAAATCTTGTGACGGCACGGGAAGTGTAAGATCTGCGACCGGAAATAACCTTACTTCAAGTTCAGAATTGGTATCTGTATAAACCCCCACACAATGATCATTGGGGGCGGCCGGCTGATCCCTTATTCTTTCACCGTTGGTTGAGTGTTGAATGTGTAACACATAAACTCCATATGCTTCTCCTGAACGCATTCACCTATAACCTCCTCCTCCTTTTCCTCTGGGACCATGAGTCACAGAAAGCATATGACGAAAAGTGTGGCAGCTTGGTCAATTCGAAAGAATGTATTCATACAAACACAGTGTCACAACTAATTATGTGCATCTCCTTCTTGGGTTTCAAGAGCCGCCGTCTCCAAAGACCCTCATCATCGTGACTCTATTGTAATCGTCCTACCTTCTTGCTAACCAAATTGAATAGACGCCGCGGTTGGTACAAGAAAACTGAGACACATATGCCAATGACCTCCTTCTTTCTAGTGTCGGCACTCTGTTTTTGCTCGGGGCCCATCCAGAGCGGGGCACGGATAATGCATTCCATTGTACACGACTTCCTCTCAACACTGTCTTCCTCTTCCGGACACCTCTTGCTCAAACACACGGAGGGCACTTCAAGACGGCGAGACAAACAGTAGCGGCCGGCGCGCGCTCCGGATTCATAGCGGGTTTTGTACTAATAAGCAACATGCATTAGGTATACTGCAAAGGTCAAATCGAGGTTATATCCTTTTACGATTCAGGCAGCGGGGGCCAGTGGAAGACAGATGACTTGTCGATAAACGGATGGCATCGGAAGATAAAAGTAGCTATCTTTTTACGCGTACATACACTTTTCATTCCTTTCAAGACGGTATTTTCTCAGTAAATGACAGGGGTCCAAACCTCTGAGTTTGTAATTAAGCGGATGGATTAGGCAGATGAGTGCACATAGAACAATAGAGCTGAAGGGTCATTTCTGGCCACGTTTGATTGGTTAATGGTTAAATTCTCCGTGAAGTTTGTTCAAAAACCAAAAATGTTAACATTTTATTGTTGCGCTCGAACAGGTATAAATTATGGAGGAAAGGTGTCACAGGTTGTCGGCCTGCCGCACCACTTCTCCTTATTCCCTTTCTCACGACCTTGCTTGGAAGAGCTAATCACTCCGGTCGCATAATCATTATTCAAGGGCGACATTTTCCTTGACAGTCACTTCTCGATTATTATCCGATTTATGTGAATAAGTACATCAAGAGAGCCCCATTAAGGAGAGCAGCACGTGCACTAGTTGCCCGGCTTCCTGCTGTGGCAATCACCATTTTCTCACGGCTGCACCAGTGAATCATTAAGGGGTTGATTGTCTACGGTCAATGTCGTCACTACAATATGATTCCATGTCGAGAAGGGATTCTCGTTGCACTTCTCTTTTCAACTAGGAATTCATGTTTAAAGGAAAGCAAACGAAGATTACATTCAAAGGAATGACCATAACATATGTATTAGTCAGAACATGCTGATCAAATAAAACCGTCCATCCCAGACGTATGCTTATATTTTCCGGAACATGCTACAAGATCGGTTACGTTTATTACAACACTGTCTGTATTCTCTTCTTTGTTTCTCCTTCCTGGTTAAACGGACCGACAGTATCAACTGCTATGAATGCACCTCCTCGCAGGGCACCGAATGCGTATACAGCGCCACTTCATGTCAGTACGGCTTCTTTGGATGTGTCAAAATTGCTGTCCTTTCCGGAGGTGTCGACAAAAGTATGTCAGACTACATTTTCCAGAAAAATATTCTTTTTTAAGTGGGTATGTTTGTGGACCGAGAGCGGAGTATCATATCAATGATCAGAGGCTGTGCTATTCTTCCCTTCGGAGGTGAGTTCCTAGTACTTTTCAGCTATAGTAATTCGGGTTCAGGAGTCGACATGTGCGAGCAAACCAGCCTCTTTGGGACTCGTGTTCTTAAATGCACATGCTTCAATGACTATTGTAATTCTTCGTTTCGCAGTTGTCCATCAATTTCTCTCATTTTCCTCTGTTTTGCTCTTCTTTTTCTATTCGGATGAGTGAAAGTATTTGAATTAACATTTTTTATTAACATTGCTCTCTTGTTATCAAATTCAAATGCGACGTAGGAAATAAAAGAGGAAATGGAACGGTGGTGGCTAGAAGAAGTGTGCTCTCTAAGCGGAAAATGAAGATCAGTTGGGGTGTTGTCTCATTTGTAGCTGATAAATTAGATGGGTCCCAGATGTTGTTTGAGATTGGAGGAGGAGATGGGAGTGGCGTCTACCACTCTGAGATGTACTGGTTGTCGGCGTTCGGAATGTACTGCTGGTAGTACTTCTTCCCGCGGACCTCTTCAGGAGCCATCAGGCTGCGGAAGACTTCCTGAAATAGATTGGTGTGAAAAGAGATTCAAGAGGAGTTTGAGAGTGAGTGTAGTTGACGTCATCATAAAACACTTTTGTTTGCTTTCCATCCGCATATTCCATCCTGAAGTCTATCCTTCCTACACCCACGGATTGGAAATGCCAGAGACACGAATAAATATGTAAAATTTCCTTTTATGTCTGACGTTTCAGTTATCTACATTCATGTCTCAATTAAGTGAGTGGGAGAGAAGTACATTATTTCCGTTTTATTTCATTTTCCGTTCCTCATTGTAAAGTGCTCACTGGGCGGAAAAAGGCAAAAGTACTAATTCAGGCCTTACTCGGAGAACTTTCAAAAGTGGAAGAAGGAAGTAAGTGCTCACCTGGATGCGAGTCATCGGCGGAGCGTTGCGAGCCTCGGCAACGGTCGCTAGTTGGAAGGCGATGACGATCAGAACGATGAGGACGAAGAGCTTGGCAGACATGTTCAAAGGACGAGAGATAGCTTCTGAAAATGAAATTCTTGAAGGATTCCACTAGGAGCAATATTTGATGAGGATGGAAGAAAAACGACGACGACAACGACGAAGAACTGAAAACTAAAAGTAAAGTGTGACCTCAAATAGAGTCTTATGATGAATGCATCTATTTTCGACTATGTAAGCGGTGAGTAACACGTACTTCTGAGTTTATGTAAATTGAATATTTTCATTAATATTCCTAGTCTGCTACGTCTACGCTAGAAGATTTAGCTTGGTAAAGGCTGAAAGTGGGCCAGAAGGAACTCTGGCTGCTTCCATCTCGGAACCACTCGAGGCTTGAGTGGCTCCACTTGGACAAAAACGAGAAAGAGAGAGAGAGAGATAAAGAAATAGAGAGAAAGATAAAACGTATGTGTGGTCCACAGAAAGACTGAATCCAAGCCAGGACGCCGCGCTTAAATAGGTGCTTGTGAAGGGGCGTGGCGTGCTCAGAGAGGACATCAGGCTCATGTTCTCGATCCCTCGCTTCCTTTAAAAATCGTGTGAACTCGAGAGAATTTGTGAAAAAGAGCACTAAAAGTAGGCGGAGCTTATCGGACTGGCGCTACCCTTCCGAACCTACTGTAGGTGGCGGAGCTGATGTTCGCGGTGTCCCGTGGCACGCACACATCATCCGAGTGAACAAAAATCAAGTATGTGGACCAACGAGCGAACAGCTGGGCCCGAAAGTTTAACTGTTTTTGAAAGATATGCAGGTGGTAATGGGATCGGAACAAAGTGTACGCTCGAGCAAGTCGAGGGCTTCGAAGCAAACGAAACGAGGAGGGCGACTTTTTTAGACCTGTCACTTTCAGATTTTTGCACTACAGAATGGTGCAATTCTTCGAGAGTCCTTTCAATGGATATAAATATCAACTTCTCAAGCAATTGTGACGGGGGTCAATGAATGTTTTGTGATTATGACCAATCGGTTCTTGAAAACCCAGTCACACTATTCTCGTTCCAAATTTAGTAATAGAAAATCTTGTTCGTGATATCATAATCAAATTTTTCTGGTTTTCATTACAGTTAATAGAATTTAGCACAGACCTTGACATGTGAGAGTAGAATTGATTATATTTGCATAATCTTCAGACGGAGCCTACTAGCTGACATCACCGCAAAAGTTGCAACCTTTCCGATTGATTATGCGTCAACACCTTTGGAATCCGCCGGAATCGCATCAGACATTGTTGCACACACGTACCCGAGAAACCGATTTCTGATAGGATTTCCGGTGCGATAACACTCGAAAGAGTTTCAATGCTCACTAATCATATAACATGACAAAAACTGAATAGAGGCATTCAGAGGGAAACATGAATAGTATTTCCAGTTAGGGGAACAGAAGAGCACTAGGAAACCTGTGAACACAAAAAATTTTATTATAAAGAGAAGCTTCAAAACTTTGTGGAATGAAAGAAAAAACAGGGTCGCGCTTAGATATTATGGTTCTGAACCCCCTCTCCCCGATTTCATTCCAGAAATGGTCTCTTTGGTCACCATGATTTTTTGCTCTCATGAGTCTATTTTTGCGTGCCGAAGTACGCCCTTCATAACTTTCATTTCCGTTTCTACTCCGAGAACACGGCAGGTCCCCAACAAATTTCCGCGTCTTCAGTAAACTGAGTGGAATGACGGCGGCCTCAGAATGACGTAAATGTCTGGCCGGCGGTCCCGGGACCACCTTCCGAAGATTGATGATACTCTGACAGATTTTCAATTTCAGAACAAATGGGATGTATCAAACGTCACGTTGGTGTGAATATTCAAAAAAAAGCGAAAGGTCGAGACACAACGGAAGGTTGTTTTGACATGCTACCTCTTTTGCATACATCAATCAGGAAGCTACTAAGACATGAGGGAGGGCTTGAATTGTCCCGAAATGTCATTCAAAAATAGACAAATTTGATTTCAAGAGTCCACAAATCCTCCAACCCGTCTCTCTTTTTTCATCGTGGGCGAAGTTTCATTGAGTGACATCATAAGAACAAGAGATTCGTTCATACTATTGCTGTGACAGCTATAGTCGAGGGAGACAAGTGACAACTGAAACATCGGTTCCGCAAAGTTACATGAATTTCTGGTTCTGATTCTGGTTCCCAACCATTTTCTGTCTGACGTGGGGATTTGAGATTCTAGAACTTTAAAATAAAGTAATTTCATCTGATTGGCCACGTATGATTTGTCACCTAAAAGATATCACAAGACTATGTCACTAAAAAGGAGATGTTCGAGCATTTTCTGAATAAATTGCAGCTATTGAACTGGAAATAAACTTGCTCTTCGGCACGTGTACATGGGCCGATCCGGTACAAAACGTCACTTCAGCAGCTGACTTGCTTTATCAAATTTAGAGAAACGTGCTCACTCTCCGGGATTTATCAAGGGTGTTCCGGAAAGTGTGTTTTGTTTCCAACTATCATCCCCTAGCCAGACACCGCAATTTGTTGTCGAACCAAACTAAAAACAAGGAATGCTAATAATTTCGCCTATTGTAGGTGATAATTTTGCTAAAGGACAGCTGAAATCATTATAATTGGATGTGATTGAAAGAGACTAAAACAATCACAAACACACATGTTGCTGAAACATAATCCTCCTATCAGTGTGGTCATATGAAACTATCATATAATATCGACACCTCATATGATTCCTGCTCTCCCACAATTTGTAGGTGTTGTACCCATTTCCGGTTAAGAACGTCGATCAATTCATTTTGCAAGAGTTTTCATTTATCACTCGGCCGTAGTTCATGCAAAGAAAAACGAAACCGCGCAATAATGACTGTTCGCATATTCATGGAGCTCGTCCGGAACTCTCTCCCATCATAGTTCAGAATGTGATTGTAATAGTGATCCGCTGACGTGCTCATCATCTCATTATTCCGCGCACATGTAATGTAAAGAGACACGCGCTCTTCCGGAACTCGTGATCTTCCATTCACTCGTTTTATTAAGTTCCAATTCAGGCAAACAAAAAAGATCGGATGTTAAGAAGCAGGAACAGAACAGATGTTGATGTATGACTTTTTGGTCTGAAAAACAGGTTACGGCACTTTCACCGGTCATGAATAATTGAGTGTCGAACAACTGGGTCCAGTGAAATGTCAAATTTACGACGCTTTTAGAACAACCCATTTCCATTTCCATGTCGCACATCCCACGCAACTCAGCTGCAAAAAGTGGTTCCCATCAAATATGCCCTCCGATTTTCAGCATGACTGGCCTGAAACATCACTTCCCTGCCTTTTTGGGCGCCCGCCAAATGTCGGCCAAAACGCAATAAAAGAGCTTTCAAACACGAGGGAAACACGTTGTAGTTGCTCTAAATTAAAATCTGTTTGTTTGTTTGGGAAATGTATCCGTTCTTTAGCTCACATCAGCAAAAAAAATTTCATTAGTTTATATTGTTTGTGAAAGAATGAAAGTTGGAATAAATACAATTGAGATGATGTGAAAAGATACGAGTGAACAAAAAAGAGTTGATAGAGTAATACTCCTTGACGAAATATCAGTTGAGCACCCGTTAACAGTTTTTACAATGGCATTCTTCTTAGAGTTGACTTTCGGGTATGTTCAGAATCACAGTATGAGAGCATGAAACGATTACTACAAAACTACTTTCAAAGGGGATAAGTTAAAAAAAAACAAGAGTTTGGAATACTATGAAAAGTTGTTCTGGTAGTAAAGTCCAGAAAATGAGAACGGGATGTTCATGTGTGGAGGGTCAGCAAACTGCGGAGTGTGCGGTCTGAAATTGGTTTTCACAAACATAAACTTGTTAATGCTCACTGTGTTGAAGCAAAAACGGATGCGATTCCGGAAGGTTCGTCGGTTTTGAGAAGGAGCCCGGTGGTGAGCGAACTGCAAGAAAGCAATTAGTCTGGTTAGCAGTTTTTCTTTGATACTCGGTCGGTTAATTCAATTTTGATTATGATGTGATATTCCCGTCTAACGTGTTAGATATGTGCGGAAATTGAAAAAATGCAGTACTTACACATGAAACGTTTCGTGTGTTTACTATAACAACATCAAACTGTTTATTTGGTGCTAAGTAAAAAATAGGCGGAAAATCCGTCACAGACACTTTGATGAGCCCGCTTGACACCTAACTCTGCTTTTTCATTTTCAGTTTTTGCAAGTGTCCGTCAACAAACCGTACTTTTTACTAAACGAACGCAAAGAGATCAATCCGTCCACCATGTTGGTGTTTGCTCATTACAAAGTGTCTGTCCGACGACGGACGATAGATTTTCGGTGTTCGGACAATTGAATGTGGAAGTTCAAGAGGGTGAATATTAGCGGAAAGTATTGGTGAACAGATCGTGATGGTTAAAAGGTATGATTGACAATTCAAAAGGGCAATAATGGCAGCAATAAGAACTTACTTGCTTGATGGAGAGTTGCTAGAAGTTGAGCTTCGGGCCATATCATCCGGATTGACTGTGCACATCTCTTGACTCCCGGAAGGTGTATCATTGATTACAGAACACGGTGTCTCGTCTGAAAGCGTTCAAAGTAATCCTCCCCAAACAAGCACAGTCGCCAACCTTGCCTCTCCTCGTGATAGTCGGTTTCCGCCAAAATCAACTCTTCCATCAAAACATCAATTCGAGCAACTCCACTGACTTTCGTGAACATTATATCTTCGGAAATTGACTTGGCCAGAACCTGTAAATGTACTGTTTGAAATCAATGTCGACGGCTTTCATTTCTTACGGAAAGAGGTGTAAGAATGAAGAATGTTAAATCTCCGACTCGAGTGGGTTCCAATGGCTTATGGATTTTCACATATTTCTCAAATGCGGCAAATATTTTTCTTCTCGCGTTCAAAACCAGATTAGCAGCAACTGGAGAGAGTCCCGTTGCGACTGAAATTGATATTGTTCATTTTCATGTCGGATTCCCAGAAACCACACCTGGATTGAAAAGCACACAAGCTTTGAGAGCCACAAACTCTTTGTTGTCCAATTTCAAAAAGCGCATTGGCTCCACCAGTTGATCCATCACTTTTTCACAGTCTCGGAGGTAGAATCCATCGACGCTGCAAAACGACGTTTATTCTAGACGTATGAATATTGGCATACTATTCTTTGAGATGTGGTGTGGTCTTTGAAGCTCTCGGGATGTAGAGATCATTGAGAAGCTTTAGCGCATCATTGGCACCCACAGATCGGTAAGCCACGCATAAAGTCACGTGTTGTCCGGCAAAGTTTTTGAGAAGAATTGCCTAAAATTGTCCGTTCTTCTCTGTTCACTTCTTGATTATCAGACCTGATCCGCACTCGAGAGTTGCGTGAATTCCGGCAGAGTTTTGGCCCATTCTATGACAAGCAAAAGTTGGCTGTGCATCGACTTGAGAACATCATTGAGTGTAGCCGTGCTGTCCGCATTTGCCATCCTCTGAAATTTGAGAGCCTCGAAAACTCAGCAGAACTAGAGTCTATCACCAACATTCTTCGATTTCATCGTGTATTCCACGTTTCCGGTTTGAGTGATCACGGTGTCCCGCAGACTTTGAATCGTCATTTCGGATTTCAGCAAACTTTCCAGCAACAAATCGTACTCGTCGCTTGGAGATAACAATTCGGGAGAAGCACGCGGAGGTGATTCGTGTACATATGTTTTCAGAACGTCCTTTTTCTCTCTGAAAATAAAGATTATTCGATTTTTCAACTCAAATAATGCGAATTTCTGAGAAAAGCTCTAACCCAGAAGATATTTTTTGCGCTAAATAGTTATTTAGTGCTCAATCTCAAATCTCATACGTAATGTATCATTTTGTAAAAGTTTTCTCTGTCCCCCATATCGGATCTTTTCAAAGACCTACCTCTTTCCTATCACATCCCTTTCGCTTTGTACTTGGTCATCTCTCATTCCCGAAGAGATACATTTCATGAACCTACAGTATCGACAAACGGCACGGTTATCTGCAAAAAATGAATTTTCGAGTTGCATGAAATTGGTCTAAACTTACGTTTGTCAATCTCACATTTCGACTCGAATCTGCAGTGATAGTCGTAGTTCCGTCGAACGGTCCTCCGGAAGAATCCTTTGCATCCGTTGCAAGCGATGGCTCCGTAGTGTCGTCCGGTTGCCGTGTCACTGCATATGTGGCATATCGAGTTGTCTTTACCTGAAACCAATTAGTAATCATGAAACTATCAGTGTCCACTTACCATTTTCTATGTCGGGTTTGGTGTCGGCAAGGAACTTTCCCAGCATCTGACCTCTATAATAAATCAATAAAGTAGGTTCAATGACGGGGTGGCTGGCGGTGGTGGGCGAAACGCGAAGAGGACAAGAAGGCAAACAAAACAATCGAGAGCGGGCGACGGGAGGGGTGAAGGTAAAACCAACGTGTGTTTTGTTTCTCTTCCTCTCGCTCAATCTATTGATCTATTTGGTCGGAGATTGGTTGATAGAGTGATAATGAACAAATTGCGCACTTTCAAATTCCTTCTGCTCGTCCAACTTAACTAGAAACAGAAGTGCAAGTGGGAAGAGGAATGGAAAATTACGGGTCAACCGACGCTTATCAGCCAGAAAAAAAAAGATAAAGCGTGCTTGCTTTTCTTCAGATCGATAGCGTATGTGGCGTGATTGTCAGAAGAATTTCAACGCCCATTGATTACCGCTGGAGAACAATGGAGCCGCGGGAGCACTAGTGTGACAATTGCAAGTTCAGCGTGAGAAAAGACGACATGTGATACGGGGATGGCGACAACGTGTGTCGGGATGTTACACGAAGAAGAAAGAATGAGAGACAGAGAGGGAGAAAAGTGCGCTGGGCACAGAACGAACACAATGACACTGTCTAATTGTCCCCGCTGGAGTGCTCCGATTCTATTGAAAAACTAGAATGTAGGGGATTGAAAGGATTCAACTGCATAGTTTCAACTTGTTAAGTAACAAAACGATGTTTGATCGTTTCCCAAGCAGAACAGGCGCAAAATGTCTATTACCTTTTTGCGGCACTGCTGATAAGTTCAATGCAAATGGAAAGGTTCTTTTTGCATTTTGCACAAAGAGATGCCTTTGCACAACACGATGTTTTCATGCTTCATATGTTTGACGTGCGCTCAACATTTGATAATGCGCGAAGCAAAGAGAAACGAGACGTAAATGAGAAACCATCATAACTCAATAGACCTTTATCGAATTCGCGGGCAAAAGTGGAAGTTCAAGACGTACTTGGCTGCAAGTGCGTGAAACATGGGCGTCATTTATGGTTCGAGGGTTCTCAAACGCAAACAGGAAAATTGGCAAGTTATGAAGTTCGGAGATCGGTGGAGTTTGTTGAAATGGAATACAATTGACGTCATATTCTCTCGTTTACACGCGCGTGAAATTCGATAGAGATCTTGTGAAATGCGAGTGAGTGTAGTGTTTTTTTTTTGAGTGTTCAAAGCCCAATAGTTGGATGGCTCTTTTAAAAGAGGCTGAAAAACCTTTTACAACAGTTATAGTAGCAGTTGCAGGTGCAAATTTTTTGAATGCGCGCGTCAGACGAAATGGATGCTATTCCCGGAAAAACAGGTGCTTCGTAAACAAAGTAGAATTCGTTATTAAAACCAATCACTTGATAACATTTGACGGCATTTTCATAGCTCTTGGTCATCGGTCCTTGTTGAAATTACTATCAAGCGTAGAGAAAACTGTCGACGAAACAAAATTGAACAGATGGAAAAATGTGCGAGGTGATAAGAGACTGGCAAAGAAGACGGAGGAGATTATTCTGTGAAAAGAGCAGCCGCGACAAGGATGATCTTCGGACGGGGTATTAGAGTTGCGCAGGTTTTTGGAGGGGCAAAAAAAATGTGACTGACTTGGTTTCATTCACTAGAGATCGGTTTACATTTGGCAGAAAAAAATGGAGAGAAAATGCGGCAGGTCGGTCTCATCTGTCGTTCTCTTTTTTTCTCGGCAACCTCTTTGTTTGGAGATCCTTCAGTTCAGCAGGAAGGGGGAACGGAATGGCATCTCGCAGATCACACACACAAGAAACTCTACTCGATATGGCGATTACGATTATCTTTTCGGATCAAGGCCGCCCTCCGTCGGATACCAAAAAAGAAGATGAAGACGGATAGATGACAATTGTCGCATTGCAAGAGACCGGCGGGCACGCTTACCCAAACAAGACAATCACGTGGCGCTTGCAGCAAATTGACGACATTCAAATTTCACAACTGATAACCCTTTCTCTAACAAAACGGTAATAAACGTGAACCGGAGGTCATTTCGTAAAAAAAAGACGGAAAAAATCACATCCTGATTCAATATCTTTCATTTACGCAAACTTTCATTGAATCACGGCGTTAATAAATGAAGTTAGATGTAATGTGTCTTATTCGATAACAGGAAAATAACTTACTGATGTTTGAATGGTCACGCACGTGTGCCTTCTGACAGAATCAAGAATAACTTGCTCACATGGTTGCCACTAAACAACATTTTTTTGCTAATTTGCTTCCGCAAAACCGTGCGAGCTTCACACGATCGGATGATTTTTGGAGCAAAGATAGTGATGCTTCAGATTTTAAAGGATTTCGAAAAAAACTTTTCATTAACCCAAAAAATTATACAAACGTTGGAGCAAAAGATTGAACTCATCTTCCACTTTGAAAAAGAAAAAAATCGTGGGTTGGAAGTGACGTTAACAGAATTTCAACGAGATGAGAACAATGAGTTGGCCTCCGACCTATTGTCAACACGTGCCTGGAAAAGTTGCACGGGAGGGAACCGGAAGCTCTCGTGCCCACTTGAACACCTTTTTCTCCTTTTCCTTCCCTTCACTTTTTGGTTAGATTGTGCTTGAATGCATTGTTGCATGGAAGAGGCCTGAAAGAAGGGGCAGAGACCAACGGGCGTAAGCAGGAGAACTCTGAAACATTTCCGAGAAAGGACATAATTGTCGACTTCCAAGTCGATTTAAAGTGCATCGTTGGTTTTTTGCCGTGATGTTTCATTTTCGTTTTTGAATTACAAAGAGCAGGTTGTTGGAAAATATTTATTAAAAGGACCCAGTATGTCTGACACGAATGCAATGAGAGAAGGGACTTGCATTGCTTACTCACAACACAAGGGAACATTACGACAAAGCAAGAGATAGCAAAATAAGTAAGGCACTTGACACACGGTCATCTTCTTGGACAATTGCCGGTGAGTAAAGTCCGACGCCTGCCTTATTAGGAGAGAAGGAGATGACACGTTGTCCAGTGACCGAAAGAGAATTGTTTGGGGGGAAGAGTGAAATGAGTGGAATAATTTAACGAATGTGATGTTTAACAACAGGTCTAGGAACCCCGAAGTGTTTAAGTGAATGTTGGTGGATGATTTAGAGCTCGGTATGACCCTCTTCCTCGGCCTCCTCCTCAGCCTTCTCCTCGTCCGAAGCTCCAGCTCCGTCCTTTCCATTGGTCTCGAGGAACTTGGTGAATCCTTCGATGGTGCGGTCTCCGGTGTAGTCGATGACCTTGTTGGATCCGGCTGGGAAGAACTTGATGGTCGGGAACGATTGGATCTTGACATCCTCGACCTGAAACGTGAAAAGTTAGTCATCTGTGCTATTGGGAGCCATTATGTTACCTCGTTGAGGGTGGAGTCCATCTTGGCGATGACGATGCTCTCGTCTCCGGCGTACTTCTCTCCGAGCTTATCCCAGGTTGGGGCGAGCTGCTTGCAGTGTCCGCACCATGGGGCGTAGAACTCAACGAGGACGTTCTTGGTGTTGTCGCGGGCGACCTGCTCGAAGTTCTTTCCGACGAGAACCTTGACTGGGTTCTTGTCCCAATCCTCTGGGATCTCCTCGGACATAAGGTGGGCCTTGACGGTTCCGTCGAGGTACGACTGGGTGAACTTGACAATGTTCTCAGTGCTGATCTCCTCGAAGTCTGGCTTGAACTTGGTCATGTCCTCCTCGAGAGAGATGAGACGGATGGCTGGGAGCTCGTCCTTCTTGAGTCCGAAGAACTCCATGATTCTGGCGTTCTCGTCAACGTCGGTGTTGATGTAGACGAAGAGAACCTTTCCCTTGAACTGCTTTGCGGCGTTCTTGAACTCCTGCTCGAGCTTGGCGAAGTCGGAAGATTCCTTGGAGACGAAGAGAAGGTTGTGAGACTTGATCTCTCCTCCGAAGATGACAGAGGCGGTCTCCTGGGTGAACTCGGAGACGAGCGCGAGGCGGTTAGCCTGGATCCAAGCCTTGAGTCCGTCCTGGGTGAGCTTCTCGTCGAAGAGAACACGTCCATCATCGAACTTCTTGAAGAGAACGATTCCCTCTCCCTTGAGCTCAATCTCTCCCTTGACGGCGTCCTCAGTGGAGATTCCGAATGGAATATCATCGATTCCGGCGGCAACCTCGAGGAAGGTCTTGGCGTCATCGGAAGCGGTGTCCTGTAAAGAACAAAAATTGCAATCAGGCAAACAGTTAATCTTTGCATTAAACTCAGCAGCACTTCTTATCTAGAGCACTACAGGCCAAACACCAGAACAAAGTCCGGAATGACCGACATACGTAGGCCACGTCAGCGTAAGGAATACCGCCGCTCTCCTCAATATGGGCACTGTCTCGCCGGACGACGATGCGTCCCATTATAATGCGAGGTCAACCCGAATAGCGCAGACCATGCAAATCGGTCAAGGGCGGCGTCATCTTTGTTCTTACCTTGAAGTATCCGATAACAACAACATCGGCAGACTCCTGGAGCTCTTTGACGGCGTCGGCGTCAGCGAGTGGCTTGGCGACTGGTCCGGTCTTTTTCTTCAACCAGGCGATGATCGAGTCGTGGTCGCGTCCTCCGTTGTACTCTTGTGGCTTTCCGTTGCGGAAAAGCTTGAGGGTTGGGTATCCGCGCACCTCGAACTTGGAGGAGACCTCACCGTGGACGGTGGCGTCGAGCTTTCCGAGCTTGATCTCGGATCCCTCCTCCTTGAGCTGAGTGGCGGCCTTGGCGTATTCTGGGGCAAGCGATTTGCAGTGTCCGCACCATGGAGCATAGAACTCGACCAAAATGAACTCGTTTCCATTGATCACCTCATCAAAATTATCCTGAAAGCAAAAATTGCATTTTTTCTTAATTTTCTCCGTTATTTACAGAAAACTATGTTTTTTTTAAATAATTGTAATCTCCCTAAATGATAGAACCTGAATTATATAACATACCTTAGTGAGAACGATAACATTCTCCTCCTCCTCAATGACGGCAGCAGAAGCGCCCAAGACGAGGAAAATCAGACCGACGAGCCGGAACATCACGATGAATGGCGAATGGATCGGGAGTGTCCTCTTCGCCGGCGTTGGGGTGTCCACGCTTACTAAATCGTGGAACGCGTCGATTGGCCCGCCCTCGCTCCGCCCCAGTGCACCGATTGGCCGTGCAGTTCGGGCTGCGAGCGGGCAAGGACGCGTCGCGTACTGCGGCAACTCACGTAGCCTCGTAGGGGCCGCATCTTAAGACGACTATGACAAGGACAGTGGGTCAACCACGGAATAAAGAATTGAAAACGAATGAAAGTTGGTTGGAGTATTCGGTCGGACGCATTTGGACAGAAGGATTTCGGCGCGCGGAAACCTCGAGCAAATTGGTCGATGAGCGGCGCGGAAACAACCAGTGTAAATATAAGGGGGAGCACACGAAAGAGCCGATTGGCATGCCGCAATGTTAAATTTCCCGGCTCTGGCAGGTGCCTTTTATAGGCTTCATCATGATACAAAGCCTTTATTGTATTTTCCACCGGGTTTCATCTTTCTGCTCTCCATTTTTTCCCAGTCAGTCACCCGTTTGATTGATTTCTGGCAAGCCAGTGTCTGTGCTCTCTTTTTTCTCGTTGCAGTGCTCTTTCTGTTTGTAATGCCAGTTGGCACTCGACCTGACGTGCGTCGTTTTTTGGGAGAAGCAGAGAGGAAGAGCCGGCATATGGAAGACAATTGTGGTGGTGACGGGCTTAGTTAGTAAACAATAAACCAAACGAAAAATGTGCATAATTAAACATCCGGAAAAGCTCGGTTTAACCCTTCATCTAGAATGATTGTTTACCATGCTTGTTGCTATGATTATGTCACTCGGCACAGAATACGGGAAAGTAGTCGGTAGTCAACTAGTCATAAGGCACGGAAACCTGATATTCATAGCACCCAACATTCTTCTGTACGTGCTCCATTTTCACCTGAATGAACTAGATTTTCGTAATTGTAATATGTCCTCCAATATGTGTAGTAATTCCCACCTTTGCCATAAAAAGATGCGCTTGTCGTAACCCATTCGCTCGGATGGCCTTTCTCGTTTTCCCGAGTGGCCCATCGGCGGTTCTCATAACCCTCCGTCTCCAAATCTCAATTACCCATTGTATTGACGTCTTCTGCTCTGTTGGCCGACCTGCCTGACGTAGTCGTCGTATATCTCAGCAGTGACTCTCATCATTATCTCCATCGCTACCTCTCGCTATCATTACCTCTCCAAAAAATGGAGGTCAACTGATACGTCTCGCAAAGTCAAGCACCATGTCAAGGCCGCTCTTTCTCTTTCCGCCCGTAATTCCTCCACTATATCTTCCGTTTTTGATCGACGAGGCCTCTGCCTTTGCTTATCTTATCTACCAAAAGAACGAGGTCGATGTTGGACGGCTAGCACAATTGTGGTCTTCTTTTTAATGGTGAATCCTGGGAGAGGTGACTCGGAATCGCACGTCATCGAGTATTGTTTGTCCAATGTGCAGGAGCGAGAGAAAGGGGCAAAACGGAGAGATAAGCACAAACAAGTGCCCCGCAACGTACATTTCAACCATAAATACTCTTACTGTTCACTTGACTGAGACGAGTATCGATTTAGTCAGGCGATCCGAGGATCATGGCTGAAAAACCAAGAAGGTAATTTCATTTCGGGCAGTGTTTATCCTCGAATAACACGAAAAGTCAATCAACCAGAAAACTCTAACCCCTCAACTAAAGAACACACTTTAGTGCAACTCGACATGTCACACTGCCAAGTATTGCGAAATTTTTCATTTTTTGTCATACAAGGCAAGAAAGTGATTAGTCATTTAGTATTGGAATGTTGTGTTCTATACGTAATTTGCAATCAGAAACGTGCAGAAAATACAAAAAATTTCATTAACCATTAACAAGCACCGTCTTCGTCCCGTTTTCTTTCCAATTTTCATATTTGTCGGTCCGCTCATTTTTTGTGTTGCCCGAGCCTGTAAAAAACACGGCCATTTCCCTCATTTCTTCTGTTTCTAGTTCTCGAAATGAGCTCTCTCCATTTTGTTCGAAAGGAAACCAACAACGGTAATGCATACGTTGGTCATTACATCGATCTCCGATGAAAATGTTTGTTGTCGTGGTGTTGTTGGCGCCCTCGACGAGTGTTCGCTAGAGAACAAAGTGAGCGACGAGAGCCAACGTCTGACTGCTGGGCTACTGCCGCACCGCTCACACGCTCATGTCTTTTCGCATCGATTTTTGCCCATTGCCGAGGCCTCACTCGATATAACACCCGTACTATGTTGTTTTTCTAATAAGATCTTCACCAAACTGACTCGATTCGTTGCTATGGCTTCCATTAGACTTCATCTCAAGCAGGCGTTCGATTTGTTATCAACTACCAACTTATAACATACAAAGCAAGATTATAATAATAGGGAATAAACCCTTGAATCCACACTGTTTGTTCTTCAATACATGTCCTTGATAACCATGCTCCGCTGACCTTTTACCGTCTTATTTCTCCATAACCCTTTTCTGTATTCTAATCTTTTAAGGGTCGGTAGCTCCTTAGACTAATCTCCCATTCATTGCAGAATGAGTAACGTGAGCGAGCAAGTGTCCAAGGCCGCCGAGAGCGCTCGTGAAACCGTCGCCAAAGTCGGAGAGTCCGTGTCGGACTTCTTCCAGGGAAATCCGTTTGCCACACCGGTCGGACGAAAGATTGGTAAGTCCCCTTTGCTCATCACGTCTTGAAGAGATGAATAAGAAAGCAGCGATAAAAATATTGTTGATTGGAAGTGGCACATCCGAAATTGAACAACAAAGCCTAAGAAGCTGTATGCGTAAACATCGGCTTCCCTAATTATAAAGGGTGTAACAAACATGTTTCGATCTTTTATTCACGAGCTGAAAATGAGTGTTGTTCTTCGCATCTGCCCTCATCTCATGTCATCTATCCACTTCATGTTCTTTCTTTCAAATTGCAAAAGGCTAGTTGCATCTAGTTGACAACTATGCGAGAAAGAGAAAGAACAGAAGCAAAACGCGCCCATCTTCAGTGGGATCCGGATTATTACGGATTTTGCGGTGGTGGCACGTTCGCATGCGAAATTACACGTTGCGCTAGTGACCAGTCCAAGCACCACCGGCAGCCCTCTTTCTCATCTCTTAGATGAACCGGTTTCCGTGCGGCGAGATGCATTCGGGAGACGGACGGCGCCTTCGCTAGTGACACGTCGACTTGTGAAAGAGGAACTGAAAACAAAGAAAAGAAGGAAGTGGAAGGGATGAGGGGGGAAGATTTGGAAGGGATGAATTGTCGGACGTATAATGGGATAGGCGATGAAAATTCAATTGAACTAATTTCAGAACTGGCTACCGATGCGAATCTTCTGGCTACTGAGAACTGGGGACTCAACATGGAGATCTGTGATTTCATCAATGGAACCGAGGAAGGGTTAGAAGAAATCTCTCGTGGGACATTAAAACAAAATGCAAGTTTCAGAGCTCGTGACGCGGTCCGTGCCATCAAAAAACGTTTGCACAACGCCATGTCCAAGAACAACGCTGTTGTCATGTACACTTTGACGGTCCTGGAAACTGCTGTCAAAAACTGCGACCACCGCTTCCATGTTCTGGTCTGCAGCAAGGATTTCGTTCAGGATCTTGTCAAGCTCATCGGTCCAAAGTTCGATGCTCCGCAAATCATACAGGAGCGTGTTCTGAGTCTGATCCAAGCCTGGGCTGACGCTTTCCGTAATGATCCAACTCTTGTCGGAGTGGTTCAGTCGTACGACGACTTGAAGAGCAAGGGAGTCGAGTTCCCTGCTGCCGATTTGGATACTCTCGCCCCAATCAAGACTCCTAAACGTGTAAGTGAGCTTGGAAATCTTTTGATGTTGTCATGTGAATGGTTGTGTTGTGATTTCAGACTGTTTTTACTCAACCACCACCGCCAACGCTCGATACCCCACCTCAACAGCCCCAACATGAGCAGGCTCCGATTCCGACCGCGGTAGATGCTGTTTTGTGATTTTAGCGATTTCAGATTTCGATTTAAACTGCAAAACACATTTATTTTAACGCTTTTTGTTGCAGACATATGACGTTCTGACCATTCGCGAGAACGGACAAGAGCCGATTGCGGCAACTCCTACACAATTGACCAAATTGCGTGCCGACCTCGACGTCGTCAATCAAAACATCAAAGTGTTCCGCGAGACGCTCACCGACGTTGTTCCACGAAAGGAAACCGCCGATGAGCTGCAATTGCTCTCCGACCTGAACGACAGTTGCCGGCAGATGCAAAAGCGCGTTTTGGATCTCATACGCCACGTGAGCAATGAGGAAGTGACTTGTACGTCATCACCCGGAGCGTTGAGAAAGAATAGTTTTTTCAGATGAGCTTCTTATGGTGAATGATTCGTTGAACAGTGTGTTCGAGAAGTACGAGAGATTCATCTCGAACCGAGACGGAGAGAAACAGGCGGCTGAAGCTAGAGATTTGATCGATATGGGCGATGGAAAGAGCTTGGGCGAGCAATTGACTGCTCTGAGTAAGACGCGTTTCCTTCCTGGTTTTCTTTTGCTAATTAGTGTCCTTCAGAAGTGACTTCGGCCAATGAAGGACCGCTGGCAGCTTCTTCTTCTTCTCAAGACGCTTACAAAGCCAATTCCGAGCCACAAACCTATGTCGGATTGGCCACAGCGGTCAGCAACAAGGTAGAACTTTTGCAGTTTCAAGAGAAACCGTCACAAAAACGTTTTTCAGCTTCCAACTGATCACGAAGCCGCTGAAATGGAGAACTGGCTGGAGACTCAGGGCGAAAAGAGTAAGGGAACGACCGGTCGACTTGATTATTATTGATTGAACTCATATTTTGCAGAAACCAAGGAACAAGAAGAGAACGACAAACTCTAACTGGATCTGACTTCTTACCCAAACGCGCCCTCATATACATAAATCGTTGTGAATAATGTCTACTTCATTCCTATCCGCTCTCCATTCTTATATTTATTCGAGCTATCCCACTTACCTGTGTAATTAACAGCTTCTCCGTTCTGGTCTTGGAAGACTATTTCAATAATTTCCAGACCTTTTTTGTCATGTTTTTTTTTTCAATTTTCCCTTACTTCTAACGCCCAATGAATAAATATTCTCCGCGATATTTTTTAGCTTTCAGTGTTGATAACAGCTGAACTGAGCAAAGGGAAGAGATCGTTTTCCCAGTGATTCACTGAACACATTGAAAACCGTGTTGCCGCCAATAATCAGCGAGAGAAAGACTCTTCAAAGAGACGCAGACCTTCAGAAAGACCTTCGGTTGGAAAGTGAAAGTGGTCGACACAAATGGCAGCACAAACAGTAATTGTCACTTTCTCTCTTCATGATGAAAGCGTGCCCTGCAAGTGAAAGGTTGGCGGTCCAACATAATAGAACTGGGCAGAATAGAACAGCGACATAATAGAACTACGCATAATAGAACTTCTCAGAATAAAACCGCGACACAATAGAACCGCGATATAATAGAACTGCGCAGAATAGAACTGCGCACAATAGAACCGGCCACAATATAAGTGTTTGGTGCACCTTTTAAAACGCAATGTCTGAGAATGCCTAAAAGTAAACCAAAACAACAAATATCGCGATCAGACCCCTTTGAAAATTGAAAACGCACTTTTCTCAAGTTCGCGAACATTTTTCCATGCAAAAGTACTCTGAATTTTGTGAATTTCGGCCTAAAAACCCCTTGATGTCAATCAGGATCGGGGTGAACTTTTTTTTGCCGAAGCACAAGAACGGTTAGATTCAGAATCAACAATAAAATCATGGCTATGTAGTGTTAAAATTTTTCAGGACGACCAGAAAACTGAAAAATTTTCTGAACAATGTCACAAAACAATTTATTCTCCATGAAGGAGGGGTGCTAAATTATTGGTGCGAATATGAAAAATACTTAAAAAGATGCGAGTAGGCTGGTCGAACAGGCGATTTCAGGCGCCTGTTTGACCAGCCTATACGGGTACAAGGCATTTTTTAAAAATTGGCTTGTACCCTTGACGGTCACGGGTACAAGACATTTTCTAAAAATTGGCGTGTACCCTTGACGGTCACGGGTACAAGACATTTTTTAAAAATTGGCGTGTACCCTTGACGGTCACGGGTACAAGGCATTTTGCACGGGTATAGGCTAGTCGAACAGGCGATTTCAGGTGCATGAAAAGGACCACGGAGCCGGACCAAAACTTGTCTGATGTATCACTGTTATATAAGTACCCATTGGGTATAATATGGGACAAATTGTAGCATTCTGAATTTTTAGTGATCTGGTGTAATTAACGAATTTCGAGGTTCTCAGACATTGCCTTTTAAACCTTTCTGTAGAATAATTGTGTCGCAGAAAAAGATAATTTTTGAATTTCGTGATCGATTTATTGCATTCATTAATTTCAGTTCCGTCGTGATCCCTCTTCTCCACGATAACGAAAACTCATAGAAAATAATTTTATTGTACTATCAAAAACGAGAGGAAACCAATTTTCTAGGTATAAACTGTGGTGCTTAATTGTTTGAGAGACGAAAATTTTCGCGAAAGTTAATTGAAAGGAACGGACAAAATGCTCATATAAATAAGCAAAAACAGTTATATTATGTCGCGGTTCTATTCTGCCCAGTTCTATTATGTTGGACCGCCGAAAGGTTGATAATGCAACGTCAAGTGAATCACAAAAAATATGACTTCCCATTTTGATAATTTTATTCCAATTTCAAAAGGTAAATATAGTAAAACACAAATAGTAATTGGGGAATCCAATAATTGTAAACAAAGCAGGGATTGGAAATTTGAGACACTCAACAGAAAAAAACGGTACAGAAAAAGTTCGAATGACATGAGAGTTTTAAGATGTGTGAAAAGAGAGTAATGGCGGCTCAAAAACAAGAAAATTTCAGATAAAGATAAAACGATTGTTGATGACGGCGAGGGCATCTACCAGTTGGCACGGCGCCGTCCACGTCTTCCTCGGCCTCTTCCACCACCGCGTCTTCTCTTCTCTGGCGGCGGCGCCACTTCCTCCGGCTCCGATTCGGAAGACGAGATGCCTTCCACCGCCCGCACGTCGTTCAGGTAGTGATCGATGAACATGTGATCCATGACTTCGTGGGGATTCGGCGATTGGAAGTTGCATTCCTTGCACTTTTGCGATGCGACATAGTAGTGACGATCGCGATGAAGACGGAACTTCTCGAGGTCTTTGTGCTCGTGGTAAGGGCAGTCAGGACATTGGCCGGATTCTGAAAAAATAAAAATTAGGTTTTCGAAACAACAAACTGGACAACTGACTCTCAGCTGGAAGCTCCTTTGCGAGATATTCCCTCGGGTTGTTCCTTCCGAACTGCGCCTTACACTCTGGGCTCAGTTTCTTGTAGGCCGGTGTTTGAAAGTGAGCCTTGTAAATCTTGAGCAGGGATTCGTACTCCTCCATTGCTTCCTCATACAATTCCTCGATTTCTTCTGGATCACGCGGGACTTTGAAACCATATTTGCTCGTTTTCAACCAACGGAATTTGCTTCTTGATGGCATTTTCGGAAGAATGGGCCTTTCGAGATGCGTTAGAGGCCGACTCTGAATCACGGGTGCTTCCAACGGAGCTGGCTTTGCTGAAGACGAAGAAGAAATTGTTGGCTGTTTTTGAGCAGATGTGGACGGCGCAGATTTGCCATTGAAAGGTGGAATCGTGAGCGCTTGCTTCAAGGACTCTCCGGATAGAATTCCACACTTCATTTCTGGCTGATCCCTCTTGAAAATGGATTGAGAGGAAGAACCAGGTTGATCTTTCTTGGAAATTGGTTGAAGGGAAATTCCACGTTGATGCCTTTTGAAAATGGATGGGTAGTCGGATCCAGGTGGATTCCTCTTGAAAATGTACTGATAGTCAGAATCAAGTTGATCTCTCTCGAAATTGGATTGAGCAGAAGTTCCAGGTTGATTGCTCTTGAAAATAGATTGAGCAAAAGATCCAGGTTGATATTTATCGAAATTGGATTGAGTGGAAGACCCAGGCTGATCTTTCTTGAGATTGGATTGAATGGAAGATCCAGGCTGTTGTACAGAAGGTCCGTTCTTGAAAATAGGTGGGATAGTCTTCTTGAGTGCAGGCTCCTTAGAAGTCCCGATCTTGCTAGACGATTGGATGATTTTTAAGCCATCGTTGTCAGCACATCCGTTGGTCGCCAATTTTTGCAGCGACGACTCTCTCTTCGGTGCCGATTGGGCGGAAGATCGGACTTTAGAAGAGAACTGAACAGACGCTGGGACCTGTGACAACGTTTCAGCATCTTTGCTACTTGTGGACAGTTCGAGGATCAGAGGTCCAGATTTCGGACGCGATTCCTCGGAACACTCTCCTGGTAGCAATTTTGGTTTGATCAAGTGCTCGGACTTCAAGTTCGAGTAATCCATTGGCTTCGAAAGCAGCTCTGACGACGATCCAGCTTTAGACGGTACAGGAGCCGTTCCGGGCTTTGCATTCGACTGAGCAGAAGTCCCAGATCTTCCAAGCATCAGATCCGTTGCTGCAACTGCCTTGGAGAGCCGCTCGATTGTGGATTGAGCCTTGTTGACGATTAGCTTTGACTTCTTCTTGTCTTCAGGAAATGACTCGGCAAGCTTAGTGGAAGAACGCATGGATCGAGTGGTCCTGAACGGAGACGACGAAGAGCTGATCTCGGCGATATTCGAGCGCGATGAGCCTTCTTCCTTCTCTGTTGTAGGGGTCTTGACGATCAATGGTCCAGTCTGCGCAAACTTGACATCTTCAGAAGTGGTTCTGGTAACAGGTGCTCCGGGTTCCAATGGCTTCAAACATGTTGCAGACTGGGCTGGTTTGGCCGAAGACGATCCGGGAAAATCGGACTTCACAAGTGTTGATCCAGCGGCTGCAGACGCTCTAGTGAGTGGCGAAGATGTCGCAATGAGTGGCGAAGATGTCGCAAAAGGTTTGGGCGTGGCCCGTTGGGACGACTTGCTTCGGGTGGTTGGAGTGGTATACTTCACTGGGAACATCATGACCAGTGGACCAGATTGAACAAGTTCCGACGGAGAGGAAAGCGCTGCATGCGAGGCCGGAAACTGAGTCTTCGCTGCTGATTGACCTGTGAGCCTTCTTCTTATGCCTGATAGACTGGATTGTTCTCCCTTCACAGATGCAAGAGTCAACGGTCCTGATCCCGAAGTTGTGGGCTTGAAGTGAGGTCCAGCGATAGTTGGAAGAGGCGCCAATGGTGCAGTAAGTGGGATGGACTTGGCCGATTCCATGAACGATCTTCTGGTTGTCATCTTACTCGTGGAAGCTGCATCTTTGTCATAGCTTGGTTTTGATGCAGTTGCGCTGGAATTGAGCTTCTCGCCAGGAAGAGTATCTCTAATAGTTCGTTTTTTTCCTTGATTTCTGCTGGCAGATTGAGGGCGGTTGCTCATCGAACTGGTGCTGGCTCCAGTGTATTCGAACAGGTCTTCATTGGCAGTTCTCGATGCAGACGAATGAGCTTCAAGCTTCGGAACCGGTGAGAAAGCGGGACCAAGGTTAGGAGCTGGCGAGCTGACCTCTTCCTTTTTGATGCTACTAGTCCGGGCTCTGATCGGACTGAGAGGCGGAAAGATCGGTGGGGCTGGGGCAGTGCTCGGTCCTGGCTCGTTCTTATCCGGTGTCTGCTCTTTGTCAGTTCCCAGAGCTCCACTCAAATCCCATTTGTTGACCTTTCTCTCATAGCTGAGCCATCTCAAGAACTGGAAAAAAAATTGGATGAATGATTTCAAATTGCATGAAAGTTTACCTCTGCCGCCGTCTCCTTGTCCGTTTGATGCAGTCTCACGTGATGTTGAATGTGTCTGATATGGATTGTGTCGTAATGGCAACTGCAGCAACGGTATGTCTGTTTCGATCTCACGACGTGATGACGAAAGTGGCGCCATGCCGCCGATACATTCCAAGTTGTGTATGGGCATTTCGGGCAGTAGTAATAGTGCTGGTTCGCGTAGACGATCTTTCTGGCAAACAGAATTCCTCCCTTCATCGTCATCTTCTTGAACTTCACAATAGGCTGCGGAGCACCTGGCTCAACCTTTGCACGCTTTGGACCGAGCTCACCATTTCTAAACGTTCAAAGTATTGCCAACGATATTGCTGTGTATGTAGTACCTGGTTTTATAGTTTTCCTTGAACTTGTTGGTTCGATCGATCGTACATCCGAAGTTCTCCTCCATCTGTCGCCAGAGCAGTGCCCGTCTCTGTGGGATCGGACGGCATTCCACGTTCAAACGCCACTTGACAACAAGCCGTGAGCCAGTTGGAAAACCGAACTGAAATTGGAATTTGATAATTGGAAAACTGAATGTGTCGGTTGATCACTAACCTTTGGTGGGCCCGAAGTCTTGGCGTAGGCTTTGCTGTCCTTGTGGTTGTTCTGCTCAGTGTATCGATGACATTGGATGTGGTACGCCATTCGCTGTCTGGTTTCGAATCTATTCTGACACAACAGACAATCGTACGGGAGCGGAGTCGCCTTAGACTCTGGAGTTGTCGAGACTTCCTCTTTCTTTGTCGTTGTCGTAGGCGTAGCCATAGTCGTCGTCAGCACGGTGGTCGCCGTTGGCATTGCCGTCTTTGTCGTCGTCATCGTCGGCGTGGTCTTCGGCGTCGGCGCCGTAGTCACAATCGTCGTCGATGTCGCAGTCCTGATCGTGGTCGGCATGGTCGTCGTTGGCGTTTCCCTAGAAGTCGTCGTCGATGCGGCAGTCCTCCTTGTTGTCGGCGCGGTCGTTGGCATCAGCGTCGGCGTCGTTTTCGTTGTCGGCTTTGTAGTCGCAATCGCCGTCGATGCCGCAGTTCTCCTCGTCGTCGGCGTGATCGTCGTCGACGTGATGGCTGACGTCGGCGCGAACGTTGGCGTCGGCGGCGGAGATGGATCGCTGATCGGGGTGGCCTCACGGACAAGCACCGGCATTTCTTCGTCGTCATCCTCATCTTCTTCTTCATCTTCAACGTCGTCCCCTTCCTCAGGCTCTTCTTCCTGTTCATCCTCCTTCTCCAATTCTTCCAGGTCCTCTCCCTCTTCTTCTTCCTCATCTTCCTTGCTTTCGTCTTCAGGCTCCTCGTCGTTAGAATCCGCCGCGACACCTCGTCGTGGTCGAGATCTAGCGGCTCCATGCGTCGTGTTCACGTGACGATCGAATGCGTGCTTGTGCTTGCACGAATAGTTGCATTGGGGGCACTTGATGACAACGGGCGCGTGTCTGCGCAGGTGACTTGCCAATCCGCATCCTCTATGGAACTTTTTTGGGCAGAGAGGGCACTGATAGAGAGTCTGAAAGGAATTAATTTGCTTCTACAGAGCAATTAGCAAAATCTTACCTTCGCCGGCACCTTTTTTTTCTGTTTGCGTGGCATGGCGTCGGTTTTCTCGCTGAAAATTTAGAAATTAATAATAAAAAGGTTTGTTAGAAGTGATCGAACGGAGAAGAAGGCGATGTGGGGGAAGAAGAAAGAGAGAAAGAGAGAGAGAGAGAAAACGATGCGTGTGACGAATATACTCCAATGCTCGGTTCTTGCGGCCCTCACGAAATGTCTGCGTCTACTAGAACACCCAATGTCTCGCTTTCAACACAGTTCTGTTGGACACTAGTACGCGCACCCTAGCCTCGCAGGACGGTGAGACGCAGATTAGTGGAAAGAACGCCGGACGACATATGCTGGCTATACCGATAATTGAAAAGAAACAAGCGTTTGTGATAAGAGAGACGAAAAATAATAGGTGTTGGGGTAAGAAGTCACTAGTCGAGGTCTTGTATCGTGTCAAATGGAAGGAAAACAACTATTTTTGCGGCGCTGGTGTGGTGGATCCTAGAAAATATTTACACGAGAAAGAAATCCGAATGACCTAGTTGTGCAGAGTAGCCCAGTTTTTGCGTCAGCATTCTCTCGATTGAAGAAGAAATTAGAAGACTACGGACAGCGTTTTAGTGGTCTTTGCTTTAGCGAATCTAAAAAACAGTGCGAGACGATGACACATGGAAGACAAATGCGTATGTGGAAGAGCGCGGACAGCCGAAACAGTTATCGTCCGCGAGCGACTGTCCTCCTAGGCCAGCGTGCAGTGCGCACAGAACAGCGATGGGACTAAGGACCCCCGCGACGCCTTGTGGGCAAGCGCAGCGTGTCGCGTCGCGTGCGAAAAAGGTACACTGTTTTGATTTCATATGAGCGCGGCGAGTGAAGATGCATACCATTCACGTATTGATCGACTGTGAGCGAAGAAGAACAAAGAGAAAGAAACGGGGGAGAGGGGAGGGCGGGCCGACCGACCAAGCGAGCGACTGGAGGAACTGGTGACATGCTCATTAATCTAATTCTTTCTGAGCTGCTCCGACCGAATGTCTCAGTGATGAATACGAAAGGACCAAATGAGAATAAATGAAATTTGCGGAAAAACATTGAAGTAAAACTTTTCCCGAGGGGCAACCATGAGTTACGAGGTGACTCACCATTCAAAATATGATGATTTCAAACCTCTCATTAACAGCAGCTGATTTCAAAAGAGAACAAACTCGTTTTTTCTTTAAGAGAAGCGTTACACTTTATAGAAAAATAATCAAACACAATTCATTTCATTTTAAGATGTTCTAAGCATTTATTAAAATTCAAATTTGTCGAGTAGAACACATTGGACTGTTTGCACATTCCTCGCAAGAAACATGCTGAACTTCTTACCAGATCTCATTTCCTCTTCATTGTTGTTTCCATATGCAAATGGGAAGCTACCTGAAATCAAAATTCTGGCATTGAGGCTTTCCGCCGAGCAAAGAAAGGATAATCGCTGCTAATCTTGTTCTTAGGCGTGTTCCACCCTGAGAGTCAACTGAATACACTTTTGATTGAAAGTGCTGATGACTACGACGGACATCTAACGGCTTAGCGGCGCGAATTTTGGCGATCGGCGCTCTACCTCGATTCCATTAAATTTTTGACGGTATTACCAGAAACGTGCGGCATTAATATCGAAAATAAGATTCACTCACTGTCGCCTTTCAACGAATAACAGTTTGAAAGCGGATCGCACTTCAAAACGACGATACATTTGACGCGATTTTGCTCACAGGCCACCAAAAATGACAAGAAAAGGGTTAGTTGGACGATTTTCGACAACATCATGGTCGGACGGGATGAGAACTGAATGTTAGGTGAACTGAGAGTTCCAAACCTGACAAAGCACGCAGAAGACACTGGGCCTAATAAAACCTTCCATTTCGCAAAGTGAATCCTCGAGTCCTAGTGTTTTATAGCTGTACTCAAGGCTCTGTCACTTCGCCCTGATTAGGAATGATTACAACTTCTTACCAGATTTTAAGTCCGAAATTCGTTTTCTTGTGTTTTACCATCCTCCTTCGTAATTATTGCTTCTCTTCTGTGCGTCATCAATCCCATGTTTCTGGTTTCAAAAAGAAATTAGCCTTTCCATTCAGCGGTGCGTATACATACAATTGTTCGTATCTTTCCCCTTTCCGAGGATTTTTGTATCGTGCATGACATAGATATTGTATCTTATATCGATATTCCCTCCGGCTCCTCCTTTTCATCCTCCTCTTTCCCATCTTCATTTGTCTCATTTTGCTCGTCGCAACCGGTGAGCCCAGGCTTCTTCTTTTTTCTGAAATATTCTATTGAAAATCATGGATCAAGATCGCGACCAAGAGCCTTATGTTCGAGAGCGAGATCCAAGAGTGATCAACGTAAGTTCAGAAATGACCCGTTAGAATGCAATTCTTGTTCAGGGAGTACAACCGATCATTATCGCCCTTGCGTCACTCATGTTCCATCTGTTCCCGCCCGGAGATTTCCTCTTCCTCGACGACGACGAAAACATCGTCACTGCGATTCTGTATTGCGAAATCAGCCACGGCTATCTGTGCGTCATCTTCCAGGAGCACGGTCGTTACACTCATTTCCGTCACGTACCGGCACAGGAAGCTCTTCAAAACGGATAATATTAAATGTACCCTCTTTGCCGAATAAACCCTGCCGCACTAGTTTCTGAATACCAATTGTCCCGTCCAGTCGGCAATTTTAGGCAATATAAAGTTCAACAAACTTTTTTTCAATTGTTTGGGGATTTATTTTAAAACACGGGAAATTTTAATCGAACACAGATCACAAGGCTATTTTTCAGTTGATAATGGGAAAATTTTCAAATAAAAAAGATAGCGTAGCCTTTTTTCGGGGAAAGTCATTTTTAGAGGTGTAAATGTCTGGTTGGTTGAGAAGCGGGGTGTGGATACAATGTGATGGGGATAATAGTGAATGAATAGATGTCGCGCAAGAATCACTCCTTCGAGATGTGCAGCGTCCACTGCCAGTCGAGGTACACGTTCTCATCGTCGTCCGTGATTTTTGAATGGACCTTGTACTTTCCGCGGTGAATCATTCCTGAAAAATGGACACGTTGTTCAGGTAAAGCCAGTTTTTGCTTCTTACCGGATGGCGCTTCCTCGTTTGGCGACTTATATTCCTGAATCTCGAGTTTCGGCGCGTAGCTGCCCATCATGTATTTCTCGTTCTCGACAGTGATCCCAGCTCTTTTCACTTTGTGCTTGTAGCTACAAAACACAATGTGATGTTTGTTGAAATCATCGCAGAAAACTCACTGAAGTCCGGAGGCGATCTCGCGCTGCACGTGGAACGCGAATCTGAGCCGGTAGTTGGAACCTTCTTTGATGCTGACCGACAGATCCGAGTTGAGCAGTTTGGCCGGGTCCGAGAGGTCGAACGACTCGGTCTTCTTTCCGTCGATGAGCAGTTCCACGGAGCGGATGATCACGCGGAGCGGGTTGTTCGCCTCGACGATGACGGTTCCTTGTCCGAGTAACTTCTGTTTGTACACCTTCAGCGACTCGTCCTCCTGGAAATTGGTTGATATTTTCTGATGGATAAGGATGCCATCATCAACAATTCTTTTCATATTTTCCCATTTTTCCTTGATGCGAGAGTGTCAACAAGCTTCATTTTTGTTTAGATGAAGGCCTTCTCGGAACCAAACATTAAATTAAACCCCAACAAAAAACCTTGTCAGCGTTGAGCAGCTCGTCAATCGTCTTTTGCGGCGGTTGCTTGTACTGGAACTCGGCGCCCTCTCCGGTGCTCTCGTGGTCCGACATGCTCACCTGAAAGAAAGGATAATCACTTTGGAGAATTCGAACTGAAGAAGATGAGAAACAGAAGAGTCAAAAGAGAGAAAACGAGCAGAATTCGCAATTATCGTCGGCTTATCGGGACGACGCTGTAGTGTACCCATAGAGGGAAAAGAAAAAGAACCGAGGACATCGGAAACTGGAGAACGGCGTCTAAGAACATTTTCAATAAATGCAACCTTCAGGTTAGGACGGAGAAGAAACGGAAATGATGGGAGAAGAAAAACTATCGGAAAACAATTTCATAATTGAATAGACCGCCTCCGGAGAAAGGGAAGAATTAGACGAAAAGTGAAGGGAAAGAAATGTGACCCGACCGTGCCGATTCCCTTATCGCTCGTTCTCGTCACGACTGTTTTTCTGCCATCTTTTGAAGGTAGGACAGGAAATTTGTCAATTTTCTTCCACCCAGATCAATTGACCAGGGAAACTCGCTTGCTAGAAAGCGACAGAGGGAACGCATGCTAATTTCGACCCAAACCGTACGAATGGGGAAAAGGGGCGGATGGAACAGTGCGTTTGCAATGCCGATGAGTCACTAAGTGATTAGAAGCGGAAAGTGAATACTAGAGAAATGTGTGGTTGAGAGGCGGAGAGGCGGAGAGCCAAAAATCAAGTGGTGAAACAATACGTTATCAGTTTCCGCAACCAACAAATGGTTTTGTAATTCTGGCAATGCTTCGCGTGACTCATAGTCTTCCCTTTTTCTTTGTTTTTATCTAAAATAGCCCAAAATACCGGAAAAGCAAGCGGAGAACAAAAAAAATGAGTAATCACCGGCAACGAGAGATGAAATGATACAGGTGGTCGCGGATGGCGAGAACTGCCTACACACAGACACAAACAGACAAATACTACAGTTCGAGTGCGGGAAAGAGTGACAGAAAATTAGAAAGAGTGTGGAGCGACACGGAATGAAACACTGTACTGTGGGATGTTTGTGGAAAAACGCAGCAGCAAAAGTCGCTGATGGTAAAATGTCAAAATCGGGCATTCGTCGGGGCGAGGCAGAAAACCGCGCATTGAGAGACCGTACTGATTGCAAAGAAAATCGGGGCACAGCGAGAAAATATGGTTCTCGTCGTTTGTTTAAAGTATTTGAACGCGGTTAGTTCAGGAGGAATGAATGATGGAGAGACAGAAGAGAAATGAGCACGGAGGTCAATCGATTGAATTACATAATTGGGTCTACGGCATAGTCGGATTTCCATTAAAAACATCGTGCCAATCCGAAAAGTGCTTCGTTAGTAGGAGACGCATTGAAATTCGCATTGATATGTAGTTGTCGTGAGACCTGTTCGGCAATGAATGGCTGGCTGCATGTCAATGGCGAACAACAAATTATTTTCAGAATAGATCGAAATAGCAGATAACACGACTCGGTGGCAAAAGCGAAAGTGCAGTGCTCAGAAGGTATCATGTTGCATTACGGGATTACTCCGGACAAAACAATGCTAATCTGAGCCGCTGGCTTCAGCTTCTCCGGCTTCTTTCTCCTTTTTCCATATCATGAATTCAATACATTTCTGAAGAAAAGGCGGAGAAAATGCGTGAAATCGGAGAATCATTCAATATTCGAAAAGAGCTGACGGACGAATTCGTCTTTTGCGCGGTCAGTTTTTGATGAAATTTGACATGCTCGTACAAAAGAAAATTGAATCGGAGTTATGGATGAAGCCAAACTGGAGAGCCATCAAAATATTCGGTTTTGATTCGATTATGATATGAGACTTCGTCTTCGTTTCAAAAGTGTCGCTGATTTGGGGGGAAAAGTGATGTTGATTCAGCCAAAAGGGCACAGAGAATGGCCAAAGCCGTGCTTGCTTCTAAGCTCGCATGACGTGTCGGGCTTAGAAGAACAGTGATCAAGTTTTCAGAAAGAATTTCAGATTCAAAGTCCACGCAGATGGATCAAAATGGGACGGAACCGGAGTAACTGTCAACCCCCCGCACATTTCAACAATTCGACTGCAGACTGCGCTGATTTCTCGAAGGAAACAGTTTTTCTTTGCCTGTTTGCTCAATGGATTCCCATTAGAACCGTATTTGATCTTCGTATCGGTGTAGTAGTCCAGGGTGCAAGTTGTACGGCTGATGACGTTGAACGTTCTCGGTAACACGACTGGACCCAATTTGAACGTATTGTCTCGCTTTGTTGACTATCCTATTGCTTTTGCTGCTTCCCGTTTCTTCCATCAACAAGTGTGACACTAGTGTTGCTGTTCCCGGCATGAGTATGACAGGTCATTTGACTGTTATTATAATGAGAAACTTTTCCTCGCACGTGTGTTTTTCTTTCTATGTATATATCTCTCGTCTTTTCTCCCGCGTTTTTCAATAGTCAGCTCGGCGGAAACGCACGTGTTTCCCGAGCATTGGCGCCCTCGGCTTTTCTTTTTTTTAAATCTTTTCTTCTGCTCGCCGCCAAAACACATCGGTTTCCTTGCAGAAGAATAAGACCAGGTCGGCGTGAAGCCTTCACGAATTTAGAATCTGAAAGCGGCAACGAGAGACCGCAGCGCACGGAGGGACGCGTCGCGGTTGTTTCCCCCGGCGGAATATAGAAAGGAGAGTGCGGTTGCTGGCTGGGTGATGGCAAATAGAAACACGAAAACTAGTCACCCAAAAATCTTTGCCATCGCAATAGACGAGAAATGAAGAGTCGCTCTGAGAACTTCATTTAAAGGATATTTCTCGACCGAATACTCATTGTCTTTAAGCGAAATGGAAATGGACGTGTATGAGGAGTTACTGGCTGCTGCACTGTTAATCATCTTCTCAAGTATTGCTTTGTGGGGCATTCGGAAGCTTTTGGCCGTCAGAAAACGCAAAACTATCAATGATACTGCATCAAAAAGTGAGTATTTCACTTTCCCACCTTCAAAATAGCCTGCCGATCGCGGCATTTACAATTAATTCATTTTTTTCCCGCCGATAATGCTCGCGGTATTGACTTTTCAAGCCCGAAGAGAAATTGAAAGCTCGCCGGTCATGCGCCTCTGGAATTTGCTCGGAATTTTGTTCAATATGTACCGACCAGACAGCTATTTCTTCGCAGTACAGAGAAAGTTGCGAAAAACGCGTGTCGATCGCATGTAACAGCTGCTAAGCGGCGAGAAAACGATAGATAAGATATCAACGAGCGAAAACCGAACAAAAATGTTTCAGGCGGACACTACTGGAGTCCAATCGACTACAGCGAACAACATAACTACTGTGCCGGTTGCAAAGAACACATCGTTGCGGGTTACGAGTGTGATAACTGCCTACTCAAGGTGGACAATGTGAGTTCCGACGACAAAGATTACAAAGTTTCTAAGAAACAGGAGAGAAACGAGTTGAAATACACAAAAATTAGGTAAAAAACGTGTAGCCGAACTGTGCAAACGATGCGAGAGGACAGATTGAGTTCTTGAAACACTGCTGCGCAACTGATCGTCTGACGTGGTGGGGCGAGAGGGAGAGAGAGTGAGGAGACGCAGAGAAAGAGAGCGGGCAGGTAGAGTGGTCCGTCCGCTCGCTGTGTACCCACCGCGGAATCACAAAGGAATACTGGAAATCGATGCAGACTGACCCGAACCCGAACGGCGCGGCGGCGTCTTTTCGGGCAAACCTGATTGCTGATTTCATGTGCCCTAGACAAAAACGTTGTTAAAAATGACAGAAAAAGGAGAATTATGAGGAAAGAAACAAAAATGAATAGATTCTGGTTCAGATAAACTGCCTTCGACTGGTCTCCACAAAAATCCACTGCAAAGTCAGCCAATCGCTATGCCAGAGGGAATCATTCGATCATCATTGGGTTCGTCCGCTGGAAAATCGCTCTCTTTCTCATTTTTCTTTCAAGATTTGTGGCAACATTGGTCCCGATCTGTTCTGTGAAGTCTGCGAAGAATTGTGCGGCGGCGGCGTTGGACTCCAGGATTTTCGGTGCTCTTGGTTCGTTTTTTGATGACCTCCGTTGACTGAAATTCATAAAAAACGAAGTGAAACTGATTGTGAAGCAAGCGTGTCGGGCGACTCGTAAACCCGAGTATTTCCTTTTATTTCCACCGCTTTTAGATTCGTTTTCTGAAAACACATCCGTGTCGGCATATGAGTGCCCATTTCAACACTGTCTTTTTCAATGATGTCGCTCTCTGTGAACGCATCACACTTCAAACCATCCTGTAATGTGCCCAAGGGGCGCTACAAATGTCCGATGCAAATCGGCATAATTTTCTGACTGCTCCACCCACTCTTCTGCAATATCGCCTTCCTAATACCAGATTTGGTGGCTCCTCACTTCCGAAGTCATCATCGTTTTCCTATTTTCTACAGGTTTACTTCTATAAACCGCTTTTAAAAGAGACCAAACAGAACACCGACTACATGTCCAAAGTAGTTTTCCGCCCCCGTTAAAGACTGATATTTTTCCTTTCTGACATCACCTCTGGGACAAGGCTGTATTAGTGAAATTCGCTGAAAAAAATAAGTCAGAGGAAAAGGCCTCTCTCCAAAAATTATGAGCGGGCAGTTCTCAGAAATGCACCATTTAGAATAATTCTTCTTCTAGTCTTCTAGTCACTTCACTTCCGATTAGGAAGTGACGCATCACTATGGTAGCCTTCTGCTACTAATGCGGCCAGAAAAGCACTCCCAGTTCAGAAGGAAATGTATGTATTGGTGGTGACTTCTCCGTCCTCCCTCGCTTTCGTTAATATTTTGATCCAATCTCACATCATGCGCGTTGGGAAAACAGAAGATTATCATCGTTGCACTCCCACCAGGAGAATGAACAGTTTGTCTCTACTCCGATCTCTGATTGTTCAGCACGTGAGCTTTTCCTCCATTCTTGCCCCGTCCTGGCAAACTAAAGGCGACCAACGTGCGCAAACAAACAGAACAGTCTTTCCTTATTTTCCAGACCCTTTTTCTCGTCGTCGTCTTCTTCTTCTTCTTCTTCTTCTTTGAACACGAAGCCGAGACGCACTTTTCATTAAGTCGAAATTGAAATTTCATTAATTTCTTCGCACCGATCTCATTTGAGCAATGTAAACTGAAAAAAATTGAGAGGATTGGATTTTCCCGGTCATAAAAAGTAAATTGAATTCCTTGCCTTCTTCTTGGGCTCAAAGAAGATGGAATGTGCTTCCGGAGCTACAGTGTCCACGCCCAATACGCCCGCTTTCCTCATTTTGCTTTCCATCCGCCAAGCCCAACCGTGCTTTCATAAAGCTGCACATGAAGCTGGTTAATTTTTTGTCTACCTCTATTTTTGGGAATTCGTCCTCCGAATCTTGTCTATTCAATAAACAATTCTCGATTTGTGATCGGTGTCGTCGGGTTCAATGATGAATATTTGCTAGTTTTACCTTATTACGTTACTGCCTCCAATCCTATTTTGGTCTTGTCTACTAGCTAGTTTGTGGGTCCATCAAATCCAATTTGAAGCGGACTAAAAAATTTCTGAAGTTTGTTCACTGAACGGACCTGCCAGTGGAACATTGGTCATCTAAATTGTTTTGACGCGTCATCATCTCTGTTCTTCCGTTCACCTAGAAGTTGCGCAGTCCGTTGCGTACTTCAAGGTTGGTCGGAGAGTTTGGAATGTAGTCAGACGATTAGGGAAGTAGACGTCACTGTCCTACCGACTCCCTTCGTCACTTTGATTTTGGATTCCTTGGCTCTGTCAGCATACGACAAATGAGCTCATCAATCCCATCTCGGAGCTTCACTTAGCTCGTAAGACTATTATTTTCCCCGATTGCTTGATGACTTCCCGGTTTTTCATTCCTTCTTCTTTTTTTTTCAAAATTTATTTTGAAGAAAAAATCGCAGAAATGTTTTGCCTTTTTTAGCCGGACTATCTTCCAGTTCAGTTTTTCCATAGAAACAGCTGATGAGTATGCATTACATAATTATCAATCCGTTGTTCCTCAATGTGTTATCTCGTGTGCCACATGACACTTGGCCCGAGTCAGTGGGCACGCGTGAGCCTGGAAGAGAAGAAAAATAAAAAAAAAACCCTCGAGATACCGAGACGGACTGCCGTTGCCTTCCTTCCTTTCTAGCCATTCATCCAGATAGTGTGGCGCAAGATTTTCATTGCGCAGTCCGTCCGTCACCTCGGGTTGTCCTGTCTGTCCGCAGTCCTCCTCGCCTCTCTTTCTTTCGATCCATCCGGTTTATCGTGTCCTGTGTATGTTTGCGACCACCACTGCGCCACTCTGATTCTCTGCGCATGCCTTCCTACGACATCGTCGCCGACCGCATTCGGTCTTACAATGCTTTTCTGACAGTTTCCCTCCTTTTGTGAGGGAAAAAAGGAGAAGAAGAAGAAGAAAGTTTTTGAAGACGCGGAGAGACCTTCTTTCTCACCAAACCACCCTTTCTGTAGTTATCAATTGGTTTCATATTTGTCAAACTGACTTTTCTCGTCCTCGCCCGTTCACTCTGTCTTGTTCTCCTCTTCCTCGAATTGCTGATTATGATCGTATGACATTAAGTTCGTTTTTTGTTTGGAACAACAGGTCCACGCGGAGGTGAAACAAAGCGATTAGTTATAATTGTTTGATTTCTGCCTGGTACCTATAGACAACATTGAAAAAAACCGTTTCATATTAGTCCAGACTGCATATCTGTTTTTTCTGTCTGTGCCGTCCGTGAAACGATGTTTGTTACTGATCATAGTCTAAACAAGCGTGTCTTCGGAGGAGACTGCAGCCCCAAATTCACAAAAATTTTCTCTTTGAGGATTAGTGACGTCAAAACGCTAATTGTTTGTTGGTTTGGACAGTTAACGCCGGCGCTAGGAGATACTTCTCAATGAAGTTTTTAGATAAACCGCGGACGCGCTCTCGGCTGAAGCACCGGCAGTTGGTTTTTTGATTTCGGCTCTTATAATTACACTGAAGATCGCGAACCGCAAGTTATTTTGTTCAGAAACTGATCCGATCAGAAATCAGAAAACAATAGTGAGAACTTGAACCCTCTTGGATTCCTCATTGGTCAATCGTTTCCATTTTGTTATTCTGAGAGATGCGAGGGTACTTTTTATAATCAAGACTAGAATATACTCATGTTCGTTCTGTGCATCGAGATATTATTTTTTCATGGTTCACATAGACTAGATGTTTATGTTTCTGCAGCTTCCTCGGTTCACACATGACATCATTTGATTGGATCGAACACGAAAGAAATCATAACTTTTTTGGTCAATATAACGCGCTTTCTGAAGACCCAATGTGATCATTTCGGTGCTACACAAACTCTATCTTCGATCAATCATCGCTGGCGTACACTCTTCCACCCGAAATTTACGACCATCGCCTGAAAATAACGAAACCGCAACGCAATCTTCAATTTTCCTTCCTCCTTCTTCTTCTCTTATTTTCCCTTCTTTCTGAACTTCTTAACTTGCAATTAGAAACCGGGTTTTTAACATCTAGATAACGGTTCTCTATCTGATCGAGAATACTTTCAAAATAAAATTTTTGCCTTCTGGTCGGCTACCGTTCTCCAACTGAAAACCTGCAATTCATTTCATTTTTGCAGGTGTTTGCGTGTAGTGCACACAAAGTGTAAACCCAAATTCACTCAACGGTGCGATTTCGGACGATTACAAAGGACTATTATCCCCCCGTACTGCGTGGTCACCAGAAAACCGGGCAACCGCAACCAGAGAATGGTGAGTTAGGCTCTGATAGTTTTGTGTATTACGAGTACGATTCAGGCTGTCATTGACAAAATCGAAATGCCGATGGACATTGAGAAATGGCGTCCGATCATGGTGATTGTCAACCCGAAGAGTGGATCGGGAGCGGGAAAGCAGCTCCTCCGAAACTTCCGATCCCATCTCCATCCGGCTCAGGTGGTCGACGTGCTCAAGTCGAACATTGCCGCTTCTCTCCGCTGGGTCGATGAGCATCCGGAGGTGGAGGTCCGCATTCTGATCGCCGGAGGGGACGGAACAATCTGCTCGGCCCTTGATCAAATCGACACGCTTAGTCGTCGCATTCCGGTTTGTCATCTTCGTCTTTTTCTTCTGCCTTAAACCCCCGTTAATTTGATTCCGATCATTTCCATTTCCCTCCTGGTTTTAGGTGGCTGTCCTGCCGCTCGGCACTGGTAACGATCTATCTCGACTATTGAAATGGGGCAAAAAATGCGGCGGAGACATCGATGTCATCAAGGTACGTTTTACCCGAATCAGATAATTATGGAAGGGAGACCGAGACCTGCTTTTTTCAGTTGATGGAGGATATACAAGAAGCCGAGGTCACACTTGTCGACCGCTGGACAATTGACGCGGAGAGTCAGAAAAAAGTGAGTGAAGTGAAAGTGAGCGGAGCGTATTGAAATAATGAGGGGGAAAGTGAAAGGAACGCTGACGAAACATCAGGGACAAGCCTTTCTCGGTTTTATAGCTTGGAGTACGATTGCAGTCCAACAAAACGCTCTCGATGACTAACTACGTGTCGGTGGGAGTGGATGCGTGCGTCACACTGGGGATGCAGAACACTCGCGAGTCGATTCCACGTGCGATGAGCAGCAGGTACACAACATCAGAGATCACGCGGATCGAATAGCATCTGTTCAGATTGCTCAACAAATTCCTTTTCTTCACTTTCGGCACGAAGGATGTGTTCGAAAGAGTATGCAAAGGACTGAACGAGAGAATCGACCTGTACCTAGACGGGGTGCACATCAACCTACCCGACATTGAAGGGCTCATCTTCCTTAACATTCCATATTGGGGTGCCGGTGTTAAGGTAAGTAAAATGACGTGCATTTTTTTTCCCTAAAACCTTCTTTTCAGCCATGGTCCAATTACAACGATAGTCACCGCCAAGATTGCGACGACGAGATGATCGAGGTGTTTGCGGTTACATCATCGTTCCACATTGCTCAAATGCAAATCGGACTCGCGAGCCCATTATGTATCGGACAGGCTAAACATGCGAAATTGGTGCTGCGGGGAAATCATTCGTTCCCGATGCAATCGTAAGTGACATGTGACGGCAAACCTGACGTGACGTGCAATTCCAATTTCAGAGACGGTGAAGCTTGGGTTCAATCGGCCGGAACAGTCTTAATATCACACAAGTGCAAAACGGCGATGCTGCAGAAGGCAGAAAAGAAAAGCACCGGATGTGGAATGTTCTTCTGATCACTTCCAATCGAAGACGAATTCCAGATGTGTACATTGCTTCCCCCACTTGTCTCCATTTCTTATTCCGTCCGTGATCTCTTTCCAGTACTCATTTTTAATTGTCCGTTCCGCACCATAAACTTCGTGATTTTCCTCTTGCATCTCCTTTGCAAAACGTACTCTTTTCCGTATTCGCTTCCTGTTTCTTTTCTCTTCTTTTCTTTTCTTTTCTTCTTGTCGCTTTTTTGTCCCGTGTTTTGTCCACCCCCCATTTTCCACATCACAAGCCTGGAATTAGTATCCATTTTGTCAAGTAGGCTTTGTATATCATTTTTATTTTCAGAAGACAGCTCCTCTTCTCCTATCTTATTTTTCTCGAACGGTGTCTTTTGCCAACCACTGGAATAAAAACAAATTCTATCATCAACATGTAGAAACTGAAAAAATGGAATTATTCATAGGGTCTCGGGGAGAATGTTCAATGAAAATTCTCTTCTCAATTTCACGGGTCTCGTGAGGAACAAACACTGTTAACCCTTTTTGCGCCCCGAAAAGGATTGCACCTTCAACCTTCACACTTTTCCGTCGTTATTTACCGCCGCTCTCATCAAGTCAATGTGGAACTCCAATGAGAAATGCGCCCGACCCGCCCGTTCTCCGTTACTAAGCGGGTGGCCTACTAATCCGTTTCCCCCATTAGATTTTGAGAAATGTATCCGTTCATAGACAAGCAGGCGTGCCTTGCCCCTCAACAGCTCTGCTCTCGAAGTGTGCTCATTTTGTGTGCAAAGCCCAATTTTCATAGATTGTCGCTCTCCAAAAACCAAATCCTTTCGTCTTTTTTGCTTTAACACCATTCAAATCTTGATGTCTCATTCTAATCGATCCAAACCAGATTAGCCGAAATTTGCGTAATAATCAGATTTGGTTATGATAAATGGTTTTATTGGTGTTCCTATTGGGGCGTTCACAAATGCGGAACACATTCATTTTCTTCTACATTTCAACCGCCTCTTTGTCAAGCACCCTTCGCCGTTCATTCAGGGAACGAAGGGCTCTAGAGCCGTCTGATGTATTCAAATGTTCAATCATCCTCGCTTTTCGGCTTCTCACCAGCTTACCCCCACACAAAATTTCCCCATTTCTTTCGCAATTTTCTCTTCTTTACGAGAATTGGAACAGCGTCAAGATTTCACTTTTCGATTATGACACTTTCAAAATGTTCGTTACAAACACAAAGTGAAAGAGAGAACGAAAGAAAGAGTGTAGAAGCTTAGTTTCCCGTAAAGGAAAGGGCAATGAACTCGCGACCTCGATACGCATTGACCCAGCATTACTCTATACAACATGTCAAGCAGAAATGAACTATGATGGAAAAGTAATAATTCACACTTTCATGTTTGTTATGCCACGTGTTCTCGTTTGCCCTATTCTGTTATCATCGGTAGCGTCTAACTAGAAAAAAGTTCAGCTCTTTGCACTTTCGCCTTCCTCATCATCTTTTTTGTCTGCCGCTAATCATCTGTTCTGAAATATAAGCATTCCGGTTTTCATTCTCCGATTTTATCTCATTTTGTCTAATAATTCGAGTCTTTTCAGCTTTAAAATGACTGGAACTCAGTTTCTGGAGCCTGCCGAAACCCATCACGGAAAGCACAATCTGTGCGAGGTGTGTCTGAGACCGTTCAACTTGGCCAATATCGAAATGCACTTGGAAGCCGGATGCGCTGCTGAAATGTATGTTATACGTGACATAAACCCAGTTTTTGCTTAAATTCATTTAATTTCAGATACGCTCGATACAACATCACTCCGGAAAGAGTTTCCAGGAAAGGAAAGTCAAGCGGACATAGAATCAGAAAGAACAAAAAGGTAGTGGAATTTGAAATGCTTTATAATTTATTTAAATCAACATATTTCAGACGCCATCTTCCGGGAAAACAACCAAAAGAACAAAACAAGGTTCGGAATAATTCATCAATCGTCACACTCTCCAGAATGTGCAACGCTTCTGATAATTTTAATATTCCGTGATGAAAAGAATTATTTGTACAATGAATTTTGAGTGAAAATCAAGTACGCATGAAAAGCAATCACGAGAGCGGTCAAAAAATGGTCAATGAGCTTTTGTGGTATGAAAGATTGGTCAGAATGACTGGATGGAAGAGAATCACTTCTCTGCACTGTGTCTTTATTGCTGGGATTGCCCACTGGTCCCGACGCGCTCACCTTCACGCGAGATAAAAAGTTCCATTGGCCCCCGGGGGCCAGTCTGACAGTCACGAAGGACCACTGCCGGATACCATGGCGGGTGAGCGATTACCATTTTTTATTTCAACTTTTGCAATTAGTAGCTCATTAAGATCAGTGACATCTGGCGAATGCTGGTTACATTTTAGCAAATAAAAGAACGCAAACAAAGAAGAAAAATGTGAGCTCGATAAACAATATTTTCTCGATGATTCCAGCTAATTAGAGTCGCAACAGATATGGTTTCGGCAACACAAGACGATTCAGTGTCGGTTTTCCGTTTCCTTTGGCTCCTTTTGGTGCAAAACTTTCTTATTGTTTGAATCTATGTACTAAAATGTGTTTTTTCCGCCACAGCAACTTTTCAGAGAAAATGGACATTGCTTGGGAGTATCCGTAGAAGGCTAGAGAAGAGGAAGAGAACAATTCGTCTCGTCATCGCATTATTCTCTTTTTTCCATTTCTGCAACATGCTGCGTTGTGTTGTATCCGTCGAATTCTCTCAAAAAGTTTGCCAGTTCACAATTTCGCAGAGGTCCTCCCCGTCGGTTTACTCTATTTTGTTTTCTGGAGCATGCCAAAATTAAGAGATACTTTGAAAAAGAGAGAGAAAGAGGGAGAGAGAAAGAGTCTAGTTTGGCCACGCGCGATTAACACTGCTCGTATTTCAAGAGCAATCACCATTTTTTCTCCGTTTTCTGTCCACTTGTCGGCACCATCGTCATCATTGTGGGTTTCTGGGAGAGAAAGGAGCCGAGTTTCTTGGCTCACTGCCGAAAACAAAAACAAGTTCGTCAGGCGTGGCCACGAATCCAATTTTCCAGAGCGAGCCTGCATTTTTTTGGTTCTGAGCGCATTTCTCAGCAAACCGCATGATATTCTCGATAACAAATTCACCAGTTTCCAGTTTTTCAACTTACATTCATTCCCTACTCGGTCTGTCATGTACACTCAATATTCATAAAAAGTGGCGAGTATAACCAGGCGTATAATTTATGAAAATGTTGCTGGAATCGTGAAACACGGAAGTCCCTCTCTCTCTCTCTCTCTCTCTCTCTCTCTTTCTCTTTCTCTCTCCCAATTCTCACGTGACCCAGAAAACTTTTCAAAACGCCGTGGTCAGTATTGAGAATGCGAGAGGCAATTGAATCGAGTTGTTGCCGGTCCTTGCCCACGTCTTCTCTGGTCCCAAGTCCACGTTCCCATTCGCTCTTTTCCTTTTTGTCTCCCTTTCCCTCGCTCTTTTTGTGTTCTCCCTGCTTCTCAACATGACACCCAAACATGTGTTTCTTTTGTTGTTTTTTCTCCCGATTCAGAGCGCATTGGCATATGACATATTATGATTACTATTTATTTTTTAAGGGTATACAACTGACATGCACAGTACATCCAGTGATGAATTCTCAGAGTCAAGTCTCGTTGAAAAATGGATAGTAGCCATGCAAAAGTGGAACAATCTCTAGAAAACGCCCTTATGGAGTGGTGAGTTGAATCATAGTTGACGTTATTTGAAAATACAATAGTCTACACGATTCCCGTTCTATTAGCCATACAATTTTGTTTGTCCCGCGCTTATTATCCAATTGGCCGGCGGTCAAAAAAATCTTGTCTAGACCACCAATCCTCGATAATTTTGAGCTAATTGAAGAATGGACGCACCTCCGTACGTTTTTTCTTCACTCCACTTTTTCTCGATTGATGACTCATCAATTTGCGAGAGTTTCTTTCGAAATTTGGCTAATTTATCGCATTTGTTCTTCTAGTTTCTCACATATCTATGTGCTTTGGCTTTGCTTCGTCCGACCTTTTATCGGAAAGAACCATCTGCTTTTGCCGGTCCATTGCTCTCATTAAATGTGCAATGCCTTCTCTGGCTGGCGATCAAAAAAATGAGGCGTCACTGGCGTTCCCATTTCGTTTTCTCAAGGCTGTCCCGTGAAAGGTTAAGTGACGGCTAGCTACAACTGGCTAGATTTTCATCCTAAAAGCCAGATGGCCGGGCCGACGCTCAATTCTCAATTCCCATTTAATTTCTTGTTTCGCCTCAATCCAATTCTCTCATAATCAGAACTGTACTGAAAATCGATGCAGTGTTCCGTCCATAATAATCATTTTTTCTATCTCTCCCTTTTTCTTTCTCTTTTCCAACACAAAACATGCGACTGAAAACTCATGTACCGTTGCGGACACACCTTTTCGAAATCAGATGTGTGAACAGTGTGATTCACACGTCTATGCTAATATTTGATGAAAAATGAAACTGCCGGGTCAGTTATTTTTCATATTTTCCACGAACCCATCCCTAGTCAATTTGGTTTCACTCACTGTGTTCGGCGAGAACAAATAGACAAGTTTATTGGGTGAGCAAACTTGAGAACATCAAAAAGTGACGGAGTTGGTTAAGACACTTCTTTTGAACCGGAAGTTTCTCCCCAATCCAGATTTAATTGCGTCAAGAAGCGATTGCCTCCGGCGTTAACTCAAAAAAACAACTCTATTTTTGGTTAATTCTTCCTTTCTATTTCCCTATTTTTAGAGAAATAGTTTGTCAATCAAAAAACAGTCTGAGCTTTGCTATTTTATATTCCGCATTCCGAATTCCACCAAAAAGTCAGTGAAAACTGTCCACTTTTCCATCACCCAAATCCAGGTATTCTGAGGCGCGCGGTGGCGCAAACCACTCAAAAGGTCACTCGATTGGTCATTTTCTTGTCGCCGATCCGAGACATTTCTTCGAATCTATCTTTCTCTTTCTCTCTCCCTTTCTCTCTCTCTCTTTCCCATTCGTTCCGTGCGTTAGTTCGCATTAATGGATTTCCCTCAAGATTTATATTTGTGACGCATTTAAGGAAGCGTGGCCAGGCGTTTTATGTCCCGCGAATTTTTGCACCGTTTATCCGCTGAAGTAATTTTGTGAATTGAAAGTTCCCGGACATTTCCCTCCTTATCTGATTTCCCCATTATAATGAAACGTTCGACAGGCAAGCATGTCGCAAAAAAGATTGTCCTGGGGTGAGATTATTCTTTACAATTACTTGGTCAGTGGTTCCCTTTTTTGCTGTAATTATAAGTATACTGACTTGTTTCCAGTCAAAGGTACTGTGTCTAGACAATATTTTCGAGATCTCTTTTCCAAAACTCACAAAAACATTGTATCTCTTTTCTTCCAATTCCCATTAATTAGACAAAATGCAACAACAATCTTCAAATGTTTTGTTTAACAAAAGTATATAAATGGTCAGATCTGAATTGAAAATGCAGGAAGATCAACACTTATAACACGTTTTCTGTCGTCCGCTTTCATCCAATCCTTCAAAAGAATTGGAACATTCAGGTTCTCCGGATCTCTGAAATTCCATTTTTGCTGGAGCATAAATAATTAGAGAAGCGGAAATACGCCTGCCGGAAATAGCAATTCCTCTTCTTAAAATCATATTTCCACTTGTTCTTTTCTCAGTTTGACTTGAACTGAGGGGATATCTGCAAATTTGCTTCCGAATCAATGGGCGACAAACAAATAACCGTGTGAACTAGTCCATCACCTACTTGACGTCTTTTTCCTCACCGCTCTCGCCTCCGCATCCTGGCTTCTCACCTCACTTTTTCCAACCACAGGCAGCAGTCGCAGCTCTGTTTGCTCAACTGATTAACAGTGCTTGCCTACCTGCCTACCACCTGATGCCACCGAATTTGCAACTTTTTTCTTTTACTTGTTTCCTTACGCAGTTGACCATATAATCCGATTCCGGAGCGGGCGTCCGCGTAAGCTACACAAACCGTTGTCGGAGGGACATGTCTCGCTTCATTCCTTTAACACATCGGGTCGCGTCACAAGTACGGTGTGCGAGAGTGTGTTTATCTTGGCCAAATCATGAGAATTGACCGTCTCGGGGCGCCTCGGGTTCTTTGACAGTGATTGAACGTTTTGCCCATACACCTGAGAAATTACAACCCGTAACTGCCTGTGAACGTCACTCCATCATCAATTCTTTTTTTGAAAAATATTCTCTCGTCTTCCTATTTCTTTTTTTGCACTATTCTTGCAAAGCAAACTTTCGTCGGGCAACAATTCAGAAAAAAACACAGTTCCTACAGTTTATTTTGTTCGCTGACCAGTGGTTGGTCATTTCAAATTGAAATTACATGCTAATGATCAAAATTAGAACCTTTTTAAAGCACGTTCTGCTCATTTTTTGTTCATATTTTGTTGGAGAACTGGCAGGTGAGTCCCAAAATTCAGGGATTTAGTTGACAACATTTTTGAATAGGCTTTGGCTAGGGGTGACCTATAATTATGAAGTTTTGCACGTGTTTCAGAAGGAAGAAGAGGAAGATGTAGCTTGAACTCCCCTCTATTTCTGTTTTCTCGTTCCCCATTACCTTTATTTATGAGAAAAGATTATCCATATTTGCAAGAAATAATCTTTCCTTTCCTCAAAGTGAACATTTGCGATTGACTGTGACCCCCAGGTGTTGACTGAAAATCGGTATGTTTTCAGACCCCCTTCCTATTCAGAACAGTTATGACGTCTTTATAATGTTTTGTTCCTCCTTTCTGCAATAGTCCTGGAAATGAATCAGGGCCTATTGTGTGGCAATTCTTGCGAAATATCCATTTCCAAAGAACGAACTGTTTTGAGACGCTTTATGAATACCTCTCCTTCGAATCAGCCAATTTTTGACCCACTTTCTTGATTTCTCCGTTTAATTGGCGTCTCTTTTTGCATTTGGGTCAAACCCCTTGTGTGGAAGTGTCAGCGACCTCGAGGCTCTCCACCGTTTTATGGTTTCACGTCCCGCAGAATCAAGCAAATCCAAATCCCATTGCTTTTCTTGTTTCCGTTCATTCCTAGTGCATTAAGAAAAGCTAGCCGCTGCCATTGATGTTAGGAACAACCAATAATAGGTTTCGGGTTTAGACAGGACGGAAGGGAGGAAACCGAATGGAATAGGATGGAATGGGAGAAGTCCGTCAGAATAAACCCAGTTTTCGTTGTTTTAATCTTTCTCCCATGTTGTCATGGCACAGCTTTCCGGAGTGGATATCCGTCGCCTAATCACAATTTTTGACAACTTTTGATATGCTTGTGAGTGTATGTGTGTAGTCACTTTTGTTTTTTTTCGAAAAAGTAATTCTAGGGACCACCATGAAAGTAAAAACAATTAAGGGCAGACTGTCACTTCTGAGAATTACTGTAGGAACAGAATAACATATTAGACGTCATTTCCGTGAATGCTTTCTAGAGTGTAGTAAATATCTATTTTCTGAACATTTCAGTCTCCCCTTTTCTCCAGTGACGAATCTTTTGGCCTTTGACGGAAGTCCAATTTCCGGTGCCGCTTTCAGGCGTCCCCAGCCATCGTATATCTCCTCTTGTCTCCTTAAAAATGGGGCACATTATATGCAATTCAATCCCCTTATTGCCAATTACCTATTCGCGGCACCTCTTCAGCCATTCGACCACCACATTCCATTGTACTTTGTTCCCGAAACTGGTGATGGCATTTCTGAAAAGCCAAGAATTCGCATCTCTCCGAGCGATGAGCCGTCGTCATGCATCTTCCTCGAATGAAAGGAAGCCACTTTCCACATTTCCACCTTTTTGTTTTTTTTTCGCTCGGCTCACCCCCATCAAATGCGCTCCGATTTAATCCCTACAATTGCTGCCAACTTCGATGTAGTCTTATCCCATATCATCACACGCTTTCATATTCGCACGCTGATATGAACAAAAACCAATCACATCGTTTTTCGTACATGTTCTCCGATTCCTTCATATCCAACCTACTTCAGCCACTCGATTCCCTCCTTCTTTGCACCTCGTTCCCAATGTTTATATAGCCTAGAAGAGCAATGGCACTTTCAGTTCAATTTCCGAAAAAAAAGTGGAGTTTGTGTCAGTCGGTACTTCACAGAAATTCCGTTGTCAGGGAAAACGGAGACGCCTGCAAATATATTCTGTTTTGAAGGGGTCCGTCTGCCTCCGCACTCATTGTTGCCATGTCCGCGTTTTTTCCCGAAATGTGCACGCGTTTTCCGAAGAGTCACAAAATTTGTGTCTCCACCTTTATCCAAAAAAAAAATATCTGCATGTTCACATTCGAAAATTGTGAAACTTTGTTTTTGTTCTCATGCGTCCGTCTTTTTCAGTGAGTCACTATTGAAAATGTGTTCATCGAAAAAAATCAGATACTGTATTGATTCATAATAGCAGCGTTTGTCATCATTAAAAAGAATTATTCTTTCTTACGAAATGCTCATTTGTTTTTCGCTTGTTTTCCAGTGACTCACAAAATTCGTAGCTTTCGCTCCGTCTCTAACTGTATTCAAATTGTGAAACCTAAATCATGCGGGCATTTCATTCGATCAGATCACAAGACGTTTGCTATTATCGCAAAAGTTCCTCCTGAAAAGTTGATGCGTTCAGCTATTTTATCGCGTTTCGCACTTCAAACAATCGAGTAATTTGTACAACCTGATATTTGATTTTATGGGTCTGCTGATAACAGCAAAAATTAACTAGCTGCCAGCTAAAATAGTCTTGCGTCAGTTTCCCATCCAACAATAGTTTTTGAGTAGGCGAATTCTTCATCATCAACATCAAATCAACATCAAAGGCTTCAATTTTTTCGAGTTGCTCTCCCACCCATCTTACACCCCGCAAGTCGTTCTTCAAATAAACACTCATTTTTTGATATATCGCACTCCTGACCTGCTCTGAAGTTTCTGGAAGGTTCCTCGTGCGCCCTTTTCCTTCCAGCCCCCTGTGATGAGTCATTTATTGTGACCGTCGTGTTCTCTCTTTTCTGTTTCTCTCTTCCTGCCTGGTCAACAATTCAGTAGTTTCATTGAACTGTGCTTGTGTTCTTGTGGGCGGAGCTTCAGGCTCTGCCCCTTTTTTTCAAATACTGTCTAACAACCAAACCACGTTTCAGTCGATGCACAAGCAATGAGGCTTCTATTGCTTTCTTGCTTGCTACTCGCTTTCATATTCCATCATGTCAAAGCGGGAGGATGTATCATGCGGGGACTGTGTCAGAAGCACACCGAAGATGCGTACGGACCGTGTGTGACCAACAGCAGCAACATTGAGCCGGTATCATTCGACAAGACACATCCTGCCTACGCTAAAATGATGGAATTCTGCCCTCATCTGCTATCCGGTGAGTCATCGATACGATTGTTTTCTTTTTGTGGCGAGCTCCGACTGGTTTGCCCCCCGGCTATCCCAAAAGGACATTTGTTAAGCGCAAACAATGTCCCGATGAGTGCAACACACTGGAAACTACAAAAACTAATTGTAGCATGGCATGGGCTCAAAAACTAGTGCGCTTCATTGGATACAGTTTATTACTCATACGGAAGAAATGATGATTTCAGGCGACAACAAATTGTGCTGTACTCCCGCCCAAGCGGAAGGACTCACCAAACAGATCGCCCAGGCCAGAAACATTCTCGGAAGATGTCCATCGTGCTTTGATAACTTTGCGAAGCTCTGGTGCGAGTTCACATGCAGTCCGCGACAGCAAGACTTCGTTTCGGTCAGTTCCACCTGTCCTTTTTAGGCTCTTTTAAGTTCAAATGACATGCCCGTTTCGCAACGTTTGAGCTGATTAGTGCAGCGGGAAAACGCATATTATACTATTTCTGATAAGCGACCCTAACTATGCATTTGTGAGTCAGTAGACGACTCATTGATAGCGTCATGCAAAAGCAAACATAGTCTTATGAAAAGAAAGAAGACGAAACTCGTTTTTTTCCAGATTGTGGAGGCGAAACCGATCGAAGCGAAGAAGGGGTTCACGCCGGAATACCAGCCAGCCGAAGCCTATGTGAACACTGTTGAGTACAGATTGTCGACAGATTTCGCTGAGGGAATGTTCGCTTCCTGCAAGGATGTCACGTTCGGAGGCCAACCGGCTCTCCGTGTCATGTGCACATCCACCCCGTGCACATTGACCAATTGGCTGGACTTCATCGGAACGCAAAACCTCGATCTGAACATTCCAATATCAACAAAGTTCATGCTCTACAATCCGTCGAAAGTAGACTATCCTGTTGAAACACCACAGAAACAATGATTATCGGTTCCAGACCCCTGTCGCCGATCGCGCAAGCTACATGAGTGTCAACTTTACTGGGTGCAACCGATCCGCGCGACCTGGCTGGCCGGCTTGTTCAAAGTCAGAGTGCGACAAAGATGAGTATGCTAAGATGATCAATTTGGATGATGGCGAGGCTTCCGATGTGAGTGGGGCAACGTATTTTGTGGCTAGAAGCATAAACTCCGTTTTGTGTGCAAATAGAATTAAACCAGATCATAAAAGCTGTATCCAATATGGGATCGAAATTTAGTCTGACATTCGTAAGTAAATACCCACAAGTAGTGCTCCAGTAACTGTTTCGGTAACTTGTTTGTCGGCACTATGAAGTGGCAAACCTCGCAACATTCCAGGTCTTTGGTCATAGTTCACTTCCAAGTTTCACAGCTCCCTGAGCTGTTTGGCATTGGTCTTTCTTCCTATTTACCAGGTTGATTTTGTTACTCACTTGTGGACACAGATTTTTTTGCGCTTCTTACAAAGAAAAGATGGGGGAAGAGAGTGAGATGAAGTGACGTTGTTGCGTAGGACAACATAAATATCGCGAGGGTTCGGTGGTCAGAAAAATGAACAGAGTGGAGAGTCAACAACAAATAACACGAAGCAAATATAAGTTTTATAGTAAATGTGATGAACATTTGCGTGGGAGATATTGGAAAAAGGGACAATGTGCAAAGTGTACGTTTTTCAGCAATCGTGCAATGTTCACGGCATCGAATGTCTCAAAATCTTCATTCTTCTCACTTTCATCGCTTCTTTAGCAATCCTGCTTTGTGTCGGCTTTGTGTTCACCTCGTATGATGATGAATATGAGGTTGGAGGAGGAAAGAAAGAGTAAATGAGGACAAAACGCTGAATTTTAGAATCTGCAGCAAGGGCGAGAGCTGGAGGAGCCTCCGAAGCACGGAAGAATTAAGAGAACTGGAGCTTGGATTCAAAACTTTATGGAAAACAACGCGAGAGACATTGGAGAGATGGCCGGACGCAATCCTAAGTCGCACTTTTTCATTGGATGCGGAATCCTCATCTTCTGTCTGCCTGGCATGATCTACCATCAGGAATCCACCAACGTCGTCGACATGTGGTCCTCCCCCAAGTCCCGAGCCCGTCAAGAAGAGACAGTTTTCAATGCAAACTTTGGGTAAGCATGCAGTTGAAAACTATGAATAAACTAAATGCGTGTTTGTTTCAGTCGCCCTCAAAGATATCAGCAAATTATGCTTCTCAGCCACCGTGATTTCCAAACGAGCGGAAAGTTGTATGGACCAGTGTTTCACAAGGACATTTTTGAAGAGCTTTTCGACATTTTGGGCGCAATCAAGAACATTTCGACTCAAGACGCTGAAGGCCGCACCGTCACTCTAGATGACGTGTGCTACAGACCAATGGGACCTGGATTTGACTGTCTTATCATGTCGCCCACCAACTATTTCCAAGTTGGTTTGCTGCGGATACATACATTATAGCATCATATTTTTTTGCAGGGACTGAAAGAGAATCTTGGTATTGGTGGTAACAAAGCAGAAAGCGCGCCTGAAGAAGATGACACATTTGATTATTTCTCATCTGAAGGCACCACTGACGAATGGATGAATCATATGGCAGCTTGCATCGAGTAGGTGGAAAAAACCAAACAAACTTTCAGAGGGGAAGAATACTGGAAGTTAAAATATTATTTTTTCAGGCAGCCAATGTCACAGAAAACGAAATCAGGACTCAGTTGCTTCGGAACTTATGGTGGTCCCTCGGCCCCCAATATGGTTTTTGGAAGGAACACCAGCAATTACCATGCTGCAAACTCGGTCATGATGACTATCTTGGTCACTCAGAGAACGGAACCGGAGATTCTTAAAGCCGAGTTGTGGGAGAAGGAGTTTCTCAAGTTTTGCAAAGAATACAGAGAGAAGTCATCCAAAGTAACCTTCTCGTTCATGGCTGAAAGATCTATAACTGTGCGTCAAAACTCCGTGTTCCTCCAAAAACAAGTACGATTTTAGGATGAAGTCGAAAAAGACGCCAAGGATGAGATCGTCACTGTTGTCATCGCACTGGCTTTCCTGATCGGCTACGTCACCTTCTCCCTCGGTCGCTACTTTGTGTGTGAAAATGAGCTGTGGTCGATCCTCGTGCACTCCAGACTCTGTCTCGGAATGCTCAGTGTCATTGTGAACCTGCTCAGTTCGTTCTGTTCCTGGGGAATCTTCTCGATGTTCGGCATCCATCCCGTCAAAAACGCATTGGTTGTGCAATTCTTCGTCGTCACACTTCTCGGAGTTTGCCGCACATTCATGGTTGTCAAGTACTATGCCCAGCAACGCGTTCTCATGACGTTCAAGTCACCGGACCAGTGCCCGGAAGTCGTGGGAATGGTTATGGCGGGGACTATGCCGGCCATGTTCAGCAGTTCCCTGGGATGTGCTTTTAGCTTCTTCATCGGTAACCCAAACAATTTGTGCCTTTTAGACAAAACCATCGCTTCCAGGTGGTTTCACAGATCTCCCGGCTATCCGCACGTTCTGCCTCTACGCAGGACTTGCAGTTCTGATTGACGTCGCCCTTCACTGCACGATCTTCCTCGCACTTTTTGTGTGGGATACGAAGAGAGAACTGAACGGACAGCCAGAATTCTTCCTTCCCTACAAAATCAGAGATCTGCTTGGAGCTTACTTGATTGGCCGTCAGAGAGCTACTGATACGTTCATGACTCAGTTCTTCCACTTTCAAGTTGCTCCTTTCTTGATGCATAGATTGACACGTATCGTTACTGTAAGTCACGATTGGATTGCGTTTACGATTTACGAAGATAATTGTAGGGAGTTGTCTTCATTTTCTCTTTTGCTGCCACTATCTACCTCTCCAGCAAAATCGAGATCGGTTTTGATCAGAGCATGGCCTTCACCGAGGTACATAAATCTACACGGCAGAAACTCAAAACACATTAGCCTCCCTTTTCAGAAAAGTTACATCAGCACTCATTTCCGTTATCTGGACAAGTACATCGACGTCGGACCACCAGTGTATTTCACGGTTGATGGAGAGTTGGACTGGCATCGGCCGGAGGTTCAGAACAAGTTCTGTACTCTTCCCGGATGCAGTGACACTTCGCTCGGAAACATCATGCACTACGCTGTCGACCACACTGAGCAGACGTTTCTGTCTGGCGAGATGTACAACTGGATTGACAACTATCTCGAATGGATCTCCCGCAAAAGCCCGTGCTGCAAAGTCTACGTTCACGATCCTAGCGCTTTCTGCTCGACCAATCGAAACAAGTCCTCTCTGGATGACAGAGCGTGTCGCAGTTGCATGGATTACGATGATGTCGCCAATTCGTACCCATCGGACTCTATTCTGCACCACAGACCGTCCGTTGACGTTTTTTATCGTCATCTGAAGCATTTTCTGGAAGACACTCCCAACTCTGAGTGTGTTTTCGGGTAAGCTCTCCCACCTTCTGTTCAGGAATGATAAACTTGTTTCAGTGGCCGAGCTTCGTTCAAGGACGCTATCAGTTTCACGGCGCGCGGAACAATCCAGGCATCTCACTTCATGACGTTCCACAGGAAACTCTCGATCAGCAACTCCACTGACTTCATCGTTGCCATGGAGCGCGCTCGTATGGTCGCTCGCCGTCTTGAAAGGGCAATTGATGACACCGCCCATGTATTTGCATACAGCAAAACCTTTCCATTCTACGAGCAATACTCCACCATCCTGCCCATTCTGACCACCCAACTGATTATCACCGTCGTTGGAGTCTTCGGAATCATCTGCATTACCCTTGGTATCGACGTGAAAGGAGCTGCATGCGCTGTCATCTGCCAAATCTCCAATTATTTCCATATCGTCGCATTTATGTACCTCTTCGACATCCCGGTGAACGCTCTTTCTGCCACGAATCTTGTCATGTCCTCCGGAATCCTGATTGAATTCTCGGTAAATGTTCTGAAGGGATACGCTTGCTGCACGCGTCAGCGCGCTAAAGAACGGGCGGAATCTTCGGTTGGAAGCATTGGGCCGATCATTCTCTCGGGTCCGGTGGTCACCATGGCCGGATCGACTATTTTTCTCTCTGGTGCTCATCTCAAGATCATTACGGTTTGTTGCAAATCGGAAGATATGTAGAGAAACTAAAATGATCTCAATTTCAGGTTTACTTCTTCAAACTCTTTCTCATCACTATTGTCTGCAGTGCTGTTCATGCCTTAATCATTTTGCCCATCTTACTCGCTTTTGGTGGTTCCCGTGGCCACGGAAGTTCGGATACTACTCTCAATGAGAACGACGATCAAGGAGCGGAAGTGTGCATGTTGTACGTCATCGTCATCCAAACATGTGAACTATGCCGCTTTTCAGGTCACCGGCTCGAGAGACTCACATCACAAACGTGGAAAGCGGCTCGCCAAACCGTCCAGCCATCCTTGACACCACTCACTTGCTGGACCCTCTTCTCAAAACTGAGACTGACGAGGAAAAAGCTCTGGGTAACCTTGTTCACGCTGATTCCTCAAATCAAGCATACATCTTGCAGATATCGTCACAATTGACCGATCTTTGCCGCCAACGCCATCGTCGCTGCCGTGTTCATCTTCCCGCCTTCCAAAACACATCGAGCTAGATCTCCATTCGCTGTAGACTCCCTTCTTTGCTCACTTTCTTCACTTCTGCATCTTCTCTGCTCAATTTTCACTGTAAATAGTTTCCGGTTCTAGGCGCCATGGCACCCTTCTTTTTTTTCCACTTCTCTTATAATTTACTTATATCTGCATTATTCTATCATTCCCAGTGGTAGCAAGACGTAGTGATAATTGTCAAATACGGGATTCACGAAATGTCCAACAAGTATTCTGGAATTTCCGGTTTTTTTGCCTTCTTTTTCTCCCTATCATCAAGTACACAACACTTCTAACAAATTGTTTGATACAAATCCCGCACCGGTAGCGCAGATTTTGCTTGCTCCTCCAAAAATTCGTGATTTTTTCGTAGACGCTTATTGCCCATCAACTGGTTTTTCTGTAAAAACGACTCGTGAACATACCTTGCTTGTGATGACTTTTGATACGATTTGGTTTTTTTAAATGCATTTTACATTTCTTTGCTTTACCCTTAAATAAATGACATTGGTTGAATAAATGAATGACACTTGATTGTCCAGTTTTGACTTTTGACTTCAATTCAACACTAATTTATTGAGAATCAATGGAATCTAAAGAAAAATCGGATAGGATTAACGAAAAAGAAGAAAAGAATCGCTTAATCTGCAGTGAATTCTTGATAACATCGATTTCTTTTATTTTATCTATATTGAACAACAGAAAGAAAGTCGACCTTATCCGAGAAGACAACAGCTAAAAGGGTGAGGAATTGAAGTTAGAAGTTATCGGTACAAAGAAGTATTTCATCTCGTATGTTTAGAGTTGCACATTCAATCCCTTGAGCTGTTGAATGGCGTTTTGCAGGTACTGGTCCTTGAACGATCGGTCGTTGACTTGCTTCGTCACCTGTAACATTTCAATCAATAATTGTTCAAGTTTTCCAGAAGAAGAGTCAATCTGAAAACTCCACTCACGCTGTCGTTGATAAGCTTGAGGAGCTGCTCCTTCTCAAAACGGGCCTTGGTCTCCTCGGTCTCCTTCAAGTAATCGATGCGACGCTTCAGTTCGGTGGCGACGGACTGCACGTTCTTTCTGTAGGTGGCCTCAAGCTGAAGAGCCATGCTCTCCTTGAGAGCGGTCGGGAGGGCATCCTTGATGGCGGTGAGCGACTCGGTCTGGGCGGCCGAGGTCTTCTTGAACTCAACGACGTCCTTGAGATCTTCCTGGATGAGTCCCTTGAAAAAGTTGACGCGCTCTTGGTATCCTTGGTACAAGGAGTTGTCAATCTTGTCTGAAAGTACAATTCGGTTGAAACCTTGTCCACAAGACCCATCCTCTTACATCCAACAGTTCTGGAGACCAAAAGGTAGAAGATGATCCATCCGACGGTCATGTGTCCTTGCTCCTCGAACACCCACAACTCCTTGTTGACGAGGAAGGCGAAGAGTCCTCCAAAGAAGAGGTATGGTCCGGAGACTCCGGTCACCTTCTGGAATGGAGTAAACCACGCATCCGGCATCATGAGCAGACGGGTCTTTGGTGGGTACATCGGTCTAGCTGGGTATGGGTAGTTCACCTGAAAATCGGGCTACTTTACGAGAATTTTGAGGAAAAACTGACCAAGTCGCGGTCTGGGTGCTCCTTGAAGTCCTTCGGGATGGCTGGGAGTGGCTCCGGAGCGGACCATTCTTTGTTGCAGTCTTCGAACATGGACTTTGGGGCATGGGTCTCACCCTTGATTGGCACTCCTGCAACAATCAACTCTCATTATTTCAGAATCTATCCGCCGAGCAATCGTACCCTGGAAGCGGAGAGCCAACTTCTGGAAGAAGTTCGGCGCATCGTCAGTGGCAACAGCAGCCTCTGTAAACATTACATCAGTTATTCCATGTCCATCTTTCGTGTTCTTCTCGAGAAATGGGCAAAGAACCTACGGTTGGCGGCGGCGTGCGCAAATCTTGCCGGGATGATGATAACGCGGGCGTTCTGGCCCAGGGAAACGCAGCGGCTCAACGACATGGTGGTACCCTGAAGTAAACGTATTTTCTGTTGATCTCACGATTTTTTAAAGAAAAATAAAATATTCCGAGTTTAAATCACGAAAAAGCGTATGAAACGGGAAATTCGGTAGAAAATTGTCAAAAATCTATCGAAAATCGTCTAAATTATTTTTTGTGTTGTTTTTTACCGAAAAATCTGAGAAATGTACGTCAAAACGAGAAAATTGGCTGCGGAATTGACGCAGTACGTAGTCCGCCCGTCTGTTTTCTCCGTTGCCCTCCCCTTTTCGTGGCGAGACCCTGCTAAACAGCGAGCGGAAAACGGAGCGTCGTTGTAACATTAGATTGGGGAGATAGTGAGTGTTGACGGAGTGAGACGAGAGAGACACAAGACACGACGGAGGGAAAACGCGGAAAGAAAGACTATACTTGGGTTTTAGGAGAATAAAGGGAAGAATGTGACGCTTTACAGAGTTCAGAATAAAAATGATGGAACGCTAAAACTAATGGATCGTGTGTTCACCATATTGGCTCCTAGATACCCTGTTTGGCAGGACCTCTGAGTTATACCTAATCTTTGAATCTAAAACAATGAACGGAGGTAGATGAGCGTTATTATTCAACAGAATGAAGAAAATGTGCTGGTAATATACCTTTCAAAAAATTTTAATTTTTTTAAAAAAATTTTTGAAAGGTAAGCAACGTGTAAAATATTTATTCTTGAGTATGTGTGAGACGCATCTCTGTTCCCTCTTTTCATGGTTATAATATAAAAATAAATAAAAAATCGGAATGTAAACAGATTACGGATTATGATAGACGGATACAAGAAGCATGCAAGAAAGTTAACGCATTTAGCGGTCAGACTCGGGCGAGATCGCTGTAGCGGCGGGCTCTGCGGCTCCAGATGTCGTTGATGAGCTTCTTAAATCCGGCGCGAAATCTAACGGACATCAGATTGTAGAAAATCGGATTCAGAGAGGCGGAGACGTATTGGAGGATTCCTGAAAGTAAACGCGTTGCATATCATTCATTTCAATGTGGCATTACCGGTGATCGGGTAGAGAAGTTTGCACCAGAAAGACTGCGAGCAATCGGCGCGGTTGTATTTGACTATGAGACGTTGGGCATGGTACGGCAGGTAGCAAACGAAGAAGACGCCGGTCACGGTAACTATAAAAATAGATATAGATCCCGGATTGGATTGAAAACCTTGCTCACCAAGCATTTTGATGACCATTTTCTGAGCTTGCTGGCTTCTCGGGGGCTGGACGTTCTTAGTGTGGACGGTCAGTGGGAAACTTTGAGTGTTGGAGTTGTTCGAGGTGTGGGGGAATTGAAAGTGTCCGCTGTCACTGCGGGCGGTTCCGACCGGAGTGTGGACAAGGGTAGAGTTAGACATTTCGTTCAAAGTGACTGAAATATGGGCGTCAGACGTTAAATCAAGACCTAATCCAACCTAGGATGCGGAAGTAGCAGTAAATGATAAAGAACAACGGAGCGATGAAGGTGATGGCCATTGCAGACTGAAAGATGACACTAATTCGAGGAGCCTGGATCTTTCTCTCACTTCGAATGGGTAACGGAAGAAACTGTCGGGTGATGTGACCAAGTCGCACTGTCCCACGTAGTTCATCTGGCGATTGTAGCCGCAGAAATCAGTGACCACACGTTTGAACTGAAATTATCTGAAATACATGCAGAACAGAAGATGGTGGCAGTAACCATGAATCCGATGTAGAGAGACGGAAGAAGAGCGATGAACCAAATGAAGAAGATGAACATTTTCACGCGCTTCTCATCAAAGACGGCTCTGTGCGAGAAGGGGTAGCAGATTGCTTGGAATCGCTCGGCGGTCAACATCATGATGGTCAAGATGGAGGCAAATGTGAAACACGAAATGAGAGTGCCTAAAAAGAATGCACACAATCATCGATTCTGGTTCTGGTTCTGGTTCTCACTTGTGATCGAGCAGTAACCAAATAACTCGAGAGGCTGTCCATTGTTCCAAATGTTCACCAGGTCAAACGAAACACCAACTACTATGAGAAAGAGATCACTGATAGCGAGATTAGCGAGAAAGTAGTTGGTGTGCGAATGAAGAGAGTTGGTCTAGAAAACGGAAAACCATTCCTCATTGACCATTAATGAAGCTACCTTAAAGATGACAATGACAGTGAGCAGATTTCCGATGAGCCCAACGAGACCAACGCACACGAAAAGGGCAGTCAGAATTGGCTTCATAAGATAGTGCTCTCTGATGGAAATTCCTTAGATTTTTTCGACTTTTACAGTAACTCACGTCTCATTCTCGGCGGAAGTCATGTTTGGCTGGTATCCGGGATGATCGAGGGCTCCTCTCAAAGTGAGTTGAGCCAGAAGTTGGACATCCGGATGGAAGCAGTACTCTTGAAGTCTCACAGTCTAACATCTCAATTTTCAAATGTTGTCGGACAAATCCTCCAGCTCACCTTCAGATGTTCATCCGAGTTGTTGAAGAAGAGCTTTCTGATTCTCTCGAACACAAGGGCAGTTTGATAGTCGTTGTCATGCATCATGAATTGAAGCAATAGCGTCAAATTGCTTGGAAAAATGAGAGATTCAAATGTGGGAGCGTGGTCTAACAACATCTCCGGTACGACAAGACGACTGATGAAGTTTCAGAGCAGAGGTAAAAGGAGTGGGCTTCTGCCAAGTTTCTGGTTTCTCAGAATCGAGCGGGTGCTAATTGGACTAGACAGGAAACCCAGTAATTAGGAATGGATACTGCGGTTGATCAATCTAATTAAGTGTCTCATATTTCTGATATCTCTCTCTCTTTTCTTCTCTCTTTCTATTGAAAAAAAAGTTTCAGACAAGCAGAAGGTATCAATCTGCGGTTGTTCACGAGACTAATCATATTTATTTTCTTGTCTGTCTCAGAAAATATTAGGTTACAGAAAAGAAAAAAGAACTTGGGCGTAGAGAGTGAGTGTTTCTCTGATTTTGGAGAGAAATGCATGATATCCACGCAAACGCATGAATGGCGGAGAAACGTCGATGAAATTGAATACTTTGGTGGAAGAATAAACTCTTTCTGAGACGGCTCTTCGATAGGAGTCGCCGGAGGAACATGTTAACCGCGACGCGCAGCTAATTTGGTATCGGAAGACACCGAACCGGCAACTCGACTGGGCGGCCCGAAGGGTCGAAGTCAACAAGAAATGGCGTCTAAAAATGGATCTGGTTTCAATATGTCAACCATCGACAACACAAGTGGTTGTTTAAGCCTTCCCATATTGGACTAAAAATGAGACCCTTCTCTTTCTCTCTTGGGTGCACTCGGATGAGAAATGAATTTGGCTGAGAGGTTCGAAATGAAACAGAATTGTGCGGATTTGATCTCCGGCGCTCACTCCTTCAAATTGGCCCTTGTTGCTCGCATTTCCGTTTCCGATAGTTCTTGCTCTCACTGATTCATTACTCAATACTCATTAATCAAAAATCAGAGCGTGGATTGAGTAGTTGCTCATTACTTTGAAACTGAACTTCAGAGACTAATTAATTGGAAGGCAACCACTAATTGGATGTATTACAGGCAACTCATTTACAAAATACGGAGGCCGATGACTAATGCTAACTGATCAATGTTTCCATAGGAAGAATTTTATGTAAACTGACTAGCTCATTTTTATTCGAATACTGAAGTGAATGGAAGACTCCTTTCACTCACAAAATGGATCCAATTGCAACTAAACTACTATGTCTCGCTGCCTGACGCTTATTCAAAAAACTGAGAGTAATGGTCTAAAAATTATCTGAAAACCGAATTGAATATTCTCTTAAAACGGGAAAAGCTTAATTGGTTTTGGCGAACGAGAGCTGATTGTTGAGCGAGAAAAGCGATCGCGTGATTCAGAGAGTTTAAAATGAGATGAAGAAGGATCTGATTGGAAATAAACAGAAACCAGATGTGAAGAGTAATGACCAAAGGATGTGTGTATGGAAAAGGAGGAATCTGTTTAGATCGGACATGTGGATAGAGTCGACTTTTTTCTTGAAATTGCAAAGTTTGAAAGCCAAAAGCTAGAAATTAATGGGGGGGGGGGGGGGAGAGGAAACGATGAAAGTTGATTTTTGGAACATCAAATTCAGAAGGAATTGCAACAAACCACGATAATGTCAGCTGATTATTTATAATGTGCCTAATAACAACTGGTACGTTGTTGCAAGTAATAGATAATAGAGGAAATGAAAGATGGCTGCAAGTTGGCAGTCATTTGACGAGAAAATGAAACTGAAAACGAAAACAGAGCAGCAAAGAATCACATTAAAAGCAATGTTGCCGACGAGAAAAAACCTGAGTTAGTCGCAGAAATACGTCAGTCAACACACGCTGAATTTATTACGTACGTGTTTACGTACAACCATTTTACTGCAAGCCGTCTGAATGTTTGCACTTGTCAGTGTTATTCTGATTCTCAAGCGAAATAACGAAAGAAATTATCAGTCCGCCGCTCTGGTCCGATGTTTGGCCGATCTGTGTTTTCCTCTCGGCTCAAAGACCTCCAATTATTCCCACGTTCTGACACTGACCCAACTATTTGTGCGCGTTTACACAAATATTTTCAGTAAATGTGTCTGAAATTTCAGATGAGGCTCCATTTTTTTGTTCTGAGAACGAGTTCATTATTTGTTGTCTGGAGGGAATGACTGAAAACAGTATGACTTTCATCCTAATTCGAAATTTTATTTGTGTTCCATAATATGCTTTGTGATAACATTAATAATTCATAGAAGCTTCCATTAAATCTAAAAACATTAAATAAACATTAGTAATTGTTTTTAATGTTACAACAACGTCATTTTCTTTCTATCCGACCCTTCCTGCCTCTTGTGTTACTGTAGACCTGAATATCCACATTCAAAGTCTCATCGATATTTTCATAACGGTCACCGGCCCATGGCATTTTTTTTAATTGGCATGGACTGGTATTTTCAAATAGGATCGTCTGAAATTTGCTATAAACGACAAATTCCCACCTTTACATGACCTTTCTATACTTTTATTAACAGAAAATATATAAACTATTCAAAGACATCAATATAATCGTTTCTTTTTCGAGCATGGGCGGTTTTCCCTCCGTAGCCAAGTCGTCAACGACCATCTGCTTCATATCGAGGATCGTCGCCTTGCCGAGAATCTGAATGTGAATCGGCTTCTTTCCGTTCTTTATTTGCATCTTGACAGTGATGTGATCAGGCAGCGTCTCAATCGTGATCACCTTCTTCTGACTTTCAAATCGATGCGTCTCAAACACCGGGTACGGCAACGTCAGCGCCTTAATTTCCAGCGATTTGAGGGTGGCGTCGTTTGGCAGGGCTTCCTTGCTGTAGTCTATTTGTACATCGTCCAGGCCACACTTCCATTTATTCATGAACATTCTCCGTACTCCTTAGAAAGTTTCGCCAACTTTCAATTCGAGCTGCTGCCGCGCATTGACCATTGACCAACACTTCAATTGATATTTTCATAACGGTCACGGGTACAAGGCATTTTTTAAAAATTGGCGTGTACCCTTGACGGTTAATAAAATAGGGGAGAGAGAAAGAACTGAACGTATGTTTAGCAAGAGTGTCCCGTACGCACTGATGTTCCGGCGCTTCCCGCACTCTCTCTCGGCGGGGGAGGGAGAGAACGACAGACAGGTGATCCAATCAGAAAAATCTGACGAAAATCAGCACGGCAGAGACGAAGTGTCCCGCACTTCAAACACGGAGTTAAGGATGAGCAAAAAGCTGTAACAATTTCATTTTAGACTGCTGGGGCCGTGGTTGACCCGCGCGCGCATACCGTGCTATGCAAGTGCGCTCCATGGACAATGCACCCTCATTATGAGTCACGCTGTGTTTATCCGTTAACGAGTGCATTTTTCGGTAATGTTTCTTTTTTATAAATAGAATTGTACAATGTGACTTAATTTCGTAAATTTCTGCACGTTTCTCTAATTTTTATTGTTTTTAAGGTCCTATGGCGGAAAAGGACATTTCTTACCGAAAACTGATCGTGGAACGACTTGAAAGAGTCAAACAACGAAACAAACAAGTGGCAGCCTTCTATAACAACTGTAAGTTTTTTTTTCAGTTGCCAAATTTCCTGAATATGGAATTTTAGACTCAAAACTCGCCGATCAATTGGAAAAGAAACAGAGCTATGGTCCCATTCGATCATCTGCGTGAGTTATCGATTTTGTGCACAAAGAACCCTCACATTTCAGCAATTTGCAAGAAACCGAAGAGTTTTTCAAGGTGAAGGAGGAGATGGCTGAGCTCTATCGTTCGAAATGTCAAAATGATCAGATGCTCATCAACGCGAATCACAAAATTGTGGAATTGGAGAAGAAAACGAGTGTCGCTGTGAATGAGTAAGAATCGGATGCGGAACTCTCGATAAACTGACTTTTTTCAGACGGGATTCTCTGGAATCTCGCTCGAAAATCCTTTACGAAAAGTACGCTGAGGCGGAAGTGGACCTGCAGAAACTACGCGCGGACAGGGACAACATGAACGACGAACGCATTGCTCTGGTGGTGGGTTCAGGAGGCTGTCCGACGAAGATTTGATGAAATGGTTTCAGACAACTGTCAACATGCTCACTCAGCAGAAACTGGAGATGGAGAATGACAGAATTCACTTTTTGAACAAAATTCGAGAGCTGAACAATCAGAGGGTCGACTTGATGAATGCTGAAATAGCACTCGAAGAACAGTATGCGAAGACTCAAAAACCGCTCAATAAGTGTCTTGTTTTCAGAAGACGAAATCTTCGCATACAAGATCAGATCAGAAGTGCCGTGCAAGATGTCTCAAAGGATCAGAGAGTGTGAGTGAATCCCAAGCCAGGAGTGATGACCAACTCAAATATATTCTTTCAGAATGGCCATGTTGCAAGCAATGCCAGATACGAACTCGAACGGAGATCTCCTTATGGGCGACAGCGTCCCATCTTACATAGAGCTCTCTTTTGTGAGTCGGATGCATAGGAAATGATGACTAATCGATTTATTCAGGAGTGTGACGAAGGGGAGGTTAACGATGTTCTGTGGCTATCCGGGGAAACATTCGCCACCGCTGGCTCGGACAGAAAAGTCAAAATTTGGAAAGTCGATGGTCATGGCGGGCAGTCGAAAATGTGGGTTGATTTAAAAGCGCTTGTACCTGAGCAACGAAACATATTATGAAAATTATAACTGTGACTTTTTTGATTATTTTAGAGATACTCTGCCAGGAAGCAACGCCGCTTTCACCCGGTTGGATTACGACCGCGACAGGAGACATCTTATCGCCTCTTCAAATGACAACAACGTCCGCATCTGGAATCTGGAATCTTCCCGTCTACTGGTTTGGAAACTCGAACAGAAACGATATCAAGAGTTACGTTTGCAGAGCACACTGTCCGGACATGCTGATCAAGTCACCTGCGTCAAATTCTACCAATCTCACTCTGCCGCTTCGGGAAGTGCGGACAGAGTCATCAAGATTTGGGACCTTCAGAATCAGAGATGTTCGTTCTACACTGATACTGCCCCGTAACACAATATATTTTAGGCAGCCGTTCATTCTTTCCTGGATCGAAGGTTTACGACATTGCTACCAATCTCGGCGGAAGTCCGTCCCTTTTCTCTACTGGCCACTTCGACAAGAAGCTCCGATTCTGGGACGGCCGTTCGACGGATGCTGTCAAAACGATCGAAATGGGTGGAAGAATTACTTCGCTCGACGCCTCGATGAGTGGATATGAACTGCTTATCTCCACTCGCGACGACACAATAACTTTGATGGATCTTCGTAACTTCCAGACGATACACTGCTACAGGTAGGAAATGAAAAAATAATGGAATCGCCGCTTTCAATGCACAATAGAAAAAAAGAATGCATTCGCATGAGTCGCATGGGAATTTGAAGGCTTTGTGGGAAAAATAAGACAAATGAAATATTTTTTGAAGCGGAGCCCAAAAGTTATGGCTAAAGTTACTCTTTTAGCGCCGAGAACTACCGCACAAGCTCTGATCTATCCCGTGTTGTGCTGTCTTCTGGAAACGATTACGTGGCCGCCGGAAGTGCAAACGGAAACATCTACGTCTGGAACAGAAACAGTACAAAACTGGAGAAAAGGCTAACAACTGCCACTGAGTGAGCATGCATTCTCCAACTTCAAAACTCATTACATGTTTTAGCAATCCGATTTTCTCAATTTCGTGGAATCCGACTGGATACGGAATGCTTTCGTCCAGCAAGCAGAAAGTAGTTGCTCTATGGAAATAAATGTTGATATCTCAATTCTCAATGTAAATGTATTTTCGCTACCGATGATTCGTTTTCTTTGTAACTTAGCCATAAATGCCCGACTTTGCAACAAATCGCTGACGTATCCAAAACTGACTCGTTACGGCTATCATTCATTTCTCTTCCATTTTGTCATTTACTTATAAACGTGCATTTACTTTCATCAAAGTTTGTCGAGAATTTAACAAAGCATGTCCAATTATGTGAAAAAGGAACCTTAAAATTACCTGGCCAAGCTAAATGCCGATCGAGAACTACATGGCCAAACTAAGATCGACTTGGCCGGGCTAAAGGCCATTCAAAACCACATGGCTAAGCCAAGCTGAGAAAAAACCAATAAGAACTTCGAGAAACGTTTTCCCTTGCAAACTGATTGTACTTTCTAAAGCTGCTTTATCTTGTGCGCGTATTATAAACTCCAAAGCCTGACTAGTCTGTTTTTCCGTTTATGACTTAGCTATGTAGTATTTCTGACCTTTTGATCTCCGTCGTACTGATGGTGCCGTTTTATTCGACGCTCACTCATAACATTAATCTTTACTGGCTTTCCAACCTGAATGAAAAGAACACGGCCATAAAACAGATCGGATTATCCCAACTCCGCGGCAACAGTTGTAAACTTTACGTATCTCGTGTTTTAAAGAAAACAGAACGAAACAAAGAAATGATCTTGTTTGAAATAAATTGTCTTTAAAAAATCATAACTTTATCATGACAAGTGAAATTTCGGAATACAAATTATGGCAGAAGGCATAATAAATAAATAGTATCTACAAAGGTTAATGTAGAAATGAATGCAATTCGAGCAGAAGGATAGTAGTCATTCTAGAGAAGTGAGCATGAGCAGTTGCTTCAGCACCTTGGTCTGCGACGTTTCACGGATTTCACCAGCCAAGAACATCTCATCGACAACGGTGTACACCTTATAGAAGTTGAAGACCAAGTCGAGTTCGCAGACGTTATGGAAGTACTCGTTCAGCACCTGAAAGCTCACGGTTTTGCAAAAAGAGGGAGCTTTAGTCTCACCTCAACGAAGTTATGAATGGCCTCCAAGTAATACAGATTGTTGTCCGTTATGTCCACGCAAATGCAGAAGTAGAGCCCTGCGTAACGTCGGTAGACGATCTTGAAGTTGCGGAACTGAAAACGATTGCTCTCACAGCTCATTCGGCCAGCTGGATTGGATTACCTCAACAAAGTTGGTGTGTTTGGCGTCACGAACAGTCACACACGCGTGTACCTCCTCGATCAGTTTCTGCAAAGCATGATGGTCCAGGAAAGTTGGTAAGAAAGGCGGATACCTGTTTCTCGTCATCGTCAAAGTGCATGTACCATTTCGCGAGTCTGGTCTTTCCGGCGCGGTTTTGGATGAGAATGAATCGAATCATCTGTAACATAGATCTTTATCTAAGTATTTGAGCAAAAATGGCAAAGTTTGGAGGAAAATCTCGTCAAAAACGGGTCGAAAACCAAAAGAATTGATTAATCGATGAGAGTCAGCCGCCGCGTAAATGCGCGCGGCCAGCCTGCGTCTCCGCAGTGAACACACTCTCTCGCTGTGCCCGAGCGTCTCTTCGCGGCAAGACCTGCGCGTCGTGTTTCCAGTGTGTGCCTTTAATAGTGTATATCCACAAGACCCCCGTCGTCCTCCCACACAATCGCGACGACGGCGCCAGCGAGGTTGTTCGTATAGTGGGAGGCGACGGATTACTAAAGGGGTTTCAAAAAGAGCGAAACAGCGGTAATGATTTAACGTAAAAGAAACAATTTTGTGATCTCTGGTGAGAAGAATGGAGTCAGGGATGCGAAACTGGTTAATGGCAACAAAAATGAGGAACACCTGGAAGGAATTGGAAGTGTTTGAACGTGGTGAATAACAAAGATATGAGGGATCTCATTGGTATTCAAAAAGGTTACAAACAGCAAACCAAAAACGAAAGCAAACAACATTGGTGATTCAGACAATATCAGTTGAAGAAATCGTAATGTTTTACAACTGAGTGACTGAAAAAATTGTAGAAGTCTCATGTCTAGTTCGTTAACAATTTTGAGTGTCTGTTTTCGTAAACCACTGTGGTTTCTACTTGTATTCTCATCGGTTTGTACCTGGTCAGCGGTGCGTGTTCACTACTAGCAGACCGTTGATCGACTCTTTCAATTTATTTCAGATTCTAAACAGATTTTAACTTTGATCGGATGTTCTCTCCATCCTTAAAACTTCCGGAGGTTCACTGGTTCATCCGATTGCTGTCAATCAGAGCAAGTCAAAACGCTTCCGAGTTTCCCTTATTTTCACTCTCACCTTGCATAACATATCCTATTGTTATCCGCCAAAATCCACTTTTCGATCCTTCCTTTATTTCGCAACTCTCTATTGTCAATCTCTGACGGTGGAATCAGAAAGTGGGACCCCCACTCACTTCATCCTCCTAACCCGATTACAGCATGTTGATTTCATCCCTTGTGTTCCGTTTTGCACTATTAATCTATCTTTTTTTAAACGTGCGTTCTAAACAGTAGAGTCTCCGCCCACTTGTTGGATTCATATTTATACCGGTCATCAGATCCCGTCCATATCCTGAACTTTTCCGGCGGTCATTCTCACTTTTCCATTTTTAAAAAAGAAAAAAAAAGAAACAGAACCGTGTCCATTGACGTGTCACATCAAGTGCTCAAATCTACATGAAAAGCAGATGACTGTCAGAGTAGTGTCCAGTCGACGATTTCCGATTAGCATTATTATTTTGACCGGCGCCTTTCGCACTGTTAGGTTAGCCGTCCGGGCTACTGGTTTTGCGGCGCGACTCTCCATAGGCAGGTAAAGTTTTCGAAAAAGCGGACGGCGGCTGCGTTCAGTTCACCATCTCGTCATATCAATTACATTTCACTCTATACTCATAACTATTATTCCGTATTGCTTCCCTCCCGCCCACTTCCTTTTCTGCTATTCTTTGTTCTGTTCACTTGAGAGTGTGCCGCATTCTTCAGAATAATTACGCCGAGACTTCTTTGTGGATGTATGGACTTGGTGCTCCTACTTGTCCTTCTTGTAACCACAGGTACTGCTCTCATTTATTCCATAATCTCGTTTCATTTGTTGTGTTTCAGGGCCAGTGACGGCAAAGCTCTTCGATGGTCGGGTGGAAGGTCAGAAGATCGAGACGGACACGAAAGTGTTCGAGATAGAAAAAAAGAAATTGCAGCAGTACTGGCAGTATGCAACGACTATGGCTCTTATCAAGGTAACACAATCATCCTTTTGTCTACATACCATTTTAAACTAGAATCGGATCATGTTTAGGCACACACTCGTTCTACACTACAACATCTACCACGCATCGAGCGGATCGTATTCGAAGAATGCGCGACGGACTCGGCGACTGTGATAGCCGTAGCAAAATGCGCAGTCAAAGTCTTTGATGCCAAACAACATGCCGAGCTTTACGCAACCACTACGCCACCACCACCACCACGACTATCCTTTCCTAGCGTTTCTCGCCCGATTCTCAAACAAATCTACGTTTCCCCCTCTCGGACTTATGTCGAGAAACAATACCAAAACTCTCCGGAAGTTTTCGATAGACCGTCCGCCAGTTTGTATTATAGTGCAATGCGTCATCAATGGGTTCAAAATCCAATTAGAAGGCAAAAAAATCCAAGGAGGGTTAAGCGGAGTGACCGGATAATGGAGGCGTACGATATGTTTCTGGAAGAGCAGCGGAATTTAAAAAAAGCGGAGGATGCGCTCAAAAAAGTGACTGAAGAACCAGTTGAACGGAATATGTTCGGGCTTCCCAGACACATGTCGATGCCGAGGTCGAAAAGAAATATTGAAGGTTCGGGCGACGACGTTTTTTTTATAATTTTAATATGTTTCAGAGTTGATTGCACCTGAACAATCAACTATCAGTTCTCGACCAGCCATTGATCTGCCCAAGCTCGCATCCAAGTATTTCCAACGTCTTGTTCTTGGCGAGTCTAACTTCTTTCAAAATATGAATGCTCAAAGTTTTCCTATAAAGCAAAACGCCAAAAAGTTCGGTGCCTCATGCTGGAATCGAACCAGCGACCTTCTGTTTACTAGACAGACGCTCTGCCACTGAGCCAATGAGGCGCTGGCGATACATCCTTCACGGGCTTGTCAAGTAATTGCCTGAGAGAGAAAGAGAAACGCACGGAACAAGAAACAGGGGTGTCTTGTCGAGAGTGACATCTTCTCTGGTGATTTTTCATTTTGCGAATGCCAAATTCCGCTTTCACGTCTCCGTTCTTTTTTGTCAAACTAATGACGCGCGTAACGTCTGTAGTTTTACTATTGCGTTCCAGAAATTTTGCTAGTACAAACAATTTTTTAAAATCGTTCCAACACGCTCTACATGTACATTCCATTCATTCTATTCAATCTTTTCAGGTGGGCCAGGTAACCAGAGGGACCATTTGGAGAACATCCGTCGTATTCGTAGGCATTATCTTCGCGTCGAAAAATGCAACGGCTACTTCAAATTGATGAATGATGAGAACAAAAAGTACGTTTTCGAACCACAGGGCAGAGATCATCTCACCCAACCGGTTCCTCATTTTTCACCCACTAGCGTCAATTGCTTCCCTATGCCATACCGTGGTCAGTTTGGATTAGCCTGAGATTGGTGTCTGCGAACAAGTCAGACCTAACTGGTAACGGATAGTGGTCAATATTGTGAAATCGAGATTGACAGGCGTGAACTTTTTAATAGGACAGGTATGGATGAGTTTGATGAGATAATGGAACGTGACTTTGACACTAGTTTTTGTGCTTCTCATGACAGTAGTAATCGAACTTCCATTCGAATCGTCACTGTTGTGTGTGTAGTTTGATGTAGAAGTGTAATTTACGCTAGACAGATTATGTTTCCGCATGCCAGAATACGCTGTTGACGGAAGCAAAAAAAGAAAAAAAGGAAACTTCCCATGCCGGGAATCGAACCCGGGCCGCGTGGGTGAAAACCACGAATCCTAACCACTAGACCACATGGGACTATGAGTGTGAGGAGGCGAAGGGAGTTGATACTCTCGCTGTGTACACAGCCGCGGCCGGCAGAACGGCGAGAGTCTCTCACACAGACATAACGGCGCTGCGGCGAGAGCGAGACTCGCTTCGAATGATCACTTACACAACCTTTTCAGAGTATTCGACCAGCTGAAACTTGGCATTAACAGTGAGCCACCGAAAATCAATAACAACAATGATGGATTTCAAAAAATTGTTGACATCATCAATCAATTCTCGGTTAGCCTTACTTAATGGGTACAATGTTACAAATATATTCAATTTTAGGCCTCGGAAGTTGCCCACAAGAAGTTTTCTTTCTTGTCTCCAAGAATATTGTCGATAATGCCGGAAGGAAAACCGAAGAATCGGTTCTTGTCGCCAACTTTGCTTTCTTTCCAAAAAGATGGATTCTTTTCGCTTCCCGATCTGTTTGAGATTGTCTCTTCAAACCAGCGTTACCAACATCTGATGCTCGAAGCGATTCTGGATCTGAGTGGTGCTGGAATTGCCCTGGATGAGCTGCTCGCTAGAATAGAGCCAGAAATGCAGTTTATGGAAGAAGTTCAGTATCCTTTAGTGCAAAGACTCAGTCGACAAGACACCAATTGGTTAAAGTCAGTGGCAATTGATGGATGACCTTTATAATTAACATGTTTTCAGGGCAAGACAGTTGTTTTCGATTGAGCAAATGGCTGAATACAAAAAATATGGTTTCGCACATTTCACGGAAGAACAAGTGAAACTCGTCTACGCCGGTCAGTCCAATGACTTTGCTCAATATTCATGAACTTTTCAATCAATTTCCAGATGATCCGACCAATTACATTCCGATCACGAAAATGACAAGGGAAGAACGAGATGCTCGAGTTGAGAATGCAATCAGAAAGTTGGCGGAGGAAGGAAGACCACAGTGGCCGTATTGGAGTGGATCGAAACGAATGAAAAGAGACAGCGAGCACAACATTGAGAACTATCCTGAAGAAGAGAATGTTAATGGTGTTTCCTTCTTGACTTTGAAGGTCTGACATCGTTTGAACGTCCTCCAATGACCTTATCGTGTTCAGCCTCACGCATTTGCCAACCTGATCAACTTCGGGGTGTCGATGGAAGCAATGATCTTGTCACCGCATGCGTTCGTGTCTGAGATCATGAGACCGGAAGCGTTGAAGGTAACAAATATTCCGCAAACAATAATTCATTCGCAATTCAGCTTGACGTCCTTTCCCCGCGTGCGTTCATCGCAACAGTCCTTTCCCCGTCCGCGTTGGTTGCCCGAATCTTATCGCCGACTGCTTTCCGTGCCGAAGTACTTTCGCCAAGAGCGTTAACTGCCTGGGTGCTCTCTCCGGAAGCTTTGGTCAGTTTTTCAAAACATTAGTCCAGTTTGAAACTCATAAACTTTCAGATAGCCGAAGTTCTCTCACCAAGAGTGCTGGAGCCGAGAGTTCTCTCTCCGGAGGCATTGGTCATCGATGTGCTCAGTCCCGGAATCTTAGCTCCTCACGTTTTATCTTCCGAAACCATTGGAGTAATGGTTCTGAGTCCAAACATCTTATCTCCCAGAATTGCTAGTGATGAAAAGTTTCTGGTGGAGGTAAATAAAATAAAATCACTTTTTTACATTCGAAGAACTCTTTAGGTCCTGTCTCCTCATATTCTCGGTGGTCCGCATAGCAAAGAAGAGGAAGAAAGTAACATCGAAATTGGATCAGGTTCACATGAAGGTCATTCACACCATGGCTCCAACCACTCGGAAGCCCACCAGCACCGTTCGATTCTTCATCACGGGGCTGCTACTTCTGTCAGATCCCAACCTCCTCCGCCTCCTCAAAACCCCTTTGCTTACCGCTTTCAAAAACTCTGAACAGGTCTGACCTAATCTTTTATTGTTTGTGTGCATATTGCATCAAACTTAGACTTTCTTAATTTATAATATCAAACTTCCACTTCTGCTTCCACTTCTCTCTTCCGCTACAACTAATCAGGTACAAAAATTGACTGTTAGGACAGTGAAACTGCATTTTCCATGACTATTAATCTCACGACTAATTTATTTTGCCACTATTCCCTTCTCCCCATGCGTTCGTCAATGATTTTGTCACTTTTGACAAAATAATAACACTCTTTTACACACTGCAGTTATTTTGTCTCCTAAACCGGTTCCTCCTTTTCTGCTTTCAACACTATTTCCTAATATAACTGCTTATGGGTTGTTTTCGAATGCTCTCCCGTTTGTTTTATGAACATTGAGCTCAATTTGATAAATGCACAAGAATAAATGATACGTTTACTTCCAGAACGATACAAATCCACTCAAATAAACGTAGACCATCACAAGAAATAAAAGAACAATTGTACATGTAATACCGGCGAATGCGGCCGGCATTCGACTTCTTCCGCTTTTGTCTTCTCGTCCTTTAACCTCTGGAAACAAAAATGACACTCAGTACAGAGAGATTATCGCAAAAAATGAAAAAGACTAACCGACGCTTATGGTGGAACACGTTTTGTGACCTTTTCCGATAGTGATGAGGTAGTCTGGTCGGTCATTGCTGAAACGAGTGCTGATCACAAAACTTCCAACCAACCAAACACACACACACACACAACTTGTCACATTTTTCTTCCCGTCAATTTCTGCGTTCAGTTTTCAGCTACTTCTATCGTCTTACCTATCAATCGGAAACCTGGCGAGGTAAGCTTTGCGTATCAGTTCCTCTCTGTAAAGAACCGGATCGAATTCAGACGTTGATATATAGGCGGGAAACGGTCCATTCGACGGCGTCGGTGACGATCTCGGTGTCGTGATCTCAAAAATAACATCTATTTTTGTCTGTTTTTCAAACGAAATTACTAACTAACCTGTATGCACGAAAATGTCGACAACTTAGCTGGCATCTAGTGACAGAATTGAATGTTTTTTGAGGGTGGGGTGAAAACGAAAAACGAAACGGTTGTTAGAAGATGGGGGAGGGGTTGAAGCCGGAGTGACGGCAAACGGGACGGCATCGCCGAACTCGCAAGATTAGACGGGAATTGTTGAAGTAATTTGGGGATGAGTCGCCGAAAACGAAAATGTTTTGTAAGTAGCCAATGGTCATTTGAACTGAGTCATGGTGTGCATCCATCCCCTCACACACTTTTCTAAAAAAAGAAATGATGCATCGACAAGAAATTGTTGACATTTCTTCTCTACAAACCGCCACGCAACTCAATTTTTGGCGTTTTATTTGATAACAATGCGATCGAAATTGTGTATGATGGGCACTTTTGCTCCGTTGCTCCGAGTTGCTCCGTTTCAGCTGACTTGGTGCTCACACACAAAAATCTGAGGTTCTCGCCATTTCACATCCGTTGATTAAACTAATTCGTAACTCCAGAAGTCCCTTTTCCCTTCCTCATTTCTCGAAAAAGCTCATGGAGTTGATAAAACAGGTCATTTTTCATTTCCATTTCACCATTTCGCTCCTCCATCCGCAAAGCGCTCATGCTCCGTGAGTTTGTGAGTGTGTGAGCCAGCGGCTGTTCTCCCTCCACTTAATTTATTTTCATATCACCTATCACTCTCGACCAACTAACTGAACCTCATTGAAAGAAAGCGGGTGAGAAGACGAGGAAGAGGAGAGCGTGAGGTCTTAAAAATTTGTGAAGGGTTGGTCGATTGCTCCCCCCCCCCTTTCCACTTGTACACACAAAATCGCCGTTTTCGCCTCTTGATGCCACTGTTTTCCGTTCTGTTTGTCATCCCATGCCCTTCTCGTAACCTCTCACAAAATTTTGTTTCACACACTACAAACTTTTGTCGCTAGGTACATCCACAACAGAAAACAAAGTCGGTGAAGTGATATCAGTGATAAAAACACTGTGAGTGATCAGTAAATTACTACGGAGGTTATCGTTTCATCGTTTCGATAACATAAAAATATCTTTTTTAATCATTGAGGAGATCACAACTTTTTCAAGAGAAAACGTGATAGATCATTCTACTTCATCTGACCGTTACTATGTATGTTAAATACCCTTGAGAGTAGTTCGCTTTTTTCGAAAGTTTACCCATTCTTTGCATTCAGTTTTTCATCCGATCACGAGTGATATGATAGTAGAATGTTATCATTCAGTTTCCATCATTTCCGAGGGTCTTACCTTGTTCTGTCTCTTGTTTTTTTCATTTCATTTCATCGTTCTTCAATCCCAACTATCATTCATTCCCATCCAGATCTCTGACTGACTTGCCGGCAATGTACACTTGTACGCATCCAACCATGACTCAATCCGTAAGCCGTCGATTTGGAAATAATTGGATATAGTTGTCGCCATCGACACTTTCAAATCATTATTCCCGGTGCCATCTTTCATTGTTCACTTCACTTATGTATTCCCATTCCTCTAATCACTGTAACCGATTGGTTTGTGTCTCGAATGAGAGAGAGAGAGGGAGAGGGAGAAGAGAAGCGACAAACGTGTGTTGTAATAGAACAACAGGTTGAAAGCACCAACACACACATAATTAGAGGAGTCGGCGGACGAAGCATTGTTGTTGTGATTGTTGTTCGAGAAGTTCATCGTTCCAAGAACCAACCCCCAGAATTCGCCCCTTCAAAACAGACTCGAAACTGACATCAACTATAGTCATTTGCAAATAATAAGCACGTCTTCTTCCTACTCTCTTCCCACATTTTCGCCATTTCTCACAAAGTTCAGTAAAAATACTAGTTTCTCATATCATAACTCTTTTCTCTTTTACTCGTTCTCACACATCAGAGGTACATATACGACTCTTTCAGATTTCTGCAAAAATGTCCCAAATTCAAACTCGCAGTTCTTCCAAGTCTCGTGCCCGTCAACTTTGGAAAAAGGTGGGTAAACGAAATAAAACAAAAGACTTCCGTCCAGTCTCGACAAAAAAGTTCAATTTGAATCATTTTTTTCAAAATTTTGTGTTGCACTGCAAATAATTGCTTGAAAGTTTTTTGTTGTGGTTATGGGGAGGGGCAAAGTAAAGCTATTGAGGAAAAAGGAAGAAAATGGCTTTTCAAGAAATAAGTACTTTAATTGATCTTTTATTTTTTTTTCCCATCTCTCACTTCCTCGCTGATTTCCAGTTTCCAGTTGCTTCTTGTGCCGGTCAAATAATTTTGAATTATTTATTCGGCTTGTCTCAGAAAACAAGTTTTTCTCCGTTGGCACACGCAGATTCCGAGTCCTGGAAACTTTGCATACTTGAAGTTTTGATTCATATTTGATTAGATTTTCGTATAAGAGATGGCCAGCACAAATCACAAGTTTTCACATGCTCAAATCGGATTATAGACGAAGGAGTTGTAATTCGATACTTTTTTTCTGAGAAATGTTAATGATCAGTCTCTCTCAACGGCTACAATGTTTTGAGGGGCTTGTTGATTCAGACACCCGTGCATTAGTGTCAACGTGTTTTGAATGTGATTCCTGCTCCTCCGATAGGTATTTTTCTTAGTCATTCCTGCTAGCACCTCCCGAATTTCAAAACCATCTCTGTTGACATTCTGACCCTGAATCATCTCAATTTCCATAAAGGGTTTCTTGTCAGTGACTCAGCTCATCCGCCCCTCCTATTCAAAATATTCCGGTCCTACAAATATTGAGATCCTTGTACATTTTCCCACAAAAAAATTTTTTTTTTTCTTTTCCTTTTAGAATGCCCTAATTGACGTTTTTTGTGGCATGCTCGCTCGGAACCAGCAGGCAAACTGCAATGTTTGTTGACTAACATCAGAATGCACTGACTTTCGTGTCCAAGTTGTCAATTATAAATTCAAAACTTCCGACGACCCGCAATAATCTCCCGATCAAAACCTAGGCAGAGAGTGTGACTCGGAAAGCGCGCAGACAGGAAAACAAAAATCTCGAGCCGAAGAACGAACGTTATGAGTCTCGAGAGAAAGGAAAGGCAAGGCACACAGCTGTTGAACCCAACAAAAAGTCCTTTCTCTTATCTCCTGTAGTGTTGTTTCCGCTTTCTTTCCTTTTGCGGCTACCTCAAACGTCACTTTGCTTTGTCAAACATTTTGAAACAAAATGATGATTCAGCTCTCGATTGTGCCTCAGAAATTTGAGCCGTTTCCTGTTCTTTTCCGCCTTCGCTCCACTTCCGTCACCGCCAGTTCTCCTCTACTTTATCACCTCATCTTTTCAAATAGTTCGCTTGGTTTCTCACCATTCATCGGTGGAAAGCTATACCAATAACTGTGTCGTGTTTGCTTTCCAAAATATTCCATACCAAAAACCAATCAGCGTTCGCTTTACAAACTATGTCAAGTCAACAGACGCTTCGCCACTTCCTGTGACCACCAACAAAGCCAATAATCCTTGGTGGTGTCGGAGTAATCTGTGGAACAGGAGCCCGGGGACGCGAAGCCATGTTGGACAGCCCTTCTATCTTCTTCTCTCTTCGAAAAGTTGGTCGAGAATGCGAGAACAGCCAAGTGACGCCTTCTCGCAATTTGTGAAAAGGGCTTTATTCTGTTGTGTGCCTCGTTTTTGTTGCAAGTGCGCACACGCCTGCTCTCTTCTCTTTTTTCTTCTCCTTCTGCTTCCTTCCCCCCATTTGCACATTCCGTCACGCACAGTAGAGTAATGTGAGTTGCAATGAGCAAGATATATGTAAGGCAAGAAGGGGGTTGAAGCACAGAGGAGGTCCTTTTGAATATATTTCATTTTGAGAGCTCGCTCAGCTTCTATTCTACACCATTACTATTCTTCGTCTCTTTGCTCTTTCTGCTTCGTGTGCGTGTTTGTGACTCCGTTATGACTCATACACGTCTTATTTTTCATTATTTCCTCTTCTTCTTTCAGATGGGAGGTGTTATATCTTTCATTTCACTACGACATCATAATGAGAGTCATCTCACACCGAGCAAACAGGTCAGTCAAACTCAAACACGTCTAGAAACCGGTAAATATGTTCTAGGTGCGTACAAGGAATGGGCTTGTCGAAGGATTCAGAATCAAAATTGACGACGAAAAAGAAGTAGATCTATTCCTGGGAATACCATTTGCCAAGCCACCAGTTGGAGATCTCAGATTCAAAAACCCAGAGCACACCGAGGATTGGGACGGTGTCCGGAAATGCGTGCGATTCGGTCCGAGAGCTCCTCAGGCCGACTTTTTCTGGGAGCGATTCACTCTTGGAGTCGGCAAAAGTGAGGATTGCCTCTACTTGAACGTCTTCTCCCCAACTTGGAAAGCAGAGGAGATGTCTAACGGGGTATGTTCCTTTTGGTCACTGGTTCACTGTTTCCGAGTCCCTTCTCTTTCAGCTTCACCCAGTTATGGTGTATGTTCACGGCGGTGGTTTCCTGATTGACTCTGCCGTCAAATACGGCGACGAAGGAATTGCTAAGTGAGTTTGAAAGTAGTCCGTGCGGAGACATGTAACACAGACTACATGTTACACCATGCACCGCTAGATGTAGCCAACATGACCCGCTCTCAAGACAAACTTAAATTGCTCTTGAGAAAAGAAAAGGGGTTTGTGGTTTTCAAGACGACAGAAGGGTCCCACTTTACCCTTTATGCTTCGAATTTCAGATATCTGTGTCGGCATGGAGTGGTCGTCGTCACTATTCAGTACCGCCTCGGTCTTCTCGGATTCTTCTCAACTGGCGATCAAGTTTGCCCTGGAAACCTCGGACTTTGGGACATGACGATGGCTCTTGAATGGGTCCGCGACAACGTGCACGCTTTTGGAGGGGATCCCCGAAAAGTGACCGTTTTCGGGCAGAGTGCTGGGGGTGTAAGTGTAGATCTGCTTGCATTGAGCCCTCACTCAAGAGGTTTGTGCTCTGGTCGCTGGAGTGTGAGAGTGACACTCGATTCTTTCCAGACCTCTTCCATCAAGTTATTCCGATGGCTGGAAACGGCGAATGCGAGTGGAGCACTGTGGGAAAGAACCGCGTGGTCAATGCGTGCCGGGAGTTTGCATACAGAAAGTGTTGGGATGAGAAGGAAGCAAGAGGTTCGTATTTCGCACACGCCATACACACATTTCAGTGTTATTTTCTAGACGAAAATGCCAGTGAGAGCATGTTGGCCTTTCTGCGTACAAAGAAAGAAAAGGAATTCGAAAAGCGTTTGCTCACGCGAAAAGGTGTTGACGTCTCGAAAATCGGTCTCGATTTGGCTCCAGTTATTGGCACCAAACCGAGTGATTTCCTGCCGAAGCCAATTGAGGAACTGAGAAGCGAAGCACCGAAAAAGAATATAATGGTTGGCACATGCGAACACGAAGGACTGCTTTTCGGTACCAGGATCCTTTCTTCTCCTGGAAAATGTCCTTGTTTCAGCTAGTTTGGGTCCGAGCAATTTTGACGAGAAGGGAATTGACAAACTGCTTTCTATTTTAATTACCGAGGAGAATAATGAAAATTTCGAAGAGCTGAGAAAAGAAGCAAAGGCTATGTATCTGAAGAAACGGTCAGAAGATGAAGACGAAAAAGAAGTTGCCGCAAGGGGTTACATTCAGGTACATTCTGCACTCAAACTGTGCAACTGTTGAATTGAAGACATGTTGAAATTCCAGTTATACAGCGACATCTTCGTCAACAACGGCACATTCAATTATGCTGAGAAAATGACAAAACTTGGGAACAAAGTGTTCATGTACTCGTTTGACTATTGTAATCCAAGAAGTTTTGGAATTCTTTCGTTGCGAGCACCTTTCAGAGGTACATTCCACTATAATTCGTTCATTTCAAGCTCTATTTTTAGCTGCCACGCATTGCACAGAACTTGCATATCTCTTCGGAGTTTCCATCGTCTTCAACTACCGCTACAACGAAACGGACAAAGCGATGCTCGATTTGATGACAAGAATGTGGACCAACTTTGCTAAATATGGGTGCGAGGGCAATCTTTGAGAGTCTCTCATTCATAATGTCTCTTCAGAAATCCCAACGGACAATATGAAGACTCGACGGTGTTTGACTTCAAATGGGAGCCGACGACCAAGGAAGAGCTCACGAGATTCTTGGTCATCAACGAGAAAAAATGCGAAATGCGAACTGTTTACCAGGAGAACCGTGCCGAGTTCTGGAAGAAAATAACAATCTGCGCAAAGAGCTCATAGTGCAACTTTCCTTCCCTTCTTTGTCATTATTGCTCATAGTTGTGACTTAATCAGCCTACTAATCCCCTGATCTGCTGTTTTTTCCTCAAACCGGGTACTTTTTCACGTAGTGTTAGCAACATCTCCAAACTATTAATTTTTTCCTCTTGACGCATGTAGTTATTTTCTTTTGCGGGTTGTATCATTGTTAGTTTTAAGTTTCTCGGATATATTCTTTTGCTTCCTCAAACAATAAATAATTTTATCGTTTTTCTAGTAGTTTGTGCCATACTTGCACTTTTGAGGCGTCTTGACCTTTCAAGGATAAAGACCAACCGAACTATGACAAACGTGACCATTTCCTCAGACCTCATTCTAGTAGAATGCTCAAAGATTTCGACAATACTTACCAAACTGGCATGTTGTGATTAGTTCATTAGAAAAATGCTGATCAAACATCTCAGTCTAAATTTGTTTCGTGTTTTGCTAGATGATTTCGGATTTATGCCAAACCCTCTGTTTCATTATTTTCAAGAGTTTATCCAAGTTCCACAGAAAAAAACCACCAAAACACAGACCGCCGAGCGGAACCTTTTCAAAATGCATTTTTGTCCTGTGGCACGTCCTTCGATAACGTTATTTCCATAAATCTTTCCATTTCTGGTTGAGATCTCACGACCCGCTTGTTCCCCATAACACCCTGTCTAATCTCGCTGCTGATCCTTCAAAAACTCTTTCAGATGTTCCAAATAACAAGAGCTTATGTTTGAAAGTCTGAAACTGCTCAGCAATGTTTTTTTCATTTTTCGTTTCCGCGTCAAAAGTGCCGAAGCAAAAGGGGGAGATTTTCGACGGAGGAGCTCGGATTAATTGTGCCGAGCATCTTGTTGTCTTGTGTTGAGCTGAGCGTTTGTTTTATTGGGAGGCACCACTTTACTTCGACGACAAAAATAGATTAATGGCAACATAGGTGCACGGAACATGTGGCGACTGACCTCCGCAGTCGCTCCCGGATCACTTGCAAGTTTTTTGATGTGCTAACGGGTCGTTCTCAGCTCCGGCCATTTGTCAATTGGACCCTGTTGTATGTTATTCTTTTTTCTCGATTCTATGAATTCCATTTAATCGTAGACCCTTCATCAAACCTAGACAAAAGAGTTGTCATTCCAATCGTCATTCCAAACCACAAAATTAAATTAAGAATAGAAAGCCGCTTGGAGATGTTTCATCCGATTTCCAATTAAACCCGTCAATCGCTCCCTCATTTTCCCATTGAAAACTTGCATTTAGTCTTCAATTCTGGCGCTAAACTCCACTGGAACAGGAAACGGAAACACTTCTGTCTTCCTTAACAGTGTTCAGAGATGTTAATCCGGGGGTATACAATCTTTGTAGATTGGCTTATCCCCCAACAATGTATCTTATCCTTCTTCCTCTTTTCCAGCTCTTCCTTCGATTTATCATATTCCCTGCTCTCCAATGCGCGGAGGTGATCGTTTTTTGGCGTAAAGGGGATAGGCTAAAAGTAGTACCCACTGCTCCCGTCTGATTGCTTAAATGTATGTAAGAAGGAAGAGAGGGAAGAACGAGTGATGCCCCATCATTATTGGAATTTCCATCGCCTGAAGCGAAAAACCGCTGTAAAAACAAACTGGCGGTCGGTCGACATCTCCGTACAGCTCTTTTCCATCTCTGTCAACCGATGTAAATTGGTCCCGAATACAACTTGTTCACGCAACTTTTCGGAGTGATTGTCCAGCCGTCCGACGTCGCCGCCGCGCAATGTTTTCATCTTCTCAATGAAACGACGAGTGCACTGCAATGCGGCGGCTAAAAATAGAAGCTCGAAGGTCTATTTCAAGGCCCCTCCGCAACTTGTTTATCGGTTTTTCTTCCCCTCTGCGAAGGCATATCACAATTGACAAAGAAGCTCTCAATCTCTCTCTCTCCCTCTTTCCCTCTCTCTCTCTCTCTCTCTCTCTCTCTCTCTTTTTCTTGTTGACTCACTTTGAGGCGGCCAGTAACCTTGTTAGGTGTTTCCGAACTCTGAACTTTAGAATATCCATTTTGTCCTAATCCACACTTGTTGGATATTTTGAGTGTCGCTTCTCTTCTTTTCGCCCCAAAAAGTTTTCTTTTCCACTCAGAAGCTCCAGTTTCTCACATACACAGTTTTTGAACCGACCAGAATACTTATCAGTGCAAGGGAAGCAGATTTTCTGCGAGAAGTGAGTGCCTACCCGGAATTGTGAAGAGAAGTGATTCTCCTTCATAATTGAATTTATCACTCTGCCATATGCCTACAAGTATTTCTGTCATTCATGCCATTCATTAATGTCGCTCTCCCTCCCATATCTCTTTTTTCTGTGTTCTTCTGATATCGATCCATTTACTTGCTGACTGTGACGTCGGAACATTCCGAGATGACGTCTGATACGAGTCATGCATCCATTCTCTAACTTTTTCCCTTTTTCTTTCTCTCCGAAGGCCGGAAAACTTTGATCTGACGCTTCTTTTAATATACATTCTCTAGTACCTCCCATCTATGTACTTCTTCTTTCATCTTTCCCAAATGTTGTTCAATTTGCTTGCTGTACGGAGTTGTGACGAAAGTTTCGATGAAAGTTAACTCATCAAACATTTCGAAAGTTTTTTAATCGCCCAACATGTTTTGCCTGAATTATTCAGAGCCCTCTCTGCGAATTGAAGATAAACAAAGAGTCGAGGCAGACTTAAGAAACAATAAGAACTTTAAAGGCCAAGTTTCCAGCTCTCCGGCTCGAGGCACAGTTTCCAAAACAACCTAGATAATGGCCGGCTGAGCTGTTTTTTGATGACTACTTCAGACTTTTGCAATTCCGGGTTCCGGGTTCCAAACTCCGTTTCTAGTTTCAGCAACTTCACAATGAGATGCTCTCATTGTTCGTTGGTTTGTTCTTGCGGGCAAATCGAATTTGTGTGCTGATTCACAATGCTTGTTTTGGTCAATATCTTTTCCAACTCACTACATTTCCGTGTTCCAATTAGGCAGTTCGAACTTTGAAAGAAGAAAGACACGATTTTCAATCCCTGAGAGAATCTGTGGTTCATTAGCACATTCATCCATACTTGTTGTCATCTTTTTCAGCTTTTCCCAAGTCTATCGTGTAGTTAACTCTTCTGTACTTTTTGCATCATTTGTCACAATTTTATCCGTCTGACGCTCATCTTCTCATCCTTTTTGCCTTTTTTCTCCACTCTCCGAAACTTGCCGCCTGCTCGCAGTTCGGTTCGTCTCTATTCTTACCCGAAATGTTGCCTCGTGCGCCCCCTTTTTTGTGTCCAATTCCACATTTTTGGCACAAATCCAAAAAATTAGTCTCCAGGGGCGCGCAGCGGCTCATTTTATTCCACCCTCTACCCTAAAATAACATGTATGTGGAAAATGTGCCACTGTTTTCGACAAACTTTGGCTGAAAGCCACTGCATTCTTTTGTTCTCGTTTGAATTGGGATTTGAAACAAGCTTCAGTTGAACGGCTTGATTTTTCAAGTGATGCTCTTACGTTTCGGTAGCACTTGTGAACTGGCTCTGATTATAGTTTTCACTTAAAAAGAGCACGCTTTTCCACACGCATTCTTACAAAAGATCGAAATCTTGAATAACAGCAGTATCCAAACAGAGCTGTCTTTGTCAGATTCCTAGCCGCGTCGGACAATTGTTTTCAAGCTTTATAAAATTACCATATTTTTCAATTGGTTTTTCATTGTTCTGTGGAACCTACACAAAGACGTTCAAAGATCTTGTCAACAGATTTCTCGCTCCTTTTTCTCCAGATCCGACCCCTCGTTTCGTTGCCTTTTTCTGATTGAACATTTTTGATGAAGTGGTCATGAATAAAATAGAAATCGCGCTCGTTCGGACGGCTAGAAACGTGTCTAGTTGGCGAAATCTTTGGCACGATTGATGCGTGGTTCGGGAGGCTGACAGGCCATGTCAAACCGACTTTGCGCCCCCGGACGCCAATTTCGTTCAGCAGTTGCCCGCATTCATTGACCTTTCTATAATGAGCATTCCCTCCAGGCTTCTCATATTTTCAAGTTCCATTTTTGGCACGTCTATTTCCGGTATCAATTATTCATTCGTATGTTCATCGTTTTGTTGTGCTCGCTCATTTTCAGCTGCCGTTCTGCGGAATTTCTGTGTGCCATGTGGCCCTAATTCCAAATTCGTCTAAAAGAATGGGACGAATTTAATCAAAATGTAACCGAAGTGTCATTCATTTTATGACTACCGTGCCATTTGTACGCATATTTCGTTTTCGTTTTCGTTTCGTTTTCATCTTTAGCCCAAGCTGTCATTTTTGTACTTCCCATATACATATATATACAAATCTAAAATTAGAGGGTGAAAGGAGCAGTTCGAGGTTTGGAAAAAATCTAGAAGTCTAAGCTATTGCATTGCATCACTATCTCTCGCATCCAATTAATTTTTCCACCCTCGGTTCAGTGATCTATAATCCCAGAATGTGCTGGAACTCTCACTAGATTCGTTTGAATGGAGGACCCCGTTTCCCAATGAATCATTTTTCACTCTAATATGCATCGTGTTTTGATGGTGGCCCAAAACATTTCATCAGCCATGAACGGCCGTGTAACTTGTTACTTGGCGGGACGAAATACTTGAGCTTTTGGATTTCCCGTGATGCACATGGAAAACACTTTTATTAGGTGCTCTGCAGAGAAAGGGGGAAAATGCATGCAGAACTGAATTGTTATTCATTTCAGTCTGTCTATAATTAGACTATACCCAATGCTTTTGATCAAATTATTTTATGCATTTTACTTTTCGGGGAAAGGAACGTGCGTGGATAATTGGGGCGCCCAGTCATATTCGTATTCCTCTCCCTCTCTTTCTCCTTTCTTTTCTTTGCATAGTTTAATGTGCTTTTGATGAGATGCCTCCTTGGATACCAGCCACCCACGGATGGCTTTCAATTCTCTTTTTCTCGAGGAAAGCTATTGCCAGAATCTGTGTGTTTTGTTTTATGGATTTATGCTCGGTTTAGGAAAAGTTTGATATGACAAGAAGACAAGAAGCGAGAAGCTTCGTTGTCAGATTCGAGAAACTTCCACTACTAAATGATGTTATGTGTTTGTTATGTGAGTGTTGATACCCGAGTTTTTCGGCGCCCCAGGGACCGATTCCGCAGGCGGACCAGTTTCTTTTTTTAGTGCCATTGCCTTTGGCTTCACTCAAACCCGATCGTTCTCAATTGGACGGCTTTTTACTCAACTCAACGAGGAAGCTCTTTCCTTTTGACATGAGCCAGTCGGCTTGCCACACATGGAAACATCAATCTCTTTCCATTTTTTGTCAGAATAATTATTGTCTCAAGTGAGCAGAGGGACTAAAAAGCGGCAGCGGAATAGTCGTATTGCTCCGAGAGCTCCCCAGATACCGTAGTTAATGCGGTTGCAGTGACAAATGGGTGTCAGAACGTGGCAGACAAACTAAGAGGGCTCCTGACCTATTCGGAACACACATATTGTGTTTTGGAAGGCGAAAAAATATCTGTGTCTCATGACAGTGTCTTATACTCGAAGAGGAGCACAATTCCCTGATGCCGTTCTTGTCCAAAACATATCAACTTTCTGGCTCTTGGATTTCTTTGTTTTTCATCAATTTGCCCGACACCCAAAGTGTTAAGTTTTCCAAAAGCATAGACCCATTTTGTTTTTTATCCACTCCATTTTTTGCTCTTTCTCTCTGAGACATTGTTTTGTTTCCGCCACGTTTGTCTCATGAATTCCTTATTTCTTGCGTGTGTCAGTTTCCTGATTTTTGAAATTCATACATTTTCAGAAGGAGTTCCAAAAAACACGAGTAAGCGCAGTGCGGTGAAAAGAAAAAACAGACATCCGAAAAGTGTACTCGAGGTGGGTGACTAAAGGTGGGCTGGGACGTAGGTGAACTTGGGTAATGGAAGGGTAAGAGTAGGAGATATCAAGTTTCCTCAACTCGTCATAATTGTAAAAAATCCGGGGCGGAAACTTCCAAAAATGGCTACATATCTGTCTACTTTTCCTTCTTCATTGAAGAAGAGAGCTTGCCAATTTTGAAGTTTCGTCTTGTTGTGCTGTGAAAAATGTTTCTCGCTGCTCCCAATTGTATTATATCACCTTTTTTTTGGTCAAGCACTTTGTGAACACGAAATGGGATGGGCGCGAGAAAAGTGGGGCGAAAAAGGGTCCCCGCGAGCGAAACTTTTTCGATTGGCTTTCGAATTGGATTCTGCTCTTCTCTCGCAGTTTTTGAGCGGTGCGTTCCGAGAAAACGTCATCCGACAGTTGGCAGGTAATGCGAGAACAGGAAGAGAGAAGAGATATAAAGAAATTTCGGGCAGGTCATAAACAGAACTCTTTTCATGACTTTTCACCTCGCCATTTTATCACTTTACTCTTCTCAGATTTACGCGCTTCCCGTTTCCCTTCCATGATTCAGTTGAACAAAGTCCATTTAATCAATTCTGAGCCGCTCCATAGTTTGTTTATTAGAACCCGCAGATTTTTGAAACACCAAACGCACCATGCGCTTTCCTTATTGGAAAAAAACCCATATGAATAGCTATACGAATAGACTCGGGCACCATGATTTCTGATTCATTTCTGAATCTCATTTCCGAGGAAAAAGATCCTAACTGTGTTCTTTGGGGGATTCCGGAAATTTCGAACCCCTTGCAAGAATTCTGTAGGATGGAAGAGCGGGAAAAACAAAAATATCAGTCATTTTCTGAGGGGAACGTCTATTTGAGAGTCAAATGTGTGTGGGTGGGTGGTGGATAGTTAAGCATGAAAAGAGCAAGAAAAAGTTCTATCTTCGGTCTTTTGCCATTTCTCAGTGCAGTTTGTAGCAGTTTCAAACAGGATTTGTTCAGTTCAACCATTGAAAAAGGTTCCAACAAACAAAAGTTCAAAACGTTATGAATAGCAGTGGCAGAGTGCTCCCCCCTCCCCTTTTTCCCTTCTTCCTTTTCCGGGCTGCCCCCACACATACAACTCCGGCCGCTCCCAGTTTATTGTATTGGTCATTCACCTCCGAAATGCAACTTTTTCGCCTTTTCTCATCCAATTCTTCATCCATTCCGACGCGGCGACTACGTGTTTCTTGTGCGCCCGTCTATCCTCTACTTTTATTCGCCTTACGGGCCCGTGTCCTCTTCTTCATTCAACATCTTATAGATGCGCCCCCTGAAGAAGACGACGAGGAGCGCCGCCCCGCCCCCAATTCGTGCCGTCATTTAGTTAGGTTGCGCGCTACCCTATTCCGTGCTTATTTTTTTCTTGGTTGCTCTGCTCTTCTCTATTCCCGATAATGCCGTTGTCGTCTTGTTGACCGCGATAGACTAGAGGTTACTTGCAAAGTGGAATTTAACAGTCTTCTTTTTATATGTAGTTACTGCCGTGTTACAGAGATTCTGGCCAAAAACTACAATGAGAGGGGGGTGGAACAGGAAACTATTATAGTCGTCTTGTCCGAGTCAAGTTGTTACCAATTCCGGACGGAGAGTGATCACTTCCCATTTGGGCAGGTCAGACTGATCAAGAAGGTCTGAGCGATCCAATTTTTGCTCGAAGGGTCAAGTCGAATTGCTTTCTTATTCGATTTAAAACCCCTTTTTGTACATCTTGTTTAGTAAGTTGTATAGTCGTAAAGGTTCCTTGGAGCTTTGGTCGGAAATAAGAGAAAGGTGTCAACTCCTTGGAAACACGTCCAATCTCTCCGCACCATAATTGATGGTTTGTGGCCAAGAACTGACCACCTCCTCGCCTTCTCCTCGTCACCTTCTTAGCAGCAGCCTTGAATCTAGTAGTAGTACTTCGAAGATGGAAACGTCAGTCAGTTTGGCCTCCCAATTGTGTTGTTCATTGCTCAATTTCCCTGTGGCCCCGGCTGATTTTATCTTTCTGCTAGTTTCCCGACAACAAGCAAATTAACATTTATGTTTACAAGACTCTAAGCGATTCTCCTACATATTTCACTTCAAATGTTCCTTGACTGAAAAGATTAGGACCCCTCTCTCACATGTTAATTGACCTTACAAATGCTTGAATCTTCCCTTTTTCCCTCATTTCGGCATAACCTGCAAACGGCAAACTTAATTAATGCTGACCGAAAAGGATAAGCAACGAGACGAGCCGTGGTGTTCCGGAAATTGAGACGATGAGAGCGTGACTCTCTTGTGAATCAGTAATCGTCGGTTATTATTCAACGATAGGAGGGAGCCTCGGATGAATAGTTATTAGATATGACTGCTCGCTAGCAGAGTGAGGGTCGAGTTATGGGATACACATAAGCCCCATCCTCATCACTGTTTTTGTGTCAGAAAGGACTGACGTCAGACTCTGGTGCTTTATCGTCAAAAAGCAAGACGAAGTGAAAATGGAGAAGAAGAAATCAGAGCGAGAGAAGTCGATTACCCTCCTTCCCGAACATTCTCAGAGCAACTGTTCTCAGTTAACGTAAATATGTCTATTTTCGCTCGCGCACTCAAATTGCATTCCTTCTTGACGACAGTAGAATTGCAAAAAGACTGCCCACCATGATGGGTCCTTTCAAAAAATCTTCGTAATGATATTCAGGTACTCTTGATCTCATGAATATAAAATGAGCTACGCATCTAGGCTCTAACTCGATCATTGCTTTTCCGTCCTTGTCTGCCCTCAAAACATCTTTCAAAAAGTGCAATTTCAGCCAATTCGATGAACGAAGTGCAATGGCCGTTGCTCGGACTCTTCTCCGTCTTGATCATTTTGGCCCTGTTCGGTAACTTGCTGGTCGTCGCCGCTATCCTATGGGACCGTTCACTGCGAAAACAACCGGAGAACCTTTTCCTGGTCTCATTGGCCGTTTCGGATTTGCTCGTCTCCGTTCTGGTAAGTGCAAACGTGTCGGAAATCTGATTCCATCGGCATTATCGCTTTTCTTCCTGGTTTTCTCGTTATTCCAGGCAACATTCCAATTCCGAAAACTTTCGAGAAAATCAAATTCAACATTTCTGTCTTTCTTTCTCTTTTTTCGGGTTGTGACCGATGGGTCTATCCCATCCTAAACACATCCTCACTCACATGTTCTCTGCCGTAGGGGCGTTAGGAAAATAGCCATCGCATGAATATTTTGGGTGGAAATACAAGAAGGTCCCGAGGAGGATGTCTCAAATCTAATTTGAGCGTATTGTTACTGGCGAAGAGAGACGGGCGCCTCCGAAGACAAGTGGCACACATTGTGTTGACACACACGGAAGTTATTCGTTTATTATCTTATCGGTGAATGTGAGAGTGAAATTGGTTTGCGAGTAGACAACACAGGAACGAAATCCTTGTCAGAAGTTTGAAAACTAAAGTGAATTCGTGTTCCCTTCGTTTCATTAATTCTAAAACAAAACAAGAAGTATTAGCATTTTCCCTGCTCGTGCAAGCGTAAAAGTCAAATAGCCCGCACACTTTTTGTTGATTAAATTTCATCTAAACCTTGCTCTTTCTGTGACGAATCGCACTAGACAGAGGTGCTAGACGGGAAGCGCACGAGGTCTAAAAGAAAAAGTGAATATCGAGCGTTTTCAAATTTTCCGCCTCAATACGCGTTTTTTTCGACTGTCCAGAGTAATTTGCTTTTAAAACAATAGAAATGGAGGGAAAAAACGAGACAACAAGCATTTAAACAAGCGCTTTCAGGTTATGGTGTTTGCGGCAGTCAACGATATTCTGGGTTATTGGCCATTCGGCAACTTTTACTGTCAATTCTGGATCAGTTTCGACATAACCACTTGTACAGCGAGCATTCTCAATCTTTGTGCGATTTCTCTGGATCGATACTGGCATATCAGTAGACCAATGGTCTACATAAGGTTGAAACAGAAGAGAATCTTATCAGAAAACATTATTTTTAGATACTGTAATCGTCGTCGTATAAACTATGTCATAGTTCTCGTGTGGTTGATCTCTGCAGGAATCGGCGCAGCACCTCTCGGATTCGGTTTTGGATCGAAAGTGACCATAAACAAGTAAAATGAATGTTCAGAGATCCCATCCAACCTGAAATTCAGTTCAACCGGCCTGCCTGTCTGTGAAATGCGTCTGCCGTTGCCATACGCTATCTCGAGTTCGATGGTATCTTTCTTTTTACCGGCAATGGTCATGGTTATCCTATACACGAAACTCTATCTCTATGCTCGCAAACACGTGCGAAGCATCAAAACTCAACTGCAACAGGCCACTTCATTTCTGATAATGCAGCTTGCGTCGGAGAAGATTCGCGAGGTAATCCATCCGGTTTTATTTCTAGTTGCCATTCGCAGAATAGTGCACTGAAGAGTTTTTCCGAACGGTTTTGAAAACCTTTTTTGCATTCCATTTGAATGACTTTTGAATCAGACTAGAAAAGAATGGGTCTGATAGTTGCTGCTGAAAATTGTGCCCCACTAACAGTTTTTCGCAATTTTAACATGGAAACCTCCATTTTGTTTCGCTTATTCCTAATAATTAACCGCCAGCTTAGAATGCCAGCTTTCCGGGGCGTAGTTTGATTTTCGATTTCCATTTCGATTTCATTTCACGTGTTTAGTGTTGGTCGCCTACCGCCTAAACCCACCCTGAGTTTCTCGAACTCTTTTCTCTCTTCCAACCCATTCCGCCCCGACCGATTTTTTCCCTCTCTTTTTCGATCTGTTCGTTTCGCCCCTTCCACACCTGCATGCTTGTCCGCATGGCGTACTATTGTGCTTCCCAGGTAACCGCCGCAACTCTGAAGGGTGAAGCTCTACTTCCGCCCGACTCGCCGGCCACCGAACGAACTACGATGACCGTCTCGAGGCACTACTCGCGCCGTTCGACGACGACGACGACGACGGCGACACCGCGGCGCGGAGACCATATAACCAGCTCGCAGAATAAGGTTGAATCAGTGAGTTGTGTAGAAACCGTTCTCCCACTTATTCCTACCCCCACTATCCCTCAACTTGCCTAACACATCTATGCGAGTTCATGTTCACACTGGCACGATTCACTTCATTTACACTATCCTCCCGAGTTGTTCAGTTTTTGAAATCACTTTTCAAAGCCAGTAAAGTGAGAGTGAATTTGAATTTGCTGTGACGTGTTTATGACAGTTTATGTTTATTTTCCGTTCCAACCTACCCGAAATTAGAAACAACAAAGATAAAACAGTCAATACGATAGAGAAGTATTTGAGAACAGAAACAATTGGTGTAATACTGTCCCTATATTAGATGCAATAGCTTACTATTTTCTATCTTGATTACCTTTTCTTTCAATGCGAGCTACATCGAGAACTTGTCAAATCGTTACGTGTCACACTTGCTCGTTGGCCATACTAATCAGGCTTTTTGAAGCTTTTTGCTCTTTGGTTCAAAATGCACATTTTGACACTTTTCATATTTTTCAATCACTTAGTTCATTAGTTTTTTTTCTTGTCAAAGTGTGCATTTTTGCTTCAGCACACCACTTTGAGTTGAGTGCCGCTTACCCATGTTTTTCAGATCCGTTCGTCAATTTTTACAAAGCTGAACTTCTTGTGTCCTGCCAGGTTCAAGAGCCAACGATCCCCTCAGGACCCGCATACTCCGGCCGCGCATAACCGTTCAAACATCAGTGACCAGAAAGCGCGGTTGGGCTGAAAGTGCGGGCTTGTCCTAACTATGATAGATTGTTTTGCAGACTGACTCTCGGTGTTATTATGGGAACGTTCTTAGTATGCTGGCTACCCTTTTTCACAGTGAATATCCTCCGAGCATGGCTCCCAGAAATATTCAGCAACAAAACTATCATGGTACTCCTACCAAAGTGATTTGTCTCAAATTCAAACATTTTCAGGCAGTTACATGGCTCGGATATGCCAACTCCTCAGCGAATCCTTTAATCTACAGCATTTTCAATAGAGATTTCAGACGGGCCTTCAAGAAAATCATTGTGAAAGTGTTTGGGTGCTGTTGGGAAGAACCCGATCTGAACAAGTCAATGTGAGCGTTTGTGGGGTAACTGGAATATGACTATTCATTCAGTTCGTCAAGATATGCTGCTCCGGACATCGAGCGTCGTCGTTCCTGCACAAGGTCTTCAGAATCCGCCCACGACAACAACAACGATGCAAATGCTACACGTTTGAATCTTCTCGCGAACAATAACGAAGAAACCATTCCGGAAGAACGATAACATTTTTTTTCTTATTCTTCTGTCTAGCCATCCATACAAATCTCGCAATCACCGGGTCCTGTCTTTTGATATTCATTCCGCATTTTTTTTGCAATTTGTATGTTCCTCCCTGTGTTTCGTAACAATCGTTGTCAACGGGATTTGGTCCGCATCCTGCACGGTCTGGATTCTTCTCCATTCCAGTCCCTTATTCTTATATTTTTCACTTACTCTGCTGCAATGAATCTTTTTGGGTTTTGTTTGGTCTATGATCTTTCAGATTTCCAAACCAGCACTTCCTCTTAAAGGAAAACTGAGAATCAAGTCTGAGAAGTTGATACCAGCTTATAGACAAACAACAATCTGGTATGTATTCAAGTTGGAAAGACGCCCGAATCCACTTCACATCCTCTTCCTTCAACCCTTTTGTGTCATGCATTTCCAGCTGTTTTTTCTCGCTTTTTCCTCAAAAACATTCATTTCACTGACTATCGAGAAAAAGCAATAATGGACACAAAGACATCGTGGAAAAGATTTCGGAAAAGCGGTCACATACAATCGGAATGTTGAAGTTATGAGAGAATGAGAACGGGGGAGATCTGTCACATTAGTCGGGTCGGGTAACAGGTTTTTGTGCAAAAACGACTCGTACGTCGATGCGATTCGACCGAGCAGTCAGAAAAGGAAAAAACTCGAATGACAGTTTGTGTGATAACTACAAATTTACCCAAAAAAAATAGAAATTATTATTATGACGATAGTGTCAGACATCCACTTTGTCGGTTTTCAGAAGAACATCGGCTTTCGGTGGTTTGGCTTGTTGGATCACATAATTGACTACCCAAATGTCCTTTATAAGCTTTCTGAAAACAAAAAAAATTTTCACTTGTGACCTTTGAATTCTCACTTGATCTCAGCATTATACTTGTAGTAGATAAATATGCGGATAGTGGACGAAAAGACAAACAGATTGGATCCCAGATCACTGATAATCACATAGAATGGCTGGAAGGCCCCGTTGCTGTCCTGCAATAGATTGTTTCGTTGGCCCGACTGCAGAAGTCACGCGGGCACCACTTCCCTAAGCTTCTATGATGAATGCAATAGTCTTAGCGATTGGTCATTTTTTGCAAGACGCAACTTTCACACGTGACAAGTACTTACAAGAATCCACGACCTTCGGAACGTTTCCAGAATGTAGAGGACAAAATTGACGAGATTGCAAGCCAGATAGGCAGAAATTATGACAACGGTGGTCTTGACTGCGCATCGGAGACGGTGCTGCTGCTCCCGGATTTCTTGAGCCGCTTGGATTCGAGATGTTGTGCTCTGAACGAGAAAATTTTGACAAGTTTGAGATGAAGTGTGAAGCATTCAAAAGGGATCATTCCGGGATGAATTGAAAAGCTAGCTGAATGAAAATTGGGGTCAGAATAAGAAACTTTCTGATCTCGGTGATATAACTGAAAACTACATGCTTTGAGGAGTGAATTGGTTAGCAGTCCCTTAAAAACAAGCCGGTTTTCCTATCTTCTCCATCCAAAAAATGCGGGATGTTTCTGTTGATTTGATTACCGGCTACTTTGCCGAATGGGTTTGCCCTTGAGCAAAAAATCGCCTCCCCCGTCCACCTTCCTCATTGCGTTGCAATTTCCTCTCTCTTTCTGAGGTTTCCAACCAAATTTTGCTCTTTTGATTCTCTTCTATTCCACGGAACGATGAGCTAAAGCGAAAAAGCCATGCATCAAGCTGAGAATCATCTCCAATGTCTTGTTTTTTCTCGGTAACTATGCCTAGTTCTTATGATAACGAAGTACCCGGTTTTCAAGTGTTTGCGTTGAGTTGGGGCCGACTGGCGTCAGAATCGTAATTGAGTCAGATCCCAGGAAATTTCTGAAATATACCGAGAAGAGCTGAGCCGGCGAAGTAGACTGACGACGGGTTTTACGGTGCTGCACACGAAGTTTGGCAACGACGACGATGTTGAGAGCACAGAGAAGGACGAAAGAGACAAATGTGTGGAAGAACTGAAGAGCGATTTGTCTGTGAAACTGTGAAAATCTGCTTTCATACCGTCAAAACGTTCTCGAAAGTTGTCCACTTTGCCTGTTCCTCTTGATGAGAGCTGAGCCATTTTCGATGGAAAAAGTCGCAGTTCTCATCGACGTCAATGAAAAACAAGTACAACCCGTTAATTCGCAATGCAGTCGCCGTTCCCAACAATAGGAAAATGACCCCCACTCGCAAGCGAAGGGAGAATCTGAAAGAGATGGCCGTCATTGAGGTCCGCCGGATAATAAACGTGTTGTGAGCCGGTTTATTAGGTGCAATCGGCTGTTGCGCCCACTCTTTGTCTCTGGTTTTATCACAGGCTATATCAATTATCCGAGTTCTTTGTAAAAGCCATCAAATCACATGAAGAACTTAGATATTTTGCTTGTGTTACAAACTTTCTAATTTCAAAAATCTGTGTTTCACGTACTGGCTTTCGCAATCTTTCCCAAGTATCATTGCTAGTTTCTCCGCAGAATTTGCGATGAGCGTGTATGGAATAGAAAGTTGGACGATCCGACTCATCACAAGAGTCACCACATTGCTGTCCATCACAAAATTGTAAAGGAAGGCTATAACACGAACATTTCTAGTATGTAAAAAAGCGATAAACCGACCAATTTTGTATTCGACGGAGAGCGAGAGCAGTCCGAAGCAATGGATATAAAGTGCACAGAGCATGAAGTCGAGAAACGCCAAAAACGTTTGGAATGGATAACTCCGTTGCGTTTTTCCCATGAAGATGTATAGAAGAACACCGTTGAATATGCATCCTAGTACGGAGAGACACGTTCCAATGCTGAAAATTTCAGTTTTAATTTTGAGAACAGAACATCCAGAAACATCCAAAGTTCGTTTAGGCCCAACACAACTCGATTTTCTTTTTTTGTTTTGTTTTGGGACGGCTTAATGAAAAAACGCCAAAATGAAATACAATTAAATCTGTTATTGCGGAATCAGCATCTCGGGTTTGCCGTAAAACCTACACGAAAACTCCAATTTGAACATCGGCCTTATCTTTATGAGATTTTCTCCGTTTTTAAATTTCCTGTCCTGGTTGTCAAAAAGTTAACGTAATTGTTCAGTCAAAATATTTGAAGAAAGGTTTTGAGTCACTCGGATTTTTGGCGGGTTTAAAAGTGACGACTCGGAGCGTTCTCCGCTTTTTCTTTTTCCTTTTCCTTTTTATTTTAACTGATGTCACGTGTGATATATGTGCAAGTCTGGGGCAAAGCACAACGTCGTTTTTAGGCAAGAAGAGACAGAAGAAAGAGGGGTACTCGTGGTAATGGATGATATTGAGACATGTTAGGCCCGGTAGCTTAGCGGCGATTCGACAAAATCGGTAGTGGCGTGACGAGGAAGAAAAAGAGTCGCACTGGAATTGGCAGAAAAACGGAAATTCCGATTTGAAACTTGTCAGAATGATGGATGAACCTTCACTTTTACCGAAATGTTTTGACCTGCTGACGTGGCATTTCAGAGTTCAAACCGGCCACTTCCGCCCTTAAAAGCCGAAGAATTCAAAAAGACCCATAAATGTTCCTAGTGTTCTCCAGCTTTATGTTCCCTAAAGAGTTATCAGCAATCGTGTGACATGCTTCATCCAAAATGTAATCGAGTTTTTTGGTACATCTTCCTCTTTTCGCCAGAATGTTGCAAATTGGCTTGTTCTTCTTCGACGCCCAACCTTCGCTCATTGATCTCATCGGAAGAGAGGCACAAAACATTTCCTCTCCGCCCGACGTGCTCCTTGAATGACCGAATTCTTCATTTGATGGTGCACTTCGCATTTGCATATAATTAAACTCGGCCCTCCCATTTTTTCTCCCATCGGGCGTGCAACATCTTTCAAAACAGAAGCACAAGAGTTCTTTCCGCTGAGATTTCCGAACGGTGCCAAGGAAAAATGATGAATCTGATCAGATCAGATAGGAAAAGCATTTCGAGAGCGTCTTTTGATCGTGCCGTTGCTCCCGCTCACCCACGAGTATCTCCATCTTCCATAAATTTTCGTCAACACGTACGACCATTCCAGGCGACGCGGACGGAGTCCAAACAAAGGATAACTAATTTCATGTTCATTTTGGGACGATGTTTGAACGACCACCCCGGATGTGGGACGATGGATTAGCCGTGGCGTCGGCAATACCCTCGACACGAGTTGGCAATGCGAATATGAGCCGAAGAGAAAAAGTTATCAAGCGAACTGATCAGACGGCTACATACACTTCACGCGTGATGTTTTTTTGCAAAAAAAGTTTCCCCGATATCTTCTTCAGCGAAGTGCAACGAAATAGACGAAATCATTACAGTTGCAAGAACGCGTTTTACTTTTTTTTACGTGACATACCTGATGAATGCTATGCGAAGTTGGGAAGTATCATCACAGAGCGAGTAGTTTGCTGCCGGCTCTTCGAGAAAGTAGTCGTTCTCCAGAAATGTTTCCGGGGACGTCTCCATATTTCGGACCGTTTGTTGGTACCCTTTAAAAAAGTGAGGTTGAAATTAGAGGTCACAAGGCGAGAATTGAGAAGAGGTAGAGTGCATTTGAATGATGGATTGGACGGGCTTGCCGGCCAATGTTTCAATCTTGTCCGAACAAAAATGATGAAGTACATGGAATTAATATTGTAGAGAAAGCTTTGTTACAGCAGCTACCTGAGTTATATCGGGATTAGATGCGGGGGTGCGACCGGCTTAGCGACAAGGCTCATACATTTCTAATTTTTTCCGACTTTTCAACTCGTCACTTCTACCCGTCAAAAAGTGTTCGTTCGCGGAAAAAGCAATTTAGGACGTTTGCCAACGTTGCGAATTTTGGCAATACCGTATACCAGGAAAGAGCAAAGAGTGTTCAAGAGGCTGTCAGACCCGGGAAGTATTGTTGGTTTTGGCCAGAAGTGCTAGCGAGCAACACTGAGCCGGCAGCTGGTAGGCGTGGCTTAGGAAGAAGCCGGCGGGCAGAAAAAACTTGCCAAGACTAGGCGGTGCTTACGTTGGTTTTCAATGTTTAAGGCAGACGGGGGATGGAAACCCGGCTGAGAAAATGAATTTGTAAGGGATGCAATGGCCGGACGCCTCTCCGAGCACACAGAATAATTATTTTGTTATCATAGAGGAAATCAAGAAATTTTCAGCTTGATTCATAGTATTCGGAAGCTAGAGACGCACTTTACTCCCATTTTCTGATATGAAACGGAAACAGATGACGGTGGAGATCAAACAATCATAATCTTTTTATTAACATTCCAGGAGAGACCAGAATTGCAACAAATTCAGAGAAAAAAAGGGAAAAGCGAGAAAGAGAAAAGAAAGTTGGGCCGACAGAGTAGCGCTTGTTGGAGTGGATGGTCTTGTCAAAATTAAAGTCTGGAGAGGTTTTCCGATCAGAAACTGAACGGAATACAAGATTAAAAATGAATTGGCAGAACTGGAAATGTTGCTGAAAAAGAGAGCGTCGTTGAGAACTTTTGTATCCTCTAATGAGTTCTGCTCGTAAACACGACGTCGCCAACAGCGGGTGGCTGACTCTTCACGTGAGGTGAGCCAAACCACAATTTCACAAACCGCGTATGAACACGTCGTTGTCTGACTGATACCGGAGGAAATTGAATCGGATGTCGTTAGATTTGAGGATGAAGCAATTATAAATGTGCGAGAATATGAAAAAGATGTGAAAGAATGAGCAAAGATAAGTTCAAAGAAAAGACAAAAGTTCAGTAGAGAAAAAGTAGTAACGTGCACGCTAATTCACCCAAAAACTGCTGGAGAATCTCAACTCTTCGGGCAAAGTACCTACTTAGAAGACTGAGAAGGGGAAGACAAAAAACACAGAATTTTTGTTTGCAAAACTAAGAGCGGGCCCGAAAAGATTGTTGTCCTCCTGGTCCGCAACGCTTTATTTGTTCGCTTCTTCAAATGGGAAATTGAGCAGGTTTCTAAAGGGCACAAGAAAGAAAATAAGGTTAATACAAAGCCACGTGATGTCACTTCATCTTGGGGTCCTGGTGCCTCTTCATTTAATTTCATAACACGAGATCGCTGTCGTGTCAAGAAAAGGCGGTGTCCATCCAATAATGGTACATATTTGAGTGGCAGCTATGAGCTTTCTTTGTCAAGAAGAGAAAGAAAAGGTTTGAGAAACAGGAAACGATGTTCTCCAGACTATGTATAAATGAGCGTGGAGGACGCCAACTTATTACTAGGGGAGATAAATGGACAAACGTGAAAACAGACTATTTTCCGAGCGCCTCTCCTCGCCTTTTTATCCGGACCACACTCTCCACTTCCACAGCTATTTCTGATCCGAACTCTATGCAATTTCAAGGGGGCTGCTCAGAGAAAATGGAAACTAGACGGGAAACTTATGAGTGTAAACTAAACGGTAAATTGAATCACGGATGACTGGACTTTCGAGTGAAATGAAAAAACACCGAAAAGAACGGCTTCTGGCAGCGAAGAAGAGAACGGATGGAGCAAAGAAGTGAATGACGTGAGCCGACGGAGCACAGCGAATAATTTGTGGGCCATATCAGAAACTGGCAAACGTTTTTGATTAAGACTATGTATGCAGAGCGGAACTAATCTGGCTTTGTAGTATGATATTATTCCGCATGAGAAAAAAATTAAGAAGCTGATTTGATTTTCTTTGAGCTCGAAGTTATAATATTGAGCAGCTGAAGTCCTTGTTCAAATTTCAGATGATCGTTGATTTTTAAGAAATATCAGGCGAGGAGTGCACAACTAAATGAGTTTTTGTTGAGATGAGGTACCAACAGTTTGAATGTTTGAATGAAGGACGCTCGTGACGCCATATCACTAGTTTTCAGCAGGAAGAGAGAGAGAGAGAGAGGAAGAGAGAGTGTTCATTCGAAAAGTTCATCTCCCCAATCCATCATGAAACATTCTCAAACAAGATTATTGGTCTTTCTATCCTCTTTCTCGTTTTCCCATTTTGTTTCTAGAAATGAGCGAGTCCACTCTGATTTCGAAAAAAAAGGAACTCAACCCGAGATACTTATGACGTTTAAGCCAACAAAATGAAGCCCGGCGAGACAAAATCGGCCGGAAATTTGATTGTGAAACGATAAGTGGACCTCACCTGGACGATATAATCGGAATCAAATTGCTCTGAAACTTTGGGAAAGTGCTTGGCGCAGAAAAAATAAAGAGAGAGAAAAAGTTATGCAGATGAATGGGCTAAAATCAGGGTAATCAACGCACTTGCAACACGAGAGACGGACGGGAAGTTGTAAACGTGTTTTTGGTGCAATTAGTGTGGCTGGACAGGAAATGCAACAAAAAAAAGAAGAAGAAGAAGAAGAAGCAGAAGTAGGAAGCGGTCATTCTGAACAAAATGTTTGCACTTAACACAACTTTCGTGGATTAGCAGGGCAAAGAGCAACTCTACTCTATTGTTTATTCAATGAAAATTTGATTTTGTTAATTTATTCTGAAAATCAGCGCACTTCTTCCTGTTTGCGCTTGCCTACGTCAACCGCTGAAAAAATAAAAAAAGGATCTGAACTATCAGATATGAGCAGAGCAGGCGTGACGTTTACTATAGGGATATACTATAAATTTCCGATAAAAATCTTTATGAAGGGTATGAAAAGAGATGCAGAAATAGGCATGAAGCTCCAAAGGACCGTCGAGAGGTCGGAAAACACCGACAATCTCTGCAGAAAGCTATATCAAGAAAATCGTGAGAGCAAGAAAAAAGTCTGGAATCTTTGAAGCGGACAGAAAATGGCTTATTGTGTGGTCGAGTGGTACTCTACTTTTTCTCACCAGTAGCGGCCCGATAAAAACAAAAAGTGATCAAAACGCTACTTGAAACGTTGAGGAACTAGTTGAGAGCACCTACTCAAGATCCACTCAATCATAAAACGGACGTTTCATAACTGCAGACTGCACCCTAGTGTCGCCGGACGAGTAGCACAGAAAGTTGGAGACAAACGGAACAGCAGACGACGATCTGAACGGGCAGGAAGTACGAGGAGGGGACAGAAAAGGGTGAGTTGAATGAGACATCTCTGAGAAGTTCAATCCATTCATCTTTTCTTTTCAGTTCCGGGAGATATGTCCGACTCTAGAAATGGCGAAAAAAGTAATTTGAAAGTTTTGCGAACTAGTGGCACAGGTGAATTTTATAGTGCATCTCGACTCCATCTGATCTTTCGAATTGGGAATAGCGCAAGAGTTCTGGCCATTTGGAACCGCGCGACACCTGTGATTACTCTCCGATTCCCCTTCGACAATGTCCAACCCGTTCGCAGTGAGCGGCGTTGTCTTTCCGACAAACCACGTCGTTCTGCGTCTCTAATTGCCCTCGCGAGGTGCCCACCTTACTCGCCTAGCAGTCATTCGGTGTGTGTGGGGGTATAGCTCAGGGGTAGAGCGCTCGCTTTGCATGCGAGAAGTCTGGGGTTCGATTCCCCATACCTCCATAAACCTTTTCTGTTTTTTTTACGGCTCTCGTAACTTGCATTTAATCAGGACAAAATAATTTAAAGATGTACAGCACCAGAAACAAAATATTGGTATTTAGACCTTTTTTTTTCGGAAAATTGTTATGCACTAAAACTCGGCTTGGCGCAAGACATGAATTCTCCATTCCGAATTGTTTCCAAAATTAGTTTCAAAATGCAATGCATGACTTGCGCAAGTTCGAAATCCAGAAAACTGATGTTTTCATCTCATTTCAGTGAAACCAACGATTATTTTTTATTTTCAATCTCCTCGATGCCCTTTTCGCCTGCTTTTTTCCAATTTAGTCCATGTCGTGATTGAATTCATAACACCTGCCTTGAAATTCTGATCAGACGAAATGTTCACTCCCCCCACTTTTTTAAGGGGTCAATTTCACGTTCGCATTAAAACTGGTACCGAGAACTTGTATTATGCTAGCACAAAGTGAATAAAGAGGTAAGAGTACGAAAGATTGGGCCTACGAGTAAATATGAAACGAAACGAATGGAATGTGTGGCAAATAAATTAAGCACAAAGTTTTAAGAAATAAGTTACGAGTGTAGTGTGAGTATTGCTCCAACGGGATTGGTTTTGAAAAGCAAAAGTGAAATTATCTGACAAATACATAGAGGCAAAACTCTGAAAAGGCGGGGGTGGGGGGCGTGCGGTTATTCGTGGCATTGGCACATAAATGCTACAAGAAAAAGGGTATCGGGTGCTGCTCTGTGATCACTGCGACAAAATACAGGTTACACTTTTCACAGTTTCTGTAAATATCTGACTTAGAAAATGCTCTCAACTAAACTAACAATAAATTACAACTAAAAACCGATAAATATTTCCTAAATAGAAATTTGTGGAATTGATTGTGTATGACAATAAAAAGAAAATGTGAGCAATTGGCGTGTGGTGTGAGCGGGCGGACAGAACGCGACGATCGAAGGAACTGTGATTAGCATCTCGTCTCGTACAGGCCGGATCTTCCAATGTACCGGACCCATTTGATGACGTCGTGGTCCGAATAGTTCAGTTTCGGTTCGAAAACCTTCAAGTAGCGCACTTTGAGACCAGACGGCGCAAATGGAACCTGCAAATTGAGTTTGTTTGAGAATTGCGGTCTGCAAAAAACGAGTGCCGTACCTCGAAGTTCATGCTCACTGGGGGTCGGTTCCACTTTTTCTTCTCGACGTTTCCAGTCGAGAGAAGATCGATTTCAGCCGAGATTTGGCTTTCCTTCATTCCAGCCATGCGCTTGATCCTACAAACAAATCATTAAGATTGAAGCCTTAAAGACCGCCAAATCTTTTCGAGAAAACTGTTTTACACCAGATTGCACGTTGCATAAGGAAGCCACAAAACTAGTTATTTTCAGACTCGCATTTTCAATCATAGCCCGGTCAGTTCGACAGGCTGCAACTTGGTCCTAAAATTTGTTTGAAAGTTGGCGGAGTAATAGATTGCAACATTTTAGCAACCTTGCTGCACGCGCTTTTTATTTTTTACAAAAACTTTTGCTCAAGTCGTAACTCCCGGACCGACCGGCTGAGACTCTTTCAAGTCCTGTTGAATCTTCCCCCGGATCCCGCCAACAAATATTCGTACAATGGCGCTCGCGTGTGGGGCCTCCAAACTTCCCGCCAATTTCCCTGATTGCTTTCTTCTTCGCTCTCCTCCTTCTTCTCTTTGGCCCCCGCCACAATTTTCTTGTCTCCCTTTCCCTCTCAAATGCGGCATCTTCCTTGCCCCCGACTCGCTCTAATCCGCCGAGAGCGAGCACCCCCCGAGACTCACTTCCACACGATGGCATTCTCGCCCGCCTTGTACTTGGCCTTTCCTTTCATGCAGATGAGTTGCACGCCCGAAGTGTTCGGTGGCGTCGGGATGCGCACCTCGATTTTCTGGGCAAGAAGCGAGGGCTTGAAGTTGGACTTGACGACGACCTGAACGATTTTAACTGGACTTGTGGAATATTGGACTGGAAACTCCGGACCTTGACTTCCATCTTGTTGCGCGAAACTTCGCGAACCAGCGGGATGACACGGAACGGCAGTTGGATGTCCTTCGTGGTGCGATATCTCATCAGTTCGTACTCGCCATCCGGTGGGATGAAGGAAATCGCGTGCTCCGTCTCGAATTTCGTAAGCTTGACGCATTGGTGGAATTGACAGTCGTCAATGGCCACGGCGGCACGGCTTCTGCAAACAAGAGGGTATCAGTTTCCTGACGAGAAACCGGATTTGTCGCCCCAAACGTACGCTTTATTCGGATCGTCGCTGCCGGGCTTCGACTTGCCCTCGATCGTGATTTTGTCGTTGATTCCGAACTTGCACTCTGGCATTCCGCTCAAGTACGACTTCATGGCAACCTTTCCGGCGACATGTGCCGACAGAACCTGACCTGAAATGGATATTTTGTGTTTATCGGATTAGCTTTGAATTAACGCACCTTGTTGGTTCATGAGCAAGTTCACGTATTCAATGACATCGAGGAAGAGCTCGTTTCGACGGTACTTGATTCCCTCGCGACGCCATCCAATCTGTCCGGTCACTTGAGACGTGATCTGCGACTGCTCCTCTTTCGTCTGCAATACAAAACAAATCCCTTGGGTAGTGTTATCGAGATTCGGGTACAAATGTAGAGGCGGATACATATTAAGTACCCCGGATTATTGGATGCTCAGGCGAGATATGATGGTCAACAAAATAATTTCCTGACATGATTCACAGTGTTTTTTCAGGAAATCGCATGATCACAACTAAAGTTTGTCTCACAAACAAGGACATTCCTGCTAACTAACAACCACATTCACAATACTGAAGCTTACCACTGGAACCGGTGTATCCTAAAATCGTTTAAAAATGTATTATCGAAAATGTCCAACTTATTATGGAATTGCTTTGAGAAACCAACAGAAAAGCGTTCACTGACCGCTGTTCGGACTCCTTGCTGCGTGATGAACGTCTTGAGCACACCAGGATCCGTGTTTTGAGGATATCCAAAGTCTAGTATTTCTGAAAAAAGATTATGACGTACGGCAGCTTATTTCTCCTGTTCTCACCATCCAGTAACTCATAAATTAGCACAAAATTATTCTTCACATTTTCCTCATTCAGCTTCCCGAAGTACGATTGCATTGTGTCCGCAAATCGTTTCAAAAACTGAAAAAAATATCGTCACTTGATGATTCCCTCATTTGACGTGGATACCTCAAAGACCATAGCTGCATTGACATTTTGCCGCGTCACCGCGCAAATCCATACATTTCCTCGCTTCACGTGGAAAAATGAAGTTCGAGCCATGTTGGTGACCGGCGAACGGACTTGCTGCCGAGCGTGAATGACGTTAACACGGAAGGCGTCGACTGCATTCCGTCTGAAACTATTCATTGGTTTAATCGGAAATCGCCGCCGCCCCGGTTGAATCGAAAATCGATAATCCCTCGGCTGAATGTTGGATTATCTGGGTCAACTAAAAGATCAGAGCTCAAAAGTGTCCCCACACTGACCGATACGTTTGTTCCCTTCGGAGAAAAAACTATACATCTCTTGGGTTTTCGAAGAATTTTTCATTTTTCACACGCGTCTTAAATGAGAACAAACACACGATGTCAAATGGGAGAAATGCAGCTGCACACCCTTTTCATTCAGTCGTTCGTTCCATTCTCATTTTATTTTCCCAACATTTGTCGAATGGAAATTCGTTCCCATTCGACATTCGACGCCGCCGTGTGCCATGCCATCATTTTGTCCTGATAAACAAACAAACAAACTCACGTCACATCGTCTCGATATATTCTTGAAATTAGTACTTCTCCTTTGTGGTTGTACACGAACAATCCACCAATCATGCCCGAGTCCGCTGCAAATGACAGTTATTGGAAATTAAGCGAAACGAGGTTCGAAAAAAAAGAGATGATATTGCGGTGAGATATTGAAAGTGTCAAAAGTATCGGTATTTTTTCGTGCGGTTCAATGTCCAAGTTCAGAGAAGTCGCCAAAACTGGTCCGCAAGAGCGCCCTTCAAAATAGGCGTGCGTTGCGGTCGCGTCGCAGCCTACCTCATCCTTCATTCGCTGCGCTATTTCGTCATATGTTTGGCGAGAGATTGAGAGGGATGTGAGAAGGCAGAGAGTAGGAGGGGGAGACGCTCTGACTACGACGCTCACATTTCTTGTGTGCCTCCTCCCTTCTACCTCTCTCTCTCTTTATCTCGTTTGTTTGAATGTTGCATTACATAGCACAGTTTCAAAATTATCGTCTTCCGATCTTCAGGTTTGTCAACCAATTCAAGAAGCTATACAGTATTTGGAAAAGAGAAAAGACCTCTTTGCCAACCGTCAAACAGTGTGTTGTTGACATACATGCCCCTGTACAGTCCTCTCTTTTTCCTTCGCTCGTACACTCAAAAGTTTTTCTAATCGATCGCATTTTTAATGCACAAATTTGCCTTTTTCTTGCCACTCTGCTGGGAAAACAGTCCCCAAGCAATGAAATTTGCGCGAAGAGCGAGTCATAATGACTCAGAACAGCGGAGAAAACAGAAGAAAGAGGAGAAACCAACGCGAGGATATTGTCTTGAATGGCATGATGTGGACTTGCCGCAACGGTGCGCATGCCGCACGGCCGAGGGCCGTGACCTCTTGGAATTCTCGGCCATTGACGTGCATCCGTTCGCGGCACAGGTATTAGCAACCGCACACATTTGTCATCGCCCCCGGGTCCTTCGCATTTTCTCTTTTTCCTGACGCTCCTTTCTTCTTTTTCTTCCGACACACTTGTATGGCGCGTGACGTGCTTGAGAATTCTGGAATTTAATTCTGACAAACTGCTCGCTTTTGTAAGTGAAATCGTCAATTCAGATTCACGCTCTTCTCGCAAAAATGAAAAATCTGTTGAAGTTCAGTTCGCGATCAAACAGACGCTAATCTTTGTGACTGTGGGCGTGTGATTTCAATGATGTCCCTCTCCGTCAATTTGATTTGCATTTTTTGAAAAACACACTTTCAGTCCGGTGCTGTTCATAAAAAGTGGAATTGTTTGTTTGAATTGAATACTGTTCTGTTGTGACGTACTCATTGACGATAGCTTCGTGCGTTTCGACCAAAAATAGGGGCCAATGGGGGAACGATTATCGTATTAAACCCGAAAAACCACAGTTTCTAACTCTCAATGAAACCCGCGGGCGGGCGCGTTCAATTCGTCTTTCTAGATGACATTAAAACAAACTGATATTAATATATGCATTCTTTGTCAAGTATAGTCCCCCCTCCCTCTCCCTCTCCCTCCACATTTCCCTTCTTTTTGCCGCTTTCTTTCACTTCACCAGAAACCGGCTTCTACATAATCGATTTGAAAGGCTAAAATGACTAAAATGCCTAAATGGGTGCTAGATTTTAGTTGGTTAGTCGTTTCACTGACTGTACTTGTGCCCGTTTAACGGCTAGCCCAATTCTCTTCTTTTTTTTTGTCTTTTTTTTGGCTGACAGTGGTTGACGTCTAGATTCTGCAGATAGTCCCGGCGAAGAAAATCACCTCGCATAAGTGAAGTTTTCGATCTCCTCATCTCACTTCCGATTCACTAAAACACCATGTGACCGAGTTCTTTTGGTGTAATCGAAAAACCAGACCAACGCTGTCCTTTCGTGATAAATAACAAAAATACTTCTATCTGATTGTTGTCTCCTCCCAGCACACAAACAACAGATCTTTGTCAAGAGGCGTGTGGGCAAGATTGAAAACTCCGAAAATCCACAAACATTTCTGTTTTTATTTTCTGTTTTCCAATTCTCTTTGGAGGTTAGTATTGAAAAATAGGAATCCCCTAAGGGCGCGATAGCATTCCGAGAACTCAGACCTCTCTGAAATCCTTTCAGTCCACACGCCCTTTCCGTGCCACACCACGCTGCATGCACCCGTCAAAGATCGGTCCGTCTGACGTAACCTTTAGCCTCCTGTTCGGCCGCCCGCTGCCCCTCCTCTCCTCAAATAACGATGGGGCGTTTCAGTACCAGGTTCCACTGTGCCCGTTTGTCTCAAAATGTGCCAACCTTTTGTTCGGCACCTATCGTAAACAATCAAGTCGTCATGGAACTGCGGTTCAGTTCGACGTCATAACCACCTCGTACCACTTTCCTCGTTCTCCATTATCATTTTCCGCGGAAACTTTTCCTAGGCGTTCGCTCAGTTTCTACAAATCTTCCTCTCGTTATCATTTTCTTGTCATCATCGAACGACTTGAATAGGGCGGAGGGGCCTCTATGACTACTCATCGCATTTTGAATTACATTTTAACGGCTGTTTTTCTGCTCCGCCTCCCATTTTTTATTTCTTTTTTTTTCACTGGCTCAGTTCATCCTCATTTCGCTCGAACTCATCAATGACCAATGTGCTCATAAAATAGTACACAAGCACTCGGACTCATTGTGCCTCTCTGCTCCTCCTCTGCGTTATCACGCCCATTCATCAAAGCGGCTCATTCGGTCGACGATCCTGTTTTGGTTCTTTTCCAGCTTCCTCCTCTGCTGTCTCTCTGCGGTGTTTGCTTGCTTTGTCTCTTTCTTCTTTCCTTCCGTCCGTTTTTTTGTCGAACATGCCTCCGTTCCTACCCGAAATTCGTCCTCGCACCTGCATGTCTTGTGCCCTCTTTTCTCATTTACACCCTAAGTCTCGCACACACAGCCATCTAATGACGTGACAAGTCGGCCGTTGACCTTCAGCTTTTCCGTCCAACACCCGATATCGATGCCATTTTGTCTTGGATAAATTTGAGCTGAAGAAACAAATCGACTTCGACTTACGTCAAAATTTGCAATTCAAAAGAGGCTCTCCCCGAATGCACAATCTGCTGTCTGCCTGGACTTTCGGTCTCTTCTTGTAACCATGCATTTGTGGCAAGGAAAGAAGAAGAAGAAGACGAACCGATTCACTCTTTTTCTTCTTTCCTCCACTTTCATGACTCATTCGCAATTCTTTTCGTACGAAGAAATAACAAGCAGAAAAAGGATACATTTTTTGTGGTCTTGAGAGCAAGCTCTTATGAAAACTCACTACTTCGCAGTAGATCCCAAATTTTTTCCGCTCGCATTTCAAAGAAAGCAAACACACTTCGACCCCCATCCACCTCCCAGTTTAGTTTTTTTGAGAACTGCCCAGACCAGACGACAACTACAAGGTTAATGGGACCAAGTGCCGTTTTTCCAGCACACGCAAACCGAAAAAAAAACGGAAGAGCCAGAATTCCAATTTCATTGAGATGTCTATCTTTGTGTGAGTGTGGATGTTTTCCCATTTCCGCTGTTGTCGCTTCTACTCCTAATTTCGATTTGCGCACATTGCGGAACAAAAAAGAAGAAGAAGCCGTATGTCCGTCCGTCCGTCCGGAGAGCGGCATTGATGCAAATATGGGAAAGAGAGGGGGAGCGAGAGACGCGATAAACTGATATTCATAGCACGAAAAAGCAATGTCGCTTCGGGCCGCTCTCTTATCATGTTTGCTGTCCAGATAGTCTGATAAAACCTTCACCCCCCCCCCACCTCCTCTTCAGTATTTTCATCTTTTCGTTTCGTTTCTGGAATCATCGATAGAGGGAGGAGAGACGACTTGACAACTTGGTTTTTCATTCCAACCCTGTGTTCATGTTGTCTGTTTTCCCCTATTATCTTTTCTTTCGGACTGGTTTCCTTTGTAATTTTCACATGCTCACTCACGTTTTTTTGTTTTCTTCTCGTTTTTCCTACAGATTCTCAACTAATCCCTTCTTTTTTTCAGCGCATTTCGGTTCAAGACTCAGCTAACGATGCAGTCTTTCCGGAAAATTTGGAATAAACCTCGTCCGGATGACTGGATGCCATTGGCCAGATTCTACTACGCGGATTCGGCACTGAACGATATCGGTAAGTTGTTCGCGAAATTCTTTTGCATGATCGCGATCATGTCCAGCTGGCTAAACGTCCTTCCATGTCCCTATCCATTAATTATAACGTCAATTCTCCCATTGATTGCGGTTTTTGAAAGAAGAAAAATGACCGATAGGTAGCCGGATAGAGTTGGTTGACGGAACAACAATTAGATTAGAGAAGCAGCAAGATGGAAAACTAATCCTAGAATATTTTTGCTTGCTGACTGACGTACACGGCCTCAGGCATAGGAACTTCATCTCGTCAAGAGGGGAGCTCAGTGCGGGACGCGAACAATGACCGAAAGCGGCGGATTGCGTGTTTGCACAATCTCCGCCGCTCCTTCTCCAGTCGAAGCCAATCATTTTCGTATTATGAAAAGCCATGACACGTTGAACAAATTTCCGTATTGGCCAGAAGAAAGCCTGGTTTAGAAGGGGGTTGCATCACATTAATAATCCATTTTGTTTTTGCAAAATCTTGGCAAACAGATAAGGTATCGGTAAATACTTGGACTCCTCTCATTTCTCACAATATTTCTATTTACCTTGAAGAAACGGTCGTCGGCCGTCAAAATGATAGTGAGAAAGCCCAAAAAATTGAGTGGTTTTGTTTTCAACGCGGCAGGGCAGAAATGGGTCAAGTTCCACGTCAACTGTCGAATGCATTCCCTGTTTGGCATCTTCTAGTCATTAACTACCGGGCAGCCACACATATACACTGTACAAAAACAAAATAGTACCTATGATAACACACAATACACGTTTGTTTGGAATTTCCTCATTACGGGTTGCGTGCACGATGATGGCAGTTTGTCACAAAACATGGGCAAATGGCAGACTTTGGAAAATTTTTAATAATCAGGAAGAAAACGGTTAACGTGCGATAATGTTTGATGCCTTCGCAGCAATATATGTACATTTTTCAGCGAGTGAACTCGATTCGTTCGATGGAAGACGGGATCCGGACCGATGCAATGCGCTCGTCACCAGACTTCGTGTTGCTCAAGATCGAGTTTTGCATATCATAAGTGAGTGAGCGACCAAAACAGGAACCCAAACCGCTCGCGTTTCCCAAGCAGCATTCACGCTGTTCCGTTTCTTGTTTTTTGAACCGCTTTGTTGGAAGCATGCATCTGTGCGGTTCAGCGAACAAGTAGAGCAGAAACGGCGAGCAGAAAAGTGCACACCGGCAAACGAATGACTCGTTAGCGCACGCGTACTTGAGCTGTCGTCACCAATGCACTTTTTCAGATAGAACTTCCTTGAATCGAATTGTGGCTTCCTTTCTTCGCTCACGAATGTCTAATGAATGCACTTTCATAGAACTCGATGAAAGTGCAAGTTTCGCGCGAGAGTAGTTCTTAACTTTTGGACACAAACCTATTTTCCCGGAAGAAAAAAGCGCGGAATAGACTGGCGGCTACGAAGAACATAAATATTTGTCGAGTTCTCAAGATTTTTGACCACTAAGCGTCAGACAAACACTATTTTTTGAAGAGAAAGAGACTTTGCGGCGCTTTACACACTAATGAAAAAGAGGGATATTCGAATAATGTTTTAAATTATTTTCAGCCGAGATGCTGGTACACTTGTATCCGAGGGAACAAGACCGTGCTTGCCGTGACTTTCGCATCAAATTTCCCGATGAGATTCTGCACGACACACTGCCAGGACAGCTGTGGTTTGGCGCTGAGGTATTGTTGTTGTTCTTAGGCTCAGATAACTGCGTTGCAAAATGACCAGTCTTCAAACTGAGAAAAAGCTTTGCTGCCATCACTGGTATGAAAAAGAATGAAACTTGGATTGCAGTGCCTGTCCGCCGGATCCAACATCATCGATCATGAGACAGAGTCTGATATGATTCGTCCACTTGCCAAAGAGGTGACAAAACAGCTCGATCTGCTCAGAGATCTGCTCAAGGTTCGTGATTGACAACTGACAAATATGATTTAACAAAATTATAATTTCAGAATCAGTCGCTGCGTGATCCTTCAGCTTATAATCCAGTGATCAAAGAGAATTTGCTGAAATTCGACAAACTCTTCGCAGAGTTCGAGTATCAGTACGTCTCGGCGATGGTTCCGGTCAAATCGGTGAAGGAGCACGACTCACAGCTGGACGTCGCCGTTCTCTTCTCAGAAGTTTTGTCGTTGGCGCTCACGAAGGATCTCATCACACAAGACCTGATTGACTACTGTGATCCGTCCGTGATGATTGCCATTCCAAGACTTGGCATCGTCTGGGGGCTTCTTATTTATTCGAAAGGAGCACTGAACGTGGATATTCCTGCCGAGAATCTGTCGGAAATGTTCCGTCCGTTCTACTCGTTGCTTGTCAAAATCCGCAACCTGCTGAGAATTCTGACCCCTCAGGAACTGACCAAACTGGAGACAGTGCTTTGCAAAGGAGAAACTGTGGTTCCAGAGCACAGTTCCAGCACACTCACTATGAGTGACTTCCGTACCAATGCTACAGACGAGGAGAAGGCGAAGAATAATCAGAGAGTGTGGATGTGCGACATGACATCGTCGGACAGCATTAGCACACCGACGACGCCGGATACTTCGTCTTTCCAGGACATATCTTCTAGTGATTCCACTTCGATGAACTCTTCTGGAATGACTAGTCCCCACTTCGGAAGCGAGGAGAACATCAGTCAGGTCGACAAGACGGAAGAAGAAGAAGAAGAAGTCGAAGAGGAAGTTGCTGGAATCGGTTCTTCTGTTGCTGGGGCTGATGTCGAAATGTCAGATGAGACAATTGAGAGCGCTGAGGCACCGGAGATAGCTCCAAAGGAAACTGAGCTCACGGCGGAAGGCGTCGAGGAGACCAACTCGGACAGCAGCATGGAAAACCCGTCACTTCTGAATGCGTCCGAGGAGAAGGAGAAGGACTCGGACTCTTGTTTGGAGCACAAAGAGTTTGAAAGAAACACAAAGACAATCATTCCTATGCAAACCGATCCGAGGTTCGTTGACCTATGTAATGAGAGAATCGATAACGGCAGAGACCAAACATAAACAGATAGAGGAAGTGTCAAGTCGCCAAACGCCATTGACTTTCTTTCTATCTCTTCTGCCCGATTGCTTGTTTCCTTCACTCAGCCCTTTTCATCTTTTCATCTTTCAGAGCTCTAATCGATCCGAAGAACTTGCGCTCTCGTTTCCGATCCTCCGAAGATCTCGTCCATCGTCTGTTCGTCTGCATTGCCGGCGTGGCCGATCAGCTTCAGACCAACTACTCGAGCGAGATCCGCAAAGTGTTGAAGTTGATTCTGCAGCCGTCCGAGATTATTCCTGTCTACGAGGTGGTGAGAGATGGCCAAACGATGAACACGTCTTATCAAACTTTTCAGGTCAGCGCGCAAGAGGCCAATTCTCAGACCGAAGGAGAAGAAACCGGCGTAGAAGCACAGGAAGCGCTTCCTCTTCCAGCATTTATGGGTAAGTATGCATGGCACCTCTAGATGTATGTCCCTCGTCAAAATTACGTGAACCGTTTTGTGTCCCTTTAACTGAGAACGCGTAGCTATTTATTGATTAGTTTACCCAGGTGTTCGTTGGGTTCCGGACGAGGACTGCGAGCAGTGCACCGCCTGCTCTATGCCGTTCAACTTTGTCCGCCGACGTCATCATTGTCGCAACTGCGGACGCATTTTCTGCCACAGATGCTCTTGCAACTCGATCAGCATTCCGGAACACGGATATGACAGAAAGGTAGGAGAAATTTTGGTTAGCAGCCAGGAAAAGTACATTTTTTTCTTCAGGTTCGCGTCTGTAATCTCTGCTATGTGCACCGTCTCAATCCATTCGGCTGCAACGATCAGAATCAAGCCACTGAAAACGTGTCGGCTGTGAATACGATCAACGAATCGGCCGGACAGCCCACTTCTGCATCTTCCTAATCTACTTCATGTCACCAAATGCCTTCCCTATTGCCCCTTACCTCGAATTTTAGTTAAGTGTTAGAATATATTTGGTTTTTCTCGCTTCTGTACGATGTAATGTGAAAAAACATCCCGGTCCGCTATTTGAAACCCTTGTGATGAAAGAGAATGAGAAATTCTCTAGCCCTTGAAGACCAAAACAACAGTTTGGTAATTTGCCCACCCCTCTCATCATCTATTCCACCGGTCGCCCCCTCACGTATACGATAGTCACTCTTCACATTCGTTTTTGTGCACTAGTTCTTCCAACGACTTACAAATCACTCGGCAAGTGAATCGTCTGTGATAGAGACCCTTTTCCCAGTGTGTCGAGACACATGCCCTTGCACTTTTTACTCATCCAATGTTTGATCCGAGCACATATTGCTGGATGTTTTATATTATGGATTTCTTTGTCTGTTTCCAAATAATGTCACTTTCCGGGCCAGTATGGTTTTTAAATTGTGAATGAATCGTTCATGTTGGATTTCAGGTTGAAAAAACACAAACAAAAAAAAAAAAATTTAAACTCACAATTGTCGCGGCGACAGTCGCCTCAAATTCCGAGGGTCTTTGGCTTCTGTGAATGAAAAATGAATTGTGTTTTGTGAAAGTTGATCGCGCGTAGACCTATTTAAAGAACATGGTGTCGTCTGGAAAGGAAGTCTTAACTAGATATTTTAAAAACTGCCGAGAAAAAAGTCATCTTCGGGATCAGTGTTTTTCCGAAACTGTCCACCGTATTGTTACAAAAAGAACAATATCTCAGAAAAAGAGTTTCTAGGTGAACTTGCTTCGCCTTTTCTTTTCAGAAATTTTACAATCAGATACCGTGCAAATTTGACTAATTGAATAAGGTGAAAGCAGTGTAAATCTAAAACCTTTCTCGGTCGAAAGTTTAACACCGAGTCCTCCTTCATTCCCAATAGATATCACGGAAAACTCTGCTGCGCTCTCAATCGTATAGTGGCATCATTCTGTACAACTTTTGTAGCATCGCTCTTCTTTCTGACGAACTAATCTTGTCAGTGACGTGGCAAATTGAGTGGGGAAGCGTCATTAAGTGTGGGCAGCTATACAAAATCACGAGTCTCTCACAATTGCCTTTAAAATGGACCCTTTGACATTAATGACGTGTGCAATTTCCAAGAGAAACCGTTTGAAGAAAAATGAAGTGGGTTTCGAAGATGTTTTTGCAGGTTTTTGAAATTTCAAGGTCCATCGAGAACATTTAGCCAGTGTTCGTTGGGAGACCATCCGACTGAATTCAAAACTGTCAAACCCTAATAAACTGATACAAAAAATAAATAAGTGTGACATATATCTTAGGACCGACGCTGTACGGAAATCTCCCATTCATCTGATTGACGCCGTTCTCCGTCTCAACATGGAATACGGCCTTTTCAGGCTGGAAAATATAATTTCCGGTTCTTGGAGATTGATTTATGTGGCCTACAGTAGTCATTTCGAGAATAAATCGAGCACATCAATCGCAATTTCTCAAAAAAAATTTGCTCTGGCGAGACGAACATCCTTCATTTATTCGGTTCGCAGGCCAGTGCGCTCGCCTTATTTCTCTATTCTCACTCCCCAAACCCACTTGTCCACCATGAACAACTACAGCTCTGAAACGTGTTCTGCTCATCAAGCAGAGCAAACCTTCCTCCGCTGCTTGGCAATTTTCTCGTGGATTCTCAAAATTCTGACAGTTATCCTGTAAGTTTCACAACAGAATCCCTTGGAAGTAGACTTAGACCGAACATTTTCAGTTTCTCCTCGACGGTCCGTCGCACTGCTCAAGAAGAAGAAGAAAGACGCCAGAGGGAAGATGATGGGCAGCGCGCAACAGTCCCGAGAAGACTTCGCCGGGTCACCTACCGTCATGTTCCTCAGAACAGCGACCAACTCCGTGAGCATCGTCATCTTAACTGATAAATGCACCAAATCCACATTTCTCGATCCTTTTTCCTTCTTCCCAAATTCGTATTCTTACCGAATGAAATTCCGTATTTTGTATCACATGATTGGGTGTTGTTTGTTCGGAGAGGAACTACGCAAGCTACCGTATTTCCGTGCGTCAGCTCCTCGATAATGTATTAGGAATGTAGTTCTGAACACATTTTCAGGCGAGAACAGACGAATGTTCTCGAGCCGCCTCTCACCGCGCTTTTCGTAGTTGTATAGTATGATGACGATCGGGATCGTCACCTTCAATTCGATACCACGCATTTTTCACTTGTTCTCCGTTGCTCGAAGACCTTTCAAGCACATCTTTTCTGAGAAAAACCATCCGTCCAATTCGAAAACAGTTAATTTTGAGCACCGTCAATGAATTCATGAGCTCCTTTTCTTTTGTCGCGTTCCTACTGGTTGTTGCCATAGGTAATGGGAGCCAAGGGGGACCACAGAGAGACGCCACGAAAGAACGTCTTTTACGCCTTTTTTTCAATGCTTATTTTCATCGACTGTGATGTTTGCAGTTTTCTGGTCTATTTGGGAAAGTTATTCGTCGTCTCAAGTTTTACCATTTTTAGTTTATGAGCAATTTCAAAGCGATTATTTCGGCCAAGCCAAATTTGGAAAGAATGGGTAGGGAAGAATTCCGCCAATGAGGAGGGTTCCACTTGAGCCAAGTCTAGGTAAAAATACCGAATTTCACACCGAATTGTACTTGTTCCTTCCTTTTTTTCGATGGTTACCGGTTTTTTCCCAAAGTATCCTGAACTTTAGTCCCACTCCTCATTTTTGAGCTCCTCACTTTCTCTTCAAGATTCATTAGCCAATTTCCGTATCTTCATACTCTTTCCTTCGGGTTTTTGCTCTTATTCTCGTCGTCTCCTCAAATCTTGCGATCCCATAAAATTTGGTGCTTTGCCCCGCCCCGTGCCAAACCGATACAATTAATTCGCTGGTCGAGCTCTCCCAAGCGGCTCCGCTCATTTCTTTCTTTCGGCTCGCCCCTTGGAAGGTGAGTTACCCTGCTTCCTTTTGGCTGAAACACTGAAAGGTAGGTGAAGAAAAGTGAGAAGGGCTAAGGATAGGATATAGTTACAACTTCACAAACATTACTTCCAACTCGAATACTGTCAAGCATTAGGCATAAATAATGCCGGTCATTTCCGTTTCATTATTTTATTTTATCTCGGTTTTACATACAACAACACCGAGAAAAAAGATTTTCAGAAGTTCCCAAATGATGTCCAAACGGAGACTATAATTTCCTCCTTGGTGACTTCGCATACGCTTCAACGGAATATGTTATTATCTACAGGTTACTTAATGGAGGCAATCTTCATGATTTTCCAAGTTTTCAGTTTTTGTGCTCTCCCTAAACTTGGTAGTTTCAATCAATTCTTTTATGTCGAAAAAGCACGCACAACATTCGTCTCAGACAGTGTTTAAAGGTTTTCGAGCCTTTTCTTAGAGTCAGTCACTTCTTCACAACTCCAAAATGTGAAATTGCCACATACAGAGCATTCAATGAATGGCTAGTCGTGTGCAACAATCTGCCGTCTTCTCTTCTCACCCCAAGTGCAGAATCAATTCTTCCATGTTCTCTCATCCGTTTATTTTCAACGTTTTCTTCTTGCTTTTCAAAAAAGCTGTTTTCCTCAGGACGAAAGTCCTCATCACAGTTTTTGAATAACCGGTTCTGATCCGCGCAGTACCTAGTTTCCAATGTTTTCTTTATAACTTTGTTTTCTCTCGTAAGATGTTTCTAGCTTACTCGACGCGCAGCCTTCTGAGCCCTACTGTTCCGGTCACCAGCTTTCTTCTGTGGTTCGCCATTGCTGTCGCGGTGTCCATTGCTGTTGGACTCTTGTGAGCACATCAGAAGTACTGATTCTCAGCAATACCTTTCTCGTTTCAGCGGCGTCTGCTGCATGTGTCTCATCGAGCGTTACTTCGAACGTCGTCGCGCCGTCCGTGCTTCCCGTGTCGCCGCTCGTTTCGATCGCGACGATGACACAGCCGTGCTCCTCACAACATGCCTTGATGACGGGACTCCTTTGATCTGATTCATGTGGGTTCTGTCCGTTTCGATGTACATTGTATACTATCTTTCCTCTTTCGTCACCTTGTTTCATTCTTTCAGTCAGATCATGTTTTCTATCGCTGGCTTTTCGCTTTTCAAGCCTCTAACTTCTCATTACAGATTCAGAAAAACTTTTACAATGTTTTCCCTTCAGTTTATGATTTCAATATATTTTCCTAATGCATCACTTGTATTTGGACCAAACGCTAGAGCAGAACATCATCGACTATCAACTAGACTGCTCCATTTCCTCTAGAACTGTTAGTTTATTAATGTTCGACAAAAATTTTGAAAATGTGTCTTTTAATATTTTAATATAATTCCGTACTGACCGGTCTCAATTCCTGACTTTCCAAGTTTTATGAGATAATGAGATACAACTGCAGGTTCAGTTCCACTCGGTTTGCAATGAACCGTGCAGCAGAAATTGTTCTGATCTCCGCGATCGGTATTCTCGTGCTCTGTTTTTTTTAAGTAGTGAAATCGGTCGGAGCTAGGAAAACGTTGGCCTTTTAGATTTGGCTTACTATTGCGGTACGTGATTGGCAACTGCCATGCCGTGGAACAAGAGATCACCCCGGTCCTTGTCAGCGATGATTACCAGGACGACGACAACAACGAGGTGTTTGAAATGACGGTGTTCACACAACCTACTTTCCAAAAAGGTTTCAATTACAAAATTTTCACAATATCTCGAAAAAGTTGAAATTTCAGAATTGTGATGTTTATGCTAACACTGTCAATCTCGCTGGATCTTTCCCTCTTCCTCCCACTATCTCCTTTTTCAACATTTCATTTCTTTTCCAATTCTTCTTCGTTTTGCTTACATTTGTGTTTTTTATGACGATAAAAACAATATTTTCAGACAACATGGACGCCGCCACTTTCATAGTTGTTGCCTTTCTTCTGGCGGTCGTTCTTCTTGGCTTTGTGTTGTAAGTTTGAGCCGAAATCTATCGATTACACGCTATTCGTACAGCGGACTCGTGATCTGCGAGGAGTATGGTCAGTGCATCCAACGCTTCCCCCACATTTTCGAGACTGGGTGGCCGGCACGTCCTCAAGAGCCAGGCGCCAGATGGTTGCAGGGCACATGAGCCGTTTCTACTGATTTCCACGATGAGAGATCTGCTCGCTTAACCTGTGATAAAACGGTTTCTGTTGTTGCTTCAATATCTCTCTCCCGTTTTACGCGGTTTTACTCCGTGCTTTTCTATCTTTCGCATGAATTTTATTTAGTGCTTGTGCTAATATCCCTATTGAGATGCTTTCGTTTCTCAACAACCCGGCCGTTCAATTTCTCATAGTCGTGTTCCTGGTCTGCGCCATTGCGATCGGGTGAGAATGAAATAACCTGCCTTGAAAACATTGAAATTCGCTCAGATCGTGCTGCCTCATCGAGAGAATGGTTGGCGTTCTTTTCCCGGTCACCGATCAGGACTTCGGACGTGTCATGTACGTCCCACACGACCCAGTGAACACTAACCCGACGGTCACCATTCGTATTGAGTCTCCGACAGTTGACGTCGACGAGCCGGCTCCGATTGCCGATGCAGAAGAGGATTTCCGTCTATTCATAGAATAGAGGTGCATCAAGGTACGCTCTCTTTCCTACGTCATTGCTTTGATAGTCTGCTTTTGCAGTATCGCTTCTGGCTGCTGGAAATGTCTTAAATGATTGTGAAAGTCCTTTTGAAACAAAGTTTCGCTCGTTATATGATTGTTAATTTTCATTACCTCACACGGTTCTTTTCCGTGGTCTAAATATCTGTTTTTCCGTTCTGTCCATTTTAATAATAATCTCAGAAACAAGTGCTCTAGATGATTCTTCTTGGTGCTTTCGCAGCTTTGATCTACTTTATTTGTGTTGTTGCCCTTGGATTCTGCATGTCAGCGTGAGCTTTACAAGCTTGCCTTTTATAATCAGCCATTGTTTAGGTACTTTGTAATTCTTACGGTCACAAAGGTAACGATTTTTACTCCTGATTATGAAAAAGGAGTTCAAGTCTGCCAAAGGAGAGAAGATGATGAATCGGTGACAATCGATGAGACTGGGTTAACATAGCCGAGGAACCAGGTAAAGGTTCCCAATTGATGTTAAATGAACGGTTTGTGCATACTGCTTCCTTGATTAATTAAAATCGCTTTATTGGTCCTGCACCTCTCGTTATATCAGATGCTATGTGCATGTTTTTCTTATTCTTACAGTACGAACAAATCCTAATGCTTGAAAGCCAAACGCTCGTGATCATGTTTCTAGTTATTCTTACTCTACTTTTTGGAGCTGTTGTGTAGGGCACCTTCATTTTCATTTGGGACAATTCTGTTTCATTCAGAGTTTGCTATATAACCATTGTCGCGTGGGCCGTTCTGTTTGCTCGTACTACCATGAAGTCGTTACGCCGCTCGCAGGAAAGCAGGACTTTCGTAGTTGTCCAGAAAAACGGCTTTGGTTTTCGTGACAATTTTTGCACTTCATGAAGCGGTGAGCCAAGAGCAAACCTTGCAATTTTCCACGGTGAGAACACACTTTTTTTCTTCCTTGCCTTTTTGTAATGAACCGTTTGCTCTGTCTTCCTCTTACGGGTTCTGTTACTGGTTTCAAACCGTCCGTTACTTTTTTATTTTTTAAAATTTACTTTGCTAATTCATGATTGCAGTAACTTTTCGTTTGCTGCTCCGCTCAAAACCATCATGCTTTGCTTCGAGACTAGCCTTCTCAAGTATCTTTACGTTCTGATGCTCATCCTCTGGGCCGTCGCTTTGTGAGTAACTGAAAACCCCCTCTCCTTCAATCAATCTCAACTTTCAGCGTTTGCTTGTTCTCCGGCCTGCTCAACGAGTGGTTCTTCCCGGAACCAGAAGAGAAGGAGGAGTTCGAAGAGGTGATCGCTCCGTCGGGTGAACCAAAGTTCGTCGCTCTTGACGTTGCTCAGCTGGATCGCGTCCACGGGTGTGCTCCGTACGAGCCGCACATCCACGTTCCTGATTCGCTCCCTCTCGTTCAAATTTGACGGTTAGTTCGATCTAGGGTCTGCATGAACTTATGTTTTCAGTCATCAACTTGTGGCACCCCCGGACCAGACACGACTGAAAATGATTCCCCAAGCATCCACCACGACTTTATTGAAATGATTGCATAAACCGTTAACCTGTTATGCGCACGTACGCTGCGTTTCGAAGGGTTACAAATCCATAACCTATTTTGCTCATTTTCTCAATCACTTAAAGTAGCTTTCAGTTCAGGCCAGGTAAAGAAATGGATGTTCTTATTGAGATCGGTAATATAGTCCCACCGATTTACTTACTGCTTTTCGGTCTGGTATTGGCTCTTGCCGTGTAAATGTTCTGTGGTCCTATCTGGTTAGTATATCTGTTTCAGTATCTGGCTCACGGTTAGCATCATCTTGCACAGAGTCCATCCAACGCACCAGTTATACGACCAGATTCCATTACTTATTCCGAAAGATACTGACGACCAAGAAGAAGAAGAAGAAGTGTTCGCGGATAAAGATGCGGGGGCGGATAACACAAAGTTTGGAACGGAAACTAGAGATGATAATTGAGGACGAGGAGTGTCTGCGTTGGTTTGCACACGATCACCTCCAGAAGAAGATAATAGTGGGTTCGAGAAAACCATTAAGACGTGGAAATGTGTGTATGTTTTCAGACGTCACCACCTACAATCGAGCCTTTACCCGTCCCCCGCTTTTCAAATAAATGTGTAGTGAATTTTCCCCCATTACATCAGTTCGTTTTTCATCAACACGGTTTCTATTCCGTGACTTTTACTTTTATCTTTTTTGCATCCTTCTACATGTCTGTTCTACTTGTCCTCTGTTATTGCACCACCAATACGTTTTGTCTTCAGATGGAGGCCACTCCACAAAAAGTATCGTTCCACATTCCGCCAGTTTACATTCTTGTCGGGGTCGTTATGTCCTGCCTAATGTGGGTTCATGGTTTGGGGTGTTTGTGCAATGTGCTCCCGATTTCAGAATTGGTTACCTCAGCGACTTCATCATGCAAAAGTACGGCTGTTGCGGCCGAAAAGGAGGATGTTGCCGCAAGGAGAACGCCACCGGGGCCGCGGACATCTGCGAGACCATCCCTCTGACTCCGCTACGTGGCAGCATCGTAAACGATCCCACTAGCGCTATGGGAGTTTCTTAGCATGAACGCTTGGTTTTTTTGAAATTCTCTTGATCACGAGCCTTGTCCCATATTTATGTTCTCATTCCCAAATGAAGACATACGTTAACACTTCACGCAACTTCCGTAGTACCCATTCGGGTCTCTTCTTAATGTTTATTAGTTTCAGCACCGAATGTTCTTTCCTTTCAAAGAATACGCGCAATTCCATCAAGTACTGACGAACGAGCAGATGGCTTTGTGCTACAGTATCTCCATCTTTCTCACAATGCTTGCTCTTCTCGCGTAAGTGAAATGGGAAGGGGGGATCAGGAATTTCATATTACTTGTTCTTACTTTCAGACTCTACATTGTACTGCACAAATGCGACCAAGAGTTCAAAAGAGTGGCGTCTGGAACTGAAGAAAGATTCAAAACGTCTTTGGTCATAAGTCGTTCTGTCCACCCGATCTGCGACGAGTTCGTGATCATCCGCAACAATCCTTATGGCTACTCGTTTGTCTAGCACCAGTTCTTCCTCAAGAAAATCACATTTTTCCTTTAATTTTTTTCGTTGCTTTTTTCCTTTATCCTTCCCCTCTCTCATCTCTTCGCTTCTTGTGCTTGTACACTGTTCTTTGACTTTTGAATCACGTCATCAATAAACTTTGATTGTTACAATAAGAATTTTACGAGTCAGCTTTTCAAATAAACAAAAGAACGAACTTTTGTTGGCTCTAAAACGAGATCCCTCTTTTTGATATCATCAGAAATGGAGCACACGTGTGAGACAAAAGATGGCACCTGCTCCCTTTTTTCCGGATTTTTTCCTTGCACCTGCTCCTGTACATTGGCACCGTGTTTGTGTGCTCGTGTGTGACACTTGGTGTCACGGCATCTGTCAAAAATTTCGTTCCGATCAACAATTTTTTGGGTCCGGGCACCTGCCAACCACTTGGCGCCGAAATCCAGCTTTGCGACTCCGACGGTATGACAAATTTACAGTATCCGGAATGTGTTTCGGGGCAAAGTCTGTTTCAGCTTTCAGATGAGGAATGTTCCGTGAAGTTCCGTGTGCCTTATCAACCGTAAGCGATTTCGTTTGGAGGACAAAAAAGATACGATTTTTAGCGTTTCAGCTTTTGTACACATCACAAATCTTTGCAGGAATGCGAAAGAATCCAAGAGATTAGCAAAACTATAGATGAGAACAGTGGAGAAATTGAATCAAAAATGAGAAAGAGGGGTCCCGAATGTTTTCAGGCTCACCCTTATTGGTCTCAACCTGTGTTCTGCGTGCGGAGAGACGCATCCGCAGCGAATGATTGGTCACTCGCTTCGGAATGCGCAAGATCCAGCACGGAATCTTTGACATCGGAGCATCCAATCCTGCAAACTGCCTACTGAAAGAGTTTTGTCAAGGTACCATGAGGAGACCTTCGCCGAGGACAACAGAAGCGAGATAATTGGGGAGGACCTGTTCGAAGGTTCACGCTGCGAATATCGTCCATAACTTTCAGAAGAATCATGTACACTTTTCACTCAATTTCATAGGATGTTTCTTTCTGTTTCTCTGACTCTACCAGACAACTTTTATTACCTTAAGCTCAAAAAACTGTTTATGGCGGATATTTTTGTAAAATTATGATTTTCTGTTTTTGGCACTCCAATTTTCCAGTATATGTGGGCAAAAGTGTAAAGGAGAACTCGTTGCCGGATCGTTGTAACATCAAGCATCAATCAGACGTATTGCCTTATGTTTTCATTCGGGAACGCGTATCTTTACACTGTCGCGAGCCCATCGTAGCTCGAAACCGGCAGTTTTTGTCATTTCCCTCTTTGCCCCCTTTCCATTTGAAATTGTTTTCCGTAAGACTCTGACGCTCTTTCCATTCGTAACTGGGCTCGCATACATTCTACTTTCAAAGTCTTGTGATCGCGAGCGCTCGCTCTCTCTCTCTCTCTCTTTCTCTTTTAAACACAGACGGTCAGAGAAATCGACAGATTGACGGTCCCTATGCATAGACATTGCTCCGCCCTCTTTTTAACTCACAACCACTTCCAACCTCTGCCTGATCAGTTCGCAGAAACAATGGCGGTTTATCCAACTCTTCTGATTCTTTCAGTTCTCGTCGTCGGTTCCTTCCACGAACTGACCGAAGGAAGAAATCTTCAGAAGGTAAGCAATGAATGAATTATTCGACGAATTTTCGAGATTTCTGGTAACCTCTAAGAATCAAATTCACAATAGTTACTTGCAGCTGGGAACCACAGCCACGTCGTCAGGAAACATGGACGCTCAGGCCGAGATCTCGAAGAGAAGCGTTGATGAAACTGAGAAGCTCGCGCTCATTCTCCCCTCCGGCCGTGACGAATTGCACCATATCATCTACTTCTGCATCTTAATTTCGATTGTGTAAGTTTTCTCAAATCTTTTATCTTTAGACTTGTGACGGGCTCGGCTCACGGCCAAAACTTTACAAAATTTTGAAAAAAAAAAGTGTCTTAAAGTGGCGGAGCAATAGTTCGCAATGATGACACCCAGTTTTAGTAACCTTGCCGCACTTTTAGACACTTTTGCCAAAAATTAGATAAAGTGAAACTTCGGGACCTGCCCGGAATCTTCAAAGTCTGCTAATCTTCAACCAGTATACGTTTCCAGGCTCATCCTCATTGCCCTCATCCTGTGCTACCGTCTCCATGCCGAGAGACGCATCCGTCGCGAGAGACTGGTCGTTCAACACGGAATCCGCATGATCCAGCACGGAATCTTCGACATGACGGAGGTCCCAATCCAGAGAACTGCCTACGGAGAAGACTCAATCATGGTGCCTCTCGCTGACGAGGAGACGCTCACCGAGGACAACAGAAGCGAGATCATCGAGGAGGACCTCCATATCACTATCTAATTTTTATCGGCACTCTTTTATATTCATTTATCCCCCTCTCCTTGTAATCACGGCCCCCTCGCACATTATTTCATCCCTGTTCAGAGAGATCTTCTCTCGTATCTCCCAATGTTCGATCCTACTGTTCATTTCATCAGACAATACTTTAGAAACAATAAAGTTCTGAAAGAGAAAGTAGAACGCTCTCGCTGGTGCCAGACATGAGTATGTAGTTTTAGAACACACTCGTCACCAGAAAGCGAGCTGCATCTGTTACTAGCAGAAAGAGGAAGAGAGTGCGAGTATAGTTTTGACATTTTCTTGCTATTCCAACCGTCATTTGTGGCTTTGAAGCGCTCGTCTTTGAGTAACTTACGTCGAAAATGTCGTCACTCCTAGTGCCCTGAACAACCTTGAATGTCCGTTAGACAAACATAACAGAATGCGCTAATTCTTCCCATTTCCATTTTTTCCATCAGCTTCAGTTTTCGGTTGACATTCGGATTAGACATAGCTCTTCTCGCACAATCAATTCCTCCTCACGTATTTTTTGGCAAAATTTTTGTGTAAAATGATCAGAAACCTCGTGAGAGGCAGATGCTTCGGCTCTGATTGTCTGCTTCTGTATGAACCTTGTCATATTTATTTTTTCTTCGTCATTTTTAGTTCTATTTTAATCGTTTATGTGCAACCGTAACTCCACCCACTTTCAGTAACTTTCAGAATCTACGTCATCCTGTCCAGACGTCCACTTTGATGGCGCGCCTCGTAATAATGCGACTTTTTCTCTACTTGGCCATTATAAGCCAACTTCATTCACTGATGATATTTGAAGAAGAAATTTACGCGGTAAGTCACATCTGATTTTTGTTCTCTTTCTCTCAGTTCTCGATTTCAGCACTATGAAGCCGATAACTCATTCCATGGTCAGGACACAGAAGCTGCCATTCCGATGATCCACGTAGTAAAGCACGAGCAATCGGAGGAATCCGAGACTCGCGCGCACAGCAACTTTTGGATTCCGGTGATTTCATCAGTCGCATTCCTGTGCTTTATGATGCGAGTTTAATTTTCAGCAGCTTCTCTTTCGAATGAAATGTGATTTTTAGCGGTCTCTGCGCTTTTCTAGTCCACATCAACCACATTCGACACGTCGAGCAGCAGAGCAACAGTGAAGATATCGTCTACACGATCTACGATCAAATGGAGTGCCAATTCGAGTACTGCGAAGATCTGGAACGGTTTGTTCCGAGAGATGTGCACGGAAACATTTTAACAGTCCTTCGCGAAGAGTCCCAAGAATTCGACTCAAACTATATCTGAATTGTCGAACAAAAACCGATTAATCTTCGTACTTATGCCCGCATTTGTTTCAATGAAATCAGTGAACGAGACGAGATGTTCCACATTGTTACGAAACAAAGAGAAAGAAATCAAATCGAGAAGTGTTCACAAGGTCATCTCATCATTATCTTCACTGCCCCTTCACAATGGCTTTTCCCATCACACTGTCACTTGATACTAGGCTTACTTTGAGACAGTATTTTTCTTTTTTCTTTCCTTCCCTCTCACATTTTGTTTTGAGTTGGGACGCGTGAAACGGCCAGGTGACACATCGCTTTCTTCACCACCCATTTGCATTTCCCTTCCGTTCCTACCCCTTCGGCCCGCATAGTCTTGTCGACTGAACGATCCACCACTGGGCTCTCTTCTTTTCTTCAAATAATCACTAGGCGGTTGGCCAGGACATAGAGTGGAAAAGTTTTCGTGTACCGCTTTCTTAGCATCACTATCACTTTCCCCCCTCCCCCTCCCTCGTCGGCCCCTTCTTCTTTTACTGTCTACACTCATCATTTGCGTGTCGTTCTTTTATTCCAATGAACATCGACCAAACTGAAGTTCTCACAGCCATGGCTCAGCTCTTGTGGGATTTTTCCGCCACTTGGGGCCTTTCCATTATTGCGTAAGTTGAATTTAATGGATTAGTGTCACTGAATAACATTTTCAGACTTCTCGTTCTTCTCTACGGCGCCAAGGTGTACGACTGGTTCCGCGTCCCGGTCATCGCTCAGATCGACATCGAAGTGCCGATTCATTTCAACACACAGGAATCGTGCAAGTGTGCGCAAACGCACATCTCCGTGGATCAGGACCATCCCGAAGTGTTCCACGCGGAAGATTCCGACGACGAGCTGCCGCTCTACATCCGCGAATTCCTGGACACCGTCACCGAGCCGCTGCCCTTTGTGGACCTCCCCTAAGTTATTCATTTGTGTGCATCCGCCCGCCCATCACATTTTTTTAATCACTTTTCTATTGTATTTGTAGCACCTTTACCTTTTCTCATCCCAAATTTCATTATTGATCGTTCGTCGCTTTACTACATTTTCACCCTTTTGATGTGTTAATAAACCAGCTCAAACCAACACTATGCAAATGTTTTCCGATGTTTGAAGAGTGTTTCTTTGCCCGCCAGCGAAGACACGGTCAGAGTCGGAAACGCGCCGTTATTGTCGGAGACTCGGACGCGTTTGTTTTTATCTGCACAATAATTTTAAACGGAAAACCGTACGGTTCATTCTTTTCCGTCTTTCGTCTTTCTTGTCCGCTGCTCCCATTTTAATAGAAAGTAGGAGACGCTTGCTTTTTCGCGTGATAACGGTAAAAATCGTATCACAAAAGGCGCGCCCATCTTTTGTTCTACCTGATAATTTATGAACATCTCGAAACGTTGAATTTATTTGATTCTTTTGATCATTAATATAAAAACTTCTGAACTTGAAATTGAGGGTGTACACCTTGCTGCAAACACGATCTATGAAAAATATTTGAGCCAGCTCATTTTAAGGATCCACACGTTAAAAAACCCTTTTGGTAAAGTGTCAGCAATGTGTTTATTTCATTGAATTGCGTAACCGCAACCTAAGGATCGATTTTCTAGTGATTTTGCGGTGTGACTCATCAAATTGGCACGAGTTCAAATTTTGAAAATTTGATTTTCAGCAACAAATTGAACCCTTTAAAGTTCCCTTCTAATTAGAAGTTTTGGTATTTGTATAGGAACACACGGTTCTGTGCTCAGCAGTCCTTCAGTCCCTCCCTTTCGCCAATGGATTCCTTCTTTTGGCGCCATTCTTTTGCGCAATCGGTTGGCAGAATTCCATTTCGCCCATTGGTTGCCATGGGACGGACAAAACTAATAAAGGGGTAGATTTATGATCTTGTGCTTATGCAAAAAATCCTCAGCGCACAAAAAATCGCTCGAGCTTTCCTTTAATCACTATTATCTTTCGTTCCAGAAAATGACTCCGGCACTGACTACCAAAAACGACCTCACGGAAGTGGATGCGGATTTTATATTGCTCGGATTCGTCGCCTTCGTTCTGTGAGTCGTATCAGCTGTTCGTATCAACGTTTATCACTTTCAGATTCGTCGTTTTCTGCTACACAATGATCCGCAGATTTGTCTTCAAGATGAACTGGACCGAGTCTGCGCAACTGTACCCCAACAAAATCGAGGAAGAGCCGAATGATGCCGCCACCGAGTTCTCGTGCGAACGCGTGGTCTCTCATGGAGAGACGGTTCCACACAAACCGACCGTCGTTAGATTCCAAGTCGATGGGGAGGTGGTCAATATCGATGAGAGCTAAATTTATCACTTTCCAAAAATAAATTAATTGTTGCGATGATCGTTTTTACAAAGAAACATTTCGTCGGCAACGATTTGCAAAAACTATTTTCGAACAGACATCGCATTCTCTGATGTGAGCTGATAGACAGAGCTGCTCAAGATGCCGGGGAGAGGAAACTATTATTTTTTCCTACATGTCCAATATCTCACGTTTCGTCGCTCCAACATTCGAAAGGGACAAGCCGAAAAATGCATTTTATGCGCTTTTTTTGTGAAGGCAAAAAGTAATTGTGAACGAATTACTTTTATGAGAATGGACGCTCGGATTGACCCGGCTCACTCCTTTCTTAGTCTCTGACGTTTCGTATGAGGACTACAATATTATTATACTTTTTGGCAACCCTTTCAATTGTCGTAGCGCATGTAGGAGTTCGGATGGAAAAGATTGTAACTGTTTCCGATGTCAGTCAGATTTCCATAAACAATTTTAGGGAAAACCTGAACGCGACCGTTCCTTCTCAGCAATCGCCTCTCTAGACAGATATGTCAAATTTGTGACGAGGGACTTTCTGTGGACTTGGTCGATCTGCCACGTTTATCGACATGTCATTGTAACCTGATTAGTTGTGTTACTTGCTAAACCCAAATAAACCGTTTCCCTCTACCATAGAGACTGTTCGAATATTCCCACAGTTGTGTTTATGACATGCGCACCACGAAGAAGAGAACACGGGTCGACCTTTCGAATGATGCGGAGAGGGTGGCACCGACTCGCCGATTTGTTTAGAATAACTAGCGGTCGGCTCCAAAAGAACATGCAGACGGTGCCGACTGTCCGCTCGCTGGATCGTTAAATGTCGGACGGGCTTTCCGCGCGTTGATGATGTATACAATCGGCTTTCTTAGATGGTTCATCATCACATTACATTCGGAGGGTGAACAGAGACAAACTCTTCGGCTTCGGTTTCTGAATGATTGTCTCATTCTGTCACCAAGTACAAGTAAAAGACAATCAGTGCCTGTGAAAGCAACAAGAACGAAAAGCGCGTGCAAACTTTCAATTTTCGGAAGAACAATGCTTTCCGTTGCCAACACTTTTCTTCCTTCTCTGCTGCTACTGATAGGTACTACTCTCATTTCCACTATTTCCTTCAACATTCCTCGTATTCAAATTAAGAGAAAAGTCCGAACGAGTACGGCCTAATGTCCTTGGTCTTTCTTCCCCCCAATATTTTGGCAACATTCCACCCACTGCCTTGTCGATCCCCAGACACATTCCTCTCCCGTCCAAAAGCTCAGTCAGTGTCCTTGAAATCTTTTCTCAATTATATCTTGCAATTTTCTGTCTGTCTCTGCCAAAACTTTTCAAAAATGAGGAAAAAGAGAGAAACATCTGCCTACCGAGAGAGGGAAAGAGGCAGGAGAAGTCAGGCCCGCCCTCTTCCCTCTCCGGCCGTTCTGTCAAAACAGTCGGCCCCATTCAGCCCGCCACCACACGCGCGCTTTGACGGTCTTCCTTCCCGCTCTGCCCAGCCACTTCTGCGCCTTCCGCACTTCGAACCAACCGACATGATCCAATCCGACCCGCCGGTAAGTGACTGTGCCCTCTCTTTCCCCTCCGGAAATCATTTTGGCTCCCTCTCTTCTCTATCATCATTGATAATTGATTTTCCAGGTCTTCAAGGAGCTGCTCAATCTGCTCCCGCCAGCAGACAGCACCCCGGCCGCCAACGCATTCGTCGTCTCCGACATGATTTCGTACACCATCATCGCCGGCCTGTGCTTCCTGCTCCTCATCATTTGTAGCCTCATTTCGTTCTTCTTCGTGCCGGCTCACCACTGGCTCGTCAACAATTGCTTCCTGAAAGTGGACGCTGCTGACCAAGCCGAGGACGCAGTTGAGGTCGCAGAATGCTCCTGGGGAGCCCCGGAGGTCGAGGAGTTCGTCGAGAGACTTCAGAAGCTCGCTGATCCGCACGACAACGACATCCCGCGTGAGGACGACCCCCTGCCACCGGTCTAATCAGATATATGCCTCTGTTTTCATGATTCGACTGTGCTCCTTCCTCTGTTATTATTTATCCCCTTGTTATTTTTCTAATTTCCTAACGTTCTTTTTCTGGGACTTCTGAAACAATAAACGAAAAGTCGAAAACATGTTTACGGTTCTTTTCAAGAAAAAGAAAGTCTTCTCGAACGGTTACGTAGTGTTGACAAAAATGAAATGTTATGTCTGGAGAATAAGCACCGATGATGTCACTATTCTCGCAGATATTTCGGAAGATTCTTTTCGTGGGCGCCGAAGTTTCTCAACTAACGTCCATACCTACCATGAGCTTTTGGAATGAGAGCCATGTGATTCGAATAAAAATTAACGGAGAATCCAAAAGTGCGCTCCATTTTTGTTAAAGACCACTGGCTTAAGAGAAAATCGCATCTGAAATTCCAGAAATTCCAATGCAGATTTCAGTTTTTTACATGTAATCTGCAATAGTAGCGAGAATTTGCACTTTTAAAGTTCACGTGTGTATCGAGACGTCGCGGTTTCAAAACGTCGGAGGACAAAACCACCTATTATATCGCCCATGTTCGAGAGGTAAAAAGTGGTGATTTATGTGCAATTTCTCCCATCTCGTTTCCAATAAACACAAGGAAAAGGGGGATTCGTACGCAGTCCGTCTCAGCTACCTATTTTGTAGTCCGTCTTCGTGAATAACACCTGACCACGCTACAAACCCTCTAAACTCGAACTCGAGGAAGACGTAAGAAGAGAAGAGCCTCGGGACGGTATCCCTGGATACATCTCTAAGCGCCTAGCTTCGAGTGGCCTGCAGAGCCGCTCACTTCTTCTCTACTTCCCCATTCTCCCTCATTTTCCCCCAACTTCAGTCGCTATCATGCCGCCGCTATTTCCCTCAATACCGAAAATTCTGCCTATTGACACAATTCAAACGCCGAACGGCGTTATGACGGAAAAACGGCACAAACGCCGAATGAAGTCATCAGTTCCATTGAAAATAAAGATTCATAATTTCTTTGTCTTAGCGGTGGTACTCTGGATGTTTCATGACTGGCGAGTTGGAAAACTTTTTGTCAATTCTAAAAAAGAACTGTTCGAGCGTCAAACCCAACTTGAAATCAATCTCGGGTTCTCTCAAAATGACGTCGTTCCCCGGGTATTCAAGTACGCCGTGATTTACTTTGCTCAATTTATTGCCGATCCTATCAACCTCACTTTTGTCATCTTCGGCATATTCAGTAGAACGGTGCTGTAAGTGTTTATCGTTTTTCGGTCTTTCCCCAGTAACATTTTTCAGAAACTTTTTCACGCTCCGAATCTGGGTAAGCTTCCAAGGAATCTGGTGGGACTACGACATCGACGAGTCATACTTTGTGCCCGTAAATCCGAAGAGTGGCTCGGAGCATCTTGTCTAATTTTGTCTCTTCATGTCCAGATATTCTTTTCAATGAAAAGTACACCCTAAAACGTCTATGTGAATAGTTCATGTCAACTTATTGCTTTCAAAACCTTCGAACGCTTTTCCGCTTTCTCAATTTTTCTTCCTTCAGTTCTCGTTACATTGTTGCGTAGTGAGGGAGCAGAGAAAAAGGTAAAAGAGGTTCGAGCGTAACACTTGCAGTGAGTGTCAATGTGCCATGCTACCTCATCGGAAAAAGGGCTAACGAGGGCTATTGAGAAGACATCCGACATGAGTCAGGAGGCAAGCAAACCCACCTTGTGAGAGATGATAAACCAAATAAGAATGTTTAATTTTAAGGGGAATTTTATCTGATAAATGCAATAACTTAAATGAGAAATATAAATTAATAACCAGGTGGGGTTCTTGGGGTTGGGCAGTGGAAGCAGTCTCCATTCGGTCCCTTGGATCCGAGTCCTCCCTGTGGTCCAGCATCTCCCTTGTGTCCCGGACGTCCCTTTCTTCCAGCGTCTCCGTTTGGCCCTTGTGGTCCTGGAATGGTGTTTCCACGACGTCCCTTTGGACCGGCCTCTCCCTTGCGTCCCTGAGCTCCTGGTGCTCCTGGTGGTCCTTGTGGTCCGTTGATCTGAAATAAATACGTAAAAATCAAATGAGACAGAAAATCTGTAAACTCACGTCGATGACACGTCCGTCTTCTCCTCTCTTTCCTGGTGGTCCCTGTGGTCCTTGCTCTCCTTGAAGTCCAGTTGGTCCGACCATTCCTGGCTCTCCGCGTCTTCCGTCGATTCCGGCAAGTCCTGGAGATCCACGTGGTCCTGCTGGTCCCTTCTTTCCGGCTGGTCCCATTGGTCCCTGAGCTCCTGGAGGGCAAATTATGCATGGCTCGCTCTGGAGTCCGTCAGATGGGGCAACTCCTCCGTCCTTTCCATTGTGGGCATCAGATCCTGCAGATCCGTCCTTTCCGTCGTGTCCGTCATCTCCTGGTGGTCCTGGTGGTCCAGCCTTTCCTTGCTGGCAAGTGCAGCACTGTGGAGCTGGCTCGGCGTTGACAACTGGTCCGTATCCGTTGTTAGATGGCTGCTCGTATCCTCCGTTCGACGGGGATGGGGCTGGGGCATTGTACGGCTGCTCAGTAGCTGGTGCTCCATAATCTCCTCCGTTTCCAGCACCTCCTCCGGCTCCGCTGTCTGGAACCCATTGTCCAAACAACCATCCTCTCTTCACACGGTTCTGTCCGCCGGTTTGGTACAGGCTCTTGAGCATATCACGAGAACGCATCTAAATTCTTATAATTTTCAGTTAAATAATAAAGAAAACCTTGTTTACCTTGCAGTAGGTGGTCTCGAGAGTGATCTCCTGCTGGAGGCTCTGCACAGACGTGTACAGAACTGGGAGGACCACGATGGCCGAGAAGACCGAAACCGTGGCGACGGCGCAAGCCGCAAAGACGACTTTGCGCATGTAGCTGCAAGAGGGAATGACGTAAGCACAATTTATAAAAGGCAAACTCACCGGTGCTGATCAGTTTCTTTGCCTTCCATTGTGACCGAATGGATGATAATCGGCACCCGCTCGATCCATTTTATACACTTCTGAACAGGTTCTCAAAAGGCGGGCAGCCAGGAAACCCGAAATCCGCACGCGATATGCAAATTCCATTTGATAATTCGCCACTCCCTAATGATATCGGTGATTTTTCATAAGTTGGATGTGACGTCAAAGTGGACATTCTTTTCGCAGCGGGTGATTCGGCAGCGTATCTTTGGAAGACAAAAACCAACATTAGAATTCGAAAAAAGGACACTCTTAAGTGATCATGGACCAGCACATAGTTCATTTAGAGATTCTCAATAGGATATTCTTGAACGTGTTTGGATGAATGAATACTTTATTGCATAAAGTTCGGAATGTACAAAATTGTCGCATAAACACAATTAGTCGAGCACTACTCAAACATTGTTCGTCGAGTTTCCAGCCGCCGCAATCATTCGCTTTTTTCTGCCGTTTCCGTACGGATCGTAGAAAGGTTGAGCGTGACCGCAAGTCGAGCAGGCTGGTGGCTGGTTGCATGTTGTGCATGGTGCTGGTGTTGTCACAATCACAACCGGTTGGGTGTTACAGGTATTGCACGGGGTCGGTGGTTGGTAGCAGGTATTGCAGGGACAAGCCGCTTGTTGCGGGCATGGCTCTTGTTCGATGGATGCTCCGATGCACTGAAAACAAATACTGTTGAACTGGTGGCAACATTTCCAGTTTCTTACTCCAGTTCCACAGCTGCATTGTCTGGATCTGGTGATTGATCCTCCAGTTCCACAGGTGACCGAGCAAGTTGACCACGAAGACCACTGAAACAAAAAGTAAAGAAGAGAAAACTAAAAATGTGTTGTACCCCGGTCCAAGAGCAGCACGGCTGGGCATTACAGGCCTGAGACTCGGCCGCAGCTCCGACGCATTGGCAGGTCGAGCATCCGTTATTGCAAACACGGCTTCTTGTCATGGTACCACCTCCGCAACTGGCACTGCAATTGGATAATGACCGCTTATCAGTGGCAAAAAGTAAATAAGGATTTGCGAAAAAACAAACAGATAACTATTGCTCACCTGCAAGCGGTCCAACCTCCCCAAGCTCCCCACTGTGGCTGCGTTGGCTGAGGATCATACAGGACGCACGGCTTTGATTCTGTGGAAGAACCTCCTTGACAGTTTCCAGATGGGCAAAGCCTTGTGCGAGTTTCGACAGGCGCTGAAAATTGATATGCTTCGAGATTGAAGAGACAAGAAGAGGGGAAACTCACTTCCAAAAGCAGAAGAGCACGACGACCATTCAGTCCAGCCACTCCATTGTGCAGCAGTTTCTCCACACACATTACAACCGCTTGGATTAGCTTGAACTCCAGTGCCAATGACGTAGGAAAGAGTTCCTAAAAATAGACGATACATGTAACATGCAATCTTTTTTCTCTTCTTCAGAGCATTGGAGCATTCAAATTTCAGAAAATGTCTACTTCAAGCTTACCTTGGAAAAGGGAAAGAGCAAGAATAAGTGAGAACATGGTAGAGATTATTTCAATTGAACTCTTGCCCGATGGCACTTCTCGGCTTCTCGCTTCCTTAAATATTATTTGGTTTCGCAAATATTACCTGTCAGTTAAGAGAAATAGTCGCTCAAAGTGTATATTTGCTTCTTCTCAACAAAAAAAGCACACGCCCTCGGCTAGTAGTTGACGAAATAGATACGCGTTCGCCGGGAGACCGAATATGCCAATTATAGGCGGCTAACGTCAAGGAAGACGCCCATCATAAATCCTACGATTTGGAAGCGGCAGCAGTTTGACGGCTGGCAAAAAGCACTCAGGGTGCAGTTTTTTTGCACAAATTTACCCGAAAATATTAATTGGTCGCGCCATGAACTCCGTACTGCTCAAACAAACAGAAACTAGACTCAACTGTGAGATCAACTAACTATTGCTGACTCATTGGCACTTCTTGAAAGCGTTCCAGCTATTTTCGAAATCTTCCTCTCGACATCCGCCCCGATTACTCATCGATTTAACATTGATACACCCATCTTCCTCCTACTGACAACAATTTCAAACATGACCAGATTTATAAGCGCAAAAGCCAAGCCAATTTACTGTCGGACGAAAAAGACCTGCTTATTGCGTCCGACTGTAATCAGGTTAGGAAATAATCACAAATCAATTTTTGATTATAACTGAAGAAGGGATGAGTAGTATTATAGTAAACAATATATAATTTTGATTCAGATTGAAATTTTTACAAGAATTTTTTGCGAAATGGCAGTTAACGTTAAGACTGCTGTTTTTTGATTTCAATCACGTCCAGAATCGGTTGGCGCTTTGTTTTGTATCTGTAACTTCCGATTTTCGATTTGTCTCATAAGAGGTGGGCTACCTTCTCTGCAATTCACGGATCTCTTCTTCCATTTCCGAATCGAGACTCTCCTTTCTTCTGATCAACTCTTCCAAAGTGATGTTTCTCAACTGAAACAATAGATTTCACCAATGAAAGTCTTCCGTATCACTCACAAAGTCAAAATCTCCATCGACAACAGCACGTTGGAACCTGTTCTCGTATTCGGCTTCCGTGTTCACTGAAACAAGCTCCTTTTCATCAAGGTACGTTCTTTTTTTTAATTTTCTTACTTGGATTGTACGTTGGCTCTCTATAACTACTCTCATCTGATCCAATCGAGAAATTCGGTCCAGTACCGCGATCTTGACCAAAATTCGGATTAGGATCGGAAGCGTTGGCAGTATGTCCGGGGGGTTGTACTCGTGGGGAAGCGCCATTGCGTGAGGCTAGAAAATTATCCGATTTCTTCCTAGTTTATCTCTCTGAAGATATACTGGATTACCGGGAGAAGGGTACTCACCATAAGCAGATTTGGGTATTTCGCCGCCAATCCGCAGGCTTTCCATTTGACTCCGTAGACTTTGAGCGGTCACGTAGTTGTCTGAACAATAGTATATTTAGTTCTTTTCATTGTATTCTGCGAAATTCTGAAAGAAAAACTAACCTCTGTGTTGCACGAGAGTAGCGTCTCCCCCGTCGATCATCGTCGACATTCCTTCACTCATTAATGTCGCATCATGCAAGTTTGCCATCTGAACATGCATGTTTCTGTTAATTTCAATTTTATAAAGTTTACCGCTGGAACTTGGCTCAGTGCTGCCTTTTCTTGCGCGTCTCGGATCATCGCTTCCAACACTTCGCAACCAGGCGCGTTTTCAATGAATTTATGCTGAATAAGTACTAATATTTAGTGCATTGAATAATATTCTCACCTCGCAAAGCTTTAAAGACGTTTTTCGTTCGTCTGGCTTTTTAATTAGGCAACATTTGATGAAATCGTTGAAGTCAGCCGACCACTCCTCTGGTTTCTTGAACGACGGAGGTGGTTTGGTAGGAATCATAAAAATGGCTCTCATCGGATGGATATCCGAGTACGGTGGACGTCCTTCAGCCATTTCAATTGCTGTTATTCCAAGTGACCAAATGTCTGCCTTCGTGTCGTACCCAATCTCTTCAATCACTTCGGGGGCCATCCAGAATGGAGTTCCGATCACCGTGTTCCTCTTTGCCATTGTATCCTAAATACGCAGAATGAACGCAAAGTGATGGGGAATTAGGATTCACCGTCAGTTGACCGGCAACACCGAAATCCGCAAGTTTTGCTATTCCATCTGTGTTGAGCAGAATGTTTCCGGCCTGAAGAAAAAAAAGTTAATACATTTCCCTCCATGCACATTTTCACCTTGATATCTCTATGGATCTTCTTGAGGTCGTGCAAATATTGCAAGCCCTTGAGAGTATCTCGCAGTACTGCGCTAATTTCCAGTTCGGAGAGCGGTTTCCGCCTGGCACGCATAATATCCGAGACCGAACCAGCCCCACAGTACTCCATCACTATCTGCAGCCACATTCACATTTATTATTTTTTATTTTAATGCTAGTTTTCCTCACCCAAAGATCCGAGTTCTTGAAGTAAGAGCCATAGTACTTGACCACATACTTGCTCTTACATTGCTGCATGATACTGATCTCTTTTATGATTTCTTGGAGATCAGTATCAACCGGAACCTTCTTGATAGCAAGTACGTGACCGGATTCTCGGTGTATTGCCTTGTGGACACTTCCGTACGACCTGAATTACTCATTTTCCAAGTGTCCTTGCCTCAAAAGTCAGCCACAAACCCTTCTCCTAATTTGCCGACAATGTCGAATACTTCCTCTGGTGGTTTGTTGAGAGCCGACGAATCCAATTTGAATACATCACTAAACACAACTTTGTTTTCGTTGGTCACTTTCACTTTTTTTGTTGTTAGTACAAACCTCAAGCCCTCCACCGAGTTTCGACGAGAACTCTCTGTTGACGGAGGCATTTCGGGGTACCCTGAAACAAAATACTTTCGGATGAAGAAAAAGCGCTATGAAATAATTGTAAACTGATCGGTGAGGAGCATGGGAGACACGTAGTGACGAACGCAGGGAGTTATGCGAGAAAGAGAAATATAGAGCCAGCAGATGTCGGTTGGATCAGAGGAAACTACTGAAGAGAGATGAAGAAGAAGAAAAAAGAAGAAAGAAGAAGATAAAACCTATCCTTGAGGGCGCATTAGTCGCATTCTCTCTGACGCCTCCCGGTGGTCCATACTATTCTTCCATTCGATTAGAACGTCGACAGTGCATGTATGGTCATAAGGGTTAGGGGTAAGAGGTGAGAAGAGAGAAAGAGACGGAAGGAGAATCGATTTGGACGTGCGGGGTCATCTGGGGCCCACGGCGCACAATGAATAATTGACTTCACAGCGATTGTCTTGGTAAAAGCCAATTTTTCGTTATTCAATGCCAAGTGCAAGGAGAAGGCACTTTGGTTGAACGATGGCGTTGATGGTGGCAAAATAGAGAGATCTATAGCCTTCAATTGATTTTTCATCTGTTACTACGCCTTTCATTTCTGCCGAAATGGCTTTTCTGTTAAGAAAACAGGTGCATTTCAATGCACAGGGCTTTCTGAAAACCGAAGATAACAAGAGAAGCTGATAAGAGAGAAAATGCTATGCTCACTAATTTCATAATACATCATAAAACAGTAGAAAGTTTGCATTGTTCTCCGTTGTAACGCGTGCAGACTGAATTTGAGATGAAAAACCAAAGTACACCACAAATAATTTTTCAATTTAAAGAGCGTCTTGACGGTGATAATGTAGTAAATAATATCATCCGCAAGCAACGAATTCTACGAGCACTCGCACACGGGGAGAAGCTCTTTGGAGGGTTGTTTGTGCTGTGTGCTCGGGGGGCCGCGTTGGGTGCGATATGTGTATTGCGGCTCGTTTGACCCTTCTTCACACATATGACGGAGTGACGTGCCTCGGAATATCGTACTATTATCAGGCATAACATCACTGCCGCCTCCTCACGCAGCAGTAACCGTGTTATCATCAAACTTTGAGTGAGTGAAGCGCTCTCTGATTTGTTTTCAGGTGGTTTATTACAATATTAGTGACCTTCACGAAAGCGGCAACATGAAAAGTCCTAGACTAGTATCATTTTGACAGTGTATAGTGAACACGCTCTTTGCCTTTTCTGCAAAAATATTGTTCAAATTTTTTTTTGACTACTGTTGTCAGAATAAGCAAATGACGCTCAGATCATCGGGCTCACTGATGAATCGTAGAGAAGAAAGAGAAGATGAGAAAACGTGATATACAAAAGTCGCCAAGTGTTTACAAATCGGACATTTGTGCACATCAGCTTTACAAGAGGAATGAGAGAAAGATGCGGCGGTTCTCGTGGCGATTCGTTCGATGATAAATGCCGAATGCCTCTACTCACTTTTACTATTCCGAAACATTCGTTTTCACTAGTCTCTCACTTTCACTTGTCCCGCGTTCTCAGCAAACAGTCGAGTTTACTCCCTTACAAACCCGCCTATTGTGTATTCAGAATTGCTTTGTCGCTTTGCAACCGAACGGCTCGTGTCTTCTCGTTTCGAAGTATGGACCAAAATGAGAAGAAGACAATGTACGATGTGATGGCCCATCTCACTGATATTCCGTTGCTTGGGAAGCAGTACGTACCAGGTATAAATGAATCTAGTCAATAATCCGATCAATACATTTGAATATCACTAATCCAGGTTTGTGGAGGCAGTTCGAGGGAGGCAGTGGTCAACAACACTCGCGTTCCGGAGAACCAATGAATCAGAGTGATGTCACGACTACTAGTGTGCAAGGAAATGGAAAGGAGAACACGCGCGCGCAGGTCGGAGGATTTATTCGGGCACATGAGAAGGTAATTCACACTATTGAGCACGAATTTTTCATTCAACATAAAAAGAATGTGTAAGAAAAAAGTTGGAGGCTGATAAAATAATAGTTTTTTTTTTTAGCGTGCTCTCCCAACACCGACCAAAGACGTTGTTGCTGACTCAGATCTCTTGGCTCCTCCAGCAAAGACACCTCGGATTGAAAAACAATGTTGAACGCCTGTAAACTTTCTTTTTTCAAGACAAGATCTCCTTAAAGTGTCCTTTCCTTCATTTAATTTGTGATTCGTTTTGGATTTCCGTGTATAGATTCAAAAATACAAAAAATGAAAATATCATTCATTAAACAAGCGATTCTCGATTATTCAGCAAGAACCACGAAAGAAATGTGGCAAGACAATATAAATACATAAAACTCGTTGTAATAGGTAGAGATCGAAACATGACCGGGAATTGTGAATATAATATTAAACAAAAATTTCGCAATCTACTTGATCGTTGACCATAGCTTCAAAAGACATGCGTGTTTCGTGAATATGAAGTGAAGCCGAACTGTTCGACATACCAGAACCCCTGAAAGTATAATAGCTAATTGGGACCGCCGCGTCCAACCTCAATTACCTTCTTTTCTCGTTACCACTCGATGAGGGAAGTGTGATTCCTCCAATGATTTCAGAAGAAGACCTTCGGATGCAATCATCGGACGATCGCCTGAAAACATAAAACCGATTCTTATTATCTGCGTAACAGTTTCATAGATTTGCAACATTGTTTCTATCAACACGGATTGAAAAAACAATATAAACACAACGAAGTATTGTAGAGTACGTCAACTCTACCTACCTAAACTGATTGGGGTCTGGAAGTGCTAAATCTGCGAAAATATTGAGGGTGAACCTGAGAGCTCTAGAACTGTAGCCTTCTCACCTAAATGTGGTGTTCCCACCCGCTGAAATTGAAATCCGATTCGGAGAAATCTCGTCGATGACAATCTCCGGCTTTTGCATTGAAATTTTCCGATTGTTCATTGGTCTGAAACGTGATCTTCAATTTGCGCTCTTGATAATTGAGCGCAGAAAGTTTTGATCAGTCAACATGCTAAGCATTTCTTCGATAACATTCAGTTGCGGAGCAAGAGAAAAGAAGTGGATAATGATGAAAAGCAAAGTAGTAGCAATCCCTATCCACTAACGGTCCCATGCGAGAGGACTATCACTTATTCTAGTGCTTTCCTGAACCTTTTTAGTATTTTGTTTCTGAACGACTGGCCAGAACTGGAAGTATCAGAACTGAATTGCGGATTAGGTCAGCTGCTGCAAAAGGGGTACTTACCCGGCGGAGCTTGTTTTGCGCAACGGACTTTTCACAATTTTATGGAAACCGCATCCACATTTTGCAGGTCCTCTGTTATGAAAACTAATATTTTTGAATGGGATCGAAGAAGCAAACCTGCTACTGTCTCTCGGAGGCAACATCCACGACTTTTCTCGTTGCCGTCTCGAAGACCTTCGGAATCCGAGCAAACGACGGAATGAATGGCGGAACTTCTAAAAAAAGAACTTATAATATTTCGAAAGAATTAGAAATAGTACAGGGTTGATAGTGGAATAGATGAAGAAATTGAGTGATGAATTGAGATATCCAAGAGCTGTGAACCAATGGAACCATATTTCCAAGTCAGCAGACCAGACGTTGAAGATGAGTTTGTAAATCTTGATCATGTTTAGCGTGAAGAACGGAAGCCAGCACACAAGGAAAACAACTGAATATAAACATGACTCTTCAAAAGTCTGATTTTTCGTACCCATAACAGTTGCCACTAGCTTAGTCGCACGTGTTTCTCTCCGAATAGCCATTCCCTGCTTGGACTTCAACTTTGCAAGTAAATCCAACGCCCAGTCCTGGAAAGTCGAACTCTGCATTTGAGGTTGTGATGTTCTCATACTTTTAGACCCGCCAATTTCTTCCTCGCAATGTATACACTTTCTCGTCTTGCATAAAGGTACATGTTGCTTATGGAGCTTCTGGAAGGACGCTCCCAATCCGAGATCATTTCGGACAAGCGTCTCATCTTCCTTTTCTCAACCTGCAACACATATTTTTTCAAAGATCTTCTTTGAGTGAATGAGGAAAAGCCATTCTGAAAGCGGTGGATAATCATTAGGGCTAATCAGAGAACCGCAACATTTCGTAGTGTTGCTTCTCTAGTTAGCGCATGTGCGTGTTTGCAAAAGCAAAAGCAGATAGACCTACCGCATTTTGTATCATTTTGCTCTCTGAATTCTTAAAAGCAAAGCTAACGAAGGTACTCATCTATGCAACCTCACGTGCTACCGATTGTATACATTGCATTAAACTCTTTTCAAGAGAGAAGCGTACCTAATCAGTGAGTTGTTCATGCAGAGAAAAACACACAATAGAAGGGTCCGAAATCACTGAGTAGTTACCGTTCCAGAATTACTCTAACTCACAAATTCATCTTTTTCATATGTTGAAGTGATCGGGAGAGAACTGGTTGCGTTCTAAAAGGTGTCAAGACAGTGGAAAATAGAAGCGGAACTAAACGAAAGTAGACTTACCAGCAAAAAAAGACTAAATGAATGTTTAGAAATTGTTGAACTCATGCAATTAACGTTTTCGCTTCTTTAATCAGTCCCCCACTTCCTTTTTACTTCTCCTTTCAGAAATGGTCTCTGAGCCCAAAAGCCTTGTCATTTTCAAAAATTCCTTTGACCCCTCGCATCTGCCTTTTTCCTCTTTTCTTTCTTTTTTGCCGGCTTACCAGCGGTGGCTTCAGAGAGTGCAACTTTTTGGACTCTTCGGACGTGACGACTTCCCGATTTCCCTGCGGCTGATGTGAATGCCGCCTTTTTCGAGATGAAGTTCCAAAAGACACCGACTTCATTCTACCGCGACTCGAAATTGAATTGACTGCATCAGAGAATCTGCGGGACATGCTGCAATGGAAATCTCGTTTAGAATTATTTTTTCTCTCTTTTCGGACGCGCGGACAAGCCTCTGACCCCACTCACTTTTTTGTGTATGTCGGCCGAGGAAGTTCAAGAATGGGTCCACTGGTGTCGATCTCGCATTTCAAAGTAACAGCTTCAAGCAGGACAGAAGGTGGTCGGTCGGGATCTTCCTACAAATGGAAAACACTTGAAAGAGCAAACTTGAGCAACAAGTCTCCCACCTCGATTGTTGTGTTTTCCTGACTGCCTGAAGACGACGGATGAACAGCTTCAAGGATCGTTTGAAGCTAAAACCAACACACATAGGCGGGTACACAAACACGTTCTTTGCTCAACACCACTTCATCTCGCACCAATTTGGTGACTCATATTGTATCCTCTTCTGGAGCTCTCTCCGCCCGTCAGACTAATATCACATTCATCTTTTCCGAGAACTATAAAACGGGCAATTCTCTATTCCGCGCAAAACGTCCACGGCTGAAGCGAGAAGACGCTTTGAGCCTTTGAATTTTTCATTGGAACAGTGAGAAAATCCGAGACGAAGTGTAAATTTCTCACCACGAATCTACTCACCTGCTCTCGTTCACTATCGTTGAGCGAACTAGCGTGCTCCGCAGCGGTCTCCTCAATCTTTTTCAGAAGTGGCTTTTCCCAAGTGATCATGTTCCTGTTCTTGGGTGCTATTCCAATAACCGATTGAATTGCCGATGTTGTGATGTTTCCGACGTCAGCTCCGAAACCAAGGAACTGTCCTCCAGCCATTTCCTGAACATTCCAAAATTATTTTTGAACTAACTAGGGCAGAAGCAACCTGAAGCTGAATAGCTCTAAGCCGTTTCCTAAGAGTGTAGAAAATGTAACCGTAAGTGAAGATCATGATGAGACACGGGAGGTAGAAAGCGAAAATGCTGCTTCCGAGCATGTAGATCGGATTGTATATTCCACAATGATGCTCAATGACCAAAAAGTAACTGGTACGTGTGTTGAATCCAGTTCCCAATGGCAAAGAAAGAGCTATGCTGAAGATCCAAGTGATTGCGATTGCCAAGTACACCCTTTTTTTGTGTTTCATCGTTTTGTACTCGGCAGGTTTCGTAGCAGCCACCAATCTGGACTTCAAATGTTGCACTTCGAGCCGCTTACGCGTGTATACCTGTCAATACTGATCAAAACGAGATGAATTATTGACGAGGTGCTCGCGGCAACATCCAAAACGCAGTAAAAGTAGCAGACAAACAGAGGAAGGTGCCAGTGAAGTCTGTTGACCTAAACAGTGAAATGAAATGCATTTAGAAATGTGAATTGAACCTACAGAAAGATATATGCTGAATGGCATCACAAATGCTCCGACTATCAAATCAGCCATGGCCAAAGAGACCAGAAGATGGTTTGTCGGAGTTTGTAGGCTTCTCGTTGTCCAAACTGCAGCAACGACCATGAGATTACCCAAGATGCACACGAGGGGAACGATCGAAAGGATCAGATAGGCCCACTCGGGCTGGAGCATCTCGTCCTCCAGCTCCATGGCTGCCACCGCAGCCGCAATTTCCGTTTCGTTCATCAGACCAAATCTAAATATTTCTTGAATATTCGTATAAAAAACAGACGAAACTAATAAACGTACGAACAGAATGGAGAATATGACGAGAGAATAACAAAAGGCAGACCAGAAGCAGAAGTCATCTCGTTTACTATTCTCTAAATGAGGAATTTCTTCGCCGAGGCGCAGAAACCAAAAATTAGCAGAGTCACTAGGTCTAGGTTTTCCATCCAAAACAGTTATTAACGCGGGAAAAAAATCGATTTATTTCCGTGAGAGTAATTCTGTACACTTGAATTAGACTAGGGACAGAGCGAGAAAGGGATGTCTCTGCCGCTCAGATTTCGCTTACATAACGAAAAACAAGTTTTTGTCCTGGTGAGGCAAGGACTGAAATGAAGTGAGCTTGCCCAAATATTTCATATCCAAGGAAGACGTCAATATCATTCAAAAGGTTCATACTTCCGAATTTCTTATATCTTTGTTCTCGCGACACTCGTGTCATAAAACGTGATTTTGTGGTTTTACGTGATTTGGCGAGAAGAGTAAGTACAATATGACGTGAAAGATCCGACGATAGACTTGTGAGCTCAATTAAAAGTGTAGTATTATGCATTCATGACTACGCTTTTTAGAAGTGCAATAGTGAATTGAAGGGTCAAACGGATGAAAACGATAGGATGAAAAAGAAAAAGAAGGGAAGAAAGGGTTCGTTTCAAGAGCAGTCCGTTTAATGGGGGCGCAGTGAGAAATTAAATGAAGCGAGGAGGCCTTAAATCGGTTAGGAGGCGGTTGATTAGCGTAATTTCTGAACAGTGGAAGGAGAGAAGAAATGTTGAAATGTTTCGACAATACTCTGCAGAAGAGGAGAAATCCGAAAATAGGATTTGAAGAGTGGTTTCGATAGTCGGTGAGAGGTTTCACGAAATGTCCTAATTAGATTAGAGGGCACTGAGTAAAAGACGGACTCTGATTGTGCACGCAGAAGGTCCAAGAAGGGATTGACAAAGAATTGAGTCCCATAAGAGATTGTGAGCGCAAAATCGAATATTCATATCAAAAGACGTCTTGCACACGGAATCTGAGGCAAGAAGAGCGCAAAGGGTGGGTGTGTCCTTGATGGAGAACTACGGTGCTCTCTTCTCCGTCGGGGCAGTGATTGAGAAATACCTCGTGCTCCGGGGGCCGACACATACTCCGGTGGGAAAGGAAATATTCATACTGCTTGCTGTCCGGCCGAGACCCCTCACTCGGTTGGCAACATTTTTTATGATTGCAATAATAATGATCTTAAATGGAGTAAGAGACGGGAAGTGGAAGAAGCTGAGAGCCTGCCGCAATTAATAAAACATAAATCGCGGTCATACGGAAAAGTTTGATGAAACGTCGTCCTCGCTCCTGCTGATGTACTTGCAAAGCGTTTCGATGATACCTCATTTGCAATTTTTCGGGGGCAGAAATTTGAGTAGGTCGTTCTGAAAGTGGAGCAGTGCAGACTGCTGCAGAAGAAAAAACAAAAAGTTCTTTGAAATCTGGCGTCAAATCTTCTGCTCTAGAAGTTTCCTGGCAGAGAGTGAGTCCATCATAAATTCATGAATCTTTTGTCTTGCCGCACTATTGTTTCTGGTCACTCGTTTGTACGTACGTCAAGCCCCGAAGGACGATTGATACGTGAGATTCATTCCTCTTTCTCATAACCCAATCTAAAGCGTTTCGACTGTCTCACGACTCGGGGATCGATCCCAATGGGGGATGACGTTGGAGGCTATTTGGAAATCGTTCTTCAGAATGTACACGAGAGGGTGTAGGAGAAGATGCAGGTGAAAACAATTGTGATGGCATATTTATGAACGATTCCCTCGTGCAAACTATCAAGGAACCAAAAAAGACACGGAAGTAGCCTTATTTTAACGTATCCTCCAAGTATCTTTAGGTTTTCTGAATGTTTGTTGCCAAACATGGAAAGTACATTTAGAGAAGACGACAGATGACACGAAAGAATCTATCTTCATCTTCTGATCAAAAGCCTTCTCGCACGGAAAATTGCTTTATGTGGGTGAATTCTTCGGGAACATCATGTGCTTTCTGAATATCTCACTTGATTCACGGGTAATACAATACAACAGAATCTGCACAAAGTCACGAAGGCCAGTAACTGGAACTTGTTCTGGTTACAAAGATTGCAACTGACAAAAAATAAACTTCGATAAGAAAGCAGGAAAGAAAGATTGAAAGAAATACAATATTAACTGACAATACAGCTAATCAGGACACTAGCCCGTTTCCAAAAAGGAGAATGTGTTCAATTAGAGCGTTATTATCAAGTGCCCTGCGTCAGTGCGTCACCTATTCCTATGGGGTACCTCACGAGTGTCTGTGAGAAGTTTTCATTGGGTTCTCGTTTGTTCCGCGTTTCTAAAGAGGGGGAAAGGGAATGAATGAAAATAAGGCCGGCATGAAAACAAATCCGAATACCTAAATAAACCAAGATGGAATTCGTCGAAAAAGAGAGTAAGACAACCAGAAATGTACTTTTCGAGCAGATTAACTTCAGTGGACACTTTGAATCCGAATTGATTCTCATGTTAAACGGAGTATAGCTCAAACTAACAGGAAATAGATTCGAATGAACAAATAAGAGAGACTATGTAGAATCAGAGAATGAAATGAGAGAAAACATAATTGCGTGGGTGTTACTCCAGGGAGAATTGTTTTCTGAAGACTGTTCTCTGAATAAGGGAATGAGTTGTAGAATGAATAAGAAAGTGTCTCGTCTCGTGTCAAAAAAAAAACAATCAAGTTATATAATATGAAAATGACGATGTGGCTCAAGTGAACTGCACAAACGTTGACCCTAATCTAATTCGGGAGCACTGTAATCACAATCAATTTGTTTTCCGCACACCACATTGTTTTGTTGATGGGCTAACCTATGTGGGTTTGTCATATTGGCACTGCTCCGTATTGTGAAAGAGAGTTAGTCATAGTTTTTCCTCGGCATCGAATAATCTTTGTGGTGGATTTTACTATAAACCAGGGTAGAATCACGGAAAGACCTGATTATAGACATCTAAGTGAAAACATGAAGACTTGCTGGAAGAATAGCACCAAACTGCAACAATCCGGTGATTCCCTCAGTGCGTATCGTTGAATCGTGATGCTTTGCAGCTAGTGAATCAAGGATTAGGTGCTCGCCGCGAAGCGAGAAGAAGAAGAAGAAGAAGAAGAGGGAGAAGGAGAAGGTCCGTCCGAAAAGTTGGATGCTTCTTTTTTGTCGTCGGAGGGCAATAAATTGAATCAAAGAGTTGCAGGCGCGAGGCAAGGCAACAACGCCGACTCACGGATTCACCGATGTTCTGATTAGACTAATCAAGTTGTGCTCTCCCTTCTCCCTCCCTCCCGGCTTTTTCTTGTGTGGTTGCGATTCAAGAAAAAGGGTCCTTCAGCTCTTTTCCCTATATTTTCCATATTTGAATTCGTTCCACGCACTACTATTTTCCCGCTCCAGTTTGTTATTAAAATGAGGCAGCGCAACGAAAAGATGAGCTCTGATTTCAAAAGTAGACGTAGGAGGAAGGTCATTGGAGAGAAAGAGAGGAGCAAAGGGCAAGCACACATATGATTGAATATTTTTGGGTTAGAGATGAAATTGAAGATGAGGACGGTGCTCAGAGTGCGACTCAAGGAGCTCTCGAACGTAAATCCGATTCTTGTTTGGAAATGCCGAAACCGAAACTCGGAGTGGAATGGAACTCAAACTGAAGCCTGAAGCACTGCCTACAAATATTCTATGGGAAATGAAAAGTGCAAAGTAATTGTTGCGAGATTCCCAACTTCCAAATTTCAATTTCTTCCAAGAGTATCAAAGACTAGTTGCCGAGGGTTCGCCGAGTTATTTATACATTCTCGAGAAGCTGTACTTGGCAACCTAATTTGGCATGATCGTGAGAAAGTCTTGGCTGTCGTTAGCCAACCGGTCACGCGGGAAAAACTATGAATGGAATACCCGAGATATGAGAGTTTGGATTCTCACATACGACTTGCTGCACTGCTTCTCAATCAGAATCTCCTGCCATCGGGGATTGCACCTGCCGACTAGTTTTTGCCGAAACGGGAACTAACTCATGTCTGGAATATGAGAGAGGAAGAGATAGAACTGAGAATGGAGTGGAGAATTGATAATTTCATGGATAGCAGGAGACATCTTTATCGATGATAATAAACTGAATTTTCTTGATTTTGTCAATATCTTTTCAGCACAATAGCCTTGATAAAGCTCATTGACAATGCTTCCGTGAGGTTCATTACTTTTCTTGAATCCTGAATATTCAGGGATGTCTGGTTTCTCCTTGCCCACCGGATGAACATAATTATACTCGAGTATCACGGACGACTGCACATAATTCGTCTCAAACTCATATTTTTCCAAGCACGGGTTTCTACAGCTTCAAATGCACTTAGTTTCCTTTTTGGTCCGATTGTAACATATCACGAGAAATTTTGACATTTCGGAAATGGGAGATTTATATTTGGTTTATCTCTCTCTCTCTCTCTCTTTCTCTCTCTTTTTCCTGTCACAAGGACACTTTTATATACTCATCTCACCCTTCAAAATTGCTCGACAATTTCAACGAATTCCATTCCAGAATCAGAGGCACGCTTTTCACAGCTTGTCCCCTCACTCCAATGCTTTTTTTCCCGGATTTCCGGCATAAATTATTCAAAATGACTGCTTTTTCGCCTAGAAACTCTCCACCACTTCTCTCCACACCGCACATTTCTTTCTGCCAACAAGCCTTGTCATTGTAAACTTGCAATTTATTATAGGAAACTGTATTGAGCCATGGCAGCTGTGCAAATTAGGCACGACGAGGTTGCAAATTGGATTCATTTCGCCGCCGCAACGGATCATCTTCAAATGGTGCAGACCAAGTATTTGCCCCATGCCACTGCTCTCGTGGCGGCACTTGTAAGACGGTCCCTATTCATAACGTATTCCAATGGCACACTTTCAGATTTTGGCCTTTTGGTCGGATACGCTTAACATCAACTCTTACTTCATTTCTCCGAAAAAGTGCAAAAATGCAGTAGACGAGTTATTGAAAAAGGTACTGAATTTTATGAAAATTTGATTATAATTGAATTTTCTCATCTTTCAGAAGCATCAGGTGGTCGGCAACGAATGCATCCCGGACACCACTACCTGCTTCATTGTAGTTGATTCCTACTACTTGGAAAACAACAGGTATGCGTTGTTCCAATGTTTCTAGAAACGTCAATTCAATTCACATAGTAAAAACGTTACACTGCACCTTTTCATCGCATTTTTAAAACCCTACCATTAAGAGTCATAATAGCCATGAAATTTTATGGCGGTCCGGATCGTCAACACCCTCACATAGCTCTCTATTTCATTGCCACCATCAATTTGAAACGATTCGCGTCGTTAGGCAGCTTTTTCGGAAATGAGCGTGCGCCGGCAAAGGAAGCAGCATTTCCTCATTTTCGAATGGGGGACCTGCATAAAGCCGATTAGAACACTAGGAGAACTTGAGACTCTTTCACACTTTTTGGATATTTCTCAATTACCACGACGTGAGTGTAGTATGCGCGGAGTCCGTCCAGGTGAAATTCCCCGAGGACCGCCGAGCCTTAGCTTTTATTATCATTGTGATCAGGTGACTGCTTGCTGTTCACCGCTTCACTTTCTTATTATATTTACTTCTTGACGTTTCTTTCATAGATGCCCGAATCATGTGCCCTTCAACTAAACAGAGACTGTTTTGTTGATCTCGTGCTCGGGTTCGTATCTCATTGTGTCGTATGATACACGAGTCTCTCAGCTATACAACGATCTACTTTTCGAGTTTGAATTTACTACCCAGCTCGGACATGTTCTCTTTTTTTTTCCGCAAACCTTTCATGACCCTGACCTTGGTTTCTCTTCCCTTCAAACTACTTTTTGCATTACATTCGCACAGCTACACTGCTTTTTTTTGGGAACACCAGAGATGTGTCCGGAGTCGGAGAAATTCTATTCGCTCTAGTTTGTACGATCCAGTGTTGCGAATGCGATATTTACATCGTCCAAAAAGAGAAACAGCGTGAAATAAGAGCTAATTGTCACGGTACTCCGTCTCCTGCGCGAGTTCTCTCTCTTTCTCTCTTTTTCTCGGGAGCCACACTCTTTGGCAGCGTCGGTCGTCATCAGCACATCGGGCAGACGTCGACGTACTCTTGATGATTCCGTCGGGTTGCCTGGTTGCGTCGTCCCATCCCGCGCCGTGCTCCCACGAGCTATGGCTTCGCGTCCAGGTGCGCCCTTTTATTGCCTATCGATTCGATTGCGCTTTCCATTGTCGACTCGACCCTTCCTTTCCCCATCTCTCTTTTCTCACTTTTTGACGCTTTTCTTCTTCCAAAACCACCTCAAACTCCTCGTAGAATTTCCCGAATTTTAGGCTAACAACCAAACGTGATCTTCTTCTCGGTGAGAACACGGAATATTCGCTTACAGGAGTTGAGGTCGAATCAACAAAACGTATGTTTGTTGGATCACTTAGTTCTTTCTAGTAGAAAACTAATAATTACAGCTGTAACGTGGGACAACATTGACTCTCGCAATTGGCCTGTGAACAAGGTTGTGATAAACGCCAGATACGCGAGACTTCTTGTTGCTTCCGGCTTTATAATGGATGTGAGTTTGTGTGGGGTGCGCGCAGGTGTGGAGTAACTGATAAACGAAGGAAGGTCCCTAGAGAATCAAACTTTCATTGAACTACGTATCATAGACGCTATGAAAAGGCTAATAATGAAATGCGCTTTGGTGATCAGCTCAGACTGATGACTAATTAGTGTATGATTTCCTGGTGAGAGGGCCAAGATCGTCAATGATTGTGCAGTAAGAATAGCGGCTGGTCAGCTGATCTGAAGGGACCCCACGTTTCAAAACGGTGACGTCTCAGAAAGAACAAAAATGGTTCATGAGTCATGGCTACCGCTATCCGACCGCCCACCAAAGCAATTGTTGAAACAACGGGTAGTCAAACAGTTTTTGTTCTTGCTGTGTGTTTTTTTCTTTTCCTCTCCTTTTCTTTCCTTCCTGTTCCCTTTCCGCTTTCTCACCCTCTCATTCTGTCGATTTTATGTTTCAGAGTTTGAACTTTGACGACAGTGATCACCATGATATTCTCATTGCGGGACTCGGAGGCGGCGTCATGAGCAACTTCTTTTCTGAGATATCTTACCTCAATGTAATCTCGGATTAGAAAATTTCCATCATTTTACAGTCATACAGATCGATACCACCGTAGTGGAAAAGGAAGAATTCATGATCGATATTGCCGAGCAATACTTTGATCACTTTGAGAACGAGCAGTTGCATGTTGTGAACAAAGACGTGGTTGATTATATTAGAGAAAGTATCGAGATAGTAGCGTTTGCGTATCAATTTTTCATTTAGATGACAAAAAATTTGATGTGATTATAGTGGATGCATGTGAAAACAGAATGGCTGAAGTGATGTGTCCTGTCTCAAGCGTATTGCAACCGGAGACAGTTCAACTGTTAAAAAAACGATTGACTATTCGAGGTTTGTCCAATGTGACATCTGCCTGAAGCGTTTGTAATGTTTTCTTAAGGAATGCTTGCTGTGAATGTTTATACAACAAAGGGTTCTGCCAAAAACAGCGAAATCATACTTGATTCATTTTCCTCGGAATTCAAATCATGTTTCTATTTAGAGTATTTCCAGAACAAAAAGGTTAGACAAACACTGAGATGCGTTTCCAACAGGGTTAGCCTAGATAGCACGGAATGCCAACAAACCATGTCAAACAACGTATAGTATTTGCAGTCATGACCATTGCTGGCGGTGTCTTTCTCACTAGTTACACAGACACTCTTGCGCCTTGCAAAAAAGGCAGCTGCCGTCTCTCTTTTCACTTTTTTTCGCAAGCAAATGAAAGAAAGTTTTATTTGTGGGTCATGCCCTTTAAGCCGAGCGTCTTTTCATTTCTACGTACAAAAGCATACATTCGACTACTATGCTTTATGAATTTAAATATTTTCACAAAATTTCGAAAGTGTTCTTGAACACGCTAACAGCATCCAATTAGACATCTGTTACGAGTTGAGAGCCGCTAGAGTCTGGGGGAAACGCATCTCAACTGGACCCTATCGATTTTTGCAGGTCCTTCTTTGTTCCAAAAAAGATAACTGGACTTGGGAAGCACAGAGAAAACGCTTTCTTCAAAACGTTGCAATGATTGATGACATGTTCGAATTCAAGCTGTCCCGTTTTCTCTCTTAATTGTTCTTGATGTTCCACTAATAAACCTACCCGTGTGTTCTCATCTTAATGGTGCGCTTTGGCGTGCTGGTGTTTGCGTACGGGAAGAGACCACCCGTCACTCAATCAACTCGTCTAGCGCAAGTTCATCCCTGCGCGCATTCTTTCGGTCCTCTTATTAGCCCAGTCTTCAGCTGGATAGAACATTGTTTCAATCAATACTCTTCTCTTTCAGGTCTTCGCGGTACTCGACAGGCTCGTAGGCATACGGGGACAAGTTGACAACCGTTTAATAGACCTCCGGCTAAGGCGTTTAGCGCTAGCTGTCCGTATCCGTCAACTACAAACCTGGGTAAGTTGCTTTCCCTCTCATTCTCTCCACAATTGTGCCACTCTCGTCATATCAGAATGTGATCTAGTCTCACGAATGATCACGTTTTTCTCTTTCTCTCTCGCACATGAGACCGTACTCACAAACGAGACACGCAGGGGGGGGGGGGTATCCGCGCGGCAATTAGATTCTCTTCAACCTTGCACGCACGCATTATTGATCGCCCCCACAGTTGTTTCTTGCCAGGGGGGTTCGTCTTTCGTTGTGCACCCACCAACCACCCTAATGACGTGATTATTTATGCGTTTTTCTGCATAGAAGTTTTTTCCAGTTAACGTATAAATTTATATAATCTTCTTTTTTATCCATCTTAGCACATAATCTTCTAGAATAAGTCCACTGGGCGCGTGGCATACCCCTTTAGTGACGTTTTAATGACCTTTAACGGTTTTCAATATTTCACACAATTTGCTTTTTTTGCTTTCGCTCAAGCTATTTTCATGATTGCTCGAATTTTCCAATCAAAATCGAAAGAGGAAAATTGTAAACGTTCAATTTCTTTTTTACAAACCAAACCACATGAAAAAACACACCGTACGCTCCTGTGTTTAAATTTTTCTCGACACAACACAAGTAGCAATGAGCTCATGAATTGCCGAAAAATATTAGATAGGGTTAGAAATAGTCAGAATGCGGGCACAGTGATCGGCGGCGAAGCGTGTAGTTTTAAAATAGACCGAGTGAATTTCGAAGCGTGAGAACAACGAGTCACAATCGATAGGAGACACGCGTGAGAGAGCAGAAGCGTATGCGGTGAAGAAGTTACCTTTAGACAAAAAGTTCTTCATTAGCATAGTGCATTTCATCACGTAGACTATTCGCATTCGCACGCTTATACTCCCATCATCCCTATATTGCTTTGCTATGTTATCTAAAGGCACCACAATTAACGGAATTTATCATCAGATTGATATGCTGAATCAACCGGCACAACTCATCAATGTACAGCGACCTCATCAGATTCAGCCTCCGGGCCAGCACCGGATTGTACAGGGACAAGGAATCCAAGTGAACCAGCTGCAGCCGGGACAGCCAGTGCAAATTCGAATACAAGGCGATCCAATCAACATCGGACCGGCTCAGCTGGCGAACATGCAGAGGCAGGGACAACTCGTGCCACAGGGCCAGATTGGTCAACAGAGTATAATTGTGAATATGAACCAGCCGATTCGTCCCCAGCCCAATCAACAACAAGTCATTCACGGGCAGAACCAGCAACAAATACGAGGCAATCCGCAGCAGCAACAGCAGCAAATGAGAGGCGGACCGCTACCACAAGGGCAGCAGCAGCAATCTCAGATGAGACATCAAATGAATCAGCAAATGATGAATGGTCTCCCTCAGCAGCAGCAACAACCACAACAACAACAACAACAGCAGAGAATGCAACAGCACAATGTGCAACAGAATCAGCAGCCGATGAGAATAGTTCAAGGACAAGGACCTCAGCAGCAGCCACCGCTCAGAATGCAACCGCCGCAGCTTCAGCCAACGGTATAATCCGCCTTTTACAAATGTCTTTTTATCATAATATTTCTCAGTTCCAGATGCAGCAAAGCCAGTCTGGCATGAACGGGCCTCCTCCACAACAACAACATCGGATGCAGCAGCAAAGCCAGCCGGAGATGCATCAGGTACGTCGTTTTCAAACGATCTTTTGTTATTTTCACGGTTTCCTTTTCCGGTTAAAGTTCCATACAGGGGTCCCATTTAAATACAAGGGTCCCAAGTTTAGGACGATTTTTATAGGGGTATCAAGAAATTTTTGCAATATTACAGTGGTACCAAGGAAAATTCCATTTTGTTACAGGATAAAACAGAATAATCAATTGTTCTTTTTTAAAGAAAACGTTTCACTGTGTGTTCTAGGGGGAAAAGGTTAGAGGGCGGGACGCACAGGCTGCTTTCTGTTTTTGGGACCCTTGTAATATTTCGACAATTTTTTATGACCCCTGTAGGATTGCAACAATTTCTTGGGACCCCTGTAACACCTTTGGGACCTCTGTATTTCCATGGGACCCCTGTATGGGACTTGAACCCTTTTCCTAGTTCAAGATTCAGAAAACCCAGCCTAACATGAGTGGCCCTCCACAACAACAGCAGCATAGAATGCAGCAGCAACAGCAGCAAAATCATCCGGAGATTCATCAGGTCTGTTCGGTGTCTATAATACTACTTGGAGCATCCACCTGGACTTTGATTTAAAAGAATGATTACCGTTTCTCAGTTACAGATACAGCATAATCAACCTAATCCGAATGGCCCTCCCCAGCAACAACAACAACGAATGATGCAGCAGCAGCAGCAACAGCCGGATGTGCATCAGGTTTGTCATTTTCCATTTGTGTTTTCTTTGCTTTTGTTAACATCGTCGCCAGTTCCAGATACAACATAACCAGTCGAACATGAGCGGGCCTCCACAGCAGCAGCAACATCGAATTCAGCATCAAAGTCAGCCGGAGATTCAGGTTTGTCATTCTCATTCTCGATTGATTTCATTTCAATTCTTACGGTTTCCCAGTTCCAGATACAGCACAATCAGTCGAATATGAGCGGGCCTCCACAACAGCAGCATCGGATGCAACAGCAGCAGCATCAAAATCATCCGGAGACTCATCAGGTTTGCTTTGCTTGCTTGATTTCTTTTTTATAACATCATTTCCTCGTTCCAGATGCAACATGCTCAGTCTAACCCAAACGGACCCCAACAACAGCAGCAACATCGAATGCAGCAGCAGCAGGTAAAGACACTGGTTCAGTGAGAAATGTGAAAAGTTGAAATAGTTTCAGATGCAACATGTTCCGCAGAGCATGAACCCACCGCCGCAGCAACAAATGCGAATGCAGCAGCAACAAGATCAGCCGATGCACCAAGGGCAACAGATTATGAATGCACCTCAACAACAACGTCAGCAGGTATGACACTCTGTTGGCAAGAGCAGCTGGGAGGTTTTGATTTTTTCAGATGCAGCAACCTCAACCATCGACTAGTCAGCAACAACAACAACCAGTTCGGATTGTGGCACAGGTATAATACATGCTCCATGCTCCAGGTTAATCTTTTCTATGTCAGTTGATGACCAGCTTGCAACCGATTCAACCGCAGCAATCTCAGCAAATTCGCGGACAAATGCAGAATTCTCCACAACAACCGATGAGGTTGACTCCGCAACCGCAAGGCCGGCAAACTCCTCAGCAGCAGCATGGACGGATAACTCCTCAACAACCACAACAAGGACGGTTAACTCCTCAACAAGTTCAGCAGGTTCAGCAAGTCCAGCAAGTACAGCTTCTCCAAGGACGCCCTGTGCAGCAGATTCAGCCAGTGAGGCCCATTCAGCAGATGCACCCTTCTCAGCAACGACAGCAAATGCAAATGAACAGGAATGTGCAGCCAAACCCTATGGGCCAGCCAAATGTTCCGGACCAGCAGATCCAGCAGATCCAGCAGCAGCCCATGATGCAACCGCAACAGACTCCGCCGCAAATGCAACAGCATCAAACGGTGATTGTTGAGCAAGAAAATGGTCAGACTATTCGGATCAACGGCGACCGAGCGATTATCAACGGAATGCAGTATCGTCTGATGCAAATGAATCCAGGACAGGACGGACAAATGCTAGTCCCATCGCCTCAGCAGCAAGGAAATCTGGTCTCTGAACAGAATCAACAAGTAACACAGCCGCAGAGACCTATGCAACAACACGGATCCACTCATCAGCTGCTACCCGTCCAACTTCCTCCCAACGCCGCAATCGTTCCACAGAATCAGAATCAGCAGCATCAAATGGTCAACCTCCAACAAGTCTCAATTCAACAACAAGTAGTTTCTCAGCAACAACAGCAGCCTCCAGCAAAGCTTCCGAAAGCTCCAAGAGTACGGAATCGATCTAAGAAGAATACAGCAGCAGCCAATCAAAACCAGCAGCCGCAGCAACAACAACAACAGCAGCAGCAGCAACAGCCAATGCAGAATGGAGGGCATTTGAATGGACAACACGTTGGACCGAATACTGGAGGACCGAACGGACAAATGACGATGGGGGCGCCGAACAACCAGCAGCAGCAGCATCAGCAGCAGCAGCAGCAGCAACTGCAGCAGATACCACAGAAAGGACGTGCCCGGCAGATTGTTCCTCCAAATCTGACTCCACTGCAACATGAGCCAACATTGCGACTTCCGCCGCCGGATTACACGGCAGATCCGCCAGTTCGAATGGCTCAGCAGGGTAAACACCTGGTTCAAGTTGGAGGGCTCCCGCCGGACGCGATGCCTCGAGGTGCTCCGTTGCCTGTGAAGAATATGCTGCCAAGAAATCCTCTGCAACAAAGGACGGGACCATCGCAGCAGGCTCAGCAGCCGAACGGAAAGATGCCAATCATGAACCGACCTGGAAACACATCAGAGAACATGCCGTCTACTTCTCAGCAGAAGCCACCTCCACAAGAGAAAGAGTTTTCGGTTATTCGCGATGCCATCGTACTTCACGTGAAAGGAGAGAGGAAGATGTCGCCGGAGGTGAGAAGCTAAATGTTTTAGAGGAGATATTCAATTAATGTTTTCTTTCAGTACATTGAATACGTTGTTGCTCAATTGCAACGGATAATGAATGAGATGAAGAAAATGAATTTGCAAACGGACCCTCGATACGTTTCTGTACAACAGTTGATGGCACTGATGAAAGGAGAAGATTTCTCAAACATTGAGTATCCGAAACGAACACCAAGGCCAGAACGCGAGCAGCCGATTGACAAAGGACTACCAGACGTGCCGCCGAACGAGACACCGGAGGAAGAGAAGGAACGGTTCGAAGGGTACATGGAGGTGCTGAGAAACGCTTATCCGCTCAAGCCGTGTGATATGACTTTTGCTCGCATACCTGATGATATTATCAGAAAGGAAGCGGCTTTTTAGTGAGTTTGTGTACAGAAGACAGAATAATATTCATTTGTTCAGTATGAAACAAGATATGAAAGCACGGGCCGCTTATCTGAAAGAAAATATTGATAATATTCCGGAGGAGGAACGTACCAAAGCAAAGATTGAATACCTTGGACTGAACCTCGTTGAGTTGCAAGAGAAGGTACGGAGAGAAGTGGAAGCGACTCTAGTCACGGAACCGCCTACCGAGTTTCTGATCAATCCGTGGTCTATCCGAAGGACAAAGGCTGAGTACGCGCAGGAGTTGAAGGCACATCCGGATCGAGCGGCACTGGAGAAGAAACGGCGGGTCAGCAACAACTTGCTTCTTCACAACTTGTCCAAACACACTCGGGACTTCCGCGAGTTTCACAAGTGAGATTATTGTGCTATAATATGCAATCGACACTTAATTTCAATCTGCAGAAAGAACCTGGCTCAACAAACAAAGATTCGGAAGTCGGTGCAGACGTACATCACCAACGAGAACAAAAGGAAGACTCGCGAAGAGATGAAAAACGAGAAGATCAGAATCCAGAAGCTCATTCAGGAAGATGAAGAAGGATATCGTGCTATGTTGGATGACAAGAAAGATCAGAGACTGGTGTATTTGCTTGAGCAGACTGATGGGTACATTGAGAGTTTGTGCGAACTGCTGAAGCAGCAGAAGAATTCAACCGATGGAAGCCTCGGGTTCAAAGCACCGGTCCGAAAGGACTATGACAATGGTTTCGTGAAAGGAGAAAAGGTAGACAGAATTCAGAGTATCCATTCATTTGTTAATTTTCAGGTCAAAGACATTCTGGACAAGGCGCGAAACGATGAGGACGAATACGAGAAGACCAAAGTGAACTTCGAGGATTACTACACAATGGCTCACGGTATCCGCGAAGAAATCACTCAACAACACTTCACGATGGGCGGAGGCAATCCAAACTTGAAGCTAAAGCCATATCAGCTGAAAGGTCTCGAATGGATGGTTTCTCTCTTCAACAACAATCTCAATGGTATTCTCGCCGATGAGATGGGTCTAGGAAAAACCATTCAGGTAATAGAACATTAAAAAACATTTCGAAATCATTGATTCCAGACGATTGCATTCATAACATATCTGATGCAAGTCAAGAAGACAAGTGGTCCATTCCTAGTGATTGTCCCTCTTTCGACTATTTCCAACTGGAAGAATGAGTTTGACACGTGGGCTGCGCATGTTCAACTCATCATCTACAAAGGTCCGAAGGATGGGCGAAAAGCCATCGAGCCCGTCATTAAATCCGGGAAGTTCAACGTCCTGCTCACCACCTTTGAGTACGTGATCCGAGAGAAGGCTCTGCTCGGAAAACTTCGTTGGAAGTACATGATAATTGACGAAGGACATCGGTTGAAGAACCAGCATTGCAAATTGACTGAGATGCTGAACACTCGATTCCAGTGCCAGAGACGATTGCTGATCACTGGAACCCCTCTTCAGAACAAGGTCTGTGTTTTTCCTAGTTCTAGGTTTTATTTCATTTTTTGCAGTTGCCGGAACTGTGGGCTCTTCTCAATTTCCTGCTCCCCGCCATCTTTTCCTCGTGCTCATCTTTTGAGCAATGGTTCAACGCCCCGTTTGCAACTACTGGAGAGAAAGTGGAATTGACACAGGAGGAGACGATGCTCATCATTCGCCGCCTCCACAAAGTACTTCGACCTTTCCTTTTGAGAAGACTCAAGAAAGAGGTTAGATTTCCTGAAGATAGAACCAATTCTGAATGCGATTATCTTAGGTCGAGTCAGAGTTGCCGGATAAAATGGAGTTTGTTATCAAGTGTGAGATGTCTGCACTTCAAAAGGTGCTTTACAAGCACATGCAGAAGGGACTTTTGCTTGATGGCAAACAGAACACTGGAAGTCGTTCTTTGATGAACTCCATGGTTCACCTCCGCAAGCTCTGCAACCATCCCTTCCTTTTTCAAAATGTCGAAGAGTCGTGCATTGCTTTCTGGGACCATCAATACATAACTGGGTAAGCGAGCCACGTCGTCCTCATAATATGTATATGCAATGTTTTGTTTCCAGAGTTGATCTGTACCGTGTCTCTGGAAAGTTGGAGCTGCTCGACCGTATCCTACCGAAGTTGAAAGCCACTGGTCACAGAGTCTTGATGTTCTTCCAAATGACATCTATGATGACTTTGATCGAAGATTACCTGTCCACAACTTCCATAAAGTACCTTCGTCTGGACGGAAGCACAAAGCCTGACGAACGAGGAACACTTCTGGAAATGTACAATGCTCCCAACAGTGAGTACTTCCTCTTCATGCTCTCAACTCGAGCTGGTGGACTTGGACTGAACCTCCAAACTGCCGATACCGTCATCATTTTCGACTCGGATTGGAATCCTCATCAGGATATGCAGGCTCAGGACAGAGCGCATCGCATTGGTCAAAAGGCAGAAGTGCGAGTGTTCCGTCTTATCACTGCAGCTTCCGTTGAGGAGAAGATTCTCGCATCAGCCAAATTCAAGTTGAACGTCGATGAGAAAGTCATTCAAGCTGGAAAGTTTGACAATAAATCGACTGGAGTAGAGCGGAGACAATTCCTCGAAGAGATCATCAAGTGAGCATACAGTTTATTTAATTCTATGCAATTTCAAACATTCCAGAGCTGAAAAAGAAGGAGAAGAGGATGAGGACGTGCCCACCGATGAGGACATTAACGACATGCTTTCTAGAACCGACGCTGAGTTTGACCTCTTCCAGAGAATGGATCAAGAGAGATTCCATTATGACAAGAAGCACAATGTGTAAGTTGATGTCTCCACTTTCCTTGATTAATGTTCTTTTTTATAGCAAGCCGAGACTTGTCGGAGATGAAGAGATTCCGAAGGACATTCTGCGTGCCGCCGATGAAACGGACTATATGGAAAAGGCCAAAGAAGAAGGCCGGGTGCCCTATTTGGAGGTGATGCCGGGATCGAGAAGGAAGAGGAAGGAGGTAGGAAACGAACAATAAAAAACGTTATCTAAACAATCATATTTCCAGGTTGACTACTCCGGAGACACGATGTCCGATGACAAGTTCCTCGAAAAGCTGTTTGACGGTGAAGACGCGGCTCCAGTCAGGACTGAACCCAGGGAGGAACCTGCCCAGGAAATACCTGCTCCAAAGCCTCCAGTGACCGAGCAGCCTCCCCTTCCGGCTTTGACGTTTAAAGTGCCTCGTATCACGTTCAAATTTGGCGATGAGCAGAAACGGTCGCAGAAATTGAGTGGCAGCGATGCGGACGATGTGGAGAAGCAGCACAAGAAGCACAAACGGGATGACGAACACCGAAAAGAGCGGAAACGTAAGGACAAGGAACACCGGCACAAGGACAAGGAACGCCGGCACAAAGATAAGGAGCACCGCGACAAAGACAAAGAGTTGAAGCGAAAGTTCGAGCCGCCGATCGAGAAACTCAAGATCAAACTCGGAGAGCCTGATGCCAAGTACAGGAAAACGGAAGAAGGCGCTCAGAGGAAAGAGGAGGCTTTCCCGCCGATTCAAAAGCTGAGAATCAAGTTGCCTGAGGAAATCTTGTCTCTGAAAAAGAAGAGGGAGCGAGATGAGGACGGCGAAGATTCGCCGGAGAAGAGTAAGAAGCACAAGCACAATGAGAGGGAACAAGGAGAGTCGGTGTCACCTGTGAAGTCCTATTCGATTGCTCCAAGCGCTGACGTCACACTCAACTCGTCAACCGACGAGCATCAGCCACTGAAGCTCAAATTCAGCGTTCGCTTCAAAATGCCCGAACAAGTGTTGGAGATTCCGGCGAGAGATGAGGTGCAAAAGGAGAAGAGCAAAGAAAAGAAGAAGGCTCGCGAGAACGAGACGGAAGAGGAACGAGCTGCTCGGAAAGCTGCCAAGAAGGAGGCGAAACGTTTGCGAGACGAGCAAGAGGATTCGGTCAGGATTCAGGAGAAACTGGCGAAGAAGGCTCGGAAGGAGCAGAGGAGACTGGAGAAGGCAAGGCTGGAAGCTGCTGCTGGCACTGCGTCCACCTCGACCGAAACAACAACAGATGCAGCTGGTTCTGCATAACTTATTTATTAATTGAAAAGCATCTCATATAGATTCTGGTGATACTTGATACTTAAAATGCCATGTTATATTGTATATATATTTATTCTAATCAATAACCCTATTAACATTGCTCAATTAACAAATCTCGAAATACTAGTCTTTTTCATAACGTCCTTGTCATATATTTACTTGGTTAGTTTCCCTTTGATGATAAGAAGCCTTACAAACAAATAAATATGCTGTGTATAAAATTGTGGGTGTGTGTTATTCGGATTTCGAAGGGATGGATGGGTTAGAGATGTCGCAGCGGTGTACTCGGCTCGCAATTCCCAGATGAATAAAAAATGAAACACGCCAAAAACAGACGACGCAGGCAGCCGAAACAAGCGGTCCATCGAGGGTTACGTCGAGCACGTCTCCGTCTATATTCTCGCCCCCCCCCTCCCCTAAACTTATGGACGAATCAAAAAGCACTCATCGGAAGTGGATTGAAAGAGGTGAGATGAAGCGGTCCTCCTGCGCTCTCGGTCCCATTCTCTGCCCGCAGCACTCAGCTTAATTCATTCCCGTTTTACAATTATAATCGGCTACTAAGACGGTCGGCACCTTTCCAATTCGGTTATAAAAGAGTCGGACGGAGCAAAGCCGTCTATTCATCGGCTCACCTCAACGACTTCGTTTCCTGCTAGACTTTTGACGTCTTGTTGTTTGTATCTCTTCTCACCTTTTTTTCGGATTTTTCCTTCAAAACGGAAAAAACATGTTCTGCTATATCGTTAGAGCTAGGTTTGCATATTTCCGTGGCTTCCGTGGTTGCTCATATATTTATTTTTGACGCCAATTTACATTTAAATGAGCTTATGGCGGAGGATTAGTGCCAAAATTAATATGCATTCCATTCCTCCACTCGTCATAACGTCTTTTTGCTGGGTCGCTCGATCCACTCTGGTATTTTCTATGCGCTCCACTGAACTCGCAAACAATAAATACGGGTGCGGGAGAACGAAGAGAATGGTGAGAAGTAGTCCACTCCGGAAACATTCTAAATGTTCCCTTTTTACACGTTCTTCTCTGAACATTCTCGAATGTCACACAAAATAGTGTTACCAAGCAACGTGCGAATGTAATCGTCTCTTCTCAATCGTTTGAGAGCTCCTTGCCCCCCATTATCTCATTTGGCAAATGAGCCTACGCATCCGAGCATTTCGCGGAAGCGACATCCCAAAACCAATAAGGCGTGCAATATCCAATCCTCCTCTATTTCCGTCTTCAAAGATCTGGTGGCTTCTGAAGCAGAATCCTTTACAGCCGAAATGCTACAACGTGCCTCGAGAAATCCATCGTTTGCCGCGACTTGCACTTGTGTTGCCCCTTCACTAATTAGTCCCAGCCTTGTCTTCTTTAAAGAAGCTTATTTTCGAGAATGTAAGGGTCTCTAGTCCACAAATCTTTTCTTGTATATATTTCAACGCTCTCGGAAATTCAAGAAACCAACCTTGCCTCTAACTGTCCAAATACAAACAAGTTTGTTGTTTGGTTGACAGAGAAGAAAGAGAAAGAGAGAGAGAGACAGAATGTGGGGGGCAAGGTTCACAGGCAGGCCGGCTACAATGTAGCAAACGGTGGCCGTACTCTGATCAACCGGTCACACATTCTGTCCCCCAAACACACCAGTTGTTCACAAACTCGCCGATGGTTGCGAAACAAAAGCGCATTATTTTTCCGAAACTAGTGAGCATCATCATCATCTGCAATTGTTACTCTCTCTTGTCCCGCCTTATGCTTCTTCGCCTCCGTCTTCTTCTCACTTCGCACTGCTCCCCAGGAATCCGTTATTCCTGCTGGCCCGTGCGTTTCGGCAATTTGATTGGCTGCTCTTCTGCTTTTTCATGACCGATAGCGCGGTCCTCTCTGACATGCCTATGTTTTCGTTGACATCCTCGCAGCAATGTGTCCACCCCATCCGCTCCTCCCGTTTTTTATTCTATTTTTCCCTTTTCCTCCAAGATTTTCGTTTTTTGTTGCCCTTGACAGAAAGAGAGACAAACAGAAGGTGGTCGCAGTCGGAACCAACACAAGATATACAAATTTTCGCGCACTCACTTCTACACAAACACCAACCGCTTCAGGTCCCAGCCGAAAGGACCGGACACACTCGGTAGTGTGCTTACTCGTAAAAATATATACTACGTGCATAGCGTTTTCTCTCTCAATATTTCATCGCTCTTTCCGGCCAGCAGCCTATAATTTTCAAAGCTTCCTTTCTCTGTTCCTCTTTTTTGTCGCCTCCGAAAAGCTTAGTTGAATTGCCTCCGTTCTTCTCTCCCATTCATTGTTTTTCTGCAAATGGGGCCTCCAACGTTTTTCAAACAAAAAATTGCGGTTTTGTTTTCAGATAAACAATGGGTAGTTATATCTCGTCGCCACAAGTTCTCTCGCGAAAGGTGTCGGGTCAATTTCAAGTCGGGTCCAAGGATTTGATGATCGACGGCACTGTTCTGGGTGATCGTGGACTCTTCATGCGACTCTATTTCCCAACGGACTCTGAGGTGATCGGGGATTTCGAAAAACAAAGACGACAAATCGCATTTTCCCTTTTTCTTATCGCCGAAACCGAAAACGCGAAGTTTTGGTTTCGAATGAGAAGAATGTCAGATAAATGGCGTGATTTTCTTGCCATTATCTGTACTCATCAATATTAATCAGAGTGCTTTGGTTAATTTGATAAGATACGGGAATACCGACGAAGGGAATGTCTTTTTATTTTGCAGGCCACAGACATTTTGAGATTCCCACTATGGCTTCCTCGAGCACAATATGCACACGGACTCGGTGAATACTTGGGACAATCGCCACAAAAAATGAATCTGATCACATCTGCAATTGTTGGAGAGAAAAGGTCCGCTCCGAGAGCAAGAAGTGCTTCAATTGCCATCAATTTTCAGAGAGGACTGCATTGAGAATGCGCAACTGTCGACGAAAAGTGACAAATGGCCGATTGTCGTCTTCTCGCATGGGCTCGGCGGCTCGCGCACATTCTATTCCACCTATTGCACTTCGCTCGCTTCCCACGGATACGTCGTTGCAGCTGTAGAGCATAGGTATGGGATTTTGGCTCCGGCAAGATGAGAGGGATCATGTTGCAATTCTCTTGCAGGGACCAGTCCGCTTGCTGGACTTATCAGCTGACGGAGAAAAACGGAGAGTTGGTCGAGCAGCCGATCAAGATTAAACTCATCGAAAAGAACGAGAAGAATGAGTTCAAGATCAGAAATCAACAGGTTTGCAGAGCAAGGGATCATTGAAAAACAAATCAGTTCCACTCATTTCAGGTCGGAAAACGAGTTACAGAATGTGTGAAAGCTCTGAATGTTCTGGAGCAACTGAACTTGGGCGCGCTACCCGAAAAAGTTCTGATCGGATCTGATTTCGATTGGGGTCGCTTCAAGAACAAGCTCATTATGTCGACGGCCGCAATCATCGGACACTCTTTTGGAGGTGCCACTTCATTGGCCTCCTCCGCGTACACCACAGATTTCCAAGTGAGACATCCGTCGAGAAAACATCGGGAAAACATGTCGTATTTTTCAGAAAGCCATCGTTTTAGACGGCTGGATGTTCCCGCTCGATTCGACGCACCAAGAACAAGCAAAACAACCGACAATGTTCCTGAATATCGGAGATTGGCAATGGAATGAGAACCTCGATGTTATGAAGAAAATCTTGCCGCACAACGAAGGCAATCTTCTTTTGACCATCAACGGAGGTGTTCATCAGTGCTTCTCGGACTTTCCCTTTGTTTTCCCGATGTGGTTGGCAAAAAAATTTGGAGTTCAGGTAAATATTAGATAGATGATAAATGATGCCAATAGTTTCGTTTCAGGGTCCAACCGAATCTTCCCTTTGCATTCAAGCAGCTATCGAACTCTCGCTTGCGTTTTTGACTTACGGAAAAAAGGGCGCTCAGGATTTGAAAGACGCAAAGTTCTCCAATTTTATCACTAATGAAATTTATGGACGAGAAAAATTCAAACTCTAAATGTTTCATAGGCCTGATGTCTGGGACCCCGTCAATTCGCACGTAGTTTTTCTGGAACGGGTACGCATCTTAACTTCTTGCTCGTATTGTTTTCGTTTCTTCCATTCCATTCATTTTTGTGTAATCGGAATAAATACTTGTTTTTAAAGTCATCATATTTTATTCAACTAAACTCCATCGAGACTAGCTATAAAACGAGATGGGCATGCAGGAGAGTGGTCGAGTGTAATACTAACTAAATGCGAGGGACCGAAGGTTAGCTGTATAAGTATTTCATTTTATTTCAGATGCTGAAGAGATCTTAATGCTGGAGGGCGAGGTTCTTGAGAAGTTGCTTGTGTTTGAAGTAGAGCGAGAGACGATCTCTACCGTATTCCTGAAAATTACCATGTATCATTCAATTCACAGATTCACTGGCTCACAGCAAATCCAAATCCGACAGGCGAGAGCTCCACTTGCAACAATCCCCAGACACCCCAGAAGAAGTGAGAAACCGGAACGAACGGAAGAGTCTCTTGGACTAATTCCTCCGACTTTTTGTACAACTCGTTCTCGCGTGTGTGTCCCTGTTCACGAAGATAATTCACAAAGAACTCGAGCATCTGAAACCGATACATAGATTATTAGAAAATTTCTGATAACACAAAACCATGTCATGCTCCGGAAAATGTTCAGTTTGGATTTTGTAAAACGGAGCCTCGTCGATGTCGTAGTCAATTGACCACTCGACAAAGTGATTGGCAAAATCGAATGCTCTGGAAAATAATAATCGACTATGCATTAGGTGGGTTAGAATGCACCTATAATTGTAGCTCGCGTACTCGAAATCGATGAGAACGAGGCGTGGGTCGGCAGGATTGAATGCCGAAAGGCTGTTTCCGAGGGCTTGTGTCTCATCGGATAACGACGGCATTCTGATGTTTCCCGAAGAGGCTTTCGGCAAAAGGATGTTTCCTTCCTGCAAATCGTTGTGACAGAACGTCACCGGGCTCTTGCTCAGCGAGATGTGAGCTCTCAAAAACTCCAACTCCTTTGCCAAATCGAGACAGTTGACACTGGCGACCCCACACTCTTCTTCGGGGAGATCGAATCGATGCTCGGCCGCAACGGTCAGAGTTAGCTGCTTCAGCCATCTGTGTGAATAATGAGTTCGTATTGTTCAGAATCATTTTTGTCAAAACCTTTGCAGTGCCTCGCACAGATAATCGGGCTCCTTCCAAATTGGCACTTCCAGTTGATGGACTTTGGCGACGCGTTTAGCAATTTTCGCGGACATGTGCGGCAACGAAATCTCATGGCAAGACAAAGGACGCGACTGCAAAAAAAGAAGAAGAAAGAGAAACCGAATTATTCACTCTGTTCTGGCGCGTTTAATGGCGCCGCGCATGTCCAACACATACCGGGATGTACTCTTCCAAACGTCCGCCGCTGAAGATGCCATAAAGCTTCGGTCCCAAATGACGCTCCGACAGAAGAGTGAAAATAACGGATTCGGCGACGAGGTGACTCTCCGTTTCCGGGTTGAAGTACACACGGAGCAGTACCTTGTTCGGCTCGTTGCGGATTGGCGGGTAGACTTCCGAGAGACGGCACAAAAAGAGCATGTTGCTCATTCCACCCCTAGAAGAAGCATTGACACTAAACACAGATGGATACTCACTTGATGCGACTGATTCTCAAATGCTCTAATGGAACAGTCTTCCAAGCTCCGCCAAGGAATCTGGCACAGAGCATGTGAGCACGTTCCTTGAGCTCCGGAATAGTGTTCGCATCGGTGTCGAGATCCATGGTGGACAGTAACTCCTTCATACCCCTGAAAAGGAAAACAGTGGAATGGAAGACTTTGTCAAAAGAGCTCATGAATCTCGCGCCCTGAGCCAAATAGAGAGCCCAGGGCAGACCAGAATGGCATCGTTTGGGAGAAGGGGAGAACCTCAGCTTTTATGTGCATTTATTGCATATTCTAGAGAGCCAGTACACGATTGTCCTGCCTTCTCATACACAAAAAAGAAGAGACTGGCAGGCATTTCGAATGAGAATCGCATGATAATATGGAGAGAAATTGGCTAAAGTCCGACTATGCAATTTTTAGGAGAATAAGAACTAAAATTGGCCAAATTGTTCTCTACTCTCTAGTTTTAAAGAGCATGAATTGACTGTGAAAGGTTTCTGTTCCACTAGTCAGCTCACAAAAGATGGGAGAAGGAGGAAGGTTGTGTGGGGAGCAAGATGACTAAATTACATGTTCCTCCGCAAAATTATAGACGTGAGGTGTCGAGTGAAAAGAGAAAAGACGAGAAAATGTGAGCCGTCTTTTCGCTCCAATATTGTAGAACCATGACAAAGTCAGAAACCTTCATACGGGGCGAGCTGACGACAAATGTGGAGGGTTTTGGTGACACTGGCCGGATTAATGACGTCAGTTGCTAGGAAGCGATCGGCTAGATTTCACGGTTCTATGAAAAGTGAAAATGAAAAAGTTTTTGAATGCGTTCAACTGCCGCCGACAACGTTTTCTCCAGGGGGATTTGAGAAGTCACACAGTAGAAAACACCAGAGGCAAGAGAGCCGGAATGAGAAACAAAAAGTGAGCATCCTTGTCGGTCACCACTAGCAACGCCAATCGTAAAGATGGTTTATAAGGATATTGTTTCTATGGAAATTGTTTTCTGGGGGTGAGAAGGAGAAGAATGCCGAAATAATACGAAAAATTAGTCAGCATTTTTTCCAATGGATGATGTATGCCCTAATACAAAGACAATGTTGGATATGACGCCCAAAAAGGATTGGGAAGGAATGTATGACATCTGGAGTTTTAGACCCACTTCAAACATAATTCTCATTCTTCTAGTTCATCTCAAATTTCATCCATCCATTTCTTTAAATTGTCTTCTTGTTCCTCTAAACCGTACCTGAAATGGCCTTCCGCGACAAGACTCATGTTTGCCGCTGAAATCAGTTCGTCTTCGTCGTAGTGCGCACGCGAAACTCTGAAAAAAAGCTCATTATTCTAGTGAATCACATCAAATTGAGAGAAACGAGAGAAGATATCCTCTGGACGAGAAAAACCAATTTATCTTTTTCTTCCTTCAAATTTATGGGTTTTCGAATTCCATCTATCCATTTCCTTTTTTCATTTTTTGACGAAAAAAACGGGCGGATTCATGTTTGTGAAATTGAATTTGGCTTTACTGAAAACTGAAAAGGGAAAAGCAAAAAGGAGAGTTGTGAATTGGTCCAAAGAGACTATCCTCTGTCGAACACGTGCTCAGAATATTTTAAAAATCGAGAAAATTATATTTCCCTGTGAATTTTCAGATAAAGATGGAATACTCACTTTCTCGACGACATTTTCAGTAATATATCAGGTTTTCAACGACGTAATATGAGTAGTAGCAGCAGTCGACGTCACGTTTTCGTTTTTTGGAAAATGCCAAAGAGGTTTGGTTTTGGCCGGCGAGATTCACACGAAATTGGTGGCTATGAGCTGGTGCAGTGAGTGGGGACTGCTCGTGAGGGGCTGGGGCTCTTTCACCTGGTGCCTCTTCGATTCTCTTTCACACTCATCCGATTGGGGCGCTCGCAGTCTGTGAGAAAGCGCAAGGCCTCTTCACTTTGACAAACACTGCCTACAACTCTTCATACATTACATTACTTGTGATTGAATTTGTCACTTTTCACTTTTCACAACGACGTTAATCATGAACAAGTAAATTTTGAGAAATTTCAACGTTTTAAGTATAATTTCGAAATATCTATCAGTTCACAAATCCGAATTAATCAACTTGACGCTGAAATTATTTTAGATGACCCCATCACAAATGTCAACAGAAAGTTGAAGGAAACAGCAGAAGATATGCGTCTTGACACGAGCCAAAAAAGAAACATTGCGCGCAGAAAAAGACGGAAAGATGAGCAAAAGAGAGAGAGAGAGCAAGAAAACGAGTCGAATAGAGATCGTCTTCTATTCGAGAAAAGAGAGAAACATGGAAGAATGAAAGAAAGCTTTCTGGAAAACTGAGACAAGGAGTCTTCGAACCGACCAAACGCGCGTTGGTTTTTCTTGTTCCTCCTTGTGCTTCTTTGGCAAAGTTACTCGAGATTTTGCATCTTTTTCTCCGAAGATAAACGCATTTTCTTGCGAACAATGAAGATGCTAGTAGAAAACACGGAACACGGAACAAAATAACACTTTTATTTGTGGGGTTCAAAGCAATATGAAAAGCGAAAAGCGTTTATTACATAATTATGGATTACGAATACAATCATTCCGACGAGGAGTTACCCTTTTCAGTTCTCGTCATTTCCCTCGGAGGTGCAACACAGTACGCATAGTCGAGCAGTTGTTCCATGTTCATTCCAGAATAAACGCTCATTTCGTTCTCTCGCAATGAAGTGAAGTCGTAAACATCGTTATCTAAAATTTCTGCTGTTTATCACCCTTGTGGTTTGTACTTCACTCGTCGCCCAGCAGTTGCAGATCGCTTGATTACGTGCCAGTGCCCTTCTGAACAAGTGCACAATTTCCTGAATAAAATTTGACAAAAATAAATTATTCAAAGCGTTGTCAACCTGGTCTGTGAACACAAATGTGTCGTTTGGAAAGTAATAGAGAAGAGCCAGCGTTTGAACATTGATAATTCGGAACTTCAACCCATCACCTAAAAACTGGTGACTAGGCATGTGGCGGCAAGCATGTCCACCTATAAAAGTGATGATTGAGCACGCTCGCGGGTCCATGCACAGTCTGAACAGAAATGACCACAACCACTCATATGCTGAAAAGGGCAAATGTTTTGTTTACAACATTCTTGAACAACTATACTTACAGTTTCTTCTTAAATGACATTTTCCGGCGTAAAACTCAAACCAACTCTGATAAGGCATTCTTATGACGGTGCTTGCGGTGCCGACAAAGATAACGGCGGAAAGCGGTTGTTTTTTCTATTGAAACTGACTCACCCAGCCGCTCTTTTGAAAACAGTGCGTGCTGAAAAACAAAAAAGGGACGGGACAACACGAGACAATTGTGTTTGGTTGTTGATGAACAATCTGGGAAAAAGTGAGGCCGTACGATGAGGAAAAAGTGTACAGTTGTCCGTCTCAAGCGGAAATGACAAATGATTATGTGACGTGTTACAAATCGCTTGTTAACTTTGTACTCTTCATCAATAGGTTAAAGGAATAAATGCGAACACACAGAAGAGAAAAATGAAATCTCAAAAAAAATTTATTATGATGCAGATTCGACTATTCACTCGTCACTATGGAGGGGACTCTGAGCCTGTGGGCTCGGGTTGATGTCGGTATTATCCCGATATTTGTATCCAATACTCGCTGCGTATCTCTTGATATCTTCAATTGTCTTCATTTTGGTTTCGTTCAGAAGATCTGAATAAGCGTGCTCCGTGAAGACATAGCAATACGTCCCTGAAAGAAAAGAGATTCATGGTTTTCATCTTGTCAAATCCATTTCCCCACTTGTTCCTTTCTTCAGTTTGCCACATTTTGTAATTACAATGGAGTCCCCATCCTTTTTTTCATATTTTTCGCGAATCGCTCTGGACAATTTATAATAATCCATTTTCTGAAAATAAATTTATAACCGTCTCAAATCTTGAATATGATAACTTTTGTATTGTGTTTGCGATTCCCCCACATTTGTGCAACCAGTTCCTTGTTGATAAGGATAAATTCCAAATCGTTTCCCGTCCATCGCAATGCTCTTCTCGCCCGATCATTCATTGCAATGTGCACGAGAAAACCAATGAGCCGAGATGGTCCTTTCACTGTAAAATAACGGCCGTCGCGTGTTGTGGAGAAGAAAAAGTTTACTATTGACGAGTTCTTCGTCGGTCATTGGATCGTTTAATGGCCGTGGGATCAAATAGTTGTGGTTTTGCATGTAAGTCATTTCTTTAAAAACGATGAGCACTATGTATTGCTTGCAATAATCGAAAACTCACGATTGATGTCGAGATTAGAGGACTGTAGGGCTTGTGCCTGCAAGTCCCATTGACTCAAAAATGAATTGACTGGGCTCTCAGGAATTCCGTGTTGAAATCGTTTACTCTAAACTGATATGATAAAAAAGCAGAACTAAAGTTCAAAAGTGACTCACTTCATCTATGCAATACTTTGGTCGTTTCATTCTGATCGGCTCTTTGTTCTGTTGGGACATACTCGCGAGCATTGTTAACTGGTTGAACAGTGCCAATTGCGGAGTATTCGGTGTTTCGGTAACCGCGATGGCGACCTGCAAATGAAGAGTGAGAGCGATAAGTGAATGACGTTTGACAAGTTTACGCAATGATGGTGATGGTCGGTTCAATAACAGAGCGGTTTTCTTATCAAAATGAGTCACATACTTACATACACAAATCGGGTGTTTTCTTTCACAAGGTTTCTAACCAAAACCAAACTGTAGTGATTTGAGGTTACAGACTCATATTTTCAAAATTTCAAAGAACAACGGAATCGGTTCACGATAAACTGGTAGGGATAGAAGTTATAAATGACAAGTGAAACTTTCAAACTTCTTTCCGGAATGTTTCAGAAATTGATAAGAATCCTCATTTTGTCGGAAATTCCTATCAAAAGATTAAACACGAGTCATTTTCTTAGGTAAACTTTTTTTTGAGAATCGGCGCATCATTCGAACTCTCGATCATCATCAATTGACTTCAAAAAGACCGAATTCAATCACAAGATTTCCAAGATGTTCGATTATTCCAAAAATGGATTGTTATTGACTACTTTTTTCAAATGACAAAATTAGGCAATTTTGACTTACATAGTTGGCACTATCCGAGGTGGATTCCATTTCTTTGAAAGCTCCTTCCAATTGTTTTGTACTGCTTTCGGGTTCGAGAGACGGCGTCAAGTGCACTTCAATATCATGTGATTGTGAGAGCATCTACTAGGTCTGGAAAAAGAACACAAACTACAAAAATGGTCCTGAAATGGTGTGATGTATATATATATATATATGCTTTGAAAGAATTGAGTCATCACATGACGTATCTTTTTCTCTCACTGAAAACCGCAAGCATCACATTGCCAAACCGCAAACCGCTAATAACGGTCAGATATGATAATATACATGGAGGGCCAACAGGCAAGACTAGTGATAACAGAAAACAAACGAAGAACAGTGCATTGGTTGCCATCAAGTGTTATTCAGATTACAAGTTGTGGAAATCGATGGATTGAACAAACTATTTTGTAAATAGAACCGAAGACAACAAAAAATTGGCAACTTTCCTAATTTGTACACACGCTCATTGATAAGAATTGAGCACAATCAGAAAAAAATGCTACAAGTTGACGCCGGACCTCAGAAAGGTCATGCTCTCAGGTTTGAAATGCTCTGATCGGGGTTATCACTTCCAGACTATTCTGGACTGATAAAAAGTCGTATTCTGAACCACGTTTTGGATTTTCTGTTGCAACGTTTATAAAAATCATACAAAGTCGGTGGCCGGGAATTACAAAACCGCAAACGTTGTTATCTTTGCTTATTCAAATGGCACGCTCGTACCCTTATCTGCTGTCTAGGTCTTCAGCATTGGCCGAAACCACAGCTCTAGCATTGGCCAAAACCACATTTTAAAAGATCTTAAAAATAAAAATGTTGGCTTTTCAAATGTTTACAAAAGGTTAGATTTGTAATCAAACCCATTTGAAGAAGTTGAATTTGATGTCACCATCGCCGCCCTTGTCCTACAAATTAATCATCTATTTTATTTGTATATCATCGCATAAGTTTCCAGTTTTTCTGAAAACTCTTCACCAACGTGTCAAAAAACGTCATGTTTTGTCAGTACAGCAATTGTGTAATACGCGTCGCCACTTCTCATCCAATTCACTATGTAGTGATTTTCTCCGGACCCACCAGTTGTTCATTATTTTTCCCACTGGCTGGTGTCTTCTTGAGAGAAAGAGTCCGTCCCTTCCGAAAAACCTTTTCTTGAAACTGACTTACTTCTGAAAACGATGTACACACACAATGCCGCGGACGCATTCGATATGGTGAGACAAAGATGCAATTCAGACAAAAAGAGTGTATGATCGATAATTTTTTAGGGCTCTGCGGAGAGCTCGTTATCTTCTCTCAATGAGATCCCCATGGAGATGGACCTGACAAGTGCCGGTCCTCCAATTTCCGATGACGAAACAGAAGTGGAAATAAAGGAGAAGAAATTATTTGTGGTTTGTTGATCTGAAAATATGAACTAGAACAATAATGTAATTTAAGTATGCAAAACGTATACTTCCACACGTCGGTCTGGTAATACTCTTATTCCTATACCTAATAGCCGGAGCATTTCTATTTCGTTACCTCGAAGCACCGAAAGAACTAGAAGTGGGTGTGTTCCATCAACAGAGATCAGGTGCAAATTTCAGACACGAAATCTAGAGATAACGACAATACTTGGACTTCGAGACGAGTTTCAAGATCACATTTGGAACATTACACAGGTAATGGAAAAATGTCATATCAAAACGGGGTAAAGTGTTTCGCTTTGTAGGACGTTGATAATCGGATTTCACGAGAGGCCTTCAACGCAATCAATCAAGAGTACTTCGAGCAACTCGTCAAGAACATGTTCACCGCCTATCGGAACCAATTCATTACGGCCAAACACTTGCTAAATAAGACTCGCGAAGACGAAGTTTTGTGGACTTTTCCGAATTCCATGTTTTTTGCCGCTACTGTCATCACGACGATTGGTGAGTGTTGCGGTTTTGCTGATCGCTTTGCCCGCGTGATTATATTTCCCATCACTCGCGCCGGAAAACAGTGACGTGAATGTTTTCTCATTGAAACCGCAAAATTGCGAAATAAGACAAGAATACATTTCTTTATGAGGAGCTCGACTGGATGTTGAGACTCTAGAACCGGGGACGGGGTCCAAGCGGAGTATACTTTTTTTTTAATTTTTGAATGGTTGTGTCATTTTCAGGATACGGAAACCTAGTTCCAATTACTGTAGCCGGGAGAGTGGCCTGTATTATCTTTGCGCTTTTCGGCATCCCACTTCTTCTCGTCACGATTGCTGATATTGGAAAGTTTCTTTCTGAATTCCTCAGTTACCTGTACAGGTCATATCGTGGCTTTAAAAGAAAGGTATGTGCACGGGTCGGTTGAATGTGCAACGGAATACCCTCCCTTCCCACACGAGTTGATGGTATGAACACCGTTTTCAGTTGATAGCAAGACGCAGAAGTAGTGTTGCGCACGCGGTAAGACCCCTCGACTAGTGCCAGAGAGAGAGCTCATCCGCATCCCTTTTCCCGATACTTTTCAGCATATACAAACTAACGTTTCTCTGTTGACAACTGTGACGAAAAGAGCACAAACTGTCGTTCTTATGCATTTCTAACTCATCTTTTCACGTTTCCGGAGATTCCCTTCTATTTTTCTCTTTGCATATAAGAGCAAGGATGATTTCGAATGAGCGCACTCACTAAAACACATAACAAAGAGCATTCTAGAACATACGAAAACATGACTAATCAACAATGTGACATCACGAAAAGTACGCAGTAGACACGCTTTTCTTTCAGCTCCGTAGACAATCAAAGAAAATTACTAGTCAGTATCGATCGCAATCACAATCAAGATCGAGTTCGGTTATGGGATCTTCGAAAGCGGGATCCATGAATCTCCACGACATGGATTCGGAATCAGAAGACTCTGCTGGAGATGAACTCAGAATTCCTGTTTTCATGGTGTTACTTGTGCTCTTGGCCTACACAGCAATCGGAGGATTTCTATTCCAGGTTTTTATGTTTTTGAGTGTTGTAAGAAAACGAAAAATTTAGTCTTGGGAGCATCTCGAGTACTTTGAAGCGTTTTACTTCTGTTTTATCACTATGGCGACTGTGGGCTTTGGAGATATTGTTCCCAATGAACAAGTCTATGTGTTCTTTACAATGGCATACATTATCTTTGGACTATCACTGTAAGCACAATCTGACTGATAGATTAACTATGTTTTCGTAGCGCAACAATGTGCATTGATTTGGCTGGAACTGAATACATTCGTAAGATTCACTATTTGGGTACAAAAATGGAAGACGCGAAGGGTGCAGTGATGACGTGAAGAGATATTTAATTGTATGGGGTAATATATAGAATAATTTCAGAGGGTTACAAGCAGGAGAGCATTTGTTGAAACATACCGGAATCGAAGTGATCAAAACGGCAGGAGGAAAACTTGTACAAGGCACGAAGTCATTCCACTCTCCATACTCAAAAATCAATATTTCAGTGAGAGGGGCTGTACTGAGTTCCAAAGAGGCGCGTGAACTGGGAATGAGTTATCTACTTCAATTCAACTATCAACATAAGAATGTACTTTATGAACCATTAACCGGAAATCTTGCAAAAGTGGTCAAAGAAGCAAACATCAAGGTACACTATGTCTGCGTGTGATTGCAATGAACTATTTCCAGATTCTGCCTGATGATATCACCGAGAAAGACGGTTACATTGTACAGAATAAAAGTTATGATCGTCCAGTTCTTGGAGAACGCGGGTATGTCCGACTTAATGGGAATGCGATAAAGAGGATTATGATACCGTCAAGGAATCAAGCAATTTGTGTTCCATACCTCATACAGAAAGAATCAGATGTCTAATATAACGGATTTATTAAGCATAATTATGTATAACGGGTGAGCCAATCGATGCATAAATCTCGGTCATTTCAAACTATCTAAACTCTCTGTGTACATCACTGAATTCTCCGAAGAATCGATTTCTCTGAAAACCTAAACAGAACTAAACCAAATGACGGTGACAACACGAACAGCCTAGCCAACTGGACAGATTCGATGAGCTCTTCCACAATCCACGTGTCAATGTACAAACAGTTCACATGAGTCATTGACTTTGATCTGAAACTGTCTGTTTACAAGATATTCTTTTGTGTTAAAGTACCTTTGTAAAGCGCACTTGCACTTGGCCACAATTACAATTTGAGCAAGTCGCTCGAGTAGTTCCCGCGCCTTACTCGACATTGCGGAAGGAAAAAAAGAAGAAGAAGAAGAGCATTGACCAAGTGTATCAAGATTGCATGGTAAAACATGGCAAATGTTTGTGGGTTGGCTGCCGATGCACTGGTATGCATTTGTGATGTGAAACTAGAGATCTCCTGCTTCCTGCACTTGTTGCATTCATTCTTCGCACCACTCCATTGAAGGTTAGCCTCCGTCATGGAGATCCAAAACCCTTTTCAGATAAGTTGGGATAAAACAGCAGCTCAATCGTTTCACGATTACTTTTTCTCGAAAATCTCTTCTCATGGAAGTAACCTGGCAATTGTGAGTTCGTGTATCAGTTTCTGGTGAAAATCATTCTTGAAAATAGGTTGATGTGGATACTGGGAAGCAATGGAGATACTCGGAAATACGCAACTGGTGTGAAATGTGTGCTACACGTCTGAAAGAACTTCAGGTAACAGGAAAACAAATTCTGGTTTAGAATATTATTTTTTCAGGTTACCGCAGGCAGCAGAGTAGCGGTAATCACTGGAACAACTGGCCAAGCAATTTTTGTTCATCTCGCGTGTTCAATCATCGGATGCTCGGCCGTTGCAGTTAATGGATGGAGTACGGTTGGTAAGTCAATCAGGCCACCGGTTATATTGTGAATGACTATTTATAGATGAGATTTGGACATTGATTGATCTGTCAGAAACCACGCACCTGATAGTGGAACATCAGTTCATGCAAAAAGCGGATGATGTCCGACGTAAAGCCCAAATGAGAGGAGGAGGTCGAATCAAGCACGTGCGGCAGATTGAAGATGTTCTGACTGCTGAGAGAATTAATGTGGACAGTGCCCGAAAACGGTATGATGTTTGCTTGATGATGCATGATTTGTCATGAAACATTTCAGATCGATTGATGTTAAACAAAAGTAAGTCTGCCTCACATATGAATTGAAATTGAAATTCCCCGCACGTCGCACTCAATCATTTTATCTTTCAGAGCTCCACTGACCAAAGAAATGTCGTTGGTCAGAATGTCAGTGTTTCAAATGTCATGAGAAAATTATGAGTTTTCAGAAATGTTGGCGCAATTCTTGCCGAGGATGCTAACGACCTGACATCACCGGTTTCCGAAGTTTCTGGTCAATCAAAAGTAAATAGTACAATACATTTTTTTTATAATATTTGTAAAGTTCAGGAGTTGAATGGTGACCTGGAGGGCTCTGCTCCCGATGGTGATGACGCTCAGACTCCAATTCAACAGTTAAGCTTACAGAATCCAATGTTGATTCTATTCACAAGTGGAACAACAGGTCTTGCTAAGGTTTGGAAAACACAATGATAACATAGGAGCATCGTAATTTTCATAATTTCCAGGCCGCCGAACTTAGTCATCGCTCTCTGATAATCAACATTCAGCAGATAAGCCTGCCATTGTATGGCCCAGTACAGGCCAAAGAAAGATTTTTCTTGCCGCTTTCTATTGCTCACATTTATGGAATTATCTCCGCCTACTATGCACTTATAAACGGAGCGGCGCTCTATCTTCTTTCCAAACAATCGAATCGACTCTTCATGGATACACTCGTCAATAACCAGGTTGGAACATAAAACCCATACTTTTAAATGTGAAGGGACCGTTCAGATCAACGTGATGCACATCACTCCGGCCACCGTTCACTGGATGGCCACCGATGCACTCGTTGATGAGTACAGAACTCCCAATCTGAGAAGTGTGCTCTGCGCTGGTGCTCCCATTGACTCCAACTTGGCAAACGTGATGAAAAATCGTATTAACGTCAAAGATTTCCGACAATGTACGTAATGTCAAACTTTTTAATGCAAGGTTAATGAGTTTTAGCATTTGGAATGACTGAGCTCGGAGGAATTTGCACAATGTCTCCTTATCAAGACGATAAAATTGAATCTGTCGGAAATCCACTTCCAGGAATGCTATTCAAGGTGACATTTCCTTTTTTCTTTCGAAATTTGCAATTATATTTGCAGGTCGTGAACTGGGAAACGAAGCAACTGTGTTCTCCTCGTCAACCGGGCCAGATTATCGTGATGGGTCCTCAAGTTACACCGAGCTACTACAAGAACCCAAAGGCCACTTCTGAATTGTTTGATGCTACAGGATTTGTCAAAACAGGTAATTTGGACTGAACAAACACATCAAATATTTAATCAAATTCGCCAAATGTTTCTTAAGGAGATGCTGGTTTTTACGATGAAGTTGGACGAATTTATGTTCTGGACCGTATAAAAGATATTATCAAATGCAAAGGAACAATGGTAACGAAGCACATTTAACTCTGGACTGAAAGCAACTGAATTTGCAGATTTGCCCGTCAGAAGTAGAACTTGTCTTGCGTGCTCATTCTGGAATTGACGATTGTGCTGTGGTAGGGAGACAGGACCATGTGACCGGAGAAGTTCCCGCCGCTTTTGTCGTCAAAAATGCTTCTCATCCTCTTTTAGCTTCCGCCGAAGTCCGGCAATACGTATCTGGTACCTTTTTGTTCGACCAGTTATCTTACCAGTTTCCGTTTTCAGGTAAAATCGCAACTTTCAAAGAACTGCGTGGAGGTGTCTTTTTCATTTCCGAAATTCCAAGAAGTGTTTGTGGAAAGATATTGAGAAGGAACTTGCGACAGTTCTGGGATCGAGAGAGAACAAACTCAAAGGTCAGTTTTCGTTTTCAGAAAAGTAATTTTGAAGTTTTCATATTATTTCAGGTTGAGAGTCTGACCAACAAAGAAGGTGCGAAAACAGCTGGACCGGCAAAAGCGACCCCCGCGAAGAAAGCGAACGGATCTTCGACGCCATCAAAACGTCCGCCATCTGCCGGAAGACCACCGAAAAAATAATTGAAATCATTCCTGCGCTTTTCGCTTTTCTAGGAATTTTTTCTGTTTTGCTTGTGAACAAATGGCTTCTCTTTTTTCGTAAATAAAAAGTAAATAGCATAAATCTTTTATTGAGTGCAGAGTTTGTTCAAGGGTTTGTTTGGTTTGAGTTGAATTTCACGCGAAACGGAACAAAGTGTTGAATGAACTGTATGGGGTTTTCAAAAACTTTATTGCGTTGTCAACGAAACCAGAAGACACAATAGAGCTACAATTCAAGAGGATAAGACAGTCTGAACTGTTACGGTGGTAGTAGGGAAAGTTCACCTGATAGGGGGAAAAACGAAACCTGGGAGTTTCCGGACAGAATTTTTGTAAACGATATGATTCAACCAAATATTGGTAACATGAAAATGGATAAAAAGTCAAAAGCAATTTTCGGAGATGTGCAGGGAGACTACGGCAAGGAAGACTACTTTCTATTTATGTACAGTTTGAAGTAAGCGATCAGTCTATGATGAATTGGATGACGTTGAGCTTGCAGGTCGTCTTCTTTTCGTGATCACAATTTTCTCCTGAAAACATTAATCGATGATTCTGAAATGCACGTAATTCTGCTCGCAAATGCATTGTGCTCTTCTTCCTCTTCCTCTTTCTCCCTTTCTATTAATACATTGTGTTTATCCTTCTTCATTTATGAATTGACACTCCAAAAAGGGAAAGATGACCATCATTTGACCACCAGATATTAACGTCTTGCGCAAGAAGCGGGTTTTCTTTAAAATTTCGCGCATTTCTCCCCAAAAATAAAATTCTATTATGATCCAAAATGATATGACGAGAACGGGTTTTTATGTTCCCTCATGACTTCCTGATGCTTTTATTGTGACCCGCCACATCGGCGGATGCAAAAGCTTGACCGGAAAAAAGACAGGTGCCCGACTGGCAACAGCTACCTAATTGGCAAGCATACGTTCTGCATAATAACCCTTTGCGAAGACAAGACAACAGACCCCTTGTGCCCTTGTTTGCACGTCAAACAAGTGCGTCTCTTATTACTATGACTTCCGAGATCATCTCCTCCCTCACTGAATTTCCGCGCCAGTGTTTGGAATATGGTGTCAATTACGAGAAACGAGGATAATCCTACCTGAACCATAAAAACATCGCCATCTTCCAGTTTGAAATAGTGCAGGGGCAGGTTGTAAGCGCTGGCCGAAAAGTCCTCACTCCGTCCATCCCCGCGGAACAAAAAGAGTTTCATGCGAGTGTACTTCACGCCGACTTTCGGCTCCAAGTATCTGTAATAAAGAAGAGATATTCAGCGTCAAGGCTCGTTTCTCACGTTACTCGACACTCAACCTAATTAAATCATGGGGGACTTCTTGCGGGCGACGAGAGATGCGCTTTCTCAGTTTTTATTACTATTTTTGTGTATGCATGACTCGACAGGAAAAGAAACGTATAGCGGAAGAACAAAACAAAGTCTCACTTCATGAATTCCAAAATAGTGGGTTCCAGCAAGATTGTCATCTCCTGGTTGACTTCCTTCTCTTCACACACCACTTTCACAACGGCTTCTTTTTTGGGAGTCAGATCAATGTTCACGAGTTTCTCGAGTTTCCCGTGCTTGGCAATCAGAGTCTTGTACTGTGCTGGTTTCTCCTTTCGCTCCTTCAAATGTCAACAACACGGTCAGCTGATAGCGTCTCTGTACAAACCTGATAATAACGAATGAAAAACCGTTCTGACTGCTCTCTCTGCTCGTTTGATATCTTTGAGCCATTGAGAACACGCAACTGATGAATGCGGCCGATGATAAGGTGCAAACGCTCTTCGTCGGTCAAACGATCTAGTAACGGGACGTTAGGAATACGGAGGTCCGTGATCGTTTTCATTTTGCTCAGATTGTCCAGACTGTCCCATGAGTTAATTTCAGTCTGAAATTGGCCAGATATCTAAGGCCGGCAACCCAATAGTGGAGCACCTTTGCCATATTGAGAAAATTCCAGTATGGTAGCTGATCGAAATATTTGCAGTAGGTGACATCTTCCAAAGGATTTTCGCAAACAAAAACTGAGCACACATTTGGAAAGCGCTTGACAACATTCATGACGGACGACCATTTCAGGAACCCGCATCTGGAAAAATATCGGTTGTTTTCATTCCTTTGTCCCAATCGCTGTGTAGTCGACCGGTCGAATTTGGACGTTCAGGGGTAAACGACGGAGGACTTCTCGTGACTGAGTGACTGATGGACGCATTCAAATTCGACTCGTAACTACCTCATTTGAATGACCATACTTTCATGTCCACGTTTACTGCACCCGCATACATAATTTCATTTCCGTTTCACATCGTTCACGCTCAGGATTTCGACTAGTTCCGGTGTGCGTAGCCTTCCAAAAGTCGCAACACGACTTTTCGGCTCGCTTGTTATTATTATTATTATAACTGACACCACGAGCAAGCCAACGTGTGATTCGATACGAGCATGGAAAAGTGAAAATTGAGACTAGTGAAGCAGAACGAAAGAGCAATTCTCCCAAAATACGAAGGAATTCAGAAAGTGGTTGACTTGTTACATTGCCAAGCTATCGCATGACACCCTCAGAGTACTAGGGATGACATGTTTGATTCCGGTCTTCTTCTTTCTCGCCGGTGCAAAAAATGGAACACAAACAACGTTGGCGCACAGAATTTGCATTGCGCGCGCTCACATTCAACATCGACACACAAAGAACTGCCTCGCGCACCACACCACACCACATGAAAATGAAAACTGAAAAATTGAAAAGTCGTTGATACCTATTGAGATGAATGGTGCGCACGGAAGTGCTAATCGGTTCGTCACCGTCATCCTCGTCGTTAAACTGGTTGTCCGACATGTGAAGTTCGGTGACTTTTGGCAGGACAGAGAGGAACGATTTGAGTGTTTTGAATGGAAGATGGGTGCCGTTAAGAATAATGGTGTGCAATGTGGAGACGGGAAGTTCATGGTCGATCTGGAAAAAAACTATTGGTACTAAGTGTTTCCGGTTGTGTGTAATGACTGAAAGTCACGTTCTGTTCAGTTTTTAGGAGAAGCTGACTCTATTTATCTTCTCAAAGACGTCAGCCAAAGAGCTGAATTGACTCTTGATATCTTCACAATATAATATCACTTTCCAAGTGCAAACACCGCTGCCATTCTCCGCTATCACAAGTTTGCCAAAGTCACATGAAACATTGGTTTGTTCTCTAACCTCCGATTCCATTCCCAAGTCACTTGACACGTCTTCTCGGGAACAAAAAAGACGAAAAACAAACCACAGGATTCAGCGGGTTATGGCCGATGTTCAAAACACGGAGATGCGGAAGATTGTGAAAAATGCACGCAACATCGGACCATTGGGAAATTTGGTTCCATCCGAGATCCGCCTGAAAATGTATCTCTTATTTATGCACACAGCTGTTTGATGATCACTGATTTCCTATCACAACACCCGCCATCATTTGTCTTTTTTTCGATCCACGAAATGACAAAACACATGTGACGTGTGCTTCTTTCTTCCCGGTCCTCTTTCCCTTCTCTCAGCTGGCAAAGAGAAAACAAAAAGAGAAAACAAAACGAAAACATAGTGTTTTTTCACCAATCTAGTGACAGGATTCTAATGGAATGGACATACGGGAAAGAAGAACAAGTTTTCAGAGTAAGAGTACGAACCTCCGAGACATGGGATGCCAATGTGGCCAACTTCTCGGAATCCCCAATCGTGCCAATGTTCATGTTGTTCAGAACCAGCAGTTCCAAGGCTCTCTGGCTGGCCATTTTGCATGGGGAACATCCGGTCTGTAGAACAAAAGATGGTACACTGTTACAGAATGAATCATAAAACAATGAGACGCTATGAACTCACAAATCCGGTGAACAGGATGTCTTTGACAGTGGCGTCGTCATCATCCAAATACTTCTGCTCAAGTCTTCGGACCAAGGTGCTGCAACCCTCTTCCATGACGGTCGGACAGGCAGGGACTGCAGTTCGGTATGATCAGCTGAGTGCCTGCTAGCTGTCTTTGTGCCTCTCGTCTACCCGTCTGTCCGTGCTTCTGCGTCTCGACGCCCTTCCGCAGGGCCTTCCACTCTCAGGTCGTTTCGCTGCGTCTCTCGTGTCTGCGGCGTGTTGCGTGCCCGTCCGGTCGGGTCTCCTCCCACTTACGATTGTATGATGCCGACGGCTGTTTCACGCTATTTTGCGCATTTTTCTCAAATACTCATCCGAAGCTTCTGCATTTTTGCATCTACTACTTGAGGAAATGAACTGAGGGAAGCACGCATACGTACATCTCGCGAAGAAAACAATTTGTGTAACAAATCTGACGTAAAAGTCACGACGGAAGACACCGCTGGGAAAGAAGGGTAGTTCACGTGACAAATTAGGAAACGCGTTTCACTTCTTCGAACTTTCCATTTGGGTCAGATGACAACACTAGCCACTTTCTCAAATTGAATCAGATAAAAAAGAAAATCGAATGTTCCAAACACAACCAAAACTTTTTCAAATAAAGGGAAATTGTTCAAATCAAACTTTCTAATTACCAATTACATGGGACAGTGGTTTTTTTTCTGAAAACGAGCACGCATTCATGCATTTCTTCGCACATTTCAATGAATTTGTTATTGCCGTACTGTTATCAACAGCCTTCGAGAAATCAGAAATGCATATTGTTACAGAACAAACAGTTGTTACAGATTCATGAGTACACTTTCACTGCAGCAAACAACACGTTATTCTGAAAGTCGCCCAGCAAGATGGAGGGACTGAAATACATAGAAATGAACAAACATATTAGGTTGTTCGGAAAGTTCCAGTCATTTTTCATAGTATGTTTTTGAAGATTGTTTTTTCTATCGTGAAGCAAGCGACTCAGTTGTCGTTTTATCAGTATGTTGGTAGGGTATTGAAGTGTCAACACAGCAACGGATATCATTCTCGTGTTCCCGAGGAGTGAGATATGCCGAACGTTTTCGTCTCTAACAACTTACATTTCCGAAATGTAATCTTATTTCTATTTCTATCTGACCTGAAAATTGCCGACATTGATCGCCGTTTCACGGAGGTTTACAACAAAGATGCACCCACTCGAACTACCATTAGCACTTGGTTTCATCGATTCGAAAAAGGAGAATTTTCGAAGGATGATCATCCACGTTCAGGAAGACCGATATCGTTAGACTTGGAAGCATTGAAAAGCGAGATTGAGAGGGATCCTTTTCAATCCGTCCGTGAACTATAAAGGACACTTGGGGCGAGCCTATCATCAATTAGTCATGGACTCGAAGCAATTGGCAAAGTCAAAAAACTCGGAAGATATGTTCCGCATGTTTTGACTCAACACAACTTGGATACACGTGTGGATACCTGCTTGAATCTTCTCACCCCGCATCGCACACATGGATGGTCTGATCAAATCATTATGGGAGACGAGAAATGGGTTATGTATGATAGCAGTGAGCGACGTGCCGAGTGGGTTGACAAAGAAGCTCAGCCAGCTGACGGGCCAAAACATGAAATACACGAAAAAAAGGTAATGTTATCAATATGATGGCCTGTCCGTGGAGTTGAATATTGGGAGCTGCTTGATGACGGCGTCACTATTACGGCCGATGTCTACACTGGTCAGCTGAGAAAACTCAGACTCCATGTGGATCTCCATTGGGGGAAAAATGCGAAAGTTTACTTTCAGCATGATAACGCTCATCCCCATTTCGCCAGAAAGGCCAAAGCTGAACTCGCTGGATACGGCTGGCCAATCTTGTCTCACCCACCGTACAGCCCAGACCTGGCCCCCTCTGACTACCATCTCTTCAGTCACCTCCAACGTCATCTCAGTGGAATAAAGATCAACTCAAGACAAGATGTCAAAATCTAGTTGGCTTCATTTTTCGACTCCCAGCCGCAGAAGTTCTGGAAGGAAGGTATCCACAAGTTGGTGACACGTTGGCAGACAGTCATCGAAAAACATGGGCAATATATCTAATTAATCGGATAACTCTTTGACTTGTTTCACAATAAATTTTTCTGAGCCCAAAAATGACTGGAACTTTCCGAACAACCTAATAGATGAAACTGAAATTTGATTTTTATGTAAAAGGTATGTATTCATTTCAAAATATCACTGGAAAACAGAAAATTTATCAATTTACATTAGTTATTTTTAAGGCCAAACAAAAGCAAAAACGTTGGTCCGGGTACAAAGACCATCCGTATAAAACTATACACCACGTAGAAATTCGATTGCAGAACAACGGACTAACCGTATTGCACTAAATAAATGTTAGGTCAGAAAAGAGAAAAAAATGGACGGAATGCTTGAGAATAGTACATTCTGAGGGTGATCGGAGGGGCATTGGGGGGCTTAGAGCATCTTGCTGACTTCCAACTGCTTCGACTCGAACTCCTCGTTATCATCAAGTCCTCCGATAAGTGTATCAGCCAGGGTTGTCGGAATGTTCTCCTCAATCCATTTGAGATCCTCCTGAAAACTCTTTATAGTCTACATTGTTATTTCTGAATTAACCGACCTTGATAGCCTCGTCCTTCCTTTCTTGCTCCTTTTCGGCTTCACGAAGTTTGCGAGTCTCAGCGCCAGACCCTGAGTTTCTAGCAGTCAAAATGTCGTATCCCGGAACGAACGCGTTGAAAATTTCATCCTCTAAAAATTATACATTCTTATAATGCTGTGTAATGTTACAATAACAAACCTTGGTCATTCTCATCCTCACTATCATCAAGAAGTGGAGTGAATGCGTAACGCTGATTGTTTTGGGACGGACGCCAGAGAACCATGATGACAACAAGAATGAAGCAGAAGAGAACGTGCCAGAAAGCAGTGTCAACCCACCTAAAAGCATTTAATGGACAGATATTCTGGCAGTTACTCAGTTTACTTACAGTTCCTTCCAGTCAACGCGGCAGGTTGGGAAAATGTGATAAGCCATGCTCCAAATCATGAAGATGACAGAGGCAATGACTGAGAAGGCGAGGGTGTTGGCGAAATGACGGTAGACACTCAGTTTGACGTCGTTTCTCTTCAAACGGAGCATACGGATCGTGGAGGCCAGAGAAGTGAAGATCCAGTAGAAGATTATCATTTCAGTGAGTACCAGTGGCAAGGCGGCGAACTGTTTCTGCTTGGTCGCCTCGACCGTGTTCTAAAAATAAGACTGTGTATGAGTGGGTGACAGGAAGCTCTACCTTTGACACTCGAGCGATTCCTTCGATTGAACAGAAGATGAAGTAGACAAGTCCGACACCAGCTACTTGGTTCAGAGTTTGACCGAGTCTCGGCTTTACGACTCCGTACCCGACACACACAATAATTACAAGAACACGAGACATTGTCTTCTTAGCACAAGATACAATTTCAGCCACTTCCAGAATTCCATCTATACTCGATCCCGTGTCATTCATTGTAGCATATTCAGAAAGGAAAAACGCCTTTTCAACCATTCCCAATACAATTACAGCTCCTGAAAGAGAATTTTCTGTCCGCCAATCCTATTGTGCTTTTCAAACCAATCCAATACTGGATGCGGAGAATGTCTCTATAGTATTTTATGCAGTAGTACACCCAAATGAGAGCGAGTGCCGAGTAGAATACGCACATGATTTTATAGAATCTGAATTTTTCATTTTTAAGTTTCATCCACCTGTATGAAAGCGTGTACCTGAGCAGTGGCCAGTCAATTGCTGACAGGAACCCATACGGTGCCTTCCATTCCACGGAAATCGTAACATTTGTATTCGCGCTTGGACTAGAAGGGAAGGACTTTCCAACCACCTGAAGGCATAAATATGCGTCTCAAGATCATTCTTTCTTGTCAATTACCTTAATGATCATGTAATAAATACCATCCCGTGGAATGTTCTGTGCCGGATGAATCGCTCCCATTCCGACGGCATCTCTCTTCACTCGATCCACATGAACCGGAGTCACATTCTTGATGGCCATCGGCGCAAGAGCATTCGGAAACACGAATCGTCCATGCGATCCTTTGCACGAGATACTTTGAATCGGGGATTTGTAGTAGACGATTTGGTCGTAGTCGAACGTGTCGGGGATATGGTTCTGGTTTGTCTCGTTGAAGTAAAACACCTAAACGCACAATTGATCTTTTTCTGATTTGAAGGATCAATCCAACCAAATTCTGCCGTCTTTCGTTTTCCTTCGTGTTGAAGAACTCCTTGTCGCATGGAGAGGAACGCAAGACGAATTCAGTCTGAAAATTACAACTTCGGGTGACTTTTTGAGTCCATATCGATCAACGATTGCGGACATTTCAACAATTTGTCATTCATAGAAGCGGCGCTTCACATGACTCATTGATAAACAAACGTTTCCAAATAAACTAACGTCGAACTCAAGGTCGACGTCCGGATCGCATCTGAACTCCAACTGGACCATTGTTCCGTTGAGGGCCGCCTGCGGAACTCCAATCAACTGGTACTGAAACGAAAAAAGGATTTGACACACTAAACGAATGAAAATACTACCTTTCCCGGTTGAATTTCAACTATTTCCGTGTAGATGCCCGGCATCAACAGATTGGCGACTGCATGACTTATTATCGCCAACAAGATAGCGATGGCCCTCATACCTGCAATTTTCAATTATTAAATCAAAACCAAAATTGGAGGGAAAATCAATGGAACATGAGCTGGCATACGCGTGTGTCCAGACAATACTTGTGCCGCAAACGTCACCGGTGTGTACACCCGAGTTGACGACACATTGCGGACTGGGTGCGGCAGCAGCGAGAACTAATGTTCGAAAACGAGAAAAATGAAGGGACTTTTGGTTTAGAAAATGTAGTTTTTAACACAATTTCCACGGCAGAAGAACAATTCATACAACTGACCCGCAGGGACACTGAATACAGATTATATTTTGAGGCAAAGGACAGAAAAGTACGATGAAGCTTGTAACAAAAGGAAAGCAACGTAATTTAAAAAAGACGTTTCGATGTCTAATCGTCCACATCGACTTAGAAAGTGAACGTGCGGAACACGACGGAGAAAACAATGGATTTATTCAGGAGAATTCCGATAGATTTCAGTTGAGATAAACGGACGGAGAATGAAAGACCGCCGCACAACCTGTTCACGAAGTTCCTTTCGAAGGACCGTTTGTCTGCCCGACACGCGCCATGCTCATAGACGCCTCGTCCAGTTTCAAGGAGCTGAAAAGAAAACGCTTTCATCACTAGTCCCCTCATTCCATTTCATACTTTCTAATTTTGATCTTAATGTCATAAATGAGTTGTCGTCGGAGCACCGAAGACGTCACAACCAGAACCCAAGGGTAATGGGAGTACATTAGGTCCACCAGCGGATATCTGGAAGCAAAGTACTTGTATTCTACGTGCGCGGGGTCCAGTTTTTCAAATGAAATCAGCAGGTTCACAGGAACAACTCCAAGCAAATTTTGGGTTGGGGAGCTTGAAAACTCACGAGATATCATAGACGGAGAAAATGTTTGCCATTCCACCCCAGGAAATTATAATTTTCAATATTTGTATAGTCATGTTCAGCATCAAAACACAAAACGAGAGAATTGCGGAAATCAACAGGCTTCTCTCCGCGTTACTTTGAGCATTTGACTTTTTGAAAACCTGAATGATGATGTGAGAGTTTGCGAAAGCTCGTAATTACATTATTAGATGTTCGTTTCCAATTTTTTCGTAGAATCGCACCAGTCACAATATAACAGACCATGCAGAATACGCAAGTTATTAAACAAACGAAACCATCGATGTAGGCTATGAGCTGAAAAACGGGGCTTGTTTCGTTTATGGGATTGTGCTCAGTGATACCGCGGTGGAGATTGAGTCGTTGCTTAGTCGAATGGCACTAGTGGTGATTGAAAGATAATAGTCGAATGAAGGCCACGCATGTGTGGGCAGAACACCAATGAGCGGTATTGTCCACTGGAAACCTGTGATCCAGTTCAAAGTTCTCGGCGACCAAACCTGCAATTATCTGCTCGGAAACGATGTAGTCAATCCCAATTAAATCAAAACAACAAACGGCAGCTGAAAATCAACGGGATCAAAACAGAAACTGACTGAAATATTCTCATTGCTGTAGGAAGAAACGTTGAGTGCGCTGAGCAGTCGATTGATGGCAAATACTATGTATCCGAAATAGACAACAAGCTGAAGAGGACAATATTGGGTAGATAAGGAAATTCGGAATTTGATTACTTTTATGTAGTAATGAACAAATGAAATCAGTCGAGGAACTATTCCGACTATTTCAGTTCCAGGCTCAAAAAACGTGTAAAGATCGGTATATTTTCGAAATCGCATTGTTATGGAAAACTCGATGAAGAAAAACGTTTCCGCGTAGAACTGAAAGCCACGAGCCTTATGCAAATTTTAGGTTTCAGAAATACCTGAAGCTCGACGAGTTGAAAGAACGTGCCGCCTAATAACGCAGTCTTTCTGTGCTTCCTCAATGTCCTCAGGATCAACGTGTACAAAAGTATAGAAGTTAGTCCGAATAGGAAGAGGAGAGTCTGCTCAAACGGCATCGTGCTAGTACGAATGAGCAGTGGCTAGCGAGTAGTAATTGTGTATTTCGCTCTAACCTTTTGTCGCCGCTCACTCCACCATTAGGCCAGTAAAATGTGATCTGTGCCTCTTGAAATGTCTCTCTCGCTTCTCCGGTTATTAGATTTTCTCTTACTTTCAGCCGGTCGGAAAAGTCATCGACGTTTCCCAGGTAAAGCTTTGAAGGAGTTTTTCAAATAAAAGACTAGAAACACCTGGTCATACATCATTGAATCAGGGCGACATAAACAATTAAATAAAACAAATTTGCACGAAAATATTCTCAACCAACAATGGGATGACTTCTTATACACTTGTAAATTACAAAACGGTTACAACCAAGTTCACAATTGACTGTTTCTGGGTCCAATGGGTGGATAGAGTTTGCCCTGTTCTCCAAGACGGTAGTAGGCCTGACGAACGTGGTGCGGCTGCAACGGAGCGTTTGCCTCGGCAGGGCTCACGTCACGGATGTCCAAGGCCTCCTCGACAATCTCGCCAACGAACACCTTGGCCAGCCCGGCAACTGCGATCACGACGTTCTGGCCGATGTTGGCGTTTCCAGTGAATTGACTTATCAAGCGTCTGATCGTGGACTTTTGGAATGACGATCTGAACGAGAAGCGGTGAAATTAAAGACATTTCTTGCGAAAACTAACCGTCTGAACGACTCGTAGCGATCCAGCTGGTCCTGAGAGAAATTCGATAGAAGTACTTGTGTTCTCACACGGGCCAACTCGGCCTCTTCCTCATCATCAAGTCTTCTTGCGGGTTGTGGACGACTCGTCGAAGGAGCAGGCCTGGAAAATGCGACGTTCAAGCGCATTCAAGTTTTTTAGATTTAGCTTACTCGACGATTCCCTCGCTCTTATTCTTGAGACGCTGAAGAGCGAGAAGTGATTGGAACTTGGACTCGTTCAGATTATTTAGATCGAAACTTTCAAGAGAGATGCTCGTTTCCGCGAGACTGCTCTCTCTTGACGTGTCTTTTCCGTCCTGACGGACGCCTCCCGATAGCAATTTATCCATCTTCGGCTGTTTACGAGGCGGCTCAGTCTTGTGCTTGTCCTCGTGGCGCTTAAAAATCCGCATTCATACAAGCCCTTCTTCCATGATATTCTTACTCTCTTTCGTTCGGCGTCCGCGGAGTCTCTGGCGGCTCGTGCGGCCTCAGCAGCTTGTGCAACCCGAGCAGCTTCAGCTCTTGCCGCTTCAGCCGCTCGAGCAGCTTCAGCAGCAGCGGCAGCAGCGGCGGCGGCAGCGGCGGCAGCGGCAGCGTTCCGTTTCTGCATCATCTGCTCGAAGTCGGGCATGTCCATCGACTCTTCGCCATCGGAAATGGAGAAGACCACCTGCAAAATAAGCTTGATGCAACGTTTTCCGCTAAATTGCTTGCCGGTGTCTTCGCAGGGACCGCTTCGTTTGCCACCGCCGGTGCGTTTATCGATTTTTGTGGCGTAACAGACCACTCGCTCGATCTGGGCACTGAGGACGGTGGCGTTGAATCCGTCGACATTTTCTCGTCTTCCTCGTCATCCTCATCACTGAAACAAAATGTTCGAACCTGTTAAATGGATGGAAACTCACCTCAATTCCAAATCGGCCAGAACGTTCTGCGCCGGCAGCTTCTTCGCGGGCATCACAGTCTCTTCTTCCTCGTCGCTGCTTCCACTGCTCTCGCTCAAGCCTCCGAACAAATCGTTTGCGCTCATATTGCTATAAAAATCGCATAAATCGATAAAAAGCGATCATTCTGAATGGGAAACAATGAAAAGAGAGGAAAGGGTAGAGAGGGAGAGAGAATGTGGCCGACTGTGTTTGGCGAGAGACCGTTCGGCAATGAGAGGCGCACCGCAACGCACGCTGGCGTTTCTAGGCCACGGCCACGGCCGCGTGTTATTCTGCTGTCTTCTCGAGAGGGGAGCGAAACCGTTTCTTGCAAATGAAGAGATTATAAACAACAAAAAACAGAAAAAAAAAACACATTCATTCCAAAATTATAACTTTTTTCACAGAAAGCATAACAAACCCTGTCCATATAACCCGTAACCAGGAAAACTGAATCACTTAGAGCGCATAGTTGTCTTTTGTGTGGCAGGAGAAACCGTTTGTCCCACTCGTATTGTATTCACCGATGCGTCATCTAGATTTAAAGCGCTGAAAAGCAATTGAGCTACAAGAAAATGTTAGACATTTCATGCTCTTAAAATGTTACCTGCGTAAGAATATCTTCGTATCGTATATCATTTGTTTTCTCAACACACCCGAGGTGAGTAACAACGCCCACGGAAAGTGCGAGTACATGAGATCAATCATAGGGTATCTGGAAGAAACCAAACTATACATACATGCCTGATTATGTTTTGCAGATTTTCTCTTTCACACTCAGTAAACAAGGAATGGAAGTAAATTGCAGTGGCAAAGATCAGGCTTGCGTCAATAACGAATTACTGAGCTCCGTGACTTACGAGAGATCCTGAACAAAAAGCAGAGCGGTTGCACCTCCCCAGGAAATGATAATAGTTACAACTTGGACCACTGTATTGAGTGTCAGGACAACGAAAGAGAGAATTGCAGATATTAACAAACTCCGTTCGGCTGCTGATTGGGCAGATTTCTTTGGTACTGCAGTTACCGAATCACTTCTCACGCGTCTCCAATTTTTCCGTATAAGGCAACACGTAATAATGTAGCAAATCATGCAGAAAATACAAGTTCCAAGACAGCAAATCCCGTCAACATAGGCAACGAGCTATAAATAGTTCAAGTTGACTTCAAATTTTGAGATTGAAACTCACAGCGGTTGACAAAGAATCATTTGTTAACCGTATAGACGAGTTCGTGACTATAAACCAGTACGTGAATCCGGGCCAGGCATGCGTGGGCAAAACTCCTAACAACGGCACCGTCCATTTCATTATTCGTATCCGTTTCAGAAGTTGCGGTGTCCACACCTGAAAGAATAATCAAACTTGCCCGAGGCTACTAGTTTTACAAATCCTTAAGCCAACATGCAAAAAATGGAAACGGGAAGATGCATCGTTCCAAAAAATGAGGCATACAAGTTACAACTACTTAAACAAGTAAAATTTGAAAAAAGCATACAGAAATATTCACATTATTATACGAAGAAATGTTCAGCGCAGATGTGAGCCGGTTTAGTGCAAATGTGATATACCCGATGTACACCACTAACTGAAAGGTTACACTTTAATTCAACCTGAAACGTTTTGCCACTGCTCACTTTGACATAGTAATGTATTCCAGAAACTATTCTTGGAACGATTCCGTGTATTTCCGTGTCCGGGTCGAAAAATGTGTACAGATCGCTGTACTTTCGAAATCTCATGGAAATGGAGAACTCCACAAAGAAGAGCACTTCCGAATAGTACTGAAATGATGGTTTGATCTTGTGAGCCCAACCAAAATCTTATTTGCACGGAATGTCGACAAGCTCTTTAGAAACGTGATTACGGAAACAGAAAAATGTGTTGATTAAAATGCAAAAAAGGATATTGGTTTTGATCGATGGTTCCGGAACCTTTCTCACCTGAATTTCCACAATCCGGAAGAATGATCCGCCTAGTAACGCATTCGTTCGTTGACGTCGCAATGTGAGCACAATCAGTGTGTACATAACAATTGAAATGAGCCCGAACAAGAATAGAATCCACTGCAAAAATGGCATCTGAAAATCTGAAAATATTCTAGTTTGATGGTAGCTAAAAAGAGGAGCATGAGATCACGGACGGGTGATTTCTCGAGAACACAAAGATCGACCAAATCGAATTTAGATATTTTTCAGTTCTCAAAGTGATTTTTCTTTCAAATACATATTTTGTCATGATTTGTTGAGAACATGTGGTTTGTGAGTTAAGATCAGAAAAATAAAGGTAAGAATGAAGAGGAATGGAAAAAACAGCTTGTTATCTCAATTGATTCAAGACGGCGGGGTAACCCTTTAGAAATGTCGTTTGTTACTGGAAAAAATCAGATTATGACTTTTCGCATTCAAGTAATAGAAGTCGTTATCGCGAATATTCAATCAAACAACTAACCACAATAAAAACATTTTTCGCGCAAAAAATGTGCAACCTATCCGCTTTGATGTTGCTTGTTTGTGTAGAGTTAGGGAATGTTGTGAATATGTTTGTGAACAACGACCCATAAAATTTTTTAGTGACGTAATACACTTTTAAAATCTTAAGTTACGTGCAAATTGAATATAGAACGGACGTGGGAAATGCTTTTCTAAAAAAAATCGTGAGCCTTCACGAAACAGTCAGCCTTTATGGTCAACTTGGCCTCAAAGAGATCAAAATGGATAGAATCTGGAACAGGAATTTAAGTATTATACTAGGCGGAGAGTTGGAGAAAATGACATGTTATTTCAGAGAAATGCTGCTGCCACAACAGTTCACTAAAATTACACCTTTACAATTCAGGAAAGTAGTCGTTCATTAGAAAAGAGTAGTTCTGTGCAGGAAAATAAGCCAAAGTTCAGATAATCGAAAAACGGACAATTTATTCAGGTACAATCTAGTTCTAGGTCGTAAAAAAGCGTCGTGTTATTTGTTTTTTCTCATTGGTTTGTACTTTGCCATAGTTCTCCGTTTTAGGCAATCGGCTCGATTCCAAGGCGTCGCCATTTAATCCAATTCAGTCTAGCCAACAAATCTGAACGATTTTTGATTTATTCACGAAATGAACAATATCTACCGCTGGTGCTCCAGGAAGGCGCTCCTATGTGACCGTTGCGGGCCATCTGTACACATTTCCGGATGTACTTTCCCGAATCTTCAGACGATCTAAACATTTGATGTATGTCCAATGTTTCAAGAAGCTTCTTACCGCAGAACGTCATCGAGCATGTTGATGTATGCGATTGCCAGGTTCAAAGTATCAATTTTGGAGAGCCGTTTCTCGTAAGGAAAAGTTGGGATATAATTGCGGAGCTCCTACATGGAAATGACAAAAGGTCGGTTTCAAAACATAAAATCAAAAGACGACCCACAATGAAAGCGACGTTGATACTGCACATCCTCTTCCGTTCTCGAACCGACGCAGTCTGTCGTTCCTCCGGCTCTTCACAATAGTATTCATATGTCGGGTCCATGAAAGCAAAAGGAGAAGCGTGTATGATGTATGGGAGGGAGCCGACTGAGAAGAAGGCCGTCCGCTGCTGACTCACAGAGGCTCTGGCTGTCATTTACATAAGTGGTTCTGCTCGAATTCACATTTGTAATTGGGTCGTCACGGGGCGGCTGGTGCCGAGAAGGGACACATCACACTTTGAAATTGGCACCGAACGGCGTGTTGCATCTACGCGACAATGATGGATTGCGAACGAGCACAAGAAGCTTTTGTGTGTTGTGGAAGCAATGAGCGTTCCGAAAATGGGTTCAAGAGTTCAACTCTTAACCAAATTTGTGATTATGACCGAACCAATAATAAGTTTACACAAAGGCAGTTGAACCGGGAACTAATAAAACGTTTAGCAAAACTCTGTAAACGTCTTCCGTCCAATTTTTGAAGACCTTGTAGGGAACATAAAGGAACGTCCGTTATCGTGTAAGTACATTTGTTTGCAGATAAATTCAAACTGGTTTTGTTGTTTTTCTCGCGATTGCAATTTCGATGAAGACTTGAGAATCGCAAATACCGGGTACATCACAAACGTTTGCAGAACCTGAAATAGAGAACTGATCGATCAATCTTTGTTTTGAATGAATGGAATCAGAGTTTTGATAACACTTTTTTATCGATGTAAAGGTGACGGAGGTTATTTTCGGAAAACTAATGCGCTCTCAGCAATTAGTCACTTGTCGTCGCCATGCGGTCTTCCGTTCCAAGACAGACCCTGATCTGGTCTGAATGGGAACTGAACTGTATTCCGAGTGACGAGGGTTTGATTTCTCGGTGATCCCTTGCGGTCACGTTGGGAACATGTTTGTTTGCCTGGTTTTTGACGAGGAAACTTTGGAAAGGCAGTGGCTTAGTTCATGGTCAAAATTTGGATATTGTTCTAGAGCATAGTGTTCAAAAATGGAAATCCCTTCTGTACGGATTCATGGAATTGATGTCATGGGGCACTTATCCGCTTCCTGTTCAGAGTTCAGTTTTATACAATGATATTGCCCCTTTCTTCTTTTGTTTATCAATAAAACAGTAATCTCTGATTCCCCTTTTTCTGATCAGTGTTCTGGTTCTTTCTAGAGACTTTCATTCTTGGGACCAATCCAAACAAAGCAAACATTTGGTCTCCAGATGACATCACCTGTCAAAAAAGTGACCGTTTTGAGAAAACGAAAAATAATAGAGTACCTGTTCGTCCGCTTCCCAACCTATTTGAAAAGGCCTGTCTTCTGGCAGCGTCTCCGATGCCTCTAACACTATTTCTTATCGCCGTCATCACGATGATCGTATACTTTGTCCTCGCCCTCTTCGCCCGATAATCGGAGCCACCCCGCCTCCCGGGGGACGATCACCGTATAAAAGAAGCTATCGGAGACAGAGGCTCATCAGCCAGCTGATTGATTCAAACTTCCTCATCAACATGTCCGCCCCGAAACTTGTCCGTGCTGCTCAATCCGCAGTTTTCAACCAGTTCATGACTAGAGAAGCGTGAGTTACAGTATTAAAATTAGACTATTTTCAACTGATTCATTACAGTATTAGCCATGCCACTTTCCGACCAGCCGAGTCGAAAATTGCGGAGGAAGAGAAGCTGAACATTCGCCTCCACGACGAGTCCACCCATCTCAAGTTCGGATTCCCGAAGAGCGAGAAGAACGTGCCGATCCCGTAAGTGTAGAAGTAGTTTGTGCATATCCCCTGGTTATTTAGCGTTACAGAAGCAACGACGACTACATCCAACTAAACGCCGAGAAGTTGATAAAAGAAGAAAAAGACCGTCAGTTCGCTTTCGGCAAACTTTCAAGTCTTCGCATCTAAAAGCTCCCATCTGCCATCGACCAGTTTTCCAACTGAAAACGTTGTGATCTATTTGTAATTTATATGTTTTAGGATGTATAGTCACTCCTGCTTTACATGTTTCTATCTTTGTGTACACTTTGAAAATAAATGATTTCTGATCCAAACAACGTGACGGAAGACGTGTGAAAAATTGAAAATGTTGATTCTCCAGTCCAAAGAATTGCTAACAGGTTCTCAACATGGATTCTCGCTTTTAAAACAAAAGCGGCGTGTGAAAGTGTGTCTCGGGAGGAATCAGAGAGGAGAAAAGTCAAAGCAATTTGCATTTTCAACAAGCCAACCGGTTTTTGGTCTGAATTTTCTGTGAGAAGCTTTGCGAATCAGCTAAATCTTGCCTGGACTCTAATTTGGCTGATGAAATCCTCATGCAAACTTACTTGCAAAGTTTCCGATCTACAGTAACCTTGATGAACATCATCAAAACCTTATCGAGGCGACGAACTTCAACGAACCTGTCCACAAAATCACCCCATCCAATCGGCTCATACGGTTTGTTTATGGAAAAAATCTCGCGTCATCACGTGACATGGTTAACGAAAACAACTCCATTTTGGCTGCAACATGCGTCTAATCGTTCTATGTGTCAATTGCTTGATTATCTCTAACTTTCAACACGTATGTTTGCCATTTTGTCGCGTTATCACTGTGCCACGCTTTATAAACAAACTCGTTGAGCACATTGATGAAGTTGGAAACACGCCTGAAACAATGGAAATGATCTGAAACCGTCTTGCGGAGCAGGAAGTCACAAAAATAGAAAAAAAAGTGACAGATGTTTTATTACAGGCAGAGCAGTCTCACAAACGGAAAATTCAACAAATTTGTACTTTAGAGCGTCAAGTAATGTTTGAACTGTTTTATGTGTATATCATATGTTATTTACTCGATCCGATTGTTGATAATCCTTGACGTCTGTGATTACCGGCCCTTCTCGAAGCCAGATTTATGTACGCATTACAAACAAGGTCGACCGAAACGGATCACGTTGTTCTCCTCTCCTACAAAGCTACAACTGGTCACATTGTTCACGAAAACACATCCGCCCGTAAAAAGTGGAAATGGTGTTTGTCTGATAACGACAACGGAGTGCAACAAAATTGGATGACTACAGTTTGGGATGGCTTTTTGTTCTGGTGGATGATGTGAATGGCAGGATCCGGCTAGATACAGATGTTCTTGATGTGGAAGATGTCGGGGAAAGTGGAAAACAGTAAAGGCTCCGTAAAAAAGTAAGTACTCGTCAGCCATCAAGCTGATGCAAACTGGGAATCTGTAATATCTAAAAAAAAATCTTAAAAATTTCCGCATCTCAGCAGATCCCTACCAGAAAGTCTTGCTTTTAACATCAGTTTTGTTTCTGTTAGTCATTAAAGTAAATCAAACCAATTACTGTAAGTGAGGCACAGTTCAGATTCTGTGTTCGATAATGAGAAACCGGTTTGTAAAGAGCTGATGCGTAAACTCTATCAAAAAAATGTTCCAGCCTCCCTTTAAATCAGAGATACTGTAAACGCTGTTCGGATTCCCTCATAGCTTTGTCTACTACCACCAATAAGAAGTGTGAAAGTCTAGTTAAACCACAGAGTGCGCAAAAATCAAAAATTCTTGACCCGGTGGTCTTTGTTTGCATCAGGGACTCTTCGGGAATATTCTGGTGTGTGTTTGTGCCCAAACTACAATGTTTTTGACTTTTGCTTCCGCTCTCCAACAATTTCTGTTAGGATAAGGTTTGCATACTAAGAAACGGAAGCATGGCGTCTCGAACCCATGTTTTGGCATGTTTGCGAAGATTTCGAGCAGAAAAATACTTTGTTTTTTCCTATCTGCCAAAGGTTTTTGGTTGAAGATTCTGGAACAATCCTACGATTCTCCACTTGTCTACAACTTTTATTCTATCACTATCTCAGAGTCCAAACTGATGGAGAAGAAACGCGGAAGGACTGGGTAACTTTCGTGGAAGGAAATATAAGCCCTTTTTGGCTCACCCGCAAAGATGAGCAAGAAGAGGAAGGAAACAGTGGACTTTTTTCTGACATTCGCGTCAAAAGCCGTCTAAATGCCTTTCATGTGGCGGTTTCAAAAAGAAAGTTGCAATATCTTCTTTTCTGTCAGAATGGAGTTTGACTTATTCCTCTTCTTCGTTTGTTTTCTGGTCAAGAAGTGTTGCGTTTTCAGGGATATTTCTAGCATATGCATCAGGAAGACAACTATTTATAATTTATCAAAACAAGAATCGTTTACGACCGTGTCTACCCTGAAAAGTATTTTGCGAGGAGTAAACTGACAAAAAGGTTTGCCGCCAGCAGGGGTCGAACCTGCGACCTTGGGCTTATTAGACCCACGCTCTAACCGACTGAGCTATGGCGGCGCATGTCTCCGGCATCACTGTTTCCGTAGACTTGGCAGGCAAACAGGGCGCAATTCGGGTCTCTGTTTGAACAAACATCTATAAGACTTTCGTGATGCACGTGCTGACATGTGAGCTAATAAAATCCATCTGAAAGCCGTACTAATTGAATCTCGTCCCTAATCGTATTGTCTCGACGGCAAATGAGATTGATTCATCTTCGATTCTTATATTTTCTTCTTTTTTTGTGGAATCTTGTGAGAACTTAACTGATGTTTTTTGATTTTTGTGCACTTTGCAAGAAAAATCCCTTTAATGCTCTTGGCTTAACGATTTAATATAGAGACTGCCTGATCTCGTATCAATTGTCTTAATATGTACCTCTGCTAATCTTTCTCAAAACTAAAGTATCCCTAAAGCTTGTTTTTCAAGTATCCAGTCAAAATAAACAATTCAACTAAAGAGGGACCCTATCAGCCATTCTTGCCTCACTGCCTACTAAACTTCAGAATAGTGTTTCAACCCAATTCCGTTATTCCGTCTAGTTTGAGTGAAAAGGCGTATGCATTAGCTATTCCGGAAATCGAAGAAACTGATGAGATTGTTATCTTTCTTCTTTTTGGCCACCAGTAAGCATTTGAGAGTGTCGATGGCGCCCATAAGCTGCCGGTTTTGTTGACGAACGTTCAAGAGTATTCCATTTTACTCCCTAGTACGGACTCGCCACCAATAATCTCTTAAAACCACTTCAAAATGAATAGGTGAGCTCGGAGATTCAAGAAGTTGTCGTGTCAGTTTTCCGTGCCCACACGCACACCACAACTCACAGTTACTAGAAAAAAAGGAATATTGACGACCAAAACATCTCCTGTTTTCCCCTCGGGGGGATTAATATACACTAGGGGCATGCAACTTGGAGCACACAACAAAGCACACTCTCCGTGTACTTTGAGCCGTTAACTGACGCATTTACTCAGCAACTAGTCACAATTATCTCAGCTAATCAGGTATTCTGCTGCGAGTTCCGCTTCCTCTCACTTTTTTCTTCGTTTCTATCCGCCAAACCACTTTGCTTGTCTTTTTTGGGAGAAAAGTGCAAGGCTCTTCGAAGTGCAGATTCGCTGAGTGTGTCTGAAGGTTCGAACTTTCCAGAGCACAAATGGTTAAGCAAATGGAGCTCCAAGTGTGGGTAGCTTTATAAATGTCAGAGAAATGGCGTCATTGTACCAAAACCGATTCAAAAGTGATGTATTTCTATTCCTTCATGCAAATCTCCGATACATCCCTCCCAAAAGGTTGCTCTTTCCTATTCAGCCCTTTCCCCCGTAACTATGACAATCGACGGCAATAAAAACAGAACCAATAAAAACAGAATCGTCGTACCCCCCTCCCCCCGTCTGATTCCATAAAATTCTCATCCCCACTCCCCCGCACGTAAGACTCATTCTGCTCCAAGCGCACAAGTACACAATACATCCAATCAAAAGGTAAAGTACATTCGCACACTAGAATTAGGGCATGATGCGTCATGACGAAAAAGTGCAATTTCGTGATGAGACCACCGCCGCGACATTTGCATAAAAATCAGCTCTCCCCAATCTTTTCACATACGTGACTTTCTCGGATTGACCGGTCGCGATGAAGTTTTCGTACCCTTCAAGAAATCCCATTGAGCACAAACGACGTTAAGAACGTTATTCAAACTCAAAATGTGCCAACGTTTCTCGGAATTTTCGCTCTCTAGGAAACTTTCGAAGCAACACGTTTTCCAAAAAGCCGCGTGTTTTCTAAGTGAAGATTTGCCATTCGAAAACACCTCAAATCAGATTCAAACCCCGCTCATATTTTTTCTTGCTCCGTTCAGAAACCGCTCTGCTTTGTAATCTCATTAGAATAGCTGTGCAAGAGGAAGAAGTTTGAGAAAGAAGACCAAATTATTATGACATTCTCTTTCTATCCACTCACACTTTTCTATTTAATTTAGTTGATCTATTTCAGGCTCTTCTTTTTTCTTTTTCCATTCTCCTCTAACAAAACTCAACTTTCGCTTCTATTCTCACCAATGTTCAGTGAATTTTCGATTCTATTCGCACAAAACGTTTCGTTTTCTAACATTTTATCTCTTCCGATGCTATTTTGCCAGTGAAATGTTTCATTTTCTTCAGCGTGTTTGTTCCTTATACGTCCTCTTCGAATCCGTCAACGGAATGCATCCAGTTCGCAAACGATCCTCGATCTATCAAGACGTCGATTTGACCTACACGGTGAGTACAGATGTCAGAAAGACATGGGAATTGGGCATCACCTGAATCGAGATGTTTGGTTCGTTTTTGGCAGGCCATCAATCAAGAGAAACAGAGTCCCGGCATGCATCAGATTGGCCGACGATTCACCTCGTTCTCCAGTGCCCCTAAAACTAGAATCTGAATTCCACTCAAATCGAGCTTTCCTACGTCATAGAGTTGCTCAAACACAATTCACAATTATACGTTCATTCAAATGTCAGCAATTTCGTCAGACTTGTCAGTGACTTCGTGACCAGTGACAACATTTTGTTGCCAAGAGCCTCGTTATCTCGTTCAAATATGTCCTTTTTTGCAAAAGAATTTCTAACAACGGCGGTCGTCGACCAGTCGTAGAAAAACGTCTTCTTTTCTTGTTTGGGACATGTTTTCACCCGAACAAGCAAGCGACGGAAAAGGATTGGGTGCACAGATTCTTCACACATAGCTAACCAAAAACTGAGGGCAAGCCCGTGGTTTCGGGTATCCGAGCCCGTCTCCTACCCTGGATTCCCTATTAATTAAGTTTTCTGTCGGTTTTTTAGGTTACGTATGTCTGTGAATAAGTTAGCTCCCTTTGTTCTTTGAAAGTGCAAGCTGGGTTGGATGGATTGGCGCTGCAATTAATTGCCTGCTCTTTCTTACTCTTTTTTTCCAGCGGCTTCTTTATTCAAGAAAACGTTCATTTCGATCCTTTCAAAGACAAATTACTTCTTTCTTGGTTTTTGAACCGAGCAAGAACGATTTCTTAAATGCCTCGGTTACGTCTGTGAATCACATACGAATTGTAAGGATACAACATGTGATTCTCACATCTCATGTCCTATGTCATCGATGAAAGACAAAATGACGTTTTGACGGTTCACTTCAAAACGCGCGTTTTTTTGAAGTCAGACACTTTATTGCCGAGGCTCCGTTTTGTGGCGCACACTGCACTCCAGACGAGAAGGAGTTCAATTACTCCGCAAATTGTGTCCGTCGGAAGAAAACAATCTTATTTTCATTCGGTCTCAGTAGTCTAGTATTGAGGGGTTATAATACCATTTCGACTTTTCAGTCATTTCAACACATTTTCATTCTCTGACAGCAGAGAATCACCTTATTCACAACACTTTTTCTCGGAAAATAAGAAAATGAGTCAATTTTAAAAGCACTTAAAAGTGCTTATTTTCAGTAATTTTTGTACATTTTCGATCAATTTTTTGCTTGGATGTTGATTTCATTTTCTATTTCTCATTTTCGTGCTTAAATGCTCGAAAATGTATCACTTCCTCACTTTTTACAAAATTGATGGATGTCGATTTTATTCAATAAGTGGTATTCAGATAAAGATTTAAAAAAATGACTAATAAATGACGAAGCTTGATAAAAATCTGAAACCTCTTCTCAATACTATACTACTGGTCTCACAGATGTTTTACCTGCCCTAGTCTCCCTCCAGTTTCGCAACTTCCAACTTGGATAATCTTGTTCATTAGATTTATCTCGGTGCTTTCTCACTCTTTTCCGTTGCTCTCTCCCTTTCCCCGCAAAAAAAAACCGGCAAGACTTCAGATTTTTGGTTTTTTTCAAATTTTTCGACTTGGTAAACTTTGGCACCTTCTTCGCTCAAAAATCTTCGAGTGCAAGAAGGCGAAACCTCACGCATGGACTGCGAAAAAGAAGCAGAAATAAGATAAAACATGCGGGGAAAGAGAGAGAGAGAGAGAGAGAGAGAGAGTCCTTCTCCTTTCTCGTCTCAAATTTAAATCGCATCGTCCTTTTTCAATAGATGTGACCCCGGCGGAGACTTTCTCATTACGTGTTTTGCCTCGCACCCTTTTCCCCTCAAAAATTTGTCTGCACTCGACTCCCACACCCGCTCCGGAAAAGTCAGCCTCGAGCTCTTTTTTATTCGTGGTGAAAAGCTTCGGTTTGAAAAGCGCCCTACAGCCGGTCTCCTTCTCTCCAATTTGGGGCGGCTCCTCAGATTGCTCCGGGCGCCCTCATTGTTCTGAGCCACCTAGATATCTGCCCCGCCCTCTCCGTGCACTATCTTCTTATTCATTTAAACTCGAACCGCTGTCAGTCTTTACCATTTCTCAGCCATGCCATACCGATCTGACGATGTCTCAGCGAAAAGCAAGCATCGTTCTGAAATGCTTGACCTAGATGTCGACTCTATCATTACTTTCAAGGTATTCAAGGACAGAAATCAACAGAGACTCGCCCAGTTGTTTTTTGTTTGAGAACCGAAGTTTATTCTTCAGGTAATGCTGCTCGGAGACAGTTGCACTGGCAAGACATGTCTCCTGATCCGCTACAAAGACGGAGCTTTCCTCAACAACAACTTCATCTCAACCGTGGGAATTGATTACAGAGTGAGTGGGCTATCTTTTCTGTCTCTCGAATTATAGTCGTTTCGCGTTGTCCTCAAAACCGATAAACGTCACTTGAAGAGCCAATTGTTCACATTCTCAATCCAAAATTGCACATTAGTGCTAGAGGGTGTTGAGTGTACCATTAGGACCCACTTAGGAATCGGGAATCCGGAATCACGAGTATCCCCAATTTTCAGAACAAGCTCATCAACATCGGCGACAAGAAGGTCAAGCTTCAGGTACACCATCATCATCACCGTCTATAATTTCTTCCTTGACTACCTGTCGTTTCAGATCTGGGACACCGCCGGACAAGAGCGTTTCCGTTCGGTGACCACTTCGTATTACCGTGATGCGGACGCGCTTCTTCTCGTTTACGACATCGCCAACCGCTCGAGTTTCGAGAACTGCCGCGTTAGTCTTGTAAAGCTCTTCACACGAGTGTTTTCGTAATTTCAGAACTGGCTCTCTCAAATCAAAGAATACGGAAAAGAGGCGGTACAAGTGACTCTTGTTGGCAACAAATGCGATTTGCCACGTGCTGTTGCGGTGGAAGAGGGAAGAAAGTTGGCCGAGGTATTCGGCTATACTTTCAGTGCAATCCGTTTCAAGTGGCCTCGTTGATCTTTGAGAGCATTCCTTTACACGCGCGTTGTCCTAAGTATAGAACCTCATCTTGAAATGAGATTGACGTTTACGTTTCTTCTTTTCCCATTTGACCCTACCCTAATGAATAATTTCTTGCGTTGGACGTCCGAATCCAATTTTTGGTACGTTTTGTGCGCCATCTCTAATGAACAAGGACGCCAGCAGCTTAGCGGCAGCAGAAAAAAGTGACATCAGCGTCTGAAATTTGAGAAGACGTTGAGTAGTAGAGGCGCAGTACATACAACACGTTTCGAGTGATTATTCAGTATGTGCATAGAGCTACACGAAAGGAATTATTTAAGAAGTCGTACTTTTCCGGGACAGACTTGATGAGTTCTAGCGAGCAGGAATGCGTCATTCTGTAGAGACTGAACTGAATAACCGAATAGATACAGAGCACAGAGAAAAAGTTAATTGGATCCAAGAATGAAACATTTTGACGAAATTTGAGGAACATTGCTTCTAAATTAAATGTCTATTGAGGCTTACATTTTCAGGCATACGTCATCCCGTTCATGGAAACAAGTGCCAAAACAGGATTCAATGTGGACCGAGCATTCCTCGGACTCGCAGAGTAAGCCATCTCGTACCTGTCAAAGATAGGCACCGATAGTGGAACGGCAAACAGAAAACGAAAAACCGCCAACTTTGACAAACATTTCAAAGAAGAAAAACTCTTTCGTGACCCCCAATGAGAACTGTCGCCCAGTCTCGCTCACATTCAAATGATTTCATTCAGACGAATGCTCAAACTGAAGTACGGTTTTGTGCCGGGCGGTGAAATGGCAGATGTTATCTCCATAGCGGACTCGCGGAAACCGGATGTCTCCAAATGCTGCACTTACAACTGAAACTTCATCTAACTCTTTCTTTTTTGCTTTCTCCTTCCCAACTTTTACTTTTTTCTCAATTGTCCCACACTTTTGTCATTTTCGGAAAACCTTCTCTTGCTAGTGCAATTTCTGTGATCTCTTTCTGAGTATCAATCCGATGAAATCGAATATCCTCTCTGGTAGTCAAGATCGGCTGGTGTAGTTCCCACAGTTGGCATAATACATCCATAATCCTTAAAAAATGTTCATTCTAGCATTTGCACGTAATTTCAATGTGCACAGCTGTTCTTCTGCTTCTCTACAAACTCTAAAAAGAGAGCAGTGATTTGCGGCGCTAGTTTGACACTGTGACTTTTGACTTTCTCTCAACCGTCCAACTGACTTTACTTTTTTACTTCTCAAAAAAAGTTGATCAATATAAATAACCTTCTCTTCACGATAACTATTCTGATAAATTCCTCAACTAATCTAACATTCATTTATTGATAAATTCAAAATTTAATTGGCCTCGATCGGATTCATTTTATTTTCATTCAATCTTCTTTTTCAATATTTTCCTCAATCGTATCTCTCTTCTAAACACGTTGGAGATTATTTATACGAATCTCAGTTTCCCACGTTTTTTTTAAATATATTTCTTACCAAAATAAATATTATCTGGGCTTGGCGATATCACTCAGCCTGTGTCATCGCAAAAAATTAATACTCTCTGAAAATACACTGCCGGTCATAATTATAGGTTCACTTCAATTTTTCGAATATTTCGAAAACTAGGCGCTGTATTCAAAAAAGTTCTTAAGGGGATTTTCGGTCACCCAAGGTACCACAAATGTACAAACTAAACCATTCGACTTCAGTGAGAAATTTTCCAAAAATCGTGATTTCTCGAAAAAGTGACTTTAGCGGTTGGTCATAATTATAGGTTCACCACTGAAATTAGCCAGAGGGTCAACTGAATAATTTTTAATTTTAGCCATAACGTCTTCTAAGACTGATTATGACCGTTTTACATCGATTTCCGACAAGCTTCTCGGTTCCCTGATTTTTTGAACCAACTTTCATTGAGTTTTGGGTCAATCATAACTTTTCGTCTTAAAATCGAACCTAACTTCGGTTTTTTGGCCGGACGACAACAGGATCATTCTGGAATGAGTATTTAGTGAGGTTTTGTGAAGTTTCATTGAGAATCTACGAGAATTTGATATCTTTTTCTAATGTTGAAGTGCTTTGGTCGACTAGTCCCAAGTAAGTTTACATCTGGTTTTTGCTCAAATTTGGAGCAATCTCTGAGAGACTTGACGGCAACATGAAGGACCCAACCAACAATGCACTTGCCAAGTTTGGTACGAATCCGATCATTCTGACCAAACTTCGGAGACGGTTGTCAGTTTCGATCCCTCAAAAAATGCAGAAAAATTTCATGCTCTGGATTTGCTCGGGACTAGGGGGGAATGAAAGGCCCTATAAAGGGTAAAAAACGCGAAAAAGGTTTCATCTCTGTTTTGGTGTTTAGCCGAGATATGATCAAAAGTATGAAAAAACGGTACATCTTTTTCGAAAAGTCGCATCTCCGTCAATTTTTGAGTAAAACACTCGGTAAAAAAAGGAAAATGTAGCTAATGAGATGGTCTTTAAGCATACAATTGATTATCTTTGACGAAACAAATTCTTAGAAGAGATATTCAACAAAATATGAAAACGTTTGTATTTATGTACACTATTTTGCGAATACAGTTTGACGGGACTATCACCATTAGATTCAGCGTCTAAAATAAGGGCCGTATGCAAAAATTTTGCCTTGGGAAATCGCTTTGACGGAAAAAAAGTTATCGACAATATGCTTTTGCCCCTGTTTTTCTTGTGGTTCTGTCTGTTTGCTAGCCTGTATCTCCTCAACCGGTAGAGATACCAAAACGTTGTCAACTGTAAAGTTAAAGGTACATGTCCAAGCTATAAAACTTTAGTTGAACGCTTTTTTTATCTCTACTCGTTCACAAGTTATGGCCGTTTCCGAGTGATCACTCAAAAACTGATATTATCGCATTTAAGGAGTGGTCCTACAATTTTGGTCTCAACATAAAAAATGCTCAATAAGAGGCTAGACATCAAATGTCGTTCAGCCTGTGTTGATCCGATCTCTTTCGAAATATTTTATGACTCATGCTTGTTTCGAACACCCTTCTCTACTTGACGGTAGGAGAGCCACACTTCGAAAGAGATCGGATCAACACAGGCTGAACGACATTTGATGTCTAGCCTCTTATTGAGCATTTTTTATGTTGAGACCAAAATTGTAGGACCACTCCTTAAATGCGATAATATCAGTTTTTGAGTGATCACTCGGAAACGGCCATAACTTGTGAACGAGTAAAGATATCAAAAAGCGTTCAACTAAAGTTTTATAGCTTGGACATGTACCTTTAACTTTACAGTTGACAACGTTTTGGTATCTCTACCGGTTGAGGAGATACAGGCTAGCAAACAGACAGAACCACAAGAAAACAGGGGCAAAGCATATTGTCGATAACTTTTTTTCCGTCAAAGCGATTTCCCAAGGCAAAATTTTTGCATACGGCCCTTATTCTGGACGCTGAATCTAATGGTGATAGTCCCGTCAAACTGTATTCGCAAAATAGTGTACATAAGTACAAACGTTTTCATATTTTGTTGAATATCTCTTTTAAGAATTTGTTTCGTCAAAGATAATCAATTGTATGCTTAAAGACCATCTCATTAGCTACATTTTCCTTTTTTTACCGAGTGTTTTACTCAAAAACTGACGGAGATGCGACTTTTTGAAAAAGATGTACCGTTTTTGAATACTTTTGATCATATCTCGGCTAAACACCAAAACAGAGATGAAACCTTTTTCGCGTTTTTTACCCTTTATAGGGCCTTTCATTCCCCCCTAGTCCCGAGCAAATCCAGAGCATGAAATTTTTCTGCATTTTTTGAAGGATCGAAACTGACAACCGTCTCCGAAGTTTGGTCAGAATGATCGGATTCGTACCAAACTTGGCAAGTGCATTGTTGGTTGGGTCCTTCATGTTGCCGTCAAGTCTCTCAGAGATTGCTCCAAATTTGAGCAAAAACCAGATGTAAACTTACTTGGGACTAGTCGACCAAAGCACTTCAACATTAGAAAAAGATATCAAATTCTCGTAGATTCTCAATGAAACTTCACAAAACCTCACTAAATACTCATTCCAGAATGATCCTGTTGTCGTCCGGCCAAAAAACCGAAGTTAGGTTTGATTTTAAGACGAAAAGTTATGATTGACCCAAAACTCAATGAAAGTTGGTTCAAAAAATCAGGGAACCGAGAAGCTTGTCGGAAATCGATGTAAAACGGTCATAATCAGTCTTAGAAGACGCTATGGCCGAAATTAAAAATTATTCAGTTGACCCTCTGGCTAATTTCAGTGGTGAACCTATAATTATGACCAACCGCTAAAGTCACTTTTTCGAGAAATCACGATTTTTGGAAAATTTCTCACTGAAGTCGAATGGTTTAGTTTGTACATTTGTGGTACCTTGGGTGACCGAAAATCCCCTTAAGAACTTTTTTGAATACAGCGCCTAGTTTTCGAAATATTCGAAAAATTGAAGTGAACCTATAATTATGACCGGCAGTGTAGAGTCATGACAAACAAAAGTAGAGCTCATACTATTTTTTCTGAAGACAGACAAGTCAACAATTTTGTGTGATCAGTTTTTTAAATTATTTTTAGACGTCTTGAAACCAGACACTGCGAGATCAAAATATTTCGAAACTATTTTTGTCTGTCAACTTAAAGGACCAGGGAACCCAAAAATTTTTTGATTAATTTGTGAAATTTTTTTGTGACTGTTTGAATTGTCTCTTATTGCCTCATACACTGGTGAAATGCTGCCTCTCAAAAATGCCAATGAACGAAACGGCATGCAGTTGAAGTTGTGGCCGTGGCCTAGCGCCAATGGCCGAAAAATATATATAAATATATGCGCTTCTCGGCCATTTTATTTTTTCCGCTTTTTTACCGGTTTTTTTCCAAAAATTCACGGTTTCTCCCATTTTTCAGTTGATTGACATTTGTTCGGCACTTACTTATTTTTTCACTGCTAAAAAATTGTTTTCATTCAGTCGATATGAAATGCCAAAATGGGAGAAACCGTGAATTTTTGGAAAAAAACCGGTAAAAAAGCGGAAAAAATAAAATGGCCGAGAAGCGCATATATTTATATATATTTTTCGGCCATTGGCGCTAGGCCACGGCCACAACTTCAACTGCATGCCGTTTCGTTCATTGGCATTTTTGAGAGGCAGCATTTCACCAGTGTATGAGGCAATAAAAGACAATTCAAACAGTCACAAAAACATTTCACAAAAACATCAAAAAATTTTTGGGTTCCCTGGTCCTTTAATTGCCCCTGAAACTAGTTTCATAAAGTCTTGCTGTGAGACGAGGTTATTTAAGAATTTTTTTCAAGTTTATAAACCCAAAATTGTATATTTGACTCCATTAAATTACAAATTCCATACAAAAACCTTTATGAAAACGACGCAAATTGCCGCTTGAACAAATAATCTGAAATTCGCTCGAGCTTCGTCATATCTTAACTACAAAACTCATTGCAAAAGCTGACATGTTGCAAACTGAAAACTAATTCCGAGTTTGCGAAAAGAATTTCCAATTACACATAGCAAAAGTACTTAATTCACGGCTCTCGAGGATTCACGCCAATTCCCTCGATTGTTTTGTTTGCCGCCTCGGACTGTTTATGCCTCTGACGCCCATCTGCGTTTCGATCAAATCTGCTCTTTTTCTCGATGAGAAATTCGGTTTATCATGAATTTTGTTTATCATCAGTTCTCGAAATGCACACTTTACGCTCTTTAAAGTTGCATAATCACGCGGCTGGGACGGACTGCTTCGAAGGGCGCTTTGTACTGTTTGCACTTTAGTTCAACATCTCTTTTGTCACTTTTTCATGTGTCAGAGACGTGGGTGCCAGCTAGAACAGCTGCTTTCAGTGTC